GTGGCGATACTACAGTTCAGCGACAATTACACCAGCTGTACGTTTATCCGACCACAGCTTCAAGAGCCAAATACGCGTTTGGTGAAATACGAATTGGCCGATGATGTGCACATTGTGGGTCATATCATCAAGTCATTGCCCCAATCTGAAGCCAAGATTCACACCGGTCGTTGGAAAAAGGCATGGTCTGCCTTGCTTTATTTTATACGGGAAGCTGACTATCTAAAGTCATTCGGAAAGAGACTTGATGTGATTGAGCTACCAGCCGAAGAAGCTCTCACAATAGTCCGTATAGCGGTAGTCGCAACTCCCCCTACCGCAGCCACAGCCACCAATACCGAAGAAGGCACATAGTGTCTTCACATACATACCACACACACCTTTTTCTTTTACAAATTCCTGGTATCCTACCCTTCGTTTCTCACTCTCCCCCCACCATTCAGTATCTTTCTCTCTTTTACTTATTACCACGTTACACATACATTAAGATCCTTGAACTCCCTCTATTGTACCTCTCTTTCCCCAGCCGCACTGACCATGCTCTTTTTCTCGTTGGTTTTTTAAGCTTGTGTTATCCGCTTGGAGATTCTAATTCAAGTTCTCAAAGCAGCGCAATATCCCAAAAGGTGAGGGTCATCGGTCCCTCATAAGAATACATTTTCAACTGATTACAACTCCTTATCATTTGTGGTCTCACATTAGATGTAGAAACGCAAGAAAAATGCTTTTCAAATATATACTAATCTTGTATTTTACCAGTGCCTGCACAGTGTGATAAATGTGATGGGTTGTTGATAGTTAAAAAGAAACAGATCGAATCAAAGCGAAAATAATGGACAATATGAAATACAGCAAGAGTCAATTCAGGATGTTTTGAGGAGTAAGCTCATAAACATTTATGTATTGTTTGAGATGCTGTTGTCTAGACTTCCGTTAAATGAGCCAACGCGGACACGCCGGATATTGGATTTTTCCAAGATGAGGAAGGTAGAGTTGTGAATGCCATGATGATGGATGTTGTCTTCGGAGCGTAAGCGGCTATCTTGCCTTGATCAATGTGTTCCTTGATGTAGTGTCACCTTCGTCTATGTTGGAGTTGCCCCATGCTCTTTGACAGGTGACATCTCTAACAACTCACATATGTGGATACGAGAATAGAGCATGGTAAATACATTGTTTGGTGCTAGTTATTCAATGGTGCTGATTGTTCATGATCTTGATAGGTTCCATCATGTGTGATGATCTCTCTACTGTAACATAATAGCTACAAAGACGGCGGAGTGCGTTGAGTTGTCCGGATCGACATCAGAGTAGTGTGGATTACCACACACAGTTTAGGATTTTTTAAGTGTATTTATACACTTTACTCCTGCTTTTATTGAATATAGCGCAGGGTTCAAAGCAGGATTGTAGAATTATATGTAGCTCACACTAATAAACGCCGCACCAAGTACGCATCTGGTTCATATTTGGAACGGTTAAGCTGTTTTCGTATTTTCAAATTGGTGATCGTCATGATGTCCCAATAATCAATCATATGCGCGTTTCTGATATAAAGCAATTTTTTTTCTTGTGGTTAATTATAGAGGCGCTCATCTCATTGAAAATGGCCAGCATACTTTTTTATTCTTCTTAAGGGGCTTACAGTTGCTGGGGTATGGCTGTCATATTGCGCATCGATGCCAGCAAGAAAAAAGCTCACTTGGTGCAATGGTGTGTTGGTTTCTACATTTAATTTCGAACTTGCAAGAGATGTGTAGAGATCTTTGATGCCGTATAGTTCCTTCATTCCATGGATGATAGCGTGAGCTTCTTTCCGTGTTAAACCCGCCATATTGCTGACGTTCAATGACACGGGGCACAAAGTTTGCTAAACTACTTGTGCTTGTCGTCGTTTTGGTAACGTTGATCGGATGTGGAACGAAACTCAAAGAGCGACATGCTCGACAGCCCTTGTCAACGTATCGTTCGGATTCCAGGGACCGTGGCTTAGTTTACTATAGCTTACCCTAATGCCTTAAGGTCCGTTATGAGCAAAGTGCTTGAATGATTTTGCAGGAACAAGGTTCGACAACCCACTATGTACAGCCAGGTCTGTAACTGGTAGCGAAATGGTAAGTAAATAGGTTTCTTGGGCGACTGTAAGATTTTAAGGATGGTCGATACGTATCACCAGCGTGTCCCATCTATTTGCGAAGTTACTGTTGTCGTAAATGATGAAGCCGTATGGATAGGTGATGGCGTGTAATCAAGATCACGAGTGCAGTCGTCAATTGGGTCTCCATACTGTGTGAATATAATGCGAGGAAAAGATATACGAGCCGTCATTATACTCAATCGCTTCGATGACCGATTTTTCCCCCAATTGTTTGCTTAGACAAGGTGTTGTGGGGAATAGTCTTCTAGCGCGTTTCCGTAGACTGATATTCTTTCTGTTAATGCCAGTGCGGTTCTTGAAAAGTCTCCGGTAATGTACATTAATTTCTCCTTTGCATTGGCAAAGAGAGAAATTCATATATTTATAATTAAACCTATAATGTAGCCACTCTATCTCTACTTATCCGTATCAGTTTAGAGCTTTTTATGAAAAGCTCAATTTGACTTGTCTTTATTTTACGCTAGGAAGGGTGTTAACATTGCTCGCAGCTGAGGTGGTCGAGAATTAAAGCTTTTGCTTCAAGTGGCAAGAGTTGAAGCTGAGACATGAGCCTCCATAAAGAAAGAAGGAAAGAAAGTGCGGAAGCAAGAACGACCAGAAGATGATGACATCCGCGAAGCGCGCCATGCGAGAATGAACAAAAAAAGAAGAAGTAAAGGGTATGTCGCAGCCAAATAGACAGTGATTCTTTACTCACTCTACGTTCTTCCAATCTTCCAAAGTTAAAAATCTTAGTATCAGGAGGTCTCGTCGATTGCTAGTTGAAGGCTGTGTAGAGTTACTGAGTTCGAGTGCAGGCAGGGTGTCCATTCTCGAATCAGATGACACAATAAGTTCCTATGGTTGATCATGTTAATCAAACCCCTGATGTCTTGAAACCAAATTCGAGTATTGCAGAATTGATTGTTTGCGATACGGCTTTAGTTGTTAATCTTTTGTACACTAGTGTAGATGCTTGTAACTATACTTTCGATTCTAAGTTACCTTTATGATTTCGTTGCTCCAATAAAATTCGCGGTAAGAACTTATCATCCTTCCGATTTACTATCTACAAGGTTATCGCACGCTAGCTCATTTCAGGTACTTTAGTATTCAGAAAACAGGAGCAGCATCAGGTACTGTTTGAAAACACATAAGTTTGTTAATGCACAAATTTGAGCAGGCTATTGTGGTACACGAAGCTAAGAATGCCCCACGCCTGTTAAAAGACATGCGTAATCGCTTTATCGTGGTTGAAGGATTGCAATGATGTGCATGCTGTTGTAAGATTCACTACTAGTGTGCGTTTGGTTAGATATGAACAAGCTAGATCTATAAATGTCAGTCTGTTTTCCGGTGGGTGAGGATGCTCCTTTTATGGTTTATTATTTTGATCGGAGTGCATACAAGATGCCAGCCATTAACGACATATTCAATAACAACCCTAAACAATATAGAAGTTCAAGCTTCGTTGAGATTTAAAGTTACATATTGTTCCCTTTTTACAAAATGAGAAGTTTACAGAATGACGAACAGCAGCAATACATATGTAACTGCGAAGGAGAAGAGCTCTGCTGCATAAATTTTATTTCGTGAAAACAGCGAAATAGGCATGTGCATTCAAGCAACATCACCTCTTTAACTGCTGCGCTTGGCCACAAACAACAGGGAGAATATGGCTCCTGCTGCTTCACCTTTGTTTCTTCTCATAGGTGCGCGCCGCGGTAAGGCAGCTGCTTTGGCTGCTTGGTCACCTTTATACACTCGCATCCTCGCCGTCGCACGGAATGCTGACTTGCTCAACGGGCTTCAATCCGTAGATGCCAAACTTTACAAAGCGAATTCGCTAGCTGTTGTTGCTGGCGATGCTACCGAGAATCAGAGTAATGGAATCTCATTTAGCCAATGGCTTCAGTGGTCAATGTTTTCGTAGAAAAGTGCAAGCGGTAAACTTATTGGATTGAAAGGAAAGAGTTCAGAAGAGAGGAGAGGTTTTATTGGGATATAGTAATAAAGCAACCTGTTCATACTAAAGTGTGTTCTTTCTTGATCTCATAGTTCATTTAATATCAGCTTTTCTTTATCGTTTCGCTTGCCCAAAAAGCGCCACCCTACCTGTGCAAGTAAAAGAGCTCAATTGTAATAGTGCCGTTCGGCGCTGAGCTTCGTAAATTTCGCAGAGAATGGGCTGCTCATGGATCGTAAGTTATTGTATCAAATGGTCTTTTTCTTCTCGCTTTAGACCATTATAACAAAGTATGTATATGAGTGTACGATAAATATAAGGCTGCCATAAGCCATTTAGCTTCAACCTTGACAGTCGATGAAACCTGAAGTAACTAGCATTGCTATCCGACCTAGTGCTGTGTATACTGACACGGCAGGTGCAACTCGTGCTGAAGAACTTTGAACTACTTTCTACTACTGCACATAATACATTCGTTTTTTTCCTGTTCATTTGTTAAGTAGCGGTTTTCCAGAGGGAGGATCGATGCAGGATGACCATCATCAAAAACGTTGACATGTACCGCGCTGGTGAGCTAATGCCATGAGAAAGCTGGTCGAGAATTAGCCGTCCCCGTGCTCTGTCTGGCTCTTTCTGCATTTGGAATGAGGAGAAGCTTAAGAAACTATCGCCTATAGATAAGCACATAAACCATCTTCGGATACATTCTATTACTTTAAATGGATTTAAACAGTGAGCTCTGGGAAGAGCTTAATAACAACTGTATCTATTGTGATTTTCTATCACGCGAAAACTATAGTTCATGTCAAGTGCTCCTCTATCTCAATTAAATGCAGTGATGATTTGAGTTCATAATAAAAACTATAAAATTCTTCACCACCACCACTGCTGCTATCTCTGGACATCGGTCGTATATCATCTACTAAATATAAATTAACGTATCACCTCTAGTTACTGCCTTACGTCGAAAAGATTGTGTATAAATGTCAATGAGAGTAATAAAATTAATATTATTTAAAATTTAGATACAAAATTTGATAAGTAATAAAAAGTGCATCTACTACTATTTAAACACACTGTATTTGAGTAGATAGGCATTGTATGGGAAGAATGGGTAGAAATATAAGACTTGTAGAATGAAAAGGACATGAACAGACGAGTGAAGCTTTAGAAGGAAGAAGATGGAGGAAGAAAGAGGTGCTTGTAGTACAAACAAATGTAAATTCATGCTTTTTTACACGGAGGTGAATTCATGGAACTTCGCCATACTCGACGAGCGCCGCGCGCAGTTATTTTTTGGTTGAAGTACATGAGTGCACTGTCATCAACGGCGTGGCCAATGCCAACTAATTCAGACAGTGGATATCCGTTATACGGGTCGACAATGAAAGCATCAGCACCATTCTGGAACAAAAATTCAGCCATCACAAAATCGGGGAGCTGCTTGTTCTTATTCTCTTGCTGTCTTTTCAAAAGTGAGAAATGTAGAGGGTAACGAACAGCAAAAGGTTCAGGGACGGGGAAAGTAAGAAACTTGTCGGGCACTTGTTCACCATCAGCGTCCAGGACAGGCAGTGAGATGTATTTAGGCTCGTGGTTGCTGTTATCGTCGCTGTTGCCTTCGTAATCACCGCTGCTGTTATCTTTATTAGTGATTAATGACAGTGTGGATGCGGTATGAGGTACGTTTGGATCCGCGCCAAGTGCAATTGAATGACCAGCCAAAACTAGGTCATCCTTTTCAATTGCTTCGAGTAGCAGCATCTGCGGATTGTCGAGATTCTTGTTTTTGGCTGGTCGTGCGAATGGTCGGACATAGGTCCTTTCACGGTACTTTGCAAAGATATAATCAACCTTGTCACTTCTAGGACTGTTGCTAGTTGGTATATGAGAGCTGTTGTCAGAAGAGGTTGTCGATATTCGTGGATCCCAAATGGCATTCGAGCGTGCATTGCCGAGCGCGAGCAAGATATCAATCACTTCAGGAGTATACGAAGTGCTGTCAAGCATGAGTGATCTGACCTTGGACAGGTGTGAGCCTAAACTTCGGTGAATGCCGGAGCATTCTAGGCAAAACAGGGTTCGTTAGCATAATGCAGGAAGTAGATTCAATTATGCACGTCATTTTGTCATTCAGCATATCTTTTTTCCTCCAGTACCTATGCATAATAGGATTCCCAAGTTTAAAGAGCACCATTCGGGGTTCTCAGAGCCGCAGTCCGCACATTTTGTGTTTGACACATCCGCTTCGTACAACCTTTGCAACAGCCGCGGTATGGTACCTTCTTTCTTGGCATGTGTTGTTGTTATTGTTGTTGTTGTTGTGGATGCTTTCGTACCATCGTCAGCCATAGGTGGCGCAAGAGGAGGAAAAGCAGCAGCTGACGTTGCCAAGGACGGTATACTCGGTAAGCTGCTATCAGTTGTTGATTCAGATTCCTTGTTGGAGAATGTTGTTGGTAAGTAGAGCGATCCGGGTAATAATTCAGCGAAGTTCATGTCCATGAAACCTGACGATGCTCGCTTAACAGGCCCGATAGAGTGACGGTAAAACTTTCGTTTGGCCTCAGACGTGATATGACCGACGAATGCACCTCCAATCGAGTTGCGCCGCGGAGCAGTGTTATCTTGATAGTTTATATCAGCTGTGCTTCCAGCGCCGTTCAGGACGCTTTCGATGGCGTTGTTGATCGTCGAAACCCAATCGTTCATATCTTCCTTGGACATGGCCTGATATAGGCGTCGAAATTGTGGGGTAATCACCTCAAAGCAGAACTTTCGATCCGTGTTACGGGCTACTCTGACAGTTGCAAAACGTAGGTTTAAAGGTTCCCGATGTGCTGCAGGACTTCGCTTCCAGTTACTGTACTCACAGAGCTGTCCTGTACGGAGGATGCACCAGTATCTAACACAGTGGCCCCTCGTTTTAGTATTAAAATGGAAAGCAAAACACACATACCAATATATACACATTCCCAAGTTTTTTTTATATCCCCTTAAAAATTCCTCATTGTCATCGTCATCATTACTTATGCCAAGTGACACCGTGTGCAGGCCTGTCAGATCCATTCACTTTGAGCGGTCTTGATGTGGCAAAGAGAACACCTTCTTTTCGTCGTCCAGCTGATGCGCGGTTACCAGGTGATTGCAGATCGCGGATACCGTGAAACTTTCCTTCTTTGTCCTTATCCTTTATTGATGATGGCGAGGAAGCGGCTGATGCTGATAAGCCGTCGCCGCTATGCTGTCGCTGTTGCTTTTTTTGTGTTGCAACCTGATCCACTGCAGCTTGCAGAGCTTTACGAGTAGAGGATCTTTCTTTGTTGACAATAGCCTGCTCTCGTGAAGCGTCGGCAATTAGTCCAGCAATATGTTCCAACCCAGTCTTTTGCCGCTCCAAATTCTGTGCAGTCGTCGTATAGTAGGCATGTTGTCGTTCTTGTAGACTAAACAAGTGGTACAAGAGCTCGGTCTCCTTTTTGCCACGATGTAGATCTGTTAGAAATGCGTGATAATCGAACCGTATCATATCGTAGCGAGATTTCTTGGCGAGATATTTAGTTTCGTTCTTCTTGCCTCCGAGATACTTTGACAGACTGGCATAGTACTTTTTGCTCTCTTCTTCGAACTGTCGCCGTTTGTGCTCAGCTTGTTTAATGTCACAATCGTACAGTTTCTGTAATGGACCGATGAGGAGTGTTTGCATTGAGTTTTGTAGCCGTTCTCGCTCATTGTGAATGTCGTCCCAGGCGGAATTGAGGTAGTGCGTAAAGAGAGGTTCGGTGCACGGAGTCTCACGCAAGGCGGCGGTAAACTGCTGGTCAGCCTGTAGTAGGACTTGCTGTGCTTGAAGGCACGCTGTTGCTGTCTTGAGGATCCGTTTGACGCTTTGTTTGAGAGTGCTGGTTTTGGCCTCGAGTTGGCTGATATTTGCGCGAAAGGCGGGACCATCCCCCCAGTCGCGTTCAACAGTGGCAGCTCCAGCCCCTCGCCCACAAGGTGTGATATGAGCAGCGGTAGTACTCACTGCTGCTGTCGCTGCTGATGCGAGCGGTTGGTGTAGCATCGATGATGTTAAGAGAAAGAAGAGTAGAAAAAGAAAGAGGCGGGAAACTGGTATCAGGCACCAGAACCAGGTTCATGAAAATAAAAAAATGCCGCATTTATGGACAACCGAGCGTGTAACTCAGATTCAACACTTGGCGCTTTTTTCGGCCCGGGTAGTATGTATTGGCCCAGGGGCTTTGATCTTTTTAAGGAAACCGTTACTTACAGACAGGATTTTGATTATTTTTCCAAGTTTTGTTTTTGTTGGTGCTGTTTTGGTATGCAACTTGGGGGCAAATCTTCTGTTCTATCATTGACACTGCTGCCTATGCTGCTAGGATCAGGTGCTCTAGAGATTGTTTGCCGAGGACGGATTGAATTGGTTTAATGTTGCTGCAGCTGCTGCAGCTGCTGGGCATACAATGAATGCTGCTGCATTACTGCGAGCTGCTGTTGTTGTAAAGCATGTGATGGAGGCTGCGGTATGGTAGTGAGGCTTCTCTGAGCAGTCATTATAGTTTGTAAAATAAGGTGTGTTTGATGCAAAGGAACATGGATTGTTGTCCTGGAGCAAAGTAGAGACTACTGACAGAAACTGCTTTAGTGGTACCAGTTGTTTAAAATTTGCAAATTTCGCTTTAGCATGCCTATACGAGCCAAAACAGTATAGCGCTTATTATATATCGCTGATTTGCATCAAAGAAAACTTGTGGCTGGTTGTAACCGTACAAGTGTGTGCATCCAGCATGGCATCAAATCATATTGTAGATGTGATAGAATCTTAAATGGAACAAGGAACTGTAATCTCACCTCTTCGTACTCTTTAAGTACGTGTAAGCGTCTGCAAATACAACTTGTCCGCTGACCTTATTCATAAACTTAATTATGTTAAATGTATGGCCACCTTTTAAATATATCTCATCGACGGCCCGCAATTGCTAATCAGAGAGTCGTCGTACCTCGCCGGTGAAAGCAGTGCACAAGTATTGGGCAATGGAATGGGCCTGTGTATTGTGTGCGAATGTTGAAGTTCGAGAAAGTTATGCCATTATTGCTACTGCTGCTGTCTAATATATGGAAGGATGCTTGCATCGAAATTAGATAGTTTGGTGGTATTGCACTTCTGTCGAGCATGTCGTAACTTCTGCATTTCAAGAAGGATTTTATGGAAGCGCTTTGGTCCAACGGTTTTCGTACGACGCATGGTATACACAAATTGCCAACAGTCTTTGCCAGACCACCTGGATGCGTCGTCGTACATCACCCAGAATATTCGCATTGCAACATCTTGAGCCAGCAGTTGTAGAACTTAATGGGAGTCGTAACTGATAAACGCATTGCTGCATGTACCGCCAGTGCATCCTCATAATCCAAAGACAGCTATCAATATGTGTTAACGTCAAACTATGCATTAAAAGAGGGGAACTTGGCAAAAACGCTTCAACAACTTGGCGAGCATAAGGAGTATTTGTGTAGATTTTGACCTTGAGAGACTTTCTATAGGAGCATTTGAGCAGCATTATATTTTTGACCAGTTTGTGGACACCAGAAGTAAACACGCGGATAGTAAGGAGCTCACTGTATGATGTGATGTGTGCTTTTAAAAATAATCGTTGGTAATTAATCAGTATACGGCTATCACCATGGATACTCAATCTCGAACGCCACACCGGATATCATGAGTGTAGAACGCCTTCCGAGCACGATACAGACGTGTTTCCCACAAAGTACCTTAAAATTATGGACTGTAAACCGATTGCTTATGGATAGATGGCCGTCTATCATATGTTCCTTAAGAGCGCCTTGGTATGGACTGGCAGCCATTGGCCAAGAGTATTCAATCGCTTTCATATACCTGCTTGAATGGCTGAGCTTCTTTGCTATTTAAACAGAATCGGTTCGTACGATAATCAATATAAATTTCTGCAGAACAATGTTATTAGGATGCGCTAATAAATTAAGCCAGTGCAGATATCCCAATCCACCATTTTATAGAATTCACTTCCGTAAATAAGCTCGTGTATTTTCCTGCCACCATCACCACAGTCGACGTCACTCATGTACCATTGTCGAAGATCAAGGAAGGCTCGATGACGAAAGAATACACTCGTCGGCAGCTTGTCGAACATCAGCTATGTTTTTATAATTATTGTTGTGTCGTGTGTATGTCGACGTGAAATAGATAAACTTATTCCCTTAACACCCGGTCCTATAATGTAGGCTGCGTCGGGGCAAGTGTTCGTGAAAAGGCAGAACCATGACCTTGCAAAAAAGGTTTTGGAACAAATCAACGACACGGACAGGGTCACGAAACAGGCGGCTTTTAATTTTACGGGAGGGATCAACGAAAGGATTGCGTGAGTTCAGCACCGCTGTCAATCACAACGAAGGCCTCCGTGTGCTGACGACGGTGTTAACTCGGTTGATGTTGGGCACCCAGCCGCGTCAACATATAGCTTATCAGTACACCACGCTCTGTGGTATTAAGACATGTTTCCTATCCAATTTGTGTGGGTCTCGCTCAGCATTATCAAGTGAGTGCAGCAATGCTATTCCTGCGATGTACTGACCATGCAGCCACACTTGTCAAAGGGCTAACAATTTTGAAAGAAGCGAGTAGCAGCTGATCATCGTCAGATATGCAATTTGTAGAGAGAAGATTCTTTTCTGTGGCCCACAGGCACATACTTATATGAATAGTTATATGGTTTAAAAAAATAACATAAATTTAAGTCACGTATATCATAGGTATAGCATAGAATGCAATCATTTGCTAGGATATGAGATTCTATTATGACCATGTCTCCATGTGGAAAGCCATCATCTCTGTCAACCATGCAAAAAGCAGTGCTTCTTATTGGAGCATATTGTCCAATCACTGAAAGTATCTGTGCTTTGTAGATTTCATACCCTCCCCCCCCTCCCTACTGTATGTCATCCCCAGCCATTAGAGATCAAACACATGAGAGTGTGGCCCCACAAATGTAAGCCACGACAGATCAATTCACACATATTTTTGACGCAGCATGTCATGTCCCACATGCAAGCCATCCTCGCTTACCACCGGCTGATCATCCCTTCCTTTCGCCACTGCCCCTTCCTTTGCACTTGTCTGTCCATCGTCTCCGATATGTTTCGCCTCTGTCGATTCATTCTTTAAGAGAACAAAAAGTCGGCATTCAAAAATTACACATCGTCCGTTGCACCAATGCCTATATTTCCCTCTTTTTTTTTGCCTGGCTCTTCTTTTCTTTTCTCTTTACATACACATCTCCCCTGCCTACACCTCCCTCAACCCCTCCCTTCATCCCTCTCTCTTTCTCTCTCTTCATCTTCCTTTCGTAAACCTCTTTCTCTCTTATTCGATAGACTTTAGACTTATAGACTATAATGGATACAACCGATGCCCAAAAGGAACTAGAAACATTTAGACGGCAATGGCGCCAGGAGGTGGAGAACCGGAAGCACCAGCAGCAGCAACAGCGACTGCAACTGCAGCAGAAACAAGATCCTGTTGCCATGGCACCACCCGAACAGCCGATCCAGCAAGATCCGCCACCATTGCCTGAGGAAATGCAATCATTGTCAGTGGAAAATGACCAACAGCAGCTAAACGAACCGCAATCGGCCATGGACCACTACATTGTCGCTGTTGATAACGAAAGACAAGGGAAATTGGGCCAAGGTAATAGGCTACTAAAATTTTTTGAAAACACCAATAACAACAAATATAAACCATAAACATGTATGCACTAGCATTGGCATCCTATCGACGTGCATTCAAAATGGATCCTGATGTGGATCGCCACTACAAACGGCACTATCAAAAGCATGGTGTTGAGCCATCGTTGACATCGTCAGCAGCGCCGGCTACAGCAACAAAAGAGAAGGGTGAAGCACAAGAGTTTCGTCACATTGTGCCTGTGGGCAACGAATATATTGCACCTTCGGCTACTGGCAAAGACCCGCTCGAGGACTTGATCAGGGAGTTTACAAGTGAACCAGTGCCTTATCTTGCTGCGGTCGATTACAAGCCGGTGCATGTCGCCAGAATACCCAGCGAACTGCTGCTGCATGTCTTGCGGCATCTCATTTTACGCTCCGTCTCGTCGGTCGCCCAATTCGCGCTTGTATGCAAGAACTTCTTCTTGCTCACTCGCGCACCGTCATTGTGGCGCTTTGCATCCGAGCATGCCTTCAAATCGCCCTACATGACCTTGGAAACCTCACGTGTGTTCCAGGCTGATTATGTGGAAAAGGTCTATCATGGGCATTGGCTGCGCATGTTCATTGAACGTCCGCGCATCCGCTATGATGGCGTTTATATATCAATTTGTCATTATGTTAGGTACATTAAACCCTATTCCTTCCCCCAACCACTTCCGTGCATACTCTTTTGTTTTTCTCTCCATGGCGTAACTCATATAATGGATTTATGACTAGAATGGGTAATAACGATGAATCATATAACCAACCTGTTCACTTGGTCACATACTACCGGTACCTACGGTTCTTCCCAGATGGCACCATCTTGAAATACCTTTCGACGGACGAACCGGCGCGTGTTGTCCGGTTGCTCACACCAGGATTCAACCAACGCCAAGTATTCAGGGGTCACTTTGAACAGAATGAAGGACGCATCTACATTGAAATGAAGGACCGACTACGGCCGCGTGAAGATTTCAGAATGGTCTTGGATATCAAGAGCACGCATCGTGGCAGACATAACAAATTGACATGGACTGAGTATGCCAGCGTTACCGAAGGACGCGAGGATGAGGATGACACATACTACGACTTGAAAAAGATGAAACCCTACTTTTTCAGTCCTGTCAAAAGCTATGCTGTTGATCATCCGTTAGAACCACCGTTGCTGGAAGGACCTTTATCTCGACGAAGCGTTCCATTAGACCAGTTAGATCAGGAACAATAATGAAAAGTATAATTTATTGTGTGTAATTTTGCTCCTCACTTTTTCTCTTTTCTCAATTTTGTGTGGTTGGATTGCGCGTAGATGGGGTTTCTCGTTTTCAGACAATGGCTGTATTAATGGAGTTGAGTCGTTCAATGTGTTGGATGTCTTTGGAGGTATCGCTTGCATCGCTATCATGCCTTGTTGATAAATTGTTGTGTGGAGAGTCATTGTTACCCGACCAGCGGACGACCCAGCAGATAATTATGGCAATACTGTCGATTGCTATTATGGCCATGTTCCTGTATTATCAAAACAAAGCGTGAATAAAGTTATCCTATTATTATCATCTGACAGTAATAGTAATAGTGACAGAGACACTACTTTAGCTCTTTACCAGTAAAAACTCAAGATATCAGAAGTGCAGCCGATTTCGGGTGCGCCTGGTTGTGCCGACCGCAATGCTGGCATAGCAAACAGCATGGAGACACCGACCATACACGCATGAGCATCCACCTTCCTTCGTTGTATAATCACTTGGTATGCAAACAAGGTCAACACCAGCGACAAAGCCCACATCAATACACATGTGAATATGCTGAATCCCACCGTTGTTGGTGATCTTCCAGTTTCAATCTGTAAGCTGACTCGATCTGATTCATTAGGTTCTGGATCCACCAGTGTAGGCTTGAATGCAAATGATGTCAAACTAGCTTTGAGATGGAACGTGATAGGGATGGTATGTGCTGTATCGTTGGCGTAGCTGGCGTATACTTCAAATGTGCCGGAATAATGATCAAACGGGTAGTCGATGTTGTCGCCTAGATGATAGCTGAACATGGCATTGATAGGATTGTTGGCATCGCCAGCGCCAATATGATAGGACGCTAGTGTTGAAAATGAGATATAGATAGGTCGACTGTTTTTGAAATACAAGTAAAGGATGGATTAGTTACGGGAAAACGAGTATGTAGTCAAAAAATAGATGGATGCTATTATTACTTGAGTTGTCCATATTCGTTCGCAAGGGTGCCGTTAGGCTTTATTAAACAGTGCAACCGGTATGTCTTGAGGGCAAAGTCGACATCAAGGACAGTTGCTGAAATATACAATGATTCGCCGTGTATATTTGGTGCATTGTAAGCTATCAGCGTAGTCTCTTGTCCATCTTTAGAGTATATCTTCCACGTGGGTACTAGAACCATCACATTTACGATGCACAATAATAGGAGACATGAAAAGGTTAGTAAAACATGGAATCTTGACAGAATGATGCATCGCAACCGACTTCATTATAATATTGATATCTGATGTGTATCTGTGACCGCAACAAAAACAGGATATGCATATGTGCAATGATATCTTACTGATGATGGCTATGAGAGAAGCTAATAAGAAAAAGGTGACCAGCACCTTTCGGAAAGCTCTATTGCAAATCATGCGCTTAAATTTCGAGAAATATATACTGCACTTGTACTTTACGAATGTAACTTTCAAAAGAAAGAGAGCGGCAGTAAAAGAAAGACAGAATGATTCATAGAAAGTAGTTTTCATTGCCCAGGGTTTAAAAGGGTGAATAGGGGGGGGGGCGTGTTGCAGGAGGCTATATTACTTTTTCTGTACTTTAATGACTTTTAACTCACTGCTTTTATCTGACTTGATCAGCTCACTTCATCTCTCCTTCTTTTCTTGGTGTATTACACTTTTTATTCCTGTGAAGAACAAAGTATCAGTATGCTCAATTATGCAGTTGAAACCGGACGAGAGAACAGACGTTTGTAGTCAAATTTTACAAGCCTCTAGATCGTAATGAGGTGATAGCCATCATATTAGCTGTAGCGTTCTTTTTGCAGATAAAGATAAGCATGGCACTCAATGCCTTCTACATAAGCCAGTCTTAACTATTAACTGAACTGACGATTGGCTTTACAAAGGTGGATTAATGCCCTACTGTTGTAGATAGCATCCAAGTGCTCAACCTTGTGATACATACTCATAAACAGCTACTGTATTTGGACCTTGTTGAAATAACCCAAAAGGTATTGTTGTGCGCAGAGATTATGCTTTCTGTTTCTAATTTCAGTGGCTGAAAGGGTAGAGCCTGACAGTTTTTGCGGCTTCTCGCTATACACATTTATCAGCCTTTCTTTGCTTCATTTTGGCTATAGTTTGGTTGTTAGCCGTTGACAACATACGATCACGGTCTTTTTGCTACCAAAAATGTATTGGAGCGTCTTGAGATATGCCTACGAATATGTACAATGTCCCTCATTGCAGGGTTTCTAAAATGAGAGAGCAACAAGCTATACGACCACTTCATAGTACCTCTGTTTTTGTATGCGCCGGAAGTATAGCACTATATATCGTTGGATTTTTCTCAATGTCAATAGGTTGTAGAGTCGCTCATATCGTTTGTAATTTTGTTCGGCTTGCTATATGCTGCCAAGTTCTGCAAGATGTTTTTGTATGGATCATAGTATTAAAACCACGTTTATGTCATGGGTGGCGCATCTATTTGGTTGCATTGCTGTTACGTCCATTCTATTCTCTTATGCTGAAAGATGTCGGGTAAAGGGCCACCCTATTTAGAAAGTCTCGACCCTAAACTGTGAGGCGGCAGTGTCAAACGTGCCATAGCTTTCAATAAGCGGGAGATCGCATATCCAAATGCAGTAACTGGTTGTTGATTGTTGCACGGAGATGGTAAGAATTTGAAGGGTCCAGACAAGCTGGTAGCCGGAGGTCCTACCTTTTCTTCAGGAAATCTGTGTGCATACCATGTTTAAGCAGTACAAGAGATAGTAGCTACATGGTCTACATCAAGCAAAACTGGCTGCGTAATAGTATTTGAAGGCTGTTCGGTACTCTTTACCCCGAGTAACCAAGTTCCTTCTGCCTCCCCCCCCCCCCAAAAAAAAACAAAAAACTATCACCTATCGGGACATCACCGTGCCATATTGATATGAACTTTTCATCCACATGTGGGAAATGATACCGAGGGAAACCTACTCGAGTCCACAGGGTCGACTGACGACGGCATCTTCGGTAAAGACAGCCACAATGCTGCCAATTGGGTGGTTGCGATGAAATGGAAATAAGTTTCTCAGAGATGCATGAAAAAAAAAACTTTTTTTCTTGTGTGACACCCACCCTCTAGTTCGTGCATTGCGCTTTCTCTTTACTCTCTGCTCTCATCCCAACCCCCCCCAACAAAGATGTGTGATCCTCCGTGCTTCATTAGCTGGGCAAGAAGAAACGCACACTCTATCAAACCACCACATTTAAAAAAAGAACTATTTTTATGCAAAGCCATGTAATCGCATGTTATTTCACGGGCTCATGATCAAAACGGTCATTACTCCGAGTAAAAATGAGGCACTTCCTTGTGAGTCTACATGGCAGCAGCAGCAGTAGCAGTAGCAGTAGCAGTAGCAGTAGCAGCAGCAGCAGTAGTAGTAGTAGTAGATGCGCGTCCACTGTTGCTGCTGTAGTAGTAAAGCAATGCTCCTTGCATCTGCAGTGCTCTTCATGCCTAAAAAAAAAATACTGGGCTCCCTTTCCGGGCAACTGGCTTTTTTTTTTAGAGTAACACACTCCCTCTCTTTCTCTTTCTTCCTTTCTACTTTCCACTTGTCCTTGCTCTTGCTCTCTTCCTTCTCTAAACCCGCTTTCTTTGTTTCTCTTTCTTTGTTTTCCTCAACTCCCTCCTTCCCGTTCGTACAGTCCGCGCGTCCTTTTTGGGTTCTTCTTTTATTTTCTTTATAGGTTGTCATGACGGAGAACTTGTTTGAGTTTCCTCAGGTACGACACACTATACCCAGTATTAAGAGCACAAAAGAAAGGAATCCTTAATGAAGAAGCGGGAGGGATCACGTCACGAGAAAAAGACATTCATCTCATGTTCTCATTTGTCAATTGACCAGATTAAGAGTAATCCGAGCGGTGCCAATCTGGGTCGACGCTACTTGCCCATACGAAAGGTACTGCATACGCACTGTCCTATCCATATATAGGTCGAGAATACACACATGGATATATACGTGTTTAACTCACCCACTCACTCATTTACTCATAACAATTATCTTTCTTTTTGCGCCACAAAAACAACAACAACAACAACAACAAAAACAGAATGCATGTATCGTATGCAGTATCTGTTTTACCTGTTCCAAAGTAAGTAAGCTACACACTTTACACATATACACGCACAAACCAGAGAAGAAACGTAGAAACCCTCTTTGGGTCGAGCATGCAAAGTATTGACGTCGACTCTCAAAGTACTATGCAGAGGACTGTACCTGCAACGAAAGTCAACCACGAAGAGGGAAGAACCTACCAGATGGCACGTTGGATTCACGAGCCAAAAAGCTTCAACCCCAAGACAACGATTACGAGTTCTCAATCAAGTGGCTGACCGAACATGCGCACGCGATTCACCGCGATGAACATGGCCAAGTAGTGGGATTGCGGCAATTACCCGAGGTGTCGTTATGCAAAGCGCACAGCAGCACACTCTATCGGGCACAGAAAAAACATGAGCGTGTTAAACAGCTTCCACCACCTCCACAGTTCGCTTCAAGTTCGTCCACGTCCTCCACTCACAACAACAACAACAACAACAACGGTCCTGCTGCTGCTGCTGCTGCTCCTACAACAACAACGACTGCAACAACATTTTCACCATCACCCGATTACATGATGGATATTGATATACATCGTCATCCTCCTCCTCCACATCCACATCCACACCCAGCTTCTATGGATCAACAACAACAACAACAACCTCCTTATTATCACCATCATCACCATCATCATCAACAGCCACCGTCACAAGGAACGCAGCAACAGCAACCACCTCCACCCCAACCGTACATGAGCAACCTGGCTGCCAAAGTACGCAACATCAACCACACGCCTTTTCAGGGTGAAATGCCCGACTTTTCAACCATGTCCAGCTCCACTTCGCTCAAACGTAAAAGGACCGAGAGTATGGCTCGGTCCAGTGCATCCACGCCGCTTCTGGCACATCCTTACCACTCGCCATCCTCGCCAATACCCCACGTTGATTTCAACCAGCAGTTACCGCCACTGCATCAGCAACAGCAACAGCCGCAACCACAAGCATCTCCCAGGACAACACATACTGCTTCGTTGTCATCGTTGCCGCTGCGAAGGGTCCAACCACCACCACCCTCCTCATCCTCCTCCTCATCCAACGATCCCGGTAGTAGTAGCGGTGCTACGCCAGGTACCAATAGACGCATGTCGTTTCCTCATTATTCCCAGCAGCAACAGTCACCCTTACATCAGCAGCAACAACAACAACAACAACAACAACAGCAAGCACCTTTCCCTCCATCGACCTATTCGTCACCATCACCGTCTTTGGAACCGATCAATGCATTGATTGTGGATACCGTGTCGCTAAAAACGCAAAACAACAACAGCAACAGTCCAGAATACCTGATCAAGAACTTGGCCATCACGGACACGTTTACGTTTCGAGAACTGTTGGTCGAGGCAGACATCACCGGGTCGCCCCCGCCAGGCAAGAGGATTGTGATTTCGGATGACAGGCAGGAACGTATTTTCCCATTGGATCAGGCGATCCGTAGTGTGATTCGACGGCCCGTGGGACCGCATGTCGAGCTTTGGCTCAGTTTAAATGATAAGCCGTCGATCGACTGGAGTTCGTATCATTCATAGCATTCTTTCTTTGTCTGTAACCTCCCCTCTCTTAACCCCCACCCCACCTCTCTCTCTCTCGCATTCTTTAGTTAGAACTCTTTTTTTTTTCTTTTCGTTCCAACACAAGAAAAAAAAAGTTTCGATACAAGCATCCTCACGCAACACAACACACTCTTTTCGTTTCTTTTCATACTCAACAAAAAAAACATCACATATAAAGCATATAAAAAGTGTAAAGAAATTATGCCATCAGACTCATCATCAGCATCATCACAAGAGAAACAACTAGGCGTCCCTCGAATGGCATTACTCGATCCTTCAAGTATGTTCTCTTGAACTCATCTCGAGGGGTTGAGGGGAAAGAACAAAAACAATCATTAAACAACGACTGTGTTGTTGGTTTTTTTTTTTTTTTTTTTTTTTTTTGCACATTGTACAGATCGTTCACTCAATGTGCCCGAATTTCCAGCACGTAATGGGCCACAACGACTTGCAGCCGCAGCGACAAAGCAACCTCGAGGACGACAGAAAGTAATGCTCGAACCAGGACACTCGCCGCTGGACTGGGCACGATTGAAAAGCTCGGGCAAAGATCTTCGAGGAGTCAGTCAGCTGGGCAAATACACACTGGAGGATCTGAAACAGCACAATACGATGGAGGACGCTTGGACGGCTATCCAAGGCAAAGTTTACAATATGACGCCGTACATGAAGTTCCATCCCGGCGGTGTCAAGGATTTGATGCGTGTGGCTGGTCGTGATGGCACCAAACTGTTTAGTAAGCTCTCTTTCTCCTTTCTATTGCGGGGGCGGGGCATAGGAGTGTGTAAAGTAAAGCTAATGAAATGAAATGAAATGGTTGCACAGTGCTGACGCATTCGTGGGTCAATGCCGAGTTTATGCTGGATGCATGTTTTGTGGGCTTCCTCGTACAGTCCTCCTAAAAGCAGCCAAGTGTTTTTCCATCTTCCATATTTGTCCGCACCCTTCCATCATCCACACACACACACACACACATTTACTAGATTCTACTTTTAAAAGCCAACAACGCATACCAACTTTTTCATATATAAAATACACACACGCTCTTCTCTTTTGTTTTTACATCTCAAACATCACCATGCCCTCATCAGGTTTTTGGAACCCACGTTCTCCACCCCCACAACCTGGATCCGTCTACAGCGACGCGAAACAAAAAGAGCCATCCTTCTGGTACCCTAGGTCATACTTTGTGTCTTGTTGTTGTTGTTGTGTGAAAGGGAACCAAGTAGTATTAGTAGTGGTGATAGTGTTACTGAGAACCATTGTTCTTTTAGACAGTTCGACATGTCTTCTGTAGCCTGGGGAACAGCGGAACTGTGGTCGCAGAAGGATCCATCTCAAGAAATCCGATATACATACTGGAAGAAGCCGGAGGAGAAAAAAAAGTAGATGCTGTACTCTTTTAGTTCCCCTCCTCTCGATCACTTTGTAGTACCAGTATAATATCTATTTGATCAAATAAAAAAGATAAGCATTTACTCTGCACAGACAGGCAAAGCAGCTGTTGCTGCTACTAGGAGTCATGAAATTAGACTATCGTGCTTCAATTGGGTAGCTCAAGCAGTATACGGATTAACGGTCATTACTACAAAAAGAAAATAGCACAGTGGCTGCATGAAAATTATGTAAAAAAGAGAGGGGACCGGTACCTCAAATATTAAATTCTAATTTTGGTAGTTTGGGCAATTTCGAAAATTTTGCAACACTCCACTTTTGATTTTTACTTCAAACCCTCCACTTGGACTCTAGCATATTATATATCATGGCTGCCGAAGCTGTCAACAAAGCGTCCAAAAAGGATAAGAAAGAAAAGAAAGAAAAAAAGGTAATTGGTCTTTGCATTCCTTGCATGGCTTTTTTTTTTTTTTTTTTTTGCATGGGAGGGATCTGTCAAATCAAAGGATTTGTATTGATTGACATTGAATGCACGCAGGAAAAGAAAGAGAAAAAGGATAAAGAGGCGGTAGCTGGCAGTACTAGCACGGAAGAAGAGACGGTAAAGCAGGAGGAAGAATCCAAAAGGAAAAAGCCAAAGAAAGAGAAAAAGCGGAAAGCGGAAGCAGCAACGCACGATGACGACGAGGAGAAGCCTAGCAAGAAGAAGCAAGCTGTCTTTGTACCAGGTTTGTCTACAACTTTACGGACGAACGGTCCTTTTTTGCAGTGATCAATACGTGTGGTGATTGATTGATTGATTGATATTTGTATCCCCTCCCCCCCCCATGCCAACCTATAAGACGGGATCCAGTACCTGCGCACCTTCCACTCGGACAAGGACGCATGGAAGTTTAAAAAGATCAGTCAAGTCTGGTGTTTGCACCACATGTATGACGAGAATGTGGTAAGCTTTTTCTTTGTTGTTGCTACTCATAGCAAGCGGGGCCGCATGTACTCCACGCTTGCTTAGCACCAGGTGGGATGAGGGTGGTAGGACAAATGAGGGCTATTATTAATAACAATCGTCTGCTTGTAGATGAGCGACAGCGTTTTTGACATCATGCTGGAATACTTGAAGAATATGAAAGGACAGGCGCGCACGGTAAATCAAAATGAAAGGATTCGGGGGGGGGGTGGTGTTTTGGTTTGGGGGAGGGGGGGGGGGAAAGAAGAGAGAGAGAGAGAGAGAGAGAGGGGGAGGGGTGGTTGTGTTTGTGGCGTTCATGGCCAATGATTCCTTTTTTATAGACAACGCTACGCGAAGCACAAGAAAAGATACCTCCACCGGCCACAGAGGTCGACCAGGAGATCTTTGATGCAGAGGCGGCATTGAATGCACTGCCGGCGGCACCATCGGACGCAGCAGCAGCAGCAGCAGCAGAAGAAGAGCAGGAGGGTGACACACCGGCGATCAGACGAGCGCGAGCCATTGCCAAAGTGCTAGCATCATAAAGCAGAAAAATAAAATAAAAAAGATATGGGGCCTTTTTTGATACTATGATTAGCAGAGAATGCATGGGGGCCACTTGTTAATTAACGGAAACATCGGACCGATAAGCGGAGCCAAGCAGGTGCCAAGTAGTAGTAGTAGTACTAAGTGTTTCTTCCCACTGAGCACGGATTGACCGGCAGTGGTGACGCTTTTGGAGTTGGCTTGGGTTGACTTGGCTTGGGGGTGTGTGCAGTGTGCGTGTAGTTGCAGCACACTTGTATACGATAAGAGCCTCCTTTTCGAGGTGCCAAACCCCCATTTGCCTCCTTTAAACACGTAGCGTCTCTTTATTTTTTTTCTACTTTGCCTTTTGTTTTTACTTCCTTCCTCTCTCTCTCTCTCTTTCTCTCTTTCTCTCTTTTTCTTTTGCACACCACCACCACCACCACCACCACAAGCAACCAGCTCTTCTACACCAGTCCCCACCCTTCTCTTTCTCTCTCCCCCTCTCTCCTGACGACCGACGAACCATGAGTACCACCAGCACCACTACTGTGAGATCAACAGCCGTAACGCCGACTGCCGACACCACGCTTCTGGATGCTGCTACCCCACTGCTGCTCCACACAGATCCAGCACTCGCCCTCTCAGCACTCGGCATAGCCACCACTGCCGACACCAGCTCTGAACCCTGTCTGCCTAAGCCTAAAGCAGCATCAGCAGATGCGCGTCACGAGTCCACCAGTGCCTTGTTACCAATAACAACAACAACAACAACAACAACACAAAGCCCTCATTTGGGCATAGTAGCCTCAAGTCCGACAATGGCCACCTGGCAACTTTTGCTTTACTATCAGCAATTGCTCTTCCCGCCGCTCGTCAAAGACGATGTTTTCCTTGGCCCGGCAGACAACGAGTCTGTCATCACCGTCAACAGCTCAACCGACTCCAGCAGCAGCAGCAACAGCAGCACCACCACCACTACCGCTCCCTCCGTTGGGAACTGGGCCCCTACCCCTTGCTTGTCCCCCGTAACGTCCCCGTCGGACTTTCTGTGCAACCACGAGCCGCTTTTTGACGGGATAGACGATCTGCAGCACCACCAGCAGCAGCAGCAAAAGACGTTATCAGACCAAGACGAACAAGTCAAAGTGAATCTGAACGACGACGACGACAACGACGACGACAACGACGACGACAGCAACCACAATGGCCAACAAGTAGTAGACCAAGTCCTTGTAGAACACGAGAGTGGCTATGCGACACAAGTAAAGCACCACCACTCTGCTTCGCCCAATCTTGATTGGTACGAGTTTACTAAAGAGGACGATGGTCATACAACATCATCTGTCTTGGCTGGTTTGCCAACTCCGTCACCTACAGCTTCCGAGAATGAAGCCAGTTTATTCGACGAAGAAGACGACGACGACGAGGACGACGAGGACGACCAAGACAACAAGAACAGCAGGAATACCAACGAAGCCTTTGATAACGAGCCGCAGATACCATTCGAGTTCTTTAGCAGCGATGACGAAGACGAAGACGACGACGAAGATGATGATGAACTGTTGGGATTATCCTACTGCGCTCCTGTTGCCCCGCTTCTCTTACCACCTCCTGCCACATTTACTTCTGCTGCTACGCGTTCCCTAAAAAGGAAGCGATCCCAATCAATCGATAGCATCACGAGTTGTGAAAGCGAACAAGAGGAGGAAGAAAACGACGTCCCTGTGTTACAACGTTTGCACCGCCTTCGACTGTCCGAGCCAAAGCAGCAACGACGGCAACAACAACAACAACAACAACAGCAACAGCAACGAAAGAACAAGTCAAAGCCAGTTGCCAAGCGACGCGCCAAGCGCCATCCCGCCAGAGGTCGTGGCGTACGGCCCAAGACGATCGCCTGTGCTGCATATGATGTCCAACAACAACAGCAAGACGACAACGACGATGGAGTGCATCGAACCATCTTTGAACGCCTGACACATGCTGGCATCGACTGGTGTCGTTATTGTGGTACGACCGAAGGCGTCAATTGGCGACCGGGACCATGGGGCAAACGCACTCTTTGCAAGTAAGCATCATTATTCTTTGTTTTATTAATTCTCTCTCTCTCAATAAACATAAACGAATATGTATACTGATCAACGTATGTTTAGTAAACATGGATGTGACTACAAGGGGTATGGTATTGCCAGCCGATTGCCTCGCTTGGACCTGTCAGCCTTCATCCATGAGCGTCTCGAAGATCGAAGACGGCCGGTAGTGCAACAATCCTGCGTCGTCTGTCAAGGACCCGAATCCAGCGTCGATAATAAATTGGTGCCGTGTGAAGGGGGTTGCTCGCTTGCATACCACTAATTATGTCGCATGCCTGCAATCACCTCGTACCAGGATCAGCAGTGGTGCTGCAGCACCGTGTGCCGCGAGAATCGGAAACGCAATAAAGTTGGTCCATATGATTCGTAGTAATAACAACAACAACAACAACAACAACAAACCCTACTATATGCATCTCACACACACACACACATCTCTTACATACATTCCTCTCTGTTATACCATACTTCTTCCACCAAATCCGCTCTTCAGTTTTACATACACAGCATCATTCTCATATATAGCAGCAGCATCATCAACATCAACATTTCTTTCTTCTAGTACTTATATAGCATTCTTTTTCTGTTTTATTTTCAAGTGCATATATTTTTCTTTTAGCATCTTCCATTTTATTTACAATACAATATCTAGCATCCCAGAAACACACGTAACACGCAAAAAAAGAAAAACCCCTTATTCCTTCTGTAATCTTTAGAAATAAACAAAAAAGCATGTCCGCCCTTCGATCACGAAAAGAAATGCCGTCTGCCAAATTGGATCCCCCAATTTGACGTTGTAGCTGCTGCAATTGAAAGAATATCTCCTGTTACAGCTTTGATCTGCCATCTAGTAGTAGCTATCTACTCAATGTAGTAGTAGCAGTAGTAGTAGAATTGGGCTCTTTTTGAAGTACTATGTGCTTTTTAAGGAGCAAAAGGTGCATATCCACAGTTATATGGTCCGATAGATATCATATGCTGTGCGTGGCATGATGCTAATGTGCGTGCTGACGAGTGTTAACTGTAATTCACTTTTTAAGCAGCATATATATAAATGTATATAAACACTAAGGGGTGCGCGCAACACAGGAGAGAGTGCAAGGAAAACACGGGGATCGGCTGCTTTGTTGTATGTGTAACACTCATGCTTGCATATTATTTACTGGAAACAGATTAGCACAGTCGCTCATTCCGATCCCAATAATCACAGACATGGCAAGTGCCACAAAAGAAAAAACTTCCTTCTCCTGGCCCACCATTTGTCATTATTCAAACTCCCTGTCCTCGCCTAACATTACCGGTACCATACCATCATGGGAAAAAAAAGAAACCAAGGCGGTTATTATAGAAAGTCTATGTACCAAGAATTAAGCCAACAAGACCATAAAGTTCCGACAGTTTAGATAATGATGAGCAACCAAGATTTGTTAGCAGAACGACAGTCAAAGAAGGAGGCTAAAGCAAGCTTTTTGTTGGAATGCAACGTGGCTGTACAAACACGCAGCAGCAGTACGCCCATGATCCTGCAGTTTCCTGTTTTTTCTTTGCCCGCAAGAATAAGAACAACAACAACAACAACAACGGTCAGCAAGAACATGACGACGACGCTGACGATGAGGCGAAGAGAGCAGCAGCAGCAGCAGCAGCAGCAGCGGCGGCGGTACCTCACCTGATTACAAGTAGGCACAACAACAACAACAACGACATGTATACGTACATGAACTTCGAATCATTCTTGTTTTATTGGTGAAGAACAACAGTCAATATATTCAATCATGACGACATTACCAGAAGAAACCCGATTAGACGGTACTCTGTCATACACTGGTCCCAAACCAGTAAATCATTACTCATTTCGACAAAGTACAACAAAAGACGCTTGATTGATACGTAGGCTTGGTAGCACAACCTTTTCTTCTTCATCTTCTCCTGCTCCATCCGCAGCATCGCATCACATCATACCCAGTTGGGGAATACGTCCGTTTACGCATTGTTGTGTGCGCTCGCAAATGCAGACGCGTACATACATATCTTTTGGGACTCAGCATCTAATGCGACAACAAGCACCGAACAACAGCAAGAACGAAATTAATACAACACATTATCAGCAACAAAACGAAGGACTAAAGAAAGGTTCGATCGATACAGAGAGAACGGGTATTACCTACTGTCGCTGTGTCATCAACGTCAACACCCCTCCATTCCCCCACTTCATGCAAACAGCCCGTGCTGTACAGGTTTACTAAAAAAGCATAATATACCGACTACACTATTACCGAGACGGCGCAAAGCAGGTACTGTAGTTTTATTACCAAAAACATTTCCTTGCCGATTATCACAGGTATGGCTAACTTCACAACCCTATAAAAGGTCAATAAAGAAGTAGGCTGTACATGCCCGTGTAGCCTATGCTTCTGCACATCGTAATAGGAATTTGCTTAGCTGCCTATGCAACCTATATAGTCTCATCTACTTCTATCTAAAGTTATATAGCCTTTGCGATCAGCACCCGTACAGTTGATGCCTTCAACGTGAAATTCATTCAGCCGTTTTATCATTGCAAACCTCAAAAAGTAAATTATCGATTAACACCTTTTCATTCAGTAATTTCCATAACTGGGATATACTCCTGATGGTCGTAACCATTTGCCCGCTCGTTTGCAAGCGGTCTATCTGAGAGAACTGGATCCCAGATTGTCCAGTTCCTGGCGGGGGCACCGATACAGGAAGTGGTGGGGCATCGTCTCATTGTCGTCATTGCATATTGGGAAGGTACTGTTGTTTACTTCGTAAGCTAGTAGAGTAGCCAGTGTGAAGCGGCAAGATCGTTTTCCGTGCAACGTGCGAAACCATACGTTCCTGACTGTCTTTGACAGATCAAAGTTCCAAAAGGTTCGCCATTGTTGATAATTCAAAGTACGGCGGTTCTTCACTGTAAACTGCTCGATAATGGCCTGACGAAGATCTTTGGTGTTAATGGTGTTCAGCCCGAAATTATTGTGAATTAAACCATTTGACAACCTCAGATATAATATGCGTTCTTGATGTCGGATCAAAATGCTTGGTAACAAACTTGCTCTGGTCAGTGAACTTAAAGCGAAAGTGCGTATGCCGATGTCATCGAAATCCATACAACGACTGACTGTTGATACTAATCGAAGGGAAGGAGTGATTTTCGTTCCTTTTCCAACGGCATAAACATCCAAGTGAGTCGTTCAGGGATAAAAAGAGCATCCACCAAAATAAATGTCCTTTTCAAAAAACAAATTCAGCTCTGCAGTCATTGATCTTGGTAGCGGAGCGCCATGATGTGTAATTGAAGGAGGGTAGCGATAGATCGTTGTGTATCCATGTTGAAGTGATCCAAAACATCACAGATCAATTTGACGATGAACTCTTTGCTGGCGTAGGAGTAAATGAAGTTCCCAAGAATTATTGTGTTGTTGAGCTGTGCTGGCTCGCAGGATGTTGAACATACAGATTTGCAGTATTCGAAACGCTTATGTCCAGTCGTGCCGGATAATGCGTAGATAATAGAGATGTTGAAAGGCACGGATTCGTTGTTACAATTTTGAATGTGTATCATATTTCATCGACCATCTCTGGTGATCAAAAGGGGTTCGACATTAAGCGCTGCTGAGAAGTTGATAATGCCGCAGCACCGACTCCATACACATACACGGGTCTCTGGGGTCTTCAAACTGTTTATCCTCTGACCATTCCAAGGTATTTGTTCTGTTCGGCTAATCGACGAGACCGTTGGGGTGGTGTCTTTAGTTCCTTTCCATGTTCGACGATCTCCACGGTTTTCTGTGTTTAGGAACCTTCACCATAAGCCGGAGATCCTTTCGAGTTTCAAGTAACTTGTTTTTGGTTTGAGCTCGTGTTGTTGCCTTATGATCGGAATGGTTCGAGCCACCCTGGACTTTCTTCTCGCGCGAAGATGATGATGCAGTTGGATGGTTCGTCTTGGGTGCTTTGCGGGGATAGCTGTTTAGTGGTTGTGGACATGCAATGGGGATATGGCCTTTCGACCCACTGTTGAAGCATTCGGGATCAGGCGATCGGATGCGATCTTGAGCGTGGCAATATCTGCAATAATCACTCATCGATTGTCAGGTAGCATACAAAACGCGATTACGATTATGGAGGACGCCGAAATCGATACAACGCGTATCGTTCTAGGTGGATATCTTTGTTGGGCATCTTGAGCACAGCCTTGGAACCAGTCGCCTTCCACGGACCACCGGTGCAGGCTCAAGCGCAATACGCGTCCAAATTTAGACGGCGACGCTCTCCATTTGAGCTCAAGGTCACCAGATTTCAAACCGGTTGGTAGGTGTGACAGTTCCAACTTTGTGAGTTGTTGTTCAGTAGGTAGAGAACGAACAGCCCGATAGTGATGCCCTGCAGCATCAATGTCTTTTTCGTCGATGAATGTCATTCTATAAAGAGATTGCTTTTTATCATGGTGGGGCAGAAGCCCTACGCCAACATCTTAGTCTGGAAAGAGATCTCTGGTTGCGCGAAAGAACTCAGAATTTTTGACCGGATGCTCGGTAGTAACAAAGAAAACGCTGGACTCTTCAGATCCGCGTCGAAGAATATGAGAGTCGATATTTCCGTTATCGGCCGTCAATTGTCCTAGCGTGTTCTTAACGGCTGATGAAGCATCTTTTGTCAAAGTCGTGACCATTACGTCCACGGGGAATTCGAGACTGATTTTTGAAGCATTGCTTGAGCATACGTCAGGTTCGACTTGTTGGCTGTTATATCGTCGACAGCTGTGTTGTTAATGTTTTTTGAGCTTTCGACAATGTTTTGGGGGCTACTGTTATTGGCCCTTTAGGGTTGAGTAGTAGACACAAGTATTATAAGGTGGACGCAAGGTGGACGCAAGGTGGACGCAAGGTGGACGGAAGGTGGACGGAAGGTGGACGGAAGGTGGACGCAAGGTGGACAAGTCGGTATTTAAAATCAAAGGTGGACGCAAGGTGGACGCAAGGTGGACGCAAGGTGGACGCAAGGTGGACGGAAGGTGGACGCAAGGTGGACGCAAGGTGGACGCAAGGTGGTATTCGGCACAACATTCTGCCGTAGCATCGCAGCCAATCACAGGCCTCTGAATTGTTTTTTTTGGACATGAATTCACCATTTCCCTGCCAACTCAGTTTTCGGCCTTCTCTTTCCTCTTCTCCACGCTTTTTAAAAACCCCCACAATTCCTTTGCACACGTCATGTCACCTCATCGACCATTTTCTTATTGTTGTCTCAATCATTAGTTACTGACTGATTACTCTTTTCTCTTTTTATTTCTTTAGTACAACTGTTGGAACCGGTCAACGACAGCACACGGTTGATGGCGACGTTTCCAAGCGTCTAGTCCCATTCCCGACTACCAGTTCTAGCGACCTGTAGAATGCGTGCATTCATGAGGAGGTTGAACCTGGAAGTAGCGCTGCACAGGGCCTATTCAACTATGTGTGTGCAAGAGGCTTGTGAGGTCTACACCAACAAAAAGCCGAGTGAAACCGTCCCGCTTACTTGCATTGAGAATGGAGTTTAGCTTCTACCGGCTCCTTTTCAACCTGGAGCCGACGCGTCAGCGAAGATGAAGTTCTCAATCATGGACCTGTGAATGCACGCCTTTTTACCACTATAACGACTACGAACACGACTACGCATACCCCACGACTACGGCCACGACCACGACCACGACCACGTATACGAACACGAATACGAATACGAACACGACTGCGACTGCGACTACGACTGCGACTACGACTACGAACGGTACAACGAATACAACTCAACCAAAGGGAAAGAACAAGAATAGGAGATGAAGAGAAGCAAAACTTGCAAGTGAAGTGCAGGTTGACTGTTGGTTATAAACTCTGTATCGTTCCTGCTTTAGCTTTTGCTTTGGCTTTGGATTCATTCTCGAATGAACAATATTTTTGGAAGCTAAAGTAGTGCCACCTCCTCGTGGTAGCTTCTGGAAACATTGCTATCAAGCAGTGGCTAAGAGCACTACAAATATCATAGTAAAGATAATGAACCTAATAAAATGACTTTTGAGCATATAATTTCTATGGCCTTTGATAAATCTTCTGCTTAGCTTCTTATACGTCTTCTTGGTCGCATGCGATCTCGAATCATTACTAAAAGCAACATTGAATAGTTTATTTGGCGTCATTAGAGCTATCATTGTTGAGCGTTATGTTGCATCCACCTGTGAATCCCGCCTGGTCTGTCAAAGGTGAGGCATTTGTGACGACGTGGACCATCCGTTGGGGGACACCTTTGTGTCAGTTATTGCCTGGTATGTAGTTTGCACGGATAATCCTATTAACTTATTCCATCACCTTATATTAGGCGAATGCCCATCAACAACGGCGACTGCATACACGCGCAAAATGTCATAGAATTTCGATTATGTTATTAAACCTCTCCCTCTCTCTTCCTTTCTCTGCTTGTGTGTGTGGATATCCTTGCAGAGGGCGCTGTCTATGGAAATATTTGGGATGGCAGGTTCAATTGCTCGCTAAAATGGCGACATATAAACCTCAGTGACTGATTCTTGGTTTCGCCATGGCTCTTTCCGCTTCTCCACCGAACCTGAAGGGGGCTACTTCTAGTAGCACTTAGATCAACTTATGCTGACGCCTTACATCAAAATCATTCCACAGTTCATCGTGGTCGGATGATAAGGTCCTTGACCGAGCATGCTTCATCAACCGTCGGGGATACTTTTGGACAGCTAACAGCTGATGATGTAAACAATGAATCTCACCTACTTCGTCGCGGAACCGAAGAGTTCAGCGTTTCTTTGACACTACGGTCAAGGAAGTCGAGTTCTTTCGCGCTGCCAGAGAACTCTTCCCGAACTGGGATGTTGAAGTCGGCCTATTGCCCACCGTGACAAGAAGCAGGTACTTTACGAAATGACGTTCACAGACGAACAGACATGCCAAATTGCTATTGAAAAGGGCATTGACGTCGCTGGCCATCACTACCATGCTATGCGATCATCACCCCCTGCACAACAACTTACGAACTTGGAGCTTTCGCAATTACCAACCGGTTTGGAAACAGGTGACCTTAAGCCCAAGGCCTGTACGGATCTGTGGAGGGTGGCTGGTTCCAAGGCAAGGGTTTTCGCCGTCCTCATGATTCGAAACAATGACGAGTTACATGAAATGCTCACTCATTGTATCGGCCTTGGTGCTCTGCACAGCCGCAACCGTGTCTTCTATGCCACCTTGCAATCCATCGGAGATTATTGCCAATATTGCCACTCACAAGATCACGCGTTATCAAAGATCGTCCAGACGCTGAGTGTTTCAACTGTGGTCGCAAAGGACACATTTCAGTTACATGTGATCAACCTCGGAACAGCTAATCACCGAAGACTGTCCATTCCAGCGATTTCACTACAGCTGCCAAGAAGGAAGATCGAGGCAGCTCCAAACGCAGCAAGTCAACTCGTCAAGTCGAAAGAATCTGAACAGCTTCTAAAAGGAACAAGAAGCTCTCGACGAACCATCAGTTGTAACTGAGAAGGTTCGACTTTTGGTTCATGAACCATTCGAAGAAAAGTCCCATGAATACTAACAACGGCAGTGCAGCCTAGACGATCAGCGAGATAGTTAAGAAAGGCAAATCTGCGGATCACCAAAGAAACTAGCAAGCAGCTCGCACTGCTCAATGGTCGGAAGAAACGATTTATGGCTTGCTCTCGAGATGGTGTGGAGCCGATGGACGAAGACGATGAGGTTACATTGCTTCGAAAAGAAGTCAAGATGCCGATCGAAACCATCCTCAAGGATCTCCAGAAGTCGTTTCCAACGGGAACAGTGGTATCTAGCCACAATCCGCAAAACAAAAATCCTGTTGTGAACGGCAACAATGTTTTCTCAAGCCGGTTTATCCTCTCCTCCCAATTCCACAACGAGGCTAAATGATTTGGAGGGTGAGACGAGAGATCAACCTTACCTGTTACCTAGAGTATGATACAATTCCCAAAATAAGTTGACAGGTTTCTGCAATAACATTACGTAAGATGTTCGGAGGTCCGAACGATTCATTGCTGCATGGGATCTACTGGGGAATGACGGGATTATTCTTAATAGTTCGTGTACTAGCGTGTAAGCGGAATATGTAGTACATCATCCAGTTTCTGTACAACACTTTTCTTTTCAGTTCTTTTATTTCTTACTCTAACTTTTACGGTAATGTCAACCAATCAGCAACCTATCCGCGTCGGTATTATTGGCACTGGTATCTTTGCCTACCGTCATTTACGCGCTTATAATGCTGTCGGTCAAGATAAATTCCAGATTGTCGCGTGTGCCAACCGTTCTCGGGACAAGGCTGAGAAGTTTGCCAAAGAAGTAGGAAAAGGAGGGGGGGGGGTGGAGAGAGACAGTTCACTCACTTTTTCTTTTTCATTGACGTACATGCAAAATAGGCTGGTATTCCTGAATCGGCCATTTACGCTGACCCTAAAGAATTGATCAACGATCCCAACGTAGAGCTCGTAGATGCGCTTTTGCCCGTTCAATACAACCTGGAGGTAACCACGGCAGCATATGCATGCGCTATCATGGGGTTTGTAATAAATATATGCAATTAATAGATCGTAGAAGCAGCTATTGCTGCCAAGAAGCACATCTTATTTGAGAAGCCGATTGGTAAATGAAAAGAAAAGAGTTTACAGAAAGGAGGGATTTCTTTTTTCTTAGTGATGGGATGAAGAAAAGCTTACTCTCTTGAACTTTGTGGGCACATATCATAGCACACAATCTGGATGATGCTCGCAAAATCGTTTCAGCAGCCCAAAAGGCTGAGAGTGTGGTCGCCGTGGCCGAGAACTGGTCATATCATTCGTTGCCTCGTGCTGTGGCCAAGTATGTACAAGCAGGCCATATTGGTGAGGTACGCCGGTAGAATACATTCTCTTTAGTTTGTCCTCGGCATCAGTGAAAGGCTAATTATACAAATCACCTTGCCTATTCAGATTGTCAACTTTTCATATGACTCTGCACGACCTTATAACCCGTCATCGCCCTATCATACAACCGCATGGCGTCAGTCGCCACAGCATCCAGGGTGAGTATAACAAGTGATTAAAAAAAAGTAAGGGGATTGATCTGGATAATTCTAAATCTAAACTCTAAACTCTTCACTATGCACAAATGTAGAGGTTATTTGAGTGACGGAGGAGTTCATGACATGGCTCATTTGCTTCCCATTCTTGGACGATTTGACCAAGTCAGCGCTTTTGCTACTAAACGGCACAGCATCCATGTCACCGAAGACACTTTATCCACCACCATCAAGCTGGTCAATGGTGCTGTCGGTGTGGCCAATTTCACTTTTGTAAGTGAGCTTTTTCTTTGCTGATGCTTATACGATAAAACGGTACATATTGGAAAAAGGCGTTTTTATGTAATATTTCTATTTGTACAAAAGTGCTCGGCTGGATTAAAGTCAATGCGTCTTGAGGTACACGGCACCAAGGGCACTGTTCGCTTGACGAACGACACCACTGTAGAGTTGCTGGATGAAACTGGCCAGTCAACAGACGCAAGTGCGATTCAGGCTTTGGTTGATAAAAGCACAGCAGGTTTCGAAGATGTCGAGGGCGAGTTATACAACTTGCACGATGTTGTACGTAACAAGGCATCTTTGGGTGTATCGGCTGATGAGGCGTTCCATCATTTGGCGTTCATTGTTGCTGCTCTGGAAGCTGCAGAAACTCAAAAGGTGGCCCGAGTTCAAACGGCTGCTTGATTTTGATCATCCATAATAAAAGCGTCATATTCTTCGACATGACTATCATCTTGAGGAGGCGCATGATATCTCCAATGTCGAGAACGGATAAAGCGTGCCGGTATGATGCTGTGTAAAAGATTACGCCCCACTATTTTTCATGATATGTAATCCATAGTTACTAGCGCTGGCCAAAAAGTACACCTATTCAATTTTTATTTGTCGGGCAACTGCCCCAGTTACTACGGCAGAAAGACAAACTAACCACATGTTCCACAACAAAAGCACCAAAAAAGACCAGCCAAGAAGATGGATGCGGTAATAGCAATGAAAATCCACAAGTTTATGACGCTAATCTCCATCAAAAAGCAAGTATGAGTCAGGAACGAAGGTCGAGCAAAAAGAAAGGGTGGCTGAGCTCGGATTTTGCAACACCCCGTATCTCGAATTGATATACCACCAACTTTGGATATTCCGCCTTTCCTGTCATTCGAAATTATGGCTAGTACTGAAGAATTGCAAACCTTGGTCTTGACGACCTTGGACCGCGAGAATGTCATTGTCGACTCCAAGGACCTGAAGACTGTTTCGGGTGGAGACCTTGACCAACTTGCAGTGCTTGGTGTTTTGAACAGCTTAAAGTCAAAGGAGGCAAGTCAATGAAGCAATATAAATATACAATTTTACTTTAAACCGTAACTTGGTCGAAGAATAAGCGCAATTGACTTGTGTATTCGTTTAAATGGTTTCTGGGGCGAATTAGATGGTTGATTATTCTTCAATTGGTCGTGAAGTGTGGACTTTGAGCAAAGAAGGTGAACAAGTTGCCGAGCAAGGAAGCCACGAAGCACGCGTGTTCGAAGCCATTCCTGCTGGTGCTGAGGGTATCCCCATGAGCGAAGTTCAGGTAAAAAGAAAGGACATGAATAAAAGCAAACTACGCATATTTTAGAAGCAAGTAACGAATTTGCATGATTGATTGTAGGCTATCTTGGGCAAAGCAGCAAACATTGGTCAAGGCAAAGCTATCAAGAACGGTTGGATCAGAAAGGAGGGTGACAACCTGGTGCGTGCCAAGGATTCGATTGTGGATCAAACAAAGAGCGACTTGCAGGAAATCAAAAAGACGGCAACGCATAGCAACGCAAAGACCTTGACCGATTTGAAGAAGCGAAAGCTTGTCGAGAAGCAGTACGTAGTCCTTCGATTCAGCCAAAGAAACGTGTATAGATGTGGATGTGAGATATGAACACGAAAAAAAAAGACCTGCACAAGGCTCATGGAATGTTGGATCTATATAGGAAGGTGACGACTTACAAGGTGACCAAAGGTCCCCAATTCTCGCTTGAAATCAAGAAGGAGGCTACGGATATCACTGCTGAAATGTTGCAGAGGTACATGGACATTGATTTTACGAGAATACACGACGGCTTGTGTAGTGAAAGGAGCCTAATCGAGCTTGTGACATGACTTTTTATATAGTGGAGAATGGAAGAATGCCACCTTCAAAAAGTACAACTTTGACGCAGCTGGTGTCGCACCCAGCGGTGGCCATCTTCATCCGCTTATGAAGGTGCGACAAGAGTTCCGTGAAATCTTCTTTGAAATGGGTTTCGAAGAAATGCCCACCAACTGCTTCGCCGAATCGAGTTTCTGGAACTTTGACGCCTTGTTCCAACCTCAACAACATCCTGCCCGTGACGCACACGACACCTTCTTCTTAAAAGATCCCGCATCGACTGACCGTTTCCCCCGTGACTTGATGGAAAAGATCAAGGTTACCCACGAAAACGGCGGCGATACTGGCTCAACGGGTTACAACTACGTGTGGAAGGAGGAAGATGCCGGCAAATTGCTGCTACGTACGCACACCACGGCTGTTTCCTCCAACATGCTCTACAAGTTGGCCGAAAAGACCAAAAAGGAAGGCGTTTTCCGTCCTGCCAAGTACTTCTCGATCGATCGTGTTTTCCGTAACGAGTCTGTCGACGCTACCCATTTGGCAGAATTCCACCAAATCGAAGGTGTCATTGCTGATAAAAACTTGACCTTGGGTGATCTCATTGGTTTCATGGATGTCTTTTTCAAAAAGATGGGTACGATATACGTGATACGACGTGGCAGGGACATGATGGGGAGTTTTGAGGGGCTGCGCTAATGTAGTTCGATGCTGATAGGTATGGAAAAGATCCGTTTCAAGCCTACATACAACCCCTACACCGAGCCTAGTATGGAGATTTTCTCTTACCACGATGGTTTGAAGAAGTGGGTCGAGATCGGTAACTCGGGCATGTTCCGACCAGAAATGTTGTTGCCTCTGGGTCTTCCTCCAGATGTGCGTGTGATTGCCTGGGGTCTTGGTTTGGAGCGACCTACGATGATCAAGTACAACATCTCAAACATCCGTGACCTCCTTGGTCACAAAGTCAAGATCGATATGATCAAGGAATACCCCATTTGCCGTCTGGATAAGAAGATGGGTAAGGAGCTGGTGGGCGTCAGCGAACAATAGATTTTCGTCAAGAAAAACAAAACACATAAAGCGAGACATATATAATATATTATAAAAATGAAGATTATACAACTCGTATATGTATATATAAACATAAAAAAATCTATCAAAGCTGTAATGTTCGTGCAAACTCTGTCACTACTTGATCCAACTGCCAGATCGTCCAGCGATCGCTGTCTCGTGTGATCTCGATGCCTTTACCGAGTACCTGGGTGAAGGGCTTATATTTTTTGTCCGCCCGCATTAGTTCGATCCGCTTGACCCAATCTGCTGATGCTGGTGCAGGACTGAGCACGCCGCGTGCTATTAGTCGTGAAGCAAGAAATCCATCCAACAATGTTACAAACACATGCCATTCGTTGCCCAGATCGGGTTTGGGAGAATGCTGGTGCGCGTTGACCCATCGACTTGCCGTCCGTGATAGTGATACAATGCTTGCTATTAACCTTGCTTCTTGTTGTCGCGAGCGACAGAACAGGATGGCAAAGAACTTGACTAGATGAACAGCGGACTTGCGGTCGACCTTGGCAATAGAAATAATGGCCGCCACCTCTTCCGCTAGATTGGCTAGCTTGACCGAGTCTTGGCGTGCACATTCTTGCTGTAGTTTGGCTTCTCCATAGACACGCATTGTCAGGAAGGCAGAGTGATCCAAACAGTACTGTAAAAAAAGACTATAGTCGGGATTGGATCGCGAAAGTAGCTCGCCTAACCGGCACCAGTTTGGAGACGATGCACTGATAATAACGTTTTGTTCCAGTGTGTTCTCCATCAACTCAATGATAGCCGGGGTTGCAGCAGGACGTGCAAGCGCGCCGAAAACAGCAGAAAGCATGCAAGCGTTTCCTCCGGGGGGTATCTCGTACACAATAGGTAACATATTGGAGAATAGCGTAACCGTTTCTTCGAATTCCGGGCCTTCAGTTTCTCGTGGTGCGTGTTCGTTGACAACTTGATACATGTGTTGAGTCCATGCTCGCTGCATGTCGGTATCATCAGGCAGAAGCTTGAGTATAAAGTCTGAGAAAAGTCGACGTCGTTTCATCGAAACTTGGGTCTCGTTGAAGCATGTTAGCCGGCGCACCCAGTCGATAAGGATGGACAGAAACGAGTCATTTGATGCGGCCGATGGTAATGGTAACGGGGTATCCCAGTGGCGGCGTAGCGAATTGACAATACTGCTTACTTGTTCCACAGAGAGACTGGTATGATTGTGGCAAAAAGTGTTCCACAGCTGATCGAGAGCACGCTTACGTTCCTTTTTGTCCTCAGGCCACACACTTTCTCCGTCTTGAACAAACATAAACGCAACTTGTACATACTCGCAGCGTTGTTGTGGATCGATACTTGGTTGCGGGTGTGCTATTATCCACGATAAAAGAACTTTCCATATAAACCTTACGTAGATTGGTCGCCGATGCTGGTGTAAATCTTGTTGTCGCAAAGAAGACCAGGTTTGATGTATCCGTCGTAGATGGCCTGGTGATAGATCCAAACAGCCCCAGTTCAAACCCGCTATGGTATTCCCAAAATGCTCCATCCATGCGTCTTCCTCAGATCCAGGTAGCTGCAGTAACCTTTCGTGATAGTAACCAAATATCCAGTTTAACAACCTAGCGCGTCCGGGCGGGTCGAAATAGCCGAGAGCGTTTCGGAGGACTTGAGAATATTGTTGCGCAAACACGTTTGTATACTGATTTTGCTGGGAACGGTCATCAGCGTTTCGCCACCACGCGTGGAAACATAGACCCAAATGACGCCATATCAACGCGGGCCCATCCTTCTGTGTTTCTGCGAGCCGTGTACCATCAAAGATGTTTTGCAACAGTCGACAGAGAGCAGGAACAGCATTCGCATATGTCGCAAAGAGATGATTGGCTTTGCTGAAAGTGTTGCCAAGCAGCGTCACCATCACAACCAGGGCATCGCCATTGATCTTTTCGGATCCTTTAGTTTTTGCTGCAAACGCGTCAACTACAGCAGGACGGCCCTGTGCTGAGCTGTATTGGGCTGTATCGGCCAGAAGCTTTAACACATATTCGAGCACCTTGGCTTGTTCTGGCTTCTTGCTCTTGGCGCCTCCTGAGTCCATCAGCGATAGCACAAGGTTGCAGTATTGTGTATACAGCGTTTCATCACTCTTGATGATGGCTGTTTTGAGATGAGTAAATAGCAGGTTGTATACGGTAGTGCGCGCCGAGTCGCTGGCATAGGAGCTCTTGGCCCAAAGCGCCATATCAAAAAGCGGTAAAAGGTGCAGCTGCGAATCAGAACTGTATCGAAGAACGCGTTCAATTGTTGATGGCAGGTGCTTGTTGTCACTGTGCGGCTTAAGCATTGGATAGAGCAGCTGGATCCGCTGTTCACCATTGTCGCCCGTATCCTCAGCTATCAGATTGAAAAATTTGTCGACGTATTGCGCATCATCTGCTATTGCCTTGCCCAATACCTGGCTCATGTGGAGAACTACAATGCGCGAGGGTGGAAAGTTTTTGGTGTCGTAGGATAGGTGCTTCAAGACGTACTGTAAACATAGCCACCCCAGCTGAACCAATGCTGTATTCTGCCTCTTCCCTTGGCTAGCTTGATCTACAATCGCATCAAATTTGCGGAAGGCAAGCAGGGCCTGGATACAGATCCTTGCATCTACTGAGCGGAATACAAAACGCGCAGCCTCTTTGCGGTTGTCCTCCAGCTTGCTTGCAACAGCATCGTCCTTTTGAGTATAGCTGGCGATTATGTCCCACTCGGCCGGTTTCTTACAGCGCTTGGAGCACGGTGCCTCCACATGTTTGCTGCCGGACTTGTTCACATAGAGGGTAGCCAGCTTTTCAATATATGCCACATCAAGCTTTCGTTGCTGCTCCAAGTGTTCATAGAATCGCTTGGCATGCTGGGAGAGCGTCTCAACGGTCGAACCCATCAACAGCTCGGGCGATGAAGACAGTAGCTCGGTGCTTGATAAAATCTGTGCTGGTTTCATTAGCTGGAGATCAGGCGCGAGCAGCGTTTGGGGTTTGTGCACTGTATACTGCTTGATTGATTGCTCGGATGCGGCATACTCCTTGGCGATGGGGCGGAACTTGTCTGAACCAATCCAGGGAAACTCGCTAAACATATCGCTTAACTGGTCGTATTGTACCAGATCGAGCCAAAGCAGCTGGATTTCTTGCCATGGCTTGGACTTTTCGTCTGTATTGCTTGGACTTCTACAGGACAACAGTAGCTCTGGGCAGTAATGTTTGGGCAGGCCAGCAATATCAAAGGTCGGGTCCAAGAGGTCGCTTTTATCGAGCCAGAGCCACATTGCATAATACACACGGCGCAGTTCTTCGTGATAGACTGATTGACACTTGTCTTCATCGCCACTTGTTATCGATGCCTTGCTGCTTGAAACTTTGCTATCCGCTTGTTGCTGCCCATGGTAGGTTTGTAGATAGGCAACCCTGTCGCGCAGTTTTTCGATCATGTCTTGTTTCTTTGTGAAGAAAAGACGTCCGTAAAAGGTGCGTCGACCGTCTTTTTCAATGTTCGCATAGTAGAGGCTGAAGAACATTTGCAGAAACAGTGGCATCATTGGATGGTCTGCTGGGCAAATAAGCACGTGTTGCAGCCAGCGATAAATTGAAAAGAAATCGACGGGTTTCTCAACATGGACTTCTTGCGACTTTAGTACAGTTGCAATGTCCATATCGGCCAAATCGCTCGTCGTGTTCGCACAGGCCTCGGCGACGATCGCTCGATCACTTTCTTCTTCAACCGTCTCCAACGTTAGAACATCGTATGCAAACCATAGCGAATTTTGCTCCACACCAGGTGTCCGAAACAGGTTGTTTGCTGTGACCGATGCCAGAGACCATTCGCCGGCCAATAAGCTGGTGTATGCAGCGTCGGGAAGCATGTTCTTGATCAGTCGAAGCGGGTTACGCTGATGGTTATGCTGTTGTTGACCAGCTGCTGGACCGAGTTTGGGAGATGCTTGCTGATTTCGATTATTCTGAAGCTTTTTCTGTTCTTCTCCGAGCATAGAGCGGACCAGGCCGTGGCGCCGTAGGCAGAACGCAAACTTACAGATACAATCCATGACAGATACGTAGTGATCACTCCACATCCAGTCCTTCTTTCTGAACACAGTCTTAGTCCATGAGTGCAAAACCAGATCGCGATAAGAGAATCCGCCACTTTCTCCTGCCACCTGGTCAACTGAGTCGATAAACATTCCGTGCCAGATATGCGATCCAATTACCATAGCAACGCCATCCATATCCATCGTAAACAGAGTCTTACTGCCAGGCATCCACCCGGAAACAGCGTGCGCCAGCATCGGATCAGCCTTGAAATCCACCATCTGCCGGAGAAAGTTGAGCACATTTTCGTCGTTGAAGAAGTCGTCACCGTGCATATAAACAAATGTTGGGATGATATCCGCCAAGATCTGCACCACCGCTTCCGGTCGCCCGCGACGTAGAATCAACAGGAGCTTATCCCAGCCATTTGCACTTTCAAATCGGAGAAAATGGCGGCTTGTAGGAGACAACAAGAACGAAATGTACACCAGAAGCGCTCCATGTGAGGCTGTAGGATCTGGATGGCCGTGTAGCATATCCTTGAGAAAGGCTCCAGTTATCGAGTTTTCGATTTCGGGCGCGCGTTCGGATAGTGCACAGTCGTAGAGCTTTAGTTGGAGCGCAATTTTCCATGACCACTCAGTGACGACATTCTGTGCTTCTGTCACCTTCGTTCCTGGTGATGCCACACGTGCTGCAGCCGAGGAAAGAAGCTGTTGTGTTTTTGTTGGCAAATAGGCCGAAACAGATGCCCCGACAGCCCGGATAAGATGTGCGTTTTTGTCAGCGTCGGGTAACGGGTTGTGTAACTGCAAAACATCCAGCAGCATAAACGCTAGCTCTTCATGGACTCCGTATGGCAAGAATGGCAGTTTCCGTGAATGCCAAGGTTGCGAGATGGATACTGCCGGGTCTTCTTTTTCGTCGTACCCGTAATTCAAATGTTCAATCACGTACCGCGCGAACCCGGTTTTGGCACTTCCAGGTACAGTGGCCCCTTCAGCAAGCAGCTCGTGTAAGAGAATCAGATCACTCTGGAGCACTTTCCATCGAGACAAGGGTAGCGAGCGAAACAAGTACACAGCCATTCCCTCCATAGTGTCAAAGTTTGACACGGTCCAACGTAGCAGCAGCGATATTGTAAACGGCTGTGAAGTACAAATTGAGCCAAAGCTGTCCCTGACGTCTTTGTAGTATATTTCGCGAAGGTTGTCGTCCACAAAAGCGGTGGTGAATAGGGTATTTGCAACAACTGCGATCAGACATGATGCGATCTCTCGATTTTCTGTGTCCTCGGCGTCCGGGTCTGCAGAAGGGATGGGTATACTTGTGATGACATTTGACAGGCAGCCTAGCAAGAAAACACCTTGGATCTGACTTTGCTCCAGAAAAGCAAGGATCTTTGTAATATCCGGAAGGTTATCCAGCGTGTGCTGCAGATCTTGTGGCTCGATGTAGCTGTCAATATCAAGCAACGACAGTGCGATTTTCCATAGAGCGCGGATGGATACTGCACGGAACGGTAATGCCGGAAGAAAGTGCCACACCTTGGCTTCCTGGATTTGCAAATACCCATCAATCACCTTGATTAAGAAGTCGTCGAGATACTGCTTCTCTTGCTCTTTGCGCTCATCGTTTGCAGACATCCGATCTGCCAGCACCTGTGCGATCTGGCATATCACTTGGGCCAGTCGCTTCATCGCGTTAGTGTATTGCTGATCCGCAAAAGTTTTGATGCCGATGTTGAGAACCGCAACCAACTGATCCGCAAAAATAAAAAGTGATTGATTGCTGTCACGTTGTCCGAGTACTGCGGCTGATAGAGTGTCGAAATCGTGGACAATAGCAAGCTGATCCAGGGCAACCAGATAATCGTCTTCGTTCCATTGCGGTTTCAAGTGTTTGTGGAGAGAGCTGTCAAATAGGATGCAGAGCATGACAATGTACTCGTTCATAAAGACAGACCAGTGATGCTCGTCTGGTCGATATGTGTACTGAATCAGCGGCGCGGCCCACTGTGTCGTTCCAGGAGATCCCAACAAATGCAGCAACAACACTATACGACCATGCAATGGGGCGAGTCGAAGGTATGCCGCAGAAACATGCAGTATCCATGTCCGCACGTCCTTGACAAATGCTGACACTTCTTCAGTCTCTATATCCTCTGCTGTTCCTTTCGTATGTTGCAATGTTGTTTCATGACTGTAGCGTCGCTCTGCCGCAAAGAGGGAATAGAGGAGTCGTCGTATAACCACCAAATCCTGTTGTTGCTGCTGTTCGGGTTGGATTTGCCCTGCATTCATTCGCAGCTGAGGTCGGCTCTGCAGGGACCATAAAGTGTCATCAATGAGTGCCTGCGTGGTGATCCGTGCCATCTTTGCTTCAAACAGGTACCGGTACAATGCGGGGTTGATATCGCCTCGATGTTTATCCAGGATCTGCTTTAATCGGGCGCTCTCTGAGCTCTGAAACAGCGCTTGCTGACCTTTGTATTCATGCGTTACCTCGTTGCCGTCGCCGCATTTGCCGTGAAGCGTCGTGCACACAGGGTTGAATGCCCAAGGATTTTCGTCATGGATCGCGTGCATCTGAAGCAAAATCTCGTGTACCTTGTTCAGGTGAGCCTGGTATTGGGACAGCACATGAGTAAGGTTGACATCGCTTTCGGCATCAGCAAAGTTGGCAAGTACATTGCGCGATTTGGATAAAGCGTCCATGTTTTGTTCTTCGGTATTAATGTCGCTGTTGCCGTCAATGTCGTCATTTTCATCCTTGATTGCGGAGGAGGACAGGGAGGAGGATGTACTTCTGGCATATTTTGAGGCGAAGAAGCGCACTTGAGGGAAAACTTAGAGTTATGGTTTCTTTTTCTTTTTGCGATCGTCTTTTTTTTAGTAGGTTGGTGGGGTAAAGGGTACCTCGTTTAGATTGTAAAAAAGAACGTCTGTTGGCTGCAGCAGTTGTATAAATGAGTAAACGCAACTGGAACGGACAAGTGGGAAACTTGCAAACATACCTTGCATATCATCCGGGAAGGGGGCAAGCTTGTCGGGAACGAGGAACGAGAGAAGCAACACAAAGAGAGAGAGAGAGAGAGAGGAAGAGAGAAAGCAAGGCAGGTTATGGTCCTCCTGCGCTCAATTGTTCGTCACGGGGTTTGGTTTAATAATGGCTTTTGCAGTTCTGAAGAGGGTTCAAGTGAAAAGGAAAAAAGTCCCGCCAATAACTTTTAGGGGTGCTGGGTCGTACACAAAAAAGAAGTGGGTTAAAAAAAACAATAACGGCTGAGCCTGCCAGCACATCTTTTTCTTGTTCCTTTCTCTCTCTCTCTTTCTCTTTCCGGCCTTCTGTTACGGAAAATACCCAACTCCTCTTCCTCCCCTTCCTCCACCCAATACCCCACCCCATACCCGCCGTTTACTGCCTTGTTCACGTGGAACCATGGCTGCTTATATGGCCTATTCGCTATGTCTAGCCGTTCCCGAAGGCCAGACAAGCGTAAGCGATCCGACATCGATTGCTTCACTACGAGATCGCTTCATGTCGCGCCATTCGCACCTATACGATGCCCAATTCACTAGCACAGGCCTTGCCCATATACCCAGTAAGCTATTTTTGAATGTAGTCGTCAGTGGACCACCCACGGCGGTGCTGGCTGCACGAGGCGAGCTGTTGCGACAGAGTCCAGTTGAGGTAAGTCTCTTTCTCTCTCCCTCTGTGTGCTTCCGTTATTGCGGCTTTGTTTCTAAATGAAACGCTTCGTCCTCGGAACAATAATGACAATTTAGAACTAAACTGAAAGCAACCCTTGTAGTCCAAGCTGACGATCACGTCGTTTAATCCTGAATGTATCCATGGCAAGCGGCGGCAGAGGCTCGTGCAGGGCCTGGGCGAGATAGCCAGCGAAACAAAGTGCAAAATCGTCATTAGTAATGCGTCGGAACCTGATATTCATCTCTACGGAGCGTTTGACTCCACCGAAACCGCACGCGTACGCTCCCTCGTGTTGCTAGATCAAATGGTAAACAAAGACCTGTTTTTTCTTAAAAAAAAAAGAGTCGGCTTTTTTGGGGGGGATAGAAATGTCGTGTAACCACCGTCCTTTCTTTCGTTGCCCTTTTCCATTCGGGACATATTCCACCATGGGGGCCCCCTTATTCTAGATGGGCTTGTGCACGGACACGCTGGACATACCCTACTACCTCCACAACCTCATCGCCGGACGCAAGCACAACTACCTCCAGTCGATCATGGAGGAGACCGCAACCAACATCTATCTTCAGTCCGCGTTTACAAAGATCGGGTGCACTCAGCACATGGCCACACCCGTGGGCGAGCGATCCGGTACGATCCACCTGACTGGCGAGCTGAATGGGATTGCCCGCGCAAAGGAAATGATCAACAAGCTCCTGATACGCAAGGTAAAGTAATAATAGCACATACTCTTTGCTCGCAACCGGTGTGCCCTCTTTGTGCTAAATCGCCTTTGTTTTTCATGTTTACCAAAAGAGCAAATCCATGTATCACAAGCAATCGACAATGCATCCTCGGAAATTGGACTGGATTCTTTTACATCGGCAGGAGCACGTATGCAAAATCTCGAGAGACAATGGTAATGTCACCTCCACAGCAACGTAGCGTCAAATAAAAGACAGGAGAGAGGGTGAGAAAGAGGAGGAGAGGGGGGGGGCACCCCATGAAAATTTAATAATAACCTTCTGAATGCCTCACGCAGGCTCATTTATTGCTTTTCCTGCATTGGGCTCTGGCAGCAACACTGTGACGGTATACGCTGAAAATAGAATCAACGCTGAACGGACCCTGCGATCCCTTAACCATCTGGTACGACTCTCTTCTTCCTCTTTTGAAACATAGCAACTGCAACTGCAACTGCAGCAGCAACAGCAACAACAACAACTCATTGGTTACTGCTGGTATTGCTACTAGGCTTACAAAATATACGAAGTGTCGTTCAATGCAAAGTCCAAAGGCGAAGGCGCTCCAAATGCTGAAGACTATGTCCAATTATCCACTTCCCCCGAAGCTTTAGCGCAGCTTGTCGGTAAAATTTCGCAAACATCAGGTGCTGAGCTGAGTTACCGAAACGATACTGGTCGATTCGAAGCATTCGGGACCGAACAAGCGGTCCAAAGCGCATACCGCATTCTAGCGACTATCCCTGTTCTCAAGGTAATATCCATCCGTCCTAACACACACATCACATGCGTTTATTAACAGGGAGGGCCTGAAAATCACACCACATCGAAATATTAGCTGCATCATAGCTTAAGCGTGTTCGCAGTAGAGCTTGCAGCCGACCAACGGGAGTTTCTAAGCGGCAAAAAGAACGGCAAAGTCAACAAGATCATGAAAACCTGCGGTGTACGCATCAAGTTCCTGGCCTTTAACGAGTACAATTTTGTGATAACTATCGAAAGTGAAGACACTGACAAGGCATTAGAAGGGCTTGCAATGCTACAGGACGAGCTTCCGGCAGAGACATCGTTCTTCGTACCCGAAATATACCATCGTCGCATCATCGGGGTCGCAGGCAAGAACATACAGCGTGTGATGAAGCGGTTTGGCGTCTATGTCAAGTTCTCGGGTGCGGAAGAATTCACGTCCCTGGGCGGCTATTTTGAAAACGAACACAACGTGGTAGCACGAACGCCCACCAAAAACCGGGCGAATCTCGATAATTTAAAGGCGGCAGTGATGGAGTTTGTAACGTTTCAAAAGGACCGCGACTTCATCACAAACACTATTCAAATACCCTCGCATCTGCATCGCGACATTTCAACACACCATGGGTCAGAAATTCGAGAGACCGGTCGTTTACATAATACACGTGTTTGGTGGCCCGAGCGCGTGGGTACCGACGAGGTGCTGGTGGTCGGACCCGCATCGCATATTGCCACGACGCTGCAGCTCATCAACTCAATCATTACGCGCGAAGCATACATTGTAATTCCATCGACGGATGCCTCACGAGACTTACTAGCAAGCAGAGTCGGCGTTGTTAAGAGGCTTGCGGATAAAATACACCGGGAACTGGAAGTGCATGTGCTTATACCCAATACGAACGACGATGAAGATGTTGCCATGTCAAACAACGTCTACTGGATGCACAACCACAGCAGCATGCACGTCGTTCGTCTTCGATACCAGCAATCGCACGAGCAACATCTCGCAACTGCCAAGGAAATGCTTCTAGCCTTTTTCAAAGAGCACGGAGTCCCGGTCAAAGCGAATTTCTGGAAGCCTGAAGATCTTTCGCCCGGTCTCACCTCACCCGCGTCCGGTGATTCGTGCTTGAACATTGACCAGGAGGCACTCGCATCAATACCGTCGCCAACACCTGTTACAGTCGATGACATGAGCAAGCAACGCGACTACAGCATGTTTGATGCACCACCAACTTCTTTCTCGGCCTTTGACGGTGCCTCTTGGTCAGTTTTCCCAGAAGGGAAGAGGAGTAACGCGGGTGAGCCACCACTGTCGCTCAAAGATGATCCGCTTCGAGCGATTTTTGAAAAAATGCCAAGCTCACCACTGCACGGCACCAGAGAAAATGGGAATGTGCATCCGCTTGACAGGTCGATCTCTGAGAACCCCGCCCGACGACAATCGTCTGCAGCGGTGATTTCTGCATCCATGCCAGGCAAGAACATTTGGGCTTCGCCAAGACTGCAGGCCAGTATTGTAAGTTGTTTGACTCGTATACCACACCGTCGCAACTCTTCCTTTATGATTTGTCATACTAACAAGGGCACACATTCAATCAGTCCTATTCCCCACGGAGCCATCAAGGTCCTAAATATACCTCCTTGAGCGGCGGTATCACTACTAGTACTACTACTACCTCCACCTCCACCTCCACCACACGTGACACCTATGGGGCAGATACCAGACGCTTTATGGCGCCACCCAGACCATATACCTCATTCTCAGCGACGACTCTGTCAGGACAGAATCAGCGCTCAGGCTACCATCAATCTATGCCTGACATTCTTTTTGGAAGAGAGCTCTTTACAAATCCGTATTTGGCTAATCTCCCTACACCTCCACACTCTACGGGTGACCACATGTTTAACAGCAGCAACAGCAACAGCAACAACAATGGTGGCGGTGGCCCGCCTGCTTCCTCCAGCTGGTCCCATCACCAACTACCCACCCCACCACCATCTTCTACCCTGCCTTACGGTCCCAATAGCCATCTGCATTATCGAAAGATCGAGAAAACTGCCAATACTGGTAAATTTCCCATTCAGGATCGGTCCACGACCACCACCGTTTGCATGATCTGACCCAATCGCCCTACGTTTGTCTTGTTCTTCTTCCTCCTCCTCTATAGATACCAAAAAACCTGCTATTCCCAATCCTTCCGAAAGTTCTCCATTCCCTTGCACAACAGAAACATTGAACTCATCCCAACGCCATCAGCATGGCGAGCGCTCTCCTGGCTTCAACATTTAATAATAACAATAATATTAATAATAATAATCATTTCTTATTTCCCTCCTTCACATTTTGTTATTTACTAGTGCATTACGTTTTTTTGTTTCTAATAAAAGAAAGGCTATTGTTGAAAATCTGCAAGGAAAAACTATCTGTACCCTGCCTTGTCTTTGTTCGCTTTCTTTGTCCTATTCTAGTTGCTGTGCTACTACGCCTGCTATGATACACCATTGCACCCTTATGCTCTCTGGATGACGTATCATGTAGCTCTGCTAACACGGGCTGCAAGTGTGGGCTTAGCACCTTGCAGGAATGCGTGATTAACTCGGTTATGTAGCCTCAGCGTGGTTGTGACATAATAAGCATGACAACAATAAGGTTTGAAGCTATGAACGCTTGAAATGTGACACTTCAGAAAAGGAGATCAACTTATGCAGATCATTGATGGGTTTGGGGCTGTAACGATAAATGTCTGTTCCCTGCATTGTATGTGTACATTACATGCAAAGGCAAGACATCGTGATAGGGATTGCCTGAAACCTTAATTCTATCTTCTTTTTCAAACCGTTCATCATCTATATCATATAGAAAGTGGCTGCTCCTGTAGAAAAAGAATGTAAAAAGAATGACAATTTTTCCTAGTAGTGTGGCAGCTGTACAAATATTGTACTACTAGGTACTAATACTACTACTATTACTCGTTTATATAGATAGGAATTAGAATGGTATAAAAAGAGAACGCTTTTCATGCAGTTACTAGATAAAAGGGCTAATGTTTATAGGAGCCCAGCTCGATGGGTGAGTATGGTGAATCTGAATCACGGGGTTTTTTTTGCATATAAGAGGGCGGGTTTAAGGAATTTGGACCTTGCCACTGACGCTCCTGAACAGTCCATTGCTTGCTGACTGAATCACTTTTTAAGGAGCCCATCCCTGTGTCGCTATCCTCATAGAACGTGTTGTTGGTTGTCGCTCCCAGAGTCGAGCCATTGTTCGTTCGTTCAAGGGTGCAGCTGTTTTCTTCATCATTGCTGTTTCCAGTGGATTTGGATCTGAGAGCAGCGTTGGAAGTGATTTTTGGACTAGACATATCGATAGATGGAATGAAAAGCTCGATAAATAATAATATTACAGTAAGATGGGGATATTCCTTCATGTATATACATACCTCATCACAACCACTAACTGAGCAAAAATAATGGTGACTCCTGCTAGGTTCCACCATGCTGCACCCATAAACAGACTTCCGATCGTATTGTTGATGATTTCTTCGCGTAATGCAAAGTAGAACAAGCAGATCACCGCAAAGCCCCAGACAGCGATAACAAATGCTGCGACGATGAGCTGGATCTTGAGAATACCAGTCTGGACGGCGGCAAAGTGTCCACGCCGTCTAAAGTTATTGTGATGCCCCTTCAAGATTCGAACGAGGCGAACACCTGCATAGAGCACTGCTGCACCCAAGCCACCACATTCAAGAGTCCAGCATGCGTAGTGCACTCGTGCAAGTGCTCTTGCGGTTTGAACGGAGGTCTCAGCCAAAATACCTGCAGAAACCGAGAACCAAGTGTTTACAAAGAAGGGCGAGAACAGGAATATGCCGCCCACAATATCGACAATTAACGGAGACGGAAGCCAGCCAGATACGTTGCGACTCTATAATCATTTTGAAAAAAACACAGCAAAAATAAAACGCATCAATTAGAGAATGTTTGAATGCAAATAGAAGGAACAATAGAAAGAAGATTGGTTTAAAGCGTACTTGAGAGATCGTCTGTGCAATGCCGATCAAATAAAGGGTGACACCGCCGTAAGCAAACTCAAACCCTAACTCAAAGAAAACTAAAATATGAAAGAAATCAGTAAAGTTGAGATCGGGAGGGGAACGATGATCTATAAGGGAAAGGTTGGTCGATGATTTACATGATCGGAAGGCATAATTGCGGGCTATGTCGAGCATAAGAAATACGCTTTGCAATAAGTGAACTATGAATCAAGCAAACGTTAGATAGAGTGCACAGAGCCAATTAATTTCTGTTGTCCCGACATCACGGAATATTAAAAATCAATTTATTACTTACGAATGCTATGGATTACGAAGAACAATAGCATGCTATCCACAGGTTTGGGCTTGAGAAATGCTCCATTCATGGATCCGTGGTTCCAGATAGTATGACCTTGTATGCATAGTCGGTATATAAGCAGCACAAAACCTATTATGTGTCATTTCGTTGAGAATGAAGCGACATGAAGGCCGCGACAAAATGACAAAAGAAAGTTTGATTATATTGGAGGGAATTACAAACAAGACGAGGTAGAATAAGAGCGAGACACTAAAAGTGCATACCAATAAGACCGCCAAGACCGGCAATTGCAATGTTGATTATACTAATGTAATGAAGACCGACATGTTCTTCACAGTTTTGTATTTCGAGCCGCCAGTCGCAATGACAGACACCGTTCGAGCATTGCCGTGCTAATGAGTCCATAACGAATAGCAGAAAGAGCAAGTAAAGATAGGAGTGGATATGTGTCGAGATAGAACATCCTTTTCGGATCAATCAAAGCTTGGGTGACACCAAATGCCTTTGTGCTGCTTACAAGCACGTTCGCTCTATGCTCCTAACTCAGCAGTGGGAACAAATGAATTGACACAGAAATAGCTGTCACTCCCACTTCTTTACAGTAAAACATTTATACGTTAATATGCACCCCAAAATTCTTACCGGTTTGTGCATAGCTAAAAGTACGGTTGTTTAATACCGGCACCTATTACACTAAAAGATACATATTCGCAAGTCATGATTAGGTCACACAAGAATAGAACTGTCACGCATTATCATACACGGACGGCGGCTCGGTTCACATGTATGGTCTGGGCGCACAAACGGTGCACAAAATGATTACAGCGCCTTGGTGACTCTGCTAAAATAAATTATTAGCGCACTGATGGTATGCAATGAGCAACGGTTGAAGAATTTACCCCAGAATTGGTCCCTCAATGATTTAAGGAGGTCGTTACAAACTATCGCCGCCGCCGTCGCCCATCCGTAAAGGGCCTGGAAGCCAAATGGGGTTATCTAGAAAAAGTGCATTGGGAGAAAGGGGATCGTCGTATGACATAAGAAAGAGGAAGTATCTCGTCGGTAGTAAGACTTTACCTCCTAACCGGAAAAAAACACCGTTCCTGATCCTCAGTCAAATATTAGTGCCAGACGCGGCATAGCACGGAGAAGAACCCTGCTTTGCTCATACAGTAATCTGTATGCTCTTCCTTCCTTTCCTCCTTAATTGCTTTTTCGGCGTTTAAGCTGAAATTAGGCGCATTGAAGTAACTTGGACAAATTATAGATAGTGTAAGAATTTCCCTTTATGTCAAGCTAGCTCTACTAATGATTCTACCGACAACACTGGGGTTGCAAATACAAGTAAGCAATAAGCTTTTCTTTTGCCTTTAAAATCAAAGGACAGATTATGTTTCTACATGGTTCAGTAGCATGAACGCATGCTTATTTTTTCAAAGTCTATACATTTTCGACGTTCTAATTTACTAAAGACCCGATCTCATTTTTTTTAGAGACGAAGATTATTTGATTAATAGAAGATCCAAGAAGCAAGCTGCAACCACGCGCATCATTGTGTGCAACATTAAAGTGGAGTTTAATACATGTAACATGAACTCGATAAGAAATTAATGGCAACCCGAGCTTGCAAACCCGTCAACTACATGGCAAGTGTCACCAGTAGCGGGAATTGAGCAAAGAGAGCAATCAATACTTACTGTCTCGGCTCTAAATCGACTAAAAAAAGGCATCAGTGTAACTACCTTTGAGCGAAACTATGGGTGAAAACAGCTGTGTATATTACTACCACGTATTACACGATGATTTACAACAGCCTCATTAATATCCTTTCAATAACAGAAACATAGTACGCTAAAAAGATAATTTTACAAGTGCTAAAAACGCTAAGAGAGCTTACCACCTTGGAACTTGAGGAACATCGTTGCAACATGAGGCAAAAAAAAGCGGTGTAGTGGGAATGCTCGGGTAGCATAAAAATAGTGATGGGGAAACGCTCAATAGCCTAAATACTGTATAGTACCACAATGACAGAGATGTTGCTTTTAAATACTGTAATCGGGCAAGTTCATTATCTACTATATAGAGGCTAGTGGAGAAGTAATGTAAAATTCTGTTACTCGAGTTGTCAGGTCGAAATGACTTAAGCTAAATATATGTACAATGCATTGATAAAACAACATTAGAGAGCAAAAAGTTACAGAAAATAAGGGTTTTACATTAAGAGCGTAATGCTTATCTATCTATAATGTGGCAAAGCTTCCACTTGATCCTGCTCGTACGATGTTAGCTCCAGCTGTGAGGATGCGTTTGACCCACGTCGACTTGGTGTACTGGCGCTCAGAAAATTATTCCATGGCTTTTTGCTTTTGTTCAATTGTCCTTGCTGTGAATTCCACTGTTCCTCTCTGCCATTTGCTTCAATAGCATACAATATTGCCTCGGTATCGTCCTGAGAAGTAGCAGTCATGGCACCGATAGTTGAGTCACCATATCCGCGTGGATCAGGATGCGTGCTTGTTGTGTAATTGCTGGTGCCATTCGTTAAGTTATTTGATCTTAGTGCAGGATTATTCCTCATGTTAGGACTACGTAATGATACACAAGCGAACAAAAATAGTATAAGTATTCATGTTCACATGTGCAGGGACGTAGAAATAAGTCTACGGCCATCTTTTGATGTAGCTCAAACTTGCCTAACAAGTACTGATATCAATGCTATCAGTGTAGTGAAACTTCCGAGAATTGACCAAGTTGCACCAATGAAGATGCTACCTACAATGTTTGCCATAATTTGGTCTCGAAGTGCACAGTACAGCAATAAGATTGCAGCAAAAGTCCATAGACAAATGATGAACGAAGCAGCCATCAATTGGATTCTGTAGATCCCGGAAATTACAGTCGCAAAACTGCCCCCTTGTCGAAACTTTCGGTGATGGCTTTCTAATACACGAACAAGTCGAATACTTGCATAAAGAACAGCGCCACCAATGGACGCGACCCAAACAAACCACAGCATGTAGGATACACGAATTAGAGTCTCGGCTGTACCGATAAGGTTGTTTTCAGCTGCAGCACCAGCACCAATAGCAAAAGATACGCCACAAATTAACGGACCAAACAGAGCAATAAAGCCTGTGATGTCGACAATAAGCGGTGATGGCAGCCATCCAGCGGCTGAACTACTCTGTTGTAGTCCTTAATGTTACTTCTCAATTGATATGATGGTTTTATATACAACAAAATCATGCACGTACCTGGGATATAGTTTGTGCAATACCAACCAGATATACCGTAATACCTCCGAGCCCAAACGACCATGGTATCTCCCAAAATACTATAATATCAGATCAGTTTCGTAGTTCAGCCCCCACATCCATCCCCACACTCAAAGCACACATGTCAGAAAACTTTACAGGACCGGGCGATCCAATTATCGGGAACCGCATCTGTCATCAAAATTGCACTTGAAATGACTCGAACTGGCCGCAAATTTATGAGTTACTTGTTTTTCTTCTCCCCGTTTCCCAACCCCCTTCTCTTTTTTTTTGTTCAACTATCTTCTTACGGGCATTAAACGCTATGAAAAGGACAAGCATGCTATCCACCGGTCGTGGCCGTAAGCATCCCTGCGTAACCGCAGGAGAATTCCAAAGGCTATGCCCTTTAACAAGCACTCGATGAACAAACATAGCGGCCCCTAGTTTTAATGGTCAGTGGGGGTTTGCCTTTTTCTTGGTACTCCTAAGCAGCATGGCAAATAACTCACCGACTACTACAGTCAACGATGAAACAGCAGTGCTAATGGCGTTTATATGCCACATGGCCACACTTTCTTGACAATCATGGATGCTAATGCGCCAGTCGCAATGGCATTCGTTGCCACCTTTATAGCAATGTCGATCTAGTGCCCGATTGGACAGGGAATTATCTGCCATGAAGCTTCTATCCAGGCTCAGAAAACAGTAGTAGATAATAAGATAAAGTTGGGCCTTTCACACCAGTGACGACGCAAAACCGGGCTGTGCACCTGCAGCTAAATACGTTCAATGTGTGTTCATTTTTGATTCGCAGTAATTATCTTTGAGTGACACTAGAAGGTTGCAAAAGTACAAATAGGCCAGTCGCGTATTATTTTAGTTAAGACTTAAAGGCGCTTAAAGTTGGTGCATCATTCTCATGCTAGTGAAATTTGTCTCAACAGCGTAACTTCCATGCGACGGCCGGTTCTCAAAACACCGATCCATCAATACGTTCAAGCATGGCTATACCGGTATTACAGGTTGCGTGAATGGCAGTCTCTAGAGCGCCATGCCGAAAAATACATAGCACAGTAGCAAAATCTTAGACATGTTGTACAGTATACAGAATTATCCCCATGATTAACAGTTCATCATGTCTGCAAGGGCTATTGCAGCGCTATTATGTAAGTATGCATATTTTACCATGTAAAAAAAATCTATGTTATAAGCCAGAGATACCACAGTGCTGCGAGCAAATGTTTTAGTGTAACAACTTGTTTCAGGTACGGTTGCTAGAGAAACACAGTAAGAGGACTGCATGTACGGTATCAGGCACGGTTGTCACCGTAACAAACATATCAGTACGCACTGTTGCTAGAGAACCTGACAGGTGAAGAGATCCCTAGCAACAACGTCAGCAAACAGTCTACGGTTTTAAGTTAATATTAATTCAAAGATGAACAGCAGCTCCTTCAGTAATTTCAATCCTTCAGAAATCATGCCATCATGCCTGGATCAAAGTAAGCATTCTATTATGGTGTTCTTGATAATAGATTGTACATCAGCAACAATGCTAATGATAGCACGAAGTTTGTTTTTGATAGATGACGAGACGCAAGATACCGTGCTGCTGTATTTAAAGCAAAATATTTAGCTACTTCGGCATACACAAATGAACTAATTGATGTTTCGTTGGTAGACAGGAATTTAAAGTTATTAGCATTGCAGGCAGTATATGATCATCCCTTCTTTTGTGAGTAAACTAAGATTAAAAGAAGCAGATCAACATAACAGTATATATATGTAGTTTGTCATGATATACTGTATTATTGAAACTATTGTTGGAGCGATATGGATGTATATAAAGGAAGTATAGTGATTGAATCAATAATGGTGATCTATTTGGCATCTATCATATTAGAGGTATACGGATGGTTTGTGTCTAAGTTGGAAGGATATATATGAAATGCAGTGTGTGTATAAAAAATAAGCGATCAGTGATGCTCATAAGATGTCAATTCCATTTGCGAGGATGCTTCAGATTGTCGCCGCTTTGTTGGGTTTCTGCTGAAGAAACTTGTTTTGTTGATTTTTGGCGGTTCGTTTTGATGATACTGTTGTTGATTATAATGAACGTCACCATTATTTGTCTTGAGAGCATGCAGAATAGCCTCATTGTCGCCTTGAATCGTAGCAGACATGGCACCAATTGTGGATTGACCTCCAACACGCCGATCAGGCTGCGTGGTACTTGTTGCTGTATTGTCACTGCCGCTTCCATCCGTGGATTTCTTAGATCTTAGCGCCGCGTTTTTGCCCGTTTTGAAGCTGTTATGCGCAGTATATAATATCAAAAAGGAGGGTTTAAAACATAATGAGTATGCGCTTTAAGGACTTATGAATACATAATATGTTAGCCTACTAGCTTACCTGGCCATAATTGATATCTCAACTATCAAGATAGTAACTCCTGCAAATTGATTCCATGCGGTACCAAGGAAAATACTACCGATAGTATTTTCCATGATTTGATTTCGCAGAATCCCATACAGGAGTAAGACTAAGGCAAAGCTCCATAAACATATAGAAAATGCGGCCACCGCCACTTGTATTTTCAAAATACCAGCCTTCACAGCAGTGTCATCTGAACCTTGACGTAGCTTTTTGTGATGGGATCTTAATATACGGACAAGGCGATCACCTGCAAAGAGGACTGCAGTTCCCAAACCTCCTGTCCATATAAACCAGATGCAGTAGCTTACGCGGATTAATAGCTCAGCTGTTTGTTGATCATCGTGCACTATTGAACCTGCTGCTAAGGTTAACGGTATACCGATCAGTGGTGAAAGCAGCGCGATAATGCCCACGATATCGACAACTGTCGGTGACGGCAGCCAGCCGGAGGCGGAGTTACTCTGTGGTTATCTTAGTTTAAAGTGGTAAATCTGGGTACGATAGCTGTTTATGGGGTACCTGAGAAATTGTTTGGGCAATGCCAAGCAAGTACATAGTAATGCCCGCCATTCCAAAGGACCACGGAAGCTCGTAAAGAACTAAGTAGATTATATGTATGTCAATGAAAAATCACGTAGAAACAGTTTCCCGTGCGTAGTCATATATATTCTACAACATACTTGAGCGAGCCAGTAAATTCCCAGCCCCAGCGTCTGTAACGAGCACCACACTAGTTGCCAGTCGAGCTAAAAGATTGAGTGTTACTGCTGTGTTAAAAAAATTTAATAAATTAAACGAAAAGTAATAGATACCTCCATCAAATAGTACAAAAAACGAAAGCATACAATCAACGGGTTTGGGGCGTAAAAGCCCTCGACCCGATCCTCTATGGCTCCATAGAGTATGACCTTTAAGACCGATTCTGTGAATCAAGAGTGCGATTCCTGTGAAAAACAGAGTTAGAGTTGTAAAGCGATAGATTGCTTTACCATTCAACATGATGCATACCTATGAGACATCCTAATCCAGAAATTGCAACGTTTAGAATGTTTATATACCACATTGCTGTAGTCTCCTCACAGTCTTGTAGGGTGAGTCGCCAGTCGCAGTGGCAAACTGCACCAAAACAGTGGCGGTCGAAGGCACGGATAGTGAGAGTCGGGTCGTCAGCCATGGTTCGTCAGTAGTTGAGTTAAAATTGCAGCGACCGAGGAAAGACAAAGGTCGCACCATGGATCTGATGTATAACATCGTTCAAGTAAAAAAGGGTGACACACAGACGTTCAAAAGACCCAATAAACTAGGTTCATCGAGACTGTCTTCGTTTCCGAAAAAAAAAGCTTTTAGCGCGCGCAGCGACTTGGACTACACTGACTTTTCTGAAAGAAGATGGCATTGTAACTTTGACATGTAGTATCACAACAACATAGGTCATGGGGATGATGCGTGTCAAACAGCTGTCAACAAACGATCTTGTCAAACGCGATCTTGGATACAAGATCACAGATCTGAGATGCATTCTGCATAGGCGGTCTCTTGAACAAATCAACAATCAACGAAACCAGGAATATCATTGGAGGAACGGAAGAAATTTAAATAAGATTCTTTGATCTGGCTGATGCATATGCAAAAAAACAATAATTACGAGAAATAAATAAATAAAATTCTGGAAAGATGGAAAACACGAGCTAAACAAAAAGAAAGAGTAATAGTGGATGTATGATTGCGCGATGTAATTAGGTGAAGCCAAAGAAGGATAAACGACAATGGGGTATGTAAAAAAAAGAAAAAGCGGGAATGGCGGCCACTACTTAGAGCCGGCGGTGTTGACTGGTGGTGTTCTCCTATTATTATAAGCGCCTGGCTCCATATGTATAGTAAGGAGGACCAGAGGCACCTTAATGATGATGATGTTCATACGATGTCAGTTCCAGCTGGGATTCGTTGTCCGATGTACGTCTTTTGGGTATTTTGTTACCGAGGCCATTTTCCGCCAATGCGTTGTTGTTGAGCTGCTCTCGTCGTGCAAGCCATTCTTCGTCTTTTGCTCTAAGAGCATTCATGATGGCTTTATTATCAAAGGTGTCCGTTGCTCCCGATTCGTACGCTGATGCATGATTAAAATCAGCACGTGAGCTGTTGGATGCGTTATTGGTTCCTGTTTTGTTATCTGATGACGACCTGGTACGCAGAGCAGCATTCTCCTTTTTGCTGGGACTATATTAGCAGCCATGGTAAGTTAGTTCACATTTGCATTAAAAGCATAAATCATAAGGATGGTATTACCTGATAAGTACTGCCAGTTCTACAAGAAGCGTTGTAGCACCGGCGAGCAACGACCATACGACGCCGAGAAAGATGCTACCTTTGGTGTTTTCCATGATGTAGTTGCGCAGGATGCCATATAGAAGGAGGACAGTGGCAAAGGAATACAGACAGATCACGTACGAGAAAGCCGTCAACTGGATTTTGTAGATGCCAGCTTTGACAGCTTCGTAATTCTTCGACTGACGGAACTTTTTATGGTGGTTCCTCAAGATGCGAATAAGTCGAATGCCCGCAAACATGACGGAGGTTCCTACTCCACCGGTCCAGATGAACCAGAGCGAATAGTTTATGCGGATCAACGTCTCGGCCAAGTGCAGATTTTTGGTTGCCATTGCGCCTGCTGCAATAGTAAATGATTCGCCGACAACTAAAGGGGCAATTATAAAAATGAGACCAAAGGCATCGATGGCTCCCGTTGAAGGTAGCCACCCTGAAGCTGAATTGCTCTAGTGAGAATAAAAAAAAACCCAAGAAAAAGTAATAAATGAGTTTCGACCATTGGGAATAGTGCTCCTTTTTTCTTTACCTGAGCGATGGTTTGGGCAATACCAATCAGATACAAGGTAATGCCCGATAGGCCGATGGACCATGGAATCTCGTAAAGAACTGGGGCAAACATATTAGATCAGCATTGCTTTTCGGACGGAACGTTAAAAAATGGAAATAAAGTTACATGATCGAGCAATCCAGTTTTCGTGAGCAATGTCCGTGATCAGCACCACGCTCGTCAAAAGTCGGACTACGGCAAACGAGTCAACATCAACTTCTATCGAAACAAATCGAGTTCGCTGAACTTACGAGCATTGAAGATAATAAACAGTAACAGCATATTATCCACCGGTTTGGGTCGTAGAATACCAGCACCTGGCCCTTTAGGGTTCCAGATAGTGTGTCCTTTAACAATGCCTCTGTGGAGCAACAACCCCGTAGCTATTTGGGAAGGAGATGTAAACTTTCGAAGCTGACGCATATCTTTATTCACACGGTCTGAAACGCTTGCATACCAAGCAAAATGGACAAAGCCGACACTGCAATGTTTACCACATTGACGATCCACATTGCTTTGCTTTCTTCACATTCGTGCAGAGTAATTCGCCAGTCGCAATGACAAACTCCATCGATACAGTGGCGCCCAAAGGTCCGGAGGTTGGAAACCGGTCCGTCAGCCATTTTTCGTCTTTATGAATGACGCGCAAAATAGCCGGTGAAAAAGTGGTTTTAAAAGAATGGAAGAGAAGGAAAGAAAGAAGGTGGTTCTAATGGAATATCCCGGATAATGCGCTGTCGATTAGTTCGTCTCGACTCGTACAAGCCAATTTAGGTTTCACAGGACTAATAAAGCAATCGGACAGCCATTTTAGGGTCGTACCTGGATTACAACCCTTACTGCGTTATCCAGCTCCGCTTTTGCATGTCAAACCCCTTATATGCGTCTTCAGCCACATGCTGTTCGTCTGCACAGGTCCCTTTTAGCAAAACGGTAGGATGCACCGAAAATTTATCGCAAGCTTGCATGAAATGCATCAGTGGTATATACATATCAAACAAAGATTTCAAAGCATCACCTGTTTGAATGTCGTGTCAGCTCACCACACAATCAATATCCGCGGCTACCGAGTTTTTGTGCAATCAAGATTGTGTCAGCGCGATGGTTCTTTTTCTGTTTTCGAGCCAGTCACATGCCATATGTTGCGTGGTTATTATTCCCTCCCGGCGATTATGTCCTCGCGAATATGTAGAGGCAGTTATCTTTCGCTTATTAACGTGGCTGTTTTAAAGACCAATGTATTATAAAATGGTTGAAGGGCTATATTTCAATGAAAAGAGACGTGGCTACAAGTTGCTTTATAACGTTCGGCAGTATAAGATAAACAATGAAGCCTACTCCGATGGTAATAAAAAAAAGAAAAAAAGGAACAAGTTTGCAAGAGTGGTAAAGTCGGGTCATTGTTTTTAAGAACGTGAACGTGAACGTCAATGGTGTGTTTGGACTGTCTGTCACTATCGACGTACAGCTGCGAGAGCCTCTATCAGGATACGCTAATATATTCGATCATTTTGTATATAGTGTTAAAGTTTTACCCTCATTAAAAAAACCATTTTAATTTTCTTGGGCTCACTGTGGAACTTGCCTCGGCTGAAAACGTGGAGAGTCTATTATTAACACCACCAATGTTAATACAACGATGTGCAAAATAAAAAATCGACAGGCGATGATTTTTTCCGCTTTTTCATTTCCAGAGTACATGACGATGAGCACTAATCGTGGTACATATATAATTTAAGACAACCCTAAGTAGCCAGTGACAGAAAATAGACAGTAGTACTCCATCGAACCATTTCATAAACGAATGACTTTGGATTACCAGTACTTTGGTATAGTCAGTCTCCTTCTAAGCGCGGAGTGGGGTACGCCGTAGCACCAATATTAACAAATCAACTTGCCCACTTTTTAATATCTTCTGAGATTTGTGCGACACGAACTTGATGCCAATGAAATATACAAGGACAGCGTGTAATGCTATACTATCCAGTCTTAATCCTCGCCTACACCTCCGACGTGTAGTCACTAAAAATATGTACCCATCTCTGAATGCCTTTTTTTCCGTCATTAGATAAGAAGTCGTAATATGGTTGATCGCTTTAATGTCGTATTTTTTCCCAGGAAAACGAGGTAATAAATAGTGATTCATTAAGCTTATGTCATGATGATGTAGGTGAATGTCGCTAGTAAAACTACTATATGTACTAAGACTTTTAATAAGTATGAACTGTTGGGATAACAGCAAATGAACGTAGTGTAAATGAATGAGAGGGAAGTTAGCGAATAATGTAGATGTTGAATATACAATTAACGATAGGAAAGGGGCTTTATGTTAACATGGTAAAAGAAAGTGAGACGAGATATAGTTTGAAAGATTCATGGATCGTTACAAATACTTGTGACAGATGTCAACGGTCGTCGTAGGATGTTAGTTCTAACTGGGAGGAGGCATCGGATGCACGTCTTATGGGTACTTTGTTAATGAAAAAATGAGTGCTGAACTTTTTGTTGGCCCATGATAGCTCATACGGTGACGACTGCTGCTTATGTTTGCTATCACTGGCTTTAATAGCGTTCAAAATGGCCTCGTTGTCGTCCTGGAACATAGTAGTCACTGCACCGATAGTAGACCCACCGACATTTTCTTGATCTGGTGCTGTGCTTACACCAGTTTCTGATGTAGCATTGTTGGTTTCACCAGACGAAGATTTTGATTTAAGCGCAGGATTGCTTTTCGATTTAGGACTGAATGATTGCATTGTTCTTCGTTTAATGTTTTGTCATCCGCATATACACTTATACAAGGAACCCAGCCTTTAGTGACCGATTATACATACCTAACCATCACTGATATCTGAACGACCAGCGTCGTAATGCCGCCCAAGAAGTGCCAGGGAATGCTGAGAAAGATATTAGCAGCCGTATTCGTCATGATCTGATCTCGCAGAATACTATACAGCAGCAGGAACGTAGCGAAACCCCAAAGACATACAACAAACGATGCCACCATCATTTGTATTCTGTAAATACCGCTTTTGACTGCTGTATACTTTGGACCATACCGAGCCTTCTTGTGGTAGCTTCGCAATATCCGCACGAGACGAACTCCAGCATAAAACACAGAGCACCCGATAATGCCTGTCCACAAAAACCAGGCGATATAGGTCAAGCGGACAAAGATCTCTGCAGTTGGTAGATCACTCTCGGCCAACGCGCCTGCTGTAACTGCTACTGCAACGCTGCAAACAAAAGGGAGAAACAAAGCTGTAGATCCAAAAATATCAACTACTAGGGGCGATGGTAGCCAGCTAGACACAGAATGACTCTATGGGGATTTTCTTGGTATCATCAGCATATACGCATCAAATGAGAATTGAATCAACATCTGCTAACCTGCGAGATGGTTTGGGCAATCCCAATGAGGTACAACGTTATGCCTCCTAATCCGAAATCCCAAGGAATCTCGAAAAGGTCTAAAAATATGCTTATGAGATAATCATACAATTTTTTCTTTCGTTCTTTGGGAAAGAGTTAATCGTGCATTACAAGATCGAGCGATCCAATTGCCTGGTAGTGCGTCCGTTATGATGATCACACTGCTTAGCAACCGCACTAAATTAGTCGTGAATTAATAACGCCTTTCTTCTCATTATGTTTGATATTTCACCATTGTTCTTACATACAGGAATTAAACATGATAAAGAATATGATCATACTATCCACAGGCTTCGGTCGCAACCAGCCACGAGTTCCGGTACCGCCATTCCAGATTGTGTGTCCCTTGAAGAAAATTCTGTTGATCAACAGAACAATCCCTAGCCCCTCAAATCAGTTGTCAGTTTTTTAAACAAGATTCAACTCATGAAAGAAGGAAGGTACGAAATTTACCAATAACAGCTGTTATTGCCGAGATCGCAATGTTTACGATGTTTATATACCACATGACATAGCCTTCCTCGCAATCCTGTATGCTTAATCGCCAATCGCAGTGACATACTCCGATGGATCTGCAATGACGATCTATTGCCCGTATGATTGGGCTTGAATTGTCTGCCATTTGGGTATTTTATTTGGCCAAAGAAAGCCGTCGTGAGTAGCAAGAGATATGTAGCACTGGATTTAACAAAGGTGGTACATCTCGACATATTTATCGAGTTCCTGGATGGATTAAGCTACTGGTGACACAGAACGTCCAGGTACTGCGATTGAACAAGCTTCACATCCTTGCCGATCCTTTCGATTTGACCGTTTACTCGCACATTATGATATTCAAATATAGAAAAATTGCCTCAGTATCATAGGTGAATTGATTCTCAAAACTGATTGCACTTGAGTTAATAATCTTTACTCCAAACACTTTATGGTCTCGGGGCTTTTGCTTTTATCGACCAACACGACGACAAGTAAAATGTAATTTTTGACCCGGACTGGTGTGATTTGAAGACGATGAATAGGGATCGATAAAAAGTTCGGATGTGATCAATAAGTGAAGTATCGTATAATAAGCTTAAATTATAATCAACAAATCGATGACAACGATAAAGCCGCATAATCTTTTAGTACAGCGATTAAAGTGGATGCTTCAGATCGTCGTAGATCGCTTAGTAGTATGTTTAGCAGAGGAAAATGAACCGTACAATAAATTATGCAAGTAAAGAGATAAAATCAAACAACAAGAGATGATCTCTAATACGTGGTGCATCCACACCTTAAACCCAATTTGCAACCAACGGTTCAGTAGTCAACAATATATATATAATCTCGCACATCAATTCTTTTTTTAATGATATCTTTTCTTTTGCATAACGAGAGATATGTTGCTTTTTGACCCACATTCTCACGTACGTATTAGAGTATCAAGAGATTCAACCGACTTGAATCGAAGAAGTCCTCGAACAATTTGCTGGCGGCTCCGTAAAAAGCCTGGAATTTCTTAGCAATATTGCATACGACAATGGCCTGTTGACACAGTTCCTATTTAAATACTCTTATCGTATATTAAGAAGCTTAGAGTCTTGGACAAGCAAACAAAAAAAAACCTGCAGTTGTATCAGTCAACATTACTTTCGGGGGCAACGAAGCTACAAAGAGCAATGTTCTTGCCAATGTTGATATGTAGTATATAGCGGATGTCTCTTCGACACAGCCATCAGTGAAGTTGAGCCGGACAGCAGAATACAATATTATTTTTATCACAATGTCGCAACTGTGAAAAAGCATAGTGCGTGAAGCTCTGTCATGATCTCAGGTGGCACCTTTTCATAGCACTTTTAGCAGGTCTGTGGTACGATCACACGTGGAAGAGAACGAGTATGATTACTGGTATTTTGTACGCCACAAAAGCAGTGTAAGATCGAGGTGGCACAAACACATAGTGCTAGATAGCGCTTTATGATGTTTCCGACTCTTGCTTGTGCACCATTTCACGACTTTACCATTCGTATGTAATCGCTTTACTCACCACCAAGAATGCTAAGCATATATCGTACCACTTACTGTGCGGATGAAGATCTCTGATTGTTTCATCTTCATACATGTTTCTTTCATGAAAGGGTATGAATGCATAGTTACACACCGTCATAATACCAGGTGTATCTGACACAGAAAGTCAAAGTGCGCCTTCGTGAAATATATTAAATGTCATTTTACAATTCAGCTTTTTTTTACAGCGCCATTCCATGTGCTCGGTAAGGTAAGGTGATGATGACATACTCCGATGTCCCGTTTCTTTTTTCCCTATTTTTACTGACCTTATCAACCTTATTACTACCGCAGAAACTGCAAAGATGTACATACAAGGAGGTGCCGCCATCGATTTCCGAGCGTTCATGCAAGGAGTAGATGTTCTTCTTTATATCGTTGTATAAGGTTTTAGAGGAGTGAAAGACGAATCCTTTGCATTGAAGGAGAGAATGGCCTAGGACTCCGCCGCCAAACTTAATGTATGGCAGTACCTCCCCTTGAAACACGGATTTGCCAGGATCAGGGGGCCTATGCTTAAATCAAGCTTCAACCGTAGCAAACCGGTAGCAGCCTTTATTTAGCATCTCATTATTGTTTTGATTACAGTCCAGTTTTGGTCACTACGCGTATAAATAGAAAAAAAATTATTAGATCGTGGCAGTACATACATTGCAAAAAAAGTATGTGGTTTTATACATGGTATCAGACAAAAACATACCTAACTACCAAACATAAAAGATCTGGCTTCTTGCTATTTTTTTAAAATGGCTTGTTTCTCATGTAGCATGTTAGAGGGCATCATTGAGCGCTTTTCTCCGTAGACGACGAGGGATTCGTAAGGAGAAGGGAATGAAAACATCAGCAGCAGCAAGATGACGCTAGTAGGGGGTTGCTATTGCTGACACAATCACTTGCCCAAAAAAAAACACCCACGCCGGGGCTGTTGATACCCTGTTCATATATACCGAAGCGATACTAAAAAGAAATGAACTGTACCACGGTGGGACAAATAGTCAGGTTCCAGAACAGTAAGATTGTTGTGGACGAGTTTCATTAATGAAAGCATGTGTAAATTGTGTAACTAGATATCATAGCAAAACTGGTAGTAATAAATTAAAAGAAGAGTGAAGAAGTAAAATATAAAAGTAACGTAATTATAAAGTAAGTACAGTAAAAGGGTAATAGTTAGTTATGTGTTCTTGCTGCTATTAATTGTTATCGGATCCTGGGAGATAGATAGCTTAAGTGATCAACTCAAACTTGGATGATCCACTATCATCTGTGTTTTGTCTTTTCTTCTCGTCGTAGTCATCGTCCATAGGGGAATCGATGCCATGATCGAGTTCGATTTTTTCGTGAGATGGGGTGGTTTTGTAGTAGACGTGGTCTTGTTCTTCCAAGATGGGTGAGCCGGTGGCTGCCAAAGTATTACGTCCACCCACTGCGTGTTTTTGGAATACTTGTTGATATTGCAGCTGCTGCACTTTTAGGTCGCTCATGGCAACAGTATTGGCTAAATCAGGATCGTCACTATTAGAAAACATTGTTGTCGATTGACCATAGCTGGTGGAGTCGTCATGCGTCGTAGTGTTGTATGATTTAATAGGGGGCCCACTGCCACTTGATGAATTCGTGGTGCCAAGTGCTGCATTCTTCTCAAATGTCGGACTGAACAAAAAGGAGTAAAATCATTGGTTTAAGGTTCAGATTCAATTCGTGCTGCTGTTGCCCCACCGAGTGTGCTAGAACAAATACATCCTACATACTTGATGATGATGGCCGCTTCGACAAATACAGTTGCTAGCGGTCCCAAATACTGCCACACAACACCAAGAAAGACGCTGCCGGCCGTGCTGGTCATGATCTGATCGCGAAGAATGCCGTAGAGTAGCAGAAAGGTGGCAAATGTCATGAGGCATATAATAATGATGACCACAATAGCTTGGATCTATAAATATAACAGAAAAGAAATTAATTTCTTTTTGACACTCTAAAATTGTTTCAGATTTGGAGTAGTGATAACTGACAAAATACCTTAAAAATACCGGTTTTTACAGCGCTATAACGTGGACCTGATGATTCCTTGAACTTGGACAGATGGCCCTTGAGGATTCTGACTAAGCGATAACCAGCAAAAAATACAGCCGCACTGATTGTGGCGTTGTTGTAAAACCAGAAACCATACAAAAGACGTGTAAAGAGCTCGGCGATCCACAAGTTCTTATCGGCATAGGCCCCGGCTACAATGGAAAAGATATTATGGACTACAAATGGCCATAAAAAGAGCCAGGTACCGGCAAGGTCAACAATGACAGGCGAAGGAAGCCATCCACTGGAAATGGCTTTATGACTCTGTGAGGGAGACAAGAAGGTATCGGCATTAGCAAATCCAAAGTCTCGCATAACGAGTGTAGAACAGATGCACGAGTAAAGAGACAATCATACCTCAGCCAAGGTCTGTGCAATGCCAACCAAGTAAAGGGTGAAGGATCCGACGCCGATTTGCCAAGGTATCTCGAATACAACTACAAGCAGAAGAGGTATGAAGGAGCGTGAGTATAACATCTTAACAGAGCAGTTTCTTTCACATGTAGCGTACAACAACACGTTGAGTGCTTTTGAGGAAGACGAGGAAAGTAACGTGTACGTATCAAGAATAATGATGCTTACATGAGCGCGCAATCAAGTTATCAGGTGCGATGTCCGCCACAAGAATAACGCTGCTAACCAGTCGTACTAGTGAAGGAAGGCAAACCCAGCAAAGAATTAGTGCCCTGTGTCATAAAAAGAATAGGCAACGTCGGGTCCCTCATTCAATGAACTACTCACGTATATTAAAAAGAGTTAGTAGGAACAGCATCGCGTCGACTGGTTTGGGTCGTAAGCAGCCCCTGGAAGGTCCACGACTGTAATCCCACAACCGATGGCCTTTAATGAATATGCGGTGTATAAGTAAACCAATGCCTTTTGCGAGAGTGATAACATGCGTTAGTAAAGGGTAAACAACAAAACGTCTTAAGCAAGTGATCGGCAGTGTGTATATGCTTTACCAACTGCAACAACAAGTCCTGAAAGGGCAATGTTGACAACATAGATATAATACATTGGTCTTGATTCTTCGCAGCCGTAAATAGTTAACCGCCAGTCGCAGTGACACACGCCATCGTCGTTACAGTGCCGTAATAGTGTTCTTTGACCCTCCATAGCATTTATTATTGGCAATAGAGCAAAAAGAAGACCAAAACAAAAAAAAAAGTGAAGAGGAAAAAAAATGAATGGAGGGCCACTTTTTTATATGAAATGTCGTTTTCTAATGTTTCGATTGGCCTTGGCTATGTAACTAGCACCCATATTCAGATTCAGCTTATAATCGTTTCCGTAGGACGCCTGTGAAAAGGAGAGCGTTCAAATGGTTCTTGTGTGCAACGATGAAAACTTCGATCGCGTTTCTTTTTTTCCCTTTGGCCTCATTGTCAGAGCTTGCTCCTCTTCTCCTTCTATGTATATCGGTCTGCTCTCCCCCATTGCTCCCGCGGCAACGCTAAATGGAAATTTACCGCGCCCACCCACTTCCATCGCGATACCATGTTCCCCCTTTCGGGATCACAGTGCTGCTGCTGTACACGTGCTATAGACCTTCAATGTTACACACAGGTTGAAATGAAGGCGTTAAATAAGGTGATTGCTATTACGTGTCAGACGCGACTGCCTGTGCGACTTCAGGGTCCTGGTGTTTCTCCAAGATATAAATTTAGGCACACACCAGATAATAGCAATCGTGCCAACTTTCTTTTTTGTTCTTGCTGAAACAACCATGTGTTCGCCCATCATGCATTAACAATGACGCTTTACCTCCGACAAACGGCGTGTTTCATATCACGTTTGCTTCTTGCTCCTAGACCATCACGCGTCGCGAACACAGATGCAATCACCATGGCAACAAGACTTGCTCGTTCCTTTCTTGGAAAATGAATATATATATATAATTTATTTGATGGCTAGCAACGGTTCACTGGCATTCGTTCTCCCATGGAAAGAAACACCGGTTACCGAGACAAACAATAAGAGCTAATTAGGAAGGCAACAAAGGAACAAGAAAAACTATGTGCAATAGTGTGATGACGAGAGAGGAGGAAGCGAGGGAAGCGGGAAGAAGTGGGTTGAATATAAAGGACATGCGTTGTTGCTGTTATGATATATATGTATATGTATATATTATAATGCGGGGTGTGATGATTCTTCTAAGATGCGAGAGATAGTAATAGGAAAATAGTATATGTAAAAAAGAAAGAAAACGGCTGAGAGGGTGTTTTTTTTTTACCGGCTGTGATGTATCAGGCGGATCTGGGAAGAAAGATCGTCTTGAGGATCTTCAGGTTCCTTTTCAACGTGGGGCGTCCAGACAGGTTTGCTGTCTTGGTGGCGGTTAGCCGGAGAAAGACCGAGATTCGGTGCGTTGCCGTAATAGAGTTCATCCATGGGGATGTTGGAGCCTGTCAGTGTCTTGTCGCTCGAGAGGTCTGTAGACGAACCATTGCCGTTAAGACCGTTGGATCCATGGTGCCGATTACTGTGCTTTTGGAAGACTTGTTGGTATTGCATTTGTTGTTGCTTCAAGTCTTCGAACGCATGATGGCTGAGTGTTGCTTGGAAGCTCGTGTCGGCAGCGGCGGCAGCAGCATAGCTTGACGATTGCGTTTCTTCTTGAGTGGTGGTCTTTTCACCTCCGCTGGAGCTCTTCAAGTTGCCAATGCCGTCGGTACCAATGCGCGGGCTATTTCGACAAAGAAAACAACGAGTAAGTACAGTGCTTGCTATATTTTTTGTTGTTGCTCTGAGAAATCTTTAGGAGACGTACTTGAAGATAATGGCGATTTCGACACAGAGAGTTGCGCAAGGACCGAGGTAATTCCAGATGACACCCAAGAAGATAGATCCGGGAATGTTGACCATGATTTGATCACGCAGAGCACCGTACATGAGCAAAAAGATAGCAAACATAATCAAGCAAGTGGAAATGATACACATCACAGCGCGGATCTTTATCATTTCATGTTCTAGTTAGTCACCGTACATGTACTAATAAATGAGCAGAATAAAGTATGCTTATGGGTGTGTGTGTGTGTGTGTAATGTACCTTGAAAATACCGGTCTTGACAGATGCGAAGCGCGGACCAGAGGCCTGAAATTTGCTCAAGTGGCGATTTAGAATGCGGATCAGTCGCATACCGGCAAACAAGACGGCCAAACCCAGCAGGAAACAATGCAGAAACCAAAAGACGTACAATACGCGCACCATGGCTTCGGCTACACCCAGATTTGAGCGAGCATATACACCACCAATGATAGCGACAATGTTGTTCATGATGAAGGGTGCAAGGAAGAATGTCGATCCAATGAAATCGACTACGCGAGGCGAAGGAAGCCATCCTGTAGAAATGGCCTTGTGACTCTATTGAGATGTGTCGTCAAGGTTATTTTTTTTTCCACGTTTAGAAATGGTGTTTATAGCAACAAACAAACAAAGAAGCACCAGAAACGCTAATTTCTTACATCAGCCAGAGTCTGTGCGATGCCGATGAGGTACAATGCAAATGCTCCGTAGCCAAACTGCCAAGGAAACTCAAACATGACTGCGCAAAAAATATACTTTTAGCTTCCTTGCCACCTACGCTTCCGTGTCTATTGCCATACTTTACAACTTACATTGTCGTGAGATCATATCATCGGCAATATCAGCGATTAAAATAACGCTAGTGAGCAGGCGGACTATGTATACAGAAAAACAAAAAAAAAAAACAGAGTTAATGGATCGTCACTCCACAGGGTACACGAAAAGAGAAAAAAAAAAGTTTTGAGCGGAGCACAAGAAGGGGCTCCTGGGAAACTTGGAAACTTACGAAGATTGAAGATCATTAACGAGAAAAGCATGCAGTCAATCGGCTTCGGCCGCAGACATCCCTTGGAGGAAGCAGCGTCGAATAAGCGATGGCCCTTGACGAAGATACGATGGACAAGTAGACCGGTGCCTGTTATTATTATTGGAAGGTGCGTGATTGTGGTCACAAAACAAATTAATTACGATGAAGAAAACAATAAGGCCACACGATTTCATAATTTTACTAGCGACATTTCTTTCAGCCCGTACCAATGACAAAAACGAATGCACAGATAGCAATGTTCCCAATGTAAACGCCCGTCATTGCTTTCGCCTCGACGCAGTCTCGCAGCGTTACCCGCCAGTCGCAATGACAATAGTCTTCTGTTATGCAGTGGTATTCAAATGTGCGACTGTAAAGCTCGACTGGCATGCTGTTTTGTTGTTCTAAGGGTTGGATGGTGTTGTTGGTGTATTTATTAAGTGGGACGCACCGTTCGATATGTCGTCGTAGCTCGTGCCTGTCTGTCTGTCTACTGTCGCTGTGGGATGTTGGCTGCGTTGCTCTGTGAACTCGATCTTCTTTGGGTTGGTGTTGCGACGAGTTGGAAGAGAGAAAGAATTTGGTTGTTGGAAGGTGGCGAGGCGAATGAAGCAACAGAAGAGAGAGGAGAGAAAAGTGCAAATTATATGAGAAATCCCGTTTTTTGTGCTCCTTTGCCGCGGGGTGCATCCGCGCTGTCTGTGTTTATTGCGCTGTGTATTACACGTTCCGCTTTTATTGAAACCTGGCAATCATCATGCAAGAGGGCTCATGCCCAAAGCTTGTTTTTGCCCGTCTGAAGACTAACCGCCTCCCTCCCCTCCCCTCCCCTCCTTAATCAGCCATGACATAATATGCGTGTGCCGGTCTTTCTGACGAAAACGCAGAAAAGGGGGTCAGCTAGTGAGGAGTCCATGTATGCACTATGTATTCCCCCCAAAAGAGAGGTCGAGACCGCTTGTTCAGAAAGATTGTAATGACAGTAAAATATGAGCTGCCCAATATCCCGGGCAAAACCGTTTTTCAGGATCCGCCTCTTCTTTTTATTTTAATTTTTTTGCTCGTGCGACCATTCTCTCTCTCAAGAGGATCGCGCTGACATTCATTCGTCTGCGTGGGTGCTAGGCTATGATTGTCATCGTTCTACATGCTGTGTCTCGTTTTGGCTTTCGGAGGGCGGGGGGTGGGGGGGGGGGGATGGGGACGGCGTGCAACAACCGAGTGGGTGGGGGTCCACTGAGCGATCTCTCCAGAATAGCTGCACTTAATAAGGGTTATCGGTATCACAAACGAAACACGAAAAGAACAAAAGTATATGAAATCGCCTTTTAATCTGTAATATGAAAACTGTGTGCAGGCGGAAGATGAAACAAGAAGAACAACAAGAACAACAAGAGGCCTGTTCTCCTTATCTTCACCGCAGTACGTTGCTCCTCAAAGACATATCAAATATAGAAGGTGACAGCTTGCAGCTCCATGCCGTGAGCTTGCCTTGTTTTGGCATGGACTGTTGTAAAAAACAGACCTGATTTCTCTGCTGCCGGCTTGTGATGATTTGAAACAAAATCTTTGCAAGGTTTTGATTTGAAAAGACTTGACTGATAGGTGCCTGTGTGTCTGCCAACGTAGCAGCTTTCCCATGGAATGTAGAACATCGTTGTCGGAAAAGAAAAAAGGGCGTTTGGTTAGGGATATCTAAAAGAATTGGCCACGTCCGCCTTTTTCTCCCCACCCTTCCGTAAGGAAAAGGCTCTTCAGGTACCATCACAAACCAAAGAGCCGGCAACTGGGTGACCGTGTCAAGCCCAGCCAATGAGAACCACTTTCTGAGTATGAAAAAAATCTTTGATGGACGGGGATGATGATGAGGATCGCATCTAAACAGAAAACAGTGCCTACCTACCACCGGTAAAACCAACTTCGTGTCGTTTACAAAAATATACTTTGAAAATGCCTGGCAACTACGAGCTTCTCGCAATGGAAAACCCTCTGCTGGACATTCAGTGCAATGCCACTGAAGAGATCCTCAACAAGTATAACTTGAAGGCCAACAACGCCATCTTGGCTGATGACTCGCACAAGCCTTTGTAAGTAGTGTACACACACACGTGTAAAATATATGAAAGGACGCGTAAGACTTGGTAACTAACGAACGAGATTCATTCTGAATATGAAAGGTATGATGAGATTGTTGAAAAGTTCAATGTCGTCTATGTAGCTGGTGGTGCTGCCCAGAACACTGCACGTGGTGCCCAGTACCTTTTGCCTCCCAACTCGACCGTGTACATGGGCTGTGTCTCTGATGACAAGTACGCCAATGCCATGAAGGAGGCTGCTGCTGCCGACGGTCTGCGCACCCACTACCAGGTTACCGATGAAGCCCCTACCGGCACCTGCGGTGTCTTGATCACTGGCCATGACCGTTCGCTCGTTGCCAACTTGGCTGCTGCTGAAAAGTTCAAGCTCGACTTTTTGAAGAAGCCCGAGAACTGGGCTATTGTCGAGAACGCAAAGTACTACTACTTTGGCAGCTTCTTCTTGACCCACGATGGCGGCTATGCCTCTGCCTTGGCCGTGTCGGAACATGCTGCTGAGAACAACAAGGTCTTTGGCCTGAACTTGAGCGCCCCCTTCTTGTCCCAGTTCTTCAAGGACCGTTTGGATGCCGTTGTCAAGAACGCCGATTTGTTGTTCGGTAATGAGGATGAGGCCCGTACCTACTCGACTGCCGCCGGCTGGGGCACCGATGATGTCAAGGAAATTGCCAAGAAGCTGGCCGCCTTGCCCAAGGGCAACGCCCGCCCTCGTACTGTTGTCATCACCCAGGGCTCTGACGAGACCGTTGTTGCTGTCGGCGATGCCGTCTCGGTCTTCCCCGTCACCAAGGTCGAGGAGCAGGACATTGTCGATACCAACGGTGCTGGCGATGCTTTCTGCGGTGGTTTCATGGGCTTGTATGCTCAGGGCATTGAGGATGCCCCCCGCTGCGTTGCTGCTGGCCACTACATCGCCAGCTTGTGCATCAAGCAGGTTGGCCCCACCTTCCCCAAAGTCGGCGAGCGTGAAGCCATTCCCAACTTTTAAGCATTAAGAAAAAGCATGTGATGTCAAAGAAAAGTGTGGTTCAACAGCACCCCTTCCTTCTTTTGTTTTCTTGTTCTAAAATAATACCATCTTCTATCTGTAATCAGCATCCCTCCCTTGTGTTTCTTTCGTTTCCCCCCAAACCTACCCAACCCTACCCTTCCCACTCGTCATTTGTATCATAAACCGTTTTCAACAACCAGCTTTATGTAAAATATACGTTTAGTTTTATTTAGAAATGTACACAGAATGATATTAATGCAGTGGATGGAATTATCGTAAGAGTAGGAGGTTCGGGTGCGGGAAAGGACAGATATGTAAAGGACCTAGAAGACAAAAGTGTAGGCGAAAAAACGCGAGATTATTACAATTGTTGCTGTTGCAACGGTGTGAGGCTTTCCAGATCGTACGACGGGTTGCCCGAAGCAACAACTCGGTAGCCGCCTCGCTGCCCGGTTATTAAGCGGCCAGCGTGCTCCCAAGCACGAGCAAAGATTCCAGGCACAGACACGCCGGGCGATGTTGACTGCTCGTCGTAGTCGTCCACCAGTGGCGGTTTGCGCCAGAGCCATTTGAGCATCAGACTGCTGACCACAACACTCGTCGAACTTGCTGCCATTGCCAGACCGGCCATCATTGGATGCAGGTGGTATCCCCACGGCATAAAGATACCCATGGCCAGAGGTATGCCGATCACATTGTAGATGCACGCCCAAATCAGGTTGATACGAATCCGCCGGAATATCGTGCGTGATAAATCGAGGGCTGCCACCACATCGGATAGGTCGCTGCGCATCAAGACAACATCCGCTGCCTCAATGGCAACGTCGGTGCCACTGCTCAGTGCAATGCCCAAGCTTGCTGCTGCCAGTGCTGGCGAATCGTTCACACCGTCGCCAACCATCGCCACGACCGTCTGCTTTGTTTTGCTGCCCCACATCGATCGCTTGCTGCTGCCCAAGGGAACAAAGGGTCGAGCTTGGATCTCTTGAACCAACTGTGTCTTGCCGTTGGGTGATACGCCTGCGTGGACTTCTTCAATACCAACTTGACGTGCAATGGATCGTGCCGTCAAGGCATTGTCACCCGTCACCACAGCTGTGCGCATACCCATGCTATGCAGAGTGGCGACAACCTTTCTTGCTTCGGGCTTGAGCACATCTGCGAGCGAGATGTAACCAGCGACCATGCCGTTCCAGCCCACAACAATGCACGTATGACCCTGCGCCTCCTCTGTCTCGATTTCTTTGGCCTGCTCTGCTGTCAGGTTCATCCCATTGTAGTCTTCCAACCATCGACGGTTGCCGACGAGAATCAAGTGTGTGCCACCAGAAAGATCGGACAGCAGGCTCTGTCGCTGTTGGTGCACGTGCAAGTGGCATTCAATGCCAAAGCCAGTCTCGCTCCTGAACCCAGAGACAGCTGCCAGGATCTCCAGTACATCCACGCCAGACAATTGCTTGCCCTTGGCCACCACTGCCTTTCCCACCAGATGCTCACTGTGCGTTTCTGCAATAGCGGCCATCACCAGCAACTGATCCTGCGAAACCTCTTCGATCCAGCTCGTGGACCTTGTCACCTGGAGCTTGCCTTGCGTGAGCGTGCCGGTCTTGTCAAACACAACCGTATTGACCCGTTGTCCATTCTCCAACACAGCGCCACCCTTGAACAGTACGCCGTTCTGCGCACCGACACCCGTGCCCACCATGACCGCGGTCGGTGTAGCCAAGCCCAAGGCACAGGGACATGCCACAATAATGACACTGATACACATTTTGAGACATACGAAAAACCAGTTGCCGTCGCCCTCATCTTGTATTTCCGACTTTAGCATCGCAGGCATACTGTCTACGCCCAACAGCACCACCAGTACAGTCCAAACCAGCAATGTGGCCAAGCCTAGCCCAATGACCGACGGAACAAAGTAGCCAGCAACGACATCCGTAAAGCCTTGAATAGGTGCCTTGCTCAATTGTGCATCTTCAACTAGTTTGACAATCTGGCTGAGGGCCGTATCTGATCCAACGCGCGTGGCCTGCATAATGAATGTGCCCGGACCATTGACCGTACCACCAATGACAGTATCGCCAACCTTTTTGGACACGGCATCGACTTCACCTGTGACCATGGATTCGTCGAGCGTCGATGAGCCAGAATACACCGTTCCATCCGTAGGGACCTTGTCACCTGGCAGGATCTTTAAAAAGTCGTCTTGCTGAATCAATTCCGAAGGGATACGCTTCTCCGAAATCACGGCATTGGTCTTTGGATCCATGGTCAACATCAATGCCGTGGGCGGTGTGAGTGACATGAGTTTGGACAAAGCCGAGGACGATTGGCCCTTTGCAAGATTTTCCAGTAGACGACCCATGGAAATGAATGCGATCAGCATGGAAGACGTTTCGAAAAACACAACAGGATGGTGTTCCGACTGGATACAGACGGCACGGACTATGGAGAGGATAGAAAACACGAATGCGGCCAGGGTCGAGATGGACACCAGGACATCCATGGTAGGTGAACGATGCTTGATAGACACAAGGGCCGACTTTAAGAACCGTTTGCCGACGCCAAATTGGACAGGTATGGTGAGCACTAGCTGTAGGATGTCTGTGAAATACAAGCCAGGCACTATCCTTGAAGCATCGATGATATGACGACCCCAGGACGTCATGGGCATGACCATTGCAATGAAGAACACCGGCACTGAGAACAATGCGCTCTTCCATAACGCCGAGCGCCACTCTTTGATTTCGCGGATCTTGGACAAGCTCTCGAGCTGGGTATTCTTGATGTTATCCGACATGAGTGCGTCAAATCCGAGCTCTTCAATTGCTTCCACCAGATTGCGTGGCCCCAGTATCGTGTTATCATAGTGGATGATGGCCAGTTCCGTCATCAAGTTGACTGCGATAGAATGCACGCCAGGTAATTTGCCGACGCCCATCTCGATGCTGTGTACACAGCTGGCGCATGTCATGCCAAAAATCTGCAGCTGGACCGTGTCATCTCGTTTCTGCAGGATCGGCTTGGCTTCAAATCCAACGTCCTCAATCATATCGGCAATCTGCTCTACGCTCGTCGTGGAAGGATTGAATTCAACCGTCGCCCGCTCAGCCAAGAGTGACACTTTGATGGCGACGATGCCTGGCTGTGCACTCACAGCCCGTTCGATGCTGTTGACGCATGAAGCACAGGTCATCCCACGCACTTCAAGCTGTGCCGATATAGTCTCCGCTACTGCTGCGGCCGTTGCTGACGACGACGGTGCTACTGATTTTATTAAAAGTGCCGTCTCGTTATCGTTGCCATTTTGGTCATCGTCATGGTTGTCGACGTTATTATTGTTACTATTTCCGTCGTTGCCCGGGACATCGAACCCACAATCTTCAATGGCTGTGACAATAGAGTCTCGTGAAAGCAGGCTTGGGTCATGTACAACCGTGGCGTTTTCGTTGGCAAGACTCACATCAATGGATACCAAGCCCGGTATACCCCTCAGTGCATTAGTAATTGATTTAACGCACGACTGACAAGTCATGCCTTGCACTGGCAACACTGTGGTCATGTCTTGTTGTTGTAATGGCACGTCGAATCCGCAGTCTTCAATCGCTTCGACAATCTTGGGGTGACTCAAACGACTGGCGTCAAATTCTACATGGGCTTGTGCTTCTGCAAGACTGACTTGGACCGAATAAACGCCGTCGAGCTGGTTCAGGGCTAACGTAAGGGCCTTTACGCAGGAATTACACGTCATGCCCTCAATGGGCATCACGACATTGACAATTGCACGATTGGTATTGTTGGAGGTGGTGGTCATGACTAAAACGTTGTCAGTAGCAGGGTCGTCGTTGTCGGTGAATATTTCAGAACTATTGACGTTGTGAGGTGCCATGTTCCTTTAACATACACAGAAGAGGAGGATAAGGGTGGGGGGCGTGGGGAAGGGTGTGTGACGCCCCTGTTAAAGGAAACAAAAAGGAGTTTTGGAAGAAAGAGAGAAAGCAAGTATGTTGTTGGAGAACAAAAAAAAACAGGTAAAGCTGTGTTTGTGTTACCATTCAGGCAAAAAGGACGACGGGGCCGGCAGAACTTTTTGGTCCGAGCGAACTAACTCCAAAATATGATATTTGCTGTTTCAAAGAGTGATTTGTTATGGAGTGCATCTTCTGACCTAAAGAGAAGCAAACCCTCCCCCTAACCCCACGCGTGTCCCATCCATCAGAAACAGCAAGATGAATGCCCAAACAGAACTGAATTGATAATCACGCCACAAGGAAACGAGGAATGAATTCTGTATTCGTGTGTGTGGTGTTGTTGCGAAAGTGGTGTAACAAAAGATCCTGGGCGGTGATCGGCAATACATCGCCCCGCTTCCGACGCTGACTCCCTTCTATGTGATTCCTTCTGTACTATCGATGGCTTTTAATTAGCTTGCGAGCGGTGCAAGAAGTAGCACGGCTAGCAGTAGAAGACGACGCTGGCCTATGTATTGTGTAGCAAGAACAGTGGGAATTCCAAACAATCAGTAAACAAATAAGCAAGGGCTGCGTGATTAGTACTTATACGGACCCTTCTAACTTTCTTTTGGTGTTGTTGTTGCTGCTGCTGCTCGACCAGGAGTATCTATTGTCATTCAACCTGTGCTTAATAATTTTTCCTTTTTCTGTTGCACAAAATCAGATATCCTTTTTTTGGGGCATTTTATTTACTGTAATGCAGGTTCATCTATGGGCTGGCTCTCGATATCCGGCTTGTCAAAGTCCTTTTCCTGGGCAATGACTTCTGCGTAAAAGTCCTCGTCACCGTCTAGTGAACAAAGAGCGTGATTTAGTCAACAATAGCACTAGTGGACGGAAGTTTTGTGAATGTTTTACCCATAGAAAAGCTGTCGTCTCGGGAAAGTGTGCTTCGTAGCGGTGGAGGTTGGTTGGGTGGTAACGGGCTCACGGTAGGAACCTCATTATTAGCAGGTCTTTTTGCAGGTGCAGAAAAGGATGGAGGAGGTGCAGTTTTGGTGGTAGTGGTAGTAGGCTTCTGCTGCTGCTGCTGCTGCTTTTGCCGTGATGCAGATCGAGTGAGAGGTGGTGGTGGTTTGGATGGGGCTGTTGCCTGTTGCTGATGATTGTTGTTATTGTTGGTATACGTGCTAGCAACCATGGTGGATGATGATGACATGTTGCTGTTGGCTTGTTGTTTTTGTGATGGCGATGACTGTTGTGGTTTGCACTCTTGTTCCTTTTGTTGTTGTTGTTGCTGTTGCTGCTGTGCAAGGTATCGCTTGTCGCGATAAAGATTCTTCGGATCGAATTTAATCTATTTAGAGTTCAATAGCGTCATTAGTTTGCCCATTTATGCAAGATGTACTGTATCAACTCAAGTAGTAATACATACCGCTGGTGCTTTCATGTACTGTATGTGGCTGGTATAGTTCTTGTCGTAGATACAGTTGCCCAACACATTGCCAAACATACGTAATGCGCGTTTCATGCCATCGGTGACAGCTTCCTTCCTGGCCTAGTAGTCGAGATAAAGATTGAGCCGTCTCTTTGTCCCATGACTTGGTAGTAATATCGTTTTTGGCAACAAACGACTCACCTTTTCCATGGCAGCAGCTTTGCTCTTGCTATGTTCCATTTGGCCATAACCAACGTCCTTAAAAAAAGATAAGGTTTGTATGAGTTCCACTTGTATCTCAATTACTGTGGGCATAGAGCTCTCTTGAACAAACAACATACTTCGTGAAAAGTGCCATCCTTCAAAGTGATTCGTACGATTGCAGAAATGCCCACGTCAACTCTCCCTTCCTTTTCATCCACCTAAAAGAGAAAAGGATCATGCACTTAGTGACTTTCTTCGTATGCATGCAATATAAAATTACGCACGAAATCCACTGTCATGCTGCGCAGCTCTGACGACCAACCGTTGAACCCAAAATGTTCATTCGCAAGTTGAATGGCAGATTGTCCTTCAATATACGTGAATTTCCCACCTATTAAAAAGACAACACGTGTAAGTATGAAAGATCTCCACTTATTCAATGAATGTAAATGACACGTAAGTATAGATCGATCATTGATCAACTCTTATAAGAATAATTAGTTACATTACCAGGTCCAGTACGTTGGCGCAAAAACTCAGGGCCTAGTTGCTGTTGAAGTTCAACGTTAAGGCGTTTGACTTCCTCGACAGTGAATTCACTGCGCTTTTGCATTGTTCCTCGCGAACAACTGAAGGGAAGAAAGAGGGGTATGCTTTTCTGGGTATGATTGCTACTTGGTGACACGAAAAAAAAACTCGGATTGGCGGGTGAGTTTGCACCAAAAAGGCACACAAATCCTCAAAGGAACAATGGGTTAATAAATAATAATGTGCTTGAGCCAACTGACTGGATCGAGTGTTGGACTTGATTCACTATTACTTATTTACTTTACTTGAGCTTTTGCAATTGCGTTGCTTTCTTTTATTTGACATGCATTCTAACGATAACTTCAGCGGATCGGATCTAATATACACCGGATCATACCATCTTCGATGATTAAAGTGTACAGCTTGCGTTTGCTATGTTATGGCTGTGATGAGGTATACAAAATGGGAATACGTGTTGCGCTTACAAGGAGATGTGAACAAGGAAGAAAAAGATAGGTGACTCTATCTATAGCTGCCTTTCTTTCTCCCGTGTTATTGACCTTACGACGGCTTCTGTACTAGAGGCACTCGACGATCCAAGGAATTTCAATGCTTGAAAGAGCATAGACATTCTTAACAATCCTCTATAGACATGATTTTGCTTTTTTTTTCCTGACGCTCTGTTCTTCATAAACTTGTAAATTGAGCTCCATGGGTCTTGTGTAAAAATGTTGTGGTCGCGTCACATCATGTTGCGTGGGTCCACCACAATAAAAGGAAATAGATATACGTATGGCTAGTGGTTTAAGGTTACTTCTCCAACGCCCAATATACCGGCTTTCCCGCAGTCCGTACAGCTTATTGGCGACGGCGCTTCGGTAGTTGTAGACCAAACTGCCACGTCCATTGAAAAGATATGAATTGCCGTTTTTTGCGGTTTGTCGTCATTTAAAGCTTTTAGGACACCTGAATCGACCTTCCAAGACCCTGTGACAGGTCGTCTCAAAAAGCCCAGACGGTAGTATGAGATCTGGCTTGTCAATTCGATATGCGCGAATGAACTCTAAGGATTCACAATCGTCGACTTTTGCAATATATCCTCGCAGGTTCGTGTTTCCCATTATGTGGGCCTTTTTATGGGGGTTGTGATTTCCTTCCTCTTTTTATTTTTGGTGTCTCGTTATGATACGGGAGGAAGTGGACGAGGGAAGAACACATGAAGCCACTCGATATCCTGATAGGCTATTGCAGAAGCCCTATATGGTAAATGTAAAGACTATATATCATTTTTGGCTCGCTCACTGTCACGACCAGTTACTTCAAGCCAGCCTCTTTATTGTACGCCGAGTAATTCCTATCATGAAAATAATGAGCTAAGCCATTCGAGAAGGGCAACTTGGTTCTACGGTTCTTCGCGCTGTATAGAGCGAGACGCTGATACGTCGAAATGCTGTTTCTGACAACAACTTGAGATTATTAAGTGGTGTTTTATTTTATGCTTTCAAATACAAATAATGCTGTATGTGCAAGTATTACTGTTATGTGCTCTCTCGAAATATGTATGTATGATAATCCTGCTTCTGTCCTGCTTTTCTTCGTTTTATATGCTGATATTTGGTGTTCATGGAAGTGTTTTTTATTGAGTTTGAGCAAAGGGTGCCATCCAACATTAAGAAAAGAGAGAGAAAGAGAGGGGAATTGAATTATTGTTTATATTTCTTGCACTCGCAAATGCCTTTCTCTTGACCGCATTGGCCGAGGATATAGTCCGGGTCTTCACCGTATTCCTGGCAGATCTTTTTGCAGACGTCTTTTACTCGTGAGTCCTTGAAAGCACTGCAGTGCTCCTGCTTGACGTCTTGTCGGTCTGGGATGGTGGAGGCGGTGGCCAGCATTGTTGAGCAAGCGGCCAGAAGGACAATGAGAAGAGTTCCTTTCATTTTATATTTCTTGGTTATGCGTGTGCGTGAGTGTATGTGTTTGGCTGCTGCCTGAAAGATGAGAGAGAGAAAAGAAGAGTGAGAGAAAAGTTCATTTCCACCCCTTGAGCGCTTTTATATTGGAAGCGAGGACACTCCGGCGCACTCTATGTAAGGCACACATGTCTTTTTACTTGTTTTAAGTAAACGCTAATTTGAATACCCCCACCCCCCTGAATGAAGATGCGCCTTGATATTTCCTATTACTACCAGTGAGGGAAGCCCTTTTTCATTATTTCCAAGCGAAGAGAGCCTGTCGGAATTATGTGTTTGCGGTTGTCAAACAGCATGAATAAGACAAAAAAAAAGAGCGGTGTACGTCACTACCGAAATACACTACTGCGACGTATTTCTTTTTCTTCCTCTTTTGATTTTCAGCGCTATTTCTCATGACAGTTTCAACGAGACGCAAAGCCAGTGATGGTGACCCAGCACCAGAAGCAGATATTCTAGAACTTGAGGAACAAGACGATCAGATGCAACAAGACTCTGAAGAAAACAACGGCGACGATGAAGAGGATGGGGTCGGTGTGACACTGGTAGACACTCTGGAGGTACGTATGCATATGCCATATAAGAACAATGAAAGAACGATAAGGGGTAGTAGGGGGTAAGATAGAAGTTGAAGGCACTCATGATGGGTGTGCACTTGCGCGTCTTTTAATTTTTTTGTATGTGCCTCTTCATCAAACAAACATAAAAAAGCAACATGGTGTTTCACCAGGTGATATCAAAAAGCTTAAAGAAGCCGGCCACTACACTGTCGAGTCAATTGCATACACGACCAAGAAGACTCTGCTGGCCATCAAGGGTCTCTCCGAAGCCAAAGTGGAGAAGATTCTCAAAGAAGGTGTCTACTGTTACTACGAAAACTATGACTGTTATTAGTTATTGCTACTGCCAATGTAAGGTACCAACAAAGACTCATCATTACCTGTGATGCTTGAAATCAATAGCCAGCAGTTTGGTGGATATGGGCTTCACTACGGCCATGGAGATCCATCAGCGTCGGGCGGAAATGATCCATATTACCACGGGCTCAAAAGAACTGGACAAGATCCTCGGCGGTGGTATCGAAACGGGCTCTATTACTGAGCTGATTGGCGAGTTCCGGACCGGAAAAACACAGCTGTGCCATACACTTGCGGTGACATGTCAGGTGCTTTATTCTCTCTCTGAAGCGTATGTGAAATAGTTCAACAAACATAGTACTGAAAGAATCATCCGCGTTCCAAAACCCATATAGCTGCCAGTCTCACAAGGAGGTGCCGAAGGAAAATGCCTGTACATCGATACCGAGGGTACTTTCCGTCCAAGCCGTATTCTCGCTACAGCCCAAAGGTGTGTATGTGCCCACTTTTCATATTGATGTATCGTTTGGGTGATGCTGATATCCTTTCGTTTTCCTTTCGAATACACACGTTAGGTACACACTGTCGACGGAGACCACATTGGACAACGTGGCGTATGCCCGGGCCTATAATGCCGACCATCAATCGGCATTGCTTGTTCAAGCCTGTGCACTGATGGCGGAAACTCGGTTCGTTACTGATGTTCCATTTTTGCTGCTACTGCATGTGTCCTGCACCGGAGCTGATTCACTTTGAAATTTGGACTTATGCATGAGAAATCCAATGTTTGTGCATACGCACAGGTTCGCTATACTTATTGTAGACAGCGCTATTGCACTGTTCCGCACAGACTATTCTGGACGAGGTGAACTTTCTGCACGTCAAATGCATCTGGCTCGCTTTCTCCGTCTTCTGCAGCGAATCGCAGATGAAGTATATACCATTTCCTTCTTCTCTTTGACGATAGCTGATATTTTTTTTGAAATACTTGATTGTAATCGTGTTTGAATGCTGTATATACTAGTTTGGTGTGGCAATCGTGATTACCAACCATGTCGTTGCTCAGCCGGATGGAGGGGCGTCCATGTTCGTTGCTGATCCCAAAAAACCAACCGGAGGCAATATTATCGCTCATGCTTCATGCACCAGGTACAACCCATTATCATTACTTTAAAAGAGAAGAAAGAGGTATTGGCATTTACTAATTGTATGATGCGTTAACCAAAAATGTATAAACTAGACTCTACTTTCGAAAGGGTAGAGGCGAGAGCCGTATCTGCAAGATCTACGACTCACCCTCGCTGCCAGAGACTGAAACGGTGTTTGTCATCTCTGAACAGGGTGTCAGCGATCCCCGCGACGACTAAAAGAATCTGCCACCGTAACAGGTATTTAACATATTTGTGCATCATCCTCTTTCTTTCTTTCTTTTTCATTTCGCTGAAAGATAATTGCTAGCAAGAATATGTATTGGTTCTTACCTTCTGGACATGCTTTTTAATGTCTTGGATGCTTTATCAATATAGGAGTTAGTCTCGGACACCTAGCACACAAACAAACCATGCATCGCCGCACACATATCTTTAGTCGTATCTACGCTTCCCTTCCTATGTCGTATTTGCTTTGAAAAAAAAATCCCATGTAAAACCATACAGCATCTTGTGTACGCGTCAGGCTTTCCCGTTGTGTCTTGAGCTGTTGAAGAATGTCGGCACCCATAGTTTCCGTCTCCAGGGCAAGCCGATGGCTATCCTGCAATCGCTGACTCGAGCGTTGGAGCCTTTCTGTATCATCGAGAAGCCGCTGTCGTCTAGTATGATCGTCGCCAGCGCTAGTCCGATCAATAACATCATTGCTATTACTGCTACTAGATCCAGATTGCAGAGAAGCTAGTCGCGCCTCATGAGCCCGTAACTTGGCTTTGTACAAGGGCACCTCATCTTGTGCCCCGTCTCGCATTTTTGCGAGCTACAGATGCAAGTCAGTTCGTGATCTCTTTTACTTTTTTTTTCCAGTCTTGAAGAATAACGAGGAGGCTATTTCTATACAGAGTAAGGACAAGGAAAGGTGACATCTGCTTACAATGTCACTCAGTTCCTGCATTTCGTTTGCTAATGCATAAATGTCACTTAAAACGAGATTTATAGCCTTGCTAAAGCCAGAAATACACAACATACAGACTGTATACTGATCCTTAAGCGAGTTTTTCTCGAGAGTCGTTATGCGTTTTTGAAAGTCTTTTTCGTAGGTTGTGAATCGATCGGTCATTATGATTTCTGTTAGAACACAAGGAAAGTTTAAAAAATAAAAGTTCCGGGTAAGCTGTTTAAGTTCTTTTTATTTTTGGAGTGTGCATGTCTTTCATTCAAACAAAAAAGCGTCGGAATCCAAGCAGTCATCAACCATGTAGAAAGTGGGCATGATCTGTCCTGCTCTGTCCAAGTACCAATGGCCACTATCCAGTTTGTACATGGCTACCGTCATCACCATGCCCTTGAGCAGCTCCTGGGAAATCGATTTCTCCAGGAGAATCTTGAAGGTATCTTGCTCGTTTTCATAGTCAGCCAAGATGACTTCAACCAACGGGTCCTCCTCCTTTGTGATCTCTTCTTGCTGCTCCCTTTCCTGTTCCGAAGAACTTGATGATGATCCAGCAATATCCATGATCTTGACAAACAGGTCTTTACGTTCATCCACCACCGTGCGTTTGGTATAATCGCCAACAACCGCGCTGACGCTGTTTCGCGTTTCATCATCCACAGAGCCCACTGTGTCGCTCATGAACTGATCAATGAGTTTTTGCGTTTTTGACGTTGCCTGCATCCACGAGGCCTCGGTGACCCATGCGACCTTCATGCCACCTCCAAACAAAACGTTGCAAGCTCGATTGAATGTGCCTGGTAGTGCTATGGCCGCTCGTTTGCACATCGGCAGTTCGATCTTGGCTTTGGCAATAACTTCACGCGCTCGAGAAATATCATCGGCATACTCGGGGCACACATTTCGGATCTGCAGGTAGCGGAGGAATGCATCAATCAGTACAGGTGCATCGATAAAGTCTTGCTGGCCAATGAAACGAGTTTCGCGGATAAATGTGTTGCCCAGATAAACTTGAGCGACTTCGGTGAAATTGACTTCGAGCCCTTCGTCATCTTCATCAGCATTCGGTACAGTATCGGTGCCAATCTTGGCAGCGTCCCAGTCAGCCTCGCCATCCGCGTCTTGATCACCGCCCGTGGCACGACCCATAAACGCGTTCGGGCCGGTCTTGATTCCACCGAATTTCAAGTAGTTGTCGAAAATGGAGCGTTTAGAATCAGTGAAACGATGGTTTTTGCGATATTTCCAGATGGCATATTCGACGCGTTGGTTTAATGGTCGTGATCTATCGCGGTAACCCAATCAGTTTTTGTGTGTGATAAACTGCGTCCCAAAAGAACTTCATCGAACACACCCATAACCTTTGTGGATAATACCTACGGATCGTAAGGGTTTTCGACCACATCTTCCTTGTACTTTTCTTCGAAGTTGTCGGCAATATCTGCACCTGCTTCGGGCAAGTTGGCCGTCTTGCTTTTCTTCTTTTTCTTCTTCTTCTTAGGCTTTTCTGATTGCGCCACATTCACAGGCGTTGACAGACCCTCAGGCATGTCTGGTTGTTGTTCTTCGGTTTGCTCTTGTTCGCCACTATCTGCTTCACCGTTTGCTCGCTCCGCATCTTCATGTTCTTGATTGTCACGAATGGTTTCGATCAAGTCATTCCTGGAAGCACAGTTCATTCAGCATTTTGCTTTCATTGCTTTTGTGGTTTCAAACTACAGTAAATATGGTAATGAGATATGTTTACTTACACATATTGTAGCCGTTCCTCCCGCGAGTCCATTTTGCGTGAGAGGGGTAGGTTATAGAAAGGCGGTCAACGCGTTCGAAACAAAGAAAGGAAAAAGGTCACTCTCCCTAAAAGCTGGGCTGGCTTTAATTTTTTCATTTGACAACAATGTGTAGGTTGGAAAACTACAGCAAGATATACTCCCGTTACTGTTCACCCTCGAGTACACGTTCTTTGTGCTATGATTTATACACAGCAACACATCGATGTGTAAGTGCTCTTTCTTTGAATTTTTTACGCTAGTATAAGTAGTAGTATGCCAGGAGTTCCAAGAATGCAGAAGCACACAAAGATGCTTAACACTTTAATTAGGATCGTAAAGTTTCTATGTGCAATATCATAAACAAACTTTCGGGGCCACATCATGATAGTGTTGATGCTCAAACACGTGGAATGTAATAAAAATTTGTTTTAACATATAAACAGCTCTTGGGCTGAGAGCTACTGGATACTAAGTACTGTACGCTTATTATATCATATCAACATTATAACCAATTTGACAATTTTGTAGGAGTGTCAAAAGCATTCGCTTCTTGTGCTCGTATCCCGCCACCACTTTTTTTTCCTCAAAACTTTATACGCGATCCACATGGTATGTTATTTTAACGCGCATTATACTGAAAAGTTCGATCAGTAGATCAACGTGAATAAGCTAAAAACTAAAGTCTTCCTTTTAAAAGTCTCGTTTGGAATTATTAACACCTGAAGGTAAAGTAGCTGAAGTCATTTATACGTTTAGATCTTTTAAACATAACAAATCTGATCGCTGCTTTGTGAATCGTATAAAAAACAGGTCTTCGGATCGATGGTCGACGTGCAAATGAATTACGTAGAATTACAGCCAAGACATCTGTATTCAGTCAAGCAGACGGCTCGGCTTATATTGAGCAAGGCAATACAAAGTGTTTAGCGGCTGTTTACGGTCCACGCGAGGTAATACGAGGCATATAATAACCACGAAAGCTACTATGTTAACTGCAGAGGTGAAATAAATAGCACAGAAAATTAAGTTTTTACACATTTGTACATAATAGGCACGATTCAGACAACAAATACAATCGGATCAGGCGCTTCTCAACGTCGAGTTTAACGTCGCGCCATTCAGTACGAGTGAACGCAAAAAACGATCCAAGAACGACAAGTAAAAACCGTCCCAGTTAATCAATCAATGGTCAATATGGTTAGCGAGGTGTAGAGACGTTACTCATGGACAATTGGGGAATTTTCTTTTTCGCGATTTATATAGACGATCATTGGAAATAGCCACCTTTATCCGACAAACGTTCGAACCCGTTATCCTTAGAAAACAAATCCCAAGATCGCAGATTGATATCTATCTACAAATCTTTCAGCATGATGGCGGTATATTACAGTGCTGTATCAATGCTGCTACCATGGCACTGATAGATGCAGGCATCCCTATGATTGATTACGTGTGTGCTTGTTCGGCTGGTTGCATTGATAAGATTCCCGTGCTAGGTAACTATCTATTAATAGTTTTGTGGTAAAAAAAAAGTGAGTTCAGAAAAAGACGATTGATTGACTAATTTGCTTCGGCTGGATTTATGTAGACTTGAATAATTTGGAAGAATCGTCGGATACACCTGAATTAACTGTGTCAATTTTACCACGGACCGGCAAGGTTAATTTGGTTGAGGTAAAAGTTTTTTTCTCGATCGTCCAAGGGAGCAGTAGCGATGACGATGACTAAACTATCGACTTTGGAATGATTAGATGGAGTCCCGTCTTCATATCGAAAAATTGGAAAGTGTTACTGAGTTGGCTACACAAGGCTGCATGCAAGTTCACAAGGTGTTGGACAGTGTGATTCGGGAAAACACCGAATATTTGATGGATCGACTGAATGCGTAAAATTGAATTTGTATATAATATACTATATATAAAAATATGTATAAAAAGATTGAAAGAAAACGAGAAAAAGTAACAACAATTGATGGAAGGTTGGGAAGAGAGGAAGACCCTTTAGAAAATAAGCAATAGGCAAAGGGATGGTCATTAACAATCGAATGTGAACGTGAGGATGTGGAAGATGATAGGGGAGGTAGTTTTATATATAGTAAGGTAAAGAAAAGAAGAGTTAAATACTATTTTGAAAAAGTTACTATGGTGTTATCGGGAGAAAACAGGAAAGTGAAAATAAAAAGAAGGAGGATGTTGTGCAGTGGCTACATGTATTATAATGTAGAAGCTCTTTCTACGTAATTACTAGGGAATACACCTTGCATTGGGCCAGCATCGCCGTTATCCTTGTATCCCATCCACCAAATATCATCGCTTCGATCCACAACAATAATCGGATCGCCCTTGTCAAAACCAAGCTCACCGTGTTCACGAGCATTAAAGTCAAACTTTGCATAGTACAGGTGTGGATGGTCTTCGCTACATGGCAAGTCGCCACGATTGTTCTCCATTGCAGCGTTCATGGCAGCTTGGAAGTCCTTGTGATATTTCGGCTTGTCATCGCTTTCCTTCGCCTGTGCTGGTTCGCGGGAAGAAAAGTAGTCCTGGACCATACGCTTGGATGCGGCACGGCCATCAAGTGCACCAGTAGGTGGGATGTTCTTTGCTCCACTACCACTTGCAGAAGCAGCAGCAGCAGCTGCCGCTAATTCGGCCGCTTCATCCTTCATATTGTCATTCGTAATATCAGCGTTATCCTTGATTTCGTTGCCATCTGGGCCCGTGATGGTCACCGTAGCAGCAGATGCTTCGGTAACTTGAGGTGCGTGGCCCTCAATAGGCGAGCCGGTATGTGTCTCCTTCCATCGCATAGGTGGCTCGCCTGGACTTTGAGATAATGGCGAAAGCGCATGATTTTTACTATTGTCAGCGCCATCAGCGCCAATGTTGAAGTTGGTATCGATCGCAGGCAATGACGGCGTCTCAGACCATCGGAAAGAACTAGTCTTGAACATGTTTGTGCTATCGACAGTCCCTGGATCTTCTTCTTTCGGATTATTGTCGTGGGTATTATCGACAGGCGTAGACTGATCCTTGTTAGACGGGCTCGACGCTACTGTTGCTATTGTTGCACCTGCTGCTGCTCCTATACCGGTACCCATTGCACGTGCATCCGATGCCGCTTCTGCTGTGGCCACAGCAACATTATTCGATCCATCGTTGGACATGGACCGTTCGTTCGTCATGATGCCAGTGTACTTGTCTTCATTATCTTCCATTTCACCAAGTGATGCCAAATCAAGTCCAGCTTCGTATTGACGCATGGCAAGCCTGCTACTGTTACTACCACCGCTGTTTCTGTTGTCGTTACCAGATGTGTCTATCAGTGTCGAATTCGTGACACCGGCTTGTGGCAGGTCGGCCACAATGGCTGTGGCTTTAGCAGTATCGGAATTCGGTGCCGTAGTCCATCGAACAATATCTGGATCTGATGAAAAATCGGCCAACAAGGATGGTCGTACGGGGCCAAAGACATCATCATTGCTGTTGCTGTTGTTGCTGTTGTTTCCGCTGCCGCCACTGTGATCTTGGGATGGACCATAGACAGAGGACACATCAGAATACATGGAAATGGCAGTGACAGGTCTGAGAGCCGCAACACCTTGGACTGAGTTCGTCGTATAGTTTGTCCATCGAACCCGCGAAGGATCGTCATCCGATTCAACGGTAGCTGTTGCTGATGGGTCTGCTGGCATATTCCGTAGTGCTTGCTGGTATTGCTGTGTTGTGTCGCGCATCTCACTTTCTCGATTACTACCTGCAGCCACAGGGGCAATAAATGCTGTTGCCATAGCAGCATCCGCATCACCGCCTGCGTTGGTCCATCGGAAGTTGGATGCCGAATCGCGATCAGGTACAAGGTTGGAGGCAGTAGAATACATTGATACAGGCCCAACAACAGCAGTTGCTGGCCCATCGGCGGGTACATTAGTCCATCGTACAGCATTGGCAGAATCGTTATTATCCGTTTCTGAAGGTGCGGGCAAGACGGATGCCATTGATACAGGCCCAACAATGGCAGCTGTTGCGGGTTCTACTACTGGAGCATTGGTCCACCGAACTTGGGTCGCTGCAGCAGCTGCTGTGCCAGCTACCGGTGCGCCAACATTCAAGAATGCAGAGCTTTCTGGGCCCGTTGGTGTTCGTGAAGCGTACTGCGCGTTGTTGCTATTGTTGTTGGCAGGAGGACAATCGTCACTTACTGCAACACCCACAGCCGATGACCGGAATGGATTATATGAGTTTCGTGAATCTGCACCTCTTGCTGTAGCACCACCCATGGCGGCGGCACCAATACCAGCAAGACCTGAAGCATCAGCTGTGTTTTCTCTTCCAGAAATATTGTTGTAGGTTTCCATCTGTGGTTGATGTTGTTGCTGTTGATCAGTGTCAAAGTAACTTTGCTGCTGTTGCTGTACCGTCTGTATGCTTTGATCATTGTTGATACCACGTGAATTAGCTGCAGCTGTGGCAGCGGCAATGCCACCAAGCGCTGCTGTTGTGTTAAAACCAGATGACGGTGTTTCTGTCATTTCGGGTCGAGTGCTGCCGGTGTTCATCATGTTCGATGAAGGAAGCGCGTGGGTTTCGTAAGCGTTATCACTCATGCTTCGATCCTTTGTAGCTTCAAACATGGCAGCACCGCCAAAAGCGGCACCTCCAGCACTTGCTGTGGGAGCCATCGCATCACTCGAGTTGAGCATGGCAAGCAATGATTCAGGCCGACGAGGTGGTTTGCCGTAATAAGTTGCTGGGTTTGCAGCCGGGTTAACTTTGGCTTCGCGACGTCGTTTGGCGAAGAGCACACCCATAGCAAAGAGGACAACCACGAAAACGATACCGAGTGCAGATGCGACAGAAACCAATACAACAATAGGTGCAGGGAGATAAGCTGTCATTGTCATGTTAGTTTTCATGATTGTCTTTCCTTCGAAATCAATGGTCCGGGCACAGTAACGTTAAAAACTTACAGTCTGGGTTTAGGTGAGGGTAATAAGACTTGAAGAACACGCTCTGCAATGCATCCGTAGAACCATTTTCCGATGCAACAGTGAGGTACGGTATCCATTGAGAACCATTGTACAGAGCACTGCTCAAGTTGCCAAGATCTCCCAAGTTGAGGAAACCTGTCGCCAACAATACTGCCTTATCGTTTCCCATAAGGTTTGATCCCCCCGATTCTTTCAACGGCAGCACGGCGAGCTGACGGATAATGCTTTCAGGACCGAGTTCCCCATCTATACATTTTATTAAACTTTAGCATTTAGTGATCAGGAAAGGATGTCCACTCAAAAAAAAATGATAATAACCTGGAACTGTGAACTGTTGGCCGTCCCAAACCCGAAGATATGCACCTGTTTCGACTCTAAAAAATTCAAACGCTTATAAGTACGTTTTCCACTTTCACATTGCCAAAAAACAGAAGAGCATCTGATACATACTGGCCAGCAATAAACGTCTTTTTTGATTGACCATCATAAGAAACTGCCGTGGAGTTACCGGGCAAACCATCGTCACTCAAACTGGATGCAAAAGTACTCCATTGGTTGTTGTCATAATTATATTCCGCAATCGGGACGGCTGCACCAGAAAGTTGCAGGTTACCAGCAACAATCAGCTTGCTCTGGACGTAATAAGCATATTGATTAGGTTTTTATCAACTTAATCGCAGAATATTACGAAAAGTAACTTACTCCAGTATAAGTGAAATCTAATGCTTCACCGGCAAGACTCCTGTCGCCCAAGTAATTCCATTGATGGTTAGCGGTATCAAGCACGCAGATACCTGAACAGGACAGTGATCCAGCGCTGCTAAAGTTGCCAGCAATGATCATGTTCCCATCTGTTGAGCCGTGACCAACTTTATGAACATGGGACGGAGAGCTATCGTGTGCTATAAATTAACCGAGTCAAAACAGATCTTTGATTTCTTTTCTTTTTTGCTAGCTAAACATATGTCGCATATCCTTACTGTGTAATTCTGGAACTGGGATGAATGTTCTGTTGACTAGATCATACACCACCAAACCAGTTTGCGTGTTATTGTGCGTCTGATTCATGTGTCCACCAATATATAGATAGCCTCTGTTTACGGCCATCATAGTAATGGAACCTTCCCAAGAAGCACCGATACTCGACCACGATTCGTTTTCGTAGATCGCAACATTTTGTATCTCGTTATCAATTTCGAACTGACCGCCGATAATTGTAGCCGAAGTGTTCCCATGCTGCTCGTCGCTCCAGAACGTGCCTGCAGTAATGGAATATGGTGTGCTATTGCTGACCGCGGGATAGACTGGGAAAGGTGACAAGTCGGTGTTTTCGTTCATGAACGAGAAGCCACGTGCTTGATCTCGTTGAGCTGCTTTGACATCGCCGACAAAGACCGTGCTTTGTTCTGTGCCGTTGGTGATTTGTAAAGCTTTGCTGACGCGACCAGAGATAAAAGGTGCGTCGAGCGTCCAGCTGTTGTTACCGAGACTCCACCAGGCATTGCCTGCTGTTGCGTTTCCACTGGTGGCTTCTGCTTGGTTTAAAGCGACAGAGTGCGTGCCTGATACAATCACATTTTGCGAGTCGCCTGACAAGTGAATGGCGCTAACAGGTCCATTGACACCTCCACCCAACGAAATCCATTTATCACTATTGATACTGTAGCGTACGATGTTGTTTAAACGCGATGTGTCACCAGTAGCTGCCAGTCCAGTGAAGGACCCACCAACGTATAGATCTGCATCTTTTCGCAGAAACGCTGAGATCTCTCCATTAAGGCCGGTTCCTTGCAATGCTGCCAACCTTTCGGTAGATGAGTCGTAACGAACAATGTTGTGATATGTTGTATTTGCTCCAGATGCGGATGAAAAGCTACCGCCAATGTATACGTTGCCGTCCGAAGCCTCCAATGCATTCACCGTTGATGCATAAGGAATATTATCTAGTTGACATTTGTAGTTAGTGTAACATGCCTCATTATGTACGATTTCTCTAAATGGGACAATATCACGAATAGTAGTTACCAGCAAGAGAACTGTATGATCCGCCCAATGTGGTATTGGCAATTTTTTGCTCAGTAGCATCGTATTTAAATTCAAGCACACTTGCCAGCGTCGTATTGGATGCCTGTTTGATAAACTGAACAGCTTGAAGCGAGATGGAGGAATTTCCGCTCGCAGGCGTTGTAGCGTTGCTAGCCACTGTTACTGTTACATAAGGCTGGAATTCTGTAGTTGTTGCCTCAATACCGCCCGTATATACCAAGATGGATTGACCATCTGCTGTACTCAAATCGACGTATTTCTTGACGGAGGATCCTTCTGAAGTCGGATAGGTCGTGACATCAATTTGCGATCGCTGGGCACAACCACTCGAGCAAGCTGGCGCATATAGATACACTTCGTATCGACCTGATTCAGGCAGATACGGTTTGAAGGTAGCAGAAACACTCGAAGATTGGGATGCTGAAAAGGACGAGGATAACAAATGCACATAGGATCCGGATACTTGATCGGAGGCCCAGGATCCTTCTGTTGATATCAACGAGCGCTGTGTATAATCCATTGATGTAGCACAAGCCTTTCCATTTAAACCGTCAACCGCATAGACAAAGATTTCTAAAGTCCATATAACAATTTCATTAGCAAATACTTCTACTGAATATTCAATTTTGTTCTTATTAAAAGCTTTCTAACATACCAGATTGAAAAATCTCAACAGAGCTCAAACCAGCTCCAGAGCCATACCACGATGATATTTCAATACGAATACCGGATGACAGCGTGGTATCGCGAACTTGAAAATCTTGGTACTCGACCGATGGATCATCAGTTAGCGAACAATCAGTTGAGCATTGTGAGCGCTTTCTCGTGATAGGATCAATGTACGAAAAGTTGAAGGCCGTGTTGCTCGGGATGGATATGACTCTATGACATAGTAAATTGACAGTAGAGCATTATCAGCAAACTGTCATTGAAACAAACAAAGCTGGATTGTTCTACTTACGAGAAATTCTTGGTACCACGCCCATCCTGATGTGTATTTGATAAGCGGATCAATGAAGGTGTAATCGAGTATGGGAAAGCTGCCTGCCAAGATCCTGCTGTATCATCGAGCACAAGCCACGGATCCTCATCGAGCGTTTCGGGACAAACGATGCTTTGCGGATCACTGTTGACTGTACCAGAATTTTGGGCGGAAATCACCTAAAGAATTCATAAATTTGTTCGTGACGATAAGTTTCATGTCGGTTATATAAACACAAATACCAAGAGAGAAAAAAAGTATAAAGAGAGTGCAAAGTAATAATAGAAAAAAAAGGAGTTGAGACAAAGGGGAGGAAAGTCGCTAACAAATTAAATGAAGTTTTTAAAAAAGGAAATATAAGTAGGTCTCATGATAATATTTACAGCTGGTGATGCAAGACTGACAGGCTGGCTTGACGGTGCATAGTAGTTTTGTCCGTCCGCCGAAGTATCAAACCGGCCGCCAAACAAGATTGTGCCTGTTGCTCCGTTTTCAGCGATGGCGTTGACAGGTCCATTAAAACCTTTCCACGGCAAACCATGCCATAAATCATCTTTCCAGACGGCCACACCGCCTCCAAAGTATGACAACGATTCCGAGTACTGAGGAGCTGGTGCCACAGGTGCCATGAATCGACCGCCTGCATAGACACTGTTGGATGATTCGTCGCAGTATAGGGTATAAACAGGTCCATCAATTCCGTTCGCAAGCGCGGATACGGTGCCTGTGTTCAAATCAATTGCAGCGATATTGGAGACGTTTGTCGGACCGAATTGCAGGAAATCGCCTCCGATGTACAGGTAATTGCTGTTTGTGAGCGTGCATGCCGTGTATATCGATCCGTTTGCGGATGAATGGGCGAGTAATTCAAACGTATTGTTGGAGAACGATAAAGCGGATGCGGTGTTTGGTGGGATTTGAGTCAATTGTCGAGTATCCGTGTATAGTGAAACGCCTCCATACGGTCCTGCAATGCCGATTTGTTCTAGCTGCTCGAGATCAATGGCGGGGTGTTGGATATAGGATGCGAACACGGTGGTAATCGTGCTAATAAGTATTAATGGTAGTAGTATCGTCGAGAATGCCGGTCGTAGCCAGGTACGTCGTGTCATTGTCGACGATCGATTTATGCAAAAGGAATGCGATTCGAAAATTGAAATGTGGTTTGGTATGTGTGTGTGCCTGGAAGTTTATGTAAGAGAGTCGGGCGTATAAGGAGGTCGTGTATGGCTGTGGGATGTTTGAAATAAGAGTAAAGAGTAGCTATCAAATAGTTATATATTATTTCAGGAGATGAGGATATCCCGATCGAGTAGGATCGTCAAGTCATCAAAGGGTGTGAAGTGTTTTGTTGTCGTTGTTGAATTGGAGAAACGAGAGCTGATTCGGGCTTGGGCTTTTTCTTTTCTTTCAATCGACAGAGGAATGTTACGATTGGCCAAGATAAATATATAAAACAAAAAGGAGGGAATAGATCGCACAAAGCGCTGATGAGCTTTTAGCACGTAAGGAAGAAGAAAATAAGAATAGAAAAAGAAAGGAAGGGGTGAAGCAAGTACTGAAGGAAAAGTAGGGCGGCAGAGCTCCACATCGATTCGCGAAAAAGCAACGTGCCACATGGGATAGTGCTCGCAATAGGCGATGGTTACACCAACATGTTCGAACTCCATTGAATCTTCCACTTGTCTCTCCTTTGAGCGCACGTACTTCATACATGGCGCTTACACAGAGTGTATTAATTGTTTCAGTTGTGTCGCATTGATCTCTTTCTTTGTGGTAATACGACATGATAGCTTGGTGCTGCAATAAGAAGAGGGACGATCTTCGCTGCAGTATCCCGGCCTTCTTCTACTACAAACTATCGTTGTTATTTATTCAGCACAAATATGGCCAAAACAGACCATTTCGGTCCATAAAAGCTACTAGCAACAATGGCATCAACCAGTCATCCCATACATACCCACTGTAACGTGTCATCTTAGCACCCTTTATACTAGTGGGGTGGCGATCGTTTCAGTGGAGATACTGGTGACATACACCACATTCTATAGTAACGACAGTAAAGTTACTATATGATGGCTTCCCCTTGGTAAACCTTTTTATTTTAATATTTAATCTCTTTGATGATCGCCAACAATGCAAAGATAACGAAATTAATATAAGGAAGGCGCGGCGTGTATTGTGTATGCAAGACAGCGCTTTATTAAGCTTTCTGCGGTGCTTGCAAACCATGAAGGTTTTCTCAACTTAAAGCACGATCGTGCAACCAATTTTGTTCTTTTCTGCGCTACACCTGCCATTCTCATCGACGGTTCTAACCATAATTAGTTTGTAATACCAGGAAACTAAAGGATCTTTAAACCAGTTCACGTGCTTGCCTTGTCAATAATATTACACTTGATACGTACTTAAGGCCGGTTTTGGTATATAGTTTTTTTCATATAGTCAAATCTCTTTTATTCGTCCTGTTTTAGATATGATCATGAGCAGATAGAAAAGTTATATGGGTACGTCTATATTTTCCATCGCTGGGCAATATATTTTAAATATGCACGGAAAGAAGCTCCACGATCAAATGCTACAAGAATACTATTTCTATGTATATCAACTACAAAGGAGTAGTTAATGGCGAAGCTTGCGCGTTCGTTAAGATAAGGCGACTGATGTCGAAGCCATGATCGCGGTACTCTCTTGGAGCTATTAGACATTACGCGTTGACCACGTTTAGCTATTGTAGGTGCCACAAGAGCTTGAAGAACGCTCCAAGCATCTTGTGACGTTCGTACTGTAGTAATTCATATGTTCTTTAACCTAGCACTGAGTGTACACCCTCCCCCCCCCCACACCTAACCATGCATATTAGCGTCAACGCAACTTGCTTCATAAAAAATTACGACAATTAAGCGACACAGGTATCGACAGAGTAATATTTCGGTAATTGAAGAGGAAGAAAGTACCGCGTACTCAGTTCTCACTTGCTGGTTCTTGCTCTATAATTAGAAAGCGAGCAGCTGTGCGGGAACTGTTGTACATCTTTCCATAGCCAAAAGAAACACATACTGCGGGGTGTTCGACGTGGTTCTAGGTATAGATGGAGTAAACATAATCATCTTGTTATTGAGAATGCATTTGCACAAAATCTAAATATATGACTCTGTAACAGAGCATCGCCTCAAGTGTTTGTTTCAATGCTTGCAACGTCGCTTAGTGACGAAAAGTAGTTCTGGATCAGTGCGACATATTAACCACGTTGTGTAGGTGCACAGGCCCAGATGCACCATTGTTAGTAAAGTTCCGAACAAAATTTCAGCTCACATTTTATACTTTTGCTGATACATACCATCGACCTGTAATCACCCTTCCATACAGTCCATTGTTTTGGTTATACAGCCACGTCAACTACATTTTATTGCTTCTCGAACAAGCTTTTTCTCGTCTTCCACATGCACGCTCGCTGAGGCTGTTGTCATGTTGAGGAGCTCAGCAACTTCGTTAATACAATTTTTGGAATCATGGTCAAAGCTAAATTGGATAACAAACTTGAATACTACAGGATTTTCCCTATGATTTGGCGCTTGATCTTTTTCAATTTTTGCGCTGGAGGGGGACTATCACATTGGCGGAAGGATGTGTTCTACTTGGCGCAACATATTTTTACATTTTGGCACATGACGAATTATAACTTTGCGTCTTGGTTATTCATTTTAGACTACAGCTCTGACAAGAGTACCACTTTTTCCTCATCCGAAAGATCGTTTTAAGTATACAGTACGTTAAATCCTGCTTCATCGATAAAAAGACACCGCTCGAAATTAATATTTTGTCCCTCTTAGCTCTAGAATCCATTCCTTCCTCTTCTTGATAGTTTCACTTGAAACACGATACAGTGGACCCCCTTTAATGTCAACCCTCAAATACAGCTGAAAGTGTTGACGCTAACGTGGGTTGACATTAAAGGGGGTGGACTATTCAGACAAAAAGTTTACCTGTATAATAAAAATAATGAACCAGCGCACCCTGACACAGTGTATGTATGCAACAGAGTCGTCCCTAACAATATTTTTCAACCAACAACGAAATAAACTCTTTTGATTGGATATGTTTGACCTCAATATGATGTTAACCCTGGCTAAGGTGTTGACATTGACCTTATGTAGAAGTTGAAATTTATCTCTGCTTAAATGTGAGGTTCTCAGAAAAAGGTTGACCGTATCGGGGTTTGACTTTAAACGGGTTGACATTAAAGGGGGTCCACTGTACTCGGTGAATTTTTGTAACTTCTTCATGGTAAGTTCACAACAATGCTTAACGAGATGTTTCTGCAACCCACTTTGTGTAATAGATACATCATATAACTTCTGAAGAAATTCAGTATGATAAATCATTAATGTTGGTAATGGTGCACCTTTTTTTTAAGTCGATTTAGAAGATACGGCTCAATATTCCTAAGACGAGCACAATACGTTTGTGCTGTACGCTCTGGTATTCTAAGTATGCGAATAGCCCCTGCTGCATTAAAGGAATGTTTTGTGTAGTATCAACGACTTCGACAATGGAGCTTTGCATTGTTGATTCGTGTTTATTCACGCCGATACTGGGTTTTTTAAAAACAAAACTTCGACATTTTTTTGGCTAATATGTAAAAGACCATAAAATCGAAATATCAGGTATCTTGTGGTGAACCACATTAATACACTGCTTAAGATACAGTATCAACAATAAGAAGTTGGAATTTCAACATAAATTGAAGAACAAGGGCAACGGTACAGTAAGAAAAGCAGTATATAAGATGCATGCTACGTATTTCAGTTTGCTTTTCTTCCTGATTGTCTTGGTCGATGCACATTTGGTCATACCATATTTATCTGATGTTGAATTGTTGGCATATTTGTTGAATAATGTCTTCAAATTTGACGTTATTATAAGATCCATCTGTTCGAATTATCTTGTATTCGCCTTTATCATCTCGTGTTTCTTTCCTAGTGGCTTTATCAAATTTACTGTCACCAGATTGGTTCCAGGAATGCGATAATGTACAATACCCTTCGTATACTTGAGATTCATCGACCACCTCCATATCAGATACACGAACAAGTTTGGTGGTAGGCAAGGCATATGGTTTAGGCAATGCATTTAAGAACCTTTTGGGGAGTTTGACCGTGTTTAACGTAACCACCATTTTCGTCTTCGGTGTATTGAGCAGCTTCATATTTGGTATACATTTATATGTATGTCTATAAAGAGATTGAGGAATGGAAATAGTAATATGTATAAATGGTGGCATTAATTTTGATGAATATACTTTTCTTAAAAAAAAATCATGCATTTGTAATTTTTGATAATACATTGAACTTTATATGTGGAAGAGTTGTGATGTATATTATAGGTATAGAAAAAAAGTTACAGCGTGAGAGAATAATATGTATTTATACAGATACATGATATTTTTTGGTGATTTGTACAGTAAGTTTTGTTTAAGTGTAAATACATATATATGTATATATATATGTATGTAGGTATGTGGTGGGGAAAAGTTATAATAATAATGATAATTGTATATAAGATAAAGCATGATTATCTATCGCTATAGCTCCAGATAATTGAGGGAGTCCATTATTGGACTTCGCGAACCTGAACTGCAGAGGAGGGTCCTACCCACCCTCCGCTATTGGCTACGCCATCAATGATCAAGGATTTAATAGTTGATACTCTTGGCACTATATAGACAATTTTTCTTTCTTTTACTTTAATTTCATTTGTAATGTTTCTCTGATATATCCGACTAATAAAGCGACAAGATGATCACAGCACTCTGCAGTTCAGGTTCGTTCAGTCCTCTAGACTGAATCCACAATATTAAAACATAGTTGTATGGTGTATATGGGATTCAATCAATAATAAAAAATTATGGTGTATTTAGTAGATTTTAAGATAAACAGTTTTTTAATGTAATTATGAGGTAATTATTATATATTGATCACTAAGAAAATATTTTTTTATTGATCAAAAAGGTTGTTAGGAATCAAAGAAGTTTTGGATTAAACACCATGTCTTTTTCGAATCAAAAATGGCATTTTTTCCCCTTGGACTTGAAAATTTTAGATATTATTCTTTTTTTAGATAGAAATAGAAATGGTGGATTATCCAATAATTAGTTGTTATGGATCAGTTCCCTACATTGTCGAGTAGTACTTATTATTTTGAATAAAGGTTTAAACTTTTTTGGCTTTTTTGATGATGATTCTTGAAGTCTTGGTAGAAATAGTGGTTCTTTAGTTTTTTCATATTTGAGGTGACATCTGGTTCTTCATTGGCGCTTTCACCTACGAGATAATCGTCAACTAAATTTAATGAATGTTCTACAGTAATCTATGAAGTTAAAATACCACGTAGTAGTTAAAAGAATATTTTTCTAAATTTTATTATAAAATTAATTTAAAAATATAATTTATTATATTAGAAAAAACAAAATAACTGAATCTTAATATAAGGGGAATATGTGCAGATATTACCTTGGTATTACCTAAGGGGAATACGCGGGAATATAGAAGCGTGTTCCTGGGGGAATATTCGTTAATATCAGGGGAATATCTAGACATACTACCTCAGGAATATCAGGGTAATATGTGGGTAATATCAACTCATATTCCCCTCGTTTTACCATGTTTCTTTTTGCAGTGATTTAAAGTGTGGTTGAAAATCGACTTCCTTTAAATGCCCCCAATCCTTTTCCCTTTTCCCTTTTCTTTTCATTTCTTCCTTCTTCTTTCATTTTTCTTTCCTTAATTCCCTCTACGTCTTTTGTCAAATCGCGTCTCTTACTGCCACCCTCTATTGTATATTCTCATTGCACTATTGCTACTTCTTTTTTTACTCCTATCATATATATTGCTTATAGCTTACTTATCCCATACTGTTGAATATAAAGTATAATCCCACAATAAAAAGAATTAGGTACGTTTTATGCTATAGTTCTATAGCAGACATATTGACAACTAATGATGCTTCCCAACAAGAAGATTGACTACTTAAATATAAGTACCTCATACATATTATATGTATACACGGGTCACAACGGGTCAACAGGTCGGGTCAAGGGTTGGACGGGTCGACCCACAGGTCAGAAAAGCATCAACCCGACCTGTTGACCTGTCCTCAACCCGCGGGTCAGATTGCAACCAACCCCTAGTTGATTCATATAGTTTTCTATATTGAAGAATACTATCCTCATTAGATGAATGATTATTCCTTATTATTTTGATTTGAAACATTAATCTTTTTAGGTATGTACTATTTTTATATACTTCTTATTATCTAAGGGTGAATGTATAGTATGATTCACTTCTGATTCTGATATATTTCTTTAATGTTTTTCTCACATCCTCCTTATCTAAAAAATTACAATAATTAAGATGTTTATCTTATACAAAATCGCTTATTTTATTTTCTTTTTCTTCTTCATCCTCAAAACATTATTACTTACATGATTTATCCAAAAGCGTCAGATCTTCACTTATCAAATGTGAGGTAAAAGGTGGTCGGATTTGAGGAGTCAGTACACAAATGCAATATGTCAACAGCACAAACATCAATAATTTTACTGTGCCATAGCAAACAGTGAAAAGAGACACCGCGTTATTTAGTGTGATTTTATGTAGTCCAATTGAAAGTTTTGAAGACGATTTTCATGCAATTAACGAAGGTGTGAAATCTACCAGTAGCCTTATACCTTCCTGTTCGAAGCAAGAGCATCAACGGAAACCACTGCTTAATTTATTATGAGACTCACTTATTTTGTGTGTTGGCTTACGTCTATTATCATAGAACATACTTGCATATTGCAGCAGAAGAAGCCATTAAACGTTAGGAACAAAAACATGAACGAATCGAAAGCGGAAGAGCAAAGCGAAAATGGATGCGAGCACCCTTTGCTAAAAGCACATTTCCGATAAGGTGAGTTTCAGACATAATGTATGCTATATATAGTGATGGTCTGATGCATCCCACGATCATATTTTTTTTTTGATGCTTAATTTGTATTAACACTCATCCCACAATATTTTCAACCACTGCGACGCATCATGTTTGTAACGAGGTCAACAGCTCATCACCACCACCAGAGGAGCCGTCTAGAAGTATTCTGCCTCTCAGTAAGCAAAAGCGGCGTTAAATCAAATCGGTGGCGACAGCATTGCGGTCGATGATGTTGAAATGCATATTCTCCATAAGCCGATGACTGCAGCGGAAAAGCGCCGCCGATACAACTTATGTAGCAGCAGAGTTAGCGGCTATGGCCGAAGCTGAAGCTGAAGAAGAGGGACAGAAACGTGGCAATTGATGTGACGTGAATATCGCACTACAACCATTGAACGTGCTGACGCTAAAAAATGCTTGTCGGATGCAAGGTGCTAACAGCACTCAGTAATATTTTTCTCAGCACATTGCAACAAGCAAGGTCATGCCTCAGCGTTTCGACCCTCAGTATTATCGACCAATTTTGCATGAACAAAGCCTGAAAGATTCGCCGGCTGATGCTGTCTATGACAACATCGGTATGGTGCTCAATGTTCAACGAACTATTTTTTTTTCTAGTAGTAACCAAGTTAAGTAGCTCAAAACTACTGACGAGACTACTGGATTACAAGAGCGACATACTTCCTCACTAGCCTTGTTCTACTCCTTAATGGCTGCACTCTCCGCGATGTTGATATTATACAAAGCGTCAACCATTGACGCGAGACACGATTTTTCAAATGCACTTATCAAATCCATGCCAATCCGCTGTCTGAAGTTGTCAAGTATGCTAATGAGGTGCAAGTCTGGCTGTCGAAAGCCGTTAGACGCAGTGGCTTTTGAGAGCAAATGAGCCTGCAGAAGTTAAATCCGCAAACGACGCAATAAGGCTATGTTGAATGCATAATCAGACACAGCAGCAAATTCTTTAGTCTCGTCCCCAGTCAGACGACTCGGTGAACCTACAGATACAGAGGACCGCCGTATATCACTTGTCCTACCGACACAAAAAGGGCTCGAACCTTGATTCTTTTCTTTTTATCTAGTAAATTGATGCTTTCATGTTGGCCGGAAGCGACCGGCGGAACGAAGAGCTCATGAGAGTATTTTCTAATCTGGTAAATCAATATACATATCGAGTATTTTAAGAAATCTGATAATATGTATTGAATTTGAATACATACGATTGATCGTCTAAGAGCTCCAAGCATTAACGATTACCGTGGAAAGAATCAGATGCATAGAGGGTAATTATTACTTTTAATTTAAAGTAAAGAAGCCTTTGTAGCAAAAGATTCGCATCGGTTTCCATAACATCTTGCAATGATCATCAGCAGCATCGAATAAACCGCCCAAGAGGAATTATTTCTCCCGCATATGAATTTCATACCCAGAGCGTCATGATATGTTTAAAGCGATATCCAACGATCAAAGGAAGGTTTAAAAGGAGGTCGAATAAATATTATATGACCATGTGATTGTTCGACGTCGTATATATGCTGCCCCTTTTATGTTGTGATGAGGTGTTAAGACTTGTGTATTTAAGTCATCTGTGAACAAATAGACATTATAAGTAAGAGAAAATTAATCGTTTATACAACACCGTGCAATGAATAGTGAAGCAAGGTGCAGAAAAGCTGGGATATATAAGAAGTAAAAGGGAAGTTGCGCAGTGATTGTATCGAATGAATGAGTGTGTGAAGGTATACAGCACTATCTGTTAAAATAGCATAAAGTTTCTAGAAATTTTAAGGAATAAATATTTGCGATACTACTTTAAAGGGCGTACATGATGTGTGTCTAACAAGTTATAGTGAAACCAAATTATTATCAACGAGCTTCATACGACGTGAGCTCCACGTTGGAAGAAAACGATGTGGTTGATTCTCGCTTTTTTGGTTTTATCTTGTTCATGAAAAAATTGCTGTTTGTATTTCCGGATCCGTCTCCGTTTCCGTTTTCGTTTGATTGCTTTCTCTTTTCATTTTGCTGCAAGATTTGGTCCGTGTTCTTTAAAGCGTTGAGGATCACATCGTTGTCGTCAGTGAACCGAGACATCGTACCGCCATCTAATGTGGTCGATTCGAGCCTTCCGTCAGGCTGTGTTGTTGATGCTGTAAAATTTTCTCCTGTTGTTTCGTCTGCAGATCGTGTTCGTAAAGCAGGGTTCTGACTCTTGTGAGGACTGCATTTCAATGATTACATGAGTAACTAGGTATAACTCGCCTTTTCTGATCATCTTGCTATATAGCAGCAGTATGAAAGGAAACTTACTCGAAAATAATCAGCACGAAAGACAATAGTGTTGTTACTACTGCCAAAAGATTCCAAAGAACACCAAGGAATATGCTTGCCGCAGTTGTCCTGATGATCTCATATCGCAAGATGGCATAGCAAAGCAACAAGGTTCCAAAACTCCAGAGACATAGTGCCAAAGTGAGCGCCATCATCCGCAGTTTGAAAATACCAGCCTTGATATCTGCCCAGGTTGGACTATTGCGGTATTTTTTGTGGTGCTCTGTCAAAATACGTACGAGCCGGAGACCAGCAACGAAAATAATGGTACCCGTACCGCCAGTCCATAATGCCCACAGACCATAGTTTATGCTCATCAGCAATTCAGAGGTCGCTAGATCGGTTTTGGCCAGCGCACCCAACGCTAGTGTAAACGACCAACTACAAAGAAACGGAATGATCAAAGCCGAAAAGCCAAAAATGTCAATGACTGAGGCAGAAGGAAGCCATCCCGAAGCTGAGTGACTCTAGATATCAAATTCGTGATGCCGGTGTTGTTGCACGACAGAAATAAAAGTTTTCAGCTAGAATCACAAATTTGTAATTTTTTTTGTTTGTACTCATAATGTCTACCTGAGAAATAGCCTGTGCTATTCCAATAAAGTAAAACAGCAGACCTGACAATCCGAAGACCCATGGCAGCTCGAATAGGACTATTGCACATTCCTTGACATTTTAATTTAAACGCTATCATCATATCGGCTATACGGCTCTCACAAGTTGAAAGATATATTTTTTATTGCTATTATTACTTACATGATCGTGCGAGCATGTTCTCTGGTGCAACATCCGCAACCAATATTATGCTTGTCAACATTCGAACTATAGAATAACACGTTAGCAGAATTAGCACGAAGTCTACAGCACTTGCCCTTGCTACTTCGCATGATTCTTACGAGTATTAAACATTGAAAATAAAAGGATCATGCTGTCGATAGGCTTCGGTCGTAAAAGCCCGCGAGTAACTCCAGCTTGGCTCCAAAGTGTATGTCCCCTCACGAACAGCCTGTAAACCAACAGCGCACTTCCTAGATTGCAAGTAATTTTAAAATTTCCTGTCACGTTGATGTCATCGATTTTAGAAAAACATACCAACAACAACCGCTAATGCCGAGAGTATGATGTTCCACAGGTGTACATGCCACATTGGCACGCTCTCAACGCAATCCTGGATGGTTACGCGCCAATCGCAGTGACATATGTTGCCATAGCAATGGCGCTCCAAGGACTGGGATGTCAGTTCTAAAGCCATATATCTATGTCTTTTTTTTTGTGTGGGCCGTATGAAAGAGACAGGTAGATCTATAAAATCGAGCACAAAGTCAAATGTCGTACGCTCATATGTAACGTGAGAGTTGAAGCAATGTTGCTCAACGGTGGATATCGAAGGTATTACACTGGTAGCACAAAGGATATACAAATACTTTTCAGTTAAACCCCGTCATCGTTCCCAACACTTTGGTTCACTTTTTGAAAAGTGGTAAGGGAGTACAAAACTTGATGTATCCAATAATAAGCATTTCATTTCAAACAAGGTCCAGAAGGTGTCAATCCATATTTAATAAAGTTTTACCCTTGTGATCAAACAGATCAAGAGCTTCCGATCCATCAGATCCAGATGTAAGTGCAGTAATATGATAGAGACGATCACTATCTTTTTCATTCTGAGATCACTAAGTGGTACCTCTCATTAAACCCTTTTCTCTGTAATATCTACCTTCATTCGTGTGTATTGTTCGTTATACAGCACTACTAGGTCGTTTGCATGGTTAGATCTCCGCAGGAAGCACCAAATTCGTTTAGTTTGCAACGCAGACAGAATATACCATAAGTTCTTTATCCACGCATCAATTAATACACGATAATGAATGCATGAGTGAGTGCTTCATCGTAATCCTATAACAGCCTCTAAATCAAGTCTCTTACAGATTGATCCAGAATCTATAGATAAAAAGCTGCGAGAGAAGCATCTTTTGTCTTCAGAAAGCTTTTTGTTTGGAATTCTTTAACTGCTTTGCTCACTCGAAGAAGCTACGGTCATGTTCACTGTGTAATTTACCTGCATTTGCGTTGTTGCGCCCATGATTGAGGACCTGCCGCATGTCGATTTCGAATGTTGCAAGTCAGTCTTTGCACTAGGTATACTCTGTTGTATGTCAGAAGTCGGCGTCCCTAATAGAAAGTATCTTATCACAGATATTGGTACCTGAAGCTGTCTATATATGATCCGAGTTGCACTTTGAGTGAGATCTCGCTAATATTGAAAAGAACTCTTAGCAATCACGACCACAGCACCAGGACAGATGGCGCATAAATTACTAGATATCAGATTACAGTGCGTGTTTAAGCCATAATGGGAAAAGCTTTAGCTCGATTATATGCACTACGTATTGTTGGGTTGTGATGGTTTTTGTTCTTTACAGCCATCAGTTCGCAGGATCTAACGGACTGATCAGCATCTCCTTTTGCTTTACGAACCAGCGCCTTTTCTCGTGTTTTGCAATTAACTTCGTTAAAGCAGTTGACATGTCTGCAAGTCCAACAACTTCTGCATCATACACATATCTTCTTGACGCAACTGCTTCCTAATCAGCGAAAAATTATATAAATATTCGTAGCCAGCAAGATATGTCACTACCGTATTTGAAAAGCAGTTCAAGTTGCTGAGTACACTTTCAAGCGGATGGTTTTATTACTGTTGGCGTCTGCTTTCAGTAATTGCTCGGAGTTTAGCAGCAAATCAATCCTATGATACGCGATGCATGCTGTTTTGTAAACTCCTTAAGCTTCAAAGCGGCATTACGTACAATCCTTCTACCAGCTTTAGCTCTTTCCGTTTTCTTTTCGCTCATAACTTTATTGAGCTTTGCCTACTACATAAAAATGGCACTGATAAAACTGCGTTTCTGTTTCCCCAACTACATATTATAGGATTGTTAAACTCCCCCGATCCTGCTAGCAATCCTTGCCTCGCCTCCCTTTACACACGCAGAAAAAAGATGAAAAGAAAGAAATTAAAGAAGTGTTACCATAATAACCGCGCTGCTATTTGTAATTCTCATAGACTCTGCTTTTAAATATAACATATCATATTTGACGCAATGCATATGCGTTTTCAACTTTGCTTAAGCATGCGATTGTCATCGTGGTATACACGCAGCAGTCGCTGATCGCATTAGCAATGGCTACAGTTGGTATCGTCAGTAAAGCCAATACTAAGATGGTACAACACTGAATAGACGTGCTTAAAAGTTGCATTACATATCTCAAGAGTATCATCTATTTCCTTTTATCGTAGCTATCAGTTAGCAGTAACGTACTGCTGTCAAAAATCTTACTTTTTATTTTATATTAGAGTTTTGAAAAGTACTTTGTAGAACGTTTCTGTATCCCATTCCGTCTGTCTTAATTTCCATACGTCCGTGATGTATATGATATCTCAATTTTTCGCCTGCTAGATGACGAAAAGCTGGTCAGCAATTCCTGCACGATTGGGCATTCAGTTTTCTGGCCTCCCTTGTATCGTATGAGCTCCTACAAAATGCCATTTCATCAAGTCTGAGGTATTTCAATATAAGGCAATTTTAAAAGTGATTTCGAAGAGCTATGTATTACCGTTGTATAACTGGTTCCTACTATTGCAGAAATGAGTATGATCTGACGACTTGATGTTGGTATTAGGTTCCAGTTAAAAATCAGCCCACAGTTGGAACAATAAGCGTCCGAGAAAAAATAGCACATGTTACGCTTAATTAATGCCCACTACTTTGCGAGCCTGTCGTATCATTCATCGTAAAAGAAGACACTGATGTATAGATACAGCGAGCATGTCAAAGCCATGGCAGAATGAAAATCCATGAATTGTCATGGTAATGTAAGTCATGGGGTTGCAGCGACAGGTACAGTTCCTGTAAAGCAAACCTGTATTGAAAGTATAATCACTTGCTAGCTGCTGCTGTGAAAGTTCAAAAGTCACGAATTCAAATTCGGGTTTGCGGTTCCCTTTCCTCTATTTTCTCTGCTCCTTGTCCATGTCACTAAGGATATTAAATTCTTCACTTCAATGACCTTACGAGACAAAAAAGAACCCGACATTGAAGCTATCCAGGTATATACACCAGAATGGGATTTCATTGTGGGCAACGTAATCATAAAGTCCTGAAGAAATGTATGCGGAATACGCCGATTGCGACCCGATATGAAACAACCTGTTGAACCCCAACGCCCCTCCTCTAACTCTACCATACAAAACTGTACGACCCTCGTGAGTAGTTCACTAATGATGCAAGCATTACTCGTCTGTGTAGTTTACGAGCGCCAAGGAATTGGACGCGGAAGTTAATGCCATGCTAACTGTGTTCCGAGACAGAGAGACAGAGCATAATTGGGAAGCAAGAGACAAGTCAGTGACGCGCCTGCGAGGTGTACTGCGAGGAGACTCGAATGAAAAGTATCATGATTCCCTCATTCTGGGTCTTCGACAGATGGTGGACGGCATTATTAAGGCTGTAAGCTAATGTCACCTCAGTTTGCTTCCTCTTTATTATGGAAATGATAATGCTGTGTGATGGAGGATAGTACTAATAATTTGTGAACTATATTTAGGTTGAAAGTCTGCGGACGTCGCTTGCACTCAACGCTTTGACGCTCGTATCGGAAATTGGCCTTTATGTGGGCAAATCGATCGACACGTATATTTACGACAGACTGATCGACTGTCTCATTAAATGCGCTTCGACGACGAAAAAAGTCATCGCCTCAGCTTCGATGAAGACGACCACGACATTTCTCAAACACTCAATATTTCATTACAAAGTCATGAACATGCTTTGGATTGCCATGAACGAAAAGAACAACCAAGCACGACTGTTTACCGTCACTTATACCAAAATCATTCTACAAGCACATACCCATCGAGAACATACGAGGGCGGTGATGGATCGCACAGGAGGAACTGATGTCCTTGTCAAAATTTTGAGCAAGGGTCTGGACGACGCAACGCCATCTGTCAGGGAAATGTGTCGCGAAGCATTTTGGATATTTTGGGATCACTGGCGAGACCGCGGTGAAAAGTATGCTATATTCTCTCCGATGGGCCTTGATAATATGGGGAAAAGGATGAAGCAAGGACACTTTAAGAAGGGGATATACAGAGAGGGGGTACATTTAAGATCTAATGCTTTTCTAAATCAGTCTACTCAAATCGCTCCAGCCACCGATCAGAAAGACATTGGAGAAATCAAAAAATGCTGCCTTGGCCAAAGGCCGCAGTGTGCACAGTCCAACCAACTCAAGCAGCTCGCTTCGAACATCCAGCTCTATGGGATCTCATAGAAATATATCTGATTTCCACGAAGCTGTCTCCCCGTCGACATCCAGCGCTTCCAACGGGTCAACTGGCTCGAGCGAACAACATTCCATTCCACACGAAATACCCAAGAACATGGCCCGGTCCATTTCACCCCGGGCATCATCACCCTCGATTCGTAGCACATCGCCCCACTTACTCAGAAGCTACGGATCGCCACCACCTATTCCCTCACACCTCCACACAGCCTATAAGCCGCCTACGTCGCCTCCTCCACAACCAGCAGCACCTCCGACGCGAAAAACGCGCGTGCCCGGTTTGACGCGCAAAAAGTCAACTATTGGAGCAAATAGCAAACGCAAATTGAGCCTTGTTTCCATGCTAAATCACGACGACTTGACGATGCGGTGCGAAGGCTTACATATGCTAGCCCGCAAATTATCTGCACAACCTTTCAACTCGAAACAACCAGATCGAACATCGATTCAGGTGGAGAGCTCAAAGGGAGCTATTGATGGAGACAAACTCAAAGAGATTGTATGGGGCATGTTTCAAGAAGACAACGCGCGATTATACGAGGCATTCTCTAGTTGGGAATCCGTTGCTGGTGTGCTCTTGAAGCTTATCGCGTTTGAAGAGTATGTTCCTCGGTTGATACTTGATGCATCAGCGGATGCGGTATCACTCAAGACAGAAGATGATATTGCGAAGTTTGAACAAGCCAATCAAGCCTTTAAACGAGTTAAACATTATCTGAAGCGACATGATCCTGACCTACCGGACAAGCTGTTTGCAGGATTAACGGATGTCGGTGGATTTGGTGGTGGCAGCACGGCGACACTGAGGAAGACACCTTCAATGGCGGTGCTAAACAACAAAAAAGATCCCATGCGCAATCCAGCCAACCGAAGGAAATTGACGAGTCGATATCTGGAATGGATGGATGAGCTAGTGTTGCCTATTTTGGGGTTGGAGCCGAACAACAGCAGCACTGAAGATTTTGCTGTGGATCAGTCCGCGACGGAGTGGATGGATGTGGAGGCATCAGATAATGTGGTTTCGCAATGGTTCGAATCGGATGCGAATGTTCGGCAATATCTCGAAAAGCTCTTCCCACTTGTCAGCACATCATCGAGTGGATCAGTCGTACACGCCCCGCTGGTAGCACTCGTCGGTCACTTGCGATTGGTCAACCAAAAATTGTTCGAAACCGTAGCATCCACATACGACACCAGCACCGTCAATAAAATAAGCCGTGTCCTTGGTATTCATATCCGAATTTTGCCAGATTACATTTGTCAAGTTGCGCCTATGGACGATGTAGCTGGCGAATCATTACAAGATATTGCTGACGACAAACCGGAAGAACCTACAATGAACGTGGCGTACGAATCACCCGTACTGACCGCTATTGAAAATGACGAACCTGAGCCAGTTATTTCCAAAACGGATACTTCACGAATTGACCCGGGCCCTTACTCACCTATCGACGAAAAACCGTTGCTGGCTACCAACGGTACAATTACTGATGCCGACATCGACGACGGTATTTACCATGACGATATATCTGCTCCAACGGATTCTCCTTACGACATACCATCACCATCACCACCTGCTGCGCAAAAGGAATCTTTCGATTCTTCTTTGGGATCATCAGAAGAGCCGATACAGCGCAGTCCTGTCCCTCCGCATACATCACCGAGCTCTCTGTCTTATCCAAAACAGGACCAATCCGACGAGCATCGAAGTTTATACACTGCTCCTGTTAATGATGCCATTAAACCGTTTGATCAGCAACTCCATATGAACGACCTGACACTTCCTGTAGCTGCACCGGTAAGGGGTTTTCTCGTGCCGTTTCTCCAACAACGAAAAGGGACATTACGGAAGATAAAAAGGGCTAACATTTCGTTGTAGTACGGTCATGATGTCATGTCTGCTCATCCCCTCTTCTCTCCTAACGAGCAACTCTCCCCCAAAGCCGCTCCTATCCAAATCAACGGCAAACAAGAAACAGGCGAAAACATAACTGTATTCCAAGCTGCGGATCCTGTGCGACAAGCTGACCTTATAGTACCCAATGTACCTAACGACAATATGGAAGTCGCGAGTGCAGCTGGTTTGGTGACGATTACATCACCAAAGAACATGATGCTTCCATCTGCTATCAGTACGGAAGCCAAGCAACGCCCTATTCATCGTCAAACCTTGTCTCATGTACCATTCTTTGCACCAGAGGATGTCATCAACGCACTCCCAGTTTTCAAAGAGAACAAGCGAACAGATACCTCTGTACAAACGGCAGCTAATGGACGTGGCGGAAGAGACAAAACAGCAACCATTTACGCAACGCTGGATAAAGTTAAATCCATGACCGCTGACAATGCTGCTTTTCGTAAACTGGCTCGTATTTCACGCGAAGCATCAATTATCCAACCATGGGACCAAGGCGGAGCAAATGAAGCATCTAGCGAGCTGTGGGCAGGTGCTAATCAGGATGGAGGCAACTTTGTGGAAGTAGTACAAGGCGTGCTCCTGTATCTCGATCCCGGGAACAATGGCAATGGCAAGCTCGTATCCATGCCAACTGTGTTGGAGCTTGTGCGACAATTAGCTGTAACACAAACCGGGCTATTTAAGTACTATGAACGCAAAGTGGATCAAGAAGGCATGACGTTAGAAGCTCGATTGGTAGAGCGCTTACTTGCTGTGCGTGCAAGTAATGAAGCCACTGTAAGTTTAGTTATTGTTCTTTTATAATCAACGTACATCAAGTATATGGGATGCAAGATGAAAATATTTAACGAGCTTTTAAAACAGATTTCCACGGGAGCCGAAGATGCATTGGATACGTTGCTGAGTATTCTTGAACCACAAAACGTATTTGACATTATGATCTCCTATCTCGTGCACCGACTTGTCATTGCGCCATCCTCATTTGCAGACGACTCATCCCGATACCATCCCGTGGGTTCGGCATTTACGTATTTGGCTAAGGGTGTCAAGGAGGTGGAAGATGCATCCTTCATTGACGAGTGGCTCACGCAAGGCGGGGCAGACGTGTTTTTAAAGGTATACAGTAATGCAAATGCGATGATTTTTACTTTTCTGCTGCTAGGTCGCTAAAGACAATATATTTACAACATCAATATAGGGCGTCAATCATGCTATGATTCACGTGCGCAAATCGTGTGTGGAGGCGATCGTTGAGTTTCACGGAGTGATGGGGGATGATATTTATCGGTTTTTGGAAGATCTACGCGAGGATCAACTCAATCTAGTACGACACTACGTTGCTCGAGCTATCAAGCAAAGAGCAGGTCTTAACAGCTATGGTAGTACACCTACACAGCTGTAATTCTTCATATAATCACTCACTCTTTCTCTGTTCACTCTCCCTCTTCTTCTCTATAGTAACTATTCCTCATTTAGTTGTTTTCTTTCTCTCTTATATGCTGGCATGAAGTTTGTTGGAGGATTCTCATACTTTGTTCTCATCTTCTTCCTCCCTCTTTTGTGATCAATATACCCGGGTTTACCGATGTTTTTTTTATCATAACCTATTATCATTATTACTCTTTTCACTATTCTTCATAATGTGGCCCATATATATATATATATGTGTGTGTGTGTGTGTGTGTTTGTCTACATGTAAGCAAGAAGAAACAGTGGAGAAGGAAGGGGTAATCGCCCGGGGGGGGCTGAGGTTTATGCCCGCCGCCTTGGTTTTTTTTATGTAGCATTACGTCTTTTGCCCGCGCCACCGACATGTGTATGCGTGTTGGGTCTTGGCTTTCTTCTTCTCTGCTCCTCTCTATGGCTTTGCATTTCCTTTCAGCTGTGCGGGTTTTTCAAATGCAGGGGAGCTCAAGAGGAAAGTAAAACCAAAGGGGATAGCAAAACAACCCAGGAATTCATGAAAAAGGCATATGAATCCTGCCCTTGCATGTCCCTGCATCCCAACAAAAAAAAAAGAAGCGATACCAAAATTTAATATGTCAACGGGGTCTAAAGTGATCGCTTATAGTTTTGTAGGCAAGGAGGTAGCTGTCCTGTTCTGGGAGAGGTTCGGGTCTTTCATTGGATGCGCACAAGAAGGAAGAAAAGAGAGGGGACGGATAAATCGATTTCGTTTTTTAGTAAGACCCGGCAACTTGCATTTACAACCAAGTGTAAAGCGAACCATTCCGCAGAACTTAAAAGATTACGGGTCCATCGTATTGTATGGACATGCACACACACTCTCTCTCTGTGTGCGTGTGTGTGTGTATGCCTTCCTTTGGTGTATATACAACCTCAGCCGCCCCCTGTTTTTCTATATAACACTCTCTCTTTCTTTATAATCGTTTGGAGCTATAGCTTACAAAATCGCCGGCTACAATTCAAATATATACTAAACCATAGATCGCAGGCGAAGAAGGAAAACACACACAGAGATAGAGTAAGATAAAAGTAACATGGACGTATATCGACAACATGACTTCTGCGTTGTATATCCAGGCACACCGTTGAGTTTCATTCAATCAACAGGTTACTTTTAATTAGATAAAAGTGGGTGAAGGGATGTTTCTTTAGCTAAATGCATTAGGTTGTAACTTTTTCATGATCCAATGTGTTCGAAGGGAGTAGTAATGAACGGGGATAATAGTAGCTTGAGCGCAAGAAACCACGAGAAAAAAAAAGAGCCGGCACTAGGTGCAATACTTACAATTGTGGATAACGTACATTTAGTGAAAAATACAATTATTATTCCCGGTTTTACAAACCTGCGGTCTCTCCTCTTTCTCTACATCAGATAGCGTGATGACTCGTAATTTGTGTTGAGCCCTGCTAGGGCTATAGTATGTGGCATAGTCCTACTATGAGAAATATTACATGATCTTATTAGTGCGTCCTTGTGTGAACCTGCGGTGAGCGTCATCATGTTTCTTGTAAGCGTAATGCGTTGTCGTTGCTAATACCGCATTTGGAAGTGTTAGTGGACGTGTATACGAGAGACAGGTAGACAGAGCGAGAGAGAGAGGGAATATAGCATGGACAGCAGCCCCTGTGCCTATAATTTCACTATATTATTCCAAACTGCCTTTATTTTTCCCTTCCTTCTCAACATTTCTTCTTTGTCAACTACTCTTTTCTAATAATATACACACTCTTTCTTCTTGTCGTTCCTTCACACCTCTTTCTCTTTCCTTTCTCCATCCGCTCTTTATTCTTTCTCACATTATCTTCTTCAGCACTGCCTTCCTCAATAAAACAGAACAAGAGGCATATTAGTCACTGCGAAAGATAGTCCGTAGAGAAAAAAGCACCATCGCCACCTATACACACATCTGTCTTCCAATCGTTCCTTTCTATTTTCTTATATCCGACGACAATAATAACAACAACAACAACAGCAACACTAAAGTAATATGCTCGCTGGTACACCGGACATGTTTTTCGAAAAGGAGTCTCCAAAGAGGACACCGTCCTCGACACCATCGCCTCAGCCCTTAAACAACGACCATCCTCATCATTATCATCATCAGCACCACCAACAACCCCATCCTCACACCCACCAAGGGATGCTTGTATCTGGCTCGTCCTCTGCAGCCTCACTCTCTTCGTCATCAACATTTTCATCGGTCGTCTCATCAGCAACTGCGGTAGCAGCAGCAGCAGGAAACAAACACAGCCATTTGGCTGCACCATCCGCGGTCATCGCCACTACGACTTTGCCATCGTCGAGTTTAAATTCCGTCGACGGTCAAAAACAGCAGCAGCACACTAAAGACCAAAAGCGGCCAAGGCAGTATAACAAAAAAGACTCTACAAATCTTCTTCCTGCCCAAGGAAAAGACAAAGAAGAGGTACAATCCTACTTGTTAAGTTATACTACATTTGATAACTTTAGTTAGAGCTAAGCAATAACTCTCCCTCTTTCTTTATCTTCTTAATAGCAAGTATGGCCACCTGATGTAGAATCGGCCTTTGTTGAAGGTAAAAAAAAATAGCTTTGTGTGTGCATCACACCTTCCCCTTGCTTTTCTCTCTGCGACTTGTATAGCTCATCAGTATGATTTGTGTCTGTAGCATTAGAGACGATTCCCAAACTGGGAAGGAGGAAGATCCTTGTCAACGGCAAACCATGTGGTAAGCGTTGCGCACACCCAGTCGCGCACTATTCCTATTTTCTTCTATTAGTTGTTTACACTTACTTTCCTCATGCTATTCTAGGTCGCAACGAGTTGATCTCTGATTTCATTTTGCGTAAGACTGGCAAAAACCGTACGCGCAAACAAGTCTCGTCGCACATTCAAGTGCTTAAAAACACACGTAAAGGCGACCCACACTGTACGTGCTCTTCAAAGACCACACAAGTCGACAGCAGCAAACTGTTTTCACTAACTTCCCGTAAATATTTACTTACATAGTTATGCGACTTTTGACGGACTCTGCAACAGATGCTGACGATGAAACTGCAGTGGTAGCAGCAGCAGCAGCCGGAGCTGTTAGCAACGGCAGCACGAATCGCACCAAATCCGGCAAAAATTACGTACAAAAGCAACGGCGTCAACAACAGCAACAAAGCAATCGCATGACAGGCGGATTAGTAGCCAGTGCATCTTCAGCCAATCCCCTATCGACAGAATCATCAGGTGAAGATTTGTCTATGAGCGACTCGTCGTCGCCGTCGCATGCCGACTATGTACTTGATATGATGTACGGTAGCAATGGTGATCTTCAACAGCACCAGCAAGTACCACAACAACAGCTTCAACAACAACAGCAGCATCATAATGTGCTGCAGCAACAGCAGCAGCAGCAGCAGCAGCCAAACATGCTCTCATCCATGGTGGATATGAAAGAGCTGTACGATCCTGCCCTGCAGCACCCACTCTTTGGCGGCGTCCAAGATTACCTGCAGCCCTTTACAGAAACACCACCTAGCAGCGGCCAGTTGTCATCAGTAATGGACGCATCACCTTTTGGTATGATGGACTTCGACGATGCCTTTTCTTCAGGCATATCTTTCAACGATCCATTTGTTATGGGCGCCGAGTCGTCTTCATCGACTACTCACACGATAGACCAATACTCATCGTCTGTAAATCCAATCATCACCGACAACGACGAAGATATGCTTGACAACAGCAATAACCATAGCAGCAGCATTAGCAACGGCAGCGGTAAGCTGGTAAATCCGTTGGTTCCCATGGCAACCGATACCCCCAACAATATCGAAACGTCACAAAGCAAACGCAAAATGAACATCCGTACAGCGTCTCAGCCGGCTCTCGTTTATTCGTCATCCTCATCTACTTCGTCATCGTCATCCGCCCAAAGTCTTACGTCAAGAAAGCGTATCATGGGCCAATTTGGACAGACCACCAAGCGAAAGACCTCCGGCAATGTTGCAGTTCAACAACGAGCCATGTCGGCGGGCGATCTCTCGGTCATGATGAAAGAATTGGAAAGCCCGCCGTTTCCGCTTTGGCCCAACCATATATGCCTGTATCTGGATTACTCGTTGCCTTATGATACGTCCACAACGTATTCGCATAATCTGGCGCTGCTGCAGCATTGCTACCCAAACTGTTTGTCGACAGTGGAAGCCGATTGCATTGCAAAACAAAAATGTCCGCCGCTTGCTGATATCGTTGCCAGAGAACCTTCCTGCATCGTATTGTTGGCCAAGGTAAAGTTTTACCAATACATCACGGCACCGACATCAACTTTGTACTAAAAGCTATCTTTGTGTGTCCACAGACAAAACTGGACCTGAACCTGAACATATCCGACTTTGTTTTCAGCAACAGATGCTACTTTGAGTCGCGCGAACGCAAGACGATTGAATGCACAACCACTATTTATTCGTTTGGTAACGTTGTACTGGAGTCTAAAGAAATCCAACACGGACTATTGCTAGACCAAGGCAAATACGTGTACAGTTTCGTGTATGTGAACCAGTTCTTTGATGCTTTTATGAAAGGCATTCGGTCTTTGCAAAGTTACGAAGAAATTGATATCGCTATTCGAAATCTGTGCATCGTGCAGGTAAGATAATACATTGTTATGTCCTTTTTCTACAATGTTCGATGTGTGACTAAATCAAATAACTATTTAGGTGTTCGATGACATTGAAGAGAAGTATGGCTCCTCTGCAACATCCTTTAACCAACCCTGGGATACACAACAACAAAAAGAACAACCAGCAGCACCAACAACAGCAGAAACATCACAAGCGACCTCATCGTCATCACCGTCTTCTCCGCAGCTCGTCATGGTCTATGACTTTGAACGAGGCCACGGAAACATTGCCATTTCGGCGGTGGGTGATGCAGCGACCACATCCAAGCTGGGTATTGGCCGTGGATTCGATTTCCTGGACGACATGTAAAATCAACAACCCCTTTCTTTTTTTAGCTATGTCTCATTATGCTTGCACCCCACGCATAAATATACACACACACACAGCGCACATAACCCAACGTACATACACACACAATCCATAATCTACACTTCACACTTTACAACCCACTCACTTACAAACACTTTATCACACACACAAATTGCACAAACAACATACACATTACAACATTTTCTTTCTAAAAAGAGAGAGTTAATTATTCTTCTTATTTACTCCTCCCTTTTTCTGACATTCGCTGAAAAAGGCAAAATGACTCAATATATGACCTCCCAAGGAATGTATTATGTTTTAATATAACTTTCTTTTACAACGTATCATCTGTCACTTTCACATTGTTTCGCACAATACTCGATCATGCACCATCCCACGCCACACCACACAGAGCAAAAGGGGTAGCTTTACGTAAAGTTTAAACAGAAGAAGAGAGATACTCTTTTGCAAATTAAGTGTAAAGTTATGTAGACAAAAAAAGAGAGAGTTGGAGATAGAGATAGATAGAGAGGACATTCCATATACAAAATTGATGACTATAGCTATTTACAAAAGGAAGGAGATGGAGGAGGAGGAGGATGGTAACAAAAGAGAATAGGCGGGATCGGTTGGTCGACTTAAAATGGTATCTTTTCCTGACAGGAAGGGGCGGATATATATAAACAAAACAAACAAAAATCCATCATTCTACAATGATGATAAGGCTGCAGAAGCACTGATCACACACGCGACTCCATTGCGCTGGTGCGGACGGTGTAGCAAACAGAGGCAGCCTGTTTGAGCTATGACGTTGACAGATTATTTTGCCGCATCTATTTTGGCCGTCATTGATGGCTTCTTTTAGTAACTATAACTTTCACACGCACAGAGAGAGAACAAGGAGCAATGTCATACCTTCTACAATGATGCTTTCTTTGGAACAACGTAAACTGCGTAGGACAGCGCCTATTTTCCGAGCGTTCGAATTGACATTGATCTGCTAGTTGATCGGGAACCCAATGGGCACGGGGTATCAAGCGAAAGCGTGTCTTGCGGTCTTCTGGTCGCAGATGCAATAGGTAATGATGATGATGAAACTGAGTATGACGGATCGAGTGCGACTGATAAGTGGAGCTCTATAATCATGTCTGAGTAAAGGAAGATATCACACACTAGATCCATATACTAACCTGTTGGTAGGCTGTTGATTGATGATGATATTCATCCACAGTGGTCGTGCCTGACCCTGCAATCATCATTTCGATACCACGCAGGCGACCTTCGAAAGTATGAATAATGTGACCCGTACCGACCCCACCACCTACAAACATGCCGACCTCCCAGCGCATCCTGTGCACCAAATCATCCTTGGACTCGATGCCCAGAATATCCGCTATTGCCCGGCGGAAATTCCACGACTCGTTGTTGACGCTGCTTCTTTCGTCTGCTGCACTGTATGCATCACCATCATCATCTTCGTCCGGCTGCTGTTCAAGCTCCTGCTGCTGTGAATTGAGTTGCTCCATTTTCATTTCCAAATCGGCAGTCAGTTCCTCGAGTGTGTCGATCATTAACAACTGCTGCTTAGCAACCTCCTGACACTCGCGTATCCGCTCTTCGTAAGCCTTTTCGCGTTCGCGGTATTGCTCCTGTACGGTCTGTTCGGCCACCAGCAGCTCTCGTACCCGCCCTTCGGTCCCGAGCAGCTCAGTGGATAGAGACTCGAGCCCCTCGGACTGGGTAATACACGACGAGACGAGCTCGAGAAACTGCGAGCGCCACTCTGCGGATGATGAATTCGCCAGGTCACACGAAGACGCGATCGACGCTGTCTCGGACAGCTCATCCAATCGGGAATTGATAAGAGAGTTTGTTGTGAGAAACAAGGCCGTCAAATTCGGGCTGGTCGGAGGTGCCAGTCCGTGATTGGCATTGTGATCAAACAACGCATCGTCCTCCTCTTCCTCCTCGTTGCCTTGGACGTAATTGTTATTACTGTTGAGTAACATGTCCTCTGCAAAATCGTCGTCCGTGCGCAGATGAGACCACACATCCTCTTTTTGTTCGCCATGGCGTTGCAGCTGGTCTACCGTGGGTGCTGGTGGAGGTGGCGGTGGTGAGTTTAGCGCTTCATTTTCATCATCGTTCTCATCAGCGTCGTCCTCGTCGTTTGCTTGGCTGTCGTTTGCTTTTCTCTGCTTGTGATGCAGCATAAACTCAACCGACCCGTGCGACCGTATGCGGCGATGACCTAGCAAGCTGGATTTCTTATTTTGATGGTCGATAGACGTGCTCATCCGGCGCTCACGTCGTTCGGACAGTTCATCTTGAAATAGTTCCTGGACGTGAAACTCCTGCATCGTCCGCGTGATCCCCGTGATCTTGGCCCGCAAGATTTCAAACGCATCGATATGAGGGTCCCACATCCTATGCTGCTCCTTGTCCACAACTTGTTCCTGCAAGCGGCTGGTGATACTGTCGTAACGCTGCTGTGTTTGTGTAGACGATTTCGTCAAGCGCGGCTCAACGGGCACAGAGATAGCCTTTTGCCTCCGCAATGTGCCTTCCCCAATACTTCCTCGGCGCTTCTTCTTGGCCATCCGAATGGCCCGCATGAACCTGCTGCTGTTGTTCATTGGCGTAAAGCCGCCCAACGACGGCGGCTCAGCGTCGGTGGATAAAAGCGAGCTGAAAGACCGAGTGTGCATGGACCCCAACTCGTCGTCGTTTTTGCCGTCGTGGTCGTTATAGTCAGGAAAGGGAGGGGGCAAGGCGGCAGTATTACTAGTCAAAGTGGGAGAAATGGCGGTGGTGGCAGTTGTGGCAGTAGAGGAAGCAAAAGAAGAGTCAAAGAAGCGCGATGGGGTCGATGATGGCTGCACTATTATCTTGTCTGTCGGCGGAGGTCCCGTGATGCAGGTGGTGCTTGCATGCTCTCTGCTGTTGTTGTTGTTGTTGTTGGTGCTGCTACTCCTGCTGCTGCTGCTGCTGCTGTTTGTTGACATTAGTTGATCTGTTTTGTCGCTGGCGTCTGACACAAAGATCGCTGGTGAATTGTGGGTCAAATCTGGCAAGATCTTGAGGCCATTCACACACGAGACATTCTGGTCAACATCAAAAGTCAATCTCGAGGTTTCGTCTATTGGGACATTTCGACGGGAAGAGAAAAAAAAAGAACACATACTATGAATGTTGAATCGTTGGAATCGAGCGGCGGCGGCAGCGGCGGTCGCGGCTGCACGGATAAATGTTGCATTGTTTATGTTTTTCTGCTGTACACAGCTCTCTTCGGGTGTGCAGCTGTGTCGCTTTTACTCTGGCTTTAGTTCAACACACACACTTGCAAAAGAAGAAAAAAGGCCAGAAGGAGGGAGCAGAAAGGGGGGTTTGGAAGAAAAAGGTTAAGTAGAACGGGAATTTTTTTAGGGAACTCGTGGGCAGGTGCGTGCGTGTCGTCTTGAAAGACCCGTGGTGGGGAACGAGAACAATAAGAGGACCGCCAAGGCTTCAGCATTTGGTTGGTCTTGACCTATTCTGTAGAAGAGCATGTGGCACACGTTTTCCCAATAACCCCCTCTCTTACGTCTGCGCCCGAGTTGGACGTACACGAATGCCACACCCTCTGCCCTTGTGCACCCAAACCTCTTTGCCTTGCCACAGGCTCCTTTCTTTAAAGATTTTCTATCGCTGCATCGGTGCTCGCTTAAGCAACAATGCTTGCCGATGTTGGGTAGAAGAAACGTGGCGTACAATGCACCTAAATCTCAGACTGTGCTACCTTAATTTGCCAAATTAAAAGATCAGGGTGGCTTTCAATCAAAAGAACAATTGCCGATGAACCAAGTTTATTAGGATGCTCTAAATTTGAGACGCAAAGTAGTTCTCACGATGCACTTTTTGTTCCTCAGCTAATCACTTGAAGCAAATTTGTTCCAGCCACGATCAACAAGTGCTTCTTCTTTTGCTTCGTACCGTGATGCTTGTCGCCGTGGATCTCCCCAGTCTCCTCGGCAACCGGCAAATTGCCAATAATGCTGTAGTCTAAACAAATTAAGCTTTTCTGAGGTTAGTTTCCACCTTGCATGATGTTAACATTACCAAATCCGTATTATTCTGGCTTCATCGCAAGAGCCAGTTGTGATACGTATAAATTACTGTTGCTACTTTTAGAAGAGAGCCAAGTCTATAAACTTATGCAACAGCAATGAAGCTATCAATATGCTAAAAGTAATTTGAAATTGCTGGATGATGAAATTGGTTCACTAATGCATTATTGGTCGTTTGAACTGCTTGATTAACGTTCTCGTATTTGTATGGATATATCCCCTATGTTTATGTCTGCATAAATGCAAAGAGTAAGGCGTCTATTACATAAAGTGCCATCCAAATATTCTTTTTTCGACTTTGCAGAGAAGCGTATGTTCTTCCATAAATGATCATTCTTATCGTCTGTTCAACCTTGAGCGTTCGCGGCCGTGCTAGGTACAACATTTGCAGCTCTGACCACCCACTTTCCTTCTGCATTATTACATGCGTGCTTAATTTAGTACACTATATTTACCGTACCACATACATTAGATTATACTCCACAGCAGCATAAACAGTTGGCTACTTCAATAGTGTCACTCGTACCAACAAACCAATTTTTAACTTCTTATTGATTCTGTTAACGGGAGTTAGCATTCTAGCTTATTTACGTGGTTTAGCTATTTGCTGGCATTTTTATTCCCTACAGTATAATAAAAGTGTTCTTAAGAGAGACAAGAAAGACACGTGCAGTCTTTTACTATTAATAAGTGAGTTGATTTTCTTGTAGCCTTTTATGAGAATTATTGAAATAAGAGCCAAGAAGTAGGAGAAACGGACACAGATAATGGACTCCTATTCGTACATCACTCTGTTAGTGAAGGTTAGGAGGAGCGCTGAGAAGAAGACTTTGGTGTGATAGATAAGAAAATAACCAGAAGAATGGGAAGCTTGTAAAATGGACCACTCAAAGTAAATATGCCAACAACCGACATTTCTTCGGATTTGACTATTTAGCATGCCCGTTATCATTATGTGATACTGCTGCTCTATGTGCCAATTTCACATTTGTTACAATTTGAATCACCCTGTCTTTATTACATTTCAATGATGTGTACATCGGAGAACTGGAGGGCTGTTCTGCGACGCCATATAATGATCTGATTTGCAGTTAGTGAGATAGCTATCGGAGGTTTTAGAAAGACTCTGACATGGTTTACTTACGGCGCTGTTGCTCTTCCTTGATGTAAGTTAATCAAGTAATAGCTCCTGACAAAGGAAATCTATATTACACTTTACCTTCAAATCGACGAGCTTATTTGATCCACCATACACATGCGTTAAATACGTGCATACACGATTACTTAACGGACATTAGAGATTGTCACACGTTTGCCAAAATATGATATGTCGGACATGTAGTGAAACTTACGTTACGTGCAGACAATGCTTTTGAATTTATCATATACTGCATGCAATGTCATTTACCACGCTCATATTATAAAGGAATAAAAGTCAATGAAATTGATGGATTAAAGTGGTGGAGAATGGAAACAGAAAACAACTTTTGTAGAAATTAAAGTTGTTCTATTATCATACATAGTGTCTTGTTCGTTCCAATGAGTGAAAGGTCTTCAAAAATCCAAGCGGTCGGGACCGAACCGCCAACAATTGATTTGCGAAATCTCTTCACTTGCCCAATTGAGCTCGCGCGTTTTTCGGCATTTGCACAGATACGTATATTCTACGTTCGCCAGCAATAAGCGTCATAGGTCAATAGAAGACGTTGATAAGCAAACATCCAACTGGTATATCAACGTAATGGTAACATACCTGCAGATGTCAAAGTCTAGATACGATAGCACCAGGTAGTAAAGCAAAATTGTTTGAAGTTTTGACAAGGTGGTACATAGGAAAATAGCGGGTCAAATAATAGAGTTGGGCACTTGGCGATGTCAACATGACGAGGATACCACAAACTACATGTTCTTCAACGCCAATAGGTTTAACATAATATGTAATTGTTTGCCTATAAGGACAGAGCCGTTTTCTTAGCGTTGGCATCCTTCCTTTGGTTGCGTCACTAAGAACATTTCTTTGCTAACCATTTGTAAAAATGCATTAGTCTGGTTTGGCATTCTTATACTGGGTGTTGAGCCCACGTATATTCACAATGCGAACAAGAAAAGTTAATCCCGTTTAACGAGCCCTTGATCCAAAATGATAGTGGATATACGAGTCTTCACTTCTTCGATTGACATTAACCACTGATTTTCTTATTGATGAAAGAATGGAGGAAGAGTTATTGGTACCATAATACAGTTAAACCTCAGCGCTACTATCCCCATTCAGCCTACAATTAAGCACCTTGTTTATCAATACTTTCGACTTAACTTTCATGAGATACTACGTTTGCAACAATAAAGTCTGAACTGCTCTCTAGTTTTAATCCAACACGTAAAAAGTCGAGTGCTGTAGTCTACATTTTACACCAATTTTGTAAGAGTGCCGTAAAACTATATGTTATGTAATTTGTTAAATGGTACCGTAACAGCAAATATCCTTTTCACGACATACAGAAGTATACGTTTGCAGTCTTTTACCTACAGAGGCGCATTGTGCACACAAGTTATGCACATCTGGGCTGACTATAGATAATCCGTCATAGAGCTCTAAACTCCGAAGAATTGTATGGTGAAAATCGGTACCGCTGAAGTGTCGCGTGATCGACGGTGATATCATTCATTGCACTACGCACATAATCAGCACCCGAGTCATATATGACTCTCACAGATTATGTGTTGAAGTCCTGCGAAAAATCCCTCTTCTTTAACTTTACTTATCGTAGATCAATATCTCAAGTTTCAGTGGTTTGCGCTTGGCGAAGTAGTGTTTCCTGTATTGATAGCATTCACTTGATACCTAAAAATTCTTTAAATGCCTAAGATAAAGTGAAGTCGCTTTTGGTACCTTGTCCTAGTCTGGATTATCTTTTGATTCTCGCGTAGCGTGGTATTGGTAGAGAATAAAGAAATGTTCTACTTGAGCTCTCGTGTGATTTCCTGATTATGGCAATCCCAGTGTTGTTCGAACCGCTTGTCCGTTATCTTTCTAAAGATCATCACACTTTTGTTGACTCGCTTATCACCACTTGTGATCTTTCACCGCAGCTGATTCTCAAATGTCTGTTGGGTTCACCACAGGAAAGGTTTTATTGAAAACGTTATTTCCAAAAGGATGACCGCTCAAAAGAGCAGACAATGTCTCCTACGATAATATAGTTCGTCCCAAGACCGAGTTCTTCGTGATTCCTAAATGCTACTGCTTGCAAAGAAAAAAAAATAAGCAGCCGCTTCAGCACCCTTCTCTGCTTGTAGCTTTGATCTTTGCTTTTTCTTATTCTGTCCAAAGCCACTTTTTTTCTGTCTTTTTGTTTTGTTTTCTTTCTTTTGACGCCATTTGGGCACCGAAAAAAACGGCTTAGAAGGTCGCGTACTTCGGTGATAAAAGGTTATAAAGGAAATTATTGATCCCTTATGATGCTGGCTTGAAAGTACTCCCCTTCCATCTGTCGAAATCCTCGAGTAGATCGTGTACTGATCCACATCTTCTAAATGTTTTGGAGGTCAATATATTGGTGTTGTTTGCTTGGTGTTAAATTTTAATTTACAAAAAATGATGCCTCTTGGCTAAGTAAATGGTATTGCTGAAACACCACTCGGGAACAACGCTCGTCATTATATGTAACTGGTGTAGGAAAGCTTCTTTTGCAATAGAAAATGTTTTTTTTTGGTTAATCGAAAGTGTAAGGCATTCCTGCATGGGCTAGTTGTAAAGTTGTCAGCTATAAGATAAATTAAGTGGACAATCCAACAAAGTGTTTTTCTTTGTGCATCATGATATATAAGCGCAAACCTTTAATGACCCGAAGAGATCAGTCTACTAAACAATCGCATGTGCACAGATTGAGCTTTTACTTTTCCAAAATGTTCAAGCTATGCTGGTTTGTATGGTATTTATCATCTCACTTTAAAGCCTGTAGCGTTCCGAGTGTAAGCATACTTAAGAGCTTACTCATTCATAAATTCATGGTATACATGTAATGTTGTGCACGAACGTATTATGTAGCTGTTGAAATTGCCGTAGTAATGTATTTCGATAACGCGCAACATGCGGACATCAGATGCAAATCAAAGGGGTAACATACATATTTGATGGTAAAGGGGAACTTGACAAGATTCATTGTATGAGGTACCGACAGAAAAATGAAACTGTGCAATAAACGATAGATGAACTATAACAAAGGAACATGACATACTATAGTAGGAAAGTACGATCGCAACTGGTTATAGTATGTAATAGTTACTCTAAGGTAAATGACAGCGAATATGACCAGTGGATAGCTACTGTCATACACGAGTAACTTCTAACTACAGCGTAGCTTGTTTGCGGTTTTTAAAGATGGGAGGATTTTCAGGGCGATCTTTTTACGAAAATCATCGGTGGCAAAATCACGTCAGGTTCCGCATCTGCTAATAAAGGCATCAAAGGAGAGATTTTAAACGTGCTGCAGTAGTATACATGCGCATGCTATTATTGGAAGCATATTAATTGGCCGTTGCAGCATGTTTCTCCTATGTGAAAATTAACATCACACCACTACATACTGAATTCTCATGGTATGCCTCGAATGAAAAGTGTAGCGCTGATCCAGTTGTTGAGTGCAAAGCAAAAACAAGGTCGGGTCCAAACTATCATTCTTATTATATTGGAGCCTAGTTTGTGAAGGGAACTTGTAATGCAGAGCTGTGCGCCCGTCCCCGACAGCAGAGATAAATGCAAAAGCAATATGGATAAATACATACATATCAGCAGCTTGGATGAACGTTTCGATACTCTGTCGGGTGCAGTACATATACATGGTTCAGGAGAAAGAGAAAGTGAATGGGAGCCTCGGAAAACTCGTATGAAACATTAAGACAGAAGCACCCGCATTGTCAATAGCCAATCGAGTTTAACAAAGAAGAAGAAGAAAAGAATGCAGATAGACTCCTCCTTTTTTTCTTAGGCATGCAGTGTGTGCTGTGATGCTGAGAGTTTGAGATACATTCCCGCGCTTTTTCGTGCTCTGTCTTCAACCAACTCTTCTTCGTCGGGACCTGTGGCCGAGTATGGATCGCACTACATATATTCGGCCCCTTCGTAATAAGCTGATGTATGCGGCCTACTGCAAAATCATGTACATGTATTGGACATGCTTGGGTGCATGAAAAGTGTCAAACTGCATACGAAAAGTAGTGACGATAAGGCCTGTGGCCACCTGTTGTACTTTCACATGGGATGGAGCATTAGCAAGCGATAAGAGTCTGATGTATTATTTGGCCCAGTGTGAAAGCCATCATCATGATACTATCACAGCAGGCCTTTTTTGATGAAAATGGTAGGAAGAAATGCTGCAGCGTGATGCAAGTAACGCTGGCATTGATAGATTTGTTTTGTACAGTAGCTATGCTAGCCTCACGGAATTTGTAGGGTGTTGCTATGATGTATGCGTGTATGTTATCACATACCGTACCACTATGTAGCGTTATTATTCACTCGATAAATAGTAGCAATACTAAGGAAATGTCGATTCTCGTATCACTTGGATCATGTAGTGTCATTACCAGACCCGCGATTGTTTAAAAAGTAGGTAGTAGATCAAACGAACAAGAAGGATACGTCGCAGAACTCCAGCTTTGGCTGCTTTGTGTCACGCAATGCAGCATCACCAGTGGCACCATCATCCGACATCAGTGACACGCGAAATAGAAAGCGATAGAAAATATCTAAAGAGTGTGCTATTGGTAAATACAATCGCGATCATTCTACTGCGCTTTTTCTTCCTTTGCTGATTAGTGACATGGCCAAAAAGCATGCCGGAGCGTCTTTTGGATCAGAAAACGTGTTTCCTGATCGTGTAACGTAAGCAGCATTACCACCGGACTCCATCAAGACGGGCTATGTAATGAAAAGCAAGAAATTGAGGATGTACAATGATGCACATGGAGCATATGCTGCTTGTTGAATTGATGTATTATGTCTCTCTATCTCCGTTCACCAAGCAGCATCTTCATCATCATCATAACAGTACGACCTAAACGAGCAAAAGAAAATTTGTTCGCGCGCTTTTTCAAATCATCGTAAGCATAGCGAGAATATCAAAGAAACAAAAAAAGAAGAGTTCTTGGCCTGCATTGCGCATCCTAAAACGTTTTAAAAACACAAACTTGTGAGGTTAAAGTCCTTTGACCCACTACTCGCTGATATCTGTAATGTTAGCAGCAGCAGCAGCAGCATAGGAGCACTTTTTCTTTGTTGTGACGCAGCAAGTTCCATGGAACTGCTGATCGCTTCCGACAAGGCACAGACATACAGGGTCATTTTCGCGATATAATCATCCGTTGTCAGCCCCGGATCAGTAGAAGGTGATGTCCATTTCTCTCCTTCCAACTTGATCACCAGTATGGGGCGGCGGCGTCGTCGAGAGGGAGAGGAAAAAGAGAAACGGCGGCGCTGTGGTGCTTTGATCCTCATTCTCAAAAAGTGCTCACATAGACACGATGGGAGTGTAGTGATACTAAGTGTTGACTGACGCCACCATCATGCATATCTCCTCACTCTAGATTATAGAGTCTCTCAGCCTGCTGATCCGACAAACAGAGAGTGAGAAATCGGGTGACTCCCAAAGTAAGGTGAGAGTGGTTTCATCAGCCGATTTTTGCAGCCCTCTGGATTTAAAAATAGCATGTGTTTAGAGTAATAGTTGTGCTGCGATAATAAAGAAAGACAACAACAGTCGTAAACAACAATAGGAGGTGGTTTCTTGACATAGCGAGGAGTCATCATTACCCACTAAGGACTACTACTACTACTACTATGTACTACTACTACTATGTACTACTACTACTATGTACTGCTGCCACCACCAACCCTCCTCAGTTTTAAAAGATCCAACTTTTTGTTCTTAGTACTGTAGGAACATACTTTATTTGAAAAAGGGGGATAGGCACTGTAGCCATTGTTCTGTGCTCTCTCTCACTCTCTCTCATAACTACTTGTTGCTGTCGTCGTGCAACCCACCTTGTCCCTTTTGTTGACGGGTGGTACCACAATGGGACGGAATCGCGTGAGCATGTCTGTGACGTATAACATAACATTACTGGTATGAACCAAACACCGCCTCATCGTACTGGAAGAGCTGCTGCTTCAGGTTGCTTACAGCATTAGTACCGGGCAGCAGTCAGCAATAGCGTCGTCTCTCACTCCCAACCCCAACCCCCCCACCTCTTCCTTCTCTCATTCATTCTTCCTCTACTCTGCCATTCCTCCCATACAATCCCCCCCCCAGAAAAACAAGAGGCACTGATTTCTTCTCCTCTGGTACATTGCCTTATATGGGAGACAGAGAGAAAGTATGAGAGCGTGTGTGTGTTTGTGTTTGTGTGTGTGTGTGTATATGGAAGGGGTGACGGGTTGGCTTGGGTTGGGTTGGGGGTGAGTTGGGATGGGCTGCTGCTGCTGCTGCTGTTGTTTTCTAATCCCCGTCAACTTATATAACCCTTCATTCACGCACACGATCATTTCTCTTTCCCTCTCTCTTTCTCTTCTCTTCTTTCACCATCGATACGGCCACCACTTCTACCTCTACTAGTGCCACTACTACTACTCCTACTACTACTACTACTACTACTACTACTACTACTGCTACAGCTAGTAATACTACCACTACACACTTCTTCTTTGTTGTCACCTTTTTCACCCACTCCCCCTTTATTCTCCAAAAAAGAAACAAGCATCCTTGATGGCTGATTTTATTTGCCTCGCAGTGGCATCACAATACCCTGAACATCTCACCACCAGTAGTGTGGAACCCTCAACTCCCACGACGACGACTTCATCTTCTTCTTTTCGACGTTCCTTGAACGCAGCCACCATCCTCGGCCGTCGACTCTCCAGATCGTCTGAATCTGCCCATCCCCACGAAACCAGCAACAACAGCAACGTTACCGCCACTACCACTACCAATACAACGAACAGCAGCGTCTCAATGCATGTCCGCATCGTTCCTAGCATTGATAATCCACGACGGAGTCTGATCTTTGACATTGTTGACCGCGAGCTCAAGGGGGGCTCTGTAGTCAAGATTGGCCGCTTCACAGATCGATCCGTGACGACGAACCATGTCTCATTCAAGAGCAAGGTTGTATCTCGCACCCACTGTGAAATTTGGGTGGATGCTGAAGATGGCAAAGTACGTTGTTGGTTACACACACACACACACACACACAATATCTCTCTCCTTCTTTTTCTTTTTTGCGCTTGTGTTACCCACATTCACACAACTCACATGATGTTCCTCTTCCTTTACACAGCTTTATGTACGAGATACCAAGTCATCCTCCGGGACATTTGTCAACCATGGACGACTCAGCGCAGCCAACCAGGAAAGTCGGCCTGTCGAAGTCCACGATGGCGACATTGTCCAGCTGGGTGTGGACTACCAAGGCGGCGTGGAAGAAATGTACAGAGCTGTCAAGATGCGCTTCGAACTGAACCGTCGCCCGCAGCCATTGATCCACTCGTCGGCACTCACACACATTGTAAAGAAGGAGGAGGATCACGGACACAGCAGTAGCGGTGGTGCCGTCGACGAATGCTGCATTTGTCTCTACGCCATGGCTCCTTTCCAGGCATTATTCATTGCCCCTTGCTGCCATAGCTATCACTTTAAATGCATACGGCCCCTTCTCGAAAGCTATCCTGGCTTCCAGTGTCCACTATGTCGCACCTATTCTGACTTGGAGGCGAGTGTTGAGGAGCCTGCCACACCGGTTACGGAGGATCAACCTCAACAGCAGCAGCTACAACACCACCACCAACAACAAGAAGAGGAGGAGGAGCAGCAGCAGCAGCAGGTTATTGCCGCTACTTCTACTCCACACGATGACATACAAGTCGAGGACCAACGTGAATCAGGAGACCTTCATCATCATCATCATCATCATCATCAATCTGAACAACAACAACAACCACTCCAAACAGAGCAGCATCACCGGGAAGAGCATGAGCAATCATCATTCCATCATCACAATCAAACAGACCCCTTGGACACCACCCTTGTGCTTTCACCCTCAAACCTGTCGGGAATCCTGTCAAACCCGTCGTCGCCATCAGGTACCGTATACTCTTTTATTTTTATTTTCCCAAAATCCCATTCTCGTAAACTCTGTTTCTTATTTTCACTTAAGAGAAGTTAAGGGGTGGGGGCATTCGCAACCCAAAAAAAAAAAAAGAGGTGTGAAAGTTTTGCTATGGAGAATGCTCATTTTGAGTTAAAACAAAAATAGGGCAAGATCATGAACAACATGCCCGTGCAATGGATCCAACCACCACCACCACCACACCAAACTCACGGCGAAACTCAGAACAACATCAACGACGCAACACGGCTACAAACTTTGTCGATAAGCTGAAAATGGCCTTTTCTTCTGCAGAAAAGCGAGCACAACAACAACAACAACAACAACAACAGCAGCAGCAGCAGCAGCAGCAAAAGCAGCACCGTCGATCCACAATAAGGCCATTGTCATATCCGAATCTCTGGCGACGGGACGATTCGGAGAACGAAGAAGATGAATCTGATGATCGGCCGCAGGCAGCTGGATCATCTCCCTCATCATCGTCATACGCTTCACCGTCGTCCAGTCCGCCGCATCCTTCTGCAGTCTTGCTAACGCGCACGCTGTCAGCGCAGGCCAGCAGTAACGGGCCAGCGGTGCATCTGGCTGACATAATCGAAGAGGCGTCAACATCGTCCGTACATGAGTTATCACGTCCTGTTACAATGAGCTAAAACGCACACAAAAGATAAAGCAGAAAAACTTGTCTTGATCCAAGCAACCCCCCTTCCTTCAGACCCAATTGTATCATATAATCCATTCACTATTGCTCCACACCACCCCCCTCCCTTCTCTCTTATTCATACTCGGCTGCTTCTCCTTCTTCTCCATATCTAATCTAAATCACCACACACCTCCTTCTTTTCCTTATCCTCCATATCCCCAATACGCTGTATTCACTCTATCTTCCTGACGTTTTGTGCTGGCCGTGCAAAATATAATCGCTTCTTCTTGGTTTGATATGCAGATATTCACATTTAAATAAGTAGTTAATTGTTTATATGTACATGCTGAGTTTCGAGCCTTTTGGAGGAGAGAGAGCTACTTGGTAGCTGTTGAGAGCAGTAGGTTCGGGGGGAAGAGGGTATGCAATATCACGTCTTTTTACTCTTTTTCCTTTGCCGCGTAGTTGGACCAGTTGGTAAGCTATCCGCACTGGTGATGGCAAACTCGTCCGCATGATCAAACGTCCGTTTCTTCATTGGATTCGCTTTCTTGTGGGCCTTGCCTGGCATACGCTCTTTCTTGGCTTCCTTCTTCTTCTGTCCTTTGCTTGTCTCTTGCAGGTTGGACGGCGCTTCACGTAGCGCAAATGACTTGGCCATATGACCCAGGTGGAGCTTCCTGACATGGAAGATGTGCTTTTCTGCACTAGCATGCGTTGCGTAAGCACGCATGCTGGACCAATAAGCTTTGCGCGCCAACAGGACATTCTGCAGTACATCCAATGTCTTTTTTTTTAAAATTCCTCTTCTAACAAAACACACTCACTACGCTCCCCGTCCTAACATCTTTTTTTTTTCCTTGATGCAGAAAAAATGAACTTACGTCTTGATTATGCAGCAAAAACTGTTCCATCTTGTTTTGCAGTTCCTGTGCAGGTGTGTGGAAATCCACTTTTGGCGTGAGTGTCGATAGGACAGCTTCAACGGTCACCGGTTCAGGAAACAGATCTTGTGCCTTGAGGATATCCAAATAATCCATTTCGCTGGGCAATAGGAACAGCGCTGCACTACCTGCCTTTCCCAGACGCGCTGTACGACCCACACGATGCACATAATCTTTCAGGTCGGTGGGAGGATCATACTGGATAATGCGGTCCACGTCCGGCATATCCAATCCTCGTGCAGCGACATCCGTACATAGCAGCACGCCTGAGGATGACTGGCTGAATTGCTGATAAGACCGTGTGCGTGATTTTTGGTCCATGTCGCCATGGAGTCGGTAGACGGGCACGTCGTTTAGCAACTGACTCACCAGGTAGCCAAGGTCGGGTTCATCATCGTCATCCGTCGTCGTCTTTGGTTTGTTCACCTTTTTGTTGCCCATGATCTTGTTCAGCGCCTTGTGCATAGCCTTGTTCTCATTCCCATCATCGCTTTCATCTTGCTCGCCATCGTCATTATCGTCGCCATCTTCTTGTTTGCCAGCATTCCCAAATAGGGCATAATGAAAATCCACAGAATCACAACAGGATAAAAACACAATGACCTTGCTGTTTTTTGACCTTTTCCGCTGTGCGTCCCAGAAGCAGGACCGGATCATGGCAGTCAATGTGACAAGCCGGAGCTTGGCCGGCGTGATTGTGTAGGTTTGTTTGAGCTGATTGGGCGTCGAGTATTTTTCCATCATCATATCGTCGTCATCCTTGTCCTGATCCGTATCCAAACTCTCCTTGACAGCGTTGCCACTCACAAAGACAGGTCGATCCAACGCCACACCAGCCAAATGCTTGACATCATCTCTCAACGTGGCCGAACAGAGGACGTTCTGTCGCTTGGCTGGCCAAAACTTGTGCTGTAATGCAGTGATGTACTTTGGATCCGTCTTTCCGTTCCGCTCATCCAATAGCTTCATAATCTTGGTCAATGTCTCTTCAAATCCAAGATCCAAAAGACGATCTGCTTCATCGAGAATAAGCCAACGTAGCTGTCGCACGTCAAAGCTCTTTGTATTCTCGAGATGATCCAATAGTCGACCAGGTGTGCTGACCAAGACATTGACACCTTTACGCAGGCGAGCCTTTTCCTTGTTTTTGTTTTCACCACCGATCAAAAGACCAGGTACGATCCAATGAAGTCGGCGTACGTCTTGTGATCTGGGGACGTTGACGAGTTTTTGGAGCACTTGCAAAACTTGCTGGGCCAATTCACGTGTGGGTGTCAGGATAATAGCGACGGTGCCAATAGCTCGATCGCCAAATCCGGCATAGTCACTGGTAATTGTGGATGCTGCAACAAGTCGGCTCACAACTGGGAGCAAGTATGTGAGAGTCTTGCCAGAGCCGGTTTCGGCTTGCACCACGACGTCCACGTCGTGATCTGGAATCGTCGCATCGCGGACAGTCCGTGATGGACCTAACAGTGTAGGAATCGCTTTGCGCTGGACGTTGGTGGGAACCTCAACTCCAAGTTTTGAGCTTAGTCCAGTGCAGAGATCGGGATCGATGCCCAAACCGGTGAACGTCGTACTGTCGGCGACAGGTGCATTGCTTGGAATATCGTTGACTTTCCTCTTGATATTTTTGGCAAGTGGTTGCCTAAATTCTGGATTCGCAGTGAAAATCGAAGAAACAACTTGATTTCTGCCATGAACAAACTTTTGTTGGAGTGATGTTCGTTCTAGATCAGACGAAGGGATCGATTCGCTTGTTGTTGTTGTTGTTGCTGTTGCTGCTGCTGCTGTTGTTGCTGGTGTTGTTGCTGGTGCTGCTGCTGCTGCTGTGCTTACAGGTGCTGCTGGTTTCTTGATCACTGGCGCTTGCTTTGCTACTGTCGCTTTCTTTGTTCCTGTAGAAGCGGTAGCAAGATTCTTCTTTCGAAAGGCAACACTTTGTGAGGTTTTGGAGGTATTGGGCTTACGGCTGCTAAAGTTGATCAGCAATCCATCGTCTTCAGCCATGATCTTAGAAAGGTTGTCAAATTTTTTTTTTTTTTTGGTGCGCTGTATCAGCGTCGACTTTTATTTCAAACTACGTTGTGGTGAAGCGAGTGGGGAGAAATATTCTTGGCACAGAAAGGCGGCGATTTTGATACGCTGTGCGATGTGTAGAGTGTGAGCCGGTATAAGTGGCTTGTCGTCAAGACAAAGGTCCAATGATGTTTCCAAATGCTATGTACAGCTGCAAAAACTATGCTACAGCTGTTGCAGTTTTGCCTGAAGACTTTCCCGGGATTTTGAGCTCCAATGCTTCTTGGCCATAATGTGATTTAAGGACGAAATGCACTGGGTTTCAAAACTCATTCTATATTAGATAGGTTCGGGCAATGATCAATGAATTATACAAAAAAAAGCAATGATCAAGACCCTCCGAGCATAGACTGGTTGAGTCACCCAACCGAGGGTTTCTTGAGACTAGATATGTATGAACCCGCATCCGTATACCTTCCCTACAAACTTTTTACTCCCAAGTAAGATATATACTTCTGTGTTGGCAATATCACACTACCCGTTCTTACCTTCCTTATCATAATTATGATACCGCAAGGAAGTGACTATAAGCCCAATGGCGCATATCACCTAGTCTTCCATATAATAAAAGCCAAAAAAACTATAAATTAGTAGATAGGTTTTCAACCTTGAAACCCCTTACTGGGCTAAACTAGTCGAGAGGATGCTTTGGAAGGTTCAAGCTGATAAAGCTGTCAAGTATCAACTTCAAGAACGATATTCAGCCCCCATCCCCTCAAACCTAAGTATAAATTGTATATTCCCTTGCCGGAAATGAATGACTTCCATAAAAACAGGATAAGTGCTGTTGCAATAACGACATTTCTCCAAAGCAGACGAGGCCTTATCACGTTTGCCAGCACTCAAATTGATTGTCAAGTCACCGCAAATTGCAAAACCAGCAAATATATATACTTGCTCAATCCTTCAAAAAGAAATTTGTTGCCAACGCGACCGCTCCAACACGACCTAAAATATAAACAACAAGCTTCCCTGATACCATAATTCACAGCAGCGGCAACAACAACAACACTACCAAGATAAGTTACAATTATCGATTTTGCGTCTATTTCAAGGCTTGGGACCGAGCGTTTTTGTTCGGCGATGATATCTACGTCAAATGCGCGAAGTGCAAGTTCGCATTAAGCAAATATTTACAATTAACAGATTCCGATAGCGGCTTGACTTTATCTCGTCACCCAGCTTGGTCGACAAATTGGACTACTATAAAGTACATGAGTGCTGAAGAAAAGTCCAACTGAAAAGACTCAACGCTCGATATAGACAAAGGAAGATACAAGCTAGAGAACAGCATACGCCTGAATTGTGGGTAACCCAAGCCCATTGCTTATCAAAAAAAGTGGATAGACCTTACATGTCTGTGGAACGCGAGTGTTTCCCGACGAAAAAGTAACATCCATGCAGACGCTACTCGAGTGCGTTCATATATCCCTTAAATCAAGTAATCTGCTTGGGATCGGACTCAAATGAAGCATCACCAGCCCAAAAGCAACAATTCTTTTACCGGCCATAGTCCGTACTAGTCTGGCTGGACCTCCGTCAACTTCGCTTTATCAACCCTAGCGAAACTGGGGGAAATCATGCTATGAAAACTTATGAGGGACCACTTTTAGTCATCATAATCTATCAAGCGGGATGCTACGTTGAATTGTATGAGGGTGACAGCCATGTTGTGTATGTCATTGGCCAGCATGCAATTACATCGTTCTTGGCCATTTGTGCGGACCACTAGGCATATCATGATAACGTCCTTTCCTCGCTACCCACGACTGAAATTGATGATGATGGCGAATTCAGTGAGTCAACTTATTTCAAGGTTTCCATGGTTATATGCTCTGCTGTGACACATCTATTTTGAGAACTTGAAAATGAAATCGGCTTCGGGAGCAACATTTGAACCGATGATATCAACAAGCACGGTATCATAGGGTGGATGAAGAAGACAACTGAATTAAAGAAGGGAAAGTATAACTGATGTCGTAAGTGTCTTCCGAAACATATAACAATTTTCGATGGTGTCCATACTTTTCAACACGTTGTATAATTCATATCATGTAAGAAAGCCCGCATCTGTATACTCATTTACTTACTATACAAGAGCTCAAACACAAATACATCCAAAATAACAATACTCCAAGATATGATGTTATTTAAACTCGTATATAAATTTGTGTCTTGCGCATAAACTTTGCCAATTAGCATCCCCAGCATGGTATATGCCACAACAGTGGATTTCTTCAGAATAGTATCATCACAGCAACTCGATAGCAACGACAAAGAGTAATTATGGAAGGCCGCTTTGACGTGATTGTTTGACACTGACAAAATTGTTACCTTAATTGATTCTGCATAGCTTCCTGAAGCTCGCTATTCTAAAGTTTTTGTGTTTCCTCCTTTTACTGTTAAACTTCAAGATGGCCGGTGGTTTTATGATCAGCAGTGCTGACGAAACGAATGGCGGCCACAATGCAGCATATAACGATAGCCATAGACTGTTTATGCAAACAATGCTCTCGCATCGGGTTTTGACGGAGGAGCAGGCTGAAGTGCTTTATACCAAAATTTGCCATTTGGTACAATGTAAGTTTCATTAATAAATTTTACTGCCTTGGCAACCATTGACGAATGTTAAACATTTTTTTTAGGTGAGCGTTCCGAATTTGCTGAATTCATTAGTGATATTAATGCCCAAATAAACGACATTGATCTTTCATTACGACGATCGCGTGATGAGCGTGATGGATCACCACTTGTCGGCTTGGTAAGCAAATCGGATTTCACTATTTAGTTTACACAATACCATTTCCTGCCAGGTTGCATACTTAGAAAGCTAATATTACGCGCTTTTGTCGTCATAGGTAAACACTAAAGAAGACGAAGTAGCCCAAATAGCAACCAAGTACACAGCAAGTGAAATCGCGTATTTCCGTCAAATGGTAAATTTTTTATTTTCGCGTCATGTACACGAAAAGTTTAATGTCTAACATTCACCTTCTCTCCGCTGTTGATAGCTCGAGCTAATTGTGATGGCAGACGACGAAAAAAACGCTGTGGGCTCCATGGCTGCTTTGAGACTGGGCCAATCCATGAAACCGCCCATGTCACAAAAGGATACACAAACACTGATCGACCGCTTGGTTGAAGACGGCTGGATCTGTCTCACACCCGACGGTTCTTCCTATACTGTTGATACACGCGGCATCTTAGAACTTCAAAATTATTTACGCGAGCAATACGGCGATGTGATCCAGGAGTGCGCGGTCTGTATGGGAGTCATTACTATGGGCGAACGCTGTGAACTGCAAAGCTGTAACGTTCGCATCCACCGACATTGTGCAGACACATACTTCAGAGGTGGCCAAATGTCTTGTCCTACATGTGAAACAGGATGGTCAAGAGCCAATACGTATGGACTCGGCTTGCCACTGTAAAAAGCACGACAAACACGCAAAAACACTCACCCACACATTCACTCTATAACCAACTCACATACAATGCATGTACAATCGCTTCGCTGCATCTTTCTTATTTTCTTTGTTATTCATGTTATCATTAAAAGGTGGAAAAAAGCGACAAGAGAATAATATATTTTTTTTCTATCGAATGTTTTTGTTTATTCTCTATGATTACGGACGTATTCGCGTACATAACTATCTACACTTGCTCGTACGTCCATATTAGGAATTAATCCATCCAGTCCATTTGGGATTTGCTGTTGGCAATCCTGACAAGCGAAATCGTTTTCTAGAAGATAACCACGGATGCACTCGTCACAAAAACTGGCGCCACAGCATGGGGTGATGGTTGCTTCACGAAAGGGACCCTCGCATATTGGACATTGAAGATGAGCAGGGATGGGGATTTCTTCAAACAGCTCCAGTAGATCGCCTGCTGTGGCAGTTCCTAGATTAATTGTCGCTGCTGACTTTGCTACATGCTTGTCCCATGTTGACCTAAATTGGGATGTATCGTTAGAAGTGCTCCTTTTCTAATATGTAACAATGAAAACTTACGAGTCTGCTTGGGCTACCACTAGATCACCTTTGGGAGTTACCATGAGACCGCCTGTGCCCGACTTTACTGCGTTCTTCGGTTCTTCAATAACTTTAAGGAAACTACGTGGGATGCCCGTTGTCCTCTTGATTCTAGGGTGCTTGTCGAACTCTTTGTCGCCATTGGTAGGGCATTGGTTGATATAGTGGCCTATAGTTTAGAATGTTAATTCTCGTTCTCGCAACTATCAGCTCTTCAAAAGCTACTTATTCTCATTTTTTTCTACCTTTCTGACCACACCGGTAACAAACATACGTTGGAGGAGGCACGCGCTGAGGTTGTTGTTGCTGGTTATTGTCTCCATTATTCTCACCATTTCCACCACTTCCACCACCATGGCCACCTCGCTGAGAATGATGATATCCTCCTCGACCTCGTCGCCAATCTCCACCTCTTGGTGTGAACGGAATGTATTGTTGTCTGTAATATGTGAATAAGTGAAAAGTGTTTTGTACTATTAAGTCGCATGCTTTGCATATACACTTTTCTTTTCTCTTTGGAATAAAAAAAAAGACATGGAGGAGACACGAGCAAACAAGGGAAAACGATGTACATAGAGGGTAAAAGAAGTGTATATTTTTCTTTTTCACTCTTTTAAAACAATATGATATGACAAGTATATGCGCACACGCACACAAAAACACATCCTCTCTTTATCCGTTTCTCTCTATGATCCCACATCCTCTTCCTTTTACCCAATCTCTTTTCCCGTTTATACCCGGAACACCAAAAAGCGAGAATAAAAACAAAACTTACTCTGCAAGCTTTTCTTGCATAGCACCCCATTGATCGGTCGTTTGTTGAAACATGGCCTGAATTCGTGCTTCTTCCGAGTCATCAGTAGGTGCTGGTCCCTGTGGTTGAGCATCTACTGTCTCTTCAAATTGCTGTTGCTGCTGCTGATGCTGTTGTTGTTGCTGCTGTTGCCGGTGACGATACTGCGGTGCATTCAATACCATGTTCCGACCACCTGCACCACCACCGGATCCAAACCGCTCTGCAGCTGGACCGGGAGGCCCTTTTAACATCCCCATACCACTCGATCCCATTCCTTTGCCATCCGCCGGTAATGCTCCTGATACATAACGTTGTGCTGTTCCTTTTCCCGGTCGCGATGCTGGCAATCGTCGTACTATGATTGAAGTATTTCTAGGCACCACAAAGACATCATCTTTGTATTCTATATATGTATACAAGATTCAGCACTCGGTTTCAAAGAAAAATAGAAGAAAAGCAGTGTACACATTTACGTAGGAAGTGTGCAATGTCAAATCAAACAACTTTAATGTTTTCATTTACCTTCATCGGTTTGTGCGTTATAGATGGCAAGATCAAAATCGGTGCCCTTGCCTAGCTTTTTTGCTCGAAGAATTTCACGTTTTACATCAAATACTGTGGCACCAGGGCCATCAAATGTGTATACATCGTAATCGGAATCTTTGGCTGCCTTAAATTTGTAATAGATAACTGACATTTTGTGGGTCGCGCAAGAATAGGAAGAAAAGTTTCTGCGTTGAGCAAGGCTTGAAAATTATTGTGGGCAAATGGCCAAAGTCCGCAAGTGCATTGGTTGGGTTGCCATGCTTGGTTTACTAAATAGCAGCCTGCGATGTAGAGATGAACCGTAGCGATCCTGATCAGTACGTTGCACTATCGATTCCGTGTCTCACGACTTTTAAACCGCAGCACTGACACAATGTTCTTGTTTGGCAGCATGGCATTGTTAACTACAAGCTTTAGCCCCAAATAGAGCCAGTATATCTTACAATTTCGATAGCAGCAAGCAAAACAAGTTCGGTTGGAGCAAACACTGCAGTAAAAATGGCACTGTCATGAAAATAAATATGAAGGGATGATTATACACAGTTGCAAACTCTCCATATTACCGAAGTAAAATGTTCAGTCGTTGCATTCTTGCCGCTTCCCGGTAGTACGTTAATTAGCAAGATATGCACTGTAACAACTATACTGTACTTACTAGGGTTCCTCAATTTACCTGCTATGCGAGTATCCGATTCGGTCTGAAAAATTGACATTTATTATGAATGCCAATCAGATACGGATTGACATGTTATTTCCGATCTGTGTATCGTATCAATCCGCAACTTCATGATAAACCTTTTATGTCTGGGTCCAGTATACCAATAAAAAAGGAATGCAGCGTATAATGATACACTTGGGAATTGTGAGCTGCCCTAGACTCTTCTCCTAGAAAGGTGTAGAAGCACATTTATTCTTTATTATAGCGAAAGCTTAATAATTTAATTGAGAATGATTAAGAAGTGACAGGATGATATTGGCATCACTTTCCTTTTGAACTTTATATACTGGCCAAGGGCAGTTGAAAGGTTAAACGCATCATTTTCCAAAAGAACATATCAGTTTCTGAACTACATATTTGCAATAGCTTTGTTTTCTGTAATCTGTATAACATTAGTACTACTCAAAAGTCACGATTTGCTCTGCTTTTATATTAGTACCTCTTCAAAAAGTGAATAATAGACATCAAAGGTTAATGGGCGTATCGGGAATCAGAGTATCGTCAATGCGTTCGACTCAGCATCATTATAGTCGCACATCGCTAAGTGGATCGGCTTTGTCCTTAATCTAAAAAGTGATTTTAATATTGGTGTCATCATAAGTCTAAAACGCTGCTCTATGAATTGTGTCCAGTGCCTTGTGTGAGGGAAGATTTGACAGCTTGAGGGTAATACATAAGATTTTGTGTAACCTTTTTTGTTGTAATAGAATTCTCTTTTTGCAGCATTGGTCGGCAACTACGTTTCCCTACCAGTAATACCGATAAAGAAGGGTGAGCTGAGGTGAAGCGCATTGCCTGGAGTATTACACACTACACTGCTACCGAGCAGCATCAGCAGAAACAGCAGCACAATCAGCCGCTATACATGCATCGGGACAGCAGTGCCGGCGATAACCAGAGTCTGATAGCCCGCTGTATGTTGGAATATCTGCGGCAACCTTAATGCTTCATTAGGCTGTTGCGCCGTCGACAACAGCAATATGCAACTTGACAAGGGAAACATGTCGATCTGCCTCAGCTGCAGATAGGGTAGACACACCCATGGCACATAGGTTAAGGCTGGCATATGTCTACTTTGATTTTTATTATTTTGTCATCATCAACTAACTAGTGCTCCTTGTACTTTTGTATCTGCCTCTGTTGTTTTTAACTTCTTCAATCGCTTGGTGAATATTAAAGTTTATTTCACAAAGTAACTCTGACATCATCATTACCACAAGTACATGAGTTTGTTATGAAATGATTGGCACCGATGTATGGTTGCCCCAAAAATTGTACATCTAGACTGAAATTACGTCAAAAAATTGGAATAAACTCTTATTTTTTCTTTAAATTGAAAAATGAATTCCATCACACAAAAGGAATAGAAAAGAACGAGAAACGATATGTTATGCATGTGTATATAATAAAACGTATATATGAGGGGAAAGTGTTAGTGCAAGGGTGGGGAGAAGAGCGAGTATAACTTTTTAAAATAAATTTCATGGAGCGAGGATACCGGCTTTAGTTGAAGTTTCTACCATTGGACAAGACAGCATACAACTCGTCGATCTGAGAGTTGTATACCTTGCGTGCGATCTCACGCTTGAGCTTGAATGTAGGCGTCAATAAGTCGTTTTCAACGGTGAATTCTTCACCGGTCAAATGGATAGCTCGAATCTGCTCAAAGCCCTTCAAGTCGCTCTCCTTGCCGTAAGCATTCAATACTTTCAGCAATTCCTTCTTCACCTCGGGCGAATCATAGCTCTGTTCCTTGGACACCTTAGGGAAGTTGCTCTTGAGCCAGGGGACATAGGCGTCGTTATCGGGAACAATGACACCGACAAGGGATGATTGCTTGGAGTCACCATATACAAATGCTTGCGCAACAAGCTCGTGCTATCATTGTTACAATATACATATACATGTTAGCATTATGCAACATCGGTTTGCTTTTTCACCAACTATTACAGCAGTCAACTGAAAAGGAAAGACCTTTTACCTTTTGGTAGACACCTTCAATCTTTTCGGGTGCAATATATTCACCCTGCGATAACTTAAAGATGTTCTTCAAACGATCGATGATCATCACACGGTTGGCAGAGTCAAACATACCAATGTCACCCGTGTGCAACCATCCATCTTCATCGATAGCCTCGGCGGTTTTTTCGGGAACCTTGTAGTATTCGCGCATGATAGAGTAACCACGGATACAGATTTCACCACGGGGGTAAGGCTTGTCAGTGGATCGATATTCCATATCAGGAACATCAACAAGCTTGATTTCGGAGCAAGGGAAAGGTGCGCCGACAACACCAGATGTGTTATCGTCTTCGATTGTCTACATTGAATCAAATAATTGAGTTTAGTATATGCCTTGCCTTGCCAGCCCGCTCCACATCCCTTCAGTTACTGAGACAACAGAAGAACACGTCATTTACCAAGCAACCGCCGCACATGTTCTCGGTTTGACCATAGCCTTCAAACACTCGGGCCGAGAAGCAAATGCGCATAAAGTCCATTACGTCCGGCGAAACGGGTGCGGAACCACTCAGAATGAAGCGGAGACGGCCGCCCAACTTTTGTCGGATTTGGCCAAAAACAAGGCGATCCCAAAGCCAGTGATGAACCGTATTCTCAAGGTTGGCCTTCTTCGCATTGAATGCTCGGTGGAACAAGAAGCTGCTCAAGCCACCCTTGGCCTTGACGCCAGCAAGAACCTTGTCGTAGATACGGTTGAACAAACGAGGTACTGAGCAGAATACGGTAGGCTTTAATACGGTGATATCATCGAGTAACTTGGCAGTGTCACCCTATCATACCCCAGAAATGTGGTTTGTGTAAGCGATACGTATAAATCATCACAAACGACAGACACGCGCATAGCTTTTCCCTCCTTTCGGCACCCTACAGTATGTGCCATTACCCCATATTCTAGTTTTATTTTACCTGATAGTAGCCAATAGCCGCGCCACGGTAGACATGTAAACCTTGAGCCACGCGTTCAAACACGTGAGCAAGAGGAAGATACGAAATGTAGACATCGGTATGATCAACGGATGCGAACGAGCCAACATCACCAACAGCAGCTGCACCATAGACTGAAGCCACGCAGTTTGCCTGAGTAATTACAGCGCCCTTGGGCACGCCAGTGGTACCACTTAACACCGATAGACAGTTAGCCCACAATTCGGATCAAAACAAAACCCCTCCAACTGCATGTTTGAATATTTTGCTGCATACCTAGTATAGCAGATGGTAGCAATATCCTCGGGCTTGGGCATTTCAGTCTCTTCCTCGACAGATTCGCCCATCTTTTCAACTTCCTGAAAGGTATGCACGGCCAATCCAGCATCCGTAGCAGCTTCCTTATCCGCCTTCTTGAGATTGTCGCCGTCCATGACGATGACAGTCTTGATCGATGGCAAGCTTTCTTTCAAACGGGTAATGTTGGAGAGTTTGTCGGCACTAGCGATAATGAACTCCATGTCGGTCTGATTGACAATATAGTCGATAGCCTCAGCACCCAATGTATCGTACAAAGCAACGATGATGAAGCCTTGTCTATAACAGGCTTGTTCGGTCATGGTCTATGAATTTTCACCAACCCAAAAGTGGGGAGGACGGACGATCGCGATGTTTCATAAAGTGAGCGAAACTTTGATTTTAATCGTTCTGTCAAAGTAGGTACGGTAAGAAGATAATTTACCCATTCAGGTCGGTTGACGCTGTAGATACCAATAGACTTTTGACGTCCCAAACCGAGGCTCACTAATCCTCGGCCATAATCCTCGATACTCTTGCGAACCTCGCGATGGCTTCGCCAGACATATTCGCCAGCAACACCATTATTCATTTTGCGTGTACCCAAAAACGGCGTATCTGATATCCCATTTTACGTTGTCAATACCCCTCTCCTTCATATCACATATATCATTTCATATATATCCCAAATTTTGCAATAGCAAAAGGCACCGGCCTTAATGGAAAGAAGAGGAATAAGAAAGAAACTCACCTCCACCGATTTTGTTGCCATGTAAATACAAATCCCACATTGTGTAAACGTTGGGAGGGTGGTCAAGCAGCTTGTCAGCAAACTTAAAGTGACGCATAGGCAGTGTTTCGCCTTCCTTAGCAACTGCACCGGGGTCAGTCGACTTCACAGCATACGGCGGTTTGAAAGAGGGTGGCATTACAAGGTTAAAGTAGTTCGGAGAAACGAATAAAAAAAAGAAGGAAAGGGAGTTCCCCGATTTCACCAGGGCTTCCCAGGGACGTTTACAGCGACACCTTTCCGCCAAAAAAATGACAGCGGAGTTTTATTGTTGGTGCTGTGGTTGCTAGGGGTTGTATAACGTAGTAATTATGATTACCAACTGAACTGCACGTTGTACGCGACAGACACGCAAGGAGCCTGCTCCTGGCTTTCACAGCAGATCGTTGAGCTTAATGAATGTGGCCAGTTTTTACGATGACGATACCCGAGACAGAGTAATTAAAGTTCTTTCTGTTTACAGGTTGCCAGAAAAGACACCCTTCCTGATAGCGTAAACTGCACCAAAGCTTCGGTTGTTGGATCGACATATGATCAGTACCTGGTTTGTTTGTCTTCTTCCCATCATCTATATAACATCTCTGCACTATGTGAGTCTAGTGGCAAAATAACCTACCAATCGAAATCAACAGGTAAAGTAAAACTGGATAACTCGTGCCCAGTTTCTGCTCTGACGCATGTTCAAGAAACACTTCGGATCGTTGCATCACCAGCACATGTATCGATATCTTATGGCTGTGATGGTATGGCCATTATCTTACATTCTCAGCAGAATTTACTTTTCACGTTGTGAGCAGCTAGAGCATCATTACGTATCATGTTCTCTTCTTCTCGCTTGCTCCCCATCTCCTTGTTCTCTAGACCATATGATACTCGCTACCATCCTGGGATGATCCCCTGGTCGAATGGTAAATGATGAAAGGAATCCCAATGGGTTTATCGTGAAAATTATGATGAAATACTATGCTTTTTCAATTTTAACTTTGCCATCTACTAGTTTGGCTTTGAGACCCATTTCCGATAGTCCGTCTGTTTGTACAGCTTCTTTGGGTTCCATTTGAGCAATCAGGGCCTGGTTATCAGGGTTGTCCTTGAGAATGTTGCGAATGGCCAGTATAGCGTATTCCCGCAGGTCTATTTCGCGTCTAATTTAGCTTACCTTGCCCAGCCAAAACATACATGCACACGCGCAGTGAACCTAAAAAGTTCCATCCCGTTCCCCTCCTTACAAAACACTGCTTACATGGATTGGCGTCTTCAATTTTGCATTGTGCTAAAATTAGTGGAATTCCTCCAATTTCACGTATCTAATCATTTTCATCATCACAATAGTCAAGTCGGATCGAAATGCGTCAATGAGTTTATACTTGTCCTTGTTACAGTCATCAATACTGCCACTGACTACAGCCACAATTGTTTACCTTGTCTTGCATCCGACGATCTTCATAACACAATGCTCCCAGCAATCGAACACTGTCGCGTTTCAGGTAATTGAACCCAGGCTGCTTATTTTGATCCATGGTCTCACACCGACTTAACAGATCTGAAGAGATAAGGAAAGACCATTCAGATAAAAAAAGAGGCAATGTACGGATCACCGGTCTTTTTTGTGTTACCTGTCACAGCTTGCATTACATTGTCTTCTGATAACATCTCTTTGAAATCCGCGTGGCCGTCTTCATTTGTCGTCAATAGTGTTGATGCTGTTTGTAAAACCAGGACAAGTGTAGTATACACTTCAGATACATCATCGATTTCAAGTGCTGAGGGTGGTGCTTGTCCCTCGATTACTTGTTCCATGACAAAAACAGCGCGCTGACACAATTGTCGTACTAAACCGGAAATCGTTTTCAGCTCGACATGACCCAAATATTGAGGAAGTCCGTTGCTCTTCTCCTTGTACGCATGTATCTTCGAATCAATCACTTTAATCAGCATGGTCAGTCGACCATTCATCTGCTCACTAATTCTCCATCGTTAGTGTGTGAAGATTATCAACCGCGTATACAAGCTAGAAAAGCATTATCATTTATATGACAGTATGCTTACCTTGTGTCTTCAATGTTGCGGTACACAGTGACGAAGTGACCATAATCGATTAACTGACTGATAATAGAATATCTGTGTATGTATGTATGCATGTTCGCGTTTGAGTATGCATAACAAAAAAAACCTTGAATACTTTCCTTTTACTGAATGAAACTTACCCCAGTTCAAAATTTTTATTGTGCTCATCGCTATGTAACCGTTCGAGGTCATCAAGAATGGCATTTAGCATGGCTCTACCGGGTTTAGCCTTGACCATGGCTTGACTATTGGCAACAGTATTTAGTATTTACATGTAGGTAGCTCATTCTTCTTCATTTCTGCCCTTACCATCGTTCTCGAGAATTCCGTATACAGTTCAATATCAAGATCATGGTTGCCGTGACAACGCCGTCATCGTTAACACCAAGAAGTTCACTAAATCATTACCGTCCAGTTGTTTGTAAAGACAAAGAATAGTCGGTCCTCGTGCAAGAAAGCACACTTGCAAAGCACACAGCACCGTTTGTATATATACCTGTAAACATGCCCTCGATTGATATCCTGCATCCATTCCTCCCATACAAACTCGAGTGCAATACTGTTCCCCGTCATCATATTGCAGATCGCCTGTGTTCCAATTTGCATGACTGTGATAGCTGTATCGATATGCATTGCCCCGCACGTTTGTCGATCAAAGTTAGTAGTCATGCATCTACGTAGATATGAGCAAAAAAGTAAAATACTAAAACGGACCTTCTTGATCATGGCTTTGAAGCCTGGTGTTTATAATTTTCTCTATTTCATATAATGCACCGAACTCTCTAAATTTATGCATTTTGCCAAAGTTGGTTAGGCAGCAGTGGACGAAGAAAGAAGAAGTGATATACGAAAACAAAGAGGAGCTACACTTACATGGCAAGCTGCTGATTGACAACCTCGTTAACAACGGCGTTGCGAACCAGTTTCAATAGTAAGACAAGACACGATTGTGCCGTTGGTTTTTGTGCAAATTCAGGCATTGCAAGACATGCTATACGCCAGAAATCGGGCGAGCAACCGGTTTGTGCTCTAAACACAAGTGTATATGTGTTTCGTATGAAGGATCGTTACGCGTAAGGCAACAGTTATATATAATACACGTCAAAAAAAGGCTAGAGATCTCGACTCGATCGAAACACTTACCTAAAGTTAGCATCAGTCACTGTTTGCTTTACTGCTTCAGTAAGCGTTGTTTCTAGCTTGCATTGTTTTGCTGGATCGTCTGGGTTGTTAATGCATTGAGTGAGATCTGACTGAATTGATTCAAGCATGGTAAAGTGTCTGTGTGTCAAAAAGCTCTCTTGAGAGTATATGAATGTCTAATATTAACAAACCCCGCGCGGCTTTCTTGAGATAGGATTTGTGTACCATGTACTCGTTTGTTTGTTTCTAATTAAGCTCGCTGCTAAGATGGCTGCCGCAAGACGTTCTATCTCAAACGTTGTATTGAATCTATGCATATAGTAGCAAGAGAGAGCATAATGATAGTTTATGTGTTGCCAACCTACAACCACAAAAGCTCCGCGTAGAATGACAACAACGAACCATTATACAAATTGGAGGCTTTATTATCTGCTTCTAAGCTACCGGAAAGCCAGCCAGCTTCTTTAGAGCTCATCGAAATGCGTATCATCTTGTCGCGTTCTCATGAATGACGGAAAAGGTGTAAATTAGCTCCCTTTTCCCCTCAAAAATCTATGTTGCCCTTGTTCCCTGTTCGCTTTGGATGCCAAAAACAGAAAGCGAGGGTTATTACGAAAGAAGTGAAAGCATGATTGACTTTGGCAGCTTCACCAGACAAAACAGTTGGGTATTAGGTACCTGCTGTCTGCTGTGGTGGCTCTCGAGCCATTTACTCTTGAGGGCGGGCTGCATAAAGTTACAACCTCCCTTTACTAAATCCCTCTCTCACACACTCTCTCGGGGATGAAGTTGCATGTCTGCTGTGGGCCATCCAACTATCCCGTGAGTTCCCCTTTCCTCCTCAGAAAAAGCCCATCTTGTAGTCTCGCTTTGACCCTATGCTGCACTCACATACATATTAGCCACGACGTACATACATTTTGCATTCTCTCTGTTTCTCTTGTTTCTCATTTACTTTCTTTCTCTTTTTCTTTCATAAAACTTATTTTCACATAGTACTCACATATATACTGCAAATACAATATCCTATACACACTAGATTTTTATAATACTGCTACTACTACTAATGCAATCTACTTCTGCTCACACTGTTATCGACCACAACATTAACGACTTCAATTCATCGTCGTGCGATGATATACAATCCCTGAAAGCCCAACTAACAGCACAAAGCGAAATTATCCGACGGCTGCAGCAGGACATGCAGGCGCTGAATACCAAATATGTTGCCGAGATTGAAAGGGCGGCTGAGACGCTTTACCAAAAGGACATGGTGGAACAAGAACTCGAGGAGCTCAGCCGCCGTTTGTTTGAGCAAGCTAACGACATGGTTGCTCAAGAAAAACGTGCCAAGTGGGAGCTAGAAAACCAACTTAAGCGGGCGCAGGAGCAGCTTGCTGCCGAGCAAAGCCAGCTCAAGGAGCTACGACTACAGCAGCAACAAGATACCGTCTTGCAGCGCTCCACATCCTCGTCAACATCTTCTTCTTCGTCTATAACAGCATCATCGTCCTCAGCACTATCAAAAGCAACTGCACTGACGGAGTATTACACACCTGCTACCATGGAATCGTTCAAGCACTTTGCAGGACAATCTCCTTTTTCTGCTACGACGAATGCCAACGTTCCAAAGCCTCAAAAGCACCGTGCTCCCCTGATGAAACTGCACCAGCAGTTTGTATTCCTTAAAATGTGCCAAGAGGACGATGTCGAGCCATGCTTGCGGTTTGGGCCACACTCGCGTTGGTCAGTCAAAAAAATGATCGAATATCTGCTCCGACAGCCTTGCTTTATCGAAAAAATCGACCCTTATGCGATACCTCCATCCACGGATTATTGCGGCACACCATCACCTGCATACAACCGTCCTTTATGGGAGAGATGGATCGAGCAACCATCCGCAGCCATTACATCCATGTCATCGTCGTCGACGCTTTCTTGTTGTTCAGCATGTGGTGAACCAAGTACCGATTTGGACTACCGGTTCCGTTTTGACGTAAACGAGGATTGGTCCCGTATTGATCGATATTGTCGTGATCGTCTAGTCGCCGTGTGCGAATTCTATGTGTTTATCCGGAATATCCATATGGGGCTCTATGCAGATAGAGATGTACATATGCTTTATGAGGAAACTGTGCGTCTCAGACTGCAAATGTTCTACGCCAGGTAACAAAATCTTCTTATATATAGCAAGGCGTGAAAGGACGGGGTTGTTGGCTGCTTCCGGGTTGGAAGGAGACAAGGTCGAAGAAGAACTAAATGGGTTAACCGCATGTGCGTATATGCTCTGTGCCTGTATCATATATACTCTTTTACATTATAATAGGATGGGCGCACTGCGTGATATTGGGCCACAACCCCTGCTCGATGCAGACAAGGAGGAGGACGAGGAGGATGCTGTATCCTTGAACGGATCAGTGTCAACTGTGTCGACCTCAAGCACGTCGGAAGCTCCTCAGACACCCATTGAACAAGAAATCCGTGATAATAGCGGTGATTTGAATAGCGAAGATGACCTCCTTGTCGAGCAAGAACAACAAAAGCTGTGCTCTAAGCAAAAGCAGCATATGGTGCGGTCTCGTTCCTGGACAGTCTCGCATCATGAAAAGTAGTTATCAATTTTACATACACTAATTGCGCATACAACAACTATTATTACCATCCACATTGTCAAGAACCACCCAATCCTTTACTCGCATTTTATTATCAGTGCTACTACTGCTATCTATTAAAAATTGCTAAAACGAGCCATCAAGTGCGGTTCGTCAATCGCTGTTCTTTTGTGTGTCTCGAACAAGCAAGAAGGCGGGAGATAGCAAAGCTGCGAAATCTGATCTACAGCAGCTATCACCATAGTTACATCAGCTCAAATGGCAGAGTGTCGTCTCCTCTTCCTCCCAGCATCTCTAAATGAAGTATGAAGGAAGAGACAACGAAGCATTTCCTATTTGAGCTTGGTGCACACACACATTACACACACGTGCCAAATTCTGATATGGCAGGTTTTTTTAAAAGGATGTGTGTTTACTGTACGGAGTTACAGCTCTTTGTCTGTGTCTTCTCTTCATAGAGTCGCCTACACATATCCTTTCTGCAACCTTTTTCCTCTACGCTGTTTCACAATTTCGAACGCGCGACTTAATCTTGCCCCACCAAGCACGGTGACAATATAACAATAGCATCTTGATTGCTTTGGTCGCCATTATGCCCGACTCGCCACTTACTTTGACCGTCCCCGAGGCTGCCGCGTCTATCGACATTATACAATTCAAGCTTGTCCTCGGTGGCACTGAAGAGGTATCCTGATCACACCCTTAAAGATAAATATGAAAGGAAGAATAATAGGAGAGACAGCAGCAAATGGTGATTTATGATCTCTACTGCAACCAAAATCTTCATGTCAAGCAATGAGTACTCAGCATGAGATTTAATCGCCCTTTCTGTATTGAAAGGCACTCAACGACTATACGAACCGACACCAACTTGTTCAGCCTAGTGTCGTATTTCGCTCGTTTCAACAAATTAGCTGGTTGCATGAAAAATTGACGCGGGCGTTCCCGGAACTCGTCGTGCCACCACTCCCAGATCCTCCTTCTTCACAACGCATGGATGATCAGGATTATGTCGAACGCAAACGATTGCAAGTCGTCCGCTTTTTCGAAAGGTTAATTACTCGCACTGTATTTGCAGATCATGAGGACTTTGTGCATTTTCTTTCCAATGACATGGTAAATATCATGCCCGTATCCCTCGCTTCGATCAGGATATGCAGTAACTGTGAATAGCATCGCCTGATTCTGCTGCATCTAAACATGCTTTTTCCTCTTTCAACGACTAGACACCCACTGAAGTCGGGCAATCAAATCGAGGCGTCTTGTCGTTTTTACGTTTCAATCGGGTGATGCGATCTAATACCGACCGTGGGTTCAAATCATACAAGGCTACAGAGCCCGTAGAGGGCGTAGGTTTCTTTACCGACTTTGAGATCATGCCTTTTGTTTTGACATGCAAATACTTATAAAAAATCATAGAATGATCAAGACACATTTCATCGTCACCAGATCTACATTCTCATGCTTGAATCATATTTCGGTACCATAGCCGAATCTTTAGGCCAGCTGATCCAGACCCGTGAAGGTATGTAGGTTGCTAAGGATGGATGCTGCCAAGCAACAATAGATCACCGAAATGCGCAGCACTCATCATACGCGAAACACTTAGGACTTGCGGATGTGTTGGCACACATGGGCGATGTTGTTATCGAAACGACCCAGAGCAAGTACCGACTCGGGAACGGGGACTCTGAGGCACATAGAAAGGCCCAGCGTGCACTTGATCATAAGATGCAGTTGTTTGGTTTACTGATGGATGAACTAGGTTTCATCTTCACACGCCAGGTACAATTTACTGCTTGCAGGATTGAGAAGCTATTTTGAAATGCACGCACATGGAACATAAGCTCACCAACACAAACGCACACGTCGACCACGGGGGACTGTGTGCGCTACAACCACTCACAGGGCATTGAAGAGAATATGAAGTTCGGCGATGTAATGATCGAGTACAAGAATTCCATGGACGGTCTCAAGGTAACACAACTTATGCAAGAATGTCAAAGTCAGTTTTTCATTGACGCTACTTTTCTCCATTTCTCTCCCGTCTTTTTTTTATGCCAGACGGCATTCAATGCCCGAACACAAAAGCTGATGGACTATGTGGACAGCGTCAAGCACAGGAACAAGAAGCGTGACAAGGCAGATAAGCTCAAACTGCGTATGGGGCTAACTGCACCCGAAGTACAAGCGACAATTGCAGAGGAAGAGGAGGCGGCGCAAGAGCTACAAACGTCACGGCAAGAATTTGACGCATGCCAAGCCAAAGTGAAGCAAGAGATCCAACTGTTCGAAACACAAAAACAGCATGACATCACCCGAGCAATACACGACTATGTCAATCTCAGTTTACGGTATGAACGGTCCAAGCTGTCGAGCTTGGAAAAGGCTGTGCATGAAATACGACAATTTAATCCAAAACCAGTATCGTTGGCGCATACACTCTTGCCAGACGAGGAAGAGAGTTCAACAGCATCGTCTTCGACCTATGATGCCAAGCAGCAGCAGCACCGAAAGCGACGGAGACGGAGAGGTAGCAGGAAACATGGTCCGCAAGCTATATTGTCGTCTGCGTCGCTGCCGACATCAACGCCTCGCAAGTCAAAACAAAAGCAATCCAAATCCAGCGATTGCGAGAGTGGAGACGAACGAGATAACGATGAAGCACTTCAATCGGCAGCACAATTATCATCGTCTTCGCGTGTGTCTCCGTTTATACGCTATGAAAACCAATCGCGCGTCCACATGTCTGCGTCCTATGATGAACGACTGGGTGGCGCTGCTGGCTGGCTTAATTCCAGCGATTAATTCTACTACTATAACACTCTATCACTTTTTCCTTTTTTTTAATACTCGTATACATAGCTATGTACCCCTTCTCCTAATAAATTGTCTCCACCCCTGCTAATCTCTAAAGGCACGTACTAAACATAAAGCATACATGGTCAAACTGTACTTGATTCAATAATCTCAAGATCAAAGATAGCAAAAGCAAGGAGCATGAAAAAGGATCGCAGCTTTGCAATCTCGTTCTTACTATGTTCGACGTCAGAGTTTATTTCGGCCGTAAATGTGATTTCACCTTGTCTAACTGATCCTGTATATCCTGAATTTGACTGGATAAGCGGTTTCGTTGTGTTTGGTTCATGCGTCCAAACACTTCGTCTGGCATATGCACTGTGAAATGCCCCAGGTCATCTGCTGTGCGTTGTGGATCAAGTTGAAGCCCCACGCGTGGATGGTTGGGACGCTCAAGATGTACAAACAGCGGTCCAAATTCCTCCTCTTCTTCGCTTTGTGCAGCAGCTTCTGTCGTAGACGATTCGGCGGTGTTGGTCCGTTGTGTTTCCTGGGTAACTTTATCAATTTCGGTGACCTCGATCTTGCTAGTGTGATTGTCTTCTTTCTCTTCTTCCTCCAGTGATGCATCTTTTGGCTGCTCCACCCGTACTCGTTTTACTACTTGATTGCTGTTCTTTCCTTTAACGGCTCGCTGTGGAAGAACACGCTTAACTTGTTTAACCGGTGATCGACTTGGTTCTTCTGGTTTTACCGGTGATTGTTCTGATGGCTGTTGTTGCTGCCGCTGTCGTCGTCGAGGTAATGGTTTATGCGCTACCGCTGCCGCCACTGCTGCCGCTGGTGCTGCAGACTCTTCCTCTTCTGTTTCCATTTCATCACGTGTCCTTATGTATATTCAGTGAGTTTTTTTGCATATCAAAAAGGATAGAAAATAGTAGTAACCTTTTCCTGGCTTGGGCTAGCCTTGCTTTTGCAAGTTGTTGAAAGATTGTAATGTTATTAGCACCGTATTCATGACAAAACTCGCGCATGGTGAGTCGTCGTATGGCAAGATTCAGCCCATTGATTTGAGTGTTGCCCTGTGCACGCAGAGCGGTGCACATGAACTCGACTTGTTGGCGGATTTCAACAATGCGTTTTTGAGCTACAAAATCAATTGAATTGACTTAGCGTCCCATAGTCTCGAATGCTTGAGCAATAATGGTAATTACTGCTTTTTGAAGCTATTACCCTCTGCTTCAAGAATGGCGATGGCATCAATGTGTGCTTGGGTGGACTCCCTGTGTTTGGAAACCATGTGAATAAAACAAAAGGGATATAAAACTTTGCTGTTGGCACTTATGCTGGTTGTATCTTACAATTATCCCGCAGCGCGGATCCCAGTTGTGAGCCCACCTAAAGCGTCACAAAGACATTCTTTCACACAACAACAGTCAATACAAAGATCGGATAAGGTCGGCCATGATCGCATCATTAAAACCATAAGCCAAAGCTCGCGTCATTTGTTTCTTCGTTACTCCAGGGCAACAAGGATTACGCTACGCCACCAGAAGGATCCTCCTTCTCAGCAACATATCATATTTGCCAACAAGGAAACAAGTCTGATGCAATCCTTGCAGTCGGTGTAATTGTGAATGTAAAGTGACAGTTTTTATTGTTACAGAAAGAAAGTCTGGGATGTCATGGTATCATGTTTGGGTTTGAGTGTGAGTGAGTGAGTGGAAGGGATGAGTGCTTGTATGAGTGTTAATTGGGTAGATATGACATTCAAGCATCAGTCTTGACGCTTCGCTCGGTCTTGATCTTGGTAGCTTCCATATGGACAGCAGCAATCTGGGCAAAAGTTTGCTCGGCAATACCACGGGCTCTTTGGCCAGGCTGCGACTGGAGAGCCGATTGAGCGGCAGTCTGCACCTTTTCCTGGATCTTGTACTTTTGTTCAAGCTCAACGGCCTTATCCCAGATGCGGTACTTGTTATCGATGGAGCGTACTAAGAACATTGGGTCAAAGCCATGTTACTAAGGATGAAACGCCCACCTCCTTCTCCTCCATCATTGCTGTAATCCACCCATCATTTTCTTTGTATCGCTTACCATTCGTTTGCAGCATGCCCAAGTAGCCAGTGATGCGGTTCGACAAGCCGTACTTGGAGTCATAATCCAAGCCCTTGGCGACAATCTGATCCTGGAGCAAGTATCCGTTGGCAAGGATCTCAGCAGCAATGCGAGACTTTGGCTTGCCTTCCTGGGAGGTTTCCTCGGCTTCCTTTTCGCTGGTAGCACTCTCGCCCTCGTCCTCGGCGACTGGGATTGCGGATGAAAAGTAAGGTGCGGCGGTAATGTTGCAGTCATCGATCAAAGCTACATTATACAACGTTAACAGCCATGTCCCAAATTTCGCATTTGTCCGTTTCAGCTCCTCTATTGTTTCCAAATCTCCTTTTTCCCTTCTTCCTTTGACAGGTTTTCTTGTCGCGACAAATCAAAACATACCATTGCTCAACAAGGTGGCAGTCTTTGCTGCAGACTCGCGCTCAAAGTTGATGAGAGCAACTTGATGAGCACCATCGTCATCCCTAACAACCGAGTTACAGGCTGTGTGAGAAATCTCCATGGTAACAGTGAACTATCTCATTCATACTTACTTGGTCAATTCAAATTCCTTGATTTTGCCACAGAACAAAAAGAACTCCTTGACTGTGATAACAATGTTAGACTTTTCTTCTTTTTCATAAACCACGAATGCCGATCCTCCCGAGTCAGTCTCACTATGCTTTCCTTTTTCTTACCTGTATTTTCGTTTGATTTAAGCGAAACATTCTTGACAATGACGTAGTTGGGAGAAGGAGTCTCGGGAATCTATAGAAAGTATGGTGTAATACCAGGTATGAGCATCTCTATTTGTTTTGTTCAGCGTTGTGGCGGTATTGTCGACATACAGTGATGGAGGTCCAGTTAGGCATGTTGATAAGTTGTTGATAAGCTGTTATGTGTGTATGTCACAAAGGGAAGCACCGCTAAAACGCGACTAAGCTCACTTTTATATCCAATCTTTAATGCTAAACTACTTTTGGCATGTGATTCCCTAACCCTGACGAGCATGTGACGACGATCCACAATCTGATCTGGCTGCGGTTAGTAATTTTTCTTTGTTCGCCGCCAAGCAATTCTTGGTAATGCTGGCGGATTTTATTATAGCATGATTTTGTCACGATAATGCGTCATCCATCATTTGCGGGAAAGTTAATAGAAATATTGTTGACGAAACACCCATCAAATAGAGGCATATGGCTTGCTCCTTGACTTTTCACATGTCAAGTTTATGAATGTGGTACCTGTACCTCCTTTGAGGCAAAATGCCGAAACAACAAAAAAAAAAAGGTCGGCTGTGCACCCTTCAATCTTTAGCGCATTGTTTTACAAATCATTGGCACTTACGTAATTGGGCAATAGCTCGTGCTCCTTATTTTAGAATCCTCTAATAATCCCGGTGGCAATCATAACCCTCGTACGCATATGACAGCATGAAATCATTTTACTACGTTGATTTAAATATCTTTTGCACGCCCATCTATTACAGTGGCCGCTCGTTATAGTGATATGCCCGGTGAGACCCAAACCCCATCACTTTATCGTACATAGATTACCCGGGGTATTTGGCGAGCTCTACAGAAGAAGCTCTACAATCACATTCTGTCAAAATTGATAGTATCCAACTCCTTAAAAATTTTAGTGTAGGAGAATAAGCTGAAAGGCTTCTATCTGATGAGCTTGGTGCTGGCTGCTGGGATCTGTATATTCATGAGGAAACATGTGGCGTTGATGGTATTGATTTGATACTATATGAAGAATTAGAGGATACCTATGCACCAAATTCCTTCAACGACCTCATTAACGATGCTATGATTATTGATAGAGATCAAGGTACATTCATAAACGGCTGATGTAACTGCATATGTAAAAGTCACGGGCTTGTTTCTGATACAGACAGGTAGATGTTGATGAAGAAGAGAATAACTAGAGAAGACGAGATGAGGAGAAGGAAGCTTTGAAGCCACTGCATAGTAAAGGAGAGAGGAAGCAGTATATGAGCGATTTATTGAAAACAATGGTGGTTGAAGACGACCTGCACGCTCAGTTATATAGGCTTATTAGAAAAAAGATGCATATACTAGACTCTGAGATATTAACCAGCACAAAGCAAACTGATCTTTTTTCCTTTTTCTGATAAATAAAATTATACTAATGGTCCGCTTGATATAATGATATTTCTGATGGTTGATATCACATATCACAATAGCGAATTAGTAATAATTCCCTGCTTAATTTGAGTTGGACCCAATAAACCCATCACTAGATCGAAATATCACTATATCGAATATCACTATAACGAGCGGCACTGTAAGTGATTCAGGTACATTATGGAAGCAGGATCGATAGGAGTACAGTAGGTCTGTGCGTTCTTTTACAACATGTTAAGCCTTAGCGTCCTTCCATCGAATACGGGTTGTATATCCAGCATGATCGCTCATCATCATAATCGTCGTCATCAGTACGTAATTGGTGGAGGTAGCATCTATGCTAATATAACCAGAAGAAACAGTGGCTGCGTTTCTGCGTATGCCAAAACGGGGAACATGGAAGATGCTCAGAAATTAATTATGTTGGGTTGATGGGGTTTAATTTTTGTAATTTAACAAAACATTGCGCACATCAATTTTGAAGGAGAAGAGGCCTTGAGAATATAGAGGTAGGCGGAGGAAGAGAGGTTCATTAAAAGAGTTTGCATGGGTGTGTGTGTGTGTGTAGGACGGGCAAGAAGATTTCCTATATCAAGTAATGGATGTGTCACTACTTCTTGCGTTTTGGAAAGCTGGATGGTGATGAGGCTAATTCTGGTTTTACCTCGGGGGCATGCATTTTTTTCGGACAGAATACTTGTAAAGCAGGGTGGTATTTTCGCATTGGTGGACTCTTTAAGTCCAAATTATAATACTCCATCAGTATTACACACATCGGCAATCTTTTTCATTCCCTCCAATAAACAAAGCGCGCGAACCGTGTATACAAATGTTTACGCGGTTCAGGAAGCTGTGTCTCTTCTTCTTAATGGGACACGCGGCACACGTTGGCCTTGGGGTTGTCCGTGATAAGAAAAAGTCAAGGCATGACTATACTACAAAGTCAGTCAAAACTTTACATAATCAATTATGTCTATCTTTGTCAGCGATATAGCACTACATATTGATATACTGTAACGTACCTGAAATGAAGATGAGGCCATCAGTATAAAGGACATGCTGCTTTTGCGCACTTTGCGACGTAGACACCGCTATGTTGTGTTGAATTCTAATACGTCGTTTACGCGTAATTAGAAAGTGTTGAAAAGTTCTGCGATTGTCGTGAACGCTTTTTAGAGCTGGGTCGCCACTTGGTTCTATGAAGTGAAGCTTCAACTGTAGAGAAGTTTCCTGCCAGATGTCAGAGGTCACGCGAAAGTGCAATCATGGTCGAATCGCTGTAAGGACTTGTATATGTCTTGCACGACAGCTAAAATATGAGTGCGTGTGCAAAGAATCAGTGGTTATCATTTAGTTCACAAGGTCGGCTTCCGTTGAAGTTGCAAGGCACGAAATGTTGCGCTGCTGGATGTTGTTGAGATGCCTCCTCGTCTGCGTTTCTGTACCAGTTTTCACTATAATATTTTCGACAACAATTTCCCTAGTCCTGTTGAATTGTTATCTCTGTTTCCTTGTATCTTTGATTATCGCATAATATTTTGTTCGATGATCGACCTCCCCAATAACAACTGGAATGCTGTAACGATCAACTAAAACTTACATCGATCATTTAATGCACGTATGTGTATCATAGATGTAAACAAATAGGAATACATATTTCATAGCCTCATGCTCACCACTTCTTAAACAAGTAAATAAACACAATTTATTACATATCATATATTCTAGTTTATAATTTTGAGAGCATGCCTCTGGGTACCATGCGCTCATATGCCCCATGTGACAAATGGTCAACGGGGTTGGCAACGAAATGGTCCTTGAGATTACGAATGTCGACCATTTCGCGCGTAATGTGCTTTACCGTGGGAGCACCCATAAGACGCATACACATTAAAAGCTCATCCTGGAATAACTGGATCAAACGTGTCACACCTGCTTGTCCATAGGTTGACATAGCAAACTATTCATACATAACATTTTAGATATGATAGAACATTTTAACCTCTCTTATACTCGTGCACACGCGGAAACGATGTTGGATGAACTTACCAGAGCTGGTCTTCCTATGCCTACGCCTGTAGCACCGAGCGCCAATGCTTTAAAAATATCCGATCCACGACGAATGCCACCATCCACATATACCTCAAAGTCCTTGCCATTGAGTCCTTGACGGCGCAATGCATCCATCACTTCCGGCAAAATCTCAATACCAGATGGAGCAAAATCGAGTTGTCGACCACCGTGGTTGGACAAGACGATGCCTTGGCACTTGTTTTGGTAAGCCAGAACTGCATCCTCAGGAGTTTGGACGCCTTTGAGAATAATGGGCATATTGGTGATACTCTTGAGCCACGACAGATCCTTCCAGCTGAGTGAAGGGTCAATAAAAGTACTAATGTAGCGAGCGGCACCTTCATCACGCGACACCTCCTTCTTTTCCATCTCTCCTGGAGCATCGTCAGAATACTTGACACGCATGTCTTTTTCCCGCCGACCCAACTGCGGCGCATCAACAGTAACAAACAAGCCCTTGATTCCGCGCTTCTCTGCATGTTGCACAAACGCCTTGGTGATTTCCCGATCCGAGTTAACATAGAGCTGGAGCCACTGCGTCTGAGTGGCTAAAGCAGCATCAACAACCTCGTCAAAGGAGCAGGATGCCAGTGTGGGAATCATCTGGATGATGTTGGTTTCTGCTGCGGAGCGGGTCAGCACTAGCTCGCCTTCTGGGTGGCCTAACTTTCCCAACGCAGTTCCCGTGATATAAAGCGGCATCGATACTTGAGTGCCAAGCATAAAAGTGCTCATATCGATGTTCTTGACATCCACCATAACACGAGGTCTGAGCCAGATGCGGTGAAAGGCATTGTGATTTTCACGCATGGAGATTTCGTCATCGGCCTAACGAATTAAGTGTAGGTTGTTACTTGATACGTGAATTGAGGTTCCCTTTTCTTTTCAAGAGACACTTACAGCGCTACTGTAATAAGCCCAAGCATCAGGTTTGAGTACCGTCTTTGCAACCGCTATAGAATGATGTAATTGTTGTCAGTTGTCATGTGGACTCTTCTCATAACACCGGCACAAGTCATCACCGGCACTATTCTACCAGACTTACACTCAAAGTCAAAGGCGTTATACATCTCGTCAAGTCGAGGCATGCTCTCACGTGCCAGTCGCACACGCTTTTCTGCTTCTGTTTCCACCTTTTCTACCTTGGCCAATGCGCCTGCATCAATTTCACCTTTGCATACGTCTGGTGAAAGGTAGCGATCAATGATATCGCGTGGATGGATGGGATCAAACGCATCCGTAGCATCTTGGCCGGCATACTTTAGGATGATGCGCTGGCCACCTGGATGCTCAGGCAAAAAGTTTGTAAGGTCATAGACTTTGCCGTGAATGATGACCCACAAGTCATCTGCAAAAGCAGAGAGAAAGAGGTTAATGCATACACGGAAGCCTTGCCCTTTTTTTCATTTGCGAATATACCTTTGGTGTTGTGCTGAGAGACTTCTTGTGGAGAAAGAACGGTTGCCATGGTATTTGTGTTATCTGCTGTCGCTCAGGAGTGGGGAGGGAAAAGTGGAAGAAAGAGAAGAGTGCAATTATGCAGAATTATGTTTTGGGTCACTTTGTTTGGTAGAAATACAAGTAATAGGGTTCAGGTTGTTCCAGCCAGCTTGAAGCATTCCTGATTTAAGGAGTGAGAGTGGATGTGTGTGTGTGTGTGTGTGTATGGAAAGAGAGGGGGCAAGTCGCAAAAATAATCGTCCGGTGTGTCGGGAAGCAATGTACGCATGTGAACAAGGTTCAAGTATAGCAAACAAAACTGTATTGGTTCGCAAAGATGGCACTTTACGCCTTTAAGAAACTACGTATGCATTACACTATGTGCTGACACATATTGAGAAGAAGGTATGCGTCGCTGCCATATGTATTGCTGTTGCTAGCTTAATATTCCACCGGGTGTCTGTTATATTTGTGGTTGGCCACTAATATGTTTTTGTGATTATGTATATTAGCGCTATCTCTTCTGACCTCTTATTGACTCGACACGGTGACTGCGTGTTACAGAATTTATCTGTCTGTTGTCCTCAACGACACTTTGTAGTGACAATATGATATTAGTGTAGAAGGAATCGGTAGCACTGATGCCTTATGTGAAAGATGATATGCTAAAAAGCGACGCATTTATCTTTCTCAATTAACAATCAAAGAGGCTGTCGTCATCGACTGCACATACTTACTGAGGTTTATATTTAATGGTAGATACTGTAGTAATCAAGTGGGACTAATGATGGTACAGAGGTACTATACATATACTTTCAAAAGCTGTGACAACACGTCCTTGGTAAGCCCGCTGCCTCAATAACGAACTCCACTGTTTTTGATTGGCTTGTAATGCATGAATCACTCTTAATTATCTTTCTCGGTTGGTCAAAGCACAACTACTCCGAACATAGGATCGTCGTCTACACCTACGTTTCCCTTCTAAAACTGTTTACATAGCAACTGTGGCCATGTCCAAGCAAAAGAAAAGTGTCCTGGTAACTTTTAACAGCGAGTACTGTAGAGAGCAGAAGAATAGTGTTTCTTCTCATGTGCTAACCTTTTCTTGGAATCCTTCCAACACAGAATTCAACAATGGCTGGTGCAGCAGCAGGTACAGCTGAGCTGCTTGTTATGCAGGTATAACTACGCGTTTACCCTGTTTTTAGTGTTATACGAGTCTATACTAACAGAGTTGCCAATCTCCTAGCCAACCGACGTGATCAAGACGCGTTTTCAGGTAATTGGGACACTGGCGGGACTTTTTGAATTTTTTATTAACATAAGCAAAGAATAGTCCATTCGTGTCGGATCGCACTACAGTAATGGCATTGTTCAAGCATTCAAGCGCATAATCTCGGAGGAAGGTTTCAGAGGTATAATCAGAAACAAAATACGGAAACTTCAAAGGAGTAGCGGTATACTGAACATAGTGAGGGTATAAATAAGCGCTGTATAGAGGAACCATTCCAGTGCTGTGTATTGTTGGTCCTCGTGTTTCTATACAGTATCTCGGTCTCGCACTCTACAAACCAATGTTTGAGAAACTCGAAGGAAAAGTCATACCATCGCATAGTTCTGCAGGTTTAGCAGGAGTAAGTCATTCATAATATGTGCTTGGAAGTTAGAAGAGAGGCAAAAGATTGTGTTAGAGATAGAGAGAGAGACAGTCTGACTATAAGACTGACTTGCACCAATTAGATATGTACCGGAATTACACAAGCCGTTACTTTGGGTAAATGTGGATAGACGGGAAACACGAATAACGAGCGACATTCTTTTTTCTGACGGTAAAGGAGTTGAACGATGCATTTAGTAACACCGCTGGAGATGATTAAAGTTCGACAACAAACCGATCTTATGAACGCCGCCCACCAACGGAAATACCGTGGTCTTGTCCAGACCGCATCATTGGTTGTCCGAGAAGAAGGGTTTGTATACTTTGAAAGTGGGAGAGAAAGACAAAGGAGGGAAGGCTTTTCTCAAAAACAAAGGTTTAATCAACGTGCGTGAAAAGCCTTCTGGCATTGTACAATGGCTTGCTGGCAACTGTGGCACGGCAATCATGGGGCCTGGTGGTCAAATTTTCTGGCTACATAGAAATCAAAGCCATGTTTGAACGAGCATCTGGTGAGCCTGACAAACCACTGGCACCTTGGAAACACATGGTAAAGCGTGTTTTTTATTTGCGTTTGTCATACACGTGCCACATTTAAGGTTGTTGATCGACCCGATGCCCCCCTTTAGGTTAGTGGCGGCCTGACGAATGTTTTGGTAGGCGTGTTGAACTCACCTCCCGATGTGGTCAAAACGAGGCAACTATCTCTCTTTCTTTAACCACGAGTTTCATGTTGGGCCCTGGATCATGTGGTTGATATTGACGCAATTCCAATTTTCTGTTATGTAGAATGCAGGATGATAGCAAGCCCTATCGAACAACTTGGGATTGTGTGAAATCGATGATCAGGAATGAGGGTTATTCGTCGTTTTTCCGTGGATCTTGGCTTCGGATCATCCGGATAGCTCCTGGTATGTAGAGCAAAATGGGACAGAGAGCGTCAATGTATAAAGACAAAGATAAGCGATCTGTTGTGATAACCACGGCTTGTTTTTCTCCATCAGGTGGTGCTATCCAATTCGCGATCTATGAGCAAGTGGCGACATGGCTAGATGGAATCAATCCATCCGCCCCTTAAACTGTCGGATAGGTAAAAAAAATACCACTGCTTAAACATCTAATCATACCCCTCAACTGTAACTGTTACTGTTACTGTTTCTCGTACAAAAAGTTTCTGTTCTTCAAAATACAATAGAAAATATATCAACAAGGAATTGTATGCTTTTAATAATATGTACAAAGTAGATGCAGCAAAAGAGGATGGATGATGATTTTGGTAATGTAGTTGATGAGGGTTGATAAGAGTAAATGGTAAAAGACAAATGTGGAAGGGGGTATTTTTTTTCTTTCAAGTAAATGAGCGCCGTCGTCCAGGGCCAATTTGAAGCGATACAGGGCGGTCGCTGCGGATAACTGGGTCGCGAACCATCAAGATCACTGGCATGCTATTGGAATCCACCTTGCCGCGGATCGTAAATCCAAATTTAGCAAAGAAGGCAACGGCCCCAGCATCGGTGATCTCGACATAGACCGGATAATGTGCTTCGTCCGCCTTAACCAGGACATGTTGCAGCAAGGCTCGACCAAACCCTTTACGCCGTTCGTGAGGCAGAACGCCAAGATAGTTGATCGCCAGATAATGATCGCAACTCATCACTTTGCGCCGCGCCTTATCGCACGAAGGCTGGAACTTCATGTATGTCCTCAACGCCGAGGTCCATCCGGTAAGCCGCGCTAGCTTAAACATACTGGCCAGGCAAGAAGGGACCCAAGTATTGATGCTGCCTTGGAGAGACCAGATCAACACACCGGCACATCCTTCAACTTGAATGACAAAGTCTCGACTGGCAAGCGTGGCGGCATGGATGATGTTTTTGAATAGAATGTATAGGAATTCATCGTGTTTGGGCTGCTCTAATCCGCGCGCACACCATCCAAGAACTTCGTTGGAAGCGTATGCACTCGTTAATGTGTAGGCAGCTTCTTTCATGGCACCTAATTATCGGGAACGAATTGAGTACATACCACAAAGAATAAAAATTTTGTGCTGAAGAAAATTTCTTATCAGTTCAGCTGGCTCTACCTTTAACAACGGGCCGAACACTGGGTGTATCCTCCTCGATATTGACGGTAAGCTTGCGACTGATCGGCTCTAGGGCCAGCATTTTGTATACTGTAGTTGTAGTTGTGATGTAGAAGTAGTATGCGAAAACAGTAGAATAAGGATTGCAGAAAAAATGATTTCTTTTTCTTCGTCCTCTTTTATACCATTCGCAGAATTTCGTCCCCAAAGTGTGGACTTGAGTAAGTAGTAGAAGCACAACTATCAAAAAAGGCAAAAAGTGAAGTCGACAAACGAGCGAATCGTAGAGCATGTGCTACTATTCTCGCGGAACGAGTCGCGAACCTTACTCTCTCTCTTGGCGGACTCTTTAGAATGTTGTAGTCAATCCTTGAGCTCCGCCTGTACCATAAGCACGACAGCAATCCGTACATGATAAAGCACAGACCGTTTCTTTTTTTTTTCAAGCCAATCGTACTAGCTCCTCGAAATAATGAGCAATTTGTGCCCTCGATCCCCTTTTTTTCAATTGTAAAAATAGTAAATTTTCTTCTCTCACTGCTGATGATTTTTAAACGCGTCACTTTTTGTTCTTAAGCGCATAATGCATTTTGGTTTGCATTGTAGCATATTAGCTTCGAATCTCTAGCTACCTGATCCATTATCCCATGCGATTTGCGGCATTATACTACTATGTTGCATAGTGTAACTATAGTGTGAAAGATCTGCTCTCCGAAAAGAAATAAGCCAAGATGGATAAACAAGTAAACATATAGAACGCACACAATTCTTTATATTATAAACATCATCATCGCGGGTCAAATCGGGAAAACAATGTTTTTTTTTCTTCTTTGTCGTGCTACCAAAAAAAATATCCTATCTATATCAGTTTCATAAAGAAGCCCGGCATCTTGTCGTATTTCATATTTCTTCATTCATGCCGCTCTTTGCATCCTATTTGCTATTGTACATACGATAGAAAGTCAACTGATCGAGTAGTTCTAGACACATTACTCTTTAAACCGGCGGTCACTGTCCATCACGATCCGCTACTTCATATGACCGCGAAATGTTTACCACTAGGATCGTCTTTTATTGGAAAATTTCTCCAAGTAGTAAAACGACTGTTGAATTAAGGCATCACAAAAGCGTGTCACTGGTATGCTCTTCCTTTTGCCGGGAATTCTGCTGGTACTGCGTCTATTTCGTGTGTGTGACGTACACTTCAAAAGTCCCTGTTCGGAAGTAAGTGGTTTACTTGAACAATTGTGCTTTTGCATTTGTGTTCTTCATTATCAGCTTTGTACGTGTGACCCATGTCTTTTATCCCTTTGTTCCTCTACTAAGTTTTAACCTTCAACTTTCATTGAAGGCGGTAACGTAACGTCCGTAGTCTCGAATATATTTTATGACTTTTAGGATCCCAAATATGCCCGACTATCATTGCCACAAAGGTGTCCTAGACCAACAAGTGCTGTGTAAAAAAGGTTATAAATGTGTCCATTTATCAAAAGTACAGTTGTACCCCCGTTTTTGCAACCGAGGGTTTTCCGATTTTTTTTTGCAAAAAGTGAGGATTTGCAAGTAACGGGGTAAACAATTCTGCTTTAAGTATACACTGGATAAGTCATCCTATTAACACTAGCCCATTGTTTATCTGTCAGAGATGATGTACGATACGTTCTTTGGGAATATTCATACAGCTCTAAATGTTACTACTTGCATATATAAGACCGTCCTTTCATCGAAGCTGTCTAGTGGTTTGATAATTATTAGCTCTTTTGAGCATGACAAAATCGTTCCGCAAGTTCACATCCAAGCAAGAGGATCGAACGTACGACGAGCACTTGAGCGGGCGGTGGACCAAAGCGCTGATTCGCCTATTCCAGGGCCAACGTCGAAGGAAAAACAGGTTGCAATTGCAGGAGTTTTGAGCTTTTTGGATAATATCGATAACTACGACTTAAAAAAGTCTTTGCGTAGGATTCCAGAGAGTCTCAGGCAGCAATCAATCTCCCGACAATCATCCCTTGATGACTTCTTCGATATGTAGTCAAAAGCTCCTTTGAGCAAACATTTTATTTCTATATCTATATGTAGTGTGTTCCCTTTTTCTTATATCTTCATCATTTCTTTTGTGGATTCAATCCAACCAGTGCTATATATGTGTCCCGATTTTACTGGCTCAACTACCAAATAATAATTTTTATGTATTTCGACAATAAATACATCTTCATATTTACATATTTATCTTGCAGTAACCGCATCATTTTATTCCTCGTAATTCGCAACAGATGCTTCTTTCAGTTGATATTGCAAAAATTGAAGCTGTTTTTACCCCGATAACATGCAAATCGTATAAACTCATTTGCAAGTTGCAAATTTGCGAAACTACTAAGTTTTTTTTTTGATTTTCAAAAAAAGTTGCAGATATACGAGGAATTGCAAAACCAGGGGTTGCAAAAACCGGGGTACAACTGTAGTAAAGATATCCGACACACACAGTAGCTGTGAGAATGGATGAGGGAATAACTTGTCAAAAAGAGCTCTTTACGCTTCTTAGAATGATGGAAACGCGTGTGTAATCACAAGCTGATGGCATTAAAGGTCTAGGAGCATCATAGCCGTACCCTGCGTCGATAATTGTGCCACGAGGCGGGGGAGATTAGCAGCGATCATTTTTGAGAATCAAAATATGCATAATTTGTATGTAACACAACCCTAATTATACTTGGCTTTCACGCATGGGTGTAGCGCACTTTACCAAAAAGCGTTTGAGCAGAAAGTATCAATTTGGGATAGAGCGCGGCCAAGAAATGATGTGCGGACGTTCCAAGTGCATTAGTACATGGTAATCAGAAGAGCACTGCTACATATATAGCACCCACTGTGTACATGAGAATGGATATATAGAAACCGACGATGTAGCTGTTACAGATATGTAGTCCATAAGCAACTCCAGTAAATGGAAGGCCCTTTTTTATGTTAAACAAAAAATATTGTAATAGTAGAAATAACCATGATAATATATTAAATTAAACGTAAAAAAATGAAGCAGAATAAGAATGAAGGCTAAAAAATGATACAAAAAGTAAAAAAATTGCATTGGTATGCTACTTTGTCTAAAATAATGAAAATAAGGGGTGGAAACAGAATGGGGCGGGCGGGTTTTTACCTATCACTTTTCCATTACCATTTGAGGTAGCTGACAAGGTGGACGATCGTCCAGAGCGAATGACAATCATTAATAATTATAGAAAATAAGTTTTAATCCTTCCCAGTATCCACAAATGAAAAAGAAAGAATCTTTAGAAAGAGGGAAACACGAAAGGGTTTAGCTGGGTAACAAAATATTATGATAGAACGATCGATTAGAGGTAATACGGCGACGAATGCTGTTGCTTGTTTCCAAGCATCGAGCTGACGCGCTTCATGCTCGATGCATAGTTTGACTGGTCGCTGCCTGGCACTGGGCTGGTCGCTGCTGTTCCTTGACCGTTCATATCGGCGAACATGTCGACACAGTGCGCGGGGAACACGCCCTTGCAATTGCCTCGCGAGAGGTTGATGCCCTGGCACCACCCATCGTCATACTCAACGATCACTTCGACACGGTCGCCAGGCTGGATGTCGAGTTCATCACTGAGCGTTGGTGTGTATGTCGAAATTACGCTGAATACACCAAGGGAGTTGTTGTTGCTGTTGGTAGGCGCTTCTGCTGGTACTACTGGCTGGGGAGAAGAGGTCGAAGCAATAGCAGCGGCTCCTCCAGCAATAGCAGCGGCGGCTGGTACAGCATATTCAGAACCACTAGCCGTGATTGCATTGCCGGCACTGCTGTAGTGGTTATTCACTTGTGCATTGTACTGATCAATAGCTGTGTTGCCTGTCATGGCTGGGGCCATCATGGGCGAAGGCTGGGCGGACGCGCCGATAGGAGGCAGCTGGATCATGGGAGACTGATTTGCCATGTTGTATGCTGTGTGTGGAGGGTAGCTGTTGTTCTGCTGGTTGAGACCACCGCTGCCTGGGGGATCATGGCTGCCAAAGCCCATAGTAAACGGATCAGGCTTCATCCGCATGCGGTTTCGCTCGGCTTGTTTCCTTCTCCTTCGCACAAGGAAGAAGCCTGCAATTGCAGCGACGCCAAGGATAGCAATGATAATGCCTGCTATGGCACCTCCTGACATGCCAGACGATTGCTGACTGTTCTGGTTGCTCTGGTCGGCAAGGTTCGTCGTTGGCGCGGTTGTGGGTGCTTCGTTTTGTGTGGGACCGACGGGACTGACGCCGTTGAACGAAAAGTGATTGCTGGGTTTAGCAGCAGCAGCAGCAGCAGCAGAAGAAGAAGAGGCCTCCTTCTTTTTACCGCTGTCTGACGACGACGACGAGTTTGAGGCAGTGGCTTTCTTGGTGGTGGTGGTGGTGGATGCTGCTGCTTCTTTTTTATGGGCATCTGAGGCCTTTGTCTTTGCTGTTTCCTTGTGCTCGGTCGCAGACTTTGTGGCGGACGCTTTGGGCTCTTTGGCGTCCGAAGCCTTTGATGCTGCTGCTTTTGATTCTGTTACCACCCAGACAAACAATTAATAAATAGTGGGGGTTGATGAGCTACACGCTATCATGTGCAATTTCACTGTGTTCTTTTCTGACCTGCTGCTTTGCTTTCTTCAGCTTCAGCTCGCTTTTCCAAGGGAGCCCAGGCTGGTTTGGCTTGGGCTGATTCCACAATGGCGGCAATGGAGACCAGCATAGCAGCCATGGACGAGATCGGTTTGGTCATCCTGCACGAGTAGAAAGAAATATATTGGAAGGGAAGGTGGTGGGGTTGGAGTAGTAGAAAAGAATGCAAGTGTTGTCGCTAAAGAACGGACTTTTGACGCTAGGCCAGAGCTGTAACGCAAGATGTGTGTGTGTAAGAAAACGAAGGGAAGGGGTTGGAGGAGAAGAGAAGAGAAAAGAAGAAAGAGAAAAAGAAAGGAAAGGAAGGGAACAAGAGCAAGTCTGCAATTTTGCACTGTTAAGGAACAAAAGAGCGAAATGAAAGGGGGGATGAACTAAAGGGAAACAGGGAGGCGACTCTTTTTTTTTTGTTAGCGTGATTGCCGATGAATTCTATTATGAAAGAATAAAGAAAAAAGCTTTTTGCGACGTTTCACAAACTAATATAACGCGGCACGATCCAAAGCACAAAAGCACCAAAAACAGTAATTCTGCTTTTCTGTCGGTATCCTGGGAACACAAAGCTAACGTACGTATGTCCTTTCGCGTTATTCAGAAAGCGCAGACATGGTCCCAAATGCCTCCGATTCCGTTCTTCTTTACAATTGTGTGCTAGCAAATAGATAACCCATGTATCCCTGATGAATACATCCTTCTACCATGAAAGATACGGTAAAGCTGCTGCTGTTAGGGGATATCAGCTGCGCGCTTCTACCAAGAACGACACAATTTTCATTAATCATTTTGTCGCAACGGCCCCTCCCAGAACAATCAATCCAAAGATACACACACCCCCTGATTTTATTAATGCCTTTTTACTCTGGGTACCAAGCTTTGTCATCGATCATTTGCCCAACTACCTCATCGACCCTGAGCACCAGCACCAGGAACAATCAAAGAAGCGTCGTACTTTGGATCAACGCTCTTGATTACCTGTACTAACGCTGCTGCTATCGTACTCTGTTCTTGGTGGCTCCCGTCGTAGTAATAATCATTGCACTGGATGATAGCCGAGCTGTTGTCGAAGAATACGCTCACGCTTTCGACCCAGTCCACTGCCGCCAACGCATTCTTTATACGATTAGCACAAGCAAGACAACCGAGTCCGTCCAAATGCAGCAACACCATCGTCGAGCTTGTTTCTATCGTAGTCGTGCTGCCAATGTTAAGCCATGAAACAATTTCAGGCGTCACCATGAGCAAAAGTGAGATCATCGTGGTTGTCCAGGCGCGCCGACTCTTCCAACCACTTTTGAAAAACAGCAGTGAGAGAAAGATTAGTGTTGTTGATGTCAAGTAGGATCGATAAGGCGTAAATACTGCAAAGCCAGCACACGAGTATGAAAAAATGTTGAGTAAAAGTTGTATGATGCAACATGAGCTAGACAGTAATGCTGTTACGACGGTTGTTGCATCACTCAAGATTCGGCGTCCCATCGTGTCGTATGTAGTGCAGCAACGCACAAAGGATCAGCTCCTTTCCCATTTTCAAAGTCACTTCTTTTCAAAGTACGACTGTGGCGTGCACTGCATAATAAATATAAATTGCATGAATGCACACACGCGTGAAGTCATCTAACAATCAAGTTACGACGCTTCCTACAGTGACTAACTTGGAGCATTCCCTGTTCAAACACACCTGGTCGCCAGCACTACAAAAATATCAACTCACTGACATGGGACATGTGTAGTATTTCAATGCAAGCCAATGGAATAAAAGCATCCGACCGCATTTTCATTCCGCTTCTCTTTTATATTGGTTTCTGCATAAAACGCCATGTCCTACGTTACGGCCGACAAGGCCGAAAGCGAGCTTGCAGCAAGTATTAAAAAGGCAACAAGTCCAGAAGAAACAGCACCGAAGCAAAAGCACGTTCGAAGTGAGTAGACTCCCCTCTCTCCTTCTAGCTCTAGTTTACTTTTTTTTCCCTTCAAATCAGTCAGTCTTTGAAAGGCTCTTGACAAATCACGGCAAATCTGTATGATTAGAATGCATTGTCTACACATGGGATCATCGCACTTCGGCCATTATTTGGAGCATTTTAAAAGTACAGCCTATTCTTTCCGACGAGGTGCAGACATTCAAAGCACTCATTACGGTGCACAAGATCATTAAGGACGGACACCCAAAGGTATAATAGAGAAGGAGAAGGTGGCACAAGTGCGGCCAAAGAGCACTGGCCAGCTCAGACAAACAGTATGCGCCGGAAAAAAGGGAGTGGTATTGACTGCCTATTGTGTGTAACCTGGTTAGGCTATCAAAGACGCATTGCATGAAACGGGTTGGCTGCAAACTGTGGCGCGTAGCGTGTCCGCCGACGGAGTCCGTGGATATGGCGGGCTGATCCGCAGTTACGTCGACCTTCTTTTGCACAAACTATCCTACCACAGGGACCATCCGGAGTTCAATGGAACCTTTGACTATGACGAATACGTCAGTTTGAAAAACATCAATGATCCCAACGAAGGGTAAGAAAAAGGTTAGAAGCCTGTTATAGTGTCCAAGTAATTAACATTATTGCTGTTTTCTATTAGTTTCGAGACTATTAGCGACCTGATGGGATTACAGGATCATATCAACCAGTTTCAGAAATCTGTTTTTGCTAGTCTGGGTCAGACTTATAACAACGAATGCAGGATTGCAGCACTGGTACCACTTGTTGAGGAAAGCTATGGTATTTACAAATTCTTGACAAGCATGCTGCGAGCAATGCACAAAGGTAAGACCAAGCAACATTTCAGTTACGCGTGGACAGTAACAGGTGATTGATGGAGTAAAATCAAACCTTGGATTAGCTACGGGAGCCGTCGATGCGCTCCAGCCGTTACGACAGCGTTTCAATGGACAACACTATAATCTGCGCGAATTTTACTATGAATGTGCCAGTCTCAAATATCTGACTAGCTTGATCAGCGTCCCCAAACTATCACCCGATCCGCCGTCGTTAATAGAAGTGAGCACTCCTCCACTCCCAAAGCGACCCCACAATCAGCCCGCTGAAGAAGCACCTCCAGCTCAACCGTCACCTGAGCCAGTCATTGATTTCTGGTCACAACAACAAGCTGAAGAGCAGCGCAAATATGAACAAGAGCAACAACGACTCGCCAAACAGCGTGCGGAAGAGGAGGAAAGAGCAAAACAGCAAAAGCTACAACAACAGCGTCAGTTCGAAGAGCAGCAGCGATTACTTGCAGAACGTGAGCGACAACAACAGCAGGAATTGTTGCGGCAGCAGATGCAAGGACAACAGGCAGGTCGAATCAATGATTTGGAAATGCAGCTACTGAATATGCGCAATCAGCTCGAGCGCGATCAAATGTTGCTGCAGCAATACGATCAGGTGAGATAGTGAAAAGAGAACGAACCTAATAGAAAAATATAATTAAAACAGATACTATTTTTATAATCAAGCGAGTCAAAGCTCTTGAACATGAACTTGGTCAAGTGAACGAGCATACAAAGCAGCGAGATGCATCCAAGGATGAAATGATCCGCACTCTACAAAGTATGCATATTATCAGCTATCAGCAGCAATAGCAATAATAACATCTCTGGGGCTGTATATACTCATATATCTTGATCTCGTCTATAGATGAAATACAAATGTGGAAAAACAAGTATGAAGCACTGGCAAAACTATATAGCCAATTGCGAAAGGAGCATATCGAGCTACTGAACAAGTACAAGCAGCTGCAGGTGAAAGCAAACAATGTGAACGAGGCTACCGAGAAATTGGAGAGAATGCAGTCCGATATGCGAGCAAAAAATGTCGAACTTGCTGATCTCATCCGTGAGCGCGACCGCGCACGAAATGAGCTGGCTAGGATCCATGGGGTAAGAAAAACAAACCACACATTTACCTAGCTCTACAGCTCGATTTTCCATACCAAAATATCTAAATGGCATATCTTTATATTAGTCGCAAAAGGATGAAACGGAAAGACTCAGGAAGGAACTGGAAGCATCCCGATCCCAGATGCAAGACCTTGGAAAGTCTAAAGGAGCAGAAGTTAGCGCCCTTTTGAGTAAATTCAACAAGGAGAAGAGCGAACTTGAAGCGAGCTTAACCGAAAAGCAAGCTTTGATCGATGAGTTTCTCAAACAAATCGAAGATCAGCAAGGAAATGCGGATCATATTCGTCGGGTAAAAAAGCAATGTTTTATTGGGAGTCAAAGATGTATAGGCACCATCAAGCCTCATCCATTATTCTTTGTGTAGGAAAAAGACGAAGAAATTGCTGTACTTCAAGCTGGGATGGATGAATGCTTACAGCAGCTTAATGAATTGCAAAATGTATGTATTTATACAACGTGTACGGGTTAGCAGTAACAAAAGAAAGGTTTCTTGGAAAGTAACAGTATTATCAGAAAAACAATAGCGACGAGCTACAAGAGGATTTGGATCGGCTTAAGCGGGAGCAAGCATCAAAACTGGATCAGATTCTTGGTTTGTTTTCTTTTGCTACTACTAACGCTGTAATCGTCAATGAATGCATTATCTTACTTTGCAAATACAGATACTATTTTGGCAACATGTGTACAAAAGATCAACGACGGTGTGTATGAGTTGGAATCACCCGGACAGCATGGAAACGATAACGCTACACCTGAGCTTACATTATCCATGATTGAACGTGCGAGCATCATGTCGGTGGAGTTCATGTCAGCATTCAGCAAATTTTTGGATGGCAGTGATACAGGTGATCACAGTAACACTATTACACGTGCTCTCGACTTTTCAGATACTATTGTGGATGTACTGCTGCATGCAAAAGGCATCACCCGCCTCGTTCCCAAGGATAGCGATGTGGATGAGATTACGGACCTTGCAAAGAAATGCGCGGAAGCCGGCATTCAATTTTTCAGCAGCGTCATGTCTCACTATCTCAAAATGCAGCCATTCGCCCAGCGTCCCGAAATTATCATCCAGGGCGACATGCGCACACAGGACGCGCTCACTCACTTGTCTCAAAAAACCGAAAATTTGATTTTGAGCGGTACGACAAAGGATATCAATGCGCTCGCCGAAGGCGAAGTAGGAGATCTCGTCGAGAAAGAAATGTCTAATGCAACGCGTGCGATCGAGGAAGCCACTGCAAAGATCCAGGATTTGATGCGCCAACCAGCGAATCCAGAGTTTTCTGCCACCGATCTCCAAGTACACCAGTTAATTTTGAATTCTGTACTAGCACTCACAAATGCTATCGGCAACCTCATCAAGTGTGCGGCGGCTTCGCAGCAAGAAATCGTTGCTCAAGGACGAGGGTCGTCTTCCAAGGCTGCCTTTTACAAGAAGCATAATCGATGGACTGAGGGATTGATTTCTGCTGCTAAGGCGGTGGGTATGGCAACAAACATGTTGGTGGAAGCAGCCGATGGTGTGATTAGTCAGACACACTCTTTTGAGCAGCTGATTGTGGCATCCAATGAAGTATCGGCCGCAACGGCCCAGTTGGTATCGGCATCGCGTGTCAAGTCGACATTCATGTCACGTACACAAGAGCGCTTAGAAATTGCAGCAAAGGCGGTAAAGGATGCGGCTAACGAACTGGTGAAGCAGGTCAAACAGCTTGTTGCCCACAAGACTTCAGATGAGGACTTGCATATTGACTTCAACAAGCTGTCTGTGCATGACTTCAAGCGTCGTGAAATGGAGCAACAAGTGAAAATTCTGAAACTCGATTCGGAGCTGGTCAATGCTCGTCGTATACTGGCAGAAATGCGGTAAGTGGTTTGTCTCCTTTTTGGCTCAGATGCGCCGATCTTGAGTTACTATCTTGAGTTACTATCTACGCAAACTGATTCCCAATCTTTCTTCTGCTGGCTTAGACGAAGCGGATATCATACGGGTACGTGCTCCAATTTTCTATATAAGCGGTAAAGTTGTCAAATTAATGATGATCGATACTGACCATGCATCATGCCTTTAAAATATGCAGAAGAAACCGACTAAAAGGCAGCAAGTTTGGAGGTGAATTTTTGCGCTGGCCCACATATGATTTTGATTTTTTTCTACCGACTTATGTATATGATTAATACATATATCACTGTAATAAACTTCTATTATGAGATATATGTACAACTTTTTTTTAAATATGCTTCTATTTTAAATAGCATCACATTTTTGCCACGTATCACATGTTGATGATTTATGTACTCGTCTTTGGGATGAATTATTGATAGTATAGGAACCGAATAAAGCGTAACAATGCATGTATGTACGCTCCGAGTGACTTGAAGTGAGATACAGTATGCAATATCCCGACACGATCGATAGACCACCTTCTTCTGACTTTCCGCTTTAACAGTAACAGGATATCTCAATGAGTCTTCAAACTTATTAAGACCTTCAAGGAAGAGAACTTGAGCTCGCTCGCCCTGCCACAAAAATAAGGGAATTTTGAAAAGTCTCGCAGTTGTTTCTTTTGCGCAGCGAATCACCCACATGTAAATATTTCATTAAAGATTGGAATACTACAGTAATACCTGTACTGTAAATGACATGGATTTATCATGCTGTCTAAAATATGGCAAAGACATGAATCTTCTGATCCTCGACTGAAACCGACAGCTGCAGTGAACTTGACAAGAGCATACTTTTAATCCAACCGGCCCTGGTTGCTGTTACCACTCTATGAATAGCGCTATTGCTCTATAAATAACGTGAGATCCCTTTAGTACTATGCACTCTATCATAATGTGATTACAGTATTGACAGATATTATGCAGCATCTACTGTATCAGCTTCCTGTGGCTTCTCCCCCTAATTTTTTTGGTAATTTATTATGCATTGCCAGTAGAAGAGCGTACATCCATAAGCTACATACATATTAGAACTATCGCAGATGTATGTCGTTTATACAGTAACATCTGTTCAATGGTTCCTGGAGCCTGTGGTGCTTGGAACTCTGACATACCTATTAGTCGCACGATACAACTGCAATTACGATATAATATATCACGTCGGAAGCAGCTTCAAGAAACCTACTAAAAGGTGACCGAACTAAGACCCGAGCTAGAGTAGAGATAAATCAAGAAAACAAGTGATTGTCGAGCCGACGACTTGAGAGGTACATGGTTTATCAATCGTGTCGTAAGGTTGTTGTTGTTTTCTTTGATAAATGAAAGTATCGCACCTCATTTCCAAAGGTATAAAGAGACCTTCGTTTTAGCAATGGCTCTTCCTACTATAATACCTTTCATTAGCATTTCCTCTTACGGCTCTTTACTCACTCATCTATCATACTACCGGCATTATCTTTCGCTCCTCGGTCATTCCTCGGTTTCTGTCAATGTCTCTGTGCTTCTGATATCACATTTCTCTATATGTGTCGTCCGGTCCGTCGTCTCTGACTCTGTGCTACTGCCGGTTCGTACAAGTTAATAACGAGGCATGTACAGTCAACTGGGGTGGACGATGCTTAGCCGGGAAAAAGTCGGAGAGGCTGGGGGGTGGGGCTGGGAGGGGCTGGTCCCTGCCGAGGAAGTGTAGCGGATTTAATCTTGGGGTGAGCTGGGGAGGGGACTATAGCATCGAGAAACCACATGGTCTGTACATTGCTCCAACCCCCTCTCCGCCCAACAGTAGATATCTTTAATTTTGTTTTTAGAAGACAAGTACGACTGGTGCTATTGAACAGACATACTTTGTCTTTACATTTTAATCGACAAGACTGGCCACAGTTACTGAATAATGTTAGCGGTAACAACATCACACTTACAACCATAAAATCATGTTATAGAGGAGAAACCAAACTATCGCTGCATGTGTACAGAATGTTACCTCGTGCTCTTGTTTACTCACATCATTTCTGTAGAGCATGGTGCTTTTTGTAATACTCGCACATTATGGGCAATAGCCCTGCACCATCATCAAGGTCAAGATACGGGTATATGCCGTGGATCGGCGCAGAAATCATTAACAATATCATCTCCAAAAACCTACGAAAGACATATCATGTAGTTTAAATAAACTAGTAAAGAACAGAACATTCTTGTTGTCGTACGCCACGTCAGACCCTGTCTCATTCTTATGCTTGCTTTGATAATTACAATTGCTCCACCGACCCTTTTATTTGCATTGAAACGCATAACATAGACATACAATTGTATCGCTATCATGATCTATTCCCTTACTTGCGTCTTCATACATAACGAGGCTCGTATGAGGTTTTGGAATGATACCACTACTGTACTCATTTTTAAAAATTGATGAAACAAAACAAAGCTGAGCCCTTTCCCTTCGTAAATGCGGACAAATCACCTTCACGACGTCATTTCATTGATTCCATTCTCAACTGCCTGGCACCGCGCAGCTTGCATCTTACGTCAAAAAGGAAATGCATGACACGGACTAGGTGCATGATCCTTTATTTAGCGGCCGTCATCCTTCAAAAATATACCTTTTTCGTGTGCCACTCTTGTTGACCAATGCATGCATGTCGACGGAAAACAACATTCACCCTCGATGCTGTGCAGCCAGCGTAACATGCCATTTTTGATCAGTTCCCCATTTAAGGTTCGGCTATGTTCTTCCGCCTTTCCGAACTTCCACTCACTTCTTTTCAACGCGAAGGCTTATCCCACGTTTTGTTGTTTAGCATAAACCTGGGTCCGGTCAATGTGGCGAAACCTTAAGATATAATATTTGGTCGTTTTTACTTGTGAGGCTACTTTGTTTGTTTTCTTTTCTCGCCAGAGACATCTTATGTGTGCTCAACGTTGTCATGGCAGATGGAATATTATTCACAAAAATCAAATATGAAAGGTTCCTGACACCGTTCGTTTCTGTTGATGCACACTGCGCTATTTTCATGGAAATTTTGAATGTATACCCGACGCCGCAGTCAGTCAAGAGAAAGGTACACAAATCGGGATAGCTGTCCGAGGAAGGTGCCACGAACATGTAAGGGTGCTGCAGACGGACCATGGGGTCAGAACTCAGCCCTAAACTTTACTGTCACTTGGACGTGCCGGTGTATTTAAGAAGCTGACACTTTGCCAAGCTACTTTTGCAATACAGTTCTTCTACTTTACAATCTTTTTCTACTGTTTATAACACCCATGTCGTCCGAAGCACCATCTTCTACCGTTACTCCAGTCAAATCCAAAGTCAACGTCTGCCCTGCATGGAAGAATGATATCCACAACAAAACCCACAATCTTGACAAGCCTACCTATTTGTCCGTCGCCACTGTAGACTTGGAGAGCACACCACTGAATGAACTCTTCGTATATCGTGGTTTCGCTGGCGAAGACAAGAAGGGCGAGACCGGATGGCAAAGTGATTTGTTGACAAGCACATGCGACAAGCGCGCGTTCAACCTGGCTGATAACGCCAATTTTGTGGCTACTTGGTAAGTAGAGACTAACAAATTTAGTCCTGTGTCTTCCCCAGACTCCCACCGTCACCACAATAGAGTTTCTAATAGCACTAATTGTATCTGTGATATTAAAGGGTTGTCGATGATGATCACTTCCGTATTCAAGGCAAGGCACATGCTATCGGTCAAGGATTCAACAGCACAGATGATATCGGTCACCATATTGCTCGCAAGAGACGCTCCAAGAAAATTCGCAAGAGCAGCAGTGGTGATGCCGATGACGATAGCAGCAGCAGCAGTGATGAGGACGAAGAAGGCCTCGGTGACAAGCTTAGCAATGCCACAAAGTCGTTCTTGAGACGCATCAAGTCCCGATTGCATCACGGGGGTAGCAAAAAATTTGACTGGGAAGCGGAGCGATTACGCCAATGGCACGACTTGTCCGACGAAGCTCGCGCATCGTTTACCTGGCCCACTGCTTCTGGTCAGGCCAAGGTCGAAGAGGATGACGAGTTGGCACGTATTGCAGAGCTGGATATTGGTGAGACCGATGCCGAAGGCTATTTTAAGCACGAGGATAAGGACAAGCAGGCCTTGTTGGAGCGTGGATATGAGAACTTTGTTGTTGTCTTTTTGGAAGTTTTTGAAATCGACCATCATGCTGTGTCTGAGCAGAAGCGAACAGTGTACCGTAAGGAAGGTGCCGAATGGGCAACCACATCTGTTACCGCTTGAATTAGACAACTACATATCATTTAAGTACATAGCATAATAAAATCATAATGTTTACACTTGATGTCTTCCTGTGTGACACACACTTACCATTATTTAAGCATTTGACTTTCAAATTGTACGTTCTTTAATCGAGTCAAGTAACATACCTATTCACTCGCAAAAAAAAATACAGCAAACTGCCATGGCTCCCATTTCGGTACGGCGCCTGGCTCGCCTACCAATACATCTACTTTTTAACCGCGACTACTTTTGGTACCTGGCAGCAATGCTGTTAATTGGCGAATGCGTGCTCAATCTTATAATCATCAATAAAGTGGCATGTATGTTGTGTCAAGGAGAAGATTTAACAGCACGAACAAGTGAGAACTGACACGTTTTTTTTTCTAACACAGACACTGAAATTGACTGGATCGCATATATGCAAGAAGTCAAGGGCTACTTGGATGGAGAACGCGATTATCGTCAATTACAAGGTGATACTGGACCCCTTGTATACCCAGCTGGCTTCGTCTACATCTACTCTTGGCTTTATCATGCTACGAATAATGGAAGCAACATTCGGCTGGCACAATACCTTTTTGAAGGATTGTATCTCGCAACACAATTAATCGTATTCGCTATCTACTCGAAATCGAAGAAAATACCTCCTTATACTATGATTTTACTCTGTGTCTCCAAGCGTCTTCATTCAATCTATGTTTTACGATGCTTCAATGATCCTGTTGCCATGTTCTTTATGTACGGCTGCATACTTGCCATGCTGCACCGCCAGTGGCTGTTGAGCAGCGTGTTGTTTAGGTAAATCTCGCTTTTCTTTTTCTTTATATGGAGGCATTATGTTTGAACTTGTTTTTGTAGCGTTGCACTATCAATAAAGATGAATGTGCTGCTCTTTTTCCCTGCATTTGGTATATTGTTATGGCAATCAGTTGGTGCGTGGGTTACCATGGGATATTTGATCGTTGTCGTTGCTATCCAGGTATATACACAAACGCAGCAAGCGATATTCGTCCTATTCTTATACAATGTCTTATTCTGACGAATTATAGATTGGCCTTGCATATCCATTTCTGGCAACTTATCCAGACTCATATGTTAACCGAGCATTCGAGTTTTCCCGAGTCTTTGATTATGAATGGACCGTCAACTGGAGGATGGTTGACGAAAAGGCGTTTGTTTCACCTGAATTTGCGACTGCATTGCTTACTGGACACGCTGTAACACTCCTAGTGTTTCTGGTCATGGTTTGGTGCAAAGGGTAAGAAGCAATTCAATGTATAGACGTGTCGTGGTCAATTCTCACAAAAGCATATTTTATATTCTATATCTAGCACTGTGGTAATCAAAGTATTTTACTATGGTCTTCGCAACAGGACACGCATGATTTCTGCAGATGGTACATGATACGAAACATGACGATAATAGATGAAATATACAGTGAAACGTATGCTTACCTAAAATTTTTGACAGAAATAATCAGTACAATGTTTACGTCCAATTTTATGGGCATCGTATTTGCTCGGTCATTGCACTACCAATTCTACTCGTGGTATTTTCATAGTCTTCCCTATCTGTTGTGGCAGAGCGTGCCAGCTTTCCTCAGGTACGCGATGAAGATGGGAATATTTTAGATATGTTTGGGGCGTCTTTAACAGTTTGCTCCATTATTAGGCTTGGTACTTTTATCGCGATTGAAAGTTGCTGGCTTACTTTCCCATCGACGGTGACTTCCTCCTGGACCTTGCTTGGATGCCACGTAGTGATTCTTCTAGGCCTTTTGACTAAAGGGATTTGACGGAAGGAGAGATTAAATAATTAAAAATTCATGTAACGTACGAATATCAGTGACCGTATCATTTAAAACACATCATTGTCTCGATATAATACAATACGCCCGCCTTATTACTGTTATGGTAACCCCGTTTTAACTCAAACAAACATCAACACACCGTTACTCTCTGATTTAGAACAGAAACCAATGGTATACTGCATGTGGTTTTCAATGTACCTGGACTTTTATCAAAGATATTAAAATTCGCTTTAGCTTGTTGACTTTCTAATTTGCTACATATGCACCGTACGCTTAATCATGTACAAGGGATGGACAACTGGAAGCTGAGGCATTGGATAGTACCAACTTTTACTTTAATGTAATTGCGCTATCTTTAATTTATTCCTCAATGGTCATTATCTTGTTGCGTTGCTTTTTCACCGGTGTAAAAAAGTGTCTGGATTTAAGCAGCGTTTTATTGCTGTTGAGCTAATTGTCAGGGTTTGCTTGGGATTGTTGACGATGATATGTTGGTTCGATCACTTGTTCAAGATATTTGTGATGGTGCCTCTAAGCAAAAAAAGACTCAAAGTAGTTTTGAGAGAACAGCAATGCAATATACAAATATGCTGTATCAGTTAACTTAACGGCAATAGCATATCACATTGAACCTGTAAAACATGGTTGAAGTCAGTTTACGCGTGAATGTATGAGTGTAGATTCTTAAAAGACCAACCCGTCTTTATGTGTGTATAATCACATTTGTAAACTCTCTTCATTTCACCCTTGACTGTCGCAACGTAAACTTGCAATCTTGGCATCGTCTTTTCTTTTGCATCAACCAACTGCATATAAATATTAAGGGTCATTTCAATTCACAAAACAGCAGAAGCTCTTATAGTACATAGGTAAATTAATAATTGTACAATAGAAGCTAGGTTCCAGCTATTTGTTACAACTGTGGATACTTGGTAAAGTTCAACGCGATGTTTTCAAATAGAGGATTTATCATACGGTCAAGCCTTTCTCCTTAAACAGTTGTAGCCAGCCTGAGCCTGACAGATCAATTAAGTCGCTGATAGAGGAGAGTCCACAGCTAAATCGTCTTTCTTTGCCACAAGCGAAAACCAGCAAAAGTGAGGACTTCGTAAATCACGGGAATGATAGTCTCGGATGTCCAAAGGCGGGTGGACGGGGATCAATTTAGCCTTCCATTAACGAGAAACGCAAACTTGAAAAAATCAGCGTAGCTCTGTATATAAACTGTTTTCATTGTCCCTCCGTCCAGTTCTCCTTTTATCTTACGTTTAAATAATGTCACAACCTGCTCTCAAAATTAAATTACGGCTCAATGGTCCTTCTAAATCGGACACTACATCTCCATCGTCTTCAAACAATACATCAACCACTTCGTCCCCTGCACAGGTTTCAGCGAAGCTTGTCAATGAACCTGATCCAACAGCACCAACCTCACCTGCTAAGAAACAAAAAACGAGTCGACGTGCAAAGAAATCACATTCAAACGAAAAAACGCCACTGTCTACAGCGACAACGCCAGCGGCAACAACAACAACAGCAGCAGCACCTGCTACACCTTCTACGACTGCGTATGTGTTGCGTTGCTATTTTATTTATTACCGAGCAATTATAAGAGATAGGAGGAATATTGGTAGATATGCTAACAAGGGCAAACACCATGATCCATTGTAGAGGCGACGACGATGTATCTGTAGCAGATGAAGGTAAATAGAACATTCAGAGCCCAGTATACATAGAGAAAGGAAGGGAGTCAATAACACTAGCTTTTCTTTAGTAGGGACTCCAGCATCATCATCGACAGCAGCGCCTACACCCAACGCTACCACAGCTACTTCAACAAGCAGACCACGACACCACCATCATACCAGCCATCACACGTCATCTTCTCGAAAAGATATTCTCAAGCACAAGGACACCAAGGTCCGCCAGTGGAAGCGATCACCTTTGATATTCAACACATTAGAAGGCAGAAAAATTGAACTTAATACTTGGCATTCTGGTAAATACTACTCATAAGATTATTGTGCTTACATTATTTCGCTGGTCCAGAGTTTCTTCTTACTAATCCATACCTCTGTGTTGACCATTAAAGAGGAACCAATGGCACTGAACAAACGCAAAACGGAGCCTGTCACTATAGCCGAAATCGACGCGCTATACTCTGCTGCTGGCAGTGAAAAGGACTTTAGGCCATTTTTGTGTACACAGCCTGGCTGCTCAAAGTCCTTCACTACATATGATCAGTTGCAAACACACGAGACAAATATGCACGGCACCAAGAAGCTGATATGTGGCATTGATGGGTGCCACAAGAGCTTTGTGACTACTGGTCAACTTACCAAGCATCGCAAGATGGTCCACTTCCGAGCGGCACGCAAGGCCAAGATTGCAGCGGCAGCAGCAGCGGCAGCCGCTGAAGAGTCGGCAAACGCAGAAGACTCTGCGTTCACAACTGCGGCTAATAACGAAGCAACACCAACAACAGAAACGCCTCCGCCAGCAGCTGGATCTTCAGATATGGTGGATGTGGGAAACTCGGAAGACATGGCATCATAGTAAAGATCATCATCACCTTTTTCTCCCTCTCTGCTTTGCCATGCATTCACTCAGTCACCCACATACACACAGTATATCGCTCAATCTCCTTGTCAACCATGCCATTAATTCCTTTTGCGTCTAATAAATCAAATTGATTTGGGCAATTCTCGGTAATATGGTGCGTATCATGCCAAACTCGCATGGTAACCAAGCAACTCCGCGAAAAAATAATATTAAGGAAAACGGTGTTCCTTTTCGCTTCAGACCTCACCCAGACCATGGCTGACTTTACTCATTTCCTTCCCTACGATGTTCTTTGTCTAATATTTCAGATCAACAACTCACCCAAAGCGACCATTTCGAATGTCGAAAAGTGTGCCGATTCTGGCGTAGACTTATACCAGCCTACACAAAGGCATTCTGGCGTCAGGTTAAATTCTCGGGTTACGACTGGAAACAAGCAAGCAGTAAGGTGGTCTGTTTCCTCGGTCCGCATGTCAATGACGTTCATATTGATATGTTTCCGCCAAAAGCGATTTCTCGACTATACTCTATACACGAACATCCCTCGCCTCGTGCCGATGATCGAGAAGACAAGAATGACAGTGATACAGCACTTTTACAGCTATTGAGCATGCTTGCCGAAACAAAATGTAACAACATTGAAAGCTTGAGTATGTGGATTTAATGGGTTTTAGGAATGCTTGCTACATAGCCATGGGAAAGGAAAAAAAAGAAACGTTTTTACTGATGGCAATTTATCCATATCGCAGCTTTTCATCAATGCAACATCTCGGACAATAACGCTTTTTTAATCCATTTACAACCCTTGAGCAAGAATTTATTCAAGCTTTCATTTACCGAGCATCGAGCGAATATGCCATTTATCGCGATATTGGCTACCTGTCCTTCCCTCGCTCATCTCATATACAGCCCTTATCGTAGTAATTGTACGGAAAACGCTGTACGGGAAATCGAGCAGATAGTGCGCGATATCGGTATCTCCAAAGACACCACATTTCCAAACATGTCAACGCTCAGCATCAACACTGGAATCTCGCACAGCAAGAGATTGGCAGCAGTACTTGGAAGGTGCCCAAACCTTCGCGTGCTACGGATCAATTGTTATAAGGACGACTGGCGCCACAGAGAGGCGACCAACATAGCTGATATTTTCAAATGGTGCCCAATCCTCGAATATGTCGAATGCAATAATACACAATTCTTTTGCATGACTAGTTTACAACCCACCAGTCGAAGTATAAATGATATTATTGCCAAATACCCACATACTGTTGTAGCAAGCAAAAATATCGTATCTCGTACTACGGGATTGCAAGAATTGATATTCTACGACACTGAAAATACCGACATTGTTACCGCAGTACTACACCAAGTTTATATGCATCAAGATACCCTGCAGCTCCTGGAAATTGGCATGAAGAGAAACATTCCAGTGTCTTGGGACAATTTGACAGCCATTTATGCGCCTCGTTTACGCGTACTGCGATTGGTCAACATCTACTGCAGTGAAGGAGCGATCGCCAACCTTATTTCCCATTGTCCTTGCTTGGAAGAATTATTGCTGCATACCCGTTCTGCCACACTTATGCACATCCATTTTCCGCTCTTCGCTCGTTGCGGAACTTACGCTCTTTAACTGTCGACGATCGCTATCACAGTAAAAGATAGTGCAGATGTCGATGATCAGGAAGCACTTGGTCCTCTTTGCAGTTACTTGGACGAGACGGCTCCCTACAGCAAAGTTGAACAGCTCAGCATCCGAACCAACATGTGGATCAACCTGAACAACGATCGCTTTCTCCTTTCTATTTCTTCATTTCCCAGGTTGCGTTCCTTAATGCTGATCAATAAAAACGTAGAGCCTGAGAAAGGTACAATTACTACGCGAGGAGTACAGGAATTTACTCAACGGCTGCACAATTCATGTATCGAAGAGCTTTCGCTTGAGTGCATCGTCATGCTTAGTTCGAAAGCGATCGATCTTTTGGCTGAGCTACCGCACTTGAAGAAACTGGGACTGTATAGCTGCGAGCATTACAATGGTCAAGACTTCATCAGACTTGTCGAACGGACAAAGACTTTACGCGAAATTAGGATCGACGATATTGATCTAGAGCAATGCGATGGTCTGTATGGGGCAGTGGATTACATTGAGTACACAAGTGACTTGAAATATGGCGCAATAATGCTTGATCCGAACGAAGTATCTATAGAATATTTGGGTCCATAGAAACTGCATTATATATCCTTCCTTGTAATCTTATGTAGACTTTTTTTTACCAATTGAATATATGTACTATTACCGTTATAGCAATAGTGTTTGTGCGCTGGGCATATTAGAGTGATTCCCATGGTATTCACCCATGAGTTATATAATACATAATACATCAAACAAGCGACCCTACTCATAAGCAGTGAAGAACCTTTGTATCTATGACAGTAATGCCCCAAGCTTCCCTTGAAAACGGCGTATATCATAAAGTTTAGACCTCTTCTTCCTCGTGGATGAGATCATATCAGATCAACAGAATCATACACTATGATCTTATGCGATATAAAAGCACATACATACAATATCGACTATGTACTATCCTTTTATTAATATTTTCTACATACTTTACAACATATTGCCACTACCACTTTCGACCGACATGAGCTGTACATCAGCAAAATCGGTTGCGAGTTGGCGGGCATCATTTGTTTGATGCAGAACGTAGAGAACCACGGCTACCAGCAGCCAAGAAATGACAAAAATGATATCAGACCAGCTCCGGAAAAAGTCAAACTCGATTTGACTCAATGACGACGATATCAAATGACTATACAAGTTGCACTTAAGTTGAACGTTCGAGTCGAGTAATGTCCGCAGTAGAGCATGATTGAAGATTATTCTTTTTCTTACCTGTATTCGGGAGGCAAAGTGCTTTGCATCATCAAAACAGAACTTAAGAAATACATGCCCATCATATGCGCAACGAATAAAACAACATTGTTTTTGGGAACAACCACTCGTTGGGAAAAAGACCGAAGAATTTTGGTCAAAAGCTGAAAGAACCCACGTACAGATCCAAACACAATGATGCCTGCAAACCAGAAACTGAGCTGTTGCGCCCAAAAGGCGGTATCCGATATACCAAAATGACTGATAAGCAGTGACAGCATCCGTGTAATGGGATCACTCGTGCCAGCACGACGGAATACCACGTTGACAGTTGTCTGTTATTCAAAATCAGTGTAAGGATCACTGTCATCGCTATGTAACAAGATCCAATAGCAGTTGATATATCGATCACCACAAGAGAGTAAAAATGCATATCATACCACAACAAGTTTGTAGATACAGTAAAAGCTGAAAATGTGACTGATCAGGATCCATAACCGACCTTTCCATGTTTGTCCGAATTGACTCTTGGCCTAATACATATGCAGTACACGTACAACTACTTAGTATTGATCAACTTAGCAAAGACCCATTCCTTTTTTTCTTCTTTACCCGTTCTCGTGCAAGCTCGTTTAGATCACCCTTCATCGTTTCTGATAAACTTTCCAGCTGCTGTATCTCGCTCTCCAGCAAATCATATTCTAAGGATATTTATTATTATCAAGTTCCAAACATCACCGAGCCTTATATCCTCTGATTCATTATAGAAGAAAAAAAGAGCACTATACCTCGCTGCTCGGGTCCTTGAACAAAAAACATAATGCGACCGAAGCCAGTGGGCTTGTAAGAGTTAGACAGGGTAAAAAGCACAGAGTTGTCAGTTTATTATTCCAGAAGCCATTGAATAATGTTAAGCAGTAATACCTTTGTTTGCTGATCTCGAGTCATTCGAGATAATTGCGATTTCTTGTCTCTTATCATTGACATTGTCTGTTCATAAGCATTTTGAGCAAATCGATAATCACGCTCGCTGACGGGCCTGGATTTGTTAATATGAGCCACATGTTAATTATAAGTGTATGGATCTTAGCAGCGACGTTCAATGATACTAGTACTAAAGTTCTTCGTAGCATCTTGTATGAGACATACTAGCAACAATATACGTACTTTCTAAAGATGCTCAAGTTGTAATAGGGTGTATGAATCACACCAAATCCCGAAAGGACGGAAATAAGCGTGATGCCTGTAATGGCTACGCGAAAGAGCGATAGTTCTGCCCAAGATAGAACGATAGTGGTGGTGGTTGAGCCATCCACCACGATTCGAGCCTCCGGTGCTGGAGTGTAACCTAGCCGGGTGAAAAGATACATATAGATTGCCCACAAGATGCATGAAAAATAAAGTGACATCTTTTGCCGCCAACCTAATAAGATACTATCAGTCTAATGTACAAACACAGCCCGCGTTATTTTCCCCCTACTACCTCGCGTCTGACGTAAAAACGAATATACTTGGTACCAGGGAATGAGAAGCACTACCAATACCAAGAGTAAATGAAGGTCGAATTGCCAAAAGCACGAGCGTACACTAATGTAGATTCACATGAGACTTTTTTTAAGGAAAAAGAGACAGCGTACAAAGAAACAAAGAGAGCTGTTCCTTACGCTGCTGTAGAAATGTCGGTAATCTCGGCAAAGACCAAAATGAACAGTGTGCACGAACAACTCAATGTCACAGCAAAGATCGCGTTTGTAACGTTTAGTTTGGCATCGCTAAACACAGTACGCAATATCGTTTTTGCACCGATAGTAAGGATTAAGGATTGAATGCAAAGGATAGTAGCATAATGGATGAAGGCCATTCCAAGGGCAAAGGCAATAACAATAAAGTGGAAGAAAATAATAAGAGCATGAATTATTGCATTAATTGCTGTGCCCACCCTCTCTCCGACAATAAGCGACGTGGCAACCTTTTGAGCTATTCTTGGCAATTTAATATAGAGCTTGTAAATTATATATGTATTGTGTGTGTGTGTGTGTGTGTGTGCGTTTGGTGCACGGGGCTGGGGACAGGAGTTGGGGAAGCAAATGCAATGGAATATTATACACTGATTTTCTTTCCTTCTCTCTAACAAGAAAAGAATATGGGGAGCAACTTTGTGAGTGAGGATGGGGTGAATTGGGGTGAATATGTCATGGTACTATGTATATGTGCGAATATGGGGTCTTCATTGTCTGCTATCTTTCATGCTGCCATCGAATCATCGCCTTGCTTTGATTTCCATTCCACAAACTCGTCAAACAGAACAGGCCCTGTTCCACCCCGGAGCAAAACAGAAGTTAGATGATGTCTGCAAGGAAAAGCAGTAATCACTTGTAAAAGAAAGCTTACATGACGAACTGCTGTCGTAGTTCGAAAGATCGTCGGGCACGGATCGGCAAAAATCCAAGAGGCTCGTCCATTGATCTAATAGGGTTGCACATGTTAAGTACACGCTCTCTCTTCATTGCAAAATAACGTTGTACACACCTTTGTTGATAACTCTCACGGGTTTCTCACTCTATAAAGCGCATATTAGAAAAAGCGTCTATGAGGATTTAGGATGGATAGGATGCATTACCCGTAGGAACTCAACAAATGAGGGAATGTGAGGGTATTTCGCAGGACTCAGCATGATTGGCCAAAGCGCCATAGCAACCTATAGGCAGCATAGACACATGAGCACTAGATGTTGGGATGAGCAGTTTACATATCACCATGCTTACGTCAACATCCATGCTCTTCTGACCGGTCGTTTTGGCAAAAGCAAAGGTAAATAAATACAACTTTTTGAAGACGGCGTCATCCTTGATTGATTGATCCCACAGTGGAAGCATATGCTTCAGCTCTTCAACAGTATTAATTCTATAAATAAGATTATACCGTAATTCATCAGTACCACTCTTGTGCGGACCAGCCCACAAGAAGTAAAGTTGGGTTATGAATCAACCAACCTGTGCTCTCCCATGCCTTTCATCCATTCGTCTTTTGTAAAGTAACCTAAATCCACCATATACGCACATATATAAGCCCATGTTCTTTGATTTCTATAGGTTTATGCTACGTTTTTTTTTCTCTACCCATTCTGCTAGCGTTCAGTTTCCAGCCAATGATGATCGGGTATATCTGTAGAAAAACATATAAAAGTTCCCAGTTAAAGTCAGATCCAGTATGCACAAAGCTGTCAAACACCCCCCCCACCCCCCAGTAAAGTTACATACGCTATCAAGGGAGATGTCCAAATCTTCAAAAAAGGTCTGGCAGCCCTCAGGTGTGATGATTTGTTCTTGAGTCTCTCGGTCCTTGTATCTGTCAAACCACGCCTCGCATGATTTCATTTTGCCAGTATTGTTCGTCTGCGTAAAGTTGTCCGCAACAGGAAAAAGAGAGAGAGAGTTAATACTATTTCAAGGAATCCAACCAATACAGTCGCTTTGCGTCTAATATGCATGTCTCAAGAATGCGATTAATCAACCTGCGCTACCGAAGCTTTTTGACTACATGTGTAAGATTGCATTGAAAAAAAAAAAGAAGACAGGTTAATGAGGCTTCATATGAATTTCTGTTCTGCTATCAAAGAAGAACGTTGGCGGGCGGATTTGGCGCTGTACCCACCTTGCTTTTGTCTTTCTAGGGGCATTTCGTGCTCTTTTTGTCGTCGTACCGTTTGATTCGTTCTTTCTTTTAGGCGGCATGTTATTTTTTTAGGAAATGAGGAAAGGAGACTGGGCTAAGAAGAAAGGGAAAAAAAAGCGTAGCAGCGATAAATGGTATGCAGCCATTCGACAATGAATCTTTCCTGAAAAAGGCAACGAACGGTCACTTCGCGAATTCGTAACGCGTCGTTCGTGTTTCTATTTTGCCCTTTCTCATACGTAAATTTATTATTATGGCATCCAAAGCTACGCAGGAATATCGGTCCGCGTTTTTCACTCTCATTTCACAACTCTCCACAATTGAGCAAAAAGGAAAAGAGTTTTTTGACAAAATGTACACACACAGTTGTTTCTTTACAACGTCTCAATTAAATAAAGCACTTGCTTGTTTTGCTAATATCGCTTCATCCCTTCCAATAACCAACTGAATCTTGATTTGGTAGTGAGAAATCAGCATGGATACCTTATGAACCTGCTGCTATGCAAGGTAAAAAAAATAAAAGGAAAGAAAAACAAACAGCGATTTCTTAAACTTAAGGTCATGCTCTCCATTAATGCAATGTTGTTACAAAATCTATTGTAGCTGATTACGAGAACTTGATGACGGCTTTGCAAGCACTCGAAACACATGCCAAGGCCTGCGGCTTGCTCAGTATTACCGGCACTTCACCAGAAGAGGGGGATGCAGTACAAGGACGCAACCTGGCTACACGAACGCAAGAAACGCTGCAAGCAGTTGATACGTTTTTCAAAGAGAAAAACAGACTGCTGGTGAATATCCGGGCAGCTGCAAGCACTACACGCCATGCTTCTTGAATGATCATCCTTTCTTATAGCACTGTACAGTTTCTCTTTTCCTTCTTGCATATATCTAGTACATATTGTCTTCATACCCGTCCTTCACCCATCAACCATTAGCGATTACATCCCTATTTCCAATAAATTTGCATCGTTTGCCTTTCGTGTTGCATCACAGAGGAAAATAATGGTAGCGTACAGAGAAAGCGAAAGGACCACAGCTTGACCACTAACAGAAACTCTTTGCGACATACACTTATTCGGGTTCATCAAACTTTCTTTTAACCCGTACAGCCGGTGAAACCTTGGAAGCAACGTTTCCAGTTTTTATTGGGCTGGAATGCAACGCCATGGAAACGGGAAGAAGGCGTGCCTGGGAACATTTGATCGTGGTGCGTCAGTTGTTGGCATAGGCTTGTTGGTGATCGCAAACCCGTGCGGGGTAAGAAGATCGCCAATGATTTGGTGACAAGTCTTTTTCTGCGCTTCCCCTTCCCCCCCTTATTAAGCCGCGGACCGTGCGTGGGTGGAGCCGCAAGCTTTCTTTTCTTTTCTTCTCATACCACAACAAATCACCTCTCTCACTCATGAAAGCATCTAGTTACCGGCTGTCTATAGCCGTGCTACTCTTTGTTTTTCTGGGCTTGTTTGCCTCGACCCACGGTGTTCAGGCCGACAGCACACAGCAAATCGTTCTGGAATCTGAGCACGATGCACCTGTTCCTGGCATGACCGTTGAGCAGGTCGAACAACTTGAAGACACTGAAAAGTTTACCTTCCAGGTGAATAATCAAAGACCGTTTCTATTACCACTTTTTATCTATGAGGAGAGGAGGAAAAGAATAACTGACAGAAACCATTCTCTTTGATATATTCTCTGCGCGTCTTTCTTAGACCGAAATATCGCGGTTAATGTCCCTGATCATCAACTCGCTGTACAAGACGCGTGAGATCTTTCTGCGCGAACTGATCTCGAACGCTTCCGACGCATTAGACAAGATCCGCTTCATGGCTTTGACCGACTCTACTGCCTTGGCAAGCAACGACAAGCTGAGCATTTCGATAGCTGCTGATCCCGAAAGCAAGACTATCACGATCACCGATACCGGTATTGGTATGACACGCGAACAACTCAAGCAGAACCTGGGCACGATCGCCAAGTCTGGCACATCGGAATTCCTCGCCAAGGTTGAAAGCAGCAAGGATGATGTCAACCAGATCGGTCAATTTGGTGTTGGTTTCTACTCTGTCTTTCTGGTTGCTGACAAGGTTACTGTCGCATCCAAATCCAACGATGACGACCAGTACATTTGGTCCAGCCAGGCTGTGGACGACTTTGTCATTGCCAAGGATCCTCGTGGCAACACGCTTGGCCGTGGCACTCAGATTACGCTGCATCTGAAAGAGGATGCCGAAGAGTTCTTGAACGAAAGCTCGCTCAGAGAATTGGTCTCCAAGTATTCTGAATTTATCAACTTCCCCATCTATCTCTGGAGCTCGCATGAAGAGGAGGTGCCCAAGGAGCAAGCCGAGGATGACGATGACGAAATTGTCGAGGAAAACTTGGAAGAGGAGGGAGAAGAATCAAAGAAGGGCGAAGAGGAGATTGAGACGCGCACCGTGCAGGACTGGGAACGCATCAACACTCAAAAGCCTATCTGGATGCGTAATGCAAAGGAGATCGAGGATGACGAATATGTCGAATTCTACCGTGCCATTGCCAAAGAACCATCCGCAACCCCGCTTAGCTGGACCCACGTCAAGGGCGAAGGTGACACCGAGTTCCGCTCGATCCTCTACGTTTCCCCAAAGGCCGACCCCAACTTTTTCCAGAACTTGGCTGACAAGGCACGCAACGTCCGTCTGTTTGTCAAGCGAGTGTTTATCACCGACGAATTCGAACTGTTCCCCAAGTGGCTCTCGTTCTTAAAGGGCATCGTGGACGCCGACGACTTGCCGCTGAACGTTTCCCGTGAAACCTTGCAGCAGCACCGTGCATTGCGCACGATCAGCAAGCACTTGGTCAAGAAGGCCCTCGACATGTTCCATCAGCTTGCCAAGGACGACGACGAAAAGTTCGGTCAGTTCTTCAAGGAGTATGGCAGTGCACTCAAGTTTGGTGCCATCGAATCCAACACGCACCGCAAAAAGATTGCAGGTTTGCTCCGCTTCCCATCGTCGTACGACCCTACTGCGCCTGGCGTCGGCCTGGACGGGTACATCAGCCGCATGAAGGGTAGCCAAAAATCCATTTTTTACTTGGCTGGCATGTCGGTTGACGAGATTGAGCAGTCGCCATTCTTGGAACGCCTCTTGGCCCGTGGTTACGAAGTCCTGTACCTCACTGACCCTATCGACGAAATGCTGATCCAGAACATGCCTGGCTACAACGGCAAGATGTTTGCCAACGTGGCCAAGGGTGACTTGAAGTTTGGCGATGAAGAAGAAATGGTGGATGAGCAGCTCGAAGAAGAGTACGAGCCACTCCAGACCTGGCTCAAGACGACACTTGCCGACGAAATTGACAAGGTGGTGCTTTCCAAGCGTCTGACGACGTCGCCTATGGCTATTGTGGCCGCTGATTTTGGTCTTACCGGTCACATGGAACGGCTGATGGCGGCTCAGGGCCAGAGCAACAAGGACCGCGACATGATGCTCAACTTTATGAAGATGCAAAAGAAAACGCTTGAGATCAACCCCAAGCATCCGATCATCAAGTCGCTTGCAGGACGCTCTATCGAGGACATGGATGAGGATACCAAGCAGTTGGTCCAGGTTCTCTATGAAACCACGGCCATTCGCAGCGGATACCCATTGCAGGATCTCAATGCATTCACCAAACGCGTCGAAACCATCATCCGCAAGGGTGTTGGAGCTTCGCTGGACGAACAAGTCGAGGTGGATGTAGAAGCAGCACCTGAGAAGTCGGAAGAAGAAAAACAGGCTGACGAGGTGTTCCTCAAGGCATCACAAGAAGACCATGATGAAGAAGAGGATGTGTATCTCCACGACGAATTATAAAAAAGAACACCAAATATATCATTACAGCACTTGGTAGTTAGTACTAACGATAGTAGCAGTAGCTCTACGCATACATAAAAAGAACTCAGTTTCGACCTTTTTTTTTTCCGATTTGGGATGTTCGCTGCTGCTGCTGAGCTAATGCAAATGTGTGTGTGTGTGGCCCCTCCGCTCTTTCTTTCACTCACTCACTCTCTCTCTCTCTCTCTCTCTCTTTTCTTTTTAATAAACTCCACCTCCTTTCCCGCAACGAAAAAACTCCTGGCCCAAGTTGGCAATCTAGAGAAATACGCACGTTAAATGTCCAGACCACTTTTTTCAAAGAGATTGACAAAAGAACTACGTGGTAAATTGTGTCTTACTTCCGGGACGACGACGACGAAAAGAGACGTCTGACCTTTCTCCGCTCACACGGACCTTTCTACAATTATGCACTTTTAGATCTCGCAACGAATCCTCCGGAAGGAGTGTCCATTGAAGACGCCAATGACTTTAAACGGTAAACTCTTCGCTCGATTCTCTCGTTCCATTTTACTTACATTTGTGAAATGTTGCTGTGCACTCGTCATTGACGCTGTCACGACGATATTAGGTGGCAACTGCGGATAAAAGGTGCACCTGGTACATTATACGAGGTAAAGACAGTTAAAAAGAAGGAAGGGAGGGCCGTGTCTGCTATTACCAATGCTGTTACTGCTACTGCTACTCAATTCTATTGTCTTGGGGTCACAATTATGCAAACCAAAGGAACTAAAGTGATAGACGTGTATACATAGGGTGAAGAATTCGAGCTCGAAGTAAATATCATCACTATGATGTGATTATGACAGTGATAAGGTCTACCAAGCGCGATACGTGAATTTAACAGTGCATGATAGTTTCGATTTACGCCTTCATACCCGCTAGAATCCCCCGAAGTGATGTTTGTTCGGCCACGTGTACCGATTCACCCACAGTACGTGTTAATTTCTGGTTCTAATCTTCTTGTTATTATTATGCTGATTTGTAGATGCATCTAACCTGGCATTTTCTTAGTGTATGTGCAACTGCTACTGCTGCTGCTGCTACTATCACACACGAGATATAGAGACTAATACCTTGATGCAGATTTATTCCAATGGCCACATATGTCTGAATATACTGTACAAGGACTGGTCACCTGTCCAAACCGTGGCGCATGTCTGTTTATCCATCCAGTCCATGTTGTCAAGCTGCGCAAAAAAGGTATGGCATCAACCCTTTTTAAAGCGATTGCGTAGCTTTGATGATGGTTTGTCGCGATTAACAGCAACCGTGTCCATCATTTGCATATTAGGAACTTCCTCCGGACAATGAATTATACATCAAGAGTGCACATTCCTCTCCAAAGAAGACAGCTTGGGCATTTCATGATGAGAACGTTTAGCTGAACCGTTCTCTTCCTTTTCAATGATCATGACAATTATTGCCTTTTCCTTCTTTCCTTCCTTCATTCCTCAAAAATACAAAAAAAATCATAAAACAATCATTTCCCTTTTCTATAGCTCACTTTTTGTGCATCTTCATCAAGTAGTTAATGAAGGCTGTTCTTGTTGGGTGCTGTAGCGAAGCAATACTTCAAATGGTTGTGGCAAAGAGATGTGCAGAAGAAAGGCGCTTATACATACCGTAGAGCTAAAAATTATGCAAGCCAAGCACCTTTGTACCACGAGCCTTGTCCGGTTATCAGCTCCATTTAAATCAGTGGTCCTCGGTAGCAATGATGCGATCGCTTTAGAGATCTAATACTACTGTATATACCTGCATGAATAAAGCCTTATTGTGTATACGCAATTGAGAAAAGCTGACAGGATCTTATATATTAGGACGAGGATATGATGAGCTGCGTGTTTCGATATCTGGATATGATATTAGTGACCTCGTAACGTTTTATATCATATTATTATACCTCTCGCCGCTGCCTTGTTGCGTCGTAAATTGCACGCGTGTCAGGCTATAACCGTCGTCTTCTTTGTCGTAATACCACAACAGGGGGAGACAACCGGCCCTCTTTTCCATCCATAGTGATTATGCCTACTGTTGCCAAAACGACGACAATGGCTAAATCGGGGTCTTTAAAAGTGACTTACCTGTCTTCTATGATCTCTCTGTATCCATGTACCAGCACCTTAACAGGGCGGGTAAATCACCCAGTGTACCGTGGGAGTAGGGCTTTTTGAACCAACGCAGAAACGCTGGGATAATCTAACACGTTATTAATGTGTAAAAAGAGCAGGTAAGTTCACTCACAATCTCAAATTTGCAAAAAAAAAATGATGAAACGAAGTTATCTATTGTAGCAGGCAGAAAAGTCGAGCTCCTGTCATACTAGCTTGCTACTCTTCAAAAGAGATCGAATGTTGACTTCTATAAACCAATATGTTTTGCACAAAACCCCGCACAGGCACGTATATAGCATTTGTTTAGTCTTTGTGTAAATGTGTCGATCATATGAGCTCAAAGCTTTATGTACTTTTTTGTGGTAATAAGGACTTGTCATCAGCGTGTGGTGGTGACACCTTGTCTTTTTCGTTTATTTGGCCAAATTGAACTGCAGATTTGTAGTTCAAGTTCACGCTTCCATATCAATTCACGAGGATACAGATTCATATATGATATCTTCCTTCATAATCTCTTGAACTGAATCCAATTGAGCAGTTCTGGTCTGTTGTCAAAAGTAAAGTTACGCGGAATAAATTTTTGAAAAGAATCGCTAATGACTGGAATTAGTGAAGCATGCGATAGCTTGTATTTAAGTGATTAAAAAGACTTTGTTTCTTATTCTATCAAATGTTCTGATAAATGTTTAAAACGAGGATAGATTGTGAAGAGTTTTATCTTTTTTATTGTGCAGGCTGTCATTTTTCTTTTTGTAATCCTTCTTTTCAGCAATCTTTTCTTTTTATCACCATGTCACAATCAGCACATGTGACCAACAGCGAAATATGCTACTCGGACAAGTCAACAGAGCCTATGTTTATCTTACTTAAAGCACTCTACGCTAATCCCTTCAAATATCACCAATATCCTTCTTTTCTGAAGGAATGTTAAAAGGACAAGGCAACAATTGTGCCATTGGATGAGAGAAAACACAATTCATACATTTTTGTCGTATTTCTTTTTGTAATTTATGACATCTTTATTATCATACCCCACTATTCACTTTCTGCCACTAATTATTTCACGCTCGTGTTTTGTTTGCCATGTACCACGAACGAGAAAGATTATCCATCGTGGATGAAATTTCCGACATAATGGCTTCTTCTGCCATCAGTTCTAGAGTTGCCTGTCGCTTGCGAGCGATCTCTAGCTGCTCGCGTTCAAAATGTTCGGCTACCAGCACCCTTCCTCGCTTTCTTTTTTCCCTGGACGTTCCTCGCCTCCTCATTCCTCTCCATCAAATCGAGTCGTCGTCGTCGACTCTGTCTCCTTCCCCTTGGCACCCTCCTTGCTCTCGCCTTACAGCAGAATAAGCCGGGAATTCCTAAAGCTAGAGCTTTGGCCGTTAAGCGACTCGTATATCTCATTTGCTTCTTCAATGTATAAACAGATAATGGATATGTTCTTAGCAAATGATACTTACCATACTTGTATAGCAACTAACTGTTGTTATCGATATAGTAAACTGCTCATATCGCTCATAATTAATTATATTACATACATACATTAACATTTTTACTAATAGCTAATCTAGAAATGACTATCTGGTCTTCGAAGTCTTGCCACTGCGATTCAAATTCTTGACCTGCGCCAAACACCTTCATGTGAATCTGCGCCCAGCGTCCGCCCAATACATTGGCCGAGCGGTCCACCACCCCGATACGCTTGCATGTTGCTTCGAAAATGACGTTTTGGCTATGGCACATCTCCAAATAATGAGAACGGATCCGTTTCCAAAAGTATCGCCCCTCTGATCCGCACCAGCAACAGTATCCACGGAAGCTCCCAACCTTGGCAAAGATGGTTACGTATTTCTCAGCAGAGGTAAAGTCAGGCTCACGACACTTCCCCTGGATGACGATGCATCTGAGGAGAAACCACTAGAAGACGAAGAAACAGAGCCTAAACCGTTTAAAGTGTCGCGTGACGAAGGCATTGAAATATAGGTAGAAGAAAAACAATGAAAATTGATCATGGAATGTCCACATTGTCGCTGGATATGTGCTCTGGAGCAGATGTTCTGTTTCAGCGGCGACTTCATCGTCAATTCAAGATCAGCGCCTGGTACTATATTTTTTTTGCTGCTCATGCATACAAATCACAAAAGATATGAAACAACTGATCGTTCTCATTACTATGGTTTTGATACCGCTGTCGAATATTGGTAACGTTCTTCCTTTCGTGCTGTTATAAAATGATGTCTTCTTAAAAGCAAATAGAAGTGAATATATAAAATGGTAGGATGTATAATATATATTACGTGAATGAAGGGAGAGCAGTTTGGAGGAGAGTATGTCTTTTTCTGTGAGTAATAAAGGTATTTTTCTGTTGGTACAAGATGGAAAGTGAATAGAGGTAGAATATTATAATAAAATATATGGAGGTGGACTTAAATGGAGTTGAATTAGAAGATCCATGCAAGAATCTGTTTGTACCACGGCATTTTACCAATCTCAGCCTCATCCTGTTCACGATCTTCAGCAGTGACGCGACCCGTTTCGAAATCTGTTACGATAGCAGCAAATAAGTGTCTTCTTCTCTATATTACTTAAACTCAAAACTGAGCGGTACTTACCAACTTCAAGCAACGGTACGATCTTTGTACGACGAACAAGCTTGTACACGACGTAGCAGACAATAGCTGGGACAACACCGATATAGTTGGTGACAAACTTAATGCGATCAAACTCGGGAGCGAATGCACCGTAACCTTGGCCAAGAATAATCAAAATGCACAGGGTGCTTGCAAAGATGCCCGAGTAAGGATAAGCAAATGCACGGTAAGGCAAGTCATCGAGGCTTCGGCCCTGACGAAGGTAAGCGCGGCGGAAGCGAAGATGGACGAAAGCAATACCCCACCAGCTGATGAAACCGCTGACAGCAGTAATGCTCAAGAACCAAACAAATGCAGCCGAGGCGCTATAAATCGAGACGAAGACACATGCAAAACCAATAAGAGACGACGTGACGACGGCCAAATAGGGCGAGCCAAATCGGTTAACGCGACCCAAAAAGGCAGGAGCATTGCCATCGCGAGCCAAGCCAAGCAAAGTACGAGAAGTGGTGTACAAAGACGAGTTGGCAGCGGACAGGACACTCAACAGAATGACGGCGTTGACAAAGTGGGCACCGCCATTGATACCGGCCAACTCAAAGATCAGGGTGAACGAAGCAGTAGTTGCACTTTCATCACCGGCAGACAAATTCGGGTTGTCAGCAGGAACGCAAAGACCGATCAAAAAGATGGTGACAATGTAGAAAAACACGATACGATAGAATGTGTTACGGATAGCACGCGGCAAGGTCTTGGTAGGGTTCTTGGCTTCACCGGCAGTGACACCAACGACTTCGGTGCCCTGGAAGGAGAAACCGGCAGAGAGCAAAACGCTAACAGTACCCTCGGCGCCGTCGACAAAAGCACCAGGAACGTTCCAGTAGTCAAAACCAATGGTACCAGCACCAACAGCACCAGTGGTCACCAGAATACCGACGATGATGAACATAATGACGACTAAGATCTTGATAAGTGCAAACCAGTACTCCATTTCACCATAAAGTCTAATTTTGGAAGAAAAGATCATATTAAGAAACTGATAAGACATACTGCATTTGGTCAATTTTGCTTCTTTTCTTTTAGTCTGCATTACATACCTTACGCCCACAAGGTTAACGGAAAGGATGAGAACCATGAAAATGGTCGACCTTGATAAGAATATCATTGCTTTAGCTTTCAATAGTCTTCAACAATGTGGCGATTCGTGTTTATCTCTGTTTTCCTTCCACCCATTTCCCCCTTCTAAAGTACCATGCTGGATCTGGCATAACTGGGCTCCACCAACGAATAATGGTAGCAGCGGCGGCAAGTTCTAAAGCAAGGACACAAACAAATGATCTTTAGCATCTCGTCAAGCGGACACTATTGGTTGTCCCTCGTTGTCATCTTCCGTGTAGTGGTACTGGTATCATACCTGTTGCAATCGTGACAGACTAAGTATATAAATCGGGAAGGTGAGTATATTATAATGGATCACGCGGTAGGAAAGGTTATACTAACCCACTAATCAGGAAATCGAACGCATAAAGGGTCGCCAGGTTGTGCGAATAGTATTTGATCACTTAGTTAGGTCGCTCTTGGAGTTGTACACAGTTATTTTTTCATGTCCTAAAAAAGAACTTACCGAAAACCTACAATGTTATTGTTAGCCAGCAAGTACTTTGAAGTAACTCGGATGACAAGCACAATTAATATTTACCAATAGTTCCAACCTAGGGCAAAACCGAGAGCAGGATCGATAAAACGAGTGGCGTAGTGATTAAACGAGCCAGATACTACAAGTATGTAGAGCGTGAGTAATTTCTTTTCTAGCTGTTGCAAATGCTACTCCGCCTCAATAGTATGAGGTTTTATTTATGTTGTGGTACCTGGCATAAAGGTGGCCATTTCACCGAGACATGTCATGATACAATATACCTATAATCATCAACAATAATCGGATCAGTATATTCACTCAACAGATGATGATAATTATAAAAAAACCTTACCATAAACCCAACTAATCGACAGCGATGCAAGAAAAGAAAAGAAGAAAAATTAGGGTTTACTGTTCACTATCCTATGATCTATGTCACACGATAATACGACTTATTTACCAACACAATATCTACAGAAGAAGATAAATGAGCAATATAAGTAAAGATAACGCTTTCGACTAGGAAAATTGTCGTATGTTCATGTGATCTTACGCAATGAAAGCACCCGCAGGACCAGCCTGTGCATTTGAATCGAATACAAATTGATGTCAATAATTATTGTAGTAGCATACTCGGTAAACGACACCATATAACCGATCTATATACATACCGTAGCAATGTTTCCACCCGAGTTCAAGAACAAACCCGTGCTGTATTAAATAATATATGCATAGCATTCATTAACAGCCACACTATATAAGACAGCAGTACATAATTTGCAACGGCAAGAAGATATTTACCCAATGGTGCCGCCCAGAGCAATCATCTGTACATGACGGGCATCCAAGCCACGCTTGGTGCCTTCCTGAAGATCAGTATTTTCTTTTGATGTGAACGACTCGGCAGCTTCTGTAGGGTACATGTATTCCTCTTCGACCTTTTCCGAGCCAAAGGCAGGGGGAGGTGTTGAATGCTCCTCTGCATCCTTTTTCCCACGAAACATCTTTATATTGCTGTGTTTGGAAATTTAAGTGAAAAAAACAACAACAGGAGGAAGAGAAGAAATAAAAGAGAAAACGAGGAAAGAAAAAAGAATATCGCTGATATCTTATCGCGCACAAAAACTTCATTGATTTCTATATACTATCGCTCAAGACATATTAGAGCGAGCGACAGAGACAGGCTAGCTATTACTACGGGTTTGTCTCCGCTTCAAAGAGCGGTGATTCCTTCCAGGATTCGGCCTTGATTGGTCTCCAAGCAATATCCTTTGGCCACTGTCTCTTCCATGATCATGTGCACCTTTTCGAGATTGCACACAATGTCCAACTCCGTCTGTATCCCATCCAATCAGTTTTGCGATATGTTTCTCACAATTCCCTGGTTCCCGGTAGTCTCATTCACTTACCACTTTTTCAAAGTAAGCATCCATGGCTTCTATAGAAGCAACAACAACCAAGTACGACGCTCAGTTGGAGTAAAACTAATTGCCAAGTTTCACCCACCCGTCCTCCCTTCTTTCTCTTACCGACACAATTCTGGATCAGTTCAAGGATAGCGAATTCGTTCTGAGCAGTTCAGCTTTCAGTTAGCACCTCTCCTTTGTAAGTTTGTGCGTCCTGCATGAATATTCTCACCTCATCTCGTTCATAGCCAAAGATAAAGTACAGCGATGCATATACCCGGTACACTTTCAAGGAGTATAAGTGAAACCACTTTCCGAAAAAGAGCGTTTTAAACATGCGGAGGAGAAACTTACCCAGCTTGTATTTGCCCAGTTGCACGAAGAGTGCCTTGAGTTTCAAATTACAGGTTGTTTATTTCAAAAAGTTATGCATTCGCGGCTACATCTATAGAGGTTGCTTCTTACCTGACCAGGCTTGCGAACAATGCATTCGCGCGCAATGCTCAATTCGAAAGCAGACGGATCCTGTGGTGCCTCATCATAGTAACGCACAAAGCGAGTCTGACATCGGCGATTCGTAATCAAGCAAAATGAAATCATTCTTTAATTTATTATAATACAGAAGGAAAAGGTGTGGGAGGAGAGCTAAAGAGAGAAATAAAAAATTATCTCGTCATCTATAAATACAAGCGTAAAAACTCAACCATACACATCATGCCCATCGCCTGACCGTAAGGCATTGAGGTCAATGGGATTTCCTTGTAAAACTGCTTGGTTTCGCCGATGGGGGTGCCAAACGAGACTTTTTGCAACTCGCCATCCGGACTGATGTTGTCCATCACACCCTTCACTGCCTTGAGCGCCACGTCATTGTATTTGGGATCAATGTAACGCTTACGGATTGACTTGAGAATACCAAACGCAAATCCAGCAGTGGCGGATGCTTCCAAATACGACTCTTCGTCAATCACCGTGCGCCACAATCCGCTAGCGTTGTCTTGGTACTTGCCCAGGGCACGCACTTGGGCCACAAGGGTGTCGATCAAATGGATACGGATGGGATCCTGAGGGGCCAAGTCCAACAGCTCAATGAATTCTGGGATCACAATTGTCAGCCAGGCGTTACCACGACCCCAGTATGCGTTGGCAAAGTTGTGGCCACCATCCTCAAATGTCCATCCATGGTAGAACAGGCCCGAGCGGGGATCAAACAGGTACTTGATATGCATCAGGAACTGGCGCTTGGCCTCGTCGATATAGTGCGGTCGGTTCAACAGCTTGCCAATCTTGGCCAAGGGTAGCACAGTCATCATCAGCGTGTCGTCCCAGAGCTGCTGTGTGTTGGGCGTCAAATAAGTGACATGCTGCATACCGCCATACTCGGTGCGTGCCAAGTCGTTCATGGCCCACTCACCCCATGCGTCCAAATGTGGCAAATACGACTTGTCGTGCGTATGCTCGTACAAATAGGCCAGGGTCAAGAACACGGCCATGGTATTGATGTTCTTGTGGCGTGGTGTCTCGGCGAATCTGTCCTTGAACCAGTTTTGCATAATGGCCAGGGTAGCTGGGTCTTGAGTGATTTCAAAGTATTGCCACAAGCCATACAAGCCAATGCCGTGAGTCCATTCCCAATCGTTCCATCCTTTGGTATCGACAACACTGCCGTCTTCTAAGCGCAAGAGAAATTCACCCGATGTATCCTTGATGCCAACGAGGTTCTGGATAAGCGATTGGATCAGTTCGTGGACCTTGGCACGAGGAAGACCGAGAGGAACAGCCTGGAATGCGGTAGCGGGGGCCATGATTTGTTATCGTAGAAGGAGGAAACGAGTTAGAGAACAAAGAGAAGGTAGAAAAGTTGCTGATATACTGCTGGTGTAGTAGCTGCTGACTGTGAGCGGTGTTGTCTTTTAGGGTTCATCTTAATTGCATGATGGGGAAAAGTAAGGGCAATTTTTTGGTTTTCGGGGAATTTGTAGACATGTCAAAATGCCCCGTGCGATCTCTTGTACTTTCCTATATGGTGGGTGTGTAATGTTTAAATCTTTTTGTACGTGTGAACTTGCGATGCGTTAGGCTTATGTAAATCTTAAGCTCAGAGTAGAATCCGAGGTGTTTCCTGCTAATGTCGGTGCAACCTCTCGTTGTGCATCACCCCATGCCTATACATTACACATTTTAACAATCGCGTCATAGATCAATAGTTTATCGATCAGTCTTGTTATTAAGCACAGGGCAGCGGATTGGATCATTTTTCAGGCTAGTCTTCTTATACTTTTCGTCTCCAAACGACGGCGAAGAATACATACATAATAGTCCGATTCGGGAACTGCATAAACTTGCTCCTCTTTACTTAGAGCATCAAGGGATACCATCATCTTACATAATGTAGTAAAGTAAACAGTTTTATTGCTAGGTGTACATTTATTATTGAAGATTATAGTGATGTGAATAACGACGAAGATATGTATAAGAGAAAGGGTGAGGGAAACGCGATATACGACGGAAGTTTGGAAAACGAAGAGGAGAAATTATGTGACAATAAGATGGTTACCGTTTTTCCTCTTAATAGATATAAACAAAGTTGGGGTTCTGCACATCCGTCAAGTCATCAAAGGAATGTCTACCTTCCTTATCCTGTTCTTCGGTACGCTCCGCCAAGTACTCGGCCTTCTTGCGGTTCTGGCGGATGAAATGCCATCGGAGCAAGCCGAGTGTAAGCAACAAGAGCGCATAGCATACGATATGGACAGCGAACCCAGTGAAGTAGCGTGGGCTTTCATGCTGTTGGAACACCTGAGGACCTATTATAATAGAAAACGAGACTGATATCAGAGACGATGATCTTTTTACAAGGAGGGTAGGAGAATTCGATCGTGTGATTTCGGCAATGTGTAACTAGTGAATGCTGCGACAACGATGATAATGATGTTACTCACCGATCGCGTTACCCGCGGCCCAGCAGATAAAGTTGAAAGCGACAGCAACCGACTTTTTGGTCTGTCCACCGACGTTTCGGCTGAGCAATGAAATGCTAAGTGTTGAGGTTGCCCAGAATGACAAAACGAGGTAGTAGCACATCAAAAGACCCGCTTGTGTTGCTGCATTAGTGTTTTCGACAGCCAACAAGACGATGGTGCCAATGACAGATCTATTTTTTCGTCCCCAACAAAGTTCCACATCTCGAGTGTGAGTGATTGTAACCGGGAAAGTGAGCCGCCCGAGTCTCATAGCCGCACATATCACCCGTTTATGAAGAGAGAGGTAGGATACTTACGGAATAACATAGGCCATCATGACAAGCACGGTATGACCCCATCGCTTGGTGATGTAGCTTGACGACAGCAAGCAGAACATGATGTATGCACCCAAAACCATGGCCAATAACTGTGTTTCCAAGACACTGAATCCAAAACCGGTAATGATAATGTTGGCAAAGGCTCCCAAACCGGAAGTGGGCAATGTCGTCAAGAAAGCAATCAAACCATAAGCATAGACTTGGAAATCCTTGAATGCCTCGATGAACTGTTCTTTACGGAACGTCTTATTTTGCAAACCGGTCTGGTTGGATCGTACACGCTCGACTAAAAGTTTCTTGTCTTCTTCCGAGTAGCATTTGGCACGCATGGGACTGTCAGGCATCCACAAAAGCACGACAATACCCCACAAGAACGAGAAGCTACCGTAGGTGATGAACAGTGCCTGCCACGATTTGATGGGACCACTGGTGATGTGTGTGAAGGCATAGGCGAGCAAACCACCGACGATTTGTTGGAAGCCGTTCATCATGTACCAGACAGTGACAATCATGGCTTGTTCTTCTCGCTTGAACCACATGCTGGACAGGACGACAAAAGTGGGCTGACAGCTTGCTTCAAAGATACCGAGTAATGTACGGCAAACGAGCAGACCGACAAAGTTGGTGCACATAGCGTGAAAAGCCAGCACGGTGCTCCAGGCGAGAATGTTGAATGCAAGGAACTTGGCGATAGGTACACGTTGGATGATCCAGTTAATGGGGTATTCGACAATCAGGACGGCAATGTAAATACATGTTGTCAACCATGAGTACTATTATTAGAAAATACATTGTTTGTCTTTAATAAAGCATATCAAGACAGCTAATAATCAAGCAAAAGAGCTAAGTAGTCACAACATTACCTGTTGACCGACAAGATTAGTATCTTCGATCAAGTTCATGATAGATGCAAATGACAATGTACCCTTGTCCAGAGCCTGAAGGAAATATGTGACCGTCATGATGAACAGAACGCGACGAAACAACATGTTCTTCAATCGTTTATTGGTTGCTTCGTCGACTTCAATGATCTCGCCACCGGCATATTTGGCCAACTCGGGATCAATACGCTTGTCATTGAGATCTTTGGACGAGGCTTCAGCAGCCACAACCTCTGCTTTGGTTATACTGCCTTTCGTGGAATTCACCTCTATCTTTTCGTCGTTTGACATGTTAGATCAAAGGGACTATGCTAAAGAGAAAAAAAAAGAGAGAAAGAGACACAATGTTGAGGCCCTAAGAGAGGTGTGAATGTGTTTATATTCTGATTTTTTTTCTTTTGTGTTCAATTCTATTCTACACAGCGCATTTACCCTAAACGCTACTAGCAGGAGACATGGTGATGCAGCAGTCGGCCTGTCCCCCACCCGTCTCTACGTGATTGTTGTGTTCTGGAGACAGAAAGAATTTCTCTCATCATACAAGCTTACTTAATTCACCAAGTCTTCCCACACAGCTAGAGGCAACAGCGTGGAGAAAGGGTACACTTGATTTTTTACTCCCCTAATCTCCTACAAAATTTCCCCGTTCGTTCAAATTTACCAAGTGAACTTTACCAAAGAGAACCTTGGATGTAACATTGACCCCGCACTTCTCACGACGATAAGAAAAAGGTAATACCCACGACGGATACATATTGTTTGGTCTTAGTGTTTTCCTCCTCGGCGCTGTTGCTTTTATCGATCGGATAACCTTCTTACAAAATTGTAAAAGAGTGTTATTGAGAACGAACCTTTCAAGTTGACGTTTTACGGTAATAGTAGGAAAGACTAGCCTTTTCTCTGCTACTCCAGCCCTTCCTAACGTCCATACAATGATATATGATTTAAAATATGGATCAGACGGATGACTGCATTCGTCACTTGTGCCTTTAAATTTTGCAATGGTTTCAGTTCGCCTTGTCAAAATTGTATCGGGGAAATAATGGCAAATTGTTCGCTTGTTTGTTATGCGATTTCTTGAACAAACAGCAAAAGAATTTATTTATGTGATCCGCCTTTCTTTTTCTTATCCTAAAAAAAGGATCACTCTCTACACAAGCAAGAAACAACCGAGTTGAAAATACGAAAACGAGATGCACCTGCCAATCCTGGTAATAGCATACATTGTCAAGACAGCGTTTGTTACGACGGTAGTACTCGCACAAGACACAATCGTGGACGTCTTGTCCAACAATGGAGCTTCTAAATTGCACGACCTATTGATGAATAACCCGAGCCACGGGTCGCTCGTCGAGTACATGACACAAAGCGATGCAAGCTACACATTATTTGCGCCGTCGGACGATGCCATGGAAAAAGCCGGAATCGCAAATGACGGTGACTATACTGACCGTATCCGTTACCACATTGTGCCCGACAAACGATTGTCAGCAGGCGATATCGACAACGAACATCGACTTCGCAACAGTTCACTTATCCCTGCCCATGGCAAAAACCACCATGTTCCACTACTGATTGGCACGGGGCCTGATGGCGTATGGTCGTATGGCAACAAGAGCAGAATTGTCAAGGGAGATATCCAAGCATCAAACGGAGTCGTCCACATTATCGAACGAGCATTGGAAATGCCTGGATCCGCGGAGTGGGTGCTCCAGTCATTACCCCAAACACGCGATTTTGCACAGAAGCTCAAGAGCTCAAATATGTCGCTTCAATTGTTTACCCACGCCACGGTGTTCGCGCCAACTAATGATGCTGTCAAAAGGCTCGAGGATATTTCTGATCCCGCCATGACTGCGCTCACGCTACAGCATTTAATCGTAGACAAGTCTTTTAACGCGACATCGCTCCGTTACAGCGACAAAGTCGTCGATAATCATGGAGTTGGATTCAACGTTTCGCATACGAACAACGTGTCTGCTGTTGATGGAGTCTCTGTGCTGGTGCCGGATCAAATATTTGACGATGGTACGTACCTTAAGAGACAGCTCACCAAAGATGGCTTACAAGGGATTCTCACGGATATCAATTTAGGATTAATCCATATAACGGATGGTATCGTGTTGCGTGGCGGACTTGATCAACCAGACGCCACTTTACCGCAGCCAGCAGTATCTGGTACCATAACAACATCTGTTTCTTTTTCGTCATTAATGACCATAATAGCTTCTATAACATTGTTTTTGGTATTGAAAAATTATTAAAGGACAAGTGAGAGAGAAAAAAAAATTACAAATGTGCCTCTTTGAATTTAATGCAAAGTATATATGTATATATTGAATAAGGGGTGCTGCTATAGCTGTGATATAGTGTGTATGTCTGTGAGTTAGTAATGAGAGAGAAGTGTCATGGTAAGTAATGGTGTGTACGATGTGCAGGTGAGAAGTAATGAGATTATGATGGTGGAGAGGAAGAAGAAGCAGCGGGGCACATGAGGTTCCACAGTAAGAGATTTTCAATATTCACAACACTCCGTTTGGTATACGCCGAGCCAGATGCGACGCAAGTGTTGTCCTCCATCCCGAGCCGATGAACATCCCAGAGTAATACATTACTTCGCTCCGAAGCAAGCAGCTTGACAGCCTGTCTAATCACAGTAGCAAACGCACGGCTACGACCACTGTTCCACGAAGTCCCGTGCACATTGCCACAGCAGAAATACTGCGGTGTGCGGACAATGATGGTCTGGTCTGAATAAATTTCGTTTAGTAGGAATGACGTCAACTCCATAAATGAGTTCCAGAATTGCCGTGGTGTCATCCGGCTCAAGGGAATGTCGTCATTGCCCAAGCTCAAGAGCACAATGTTTGCGCGTGGAAGCTCTGATATGCGTTGTTTGACCCTGTCTTGCCAGTCGTCCAACGTGATGCTGCCGATTGGATTAAAATGGAAGGCGATATCGTCGTGCCAGGTGTCGCGAATAAGCAGCGGCTCGTTGGTATCGGTTCCCCAGACATCGTTGTCACCCTCGCTGTCATCGTTACAGATGCACCGTGGTTGTCCCTCGTCGTTGCTACTGCTGTCATCGTTACTCGTTGGTTTCTCGCTACACCAGCTTGGTGTACTAAAGGCTTTCAAGTTTCTATGGGGAGGAAGAACATGAGCGGGGCCGAACGAACAAGTAATATATTTCAGCATCATTACCGTTTCATGTTGTTGTCACCCCAGACATGGAAAGTCTTGCCTTCCAAACACTGGATGGCTTGGCTGGTGCTGATGTAATCCATGCGACACTGGTCGGGGACAAACAAGCGGTCATCTACCACATGATCTTCCTGCGCATCGCCAAACATGCCGTAGAAATCCAACGGGTGCAGCCGCTGGTATTCTGTCTTGTTGATCCAGCTGCTACCGGTGCTAATGTATCCGTTGCACGACGGCTTCAGCGACTTGTCGATCCCTGCTGCAGCGTTGACGATTAAGCTGTTGTGAGAGGTATAGTGGAACGGACGGTAAGGGTGGTATATCGGCGTTTCCCAGAAGTACGAGCGATATTCGGTGGTGCTTTCGAGCTGGTAGACGTCGGGATGAGCGAAATAGACCGAGCTGTAGTAGACGTTGCTGTGCTTGTCGTGCTGTTCAAGTGTGATAGGGACCTTAACCATATCGCCAACTGCATGAATCGTTATGCTGTCAGCTGGTGCAAAGTGTTGTTCTGGTCGTATGGCGGACACAGCCGGAATGGGACCGAGCTATAATTTTTTCCAAGTCGTTTTAAAAATAACCCAGTAAGCAAACCTGCAAGTGAATTCTTTGTTGGGGGTGGAGGGGCGGTGAAGCGCAGAGAATAGGGCTCCAGGAAGTATGACTGGTTATCTCGTCCTCTCTATCTCTCTCCTACATAGTAGAGATAGAGATAGAGATAGAGGTGGAGGTGAAACTTATTATATACTCAAACGTACCATGACGACGACGCATACACTATCTCCAGCAGCGATCGTCACGTCTTTTGAGGTGTAGTTGCCCTCGGGCTTCATGAACATGGCCTTGGAGACCCAGCCATCCCAGTGTTCTCTATCTGATACTCTGTCGTCATCGTCATAACCATAATCAGTAATGAGATGGAAGAATAAAACAAAGCAGAGTTGCTCACAGTGTTGTTAGTTTCTTTTGTTCCCATTCCTACAACGATAATGATCTCCCTTATACACTACTGGTATAAGCACATACAGCCAGGTAAAGTCAACATTGCTACAGATGGCTTCAGAGGAGTTTCCCTCGGTATATTTCCATGAGGGAGGTGGAGGCGATGCGTTTACTCGGTGTGGCTGTTGTTGTTGCTGTTGCTGAAGAGGTGGTGGAGGTTGTAAGTCATTGACAGGCAGCGGCGTTTCGAATTTATAAGTAGCGTGTCGAAAATAGGTGAGCGAGAATAGGAGGGTTAGCAGAACAATGACGAGGACGATGTTGTGCCTCTGTAGTGCTGAAGCGTACATGGTTCTTCTGCTAGTCTCAGCCTTTCTTTATGTTTTTGAATAGAGAGAAGAAAAGAAAAGGAAGGAAAAAGGAAGAAGCAACGAGACGAAACGAGACGATTTGAGGGGAGGGAGAGTTGCAGCCCCACTTGACGCTAATGTGCTTTCGGAGATTGCTTGCGAGGTTATGTGCGCCCGGAGCGGAGAAAACTAGCCATTTGGACCATCCCCTTATTCGCACAAAGAAAAAAAAAGATCGACGGGTTGGACGAAAGGGTTGGTTGCACAACAAACAACAACAACAACAAGGTTCACCACAGCAACTGTTAATTACTCGCAATAAACTAGCTTTTAGCAATACTGCAAGAGAGTGAGCGCATCGTCGTCCCAAAACAGACAATGGCCAATCTCCAAGGTGCAAATTTATTTGGAATTATCTTTGATGTAGCAGCATGCTATTATTATCGGGGCCGCTGCGTCTTCTAACTATATTTTGAGTGATACCATATATGGGCATTTTACCGCAACAGCTGCAAAAGAGAGCGCACCACTTTTTTTTTTAGCTTCTTTCATTTTGGGCATGGTTGGAACAAATATTTTATTATCGCACAGATTGCTTAGCGAAACTTCTTTTTTGCTTGTAACACTCAATCGTCTGTATTATTAAAGAAAAGGCTTCTATCTGGTTATGATTGAGAAGATGTGCCAAGGAGATGTAGAGTAAGAAGGGGCGAAACAGCATTCTCTGATTTTCTTCGTGTATGATCTATTTGGGTAACTGCGATTGTCCTCATGATTTCTAAAATAAACATACTTCTTCTTATTGCTTCTTCTCTATAACTGATGCCGTCATCTGCTGATACTGCTAATAGAAAGCAACGCAACGGTACTTTATCATTTTTGTTCAAAAACTTACATGAGACATATGTAAAAACCTTGTGCTTCCTGGCACGGGGAAAGAAAATAGGAGGGGAACATCATCATCGCCGTCTCTCGGCTCACCTATCTGTAACACAGCAACAAGATTTCTTTTCGACCTCGAGTACTCCTCCGCCATCATCCCACGTCTTATATTGTTCACGATTCCATCTAGATCCCTGCCAGTATTACTGTCGGTCAGCCATAATATGCATACAACATCATCTATCAGATAATTGTCTAGAAATCTGCTGCCGCAGTTCATCTATCATATCATGCATTATTTGTAACCCTTATTTATGATACATGTCCGGCGCTATTATGCCAATGCTCTTGATCACGTTATACAGTAGTAAGTTTTAATTTGTGGCAGTTCCAATCATCACATCGTTGGTTTTTGATAGCATATGGTTGATGTACTTCACGTGAGTGAATCAGCGAGTATTGGATATCCCAAACGGTATTACCGTCCAGTAGAGTAAATTTTACAGTGTGAATACGCAATAATAAAGCTTGAAGTTATGATTTTCCTGGAGAGGAGAGCTACCTGATGGAGGACTGAATTTTGGGAATTGGTCTCAGGCTTCAAAGCTGTTCCCAACATATGATAAATACAGTACTTGCTTTCTGTTCGAGCACCACCACCACCTCCCTTCACCTGCACAAGGGCTTTCCTGTTCCGTTTTGGAAAATCTGCAGAAAAGTCTGCAAAACTTTAATCACAGGTTTCCAATTATATGTAGAATAAATTCGGCTTCGGCAAGCCAAATACTGTTTTAGCTGCCACTGGATTAAAACGTCGATTAGCGCATGCCGTTCTTGATGGTCTTACAGCTTGCATTTTGTAATCTGAGTATCGTTTCATGCGCGAATGATAGCTCAGCATGCAGTTGGCCATTTGACACGATACTTCTTGACATCTGGACTTTCGCGGCTATCGCAGTTATTCTAAATTTAGAGTAACAATAATAATGGTCAAACTAAGTAAGTGATGTGTATAAATAAACATATATCTCAGCTACGTTTTTAAAACAATGAATCCAATCACATACATCTTTTTTTATCTTTGATGCCGGTAACCCTATATGTGAAGGTGGTTGAGGATCACCTTTTCGGACACACCGCCAGTGATACCAAGCGTGTTTGGAATCATACGCTGCTTGGTGGCAAGTGGTCTAGAACTGCAAGTACTTCTTCTTTATATTCTCATTGTTATACAAAATACTGACGCTTATGTGCTTCCCTTGACGATGGGACGCAAGTGAAACAGTGGCACAGTAAACCTTAGCCTAGTTGACTATGGCATGCGCACGGCAATCAAACCCTTTGTCCAAGGGAAACGGGTACAGTAGTTGTCTCATTACCTCGACAGTTTTTACACCCTGGCGCCGAAATTTCAAAGTAAGTTGTACTTCGTAAGAGAGCCGATTGCTGCTTTGGAGTTTCGTAAGCGATACGATCAGTTTTTGCTTATAGGTCTTTAAATACACTTGCGATGGCTTGTAGCTCTCGTTCACTTTTATTCACCGACGGTGGCGACTCTTGTTCTTGGGTTGATCAGGATAATGATGCTGATGAAACGGTAAGGAGATGCGTTGGGGTAGTGGAATTAGTTAAAATCTGATTTTTAGTTATTGCCCGGCAAGAACCACTTACTGATTCGGAAACTGCTTGGTAATTCATTCAGTATCGATACAACAGCATGCGCGAATTGCCTGGTAATACAAATCAAAGCAGTAGCATAATACACCAGTGTGATTTATAGATATAGTACCCGTTTTATCACCAATGCTATTAGATGAGGCTTTTGCCCCAATACGTTACTCGAAGGTCTGTCTCATCTGGAATCCAAGATAGTGCAGAGGAATTTTTTTCACTGCCTTTATTCTAAAGGTTGCTGTACCAGTTTGCGTATCCGATACATTTTGTTATTAGTAGAGGACAAAGTCAATCCAGGTATAACCTCGCACCTTTGCCTTTAACTATAAGCCTTGACAGAGACTAACTCATTGGCTCATATACGCACACGCACATTCAGATCAGCGTATTATCGAAAATCTATTATTCAATATGTTCTATCACCATATCATATGTATTTGTGAGCAGCGACAGCATTTCTCTTTACCAAGTGAAAAAAAAACAGATTATTACGTATATAAAACACAACTTTACTTATAAAATATAGTGAACAAGCTAGTATCTACTACCATTACTGGTGCTATCGTGCAGGCGTCGTCAAGGGGGCAAATGCCAGTCCCAACCAAAATCACATAAACTAGTAACCATTGTATTTCAAGACTTCTTGAGTAATGTAAACTTCAAAACAGTACATAATAGCATCATTCCATCAGTAGCATGTTGACTTGTACGTATGCATCCACGTATGTAGTTTTTGAAAGACATGTATTATGAGGGGAGGATAACCACCAACACACACCAGCTGCAAGTTTCATTCCCAACTGGAACAAAGAACAAGATCGTCTAGGATACCGCGCAGCTCGTGTATAGTATGACATTTTAACATCTAACCGAGAATGCAGCTTTGTCTTTCTGGCCCTATCGTCACTTGGCAAATTTATATGCACATAGCAGGTCTCAGCAAGTTATACTACCAGTTATTTAACAGCGGTGGCACTGTATTTATCCAATGCAGATACGCATTTTGCTCGCTCGTTATTTAGTTTTTGAGAAACGATGTAGCCAATGATGAAAAATGACTATCATTCTTTGTTAAAAAAAAGGATCCAACTCTTTCTCTGTATCTAAAGCTATTGCCATCCATAATAAAAAGAATTAAAGAGTCGCATCTATATTATAAAAGGACTTGGAAACATGCCAAACATTTTGCTCGATCACAACGCGTATGATTGTACGATTAGTTTTTAGCTCATGTTTCTGGGCATACGATCGCCAAAGCATTAAATTCCAACTTTCCAAAACCCGACGATCTCTGTGTTGGCAGCAGTTCATATAGGGTGCAAAGACAAAAATGGCAGAAGACACGATCGATGAACCAATTGCAACATCAACACAAACATCACAAACCGAAACACAACCATCGCCGAATTCAGGCGAAAAGACGCCCGACAATCAACCGCGTCCACTTCCAAACTCGATCGAGATTGGTGACACTTTAGACGACCTCGAATACCATCAAGGTCTTGCAGAGATTGCAGAGACAAATCAGATAACACAATCTTGGAGCGATTTACAAGTAGCAATAAAAAATGCAATACTTCAGGTGCTTAGATCTACAATCGCATTTCATTTCCTTCCTTTTTCGTTATAAGTTCTACAATCTTATAGTGCACACTGATTCTTTTTTCTTGGCTTTAGCAATGCGAACTTATTGAAAAGAAAGAACCCGCACCAGAAGAGTGGGCAAACATCGAGAGTATCAAAACTAATATTTTGCACAGCCTCGAGAATCATGAAAGGTATAGCCTTGTATAGAATAATTGATAATGGATAGGTCGAATAAGGTATGCCATGAAGATAGCTAAGTATGCTGCGATTACATAGACCACCCTTCACGGTTCAACGATTATGCGAGTTGGTGATCGATCCTCGAAAACATTATCGAATGTTTCTAAAATACATAAATGCAATCGAAAAGGTAAGTATAACTGCACTTTGTATGTATGGAGAAGATGTATGAAGCACACAGACAGAATTCGAATCCTCATCAAGCGGTATGGTTTTATTTGTGTGTGATTTAGGTCCTTTTGGTAACATCAACATGGGATGATTTTGTGGAACATTCAGGCACCAATGGAGTAAGCGAAGTACCAACATCCTTGAGCGAAGGATTATTTGCAACAGAAGATAGCATGATCAATGGTGTGGAGCTGGAACCGATCACCTTTGAAAACAACAGCAGCAGCAACGATGAAGATGGCGATGACGACGATAGCAATAATGACAAGGACAAGGAATATGCCACTATGAGTGAAGGCAATGGTACTCCTCCCAGTAACGACGACAAAAATGACAGCAGTATTAGCGACAACGACGACATCAGCAGCAGCAGTAGTAATTTAGACAATAAAGATAACAACAATGGGCCAACCGCCATGGATGTAGATGGATGATATGTACGCATCAACAACAATTAACAGCAACAACCAAAAAGTACCTTTTAAGACACAACGGGCCGATAGATATAGGAGGAAGAAGGAAAAGGAAAAGCCTATCCTTGGAATCGGCTATTGACTCGGTCACAAAGCAAATACACATCTTTTTTATTGTTTAAGGATTATCTGTCATACGATAACAACAACAAGGATTACTGCTGCGGATATTGTTGATGTGCTTTATTCTGAGGGGGGTACTGTTTGGAAGGGAGGTAGGAGAGATGGCAAGAGCAAAAAAAGCATCGGCACAAGAACAGGCATTATTGAACATCATCCGTAATGAAGGGATTTGTTGTTTGATAGCAGGATACAACACATATGTGAGTTATCAATGGTGACAACAACATGGAGCGGGGTGCATTGTCCAATTTAATGGTGAAAGTATGCTACTGGTAGCAGCGTAGTATTTGTTATAGCAGGACCGAGTTATGCACAGTTATGAATCTGCATGTCACTCTAGAAATATGGAAGGGGGGAGGGAAAGGAGAGAGCACAGGCCAGGTCAACAATGGCTGCTCTACTCTCGTTATATTCCCCCAACCTATCTTCACCCAGGGAGACCTACTCTCTTTTACACACTTGCAGCAAGCTTAGTTGTGGCGTGCTCTATTATGCGCGTGACCAAAGGTGCACTCTATATCATATATTATAAGGTGATTTGGATAGCAACGAGCAATGATCCACAATATTTAAAGAAGATTGGCCATGCAAAATTTGCCAAAAATGTCTTAATTGAAATGTGGACCCTTGCTTGCTGCATCAATGAGGAAAGGGAAGGAGCAGGATAGCAACGGTAAGTGTCTTTCTGTAGATACAAACATTTGTCTGTACATGTGTACATTATGTACAATGTAATGCGTGCGTGTGCTTCTGTGTATGTGTGCGTGTACAAATCATAATCGAAATAAATAATAAAGATATCATTAATAGGAACCGATACAAACACATTAGAGCAAGAAACAGAAAGAGCAAGAGAAGATAGCACCCAAAGGAGAAGATTTTTCTTGGGGTTTGTTGGGAGTAGTATACAACAGAAACAGCATAATCATTGTCACTGTTAGATGCCATGTTTTAAGAACAAAACAAAAGAATTTTCCTGACCCTACACCCACTACATCATCCTTATTCATTTTTCTTATAGGGTGCGTGTAAGAGACGGCATATACAAACATTACACACACACACGCAACAAAAAGAGTAGCAGCACTCCCTATACCCGTGAGATGCGCCTAGAAGAATAATAGATACTGATTGCTAACACTACCAATTGCCCGTGCGGCTTGCATGAACGCGGCAAGAAGTTGTTAAGTTCCGATCGATCCCATTCCTTTAATATTTCCGCCAGAAAAAGAAAAGAAAAAAGAGAGAGAGGGCAACAGCATTTCCCAACTATTACCTTTTCAACTTTTATTTTTATTTGCTTTGCTAGGCGCTCTTCTATTCCAATTGCTCTTTTTTGAGAAGAATAGCAGCAACGAACTACTACAACCACTGCTGCTGCCGCTTTTACACCCTATTCCCCACAATAGTAGCAACGACAACAAAAGTACAATTTAGACAGACCAAACTATAAAGGGCCACTCACAATTTTTCTTGTCATGAATTCGCCTTTACAACAAACATCTCAGCCTCCTTTCACCGGCTACGGTTTTGAAAGCGGCAGATTCTTCTCTCAGCAATCGACCCCTCCAGACGAACCGTTTGACGATGAGAACCAGCTTCCAACACCGGCTGAATTCGACGCTATCGTAAACAACTATCTCAATAACCTCAGTCCCAAAAAACGTGACAAAGCACTGGTCGATCAACAGCGCTACCAGCTTATCCAACAGGTCCTCAAGGATCCACGAAACACCGCCATTTCAACTGCCCAATTTCGCTTTTGGGTAAAAAAGATGTTCCAGCTCCAGCCTGGCACCATTGATCTGGTCTGTCATGATAGCAAGCCTGTTGCGATGAAGGAACAGATCTATTCAATATTAGTCAGGGCACACAGAGAAGCACATCACGGCGGTCGGGACAAAACATCTGCCCTGGTAAAGTTGTTGGGACCTAGCTCGTTAGTTTTTGAAATATATACAAATACCAGAATTTCTTTTACAGCGACAGCGATAAAACAGGTCATAAACGAGATTGTTAACTTGGTTTCGATCTATTTCTACCACTGCTTACTACTAGGTGAGGCGAAAGTTCTCTTGGATACCCAAAGAACTCGTTGCCAGATTTGTGCGACATTGTCCTTTTTGCATAACTCGTCGTAATGGCGGTCAAAGTCCCGGTGTATTCACGCATAAATCCGCAACAAGCAGTCTGCGATATACCGCCAGCCACAGCTTTGCTAGTTTCGATGCCAGCACAGCAGCGGCGGCAGCGGCGGCGGCGGCGGCAGCAGCAGCAGCCACTGCTCCACCTATACTATGCACACCGTCGATGCAAGAAGACAGTGACATTTCGTCGTCTGGCCCACCATCAACAGAAAACGGCTATGATGCATCACCGCAGTATATCTCTTCTTCCAGCTCACCGCCACGACGCCCTTTTCTATATGACAGAGACGAGGAAGAACTGCTACGTAGTTATCAGTATGCCTCATCAACATCGCCGTTACAGCGGTTGAGTACACAGCATCCATTAATCACTGGATTCAGTCCGCGTCACATCTTATCAGAACACAGCCAGCACCATCAGCATAGCCAACAGCCTCAACAGCAGCCCCAACACCAGCAACACCAACAGCCGCAACAACATCATCATCAAGAACAACAACCGCAAGTACATCAGCAACAGCAACAGCAACAATCAGCGCCTCAATCACCTATGTTTTATCACAGTCCAGCGAATTACATGGGATACTACTATCCAAATGTTCTGGGTATCGCTCCTTGTGACAGCAGCAACAATAACAATAACACTCCAACATTCTTACGTGCTCCAGGGGCAGGGGAAACAGCGGATATACTTGCTCACCAAGAAGATCACCAACCGTATCACTTGTCTGCGCCATCCACGAACCATTTCATGCCTTATACTTCTAATGACGACAATAATGCCACAAACTTACTGCCAGCTTATGACTAATTTTTAAGTACTCCCCTCCTTACTAACATAATAACGATAATACCCACCCTCACTGCACTCTGAATCACCCTGTTCTCACATATACAAGCGCACACACACATTAATGAAGAAAAATCGATTAAAGAGAGTCTCTTTTTTATATATATACGTGCATTTATATATATTTATATATAATATTTTGTTGTGGATTTCCCAACTCTTTTTGATAATAAAGCAAAAAAAAAGAAAAAAAAAGTTCAGAGGACTATACATAGTAAATTCGCCGAGATGGTTCTGTGTAACTTCTGGCGCAAACTGTACTAGCGGGGTAGAGATATGGTTTGTGGAGAGCAGGGCAGCTGGTTTAAATATGATGGAGAGGGGGCGGGGGTAAATACAATGGAATTTAGGAATAAGGTAGTGGTAGGTAGAAGAAGAGCGGTACACAAGGACACACAACACACACACACAAGGCAGAATAAGAAGGAAACTTGTACTACAAAAAAAAGACAACTGTACTACTACAACTGCATCTCAAAATCATTCCAGCCAGATCCTAACAGGTAGTTAGGATCCAACATGAAGGCATTAGAGATAATTTCAGATCGCATGGGGATAGCAGAGTGGTTAACAGCATGCAGTGACGTTGAGTAGAACAAGTGCTGATGAGGGTTTTGGTCCTGTCGGTCTAGGTGGTAGCTGCCGTAAAGGCCAGCAGGACCGCCCATGGGTGGGAACGATGTGCCAACGCCGTACGATACGTGGAAGTCGCCAGGATTGTCTATTGATAATGACGGGGTTCGGCTGGGTTATACTTCGTGATGGTTACAAGATTTTGTTTCTATTTACTTACCATCAGCAAGCCGTTGTGGTTGCTGCTGTGCTTGCGGTGGTGGTTGCTCCACATGAGGTTGTGGTTGTGGTTGTGTAGTAACATATGCGTTGGCATGTTCATGATGCTGCTGCTGCTGCTGGTGTTGTTGTTGTTGCACCGCTGCTGCTGCTGCTGCTGCTGCTGCCGCTTGGGCTGCTTTACTGCGACCGCAAATACAGCCATCAGGGGCTGGTGCTGGTGCAGCAGCAGTTGTAGGTGATGGAGTCATGTTACTTGACATGTTGGTGCTAGAGCTGCTGATGCTGCTAGAACTCGATATGCTGCTCGTGCTATTTCCCCGATACGTTCTAGGCTGTTGCTGCTGCTGCTGCTGCTGTTGCTGCATTGGCATGAACCGTCGTTTCTGTCGGAGCGCAGATCGTTCCAAGTTCAGCTCGATAACGTCGTCTTTCCGTCTGTCTGTTGATAATGGCGGAACGGAGGGTGGCGTTTGTTGCCGTTGCTGCTGTTGCTGAGGAGGAGTAGGAGGTATAACATCCAGGAACAAGGGGATTCTGAAATTCTGGCGCAGCAGCAGCTCGGGTGAGATTTCCAGGCGTGCCAATGCGGGCATGTTAGAAGGGGTCTGCAGGCGCTCGTTGAGGACGTCGTCTTTGCTGTAGTAGCTAATAAGATGCTGTTGGACGCCGTTGACGACGATGGACATGGATTTTTTGATCAGGCCGTTTCGTTTGAAGCGGTAGCTGTTGGTCAGCGATCCGACTAATGCGCGCTCGCGTTGGCGTTCAGTTAGATTTTGGCATGGAGTGCGTGCGCTGTCGTTCTGGGGCGCCCGCTTATCCAGTTCTCGATAGACTAAAAAGTTGCCTAGGATACGTGAAGGGCTCCAGACCAGGCCATCGGTCCAGCGCTTGATGCCTTTTTTTTTTATTATTTGTCATTTTAGTAAAAATAAATACAGCCGATTTCTTGCTTGATTGGGAACGAAAGCGGATGTGATGGGCGATAGGCGAAAGAAGAAAAAAAGAAGGAAAGAAAACAGAAGAGTTATACGTTTATTTACCGCTCTCGTGTTCATCAAAGCAAAAGACAGCCCCACTTTGAACGAGCTGGCGTTCTTTTTCCTGCAGTCTGCGGCTGACACGGGGCAACAGGCCTCGTCGACAGGCTTCGAGTATGATAAGTGAGTCTCGAGTCGTTTCAATGTAGCCATGAAACGTCTTGTCCGTGGTCGACATTGTTCAAGGGGAGATTGTTGTTGTTGTTGCTGTTGCTGTTGCTGTTGTTGCTGTTGGAAGACGAGGAGGAAGAAAAAGAGGCAGAAAACAGGGGGACGAAGGAAATGAAAAAGAGAGGCGGGAAAGAGAAAGAGAAAGAGAAAGAAGGAGAGCGAGGGAAAGAGTAAAAGCACTGGGTATGACATTGCGTGCTTCCCAAAAAGTATTCATGGGCCCACACTCTACGTAATGCATCTGCTCCAAGGGAGGATATCATTGGATAGCTCACATGGAGCCACCACGTGTTCCCGTGATTCTGCCAGCTGTATTGTGTTTTCCGTTTTTCTTGTTTCTCGCTAGCCTGCTTGCCTGCTTTCGGCATTGCAGAAGGAATTGCAAAGTGATCGACCTTGCGCTATTGGGTAGAGAGAGTAGAAAAGAGAGGGGGCAGGGGGTGGGTAGTGTTACGCCAGACAGGAGCTCGTTCAAGTTTCAGCTAATGTTTTATCGGAGATGAATGTTGTCGCTACTGGGTGAGTGCCCTTCTATGAATTACATGCAGTGGAATAACATGTAATAATAAGCTGTGTTTCTATTGTTTATGTCTCCAATGAACACTACATCGCGTGGGTTAGACGAGACGGGCATGTACCAACTGATAGTCTCTATAGAGAATTCTGCCTTCTGCCAAGTCGCTACACTTTTCCCGATTGAGGCTTCTTGTTGAGTGCTGTTGCAGGTTCAACACATACACAACCGTCAAACGGAGGACTGGGACAGCATTGCATAGTCCCCCTTTCTGCTGTATCCTCTTGCTTCGGCAACGTCTTGGAATGCCGCCGCTAGACCGTCATACAATGCCAACGGGTATTCTTCCTTCAGATTCACGTGCTGCGCTTCCATGAGATTGGAAAAACTCCAAGTTCTCAACAATGGAAATTCGGAAGGCTTTCACTTTTTGTCTTGAAGTCTTTAGCAATCTCTATTTTAAGATTCCTTGTACAAGCCTTTATTGCGGGTAGGTCGTTGGCAATGTAAAGATTATTAAAGAGTTTGCTGTCTGAGCCCCAGGTGCTTGAGATTAGATAAATCGGAAGAGGCAACGATGAGTCAAGTGGTTGCGAATGGAGCAGAGCATATGTTTGAGCAGAGGAGAGCCTCTCACACCCCTCCCCCATGCCCCCCCCTTTTCCCTGTGTCACATGGTTTTTGAATTCAGGCAACACACATTGCTCGTCATCAAAGAAATTACAAAAGCTCGGAATAATGGTAATTATATTATTACAATTCTACTCGGAATCCGACGAAGGTGCTTCCACCATTTCCAGTTGATCTATATCACTGTCGCCATTCTCGAGGTCCTCGTCGTCGTCATCCTCTAGCAAAGCTCGCATTTCATCGTCATCAAAGTCGTCCTCATCCTCGTCTATATCTACATCATCGCCATCATCCAGCGTTCCCGGGATAGACGACATCATGGCCCGCCATACTTCGTCTTCGTCAGCACCACCGTCATTATCAGACAAAGCACCTGTTTCTTCGTCATCATTCTCCAGCTTGCGTTTCTTGCTGTTGCTTGGCTCCTCAGCCGGCTCGCCTGCGCGCTTCTGTTTAAAGTACTTGTGGAAGAAGATCTCATCCACAGGGACCTGCTCGACCTTCTTTCGCCAGAACTCGACCGTGTTTACTGGAGCAGCAGTAGCATTCTGCTCGTCCACGTTTCCGCGCGTCATCAGTATACCGCCGTCTTGACGACCGGTCAGAGGTTGCATGATGGACTTGCCACGTGTGCTCGTCTTCTTCTTTGGATTGCGATAAACAAATCGATCAAGAAAGTGGATCAGTGTGTTGTTGTGCATGTCGGGCTCGCCTTCGATCTTTTCACCCGCAAACAGCCGCTCGGCATAATACGCCACTGTAGGATGGTAATGCGTTCGGAACGGTATCTACAAATAGGAGCACGTCATTTGTAAACAAACCAACTGAAGTAGCTAATGATGATGTGATGATTATGGGGTGATTTGGTGTGTGTGTGTGTGTGTGTGTGTGTGTGTGTGTGTGTCTCACTTACCAGTTCCCACAGACAACTTGCTTCTGCATTGCTAAATCGAGGATCACGTTTCCGACCATCATATAAAGTGCTCTTTGTTTCCTTGTCCTCTGTAGCCTTCTCTTCTTCATCTGCTTTTTCCTCTTCATCCTCGTCCGGTGCATCCACGAAATGCTCGTCCTCGTCGTCTTCTTCGGGCGTTGTCAGCATTGTGCGCAGGGCGGGCTTTGAACTTAATAGCTGCAAGTTGGTTTTTGTTCCAGATAGTGTTATTAAATAAACAGGTTTAGTCAAGTTAGCAACATAAATAATAGCATGTTAACATGCAGCATCCCATATTTCCTTATACAAATAACAGACTTTACCTGATTCAATAGGAAGAATAGACCACAAATAAAAGGTGGCTGATGATGCCCTGCAATCTGGATCATACGCTTCACAAATGCCTTGACGCGGCGCATGTCCGAATCGGCTCGAACCGCCTTGAACAGCAAGTTCAAATATTGTGTTTGTTTGGATGTGATCAGTAAACGGTTGTCCAACATGGACTCGTACAGCGTGCGATAGAATCGGTCCGAAACCGTTTGTTTGGCCAGCGAAATTGTGAAAATCAACGACAAGGCCTGGACGGCTGTGTAGAATTTGCCTGCATGCGTGATCTTGAACAGAGTTTCCAGATGCTTCTCGACGCTAGAGAGCCATTGGGAAAAAAAGATTGAAATGTACACGTGTATTGCGTGCGTCCGATGGTCAGCCCAAATAAAGAAGACAAACAAAACAAATGGGAAAGAAGGAAAGAAGCCTTCCCGAATAACAATTGCACCACCACCAACAGCAGTAGCAGCAGCAACAGCAGTAGCACTTACGTTTCATCGGCAATCTTTGCAAAATGGAAGGCACGATTTACACCGGTTAGAATAGCACCCACCATCTTGACCTGAAGATCGTCGACATCCAATCCAGTATCACCGCCCTTCTTGTTGTTGTCCTCCTTTTTGCCCTTCTTGCCCTTCTTGCCCTTTTTACCGCCTTTTTTCTTCTGATCTGCCTCTGGCTCGACCTCCTGTTTCTTTAACTTTTGTTGTTCCTCTTCATTTTCAGACAGTTTCAAAATGCGTCGGAAAGAGACAAAGTAGATTTCGATGAGCTTGTTTGCGACTGCGTTTTCCTTGGCCGTCAGGATGGTCTGATTAAGCGTGATAAGCGAGTAGTACTGGGCTCGTTCAGGCGTGCCTGCACGCAACAGCAACTGCTCAATTTCTCGTACGACAATCATTTTCATGCCAGGATGTGATACGAGGAGGTCTACCAACATATGCGATGCTCTTGATCCGACTCGATTTTCAGCATCACCCAGTTTGTTGACGAGTAGCTTTAGCAAGTTTTGTTCCTGTTCGGCCTTGTTGGACAGAAGATCGTAGATGCATCGTACCATACTGTCGCGCACGTGAACCAATGGATCATGGGAGAGTGCCTAGATGTTTTATATACAGTACAACGTAAGCACACCATGCCCTACAAATCCCCAAAATGCTGTTCACACACAAACACACACTATTCTCACAAACCCCTGCAAAAAGAACATCAGCTTACCTCAATTTGTTGCACTACTTGAAAGTAAAACTTTTTCAAGTGATCCTCAAAGTACCACAACAGCAAATGACGATCCTCAACACTGGCATTGCCCAAAGGTCGATCTGCGAAATAGATCAACTTGCGATCCGGGAGCACCGAGCCACCAAACAGATCCTTTAAACTTTCCAGTGCCATGACAGCTTCTTGACGGCCCTTCTTTTTCGTCATGGTGAGCAAGGTATCCAATGTCTTTAAGCTATGCAGGGGCGATTCCTGGATCAACAATGTCAAGGCAGACACTCGATCGCTGAGGGTACCGGACGTCATAATGTTGGACACAAAGTTGCGATCGCTCGTCGACAGGCGACTGGTCATGTCAACCTTTTCGTTCTCTTGCTTCAACAAGCTTTTGGCATAACTTTTCTTTTGTGCAATCTCGTCAATAGTCAGCTCCTTATCTTTCTTTTTGTCGATTGTAAGATCGGGCAACTCGATTTCGTGCCATTGCGAGGTGGGCTCGACTAGGGCCATGGTGCTTCAACTTTTTTTTTTTTTGGTTCTGTAAAGGAACTCAACACTGGGAATTTTGTGGCTTTACACTTTGCAAAATTCCTGCGCAGAGGTACACAGCGGAGCCAAATAAAGTGCGGCCCTGACTGGACTTTCTAGCAGTAAAAGAAAATGCATACAGTTGTTTATTCCATTATTTACACTAGAGACATGTTTGCTCTACTCTAAGCTGGGTGACACTAATCCTTCAGTTCTCTTTGAAGCATATCTATCGTCGTGGAGATATACATGAGTAAAGTCATTCACATACTACACTACGAAATACTACATTATATTTCTTTTTCTTTTTGCTTTACCTTGCCACACGTCTCGTTGCTCCGAAGAATCATCTGGTGGCCCGCCTTGATGGCTATTGGTTTCACGACTAGAGCCAGGTTCTGGATCAAAAAAATAAGAATCTATATGACTGCGATCAAATGTTGGACTTCTCCTACAGAGAATAATATCAATGTTGTTCAGCAAGTTTCAAAGTCTTTTGGAGACATGATTCCAAGAATAGTAAAGGACAGAAAACACTCACAGATCGCCTGATATCACTGATCCGTTATCATCGTGACGGAAACCACTGGTAGGTGTTACAGGAGTTGCAGGTGCAGAATAGAGATTCATCAAGTTGTGTGGTCGAGACAAGCGGTGTTGATCCACGACAATGGAAGGTACTGAATATGGCGAGTATTGGTAGGTAGAATAAGTTAAACCAGCTTCATACTTTGTTGTTCCTAATGCCACTGCTACTATAAATAACTTACAGTTATGGAAAGCACGTTCAGCGTCTACAGCCTGTTGCCTCTTGTTTTGCATATGCTGTAAGAACTTTTTTCGCATAGCAATTGTTTCAATCATGCCCTTGACACGGTCAATCTTGATCAACGTCCCTACAACCTCTTCCCGTTTGCGGTTACTCAACAGCTCCTCCAGCCTATTTATGGTATAACGCATCAGTAACCCATTCATCAAATAAGGCTGAAACGGTCAAGTATTAGAGAAAAAGAAAAAAAAAGATGATGGCCTTACAGTAATGCGTTTTCGGGAATAATGAGCTTTCGCCGGGCAATCATAAGTAACATCTGGTTGAATGATACGCCTTTAGAACCTTCGGTCAGCGCCGCTTCCTAATAGGCCATCGTGGTCAATAATAGATCTTTGGGATGTTTAAAGTATAAAAGGAAAAGCGATAGATGTTTACCCAATAAAGCATGTCGAGGTCTTGTTTGCGCTGATGGATCGTAGCACGGTCAATCTCACTTAACTTCTTTTGAAGGGCACGCAGATCAACACGGATCGGGTATATGCCTTCTCTAGGATCGACAAGTCGTTCATCCAGAGCGCACTGTTGGGAAAGGTTCTTGTACGAATGCTCTGGTTCATAAATACGAGTACGGAATACACCAACAAGTTGCTACAAGTACACATAGTAAATCATCGAGAGTCAGCTCATAAATTTACCTCCTTCTATTTTGTTTTTCAATAACTACAAATGATTATAATATATTTACCCGCCAAAAGCCAATGTAATTCCTCGGATCAAGGTACCCAGACCGATCGACATCGAAATCAGCCCAAGCCTTCTTGAACGTAAATTCGCGCAAAACAAAAGCATCAATATCAGCAGTTAAAGATTGACTATCATTCTTTTCAGCGAGTTAGTATAAATGTACTCTTTCCCATTTCTGGAATAAAAGTTCGAAATAAAAAGGATATTTTCTCATTTCGTCTCGGTTGACAAGCGAAAAGTTGGATGCGATCTGATACACATAGGAGAAGTTGTCTGCCACCACGGCAACAAAGATTGCCGTGAAAATGTACATCGAGATGATGTTGTACGACAAAAATAGAAAATACGCCCAGCTGACCGAGCCGCAATCCGAGTCAAGGTAGTCCTCTGCTGCAACACACTCGGGCGCTTCGATTGTAAAGTCGTGCATGACCGTGTTCCATGCTTCGCCCGTCGAGAAGCGCACAAGCATGATCATCGTGTTGGCATAGGAGCGGAAATTGACGTGTTCGCTCGTTGCTTGGGACCCATATTTGGTCAATCCAAAAATCTCCATAAACATGATGGAGTACGTTGTCATGATGACAAACCACACCAGAAAGACGTTGAGAATTTGGTATGCTGATGCACTACATGATAGTTAGGATGGGATCCCTTGTATTAGCACTTGCCAACTGGTATCAGCTGCATAGACAAGGAATAGTAGAAACACTTGCGCAATGATCGTAAAGAGCTGGTTTAAACTATCACTCCGCTGCACAAGCTTGAAGCACAGTGCTGTCATGAATAGCTTTTGTGCCTCTACGCTGATTTGCTGGATATTTGTTCCCATCTGAAAGATGGTGGTAATTGTGCTGCCAGAGACGACAATCAAGTCGTATAAGTTCCACAAATTACGACGGAACGATTTCCAACCCAGGGCAAGGAGCTTGATTATGATTTCCAGCCAGTAGATACAAATAAATCCAAAAAAGACATAGGCTATTATTGAAAAGAGAATCAAGCTTAGTATAGCGTTCTGTGCCACTCGATGGGTTACAGTCTTACTTCTAGCAGTGGTCCAACCAGGGATTTCATCGTCGCGGTCAAACTCGGTACATAAGAACAGGATGTTCAAGGTAATTACAACGGTCATAAACTTATAAAACCGGCCACGCTTTTTGATGACTAGATCAAAACACCATTTGCGCAGTGGACTTGTTGGGATTTCCTTGGGTCGCTTTGCGGGCCGCATTCGGCCCAACAACTTCTTCAAATCGAGCCATCGACGTTGTTCCACAGTTAGATATGCCGTGCCGTTCCTGCGAGAAAAGTTCTCCAGGACAACTCCCAAGAACAGAGAGATAACCAAAACGGAGCCGACGAGATTGTACACCATGAAAAAGATACCTGTGAGCTGGCTGGCGTCTTGCTGCGGAACCTGATCTTTTCCTACAATCGACATACTGACTTCGAGCACATCGACCCAGCCTTCACCGCTGGCAATTTCAACAAGCACAAGCAGACCCTTCCAAAATGAGTCAAAACTGTAAACGTACGGGTTATCCCAAATTCGAGGTCGAAACACTTCGGTATCATCAGACATTGGCTCTTGTGTGCCCTGCATTCCTTCGTAAACGCACATCGACTTGATTGTAATATCATCGCTATCATCACTGCAGAAATAGAATAGGCCCTGGAAGAGATTCTGGCCGTAAAGCGCAAACGGGATAATGAGAAACAAGCACAGACACATGGCGTCAAAGATGTGTGGAAGGCCCTTGACCAAGATCACCGTAAACATCTCTCGTGCTGGCTTGAGTAGGTTGATCAGACGGAGTGCTCGAAGCGCCTTGAATGCACGGAAAGCACGCTCAACACCACTAGAGGATGAAAAGTCGCCAAAGTTTGACATATACAATGACACCAAAACGAACATATCCAAAATGTTCCAGCCATTCAAGAGATAGGCATTGGGAGTCATAAAGAAGCCATCAGCGATCACCTTAATGATGAACTCGACTGTAAAGATAAAGGTAAAAGTATAGTCGAGGTAGTCAAAGATGCGCAGATGGTCCGGATCGTTGCGATGCTCCAGTTGATAGACAGGCGAGTTGTAGATCGTCAAAACAACAGTCGTCAAGACAGAGCAGCAGATGATGCTAAAGAAAATCCAACTGGCTACCAAGTTGGGCTGGGTGCCAAAGAAACGTTCGCCTCGACTGGGAGGGACAAGCATCTGGCACCAGCGACGGAATCGGTTGTTGGGCGTGAATAAGTAGAGAGATTTATCGTAGGTTGGATGTGCTGCAATAAAGTCCTGGCGCAGGATTTTTCGTTCTTCCGCATCGTACAAGTATGCTTCTGCGAGTTCTAATGCAGAAGAATCTTTGCTGGCAGAGGATGACTGGATCATGGTGCGCAATGAGTTCTGCTCGTGACCAGCTCCTTTTCGTGTGTCATAAAATGTATGGAAATGGTCTAAAGGATTACGGTCGTCCAGGTTCATACTTTTACGTGTGCTGCTGTTAAGCGGAAGAGGTCGCTGTGCAGGTCGATGGAATAGGGTACCGAAAAATCCACGCACCCGAGAAAAGCGTTTAATATTCTCATCCGGACCATCTTCAAATTCGTCTGGCGTAGTGTGGCTTTCATCGTTGTGTTGTTCGCTGAGGTAAATCCCATCGTCGTTCATGAACTCACGCATTGTGTTCTTCTTGGCATGTAGGACCAAGTTGGCCGGCATGTTCTTGACTTCCATGCCTTTGGGATGTGGTCGAAAGTAGCGATATATATTCCATCTACTTGCGACGGGATCACTATCCACCACATGCTCTGTTTTTCGCACATATTGGTCGATTTGTAGTTGTCGCTTTTCCTCTTCAGCTGTTTCAAAGTTTTCCATCAAAACTGCAATGAACATGTTGACAAGGATGACTGGATGTGTTTTTTCCCGAATAATTAGATGTGTTTCAATACATATTGTGGGATAATGATTAAAAACTTACAGTTTGAAAACATGAACCATAGCACAAGAAGTAAGGCATGGATTGCAGCAGTTTTCGATGGTGCACCTGCTTCCATGGTTGCATATAGAACGGTTGTCCAATCTTCGCCCGAAAAGAGCTATTTGGCGGAATTAGATCTGATTTATAAAATCATGCAATTCCAATAATCCATGAAAAATAACATACCTGGTTCAACGCAGCAAAAGAGTTATAAATAGAGAAAAACCGCATATTTTCATCACTGTCGTTAAGCAGACCTTCAAACAATTGGAATGACTAATTGAAAGACATGAGTTAGCATGGCAATGTGATATAACAAAGCATCTAAATCTGCATCTTCTTACCATGATAGCACCAAACAGCGTAGCCAATATAATGAAGAACACCAAATTGAACAAACCCCATACGCTGCCAAGTACACGTAGCTAGACAAGAGAGCAATGTCATTAAGACCCATCATTCTGTACATATTCAAAGCTAGCAGAAAAAAAGAGCTTACACCAAGAGTTCGCACGCGCGGAAATATAACAATGACTCGGTAGATACGAAGAACCTGGAAGCCTGTCAACCACGCATATACAGGTTGATTGTCGTGAACTGGCGGAATTCGGATGATACAGGTGACAATAGCTATGAAGAGATCCATTTTGTTTGACTTGGAGTCGAAAAACGTGCCCCATCGTGGCCAAGAGCTTGCGAACCGTATGATGATTTCAAGTAGAAATGCAATGGAAAAGCCAAGCTCCGCACGATCTAGGTAAACCCGCTTGAGTGTTCGTTTCTCAAATTTCCATGGAGGCACAGTTCCTATTTACCTATGATTGCCAGCTGATCAACTGTCATGTCATTATTTTTCCAACCCATCACAATCAAGTCAGCAATGACTAGAAACGTCCAAAAAGGTTTCGTCAATTTGACAAACTCGACAAGGAGCACTCGATTGTTCTTTTGTTTTTTGGTGCCTTGACCAATAGACCATCCTTCAGCAGCATCCGCCAGCACTGGCTTTTTCCTGTAAAGGTAGTATGTCTTAAAGGATTATCCAAAAATAAAATTTGCATGAATTGTCACACGTACTTGGATGATGTAAATGCAGAATGCTGAGAATCTTCTCGAATTTTGGCAAACATTTCGTTGATCACAGCAACGAAGAGGTTGATCAACCAATAATTCATAATGATGACGCTGACTATGAAATAGAGACACACTATAAAGTATTCAGAGTCCATCATGTTGTACATTGGCTCGGTCCATGTCTGGTCTGAATTGGTGTTTTAAAAACCGTATAAGTATATTGATAATAGTGCTTTCCCTTTGTATAATTGTGGTCCTTACTTCCAGCAATAATGATTACGATCAGCATGGAGCTGAAAATGTTGTCAAAACTGATCGTTCCGCCAGATGGATTTTCCGTTTCCTGCCATGATCGTTTCCATATCAGACCTATCAGACTTTAATTTTCGATACTACCCATCTCTTCGGACTAACCTTGCAGACGAGACCCTCTTCACATATGAATCCTTTAGACCAAGGTCCCGGTGTATCATCCAGTAGGAGGTATGGCTTCTCGATACCATCTTCCATATAACCACCACAATACTGATTCATTATTTCCGTGTTGGATGGATCGTCTGGATCTAATTTCTCACCCCTGTTTAGTATATGTTTTCTTGCTTAGGATCCTATGAAAATTACCTGTCCAAACACAGTGGCGCAGAAAAGACCCTTTAAACGATTGTACACCGATAATGCTGTTGGATTTCTCTGTGTCAGTATATGTTTCCGTAAACAGTATATGCTGCAACGTTGATAAGCCAAATACTCACGCCAAAATCACAAAAAAGAACAGCACAAAACTTGTCACCGTCACAAGCAGGGGGCCAGCCTTTTTTAAGCTTTGAAGAATAATCCGGTTGCCATTGGTGATAAGCAGGAGTCGAAGCAGTATTAGGGTTGACAGTGCTTTGAATACCAATATTCGTCTCGTGTCTTCGACAAGAACTTCTCCTGCACTGGTAAGGCCCAGATCGACGTAGTAGCATACAACAGATATCAGATCCATGCGGTTCCAGCTGTGACGCATAAAAGCTAAAGGAGGTGGTGGGTTCTGCACGTCGTCGCTATTGTCTCGTTTTGGTGAAAAAAGAAATCCATAGACGATAATTCGCATAAGGACCCAAAGGCTAAACATAGGACACTTGATCAAAAATCACGCACGGACATTCGTAATCTCGATTTTCGAATAAAATGATACTAACGTATATGAGCAAAAGATAGCAAGGAGCACAAACTGATCCCAGGTTTGGCCCCAATATCGTGGTGGTTGTGGATCTGGATTATTTCCCCAGCCGACAGCGAGAAGCACAGCACAATGTAACGCAATGACAAACATCATGAATGGCTCGAGCCACCTAGTAGGTAATTCGGATCGGTGTTAGAACCGGCATTGTCATGCGTGTAAAACATGTCTTTACCTCCACAGTAATATACGGGCAAACAATCGACGTAATATATTTTCGGGTCCAAATAGGCCACAGGCCCTTCCGGCCAAGACAATGCCTCGTTTCCTGCTCCTCCTTACTTCAGAGTGTTGCTGTTCTTGTTCTTGACTGTCGGCCAGCGACGGGGTAACTGATTTGATTGACGGAGTAGGTGTCATTGGTATAGACTCTTCTTCAGCTACCTCGTGCTGTTGCTTGCTTATCAGGGGTATCGTTGAGGAAGAGCGATCACGCGAAAGCGGTGCATTGTCATCGTTTTGAATATTTACTACTCGTCGCGATACTTTTCGTAGCACTGTCGCTACTTTCCGCATAGACTGGTTTCGTCGTACAGGGCGATCGGCTGGCTGATCAGCGGCTGGTTCGTCACCCACGTTGGCCGTCAATCTTGCAGTGTCTGAATAGTCTGGTTCTTCGATAGCATCGTAACTAGGGATCGGTGCTTGACCTGCAAGAAGGCTGGAGGATGCAATAGATTCGGCTCGAGATGGTCGACGATGAACAAACGCAGGCGGACTATAGTCTTGCTGCTGCTGCTCCTGTTGCCGCTGAACAACGGGTCGTTCTTCGAAGGCTGCTTCAAATTCCTCTACGGGCACCGGTTTTGTTGTTATAGTAACTGTGTTCTTTCGTCGGAGGATGGAGTTGTGTCCATTACTGCTGCTGCCGCTGCTGCTGCCGTTGTTGACATTATGCTCTTTGGGAGTAAACGTCAAAAAAGCTGAATCGGTGCCCTGGTGTGGGTCTAGTTCGCCCCTGGCCTCTAAATCTCTGTATGGGTTATTAGACGAAAGTCTGGAGCCGCCGGGAGCACTTTGTTCCTGGCGGTTCGTAGACAACGACATGAGGTTGTATATGCGCTGGAGGTGGACTTCTTGTGAACGGAAATAAGGGGCTTGCCGGACTTTGCCGTGTTTGGAAATTTGAAAGGCACCGCCTGAGGCTCTGAACGGCTCGAGGACTTGTTTCACTAAAGTCTCGATATTATACATTAATTGATTGTGTGTATATTATATAATTTCGCAAATCAGAGCGTAATCTCCCCTCTCCTGTTTGAGGAAGCAAGGGGAGGGGTTACTGAACCGATGGCTTCGAATATTCACACAGGATAATGTAGTGCTGTGCATGTTGTGCCCTTCTCTGTGGACAAATCCCAGACAACGGGCAAGTTGCTAGAGTACTCTTTTTGATGCACTACACTGACTTCAGAATATGCACTATGAAGAATTTTTACCCACAAAGGTTGTTCCTCCAGCTTGTTAAGCAGCGGTGGTAGCAGCTGGCAGCAAGCAGCGTAGCCTTGTTGCAGGCGTTAAACAAGGCTGTTCATACACCATCCGTTGTTTGTATTATACGTGCGTGTTCATAGAGAAATAAACTTGCTCGTTGTATATGCGTGCATGTTTGTAGCAGGAAACGATGGCTGCTGCTGTTGGTTACCATGGCATGGTAGGCGCAGCTCTTTACTGAACCCTAATTTTAGGACACCTTCCATATCGGACTTGGCTTTTAGACTGATTGATGATTGCGATCGATTGCAGCGTCTTGATTGTGAGCTTGCTGCTCAGCTCAAGAACAGCCTTTCCATAACAATCAGCCAAAAAGACTTGGGCCATCGCGTTAAGGGGGTTTATCTCGAGAGACGTCTTTCAAAGAAGTGAGATTCATGCTTTCTCCCCAAGAACTTAAAAGAAAAAAGCGCGTGTAACACGCTATTCAAGATCCCCGACGAGATCTCGGTGGCTTAAGCGCGTCACGACATTTTTTTATCCAGCAGATTTCGTATAAAAGGCGCGTCCGAAACATTCAGAAAACTTTTCAGCTTCTTCGGCTGACGACCACTGGACCACCCTTGCCAAAGAAATAAATCCATTCTTCTTCTATTATACATTACTTCTTCCTTTCTTGTTTTTGCATTTTAAAAAAAACGCCAACGTGAGCAAACGATTATTGGTGCGTATCATGAACTTTTCTGACATAGAGGCTCTTGGAAACTTGAGAAAAGACCGGGTTGGCTAACTTTCACCCTTGGAACAAAAAAAATAAAAATAAAAAGTCGGCGACATATCCTTTCTGAAAAAAAGAAAAAAAGGAAAAACCAATCCACTCCTGTTTTGCATTTGTAAAAAAAAAAGCGGCATATCATCCATACCACATCATACACACTTCTTTTTCTGCTTCTCTTCATATTAACGCATCTTACACACACAAATGGCCTCCAATATTCCTGTACCACCCGTGGCAGCAGCTGGCACTGCACCGGCAACAGGTGTCAACACTTCTCTGATCCCGGCACCTGCTGCTAATGCGACTCCGCTTCCCATTTCTCCCCGGTCGCCTTCAGCGCCGCATCGCCCAGTGTCTGCTTTGGAGGATCCCAAAGATGCGACCACCGCCACACTGGTCTTGCAAGATGGTACTTCGTTCCAGGGTCTTTCCTTTGGCTCCGAGGCTGCAAGCATCTCGGGTGAATGTGTCTTTCAGACGGGTAAATCTTGAGAGTCTTTTTTCGTGCATCATGCAACGCAAGCGAACAAACAAGTTCGTTAGGAAAGAACAGGGTTCAGTGAGAGCTAATGGAAGCATATCTGTAAACAAACCCAGGCATGGTCGGCTATCCCGAATCACTGACGGATCCATCGTACCGTGGCCAAATCCTGGTGTTGACGTTTCCTTTGATTGGCAACTATGGCACTCCATCAAGGGAAGAGGTGGATGAGCTTGTGAAGGATATCCCCAAGTACTTTGAGTCAAGCGAGATCCACATTGCCGGTTTGATCGTCGGCAACTACTCGCCCGACTACTCTCACCATTTGGCTGCTTCGTCCCTCTCAACCTGGCTCAAGGAAAACAATGTGCCCGCCCTCTATGGCATTGATACCCGCGCATTGACCAAGAAGATCAGAATGCAGGGTGTGCTCTTGGCCAAGATCCTCTTCCCAAAGACCGCCGTCTCGGTGCTGGACTCCGCCGCCAATGCCTTGGGCTTCACATCAACCGCAAACGAGAACACCGAGAAATGGATGCAAGATTACCAGGACGTTGAATGGGTTGATCCAAACAAGCGCAACTTGGTTGCTGATGTGTCAATCAAGGAAGCCAAGGTGTACAGCCCCGACCCAGCCAAGGCCATCAAGGTTCCCTCTGGTCGCACTCTTCGCATCATGGCCGTCGATGTCGGTATGAAGTACAACCAAATCCGCTGCTTTGTGCGTCGTGGTGTCGAGCTTAAGGTCGTGCCATGGGATTATGACTTTAGCGCAGAGCCCACCGACTCGTACGATGGTCTGTTCATCTCTAACGGTCCTGGTGATCCCACCATGATCGAGACCACGTTCAACCGTCTCAGAAGCGTGCTGCAGGCCGGCAAGAAGCCCATCTTTGGTATTTGCTTGGGTCACCAGCTGCTCGCTCTCGCTGCCGGTGCTAAGACCATGAAGATGAAATACGGTAACCGTGGCCAAAACATTCCTTGTACCAGCATGATTTCTGGCCGTTGTTACATCACATCCCAGAACCATGGTTACGCAGTCGATGCCTCGTCCTTGCCAGCGGACTTTGAAGAACTGTTCGTTAATGCAAATGACGGCTCCAACGAGGGTATCATCCACAAGTCCTTGCCGGTCTTCTCGGTCCAGTTCCATCCCGAGTCGACGCCTGGTCCACGCGACACTGAATTCTTGTTCGATGTGTTCATCAGCACCGTACGGGAATGTGTCGAGCAGAACAAGCTTGTTCCCATCAAGATGCCTGGCGGTACAAAGGAGGAGAACGTCAAGAAGAACCCACGTGTGCATGTGAACAAGGTTCTGGTTTTGGGCTCCGGTGGTCTGTCGATTGGCCAGGCTGGTGAATTTGATTACTCCGGTTCGCAGGCTATCAAGGCTTTGAAGGAAGAGGGCATCTACACAATCTTGATCAACCCCAACATTGCTACCATCCAGACTTCCAAGGGTCTGGCAGACAAGGTCTACTTTTTGCCCGTCACCCCCGACTTTGTGCGCAAGGTCATCCAGTTTGAGAAGCCCGATGGTATCTTCTGTACGTTTGGTGGCCAGACTGCTCTCAATGTCGGTGTCAAGCTCAAGGACGAGTTCGCCGGCTTGGGTGTCAAGGTGCTCGGTACGCCCATCGACACTATCATCACCACCGAAGACCGTGATCTATTTGCCCAGGCCTTGTTTGAGATCGATGAAAAGTGTGCTCAGTCTGCTTCGGCTATCAATCATGAGGAGGCTCTTGCCGCTGCCAAGGAGATCGGCTACCCCGTCATTTGCCGTGCTGCCTATGCTCTCGGTGGTCTTGGCTCTGGTTTTGCAAACAACGAAGAGGAGCTTTTCGCGCTGTGCAACAAGGCTTTCGCAACCTCACCTCAGGTACTCATCGAGAAGTCCATGAAGGGCTGGAAGGAAATCGAATACGAAGTCGTCCGTGATTGCCGTGACAACTGTATCACCGTCTGTAACATGGAGAACTTTGATCCCTTGGGCATTCACACTGGTGACTCTATTGTCGTTGCTCCCTCGCAGACGTTGTCTGATGAGGATTACAACATGCTCCGTACCACTGCTGTCAATGTCATCCGCCACCTGGGTGTCGTTGGTGAATGTAACATTCAGTATGCTTTGAACCCCTTCTCCAAGGAGTACTGCATCATTGAAGTCAACGCTCGTTTGTCGCGTTCGTCCGCTCTAGCCTCCAAGGCTACAGGCTACCCACTTGCTTTTGTTGCCGCCAAGTTGGGTCTGGGCATTCCCTTGAACGAGATTTCCAACAGCGTTACCAAGGTTACCTGCGCATGCTTCGAACCTTCGCTCGATTACTGTGTTGTGAAGATTCCTCGTTGGGATTTGAAAAAGTTCAACCGTGTCAGCACCGCTCTGAGCTCTTCTATGAAATCCGTTGGTGAAGTCATGGCTATCGGTAGAACCTTTGAGGAAACCATTCAAGAGGCCATCCGTGCCATTGACTACAACTTTGTTGGTTTCAGTCCTGTAAGTTCTTGAGCGATTGTTTCTAAGTGCGGGAATAGGTTTGCAAACTCTAATTAACGCTCTTTATATAGAATGACGACGTGATTGATAATGATAACATTGATGAAGAGCTCCAGAACCCATCCGATCAGCGCTTATTTGCTATTGCTAGCGCCATGAACGCTGGTTACACCGTTGATCGCATCTGGGAGTTGACCAAGATTGACAAGTGGTTCTTGAACAAGCTTATGCGTATTTCCAACCTCGAGAAGCGCATGGAAGGATTCACCAAAGCTAACATCCCCGGCAACCTTCTTCGCTCTGCCAAGCAGCTCGGTTTCTCGGACAGACAGATCGCCAACAAGATCAACAGTAACGAGCTGGCAGTTCGTCGTCTTCGCCAGGAATATGGTGTTATGCCATTTGTTAAGCAGATCGATACTGGTAAGTCTCGAAATGAAACATTAGATAATGATGTGAAGTAAGCTGACAATGAACCTTTTGCTTAGTCGCTGCCGAATTCCCTGCTTTCACCAACTATTTGTACATGACGTACAATGCTGTGGAGCACGATGTCACCTTTGAAGATAATGGTATTATGGTGCTGGGCTCTGGTGTGTACCGTATTGGTTCGTCTGTCGAATTTGATTGGTGTGCTGTCCGAGCCATCCGTACCTTGCGCGAAAAGGGTATCAAGACAGTTATGGTCAACTACAATCCCGAGACTGTATCGACCGATTATGACGAGGCTGACAGGTTGTACTTTGAGAACATCAACTTGGAACGTGTGTTGGATATCTATGAGGTGGAGCGCTCAGGTGGTGTGATCATGTCCATGGGTGGCCAGACACCCAACAACATTGCCTTGCCCTTGTATCGCCAGAACGTCAAGGTTCTTGGTACCTCCCCTGAAATGATTGACAATGCCGAAAACCGCTACAAGTTCTCGCGTATGTGCGATCGTATTGGTGTGGATCAGCCTCTTTGGAAGGAATTGACAAGCTACGAAGAGGCACAGGAATTCTGTGATACTGCTGGCTATCCCGTGCTTGTACGTCCCTCATACGTGTTGTCTGGTGCTGCCATGAACGTCGTGTTCTCCAAGGATGACTTGAAAGCTTACCTCAAGGAAGCATCTTCCGTCTCGCGCGACCATCCTGTCGTTATTTCCAAGTACATTGAAGAAGCTAAGGAAATTGAAATGGATGCCGTTGCTGTTGATGGCAAGCTTGTCATGCACGTCATTTCCGAGCACGTCGAAAATGCTGGTGTCCACTCTGGCGATGCCACTCTTGTGTTACCTCCGCAGGATTTGGATCCTGAGACCGTGCGCAAGATCGAAAACGCTACTGCTAAGATTGGCCGTGCCTTGAATGTCACTGGTCCTTTCAATATCCAGTTTATTGCCAAGAACAACGAGATCAAGGTTATCGAGTGTAACGTCCGTGCTGCTCGCTCCTTCCCCTTCGTCTCCAAGGTGATGAACGTCGATTTGGTTGAGTTGGCCACAAATGCCATGCTGGGTCTTCCAGTCCAGGCTTATCCCAAGATTGACATTCCCAAGGATTACGTTGGCGTCAAGGTACCCCAGTTCTCCTTCAGCCGTCTTTCTGGTGCCGATCCTATTTTGGGTGTTGAAATGGCTTCGACTGGTGAAGTTGCCTGCTTTGGCAAGGACAAGTACTCAGCTTATCTCAAGGCTCTTTTGGCTACTGGATTCACGTTGCCTAAGAAGAACATTCTGTTCTCGATCGGTTCATACAAGGAAAAGCAGGAACTTTTGCCTATGGTAAAGAAGCTTCATCAGCTTGGCTATAATATTTTTGCCACTACCGGTACAGCCGACTTTATCTCCGAGCACGACATTCCGGTGAAGCACTTGGAATCACTGGATGGCGATGCTGGTGACAAGCTCAAGGCCGAATACTCTTTGCAACAACATTTGTCGAACAACTTGATTGATATGTACATCAACTTGCCGTCTCGTAACCGTTACCGCCGCCCTGCCTCGTACATGTCCAAGGGTTACCGTTCGCGCCGTATGGCTGTCGATTACTCGATTCCTCTGCTCACCAACGTGAAATGTGCCAAGGTCTTTATTGAAGCCCTCGCGCGCAACAAGGAATTCGAAGTTTCTGGTGTCGATTACAAGACGAGCCATACTTCTGCTACGTTGCCTGGTTTGTTCAACATTAGCGCCCCCATCACCACCAGCGCTGACTTTGGTTTGATGTCCAAGGCTTCCATGTGCGCCGGTTTCACTACTGTCTCTACCGTTGCTGATGACGTCCAGGATGCCCAATCGCTCGAAGCTGCTAGCTCGGTCGCTCGCAAGTCCGCATACACTGATTATCTTTTGAATATGACTGCAACTGGCAGTAATTCTCCTCAGCTCGCAGCTGCTGCTGCCGAAGTAGCCGCCGTGTACGTCAACAGTGACAAGATCGGCAACGGCGAAGTTTCCTTGTTTGACTCTGTGTTCTCTTCGTGGCCGAGCACCCACTTGATCGTCACTGAAGCTAAGGGTACTGACTTGGCCTCTATTCTCTTGTTGGCATCGCTCCACAACCGCGTTATCCACGTGACCAATGTCATGAGCAAGAATGATTTGGCTTTGATTGAGATGAGCAAGAACAAGGGTTTGGAAGTGACCTGCGACGTCGGCGTCTATTCACTGTTCTTCACCTCTGAAGAATACAACAACACCAAGTTGCTTCCTACCAAGAAGGAGCAGGAGGCTTTGTGGTCTATGATGGATGTTATCGACTGCTTCTCGGTTGGATCGACGCCTCGCAAGTTGGCTGCTGAACTTGGCCATACTGCATCAAACACTGCTGGTATCAGTGAAGCTTTGCCACTGTTGTTGGACGCTGTTTCTCAGGGCCGCTTGAAGCTCAAGGATATCTCGGATCGCATGCACGAGAACCCCCGCCGCATCTTTGGTTTGGTGTCCCAGGCTGAAGCTTCCGTGGAGATTGAGGTCGACCGTCAATATGTCTGGTCCTCCACTAAGGAATGGTCGCCGTTGGCAGGTCGCACTATCCGTGGTTCCGTACACCGTGTTGCCGTTGAAGATCGCACCTTGTACATGGATGGTACCTGCCTTGTCACTAGTGGTGATGGTCGTGATGTTTCGATCCAAGGCCAAGCTGTCAAGTCAGCTGTCAAGGAAGCTCAACAAAAGATTGAGCAGCAAGCTAGCGCATTGCCTGTACCTGAAACTGCCAATGAAATTGCTTCGCCTCGTCTTACCCCTGCCGATCCCGTCAAGTTAGCCGGTGCCCACGATCAAAACCTTGTCTCGTACCAGTCGCCTAGCTACGAAATTTCTGCTTCGCTGGCCCGCGTTATCAGCCGCTCACCATTCTATCGCAAGCACATTTTGCGCTCCAAGCAATTCGACCGCAACGACTTGCATCTTTTGTTTGGTGTTGCTCATGAAATGCGCAACTTGGTGGAACGCTATGGCTCTATCAATATTTTACAAGGGCGCGTCATGAACACAATGTTCTTTGAACCTTCGACTCGTACATCGTCCTCGTTCGAAGCTGCCATGATGCGTCTTGGTGGTCAAGTTGTATCTGTCAGTGCTACCACTTCTTCTGTCCAAAAAGGTGAATCGCTCGCAGATACTGTCCGCACATTAGGTTGCTATGGTGATGTAATCATCCTTCGTCATCCTCAGCCAGGTTCGGCTCAACTTGCCGCCAAGTACTCTAAGGTTCCCATCATCAACGCTGGTGACGGTATTGGCGAACATCCCACGCAGGCCTTCCTCGATGTGTTCACCATCCGTGAAGAACTAGGCACCGTCAATGGATTGAGTATCACTCTTGTTGGCGATTTGAAGAACGGTCGTACCGTCCACAGTTTGGTCAAGATCCTCGCCTACTATCAAGTCACCATCAATTACGTCGCACCCGAGTCTCTGTCTATGCCGAAGGAAGTCATGGAGGAGGTTGAACGCTCTGGTGTCAAGCAGAACGTCTACAACTCGCTCGATGAAATTATTGGTGAAACCGATGTGCTTTACATGACTCGTATTCAAAAGGAACGTTTCGCTTCTGAAGAAGAGTACAAGAATGTCAAGGACGCCTTCATTCTCAACAACGATGTTTTGAGCAAGGCCAAGTCGCAGATGATTGTTATGCATCCTCTCCCTCGTGTCAACGAGATTGAACCCGAAGTCGACTTTGATCAGCGTGCTGCCTACTTCCGCCAGATGCGTTATGGTCTCTATGTCCGCATGGCTCTCTTGGCCTTGGTCATGGGCACGCTTCGCGGCTAAATTTGTACATTAACTCAAAAACATATCGTATACATATAACTTTTTTTTAATTTTCTTTCCTCCTCTCCATTTCTTTATTTGTTATTATATTCTTCGTGAAAATAAACGGGTATGTTAGGTTATTTGTTGAACAGTATTAATAATGGAAATGCCATGTTTCTCTGCCCAAGAGCTCCAAACAACCTAAGATCTCACTGTTGTTCCTTGGTTGTTCTGTTATCGCTTATGCGCGACTCTTGAAATCTTGCCCCCTTACTAAATTATGTATCAACCGATAAGAAAAGAAGGATTATGTATGTAGTAAGCTGGGTACTTTATTGTTGAGTCTTAATATCCAAGACATGAAATAAAATATGATTTTTGCATGAGAGTATATAACAAGGAGGGGTGATAGTGCGTGGATTGGAAAATGAAGAGATATCAATTACTGTACAAGTTTTGGAGTGTACACAAGAATAAATGACGATAAAGAAAAGGGTGTGCGAATGAGAGGTCAAGGAAAGGCCAACATACAGGAAAAGAAAAAATTAGTACACATCAGTTGGTAGGCTAATAAACAATGTATACCGGTGGACAGTGTGAAAGAGACTCAAGGTATAACTCACCAAGTATTGAGTAATGGACCAAAGGATGACCAGACATCGGGCAACATACATGATGATTAACTTCTAGTTAGTAATCATATCTTCTATACTACTTCATGACACATGATGGTGAAGAAGAGGCCACAAAGTATAGTAAAAAGAAAGGCGTACCACCTATAATGTAATATAAACAGAGTGAACACACATGTCAGTATCATACTTAAAAGATCCTTTCCCCCTTCTTTCAAGAGAAAATCATATTTTTACTTACAGTTGGCGGGCAGCCCACGAGGTATTACGCCACATTGGGGCGACAGCCACAGCTAGACTACATAGAGCACCACACAATGATTATTAGGAAAGGATAATAACTCTGTGCAAACTGAGGTGAAAGTCTTACCAAATCCATGTCCGCTGTGGCGAAACGAAACTCTAGCGCATATGGCTAGGCTTGTGGTTGGGGCCAGGCGCCTCTGTAGGATATAGTAGCGGGAAGAATCGTTAATAACAACATCGCGATAGATAGCGGCGGGTAATGGAGAGAGAAAGCATCATGTGTGTAGCATAGAAAAAAGAATACTAACGTCGTGTACAGAGAGCGAGAGAGAGCAAGAGAAAGACAGAGAGAGCAAGAGAGCTATCAAAAAAAAACAGAAGAGGCTCGATCGTGAGTAATTAATACCACGGTCATCATCATCTTTAACACACACCATGTACACTCTTGCTTCTCTCCTCTTTTAAAGCAGTAACCGGGCGAGGCCGAGGAGGAGACGGCTATAGAAATGAAAGAAAGCAAGAGATTTGATCGTAAGTCGTCGTGATACTTCTTGACAGACATGCACACCACCACACGCACGGTCATGCGATGGATCCCGTTTCCCAAGAGTTATACGTACAGTTGATGACGAGGAGGAAGGAGAAGGAGAAAGGAGCGGAAGAGAAGAGGCCAAAGAACTATGAATGGGTGGGAACGCGTACCTTTTATATAAAAGTCGTTGTGAATAAATGGAACAATCGATTAGATTCTTGGCAATTGCGTGATTTATCTGTTGTCCAATAGCCAAACGAGCACATAGGCGATGAGGTCAACACTAAGGCAGCACGATGCATGTTTCAGTTAACAGTGCAGCAGAAAAACGATCGTTTTTCATTGACCATTCTACATTATTAGCTACAGTGTCGTCGTTCATTAAATGTATCAATATTGGTATCATTCTATAGCCACGGCTCTGCTCTACATGAATTTTTCTATGCTGAATGATGAACATAGTCAGTTTATTTAAAAAGTAAGGAAGAAGAGGGCACTGTCGCAACTGACACGAACCAACTGCATGCTTCAGATTCGATTGTTCGAGAAACAGGTTCTAGACACGGTGAAGGGGAACCTGGCATCGTCTTTTTCAGACTAGGCAATTTCCAAAGCAATATTCCGCCACAATTTATTGTCGTAACTGTACATGGTATTAGTATCATATTAAAGCCAAAGACCTGCCATTTCTATTGACAACCTATTGCTAATGTGTCATCAATGGATACAGAATGAAGGGGAAGGAGTAAAGAGTTTGACAGGACTCGTGGGAAGGCAAGTTCCCGATGCATGAATTTCCTGCAATTGCTTCCGCTGCACACAAGTACGGGAAAACATTGACGAAGAGATGACGCGTTTGTTGTAGGAAAAATGATCGTGCTACTATGTAGAGTTAGATCAACACAAAGGGGGTGTTGTCACCAATACTCGAGAGTTAATATTGGCCTGCCTCATATTACTTTATGTAGGGTGTTACTACTAAATACCGTGATGCAGCATGAGCTTATTTGACAGCTTCAGGACAGAAAAGAACACTTGAAACTGCGGACGCGAAAATCGAAAGAAATGGTGGCCAATGGTAATATCAAAAACAAGAAAGATAAGCTCCCAGACGGCAAATCCAAACGCTTGGGTGAAGAAGCACTACAGGCTTATGCCAAAGCAGTTATAGCACTACAAGCTGTGCAAGCCATTGTCCTTGACAATATGCAGCAACCAGCCCGAGGAACGATTGTCGAGAACTTCTTGAGCGATTACGACCGGGAAAATGCAGTGCGTAAAAGAAAAGAATACGAGGACCGTGGCATCAACACACTTAACGACGGATATACTTTGGATGAGCTGAAGCTCGTTTCGCGCTATCAAATTGGACGTAATACGCCTCATTATTTGCGCGACCGACTGGATTTTTTGCTCGGCCATGCGATACTAGGTCGAGGCGAGACCAAGCGTGTTATGCAGCTGCCATATTTGCTCTGTACCGAGTTCAAGGATGAAGGCCCGCACAAGTGTATTGCTCTGGTTATCACTATGAATAAGGGCAAGACCAATCAGCATGGAAGAGTCGAGTACGGATATGCCATCAGACACCGCTATGCAGAAGTTTGTCCGATCGGAGCTTTAGCATTCCACCTTTTTAGCCGCTGGCATATTGAAAACGAAGAGTTCCCGGATTTCACATCATGCAGACATTGGCACGACATACACGTCTCGAAAGGTGCCAACCGTATACACGCTATCACTTACAATACGCAAAGGATGTGTATCAAGAACCGCTCCGAGCTGTTGGTATTCGATCAAGCAAAATAACGCATATCAACCGCGGTAGTGCTCTGAGGTCGATCGCTGAACAAGATGTTTCTGACAGTGATCAACGCAGAACTGGACGTTGGGGTTCAGACACGATGATCGGATGCTACTTGACAAGTCTTCCGAAGCCAGCGATTCGTGCTTTATTTGGTTTCCATGCCAAAAAAGCTGGTGCAGTTTGGTCTACCAAGGGCTAAAATCGATCCGCCACAGAGCTTGCAACAAAACGCTTTTCCTGATATCGAGTACTCGGAAAACAAGTTCGAGACGAGAACTGCCCCAAACGATCTTACAGGTCCAAACGTTTTGTGACTCTTAAAATATTTGAATTGTTTTCATTCAGGTACATAGTCATTATTTATTATATCATATTGTTATAAAAAATCTTTAAATATTTGATATAATATTACTTTAGGACTCTGTGCTTTTGAAAAAGCTATTTATGGTTCTGCTGGTGATTACTGGTCAGTTCTGGTTATTCACCTTATAAAAATAGAAATAACCAGAACCAGAAATGACCAGATTTAACCAAGATTTTTCCCACAGTGTTTGCTTTTACTAGTAATCACTCGAAATCGTTGCCTTGACCACAACCACGCGACACATTCGGCATTACTAGTACATTTCTCTTCGTACATGCACACAGCGCCTGTTGTAAAATTTTGCAGTTGATGAAAAAGCAAAGATTTTGGAATGATTGCTGACTATACTATTTGTATTAATTGCATAAAAATAGTGACCCGAATATCTAACGACAGAAGTTACGCATCTTGCTTTACCCGCCCGTTTACGCCACTCTGCATGCCTCAATTTGCACATGGGGTGGGGCTAGTTTTGCATTTCTGGGCTAACACAGAATATGCAAATGATAGATCGTGGATTTCGTATCTGAGATACGGTTATAGTACAAGCATCATATTTTTTGCCACACTGTTCGAAGCACTTGCTATTTACAACCTATATACGTGTCTGGAGGCATATTTACAACCGTTTCGAGATGAAGCGGACGAGACAAAGGAACCGGTACATACAAAAGTTTTTGGTCTATTTAATGTGAACTCGTAAGCATTATATAAATACGTTTGTGCTCGAAACAAAATTACTTTTGCAATGACGGTGTCGTAGTACATATGTGTTTATGGAGCGCCGACATTGATGGTTGTTTAGTTGTCGTTTGCGTCATTGTCAAAACAAATATGCAATGTTAACGCTAAGCAATCAAATCGCACAATGTGAAGTCGACACACTACAAAATATATTCGTCCTTTTTCAGTAACAAAACCGTGCAATATTCTGTTATAATACAGTAGTGCCCAGATGTATGTGATCATTGTACATATTCTTGAGTAATAGCACCAAATGTCCTGCACTAGCCATGTGTTGTTAGACAGCAAACCAGACATTGGAAGCATGTCACGCTGGGATAAGTTGGAATGAAGAAAAAGGAACTTATTAGCCAGCGAGATGACCTACTTTTGGAAGCACATAGTAACACCCATGAGCATACAGTCATAAATATTACTTCACAAAAGAGAAAAGCACTGATAAGTGATCGTAAAGTGTAAGAATTGGCGAGGGATAAGTGTGATTCATTGAACTACTCTCATGACATCCGCATCACATTTTTATGATTGTGTATCCTTTGTACTTTCTTCTCGTAGCCAGTTCCTTTCGCGCCGCCCTTGTATTACGTAAAAGTAGTATTAAGTAATCGGTAGAATGAAGCAGAAAAATAATCAGTAAACAGTAGTAGTATTATACGAGGAAGCATCTACTAATCGCAGGGAGTGACTAGGATGTTCACCCCAACGTCAACACAGGCCAGTTTGATGGCCAAATCTCAAAGGTTCAAAAGTTTGTGTTTTTAAAAACTTTACTATCAAACACAATGTCTTGGGCGGGTATCATATATATGCTCAAAACAGATTGAAGGAACGTGTTAAATTGGAAAGATCGTGAATTGACACAGGGATAAAGGTCCTTTATACTGCGTTCCTTTTGCGTTTATCAGGTCATAAACATATCATAGTACATGCATGGGGCATATACAGAACAAAGATATTGCTTCTACTTGGTGTTAGAACTAGCGCTTATTAATGGTATCCGCAGCTCCTGTATTTTACATAGCGTCGATTTGGGTTAGTGTATCAACTTTCAGGCACGGACACTGGTAGATCCTTTTTTCCTTGCTTCTATTTTTGTCGCTGATTCTGCGGCGGCAGTTCAGGTACTATATTTGCCACAAAAGGAAGCGGAGCTGCCTTGCAGTTGTGAAACATTCATGCACTGCTTGGAAACGGCACCCAAGGCAATGACAGGCAACTTCTTTAAGTTCGAAAACTTCTTTCTCTATGCTCTTTTGATTAAAGGTGCACAGTAGCAATATCATAAGAGATTAGATGACGTCACAGCGGGGTTGGATTTCTGTGACGAGTTTTTTTAGCCCGTATATTTCCAGTGTTTGCTCTGCACCAAACCAACATCTCACAAAGTATACAGGACAGCAATCAACATAGTAGCCCGCGAAACGGCAACAGTATGTATAAAGAGATCTCGTAATTTTAATACTTGTTAGTACTTGGGAAATAAAAACAAACGTTAATTGCTGATGCATTTACTTTCGTTTTCAAGCATTTACAACTGGCTTTCTTGCAAAAGAAGCCCGGTTTGCTCGAAACAATGCCACTGAGCTTTGCTTCAGACAAGAGCCTTCCGAAAGTCTGGGGTACGACTCAAACTGCCCCTGATCAACTGTATAAAACGTTAGGTAAGAGACGCAGAACACTTTAAATAGTTGTTTTCTCTGATAACATGTTCTTAATTATTATTATTATTTTTTCTTTTTCATAATTGCAGGCACGCGATGCTGCTTGGGATCACTTCTTCTCTCCCTTTTACTTTTTCTTTTAGACATCTCATGTCAGCAGACTGCCCAAAGTGCGCAGCGAGTGTGCGGGTTTGAGGGTTAACCGCCTGTGGATCCGCTGTGTATGGCGGGCTGATATGAGCATGCCTAGTGGTCCAAACGTAACCGGCTCCAAGTATATGCCCTCTACGAGTATTCAGAGTAAGAGAGGACGAATCCCTACTTGTCCGGCGACCAGTGGCTGCGAATGCTTTTTTTTTTATCTATTTTTCATGAGCTCCAAGCGTGGCTAGTCCTGCATCTCTGACCGTGGCTGGCTGCTCCTGGGGCAATGTTACACCATCAAGGGATACCTTCTTCTGCTTGAGTTACTCGCGTAGTCGCGTACTCCCAAGTGGGTTTGTGGACGCTGGGGAAGGGCTCGCCTCTCAGTTAGGAACTCTCTCTGCGATCTTTATTTATTACATTCACCTTTTTTTTAACCCTCTTCTTCTTGAACGATGACGCGGTCCCGAGCAGCGGCGCGTCTTCAACTGCGAGGGCTGTTGTCTGGTGGAATTATCAACGAATAGAGCAGGTATCACGGAAAACGGGGAGGGTGGAAGGAGTGGGATGATATGCTAGTAAGACAAAAATAACGCTTGCGTGGTTTTCTCTTTTTCTTGCTGTAGCAGGAACCGCACCTTTCGACAAGTGTTACATTTGGCTGGACAAGGAAAAGTTGATGTGTACTGGGCCGCCATGCTGGCGAACGCGGGGCTAACTAAATCCGTGTCGTTAAAGTAAGCGTGTGTGCCGAGTAGTGGATGGGGTGCGGGGTAGTGTGGGCTAACACGTTCCTCATTGTGAAATCAGAAGTGATTGACTATTCCTTGATAATGCAGACGCTTGATACTTAATGCTTTCACGTCGTCAAAAAATAAATGTTTATAACTTGATGCTCTTTTAAATCTTCAAAAGCTGTGGAAAAGCCTTCAAAGTCTTCTGAAGGCTTTTATAAACAATAAACTACCATCTTGGATTTTCATACGCGTGCTTGATGTTGTCCTAGTTTTTACACGATACATTCATCTTGTTTATTATATGTATATTGAAGTGGTAGAATAAAACACATACATTAACAAACAGACATACTATCAGAACCATCTATTTCTTTAATATATTGTAAAAGTGCAAAGTGAGCGATGGTGTCGATTAGGACAAAGGTCTTAACTCTTTTGAGCGTGGATATGTTATCCGGATTAATCTAGCTTTTCTGAAAGTCTCTAGCGTCATGGGAAGCGTGTATTCAAGCTATCGGTCCCTCTTGTCCTGGATCGGTTGCCCATCTCTACTACTTAGTACCATACTATGATGACTGATCAAGGTCTTGTCAGATCTTGTGTAGAAGTCGCTATATATATCGCGACACCTTTTTAATACTGGCGCTACCGGTGTACCTGTTGATAGGCCCATTGCCCATTTACATAAGCTGAATCACCGGAAAGATTTATAGCCAGGCTTTACATAATCTTAGTGAGTTGTCTGGCCGATTGCCGTAGTGTATAATTATCTGTGTATGCTATTGGTGTTTAACCGAGTTTCTCATTATGATGTATTAGGAAGTGTTATAATGTGTGGTTGCGTCCTATATTTTCTTTTAATGAGAACTAGCAGCGAAGGGTCTACGAAAATGTATGCACGCTATTCCCAGTTGCTCTTTGTCATGTGGTTTCTAAGACTTAACAGTATATGTACAGAGATTCCCCGTTTAATTTCAACCTCAAAGGGGTTCTATAAAGTGTTGAAACTACTGAGGGTTGACACAAAGCGAGCGTGGTTCAAGCAGTGTTCTATGCTTAAAGGGGGTATAGAAAAAGGTTGAAATAACTTGAGGGTTTATCTTATTGAGAGTGAAATTGAACGGGAACCACTGTATGCAGGATCCGTTAATCATCACACCCCTTTGAATTCACACATACATTGGGAATCTTAGTTTTGAACCTAACGGGGGACCATGAATGAAACATTATATTGGAGCCTCAAAATAGTTTGGAGTTTCCTAACTTTTATATTTTCGAACGGGATAGAAAGTACAAATAAGCTTCGCCAATCGGTGGTTTGGGAGACACTGCAACCTTGTTATCATTGAATAGCACCCAGTTCTCTTCCTTGAGAACGTGCGCAACGTAATGGCCACAGTGTACGGATGTACCCTTGTGTGATACAAAGGACTTCACAGTATAATTGAATGGAGGGTTTGCATCTAATCACAATTTCAAAGTGAGTCGAATCCAATAGCTTTAAAATTTAGTGGTCTAATTTTCTTACCTCCAGGGGTATCCTTTGTGGCAGATTCTTCCGATTCTTCTCCTGTTTCGTCTGGATGACTAAAAAGCCAGTCAAGGGCTCGTTGTGGATCATTGCTCTAAACAAAAACATCGCAATGAGTAACTTTGGAGAAACCAATGTATATACAGAACATACCGTTTCCTTCAATGCCTTTTTTGCCTGAAGAGGTGAAAATCCCATTTCGCACAAGAGGCCGATCTGCTCGTCAGAAGCTGCTGATGCATTGGCACCACCTTCGCTTGGCAAAGGATCATCGATACCTGGGTCTTCCATATGTTCAAATAACCAGTTCATTGCAATCTCTGCACCGTTATTGCCGGTGTTCAATAGCGCCCGTTTACATCGGTTTTCGGGGAAGCCCATAGTCGTGAGCTGTTCCACAGCAGCTTGGTCCAAAGCCGGTTCTATTCTTGGAGCATAAGTAACATAGACGTAGTGTTTACCTGAAATTTGTTGTATAACAGTGACTAACCTGCCGCAGCTGGTGCATCTGCTGGCAACAGCTCTTCACCGATTTGCTGACCGGTGCCCATATACTTGTCAAAATTCAGCTGCCCTTCTGGGAATTTGATCTCCACTCCTAATCACGAGAAAAAAAAGGAATCATGAGTGAACAATGCCGCATATAAACCATAGCTCATGAACAGATACTTACTGAGTTTTCGTGGGACCCAATCAACAAATGCAAAGCGTCGAGCATGTACTACCAGCACTTGTGGGAAGGTGCCAAACTTTACGGACCTAATTAATAAAGATTTAGCAACACATCCTACACTTGCTCACGCGATTATGACAAACACTTGTGGGCAACTTACTTGTGTGCCGTAGTCTTTTCATTACAGCTGGGGCAGTTGTAACCTTCAACAAGCTCTTCTGCGACAAAGGTATCCATGCATTCATAGAAATCCACAGGCTCATAGGCATCTTCGCCAACTTGTTTTGCAGGCACACCCACGGAGATACTGTTAGCATTGTCAGTCTGGTATCGCACCTTCTTACACTTGCCGCATTGCAAACGTTGCTCGAGAGCAAACTCAAACTGCGATGTTGGATCGGATGTCTTGGTTGCATGTTCCTTCTGTGTGATTGTCTTGGTAAGGTATTGGAAGAACTCGTATGCATCCTGTTGGCGCATCGTGGAAAACTCTTCGTGTCCCTTGCCAACGAGAGCCTTGAACATGCCCGGTGCAATACCGTCCTGCGAAGGTACTTGTTCATCAGATTTCTTTGGGTTTGGCTGAGAATATCTTCCAGACAGCATGCCATCAGCAAGCTTGTGAAGCTGACAATGCCAGCAGTTGGCGGGTTCATTGGTGCATGTCTTGGCATGATCAGCAAGTTGGACGCTGTAACGCTCCTGAAAAGCGTCGATGTCAAATACTGCTTGAAGCACGGATGCCATGTAGCAGCTATAGAAAGTAGAAACGTAAACATAATGAGTTATTTGCATGGAGAGATGTGTCGAAAATAGTCTTTGGGTTGATACCAACCTATTTCCGAGGTTCTTGAGGCCAGTGTAACCAGGTCCAAATTTGGGTTCCAGTTGCTTGCCATCTTCGGTCGTCATGCTAAAATCGAAATTGAGGTTCTGTTCCAATTGCTGATCAAGACAACAAAAAACAATGGAGTAAGGTTAGTACTTGTCACGTTTGCGTGGCCACCAGCAACAAAGTCATCGTAACATACCAGTTCTGTCATGCTTTTTTCCGTCTTCATTTGCTGAGAAACGTTGATACCCCAATTGGCAAGGTGAGTCGATAAGTCATTATCAAGACGAGCATCGTTACAGATATAGCAATAGATATCTACGTAAACAAATCCAAGTTAATCACAAAAACTATTTCGCCATGTCGTCATCTTTATTCAAATAGTATTGATCTTTACCTGCTGTGCCTTCAGGAGTAATTGTACCCAACTTGCATGACACGCCGTGGCCCGTTTTCTCATAGTGCTCCAAGGCATGGTTATTGCCGCCAGATCCATCATAGTGTCTTCGACCACATCCAAGACTACCACACGCCAAACACAACCACAGATTCTCCTTGAGGTCACAGTCTGCACAATGGGCCAAAGATTTCTGTTCCAGCTTCTTTGGAGGATCTTGCACTAAACAGAGCGTGTGTTCACATGCCGTGATTTCTTCTTCCCATGCCTTGACTTCGGATTGCTTTGCTGAAGACATGGCAGACATAATGGCATCTGCGACAGCCGAAATCTGCTTTTTATCATGATATATTAATATCCTTTAGCAACTTGACGATCGCTTTATAAGTAAAAAGCGGCCAGCTCAATTCTTATTACCTCAGGTGTACAATCCTTGGCACACTCGGCACCTTGGCACGCATAGCAGCGGATCTTGAGCGAGTGGTCATACTTCACTTCCTCATCCTCGGGAACAATTGCAAGTTTGCTGATCTTTTGTGGAGGTGGTGTACCATCGTCTGGCTAAAGGTAATGTCAGCTTGATCTATTTCGATCTGTTTCCCTAAACTTACGCGTTTCACCTTGTCCACGACTGTACGGCGGATGTTAAGCGCCAGAGGATGTCCTGTCAGATTGAAGTGGTTTCGTGCATGGTCTCTAGCCGGATCAACACAGCCTCCGTTGAAGCAGGTCAAGCACACGTCAATGCCCTCGGATCCGTCCTGTAAATCTGCGCGATTAGTAATAGTTATAGTCGTGCCGCGTATTTCACCAAACCTTGTGTAAAGCAGGTCCCTTCCTCTCTCATTTCTAGAGAAGAAAAGAGAAACTTACTTGGCTATCAAAGCATTGAGTGCATTCTTCTTTATGGACTTGTGTATAAGCGCTGGGGGCTGTCAGTTTAGTGGTGGTAACATGTGTGCAAGCCATAGTAAACAAAGCAAAGAGAAGCGTCAAGCGAGCAGGACACACGCACGCTGGGTTGGTTTGTAATTGCGTTGTCGTCTTCGATTTCCTTTTATGGTTGCAAGGTTCACATGATGAGTGCTTGTTTTATGCTTGATTGAACGAAACAATGCGCAACTTTCTTCTCATATATAATGGACTATGATTCGAGTAGCATCTCGCTATTTTTATGGAAACCTCTCTCTTCTCACACTACTACCACCACTTCGCTAGAATATCATCATGTTTGGCATACTCATCGGTCTATACTTTTACTATTTATTCTTGCGCAATCCTTACCAACCAGTGCTCCAAACGTACGGGATTTGTGTATCGGTGCAGATTGGGATAGCCATTGTAATATGCATATGGTATTATTATCCGTTACACTTCTTCACCACCTTGTTTTTGGTGACAACACTTACTCTTGTGTATCATCCCCGTTTCAAACCACTTCGCTACGAACTTGTTCTTCCTGCTCCAGGTACTTTGTCCATACTATGTACTACTGCCGTACTTCTCTAAATATCAAAATCAATGAATATGTAAGATGATAGCAATTCATTAATATTATAATAACCCAGATCGTCCAATAGAGATACACCTACTGCGAGAACAATCGGGATGCGACTATCATCCACGGCATACTGGTCGACAGCGACATCGATGGTCGGCTACTACTACACAGAATCCTGGTCAAGCTCTCTTCCGCCATGTGGAAACAACGCCACCATTCGAGCTCCCCTGTGACGTATTCGGTCCAGAAATTCCCAGTTGGTATCATCATGGACCAATTGCTGCAGACGAACAATACAGCATACAAACACCAACAGAGACTTTTCTCATGCATGAAGATAGCTCCGAACCTTGTGATGATAAGGTTGAATATGAATATAATCTGCCTGCGATGGGCTGCATCGAGGTTGGCATGGATTTTGGTAACGCATCCCACCCAAATTTCATACCTTATTCACAGTTGTATGGCACTTTCCTCCCACAAGAGGAAGATAGACTACTAGTAGAGTTAGACTTCGTCATGAGTGAAGAGGATAGCTGCTACAATATCAATGAATACGAGCCCCGACTCAATCGTGAGCTATTGTTAATTTTTATACAGAATTTCATTCGTCATGTAAATAGTTTTCTATGATATCAACATGTAAACAATAACTACTCATCGTTTAGCATACAAGTGCGTTGCCATTATCCAACTTTTACTATTTTAAGATATCAATGAAATAATCATTAATGAGTGTTTTTCCGCGATTACGATATCTGGTTTACATCAGTATCCCAAAAAAAAAGAGATACGGTTGCTTCTTTATGATGCCTAATGTAATAACCGCCCTTGTCTAGCAAAAAAAGTATGAGAACTTTGACGACGATCTTTCATGGTTTTTAAGGTCCTTTTAATTCGTCTGTCACTTACTTTAGATAGCAATTATGCATTCAACATTTTTGTTCATACATATACACAATATTTATTCGAAGTGGCAGATGTCATCAAGCTGAGCAAAGAAATCCAAGTACAAATGAATATAAATTGGAATAAAAGATCGGTAAGATTGATGTCAACTGATGATACCCTTGCTAGCTCCAAAAAAAAAAGAACACCCAAGCGGATTTCCAGATAGAAGTAATTTATTTATCAGGTAAATCCAAAGAGGGTACAATTCCACCCGGTAAACATCCAATAGGTGTTGGCGTCCATTCAGTACTATTATAAAGCTGCCATGCACTGGAGCATCCCTCATCAGGATCCTAATAGCGAGATTGATTACTGATTAAGTACTACAAACATAAGTATCTCCTTTTTGATTTCCATACCTGTCCTCTGATACTTTGTAACTGCGAGGCAAGTTCACGTAGTTCGCCTTCCATATCAATGTCCATTGGAATATGCTCAGTGCTAGCATCACTATCATTGACCTAAAAACCAATTTCCTGTTACTACAATATCGTGATATCTTATTTCCCAGTCCTTTATGTGTATATCTCTACCTTCTTTATGCTGCTGCTAGTATAATTGCTAAGAATTCTACCGATGGCATCGATGACAGGTTTTAAAGAAAAGAATGGTTCATCGGACTCAGCCTCGGCAATAGCTTGAAGAACAATTCTCGTACTATTATATTACAGGGAAAAAGATCTTTTCAGAAACAATCCTACAATATACCGATGTACACTATGCATGACTTACAAATAATTTGGGCTGCGCAGACATCCTTCCACTATGTCCTCTAAATCAACACCGACGAAGATGGGATTCTCTTCCTCTTTCGAAAAGTCGTGGTATATGATATGTTTTAACCAATATGCTATGGCAATCATCGATTAGTATTTATAATATGTAAGCGTCATAAAGTTTCATCATTCTTACCGATGGTCAGCATATAACTTTTGCTCTTTAGTACTTCGCTCCTTTGAAGTGATGATCCATGGTTCTCCTAATCAATACGTGATATTAGACTTCCAACATCTTTATATGAAAGATATTGTTTGTACCTCAGATAGTAGATAACCAAACTCGTCGTTTAATACAAAGTCTGCGTGGTTCTAAGATGTCAGCAAAGAGTTGGGTTGCGGTTGCTTGCAGTAGTGCATCACCTACCAATTTGTGATTCGAGTCGTTCGAGCATTGCCGCCATAAGACTCACCCCAAAATCGTCGAATTTTTCACTCAATGTTTCAAGTAGTGGAATCCACATGTCTATTGATTCCTTCGGTATCGCGTTGTTTTCAAAAGCCAAGCGTTTGCTATAAAATTGAATGTTAATGAGTTCGACATAATTTATAACAACAGGAGCAAAACATATTTCAGTAATACTTTTTATCATCCGGAACAAGAAATCCTCTGTCGAGTAATACAGGAACTAGACCGCCGCGTATGTCGACTGGGGAGACAATTTGGAATAGCCTCTTCATTGCGATTTCTCTTATACGTGGCATTTGTTCGTTTCTTTTCTTGACGCCTGTTCAAACATGAGCAAAGAAGAGCGATGCATAAGAAAGAAAGCTGACAGTGTTGCACACTTACTCTTAAATTGTGTTGATGTACAATGTTTGCGATATATTTCAAATCCTCTTTGAATTTCTCGTAGTTTTCCTTCGTCGATAACTGGCTTGCGATCCGTTTCTAATGCTGGTACCCAGTAAGTCTCATGTATCCATGCAAGAGCCTGATCATAGTAGAAGTTGGATAGACGCCGATAAGCAAATGAGGTTAAATGTTAACAAGTTCGATTTAACCGAGAACAAAGTATTACAGACCTGGTTTGCTGCATCTCTTAAAAGTGCCAGTGTTGGAAGATATCCGTGTGTTGCGTCATGGCGTATCTCGACAAACCAAGCAGGCATATTGATCCTTTCAGCCATAATAGATATCGGCAACGGTCGCGCTTTGTTCTGCATAGGATCGATGGAACCGTTGACAAGTCTAACGGCGTTGTTAGTCTGTTTCACCTAACGAAGATAAAGCTAATTCATTGTAATACACACCTCACGATCGCAATAGAATAGGTGAGGCGCAGTTCCTCGCCAGAAATAGTGCAGTTTTGATGATCACGAAGTCGTAATTGAACAAACTGTAGTGTGCTCTCAATTGCTGTCGGTAAATGCTGACGTGCTTTCCAAGCCAAAACCTAGATCGATTCACAAACACGCGCGCATTCAAGTTTGACGTTTCTTAGCATAACAATTTAAAGTGCTTTTGTACACGTCTGACAACGTTGTTGGTTGCTTACGCGATCGACACCTTTCTGTATATCAGTTTTGGAATGAGAGTACAGCCAATCGTGTACTTGAGTTAATTCATCGTGAGTTCTCCACGGCACTTGTCGTAACATAATCGTCGTTGCTTTTGACGCGAGTCGAAGAAAAAGAGAACAAGCAAAAGTGGTTCCGTCTCCGGCAAATTTTAATTTTTTTGTTGTCCACTTTTTGTATACGCCAAAGTTCCTTTGCTATCGCACACAATGTCGAAACGCCTAGCTGAAGAAGACGCAGAAACTTCAATTAATACGAAACGGATACGATCCACACAAAAGGAGGGTCATGTCTCAGATTGCAACGATCCTGAATGCGAAGGCTGCGATGTTGGCGAAATCGAAATCTCATTCGTTCACAAAGACAAAGACGGCAACGATCAAACGTCTAAACCCTCAGCCCACGATCTTTTGTCCATGGCAGTGACGGAAGCGGATACAGATCAAAAAAGCGAGATTGTTCGTAGACTCTTTGACATGGCGCTAGAACAGTTTGAAAAAATCGAACCAGAAGATCGTGCTGGATACGCGACGTGTCTGGTTGAACTTGGACGAGCAATCGACGTGGAAGAAAGCTTACGAGAAGCGCTGGATATATTTCGAGGAATTGTAAAAAAGGATGCATCGGCTATGACAAGCGAACATTGGCTTACCATGGCAAAGGCTGCGACAGGATTGCTCATCCTTATCCGCAAGCGTCTTAATGGCGGTTTCGAAGAGCTATTGGAAGAACTCGAAGAGGATGCTCCTTCTGAAGAGCAGCTCAGAAAATATTCACTTAAACGAGAAGAAATCAACCTATACAAAGAAGCAGTGAATGCTACTGAAAAGGTAGATGAAAAAGAAAAATACACGGAAATACGCTGGCATGGAAAACTCGGTTGCTATTGACACCATTTTAATTCATGCAATTTTAGGCTCTCGCGTCACCGAATGATTTGCCCTCGAAAGAAGCACGATTCGCCCTGCATGATCTTCATTCCTACGCACAACTTTTGGATCATCCCCAGCACCTCGATCATGTTTCAGCAATAGCAGATGTCCTGACGCGATCCATTCAACAATTTTCGTATCATAAGGATGCAGATCTGCTAGCTCTCAAGGCATCAACTTTGATCCACAAACAAAACCTTCTTGCTGACGATGTTGAGATTCAAAAGGTAATACAATAGCGGTATATACATACACATGTGGGCACACTTGGGAAGGTGGTGCTGACAAAAGATACAGGAACTTTGCAATGAAAGTGAAAAGCTACTTTTGGATGCAAACAAGTTCTACAAGGAAGAACACAAGAACGAATATCCCCGAGGCTGGGAACTGGTATGTCAAAATGCAACTTGAAAAGGTTTCCTCTATATACTTACTCGCAAAATATATAGCTAGCAATGCTCCAATTGAACCAATCGAACCTTCTAGACGATGAAGATGAAGTTGTCAAAAAGTATGATGAAGCGGTCGAATCTTTCAAAACGGCACATAAGCTAAATCCAGGTAGGAAAAGAAGACGAACAGTTATTATCTTTTTCTTGCGGCTGAACTTATATAAATTATTCTTATAGACAATACTGAACTCGAGAATATGGTAAACATGCTTTCCGGAGAATCACAGGAAGAGGACGAGGAGGAAGGTGAAGAGGAATAACTATAAGCTACTTTCGATCCAACTCCATTCCTTGTTGATGAGGTCCATGACATTTTTGCCCTCTGTTGGTCCTTCTGCCATTTTCGCTTTGCCCTCCTTTTCCAGCTTTTGTAGGATAAGCATGATGCCTCGTGCAGCAGGCAAATGTAACGATTCTGGATAATCCTTGTACAGCATTGTAGTAACTTCCATCGACGTCCATTGCTTTCCCTCTTGTGACGTTAATAAATCCACCAATTGCTTTTCCCGAAGCTCGCGATGGCTAATGTATTCTTTAAGCTTGGCCACACCATCTTCGATCACAGGCCCATGGCCTGGATATAACCTTGTAGGGTTCAGTTCGACCAATTTGCGTAGACCGAGAAGATATTCATGCAAATCTTCAAACACAGGCGTTCCTTGGCCCAAAACACAGTCTGCGGTAAACAAGCTGTTTTCTTCCTCGAGAAAAAACGTGCAATGATCCTTGGTGTGGCCCGGAGTATGCACGACACGCAACGTCACCGAATCCGCCTTGAACACTTCCCCGTTGGACAATGGCTCAAACGGGACATCCTCCGGAAATAGACTTTGATGCTCCGAGTAGCGGTTAAGGATGGGTGCGGGAAACTTATGTACAGTGATACCGTTTTTATGCTTATTCAGCAATGACGAGCCAAGGATATCTTTAAGGCCACCAAAGTGATCAGGGTGACTATGAGTGATAATTATGTCTGAAATATAAGCATCAGGCGATATCTTCTGTAAGGATTCATGTAGGAGCGGGATGTATTCCGGAATTCCCTGGCCACTGTCGATAAGCAGTTTCTTTGCTCCCGCGCCGAGCAAATAAGTATTGGTGCCTGGAAGATCGGCAGCCCCAGCAAAGGGTGTTAATCTTTATTGCTACTAATTGCTAAAGCAAAGATTCGCATGCTATTGAATTCGTTACCTTGGAGCGTGAATTTGCCGGGATTGAGACCAAGTACCCTCCACACTGTCTTGGATAACTGAGTAAAGGTTGGCAACGATACGAGGGGCTCAACCATTTTGAAGGATGAAGTATTAGAAAGAAAGTGTTTTTCCCATGCTGTTCGGACCTGACAAATTGAAATATTGCTTTTACTTTCTTACATCAGAATTTGCTTATATGCCACTGACTACACGCTTTTCGCTGCTGTATCAAAGATGGGAATATCCGGATGTCTGTGTTCAGGTCTTTGCCCTGATGAGCCCATGATCTGGCTTTACTTTTTCTTAGCTAATTCATCGATCATTTGAAGCGTTGATGAGAATCGTTAAATTGCTTCTATCAGTTCAATAAACTGTCTTTATCAAATATCTAACATTGTCCTTTGATTAGACACCCTCGTGAATAAAAACGTCGACATATGTACTGAAAATATGGCCTTCGTCACACTATGAAGTTAAGCGATATGTAGAATACTTTGACAAGCCGAATAGCAGCCGCGTATCTGAAGCGTTTCGCACCAAGTAAACTTCTTGCTTATCAATGCTATGATATTATAAAAAAAACAAACTGTAAATAATATGCAGCGTTTGAACAGTGAAAGCTTATATTAGCGTAGTACCATTTGTCTATGCCAAAGTGATCAGGAATGTTCGTCACTCGTCAGGAACAGTCTGCTGCATTTATTATTTGTATATAGGCAAGGAATCATACATGTGCTATATTTACGAAAGAAAGCAATACTGATATCTCTTCTACTGACCTTCAGAAGAAAAGCTGGTGTGATATGACGATATTTCTGTTTGTATATGTACTATCTAAAAATATGGGTTTCTCAGGTTGACAAGTGTTCGCCTTCCTAAAGTCGGAGAACGCGTGAACTTTTGCGTTTTTTTTTTGAAACGCGTACGCTTTTCTCTCACTTGACACGGTCCGAAATATCATGGAAGATAAAGGTACGGCATACAACTTGGTTTTGCGATCAACACGTCCATGCAATAACGTTCTAATTATTTTGCTGTAGTCGAATGCCCTATTTGCAAACAGAGAATTCCCTCTAGAGAAATCAACGCTCACATTGATGCAAACTGTCCTTCTACAGCAACCACCACCACCACAGAGGCAGCCGCTGCCACTTCGACGCCTGCCACTCCAACTAAAACGCCAGTAGCTTCTAGTCCTGAACGAAGTCCAGTCAGGCTTCCCACACAACAATCTCGGCTGAATTTTGCTCAGCCGTCTGAAAAGTCTTCAGAAAGCAAATCACCAGCACATATTAGAACAAGTCCCTCCCAGGTACACATGCATAAAGCCTGACTTAAGTCCTGCTCTTATTGTTTCCATTCTCACTCTTGTCAAATTAGCCATCCAGAATGGCACCCCTATTCAGCAAGCGACCTGAACCTACGCATAATACATCCGGCAGCACTGTACAGCCCTCGCAACAACCCAAAATACAGCCTCAGCCTAGTCGCAGTAACGAACTGAAACGCCCTACAACGACTGCGATGAGCACCCGTCCCGAACCACCAAAACGAGTCAGAAGAGACGCTGCTCTGGAATCTATGCCGCTCGCTGCCAAAGGTATATATTCCCTCTTTCTCTTCTGCCATCACTGCATACAGGCACGAGATATATATGTTACTTATGATTTATGCAGTGAGACCAGTGTCCTTATCCGAGTTTGTCGGGCAAGAAGAACTTCTTGGCGATAAAGGGGTTTTACGAGCGCTTATGCAGTCAGATCGGATTCCGTCTATGATTCTTTGGTATGTCCTTCAATTCTGCTAACAGTGAACGGTACTCATCACCAACTCTATCATGTCAAAGGGGTCCACCTGGCTGTGGTAAAACCACAGTGGCAAGGATAATTTCGAAAACGACAAAATCTCGGTTTATTGAGCTCAGCGCTACCAGCCATGGAGCCGCAGATGTGAAAAAAGCATTTGAAGAAGCACGCGGTCACTTATCTTTAACGGGACAAAAAACTATCATCTTCATAGACGAGATTCACAGGTACTTATATGGCTCCCCCTAGCTAGCAAATCGGCAGGAATTGACATCAACAACTTTTGTCTTATGCCAGATTTACAAAAGCACAACAAGATCTGTTTCTTCCATACGTTGAGCAAGGCACCATCCATCTAATTGGTGCTACTACAGAAAATCCGAGGTACTGATCCAGCTATTGGTAACTGTTAGCAGCTGAAAGACATTCATTTATTAACGATTGCGCAATCCAGTTTTAAAGTCAATTCTGCCTTGTTATCACGGTGTCGTGTCTTTGTGTTAAAACGGTTGAGTGAAGAGCATCTGACCGGCATCTTGTCGAGAGCGGTACAACACTGGCGAAGTGATGGGAATATTGAAGCAAGAGATGGAAACGACGCGATAGACGAAGAAGAGCCAAAGGCATTATCCATGTTAGCAGTATACAGCGATGGTGATGGTATGCATACCGACTTTGTCAGAGTTATCAATGCGTATATTGATCCTTACATTATGTAGCACGAAATGCATTGAATACGCTCGAAATTGCGTTGAGTATATTGCCTTCGAAATCGACGCCACTCCAGGTAGAAACAGTTAAAGGTGAGAAAGGATCCTGGTCTAAATAATTTTCAAAGCTATTTACTGATTAAAGTATGTATCTAGGTGCATTTCAAAAATCACATTTGTTATACGATCGAAACGGTGAGGAACACTATAATATAATTAGTGCATTACATAAAAGTATTCGTGGAAGGTATGTCTTGCCTATTGGTTTCTGCAAGAGATTGTGTCATAGTAGCTGACAAGTTTAATACAGCGATGCAGATGCAGCTTTATACTGGTTAGGTAATATCATGCTATGCAATACACGGAAACATAAATATCAAATTTGTTGCTCACAGTCTAAAATTTATCATACAGCGCGGATGCTGGAAGCTGGTGAAGATCCCCTTTACGTCGCTCGACGGCTGGTACGATGTGCAAGTGAAGATATTGGATTAGCAGACAACGCAGCATTACCATTGGTAAACTCATACTTGAACGTATTTGAAGAAGGGATGTCTTGGTCTCGGTACTCGCTCACTCTAACACTTGCTTACAGGCTGTTTCAGCATATCAAGCATGCGAAAAAATCGGAATGCCAGAATGCGATACTATTTTGGGTAAATGACAACTTATTATGTTACTGTGACTAAGTTGTACTTTGATACTAACTATACAGTGGATCGACAGCGCATCTGGTGACTTATTTAGCAGAAACGAAAAAGAGTGTTAGGACTTACAAAGCATACAACATGGTACGGTAATATCAGATATAGATGATGTTTCCTTTTTATAAAAAATTGTTGCTGATTTAATATATACAATTAGGCAAAAGCGACTGTTCGACAACAGCCAAACTATCCAGTTCCTTTACATATCCGTAATGCACCAACTAAGCTAATGAAGGTAAATGAGGAAACATCAAGAAGAAGAGAAAAGGTGGTGATGATGAAGATCAATTGATTTCTAATATCGTGGCTGATGTAACCAGGATATTGGGTATGGGGATGGATACAAATACAATCCTGATTACGATGAGCCAGTAGACCAATTCTACATGCCGGATGAATTGAGTGATGCAAAGTTTCTCGATGCACAATAAAATGAGGAAAGCATCTTATTTGCGGCGATGTTCTTCAGCAATCCGCTTCAACTCTTGTACGCGTTGATGGATCATTTCTACTGCTGCTGTCCACACTTCTAACTCCTTTTGCTCTCCAGAAACAGATTCCCGGAAAGGAATACTTCTTGTCGCATTCATGGCAATACTGCCACTTTTTCGTAGATAGTGTGTGTTGCTTCGCAAGGACAGTTGGATATCCTGTGTAATTAGTGTAATTAATAGAGATAATTTTGTGTGTCAGTTCGATATGAATTGTCAGTTTGTGTGTTATTCCTGCCGCTGTCGTGAACATACGTTAACAAGTGTGAAGTATCGTGCTGCTAATTCTCGAAATGCAACAACCTCGTTTCGAACAACCTGATCGGCATCCTGATCTTGAGGCGAATCGTCGCAAAGTATAGCCATAGCGTCGCCAGCGCTTTCAACCAAAAGCACTAGTTTCTGCAAATTCAGGAACGTCGCGATCATAATCAGTGGTCGATTTGATAGACCTTCAATGAAATCAGCGTGCACACGCGTACCTTTTCTGCTTCATGCAGATCCTTGATGCGCAACGTGCTTTCTGCCAGATAACTGGAAATGTCCTGTTCTGGTTGCTGTTGACTCATTTTGAAGATTCAGCGGAGAGAAAAGGAGGAAGGAAACTGTCTGCTGCTACTAATTTTTATCCCTGCCCTGTCGTTGCCAGGCTAGTGAAGTTGTCTTCCTCTTTTTCTTCTCGAGAATGCTGGACATTATTTCAACATCGCTTCGATTCCTCGGATACGCAACTCTTCTTCCGTTAAGCATTGTCATTCTTGCCGACCTTGTAATATACGTATACCGACACTGTCAACAAATAATGCACAAGAACCACAGCATTAAGAACTGCTAGAATCACTCACATGACAAAAAAAGAAGGTACTTTTTCGTCCAAGGTGTTTCTCGAGAACTTGATAAAAAGTGTCTTTCTTCTTTTAAAGGCTAACACTGTCATAGCTTTCATATCATCCTCGCCCATTCTATATTACTTTATACATATGTACTTGACTAATTTCATCTAATTCATCGTCGTTCAACTCATCCTGGAACCACTGGCCTTCATAATCGAGTTTGACCTCCTTTACCCAACCACGCATCAATTTGATAGCGGGTAATCCGGCTTCCTTGAGCTGCTCCTGGAGAGATGGCAATGTGACCAACAACAGTCCTTTCCGCTTCATCGTTTCTGCTCGAATAAACTTCCATATCTCCTGTTGCACTGTCAGTTCATTAAAGAATTGAAAGACATTGTTCATGATAACCACGTCTGCTTGCTTGTTTATAAGCTCAGGCACTTGTTGGATGTCCTTGCAAACGATCTGGTATTTTTATGTTATATACGTTAAATGCCCATCCCTTGTGCGTATTATGTAATTTGTTCATTACCTCTATACGATCACCCATCTTGTACTTTTTAACCATATCTTGCTGCAGCTTGCAAAACCACTCATTAAGCTCGACGCCGATCAATTTACGTGCTTGAGTGAACAAGTAGCCCTGCATATCCATATTCGTTACAACCAGTTTTTCGTATTAGGCTCACATTCTTGTTTGAAAAATAACCTTACAGAGTATAACACAGCACCCAATCGAGATCCAATATCCACAATCACTTTATCCTTGACTTTGTTGGCAAGTGCCACCTGGTATAAGAACTGCAACTGCATGACAGAGGCTGAATGCGAGATAAAATCTATATTGGCGAGAAAATTAGCTTTTTTTTGCCTCCCTAAGGTTGATACTATGCAGTACTTACTCAGTGGCTTGACATTTCTCGATTTGCAGTCTAAGCAATAGTTTCGCGACAGCTTTCCTTTGTCACAAAGATCATCCACATCGTCTTCCGTAAATAAAAAGCCATCAACATGTACAGTGTTTTGCTCGGTGTAATCGGAAAACTAATAATATTGAATCCAACATCACTCGATAGTTAGTATATTTTTCCATTTGATTTACTGACAAAACTCGCGTACATCCTTAGTATCTGGAATAACGGTTTTCTCGCCGGGTGCTTCAGCTGAAATAGGAACACGCGATCGTAGATCCTTGACGATGCGGCCAAGTTTCTGCATTTTGTAATCGTTTACTGGTTGGAATTGACCATTATCGTCCTTCTCATATTCAATGTCTTCGTAATCATCGTCGTGGCTTTTGTGTAATTGTCGGTGATATTCCTCTGTTGATATTGTTACAAACAGTAAACAATGACCTGTCAACAGTTGCCTTGGAAACCACTTTCTTTCTTGTAATTTGAGCTAAAAAAGTACCTAGTGCCGATCGGGCAAACGAATCAAATTCATGGAGCTGTGAATCGTCAAGTTTCGAAATTAACGCGAGAAAAGAGTCCTTTGTAGACTCTAATGCCTTTGATCTGTCGTCGCTTGACATTGTGTGAAAGATGGATATAATTTTCTTCTGCTGGAACTGAAAAGTCATTTGTTTCACAGATGATGCCACCCACTCTTACTGCTGGAAAACGTTTATGCAAGCCAGATAATACACAGTGCACTACTCGATATGTCATAGAGGTTGTTCTTGGTTGCTTTCCAACACGTATTCCAGGGGCCAATTGCTGGTACTCTAGTCCCAATACTAGAAGCTAGTACAGTTTAGTAAAGTAGTAACTTCAACAAATATGACCTGCGATCATTATGCTTCCATGGAAAGCAGAGCCGCCAGAAGAGAGCTGGCTTAATCTGGGAAAGGCTATCGGATTGATCTTTACCCGTTACCGGCATGCATGGTGGCACCCATGAGAATTAGCCTTTTGTAACACATTTTATAATTAAAGGCTGGTACACTTGCATAAAACCTGGAACTTCTCTTCCACGTTTACATTATTTAGCGCTATCATCATGTCTTCTGTTGTGCCACATTACGTTCACTCCGTTGCCTCAGTCGCAAACGGCATTTTTGCGGGTCTAGGGTTGACGATCAGCACTATTTCGATACTTACATTACGCGTTGCGGGAAACCCTGTTGTCAGCTGGGTTACCACCTACAAAAGTGGATCCGTGATTGCCGTCTCGTCCATATTCGCCTCTTCCACTGCGCATTTTTACACGTACTAACTAACCAAGAGTCATCGCGCGCTTTACTGTGGCATCTTGTCGCTAGTTAACTTTCCGTATACTGTAATTTTTATGATGCGTAATAACAACCGTTTGGAAGCACTCAACAAGGATCCCGCACACGACAAGAAACAGGTTGTGTCTCTGATCGAAGAGTGGAGCAAACTCCAAAGGTTTCGTACGGCTGCTGGTATTGCAGCATTTGCATTAACAGTCTTTTAGATAGTATACAGTATATACAAATTCTCAGACGTACATAAATAAAATACTCTTTATTTCTTCTGCATTTGTTCCGCTGCCATTTGGAAAACATTGGGCTGGTTGAATTTTTCGGTAGTTTTCTTCTTAACCTTCTTGATCTTGCCACGATCGTATTCTTGGTCATACGCGTCCAGCCGCTTCCGCTTTGCCTTGGTCTTTTTAAGCGCCTTTAATCGCTCCTTTTCATTCACCACGCTACCCGTGTCTTCTTCATCCCAACGTGCAACGTTTTCCGAGAACTGTGGATGCTGTGATTTTGAAAGTAAAATTTGCTTAGCTTGTGCACTAGATCCTGACGATTCTTCGAGTTCTATCAATGCGTCCAGTTTGCTTCTCTTGGTATCCATTTTATCGTCGTGGCTCACAATAACAGCACGTGGATTGTCAGCTACTGGTCTCGCTACTACAGTATCCACACCATCGTCTTCTTTGTCATCGGCGTATTCATCTTCCTCCTCCTTCTTTTCACCGTTTTCACCAACCGAGATTACTGAATTATCCACGGTTTCCGGTGCAATAACCTCTTGTTCTTCCGCTTGCCTTTCGAATGGCTCAGCTACAAATTTGGTGGCTTTCAACCCCTTTGTTATTTGCTTCTTTGACTTGGTCTGCTGCTGCTGCTTGCTCTTTTGTTGCTTTTTGAGAGGCTCTGCGGTATAGAAAAGCATGTGAGGCTTCTGGTCAAGTACCCGCTTGACGCTAGCTTGTTGAACCTGTATCACAAAAACAGCCACAATTGCCATTAATAGCAGCCACTTTTTTTCCCTACTGATCCCCCGGCGCATATGTAACTTACCGAATCGCCGTCAAAGCAATGCCACTGTCCGTTGGGTGCTTTGACGTAAGCAACATGATGACCACCCAATAAAGAAGTCCCTTGGTGGACAATAATGGCATTGAGATGGTATATGTGTTCGACGTTTTCTTTCTCGGTTTCGGATATGTAACGTTGAATATCAAATGTTTCGCTGAATTTGACGTTTTTATCATTCTTTTTTCCATGCTCGAGTCGGTTTAAATGGATAGTGAGCACTTTAGGCGTACGGTACATTGACAATTTCCTCCGTCCCGAGCTTTCGCTCTCGCAGCTATTCACAGAATATCATGATTTTGTTGAGTTAGCAGTTTTACTTAACCAACAGCACGTTGCCATGCTCACGCTGCCATGCTTAATAGATACCTTGGGCAAAGATGCAAATTTGCTTGATGTTCTTTTAATCTTTGAGACAGGCATTTTTCCATTGTGTTGCTCTTTGTAATATCACCGGTGATGTTTAAAAATGGTTCATATGTGTTTGCTTCTTTCTTGCAGGCATCGCATACATATTTATCTTGCATGTACCCACCAAACATTTGGTGTAATGCAGTGGTTTCCTGTATCCGCTTATCAGGAGAGCTAGATTAATCGAATTAAATATTAATGGAACTGCCTACAGAGAAAAGGCGTTCTTCTTCGTTTAGTGAAAATGAGAATAGTCACCTTTTTTCAGAAAGTAGTGATTTTTGGATTTGTTTCATCATATACTCCCACACCATATATGCATTGCTTGATGTCTGACTTTCCATTTCTATAAAGAATGCTATCAGTCTTTCATCTCAATTTTATACGGTTGACATCCCCATGAGGGAAAACCTACGTTTCAATTGACCAACAAAATAGCGAGGGCTTACAGCTCCTATGTTTTGCTTAAAACATTGCGAGACATGCTCCTCTAATGCACATACAAAGCAGTAATCTTGCATAATGCCTAGGAGAGTGATAAATGTTGTCAGTTCCCACAATTTACGGGCTTTTCGCTTTCCGAGAATGGTTACTACCCTTCGATATAAAATAATCAACTTACAGTTGTTGCCATGGTACCTTGCAAACAAGTAGTTTGCAAAAATGGGTGTATATGTCAACACTTGAAGAACAGCGTTCAGTGCAGACATTCGTCCCAGATCGTCAGTCAGACCCGCACCGACTGCCCGAATGGACGACCAATTGACATTGAGCTTGTCTTTGCTAAAGAGCATCTTTTCGGGTCGCTCAAAGCCATTAGCATCCACTAGTTCTAGCTGGTCCGTGTCGGGATCGTTCGCAAATTCAGACTGGATCTTGCGATCGGTGGTGTTGATCGGTGCATACTTTCGTTTGAACAGTTCGAGTTTCTCGTCAACATAACGTGATTTTCGAAATTTAATTGCACGATTCAGTAGTGTATTTAGTGTATTTCGTTGGAGTAGTGCGTTGCTACTGTTCAGGATCTGATCTGTTTTCTTTTGCGCAGTCGTTGCCATTGGTCGACAGGGCAAATATCAAGGTTTGCTTGAAAGAACTTTTTCAACGGTTCGGTGCAGGAGTTGCAAGGCGAGCATATCGTAGCCAATCAGAATGAGAGTTGACAGCTCGTCCAATAAAAATCGTGAATAGTACAAAATCTCGACGACCTCGTATATTGGTGGGCCCCAGTGACATTATCTCACGTAGTAGTTGTGATTTGTGGTAATCTAGGACCAAACACCCACAGCATACATGAAGACTACTGGAGACACTGCGTAATCTAATATACTATTAGAGTTTTTACTACTTTAGTGTAATAAAACATGACTCCTACTATGTACCGAACGTACACCTTATAGATGGATGTCTGCGTGTTGAACAGATGTTGTACTTCCTCTTTTTATAATACTTAAGATTGCGTCTTCACCACTGCACTTTTTGGAAGACATTCGCAAGTTCTGTATTGCGCCTTCGAGTCTTGTGATTACAGTTTAATGTTGTAAATTACTCTTAGTTGTTTCGAAACTTCGTTTCAGACACCAATTTTTGTATAGCAATTTCCATCTATATGATAACAAAATGCGGTGTCTGGCTGTGACAATATCAATCAGTGTATTTTGGAGTAAATGGCAAAGAACAAACAGTTTTTATTATACACATATGATACTACAACATTCTAATTATATTGACACGCTATCCGCAGTGGCATTCTGATTAGCTTATACTTTAAACTTGGCACCCATAAAAGCACCTACTTTCGTAGCCTATATGTATGACGAGAGAAAATAAGTAAAAGATACATCTTTGTGTGTATATTGAAGGAGCATTATTACAACGTTTTTAGCTAATCATACCTGTCGTACACCTAAATCTAACATGATTTCTTCAGAACCGCCAGAAATAGCGTATGCACGGACTTCACGGTATAGTCGTTCTATCTTTTCACCTTGACCACCACGACTGTATGCTACTCATGTGGTGAAGCTTGCTTCAAGAGCGATGCTGCATCCTTCATGGACTCTTCGATGCAAACACGGGCGAAACGGTTGGCCTGGACAATGATTCCCATTCGCTCGCTGTTGAAGTTGCTATAAAATAATGAGAGTAAAGAGTAAAATTATCGCACTATTCTCGGTCGCCGCTTGTTGATACATAAGCATCCTCTTCTAAAACATTTCATTTACAACATGATGTACTTAAATCCACGATCTTGTTTGCCGATCAAATTCTCCTTTGGAGCCTAGACATCCTCAAACGTAACATAGGCTGTACCAGAGGGCCAGACATCAGAGCAGTTTAATTGGCGGGCGGTGACACCAGGCATGCTACGTTCAACCGACAAGAACAAAATACCGTCGAAATTAGGTTCACCAGTACGGCAGGCAACGGTAAAGTAATCTGCATAGACACCATTGGTGATCCACTGTGGAAAATGATGATTATCTTTGTGAGAATCTGCTCTTCCGTTGTGTACATTATCAACGAAGCAAACAATATGGAAAGTCATGCTGTTTACCTTTTTTACACCGTTTGAAATGAAGTGATTACTGTACCCATACCCTTGGCTTCAGTCTGCAAGTTGGCCACGCCAGAACCGCCAGAGGGCTCTGTGACACACAAACAAATGTTCTTGGTGCCAGCCAAACAGTTATTGACTACCTTCTTTTTCAAGTAATCAGAGCCAATGTTGACGACAGGTGGCAAACCAATACCCAAACCACCGCACAGAGCCCAGGTCACCTATGGAAAAAGCCGGTCAATATTTGGCTGTTTGACGTACACATGTAATCACAATGCTAGACGACTTACACCGCCAGAGCCACACCGAGAAAGCTCATCAAAGACGATAAGGCGATGGAAAGGATCAGTCCTTGGGTTTAACACCACCGGGTAATTCATAGGGATAAAGCTCGTTTGGAATGTTGTGTGCAATAGCACCTAGAATACCGACCTTGGCTGCCTTAACAAAAGCATCACGAGAAAGCTTTTTTGCTTCATCCCATTCGTGACAGAAGAATTGATTTTCTTAATCGACAAAATTGCGCACGGCCTTACGGACAGCACGATGAGAATCGTTATAGTAAGGGCTGTACCAATTTTGATACCTAAATGAGTACTATAAAGACCACAATAACCGGAAAACATGTTTGATTATAAACACGAGGTTCGATTACTGATAGAAACATGGTACTTACCACATGGGATCAACCAAATGGCACCATATCATCTCACCGGATGTTTCGCCAACAGTGAATGGAGGCTTGTCTTCATTTTCTTCTTATTCCTGCCGAGCCTCTTATTCGCCAGAGCCAACCTCACCGATAAGATAGTTCACAGCAATCTTTTCAAGCACGGAAGCATTATGGAACGACTCGAACTTCTTGGTTGCATCGGTACCAGATGCCTTTAAAAGGACCTTTTTACCACCTAAGACATATTTATCACAGTTTAGTGCGGATGCGCATCACTTGTTGCATGATACACATGTTCATTCGATATCATAATGTTTTCTCAGAATAGATCTACGTTACCTGGATGTTCGTAAAGTGTAAGTTCGCGAGGGAAGTCTAATTGAGAAATAGGCGGTTTTGTTGTTCCTTACCAATCGCCGGCAGTATTATGCTTTGCAACTTCCTTAACAGTGAACTTCCTGGATATGTTAAGGTTATGGAAAAGATTGCTGTTGCGTCTCAAAGACCGTTTTAAAATAAGGGGAGAAACGATGAAAGATGGCACATGAATAAAAAATGTCACTGATCTCAGCGCTTGTTCAAAAAGAGTTCTCCACGTGAAATTTTCTCCACCCATTTGTGTATCCAGGTAACCACAGGCACACAATTAGTTGCGATGGTGACATAAAGAAGAGGAACGGTATTTCATTCAAAACGCATTTTTTCTAATATAGTACATGCAAACGCGGAACAGAGAGATAGAGAAGTTGTTTGTGAGGAAAAGAAAGATACGAACAAGAGAGAAAAAGAATTAAGAGACGATGAACGGGTGAAGGGAAATGATGAAGCAGTTATTTAATCCTTGGTGACGTTGTGGATAGCCTCAGCAAGGTATTTGACGTTGCCAGAGGAGATACCGGCCATGGAGATACGGCCGTCACGGGTCAAGTAGACGTGCCAGTCATCCTTGATCTTGTCAACCTGTTCGGGGCTCAAGCCGGAGAAGCAGAACATGCCGATCTATTGTAATTTTAAAAGGCAGACAGTGCAATGTGGCTGTTAGTGATCAAGCATAGGTCGAATATAGCATGCGCAACGAATGCGCCTGCAGTATATCTTTTGTTTTGTAAGCAGCGAATGTGTCAGCTTAAACTCACCTGGTTGGTGATGTGCTCCCAGTTCTTCTTGGAGCCAAAGTCATTCTCCAAATGGCCGCGGAGTTTGGTTCTGAAAAAATTATCATGTGAGTCTATATGACACATCCTACCCAAAAAAGTTTTTGTTTTCGCGGTGCTTTCTAGTTAGTGACAGAATGCACCCTACCTCATGGTGATGATACGGTCAGCCATCAGCTTGACTTCGTCGAGCCATTCGCTCTTGAGCTCAGGGGTGTTGAGGACAGTGCTGACAAGGCGGGCACCGTGGATGGGAGGGTTGGAATACATGGGACGGATAAGGATCTTGAGCTGGGACTCGACACGTGCCTTTTCAGCTTCGTCGGCGCACGCAACGGAGAAAGCGCCTACACGCTCGCCATAGAGACCCATGTTCTTTGCGAACGATTGCGAAAGGACGAGAGGGTGGCCCTCGTCGACGAACTTGCGCAAAGCATAAGCATCGCGGTTGCAGTCACCCGAAGCGAAGCCTTGGTAGGCCATGTCAAAGAAGACAAAGTGGCCACGTTCCTGAAACGATTAATCAACCCCGAGTTAATAACTTTCTACAGATCTTCTGTACGGTGATCGATCCTAAAACTTCCTCCTTTCGTATAGCTCGTTCATCGAGTCATTATCACCCCTGTTTGTGCTCTTTTTACCTTGATGACTTGCGAGATTTCGTCCCATTGCTGCTGGGTGGGATCGACGCCTGTGGGGTTGTGAGCACAGGCGTGGAGAAGGAAGACCGAGTTCTTGGGGGCACCCTGTAGAGCGATTTGAATTGTTTAGCCAGCGTGTTACTACTATGAGCAGCTAGAGTTTCCAAGATGCAACAGTCTCTCACCTTGATGTCTTCCAACATGCCGCTAATGTTGAGACCGTTGGTCTCCTTGTCAAAGTAGGTGTACTTCTCCAAGCCGAGACCAGAGTGCTTCATGATAGGGATGTGGTTACCCCAGGTGGGGTTAGGAACGTACACGGTCTTGGCGTGGGGGTAGAAGGCGTTCAAGAAAGCAGCACCAATACGGAGGGCACCAGTACCGGAAATGCTCTGGGTGATGGCAAGCTGTACACACGTAAAATACCCCGTAGAAAAAGTTAGTGACACGATCTCCACTAATCAAGATTACAGATTATGCTATCCAAACACATACACGCTTGTCCTTGATCAAAGAGCTGTTTTCGCCATAGGCAAGCTCGCCAGCAGACTTGGTGAAGTCAGGCAAACCGGTAATGCCAGCGTATTCCTTGTCAAGACCCTTGTCCAAAAGGATTTGTTCGGCCTATTGCATATTCACACCCCATATAAGCATATGTAAGCACACTGTGACCAGAGTTTGACACGGTCCGACTTTCGCCTATTCATACCTTCTTGACGCTGGACAAGACATAGGGCTTACCGTTATCGTCACGGTAGGCGCCCACACCCAAGTTCATTTTTCTTGGGTCAGTGTCCTTCTTGAAAGCCTCGGTTACACCCAAGATAGCGTCGGGAGGACCTGGAAAAAAAAGGTGAAGGTAAAAAGTGGGAAGGTTTAGCTTCGTGTCTTCCTTTTTCTGATCGCGCAGCTGTAAGATAGACAGTGACGCCACTGTCAAGCAGAAGAATGAGATCAGCTGCTGCAAATCTACCTTGAGGGACATTGCTCCAGGTGGAGACGAAAGCACGCGAAGCCATACGGCTTGGGTTAACTGCAACACGGGTGGCGGCCGACAGCATCTTTGCTTCTTTTTTTTAGTGTGAGAAAAGTAGAGAAAGAAAGGGAAGCAAGGTTTGACCTGTCTGCCCCACTTTAAGTGCAAAAAAAAGAAAAAAGGTTTGAGCGCGTCCCGTCGGCCGATGTTCTTACCCAAGCCGCTTTTGAAAATCAGGTGCACGGCTGACAACTCCCGCGGAACCCAGTCTTTTTGCCGTTGCGGCCGGGTTGGCTGGCTGGCTGGCTGGCTTGCTGGATTTGTTTTATCTGATCAATGATTAGTGGCAAGGTTTATCTCTCACGGCTTACTCACGGGTATTTAAAAGCCTGAGTTGTTTGGGCCTTTTGGGAAATATACCCCCTCCTCCCTCCCCTCCCCTCCCCCTTGTCTAGTTGCTATCCACATTTGACGTTGGTCACCTCTTCCGCGTTCTTCTTGCCATACACACACGAGGCTTACGGAATACGATGGCTTTTCCAAAGTAGCGTGACATTGCAGGTGATTATACCCGCCGCTTTCGGGTTCCTTTTCGCACTGCTGCCCTATCAGACATTTTGCTTGCCTAAGCTTGTACCACCTTTCAAAGTACCGCGTGCGAGATCCTAGTTAATGCGACAGTCTCTCCGCACATTGTGTCGCAAATGGTTATGCCTCCGAGCAAATGAAATTGGTCGAAAATTGCAGATCCACTATATACTACTGTCGTCCAATTAGTACGTTACTTATGCCGATGCAAATAACCAAATTGTAAAACGAGTGTGGGAGTGCAACTGAGCTCTTTCCACGCTATTACTCTGTGAAGCATCGCATGCGACAATCTGCCACTGGTTCCCCCCTCCTTTATTCTTATCACTGTTTATTTCAGTTGCAAGGCAATAGTCACTTACAAGTCCGTTATTTCAGTGAGCTGTCTTCAGCGCTAACTATTAGAGACTGTATATGTGTCCATCACGGGCTGATGCTCATACTTGAGCTTGCAGCACATCTAACAGCAGGATAAAACTTCGGTCACCATCGTACGAAATATGTCGCGCCATTATATAATAGGCAACATACCCATTTTTAGAAACGGTCAAATAAACCCCGGAGGTTCCACTAGATCGAAACAGAAACGTTGAGCATTTTATTTGTTGTTATTGTCAATGTACTCCTGCCTCCTGCTTTTTATCCGGAGGTACATACGGGGAATTATATTCTTGGGCAAACGATATGGCAAGATACCGATTCGCTTTGTATTACAGACTGATTTCGCCCTCAATACGACAGCAGACACGTGTATACGCCCTACAGAAACGCCCCGTTTTACTGTTTTTCATGCATCCCCCAAGTTGTGAATCGGCCTGCTGTTCCCGATAAACCTGATTTTCTCAGCAAACACTACACGGTGTATCTTCTGGTGTCCGTTTAATAAAAGACAGACTATAATCTTGTGTAGACTATATGTCGTAGCGAGCTACAAGAGAGGAGAATACGTTACCACAGCTGATTTGTCTTCCGAATTAATGCGGCGTGTACAAAAATTTCGTTCGTGGAAGCTGAGCTTTCTTTATCTTCTGCAAAGCTTAAAACATGAGGCCAGGCGACAAATCCAAGTGGGAACCGACCAATGAAGGTTTGCAATCTGAGAAATGTGCTGTAACTCATATTCAAAAAACTCATAAAAGACATCGGTCTATTAGACATGATGGACGAAGACGATCCCATGGTGGAAGACAACACCGAAGAAGACGACGACGATTACGAATCTGCCGAACGCATTGCTGCGGAACGTTTCGGCTTTGGCGATAATCAACGCAGTCGTATGGCCATGATGCGAGGAGGCCGACAGGATCCGTTCCGTTATTCTTATACTGACGTTCTGGACGAAAAGGGCGAGCCTATGGCTGCTGCTGCACCACCCGAGAAAGTCATCCACCAGAAATTCTTCAATGGTAAGAAACGCTCTCCTTTCTACAGCTAGCGCTTACCATTATACTCGTATTTCCTTAACAACTCTGTTTAACGTTTCATGTGGAATAGCATTCGATGACGACTTTGACGATGAAGACCTTGCTTAGTTGCTGTGAACAAAAACGCACTCTATATCCACACAACAATATCACTTTGATTTGCTCTATCCCTTTCCTCACGCTTAGCTTTTTAAGAGAGTAGTGGCGCTTCTACTGTATATTCAGTGTTTCAAATCAATCTTTACAGGCAACATACTTTTGCGATTGTAAATATTGCAAACAGGCTGCGAAGGACGTTGCCCTGGACGGTGAATTAGAGGAAGTGGATGGTTGGAGAAGAAGGCGGTGGCTGTGATTTGCTAGATAGTGGATGAGAAATGGATTTGGGGATGTTAACGAGCTTTATCTATTCACCTTGAGATATGGTTTGCTCAAGACCTTGAACTAAGGAAGATGCATCACAGCTTCGCTTGAATTGAGAGCATATACTCGAAGACTTACTCTTCGTGGTTCTTAAATACTAGGTGGATATTGAGATGTTTGATAATGGAGAAGAATCAAGGTTTTATTTGCCATGATCTTGCTATGAGTTATAACCTGTGAAGTTTAAGAGTAGTACTGTAATGGTATGTACGTATGGGTCAATAGCTGTTATAATAATTGTAATATCACACGCATTGGCACTTACTAAACACGAGGACTTTTTTCCTATCCACGCTATAGTGTGATAAACTTCAGCCTTCTATGCTTTGAGGTTTTTTTGTCACAATAGCGAAATTTACATGCAACCTTTAGCCTTCTAGACGCATGAAAGTTACACTGACAACTATTATTACGGCACACGTAAAGTGGCAAAGCATTGATGCGATACAGTCGGGATTACACTCAAATACTCTACAGTGCGTCCATAAATAGTTACCCAGCACCAGCCTTTTCCCTCGAGTATTCCTCTTTTTGTTCCTGTAGCTCGATCTCGCATTCATGAACTTGTCCCGATCAACCTGGGCTTGTATTTTGTTATTGGTGCTAAGTCTGCTTCGAGCAGGCCAAGTGTACCAATCATCGATCGCCGAGTTATCAAGAGGATTAACCACCCAAGACGCTCCCATTGTACCTGAAACAACAGCACCTGATTCTCGAATTCCAGCCTACCGATTCGAAGAAGAAGAAAATGACCGAACTGTTCTAGACGACAAGAACTCAAACATTTTTTATTTCGTACAGGTTTGGATCCCGGGAATCTTGTAATCATATTCCTGCTTGCTTTTTACAACTTGCTCTCATTTACTGTATAAAAACACTAACAACTTTAAACTTACGGAAACTAAAGGTGTCGGACCTACACTTATCAAAGTACAAAGCTCAAGGCCACACCAACCATTTTCTCCAATTTATGCACTCTGTACTGCCCAATATCAAGTAAGCGGTAGTAGCAGAATTAATGAACGACTAGGATCAATGGTTGCTTATATGCACATATGCTTTAACATGAAATTTAGACCTGAATTGGTGGTCGTAACTGGTGATTTGACGGATGCCAAGGCCTCAGACGCTGTAAAAACCCAGCAATACCCGGAAGAATGGGAAATGTACAAGGCAGTGGTGGAGCAGGGCGCAGGTGGAATTCCGTGGTACGATATGCGTGGAAACCACGACGCATTTAATATTGAGTCTTGGCAATCCGAGCAGAATTTGTATCGGACTTACGGCATGAGCGCCAAGCAGATCGAAGTTGGTCAAGGCGTCTATAGCTGGCATGTGGATAAACCATTCGGCCAGTATCAATTTGTAGTTGCAGATGCAAGGTATGTATCATGGTAAAAGGAGGATTGTATGAAAAGAAACTTAGTGAACTTTGATTGAATCTAGTCCAAAGAAAGGGCCTGCTCGTCCTCTAAACTTTTTTGGTTATCTGACCTCAAAAACAATGGATCATCTCGCTTCCGCCATTATGACACCAACACGATACAATCACACGTTTGTGGTATGCGAAACTGCTAGATAGACACCAATCTCTTTTTTGTTGAAACGCTAATAATGGATGGCATATCAAGTTTTCGCATTATCCAACTACCACCATGGTATTTGGTGAATCCAGTCACGGCTATCGATACAAAGATCTGGCACAGCACATGAGTGTATATTTCTGTGGCCATTTACACCGGCTAGTAGCAGGTAAAATTGTGACAAGAAATATGATTCACGCATACCAAAGGCAGTTCTATTAATATATTAAGCTCATATTAGGGATGGGGGATGTTTTAAAATCTTATAATGCACGGACCGATTCACTCGAACTCGAACTGGCTGACATGAAAGATCACGGTGCATTCCGGATTGTCGCTATCGACAACGATCTTATCTCATTTGTTGACGCAGAGCTGCCTTTGTCGAAGATTCAAAACGGTATCCCGGCATTATCAGAGGGCAACAAAGTGAGCTGGCCTGAAAAAGTGCCAATAGCACCTATCATCGTGATCACCAATCCCAAGGATTCGCGCTATGTACTGGGAGGGAAGGAACCATACTATCGAACTCGCAGAAGCACGCATATTCGATTCCTTGTATTCTCAGAAAGTGAACCATCCCAGCTACGCGTTCGCATTACAGTGGATGGCTTGCACCATCCATTCCCTGCCAAATTCGTTGGTACCTCCGATACTCCATTGTGGGTATCGTCTTGGGAACCAAACGACTTCGATGACCGGAACCAACACACGCTGCGCATCGAAGTGACATCTAAAACCACTGATTTGACAGGCGAGTCATCAGTGGACTACCGTATGGACGATGTCCGCCTGTCTATTGGTGGAGGCTTTGGGGAATGGCTGATCGGACATCATGTGGTTACTCTAGTAAGTCGCTTATCCGTTATTAGTTCCCTTACATACACTATACCAATATAAATCACACTTTGCGAACATTGATTGTATTGAACTTGTTTTTTTATAGATAAGCGCCTTTACTATACTATCCATTATGTTTTCGCTTTTCACGCTAATGGGACCCAAAATCTACAATGATCTGGCTCGAAAGAGCGTGGACGATCTATCCTATCCATCATCTTCGACCTCCTTGCAGGACCGTATTTTGCTTACGATCCATCAAATTGACTTATATCCTACGAACGGACCCTTCCAATTTGCTCAGCGACAAATATTACTTTGGACATTACGATTTTTGAGGTTACCACGAGACCAACCATTGATTTGGTACGCAACATTTGCCATGCAGTTATGGCTTCTTTCTATGCCCTGGTTCAAGGCCGAGTTTATCCCATCTGCATCCACTGACGATAACCGGTATGGCATCTTTTATTTATGGGGGCTCGTTTTTGCAAAGGAGTGGGTCCCCCTGGCCGATACTTGGAAATTTGCCGTCATGGCGGTCAACCTGGATGTGGGCCTTTTGTATCGCTTTTTCGCCTGGCGGTGCACAAGCTCTGCTGAACTCCATTGCCTTGGATCAGAGAAAGGGCGGCGTCAAGTGCGACAAATGAACGAACGACCATGGTTCAAGGGACTGGAAATCGTTTTCTGGTTGTGGCGTACGTCTGAAACCGTTGCATTGTCCTACTTTTATGGTGGCGTATGGCCAACGCTTATACTCAATATACTGATGATTTGGCTGGTGTTTATTGGCGTCATGCTTGTGATTGGAAAGAACGGATTACTGCCTACGATTCGTAATAGACATAGTCAACGTATTGGTGTAGTCGCTAATGGTTGCCGTGCTTGTCAGAATGCTGCTCGCACCCAGTCAAGCCAACAGATTTTTGCAACAAGTAATAATCAGGAGCAGAGGCAGCAGCAGTATCCAACCAACGTGGAGCACCACGCAATGGAGGAGCATCTGCAATCGAACAGGGAGAGCGACGAGCACGTTTTGCTGGATAATTTAGATGGCGCTAGCGATCACGAAGAAAGTGGATCCACGTCTTCTCATAGTAGTGGCGTCTCTTCGTCTTCCGCAACACGACCATTGATACACAGTCGTAATAATAATAGCGGTAGCAATAGACAACGCCATGATCAAAACGATGGCAGTAATAATCGCCCAGACAACAGCGGCAGCATCAGCAGCAAGTTAGATTAAACATAGAATATGCATCGAATTTACTATGACGACGACATGACCACCTTCCTTTCCTCTGCTTCTCAAGCTCTCTATCAATCTTCTCTGTATCTCCCTCACCTCCTTAAACTTTTTTTGTTCTCTCTTCCACACTGTAACAATTTCAGCGATTATCATTGACAAACCACATTGACACAACCTACTCCGTTCTAAATGCACATACACCATCTTTCTCTCTCACTTCTTTTTTTATTCTTTACTTTACTGTCTTTTTGTTATTTTGATCCATTAAAAAACCATACCTTGCTTGACAACCACGCACAGCACACGCATCAATAATAATCCAACTAGTAGCAACCATGATGTCTGTATATAGAGACGAACGCGTCGATTCCTCCGAATCAAAGATAATACGATGGCTCAAACTGGATCAATTTGAGCCAGAACGAGCAGTGACATCGTATTTTGTGTCAACAAAAACACTATTTATGCTTCGGATTCCGCTGGTGCTTTATTCGACGATCGTCATGTGGTCGGATATTGGCACGTCCATTGCAGCCGGTGAATTCCAGCATTATTTCGCATATTTCACCCGGTTTACCTTTGTTGGTCTTCACGCCTATTTGGTGGTAAGTATACACTCGTTGGGTTTTTTTCTTGAATGTCCAGTGGACATACTCTTACCATTACCATAGCAGTAGAAGCTCGCACCCTATTATTTCCCCTTTCATGCTCTCTCTACTTGATTATCTCTCTACTTGTTCTCTATCCACATATAGTCGAACTCCTCAATTTTTCTATAACTACCATGATTCCCCTGTATAAAATAAATATCTCCCCTAATAGCGCCCCCTCACAGAATGGCTTGTTAACACCTGAACCCTGCTTATTTTACTTTTACTATTTTACCGTGTAGACAACCTTTTGCCATCATATCCAATACCTACGATGCCAGCCCATGCATCCAGCGTCGTTCTTGAACCAATCTTCGATCCTGAATTACCTTTATGTTTTCTTATATCACACTGTCGTCACATACAAGTAAAGTTTAATCATTTTTCATATTGTCTAGAAGAATGTGATCGCGCATAGACGCTGTATCTCACCTCACCCTTGTCAATAACGATATTGAAAAAACTGATTATTTCTTTTACACCCAACTTAGCGTTCTAACACCAACGGTATATTGGGCCCTATTATCAGGCGTGCTTGTCAGCAGTAAGCATTACTCTTTTCTCTGCATCTTTTATGTAAAAAAGATCAAGTTACAAAAGTGTAGGGCTTTGCGAAGAAGAGAAATGTTACTAACCTGCTCCTCCTTTCTTCACCCCTCTTTGAAATGATACTAGATAAAGAAGCAACGCCAGTGGATTGGTGGATGGCTTCATCACTTCATGCCGCAACCTTTTTCATGATGATGACCGAAGTTATTATGACGCGTATGGTTCTCCACACTCGGATGGTAGTACTCGTCTTTGGTCTTGTATTGGTGTACTTGATGCTAGCCTTTATTATCTACGCATGGTACGTAGGTTGCAGACATAAAAGAGCTAGTGTGCCTCGTAATATGATGCTGACTATTTTGGTATAGTGAAAGCTGGTGGGTATATTCATTCCTTGATTGGAGTCAAGGGCCCTCGGCTGCAATATGGTACATTGCAGTTGCAGTGTTTGTCATCCTTTGTTTTTTCCTGCAGAAAGGCATTCATGCATTACGGGACAAGATTGGGGTTAGACGCCGGATGGTTGATGACGATGAAACAATTATGCCGGCCAGCGAAGATGAAGAAAAGAAAGTGGCATATGACAGTGATAAGGTCCAGCATCTTGAGCAACCAAATGATGACAAACGGTACTATTCACAGACTTTGGTTGAAAGTAGCCTTGCCTCCCACATCACCCTTGGTGCATCGTCCACAGACAATCTTCAGCTTTGAGTATATAGTATATATAACAATGTTACGAACTCACTTTTACATATTCATATCTCCCATAATATCGCCATAAAACTAATAATAATCATCTCTATCGCTCTCGAAGGAGTACACATTTACCCACGTACAGTTATTCTTCTGCCCGCGCCCCTTATCTACCCGTTATTTTGTCGAGTTGTATTTGGTAGTATTTGTTTTCTGATGCTAAAGTAGTACAAAATGTTATTTTTGGTAATATCACTGCAGTAGCAGCTTGTAGTCTTGATGGCAAGTCGTATGTGCGGTGACCTAAAGAGATGCTTGGATTTCCAGGGCCACGACGCTGACGTTCGTATGTGCCACCGTCTTATTTATTCGCGAGGTATCGTATCAGGGGTGTGCTATGATTGGATGCTATACGTTTTCGGCATCTACGTTTGTTCGTGTGAAATATTGCGCATTCTTATTTCTTTCATTTACTGATAAGAAGCGAGCGATTCAAAGTGAAAGTCTGTATCTCTGAACGTACTTCTTTCCGTTCGTAAACCATTTGTGAGACCTTCCCAATTAGCTCACCAAGCGGAGAGATCAAACGACTTTTATATAGTGCACAGCATTGTAAACTCCTGTTTTTCTTCTCCTTTCTAAACGTTTTCTTCCAATATAAAAATAAAAAGTGACCAAAATGACAGCGTCGACACTTGCCTCCAACGGTATTGCATCTACTACCAATAAATCTACTACCAATAACAAAGATAATGCTGCTACCACAATGCGGCCTCACGGCGGCCGTCACCGTATCTTTACCGAAGAACAACGAAAAGTACGAAACCGTCAAGCACAAGCTGCCTTCCGTGAACGACGATCGCAATACACACAGACACTGGAGCAAACTATTGTGGGTCTTGAAAATATTATAGAAGAGCTTCAGGTAAATACAAGGGGATTTCAACTTTAGCTTTCCAGATCTTCTAATGTAGATTTTGTTCATATAGGAAAGCAACCGTAATACAAGTGTACGTGCAGATGTTGCTGAGCAACGATGCACTGATCTAGAAAAACATAATCAGCTACTGCACCAGTTAATAGTTACTGTTACTGCCGAAAACCAACGATTACATCATCAACAACAACAACAAAAACAGCAGCAGCAATTCTCACCGTTTATTACGGGTAAATGATATTCCCACACGTTTGCTCGCTTCCAGTTTGCCTTGAAGTTTTAACATGCTTTTTCAGTTCCAGAACCGTTTGAATCTGAATCGGGTTCAGTGGAAGAAGAGCTCAACAGAACGCCACCTGCAATCACCGTAGACCCTCATACTATGAACAAGACTTTAATAGGCGAGTGTTTGTTCCAAGCTTTCTTTTCTCTTCTACACTATGTGAAAAAAAGAACCATGATCCTAGGCGGATACCCTTCATTTATATTTTAGATATCGAACAAGATGTTTTTAGCCAATGGATCGATGGCCAAGACAACATCCTCTCTACCGCTGGCGGCCACAATAACAACATCTAGGCAAGTATTGACTACTCTTTTCTTACTTACGTTATATGCTTTTGCGAAGAAAGAACTTCTTGATCCTAGAAAGTAAGTTTTTGTTTTTGCGTACATGCAGGTCCACGGATTGCTGTTTCCGTCCGCCAGTTGTTTTTCGTTATATCGTGTACATAGAAACTTCCTCTGTTGAGAAGTCTAAGTTTTATTCTGTTCTTTTCTTTTGTTTGCTGTATATAAAAATAAATCGTCAATAAGTCAAGATAGAAATCTGGTATACTTCGTCGAAAGATGAAGTGATTAAACTACGTTTACCTTTTGGAAGTTGGAAATGAATAGCCTAAGTCAATGGATCAACAAAGTGGATCAACATAATTAGTTTGTAATGGAGTAAATCGTCGGTCAGCACGCCGTAATAGGCATGATAAGGGCATATGGTAAAAGTAAAGTCTGCAAAACTATTGATGATGACAAACAGTATGTAATATTTACACAATCTGATCGAAAACTGTAGATCAGTGATATGAAGGGTTCATCTCAACTGCAGTCTAATATATCTTGTACGACTAACAGTGAGAGATACCAGTAAGTATACAAGATGAGGTATGCATACATGTTGAACCAACAGACTTTGGTTGTGGTAAGGCTGCGATCAAATTCGCTTTCATGGATAGCTTTTGACTTTCTTCTGTCATCACCTTACAGTAAGCGCTTCGTACTGCCACTGGCTTGATTTATGAAAGTCGACAATGATTCTGCCAACAATACTGCTTCAGCTGGCAATTCACCTTCATCTTTTTCTGCGATGACCATCTTCGTATGGACTCTTTTCAATACTTTACATGTTGCTCAAGAAACGTTGACTTTCGTGCTTTCTCCTTATTTCTCTTTCGACTAGAAAACATCATTTGATATCTCACGACAATCGTGTCTGAACCTTTTCGTGCGACACGTTTTTGATAAGTCAGAGCAGAAAGTGTTTGCATTCTGGATGGTTAACTTTCGCTACCTAAATACATTCTGGACCTAATAAAAAACATGTTTCACCTTTTTAGCAATATTATATGCGGTTGCTATATGAGCTGCAAACAGTTAGTCCATCAACCCATCAGCGTAAAACATTGAATAGACAAGCACTTGCTAGTTCCTTGAACATGTATCCCTACGAAAGGCGAAGACCATTCAATACATAGAAAGTAAGTTGTGTTTTGCATACATGTAGATATAACGGAAGTTTTTTCCAGCCGTTTCCCGTTTTCATATTTGTGCGCATAGGAAATCTCTATTAACATATCTAATGGCTTTTAGCTCTACTCCTACTGTTACTACCTCTTTCATGGAAGTCCAAAAAAAGATGGAAGCTTTTATACATGCTTCTACTGTACATAAAGGTAGATATATAAGTACAAACGATATGATCGTGCTATACTATACTGCTGTACGTCGTCGCGTGCTGTTTATGGGTAAGGACGCATTTTCTTCTTCTGAAGGAGGGGTATCGTTGTTACTGCGATTTGACAGTGGGCTTTCCTCTTGATCGATCTCCTTGAGTGTTTTCTCGATCCATCGCTTGAGGAAAGGTACTTGAAAGTTGCCGATAAATAACCTGATTTGATTGCTTTTGTGAGTAATTATCGTTAAGAAAAGCGGGCGGAGGTCTTTGAATGTATTTTGAAACAGCAAACAACTTACTGAATGATGTGATACATTAGTAATGGTAAAGACAGCACGCCTACCATGCCGAAGCTTTTGTCAGAGTATAATACATTAATTAAAGGAATACCCAAACTGACGGTTTTAGTGGCTCCACAATACTATGAACAGCAGATAATGGAGGTAGATTACTCATAGTCAGATTAATGGTCGCATTAAAAGCAGCAAAACATTGTTTTCAGCTGTGAAGTTACAAATATCGGGCATGTAGTTATACAGGATCTTTTCTTTTACCATGATGGCCACTGCATCTTGACGTGAAAACCGCCACTTTTTTATTAGTCTGGGCGTGGACTTTCCTGGCCATGGAACACGCGCCAGAGCAATACATGCAGAGCAACCAAGCAAATACATGAAGATGTCGACGCCAATGATAGCAATGATATCAGCACCGCTCATTTGGTGGAATGCATTGCTGGCAACACCATCGCAGAACACAGACCAGACCATGCATAGCAGTGCCAGACTATTGATGATGGAGAAATGAAGTTTCGCAGCAAGATATTTGACTTGACGCGGGAAAAAGTAGCGGATCACTTGACCGACGACAAGTGGTAACAGAACCGTTAAGCCCAAAGTCTTGAGTACAGAAAGATAATCGACGGTGCCTCGAGTTCCCGGCGTAAAAACATTAGTATCATCACCAAAGACTAATATCATAGTATTAAGCAAGATAGGGTTATCAAGTCAATGCAGAGTTGTATTGGGTCCTAACGATTGGAAGATACAATCAACAGCCTTACCTTGCATGAGAGCAGGCGAAACAAAGATACCGAGCACGTTGCCAAGGGCAGCATTCACCAAAGCAGCGCTATCGTTACCATTGGCATTACGAGTCATGACAGCATTCGACGAAACAGTGGTACTTGTAGAAAAGGCGATCATGAAACCCTGATAGACTGACATGTCCAGATCGGCACCGACTTTGAGGAAGAAGCGCACAATACCATAAGCGAAAAAGGGCATGAATATGAAGTTCATAATTTGAACCACAAGATGCAGGCGCCATCGAAGGATCGTATGGAACATGACCTTTACTTCCAAGCCAAGTCCTGACAACAAGAAAATAATAATGACAGCACCCCATTTCACGGTGTATTGCGCTTCGATTGCACCATTTGTCTTGCCGACTTGAGGAAATGCCCAAGCAAGGCCAATGACTGTACCAAGTCCGACTAGGAACCAGTATTGTTTTAGATAGTGAATGATGATATCTGCGATTCGTCGCCATAGCTTTTTCTCGAGTGAACTTTGTTGTTGTTTCCCCTCATTGATTTTTCCTGTTACTACTTCCTGATGCTGTTGCTGACCCTGAAGCGAGATCACTGTTTCAGACTGTCTTGACGACGTCGAATCGCGACTGTCACCTTGAGCCTCTGCAGCAGCAGCAGTAGCAGTTGTCGTCGTCGTTCTTGTTGTCGTCGTCGTCGCCGTTGTTGTTGTTGTAGCAGTTGCTGTCATAAACTTCGACTGTATGTGTGAAAAATGACGTAAAGAAGGAAAAGAGATGAAGAAATCAGAGAGCGTGAGATCTCCATAGAGGTTTTCCCGCCCGAGATTGCGGGACAAACATTTTGGGTATTATGTGCGAGTGGATCGGAACATTTCGCGTGTTACGAGCGTGCCTTTCTTCCGAGTTTAAATCCGTCTTTAGAAAAATGTAAACCAGCATGCTTTTTCATTTGATGGCTTTCAGAATGATCCAGCAAAAGAACCCCGTCGCAACGATCAGCACTGCGTACAGCTGAATGAAGTGACAGTCAGATAAAAGGAACTGCGACCAGATATAGGAAGGTGGTGCATATGTTTGTTGATGCCCGTGCACTTGTTTCCAAGACTCTGCAAAGATACGAGACGAATAGGGGCATTTTACAGTTATGCAAGATGAGTGAATGATGGTTTATTGTTGTTGTTCATTTTGGGAATCGTTGAAGGTGAAATCAGTATCAAAGTTGGCAAATTCAAACCACAGCGAGTCCGATTGCTGAGAAGACGACGGAGACATAGCCGGAGATGGTGTGTTGATGATTGTTGTGGACGGCGTCAGCAATCCCATGTCACTGTGATAAAGCGATGGTGTCAGGGCATCACCGCCGGGTGAAGCCGTCCAGGTCGAAGATGGCGACAAGGAAAAGTCTTCCCAGATCGGTCCCTGCAGCGACGTTGTGGTGTCACGAAGATCGGCCTTTAGATTATCCGTCCCTGTAGTTGGTGGAAGTACACACGTCGTACAATGAAATGCGCCTTCATTGTTTAATTCATTTTCATCCAAACCAATGCATTCCAAATGAGAATACAAGTGGCACGTCTCGCATTGCACTAGCTGGTCGCTTTGATGTCTCTCGCCACACGCACAGTTAATTGGCTTGTCTGGTTTGCGCTGCTTGCAGCGATCGCGATGGTAGACAAGGCCGCCTCGATTCTTGTATTTCTTGTTACAGTTCTTGCAAATAAAAGCGCGGGAACCTGCATATATGAAAGCGTAAGTAGCGATCTTGCATGTAATATGCCACCACCACTTTGCTTAAGCCATCCCACGCGGCCCAATTGCTTAGCATACCGTCTTGCAAAGTCACTGCAGCTAATGCAGGATCTGCTGGTGTTCTGCGTTTAATTTTGCGTGGTGAATTGTGTTGTTGTTGTTGTTGTTGATCATGCTGATCATCCTTCTGCTTCAGCTCCTCTTTCCGTAATGGTGTGGATGGGAGTGGTGACGATAGCACTGCCGGAGAAGCACGAATGGGCATAGTAGGTGATACTCGCTTCAGATTGCGGGCATTACCCACGGTAACACCCCAAGGGGCCTGGTTACATTTTTTGGATAGTTTGATCTTGCGTTTCTTGCCAATAAATCCAGTCGGCCAGATAGAACACTCCTCTGAACTCTTTAACTGCTGATATAATACATCTGTACCACGGCCTTCTGCTTCCAGCGCTGCAATAACTCGAAACTTGGCCTGCGAAAGTCGCACCTTGAGTAGTTCGCTCAAGTTTTTGACCTTGTCATGTGACAGATCACCTAGTGAAGGAGCACCCGGCCAAATATCAAAGCATGTCTGATATAATGACGATAGACAATGTTGCTGCGCTGTAGTGTTCGTTATAGTCGCAGCGTCAGTAACGGCAGAAGTAGTAGGCATAAAGTTGAGAGAAGGTGGTATTTCAGTATTGTCAGGTTGGACGCGCAGTCGCTTTCGTGGTGAAGGCTTGTACGCGATTGGCAATGCCGGTTTTGAGGGTTGAGTAGGGTCGATTCGACGACTCAGCAGCCGCAGTTGCTCTGGAGACAACGGCGCCCTCTTTTTACGCTTGCCAGGAAGGGTCTTGCCACCTACGCAGGGATGACAATTCTCAGCTTCAAGAGGTTTAACACGGCTTCGTGCTGCGCTTGCCATTAGCCGATCGCGTTGACCGTGGTAATTGTCAAGAGATCCAAGGACAGAAGACGTTGGTTTTCTATGGAACAGGCAGGTGTGAATAAACTCTCTTTCTCAGACGTACACACAGCCCACAGAATGAGAAAGAAGTTTAGTTGATTTACTTTGATAGAGCCAAGGGTGGGATGCTGAACGTCCACCCGTTGTCCATTGTGTGTATGTGGTTCCTGTCGCGTAAAAGAAGGAACAAGGAATAAAAACTTTGCTTGCGGAACAGCGGGCTTCTTGACGGAAAGGGTTTTCTTTCAAGGCCGCAAACTCGCCACGTCACTCTCGCACTACATGCTGGTCTTTCTCTATTTCATCAGCAGATATATGTGCATTTTGTTTACAGCTTTAGCTGCAGATTATGTGATTGAATGCAAATGACTGTATAAAGGAGGTTGTGGTTGGAGGGGAGGAAGAGCGCTTCAAAAAGATCACAACTCACGGTGACAAATGTGTAGATAACAGTAGCAGTATATTTGATGTGAAAGATGCAAAAGGGGTACAAATAAATAGTGGTACAGAGATATATTGAAAAGTGGAGGAAAGCAAGGGCTGTTGTCGATGTGGAGGGTAATGGTGATGATGCTAATACGTATATTTGCTACAATATATTCAGATGGTTTTATGGATGTTGAGATAAGGATACAGGACGAGAGGGTGGAGGAGGAGGATTACTGTTTCGTGGCTTACTACCGCTAGTAGTAGCGTTATAAGAAGATGTAGCAGTGCTGGTGGTAGATGGTGAAGAAGACGTGGACGGCCGTGGTGGCGGTCGTAACGGGGTAGATATCCTGTTGCTGCTGTTCTCGTCATGCTGTTGTTGCTGGTCATAAGCATTATTCCAATAAATAGTAATTTCGCCGTCGCCAATGTTTCTGCTATCTGTCGTTGGGGTATTTGAAAGATGACGAGTACCCGCGACTGCACTGGAGGTATCATTGCTACTATTAGAAGCGATCACGGGAGTACCAGTAGTAGGAGTTGCAGCCATTGATTCAATGAGGGCGCTATGTCGGTCATGGAAAGGGTCGTCTTCAGATCGTGGGCTCCCTCTGTTCATAACCACGCTTTTGTTTACAGTTGCTTCAATAAGACTTGGATCGGTATTGATGATTGTTGTAGGGCGCGGCTGCTGTTGATGACGTTGCTGTATCATAGATGAACGTTGTTGAGCTGTTGGTCGAGGTGTCCTATTAGTCAATAGCCGACGGGCAGGGGCTGTGTTGGATCTAGAGAGATGGACCACACTTCCTGCTTCACTGCCGTCGTCGCGAGTAAGAACTGTGCGCACTGACCCACTGCGGCTGAGACCCGTGCTGCCACCGCCTAAACTACTCGAGGTACCATTTCCCTCGGTATCGCTGACTAGCACTTGGTTAACACGCATGATCTGTGGTCGAGCACGTTGGACTTGTACAGCATAGGTGGTCCTTGCTGGCGTTGTGGGTTGATTACTGATCGTAGATGCAATGGACGTACGAGTATCTATCGATTCGTCACCGTCGCTTTCGTAGCTCGCGCTGAGATATTTCGACTGACGTCTATTACTGTCTGCATCGTTTCCAACAGCAGAAACATTGTTGGTGGTTTCTGCGGTCAATGATGAACGGCCTTCTGCTGCTGCGTTGCCTGCTGCTGCGGCGGCGGCGGCAGCGGCTGTAATGGTAGTTGGTACGTTGGATTCTTCAGGTGACGGCGGAATATAAGCGACTGGAATCACGCCAGAGGTAATTTCCCTATGGTTATTTGTGGTCTATTACACAAGATTTGGTTGCGAAAGATATCAATATGAGCACATGGTATTCTGCGTCTCTCTTCTCCGTCTAATGTAATTGTTTCTTGATATATCCTTACCGCAATACTCCTTTCGCTCATCTGCCGTTGCTGTGTAAAGGGCAACGTATTCTTGGATCTACCCTTGAGCCGTCGCACAACCCAGAATCCAACACATGCAAACAATAGTAATCCGCCTACAAGACCACCGACGAGACCGCCAATCAGCGCGCCCTTGTCGTCGCCACCACCACTACTATTGCTGTCGCCATCGCTGTCTGGGGAAGTGCTCGGGTCGCTGGTATCTGCGGTCGTTGCTGACGAAGGCGATGATTCTGGGGGCAGACCGAGCACAGTTTGATCCACACATTTGGACGAGGGGCATACACCGCATTCGGTCATTGTTCCCAGAGTGCATACTTGGTTAGACCCGCATGCCCCGTTGCATCGCGCTGCACAAGAAGACGGTTGACACGAATCTTTATTTTTGTGGAGAGGCGGTTTAGTTATTGCGCTTATAAGCAATCAAAGCCTTATGTCTATTATCAGTGGCTCAATTACCTTGTGCCTGCACCAAAAGAGGCAAGAGGATTAGGGCAAGAATGAATAAAAGTTGAGGTAATGAGGAAATCTCGGAATGCTTTTTAAATGAAGGTAGAAACCGCTGTCGTAGTACGAGCTTCATGACAATTCAACAACACAGGATTTATACGAAGCAAGAACTGTTTTCATTAAAAATATAGAAAAAGGACTGGAAGGGGTTCGCCTGTAGGCTATAGTAAGTAGGTAATAGAGTAGTAGTAGTAGCGTATAAAAGAACAAAAAGAAAGTGAGAAAGAGAAAAAACGATACATTTTGTTATAATAATTGAATAATCGTATAATCAATGGACCGGCGTACAAACGTTCTAGGCAATTTTTTACACTTTGTTTGTGCGCAACGAATGCCATAACAGTAAGCAATGTGCTACGTTGACCTGGGACAGAGGGATGTCAAAAGCATGGTTTGTTGTTACACAAACTGCGTATTAGCAATGGCAATTAGATCCTAGAAAGGGATAAGCTACACATGGCCCATTTCAATCTGCTCCGGTTGTTGTTGCCGTTGTAATTGCTGCTTGCGCCGACATCGGATGCACTCGAAAAGGAAATCCACAACGACAATTATCAGCGCGATGACTGCACCGACCGTTAACCAAACTGCTGGTCCCAGCGACGCGACTAGTTCTACGGTTTGCCCTGGAATGGCTTCCTCTGCTTTCGCCAGGGCACCGCGTACAGCGTGGTAACCGACGATTTGTACCGCTAGAGACGCCAGGGCAAATATCAGCGCCAATAGTCCGAGTATCATAATGCAGCATACGAGCCGGTCATTTCGTGTACACAGGCGGGTCAGGCACCACAAAAGGACAGCGAACGCTATGACGACAGATGGGATCATTATGCCGCCTTGCGCCACAGACAGCGTTCTATGTAGTTCCTCGGGAATGACGTCTTCCACAATGCCCAACATTCCTTGTGCATCTGTTATAAAAGCAAAAAGCACAACTATTACCCATCAATGTTATTTTTCAGAAACAGATCGAATGAATACTTACCAAATCGATACCCTAGGCTTGGATTGGTACATGAAGTACGGCTGTAGTCAGAGTTAAAGCTTTGGCAAATAATAAAGGTCGCAAATGTTAGCGCGTCCGGCACACCAAATACGTTGTGTCGTATACGATCAAGAAGAGAATTGGAAACGGATGTGTCGACCTTGACAAAATAAACGGAGCGTAAACCTGGAAGATTGCCGCAAAGCACAATCACCTGGAGAACAACTGCTATGGCGGATAATATACATGTTAAAATGTTGAATACTCTCATAATCTATTCCTACTATTGGAGCAAATTATTGAGGCCACGTAGTAGCAGATGGTGAACTAATAAAGTGTGAAAGAAAACAGAAAAGGTTTAGTAATCGTCTTTTTTGCTGCAACGGTTTGGCAAAGTGACATGCATGGCACAGTAAATAGGTACATAACGGGTGCAGTAGTGTGGCGGTGGGCTTTGCATCATCTCATGTAATGTAAATTTAGTAACGCGTGACGTACTGACCGATGGTGAAATGCCATACGTGCAAAGAAATCCGTAGTTAACGCACTACAACATTATCGTCAACAGGAAAAAAGAATTGTAGCGAGAGAAGCAAGGAGCATGACTATGATTACAAATGTGTAATGTCAGTAGAAGAGGCGGTACCATAATTGTTTGCTAGCTGTGAGGAGGCATATGTAGTACAGATGATATACATACCACCGTCAGGTCATTTTGTGAGTTTATGCACAGCATGACGTTTACCTGGAGTGGTTCTACATAGATGACAACAACCAAATTTTTATGCGTGCCGATTCCGGGGTACAAAGAATGATACATATTGCATATCCAAAGTTCCGATTTAGTGTATGATCGCCAACGTTTCTTTTTGATATGTAATATATAATCGTTGCTGCGGTGACAAGAAAACGTTTAACTTAGTAACACTTGAGACAATGGCTATTGTCACAAAATGCATAAAAGCAGCAGCAACTTACAAACAGCGATTTGAGTTTTAGTAAGAGTGAGATGTAGATATTATGTGATATCCGTCATTTCTTACTTCCTGCGCCTTGTATACACACAAGGACAAAAATCGATACAAACAAAATCCACTAACTCATCAGATATGCTAATATTAGTTATAGATTAGCATGTCTGCTGTCAACCCAAAAGATATCGTAGCTTTTTTGCATCGTGAATATTACCTTTCTAAGTTACATTGAAAGATTTTAGGTAGCAATGTAGCTTATTGGACTTGTTCGATACATCAATGCTACAGAATGTTTTCTTACTGTTACAGTACTAAGCTGCGCCCCTTTTTGCAGTAGAGCCTATAGTTTTTGACAAGCCATTTTCCTGTTAATTCAAAATGGAATAGCCACTCATCAGAGCTGTTGCGTTGATAGAAACAGTGATAATTTCACCAGCAAGATGATCATACAAGCATCTTAAAGCCAAGTAAACCATGAGCTATCTACAATGATTTATGCCTAGAGCGAAACAGATACATCAGGAGCTCTGCACTAAAGTGGCTGTGAAGCAGCTTATCTTTTTGTTTGTAAACAACGACTATCTACAACTAGACATGAGCAGAAGACAGTAAACATGGCTGACCGAGCCGTGAAAACAGGATATATAATGTGACAAGCACCATATACATGCGCTAAAATACCAAAAAACAACAACAACAACCGCATGTTGGCCATCTGTTAAAGCAGACATCAGTATTCATATCTAATCTCATGTCAGTATGTACTTGGTGGTATACTGCGCTCACTCAATAGAATAAACCTCGTATTTCAACACGGAAGGAAAGACTTTGCTCCATTTTTGCTCGTTCAATAGGCGGAAGTTTGCGGCGTGGTGACAGTGTACTGACATGCATCTGAGTGTCATACTGCTGTCGGTTACATAATCTAATTGATGAGTGATGTGCTAAAATCCGCTAATCATAACAACGTCGAGGAAGCTGATGTGATGCAGAAACCTTTGGTTTTCAAAGTATAGGAGGTCAGATTAATTGGGTCAAATGATATGGTAAATAAATATTTGTTACAAACAATCCGGTTAATGCAAAGTGACACATCATGCACACATGCAGCTGCTACTATCACCGCAGCAACGGCAGTATACAGGATGGTGCATGCAAACATAGACAGATTCTACATGTAAACACAGTAGTATAAATAGCTTAATCAATAACAGTGCTGTAATTTACTTGAGGTGAGTATGTAGTGATGCGGAAATGCAATGAATGTACGTAACCATAGGATATCACCGGTCATCATTACAGTAGCGAAGCACAAAAAGTTAATGGCACATATATATGATTGTAACAATGATTTTGTAAATATAGTAAGTGATAGAAAGCAGAGGTAATAAAACGATTTATATTTGCCTATTGTTCGCTTGTGGTAATCCCTCGCTGAACAACGATCAATATAAATAATCTATCAGTCTAATTCGTGAATAATGATACATATAATGTACTTCTGGGTTTACATCGAATTGTCCTGTATCACAAGATTGTAGATCGAATGTACATAATGAATACCACTTTCTTGTACTATAAAGTCGCATTATGTTTGGCAAGCTCAAGAGTTTGGTCTTTGAATATGTGTTTGTGTGTGTTATAATCTCCACTACTGTATATGCATCGTGATATACAAAGTGGTATTCTTGGCAACGAACATGAGCATATGTACGCGTGGACAACGATGAGAAGTGAGAAGGCTCATATAGCAATCTATATCAAACAATAAATAGATGCGTGGTAGTTTTCTGCTTCTTGTAAAAGAGACAAGGTCGCGTGTTATTAAACTTCAAGTTTTGCCAATATTATTAGAAGACGGATAACAAAACAATAGTGATGTATGAATAATACTAAATTAAAATAAGACATCCAAACGATATGATATGTTTGCAGCGCGTACTGTTACTACTAGTAGTATGTAATAGTGGTAGCATTGCTATTGCTGCTATCAAAAACATACAACAGGATGCTTGTGTGAGAGTACGTGGAAAGTACTGTCGCTTGTTGGTATGACAAAAAAATACAAATGAGGTGATATTTACAAAAGCAGACTTGAGAAGAAAGAAAGAGGTATGTAATTATGGTGAAGTAAGCGGACGTCGCACTAGCAGGATCTTGCGCTTGCCAACGGGCGATCTCATACCGCGGATTATAGCTTTGGCGATAGCGCTACTGCTTCCATCATTGTTATTGCTCCCGCCGTTGTTGGGTGCCGTCGTGTCTGCTGCACCATTAGAGGGGTGGATGGTACTATCTGTGGCAGCACCTGTATTGGTAGAACTTGCAACAGCCAATTTTGTTTTCTTGGTAGCGATAAACTGCTTTTGCTGCTGGTGTTGTTGTTGTCGTTGATGATGATGCTTGTGTCGTTTTGTGGAGATCTTGGTTACAAATGTGAGCCAGGTTAAGAATTTTCTCAGGTTACCGGTATCTTCTGATGGTGACGGAGTGTGGCTGCTGGCAACAGATGACCCACGGAACTCTGCCGTAGAGGTGGGTTTCAACGTCGCACTTGCAGCAGAAGGCCGCCGAAATTGGTGATAATGATAATGCTGATGGTGATGTTGGTGTGTTGCTCCTGCTCCTGCAGCTGAGGAGAGAGTGAATGCTTTTGGATGCAGCATCGTATCTATTTTTTACCCAGAGATCATCAGCCACATTTTACAGAGAAAGCGAACCACGTGATGTTCTTCTTACCTTCTGCCAACTTGGCCAGGACGTTCTTGTCTAATCGGTCAAAGGCACCACTCTTTGTCACTAACTCGATGTTGTCGACAATGTATCTGAGGACTTGTCTTCGTGCATCTGTCAGGATAGTTTTGACCTGGGCGCAGTGTTGGACTGCATGGCGACACATCAGGTCGCGGACGATGCCTTGGTACATGATTGGTGCGTTGTGTGGCTTCATATTATCCTTCAAAGTGCGTTGCAGCAGAAACTCCAAAAAGTCAAACGAGTACGTAATCCCATCGATGCATGACAAGAGTGTTGGGTACTGCGAGCAGTAAAAATCGAAAAAGTGTGCAATGATATCTGTAGATCGCGACAGCGCACCTGCTACCGTGTTTTTAAGCTGCTCGTAGCTCTCTTCACCGCTTGTTGTTGTTGTCGTCGTCGTTGTAGAAGCTGTTATAATCATCGACTTTTGTCGTTGGCGTTGTTCCCGTTGTTCGTGCCGCTCAAATGTTTTGTTTGCGACGAAGCATGCATGAAGTGTTTCTATCGCATTAAAGCGACTTATCCGGCCAATGATTTGCTGTTTCAAATAGGGACCTACGTCAGGTTGTGATAGAGTGAGCATTTCAGCAAGTCCATGGCTCGTCCAAAACGTGTGCAGTGCCTTGTCGGGTTCCTGCGTCAGCACTGTCAATGTCTTTTCTGCAATGATTGCCATGAGCTCGTCGTCGCAGTGCACAGCGCGGGCATAGCTGTAGGGAAAGAGCTGGGTCACCACATCACGACATTCGCCACAGTAACAGGTCCACTGGTGGGCATATTCGGTCAAGTGCTCGCTGACAGTCTGGCGAAATTGGATCATGCCGAGATAGTCTGCAGCTGAATACATGTCCTGCAACTGCTGTACTATAGTATGTGCTTTGTTCAATGAGCCGTTGACGTTCAACATCAGCTCGCTCGTATACATGTAGTGGAGCACGCCGTCCAGCCCGATCGCGGAAAAGACGCCAGGTGGCAAAAAGACAATGCTTGCCCCATTCTCGCTGAACTCGCCGTCAAACATGGCTGCAAAGTAGGGTGAATGCTCTGCCAAAACCTTTTTGTGACAGGTCCAACGGGTCTTTTGCTGTTCGTCGCTGCCGTTGCTACTGGCGACAAGAAGCGGATGGTTGCTGTTGGTACAAAAAGGAGCACTGCTTTTGCTGCTGCTGTTACTACTGCTACTAGTAATGCAAGCGGCTCGTGCTGTAGTTATCGTCGTAGCTGTATTGGATGATGGTTTCTGTTGGCGTTGTTCAGGAGGACCCAAGGCCAACATGACGTTGGGCGGGGCATTGTCAAAGCAGTCCATTTAGTAGAGCTCAAAAAGAAAGAAAAAAAAACAAGTGATGGAAGGAAAAGAAAGAAAGAAAGAGAAAAAAACACTTGGCGTTAATTAAAAAAAAAGGCAGAGTTTATGTGCAAGTGAGAGTGAGTGAGTGAGTGAGGGAGGGAGGGGAGTATGAGCGTGAAGTGAGAGATATCACTGAGTGCGCGCGTAGCACAAAAATCAGTCCATTTTCTTCAATGATCGAGTATACACCCAGTAAACAATGCCCGCTACCGCAGCAACCGAGCCAAGTGCTATAATTGCCCCCAACACTCCATCATCCTCCTGCTGTGCTCCTCGCGACCGCTTGCTTCGCTTCTTCCGTCCTCCTCTCTTGTCCTTGCGCTGTCGCTGCTTAGGCTGCTGTTCTTGTGATGTAGATCCATCACCAACGCTCTTCTTCTTGTCCTTATCCTCCTTCCGCGCATCCCATTCTACGACCTCTACCTCTTGTGGTACAACAAGCTTGCCGGTGGTGTCCAGTTTGACAGCGCGCCCGAACCATTTTCCTGCCTGCCACAAATCCTGGTCGATGCCCATGCCGTTTGCAAACATGATGCCGATATTATACGATGCCTGTGCGTGGCCAAGCATGGATGCCTCCTTCCAGTACCGAAGTGCCTTCTTGGGATCGACATCCACATGAGTGATAGAACGCACTGCCTCGCCCTCGGGCTGCGAGCCGTACAAATAGATCAAGCCGGTCTGGAATGCAGCACTGGTGAATGAACGCTCGTCCGCACTATGCGGACCATGGTTGCGCATGGCGCTCTTGGGAATCTCTGCATCTTCTTGCTCCAGGACACCAAAGTCAATGTCGATACGCGGAGCAGTCAAGGTCATGGCTCTGTTGAAATACAGCAAAGCCATCTCATAGTTCTTTTCCACTTCGGCTTCAGGGGATCCGGCTCCGTACATACTGCCAACAACGTAGCAACCCAGCGGATCCGGTCCGCTGCTGCCGCTGGTTCCGGATGACTCGGTTACTGCATCTGCTGCTCGCTTGTACCATTCGAATGCCTTCTTTGGATCCTTCTCGTACACTGCAGGCTTCCCCTCCGCAGGCTTATTATCAATCTTTGATCACAGTTTTAGTTTCATGTCACGACAACAGAACGTGATAACCCGTAATACAAAGTTTGGTCCATACCTCGTACAACGCTGCCACCTTCATCATCGATGGAGTATGGCTTCTTTCTGCAGCACACGCATAGTAACGGAAAGCATTCTGCATGAATTACAACAGGTGTCAGTGGAAATCTCTTATTCTTTGTTTAAGTCCAAATTTACCTGGAAATCACCCATGCGTGTCTCAAACCATCCACCCAAATGATATGCGCTGGTCACATCAATGTCGAGGTCTGATTTCCATCCATTCGAAATAGGCACGGCCCATTCCATTCCATCTCGCTCCTTTTCCAAATGAATGGTAAGAATTCTATAGTTCACTGTCTGCTTCGATAATTCGGTGCTCGATTGCTGCTTTTCTTGTTGTTGCTGTTGCTGTTGCTGCTGTTGAGGTGGTGTATTGACCATCATGGGTGACTGAGTAAGCGACTCGTCTGCTACGGACGACGAGGACGAACGAGCCGAGGCGGATCCTAGTGCTGCTGCTTGTTGATAGATATCAGCCATATCAGCTGAAAGTTCATTCGTCAGCGACTCTGTGAGCGCCGGCGCCGGCAGAATCATGGACGAGTTAGGTGAGTGACTTGGTGACGGCATCAGAGCATATGAAGACGCTATGGAAAGAGATGGCGACGTTGTCAAGGAAGAAAATGGTGACATGGAGTTCTTTTCGAGCTGCCATAGTGATTCGAAGTGATTGACTGGCGCAAACAATTTACCCTGGTTTTATTAGTTTTTAAACACCATGCGAGTCAGTGATAAGCCATGTACGTCTTCATTCTTCATAAGCGTATTTAGGTTTCCTTGAAAGAGTTGTTTGTTTACTTACCTTGAGCACAGGTTCCTCGCCTTTTAAACCTGCTCTCACATATTGGTGTTCGATTGCAATATCTAAATCCTTGCTTTTGCATGACTCGGGAACTAAGAACGAAATTGTGATTTGATCACTGCTCTGGCTCCAAATGTATGTGTTGGCTTGGAGTTGATCGTCTGTGTCGGCCATGACGCGGGAGAGTAGTGTTGTGTGGAGCAAGAAAAAAGAAAAAAAATAAAATAAAGCGCGCTGTTGAGTTCGAGATTCGCTAGATCCATTTTCGCGCTATGATTTTAACCCTACTATTTTTAAGGCTCTTTTATAGACGTTAGCAGCCACACAGTAAGAAAAAAACGTAGATTTGATAGGCTGCACCTGTCCCATGGTACTAATACAATGAGCATGCTATAGCTCCTTGAAACATTCGAGACTTAAAGGTCACTTTTGTAATAAGTTGTCACGCGTTATCTGCTCTTTTCTCACTTGGCTCTAGATATACTTACGTTGCATACAGCCAAATGTATAAAACTCGGAGGGTGACCATCGATCTTTATTTCAATTATGTAGACAAGCTGTTCGTAAGTATACATTGTTTAATGAATAAGTGGATTGTGTATGAGATCTAAAGTTGTCAACAAATATGCTGGGGTTGACGGTGGTAATACCACCATCATTCCCACAAGAATCGAGGTAGTAGCATAGAAAAGCATCAGCCTGCACACGATCGCTTGATGCTCGTGATGGATCATTTATATCAGCAATTGATTGATATGTGTGTATCCTAATATGAAATACATGGTTTAAGACAAACTATATCTCTTGTGGACAGTTTGAATCAGCCGCAGCGCTATCAATTTTCGGCACTCATACGATGTTTGGGAGCGCGCAATAAACAGGTCCAGGAAAAACCATGGAAGCAACAAGCGCACCATGTCTAAAGATGATATGATGGATGTTGCAAAAAGGCAGGTGAAAATGTAAAACGTGTATGTGTTGGGTTGGTAGGGTCGAAAGGGGGAAGAGGTGACTTGGTAGGAAAAAATATTTGGGTAACAACAGCGATGATCATGGCCGCACTCGAGAGAGAATCACGACTAAAGGTAGTGTAACCGACACGCACCGCAGGGCAATCCGGGTTGACCCATTGGAGAGCGCCATGGACCTTCAATGTCTTGATTCTACCGTCTTTTGTAGCCTTGGTTGCCGTTGCCATCACCAGTGGACAAAAGCAGAAGAGACGGGTTTGACTATTCATCCTGTAATACCACCGGACAAAAAATTGTACTGTAAGTAATTTAAAGAAGACACATAGGTGCGTGCATGAAGGCGCTTAATACTCCGGATCCGAGTGCGCCGTCCAGAAGTATTCTTGGTGAATTGTATCCTGATTTCGATTACCAAAGATGATCTGTCACAGCAAACATTATATCCTACAGTCATGCATGTCTGTGTATTACAGTAATCATACTTTCTAAACACCAGGCCTTTCACCAACTGTCCTTACGAGATTTTTTCACGCGTCTATTGCGATACGTTTCAACGGAATCATACAAGTTCTTAGCGTAATGACAAGATCGACCCCTTAATATCGGTTGTTAGCTGTGGTGCGTCTGTATAATTGAGCAGGACATACAGCATAAGCATAGTATGATCGCTGAAATCGAGTACAAATAATGCACAGCTCAGGCGGTTAAACACGATAAAAGGTTTATTTCTACTTTTGTTCCTATTCTTTACGCATAACTTTGCGACGCGATTTGTCGCGACTGTTGTGTCGCGCATTTGGCAGTCTCTCTATTTAATGCTTTGCCCTCGTTCCCTTTGCAAAAGTAATGGTGTCACAAGACAATTGAATCAGAGTTATGACTTTTCAAGAATAGATCTTGCCATATTTACTGTTATGATATTTTGGTCAAACAATCAAAATCATAGTAGAGACATATGTGCTATGTACATGCCCGACACAATTCACAGTATTTTTTTTGTAGGCACCACATCTTATTTAGTCTCTATTTTTGTGGTTCCATCAAATCAGAATAGAAGTACATAACATTATATGCATGCCGACACGTTAAAGATTGATTCTGCTTAATGGAATCTTGAAAAAAGAATGCGCATATGCATTGCTCAAGATAGAAGTGAAGCAGTTGTTTTGATGGAATAATTGTGGGAAGTTCTCTGTTCTTTCTTTCTGCGTCACGCTATGGATGCTCTTTCCATGCCTTACACATGTAGTAATCTAAAATCGCTACAAAAAAGCCTTGAAGAAGTTTCACCAGATCCAGAGTATAGAGTACAAGTTGAGAAAGCCTTTAAGCAAACCAAGAATTCAGCATATCAAGCAAATATGCCCGATGCATGTCTCTTTTGGTTACGCAACAACTACGGGCTATACGAAGCAAAAGCAAGCAGCAAACCAAGCACCATGATCTGTGATGTGCTGTCAGGCAGCACTAAAGACGTATACTACGCTATAACGCTCTCAGCCGACAATCCTACTTTCATTGTATCCGATGAGAGATTGATTCTTGCACTAATCGGGTGTCATTATCCACAATGTTCCATATACCTATTCTCGAGTCGGTCACATACTATACGTCATAGTGACGGTCCTATAGTCATTGCACTCTTTGAGTATATTCCAGCACGAAACGGTAGTTCAAAAAAAATATGCCATAGGATTAATATATTGCTGGAAAGCATGAACGATGATAGATATTGATTATTGCTTGTACATATTTATAGGAAAAGAGAAACATATTCCATTGGGGTCTTCAAGGAAAACTATAGCTCTATCCACTATTATTTGTTACAAACGGAATGGGAAGCATCAACAAAACATAGCGAAGATAAGATAAGCTGTATATCCTAATTACATACCTGTCCACCTTGACAAAAATCTGAAACTTACCTGCTTCACTGTATTGCAATTCACAATTGCTATTGAAAGAGTGTATATTCTCGAAGACAACAGCAGGGATCATGCATACTACTTTTTTAAACTGAGTCAAATGAAGCAAATACGACGACGACGACAATGAACCCCATTTTCCCGCTTCGCACTCTATAAATTACAGTATATGGTAGATTAGTTTGTCACAGTTTGCTACAATATGCATGCTTTTTAGACCTTACACCAGGCTGCTGGAATATTAGTCTTCATGAAAGCTTGAGCCGCTTTTCCTCGCTGCACAGCTAAAATTGCATAGGCGCTAGTTACAAGTAGAGAGTTTTGCAGGCACACAAAAAAGGTAGACTACAATGAATTCAGAGTGTAGTAAAAGCTCAAATCTGGTTGAAATGACCAAAAAAAAGGGATTGATTAAAGCATATACGAGCATGCATTGTTTGTTAAAGTAACACAGGAACGACTGCTGCTGCGGAAGGTTAAAAAACGCGCCGAAGCGCGATATCCGTAGTAAACTGCGCATTGTGCTCTAGCCACTTTATCTCCTTTTCTTCCTCCCACACTAAACAACTTTCTTTTCCTCTTGAATTCACCCAAGAAATCAGCCAAGAATGGAACAAGCCTCGTCTTCTCGAGTGATGTGCTGTAAATACGAATTACGCTATGACCTGGATTTCGCTGAGCTGCAGAAACTATTCAAGAATGGAGTGACGGAACTGACAATGTTAAGAGGGGATGAGGCGGTGAATTCGTTCAACTCGGCAATTCAAGAAATCAGAACCAATTTTCTGGCTACCATTTTCCTCCATCGCGCGGCAGCCCATGAAACCCAAGGAAAACTCGAACTGGCGTTACAAGATTCACTTGGAGCAATCAAACACGCACCACAGTCGTCCGACGGCTACATTTATGCATTCAACTTGCACCTCCGCTTGAAACACCTAAGAGAGGCGTTACTGGTTGTTGAGCGTGGATTGGTCAGGGTGGCCATAAGCGATCCAAGGTACGCAGCTTTTGCTTATCTTAAATCCGCAGTGCTTGCCGAGATCGATCATCACAACACCCTTTCGTTGCCCTATGATGTGGTTAGCGACATCATGCAACGCTTAAGCTTCCCGGATCGTGTTCGTCTCGCGTCAACATGTAAATACTGGAAACGTATGCTGTATGACTCCCCGCCTGTCATGTGGCGCGATTTGGATATACGTTCACCAATGTCTCCAGTACAGTTCCGCAGCATTCTGTCTCATGTCAAAAGCCAATATGTTCGTGTCATCAAGGTGAACACTGTACGGATACTGAAAGAAGTAGCCAAGATGAAATGGCACCATATTGAATGTCTCGGTAAATTTAAAGAAATTGTAATCACAGCAGTTTATATTGGTTGTTGTTAGCACCATTTGGATGTTCAAAGGTAGCTAACTATGTACACACATACAATCGTTTAGATACGGAATCTATATTTTTCGATAGTGATAGTCCCCTCACGAAAGTCATATGGCGAAACAGGGACTCACTCAAAGAGCTCAGTATAACGAGCATATCTTCGCCTCCCGATCTAACGGCCAAGTTTATAAACGGTGTGACACGCGTATGCCCACATATCACTAGCCTTACGTTACATTCCAAACTGTATGAAGAGCAGCGTATACTTATGCCACCACCATCCAACTCGCGAACTACAGCTATGACCCTGACACACCTGTCGTTGAATGAATTACGAAGCTTGTCAGCTGTATTACCACACTGCCCGAATTTACAATATCTCGAACTGTTTGAGCAAGGGTTGCTCATGGCACATCCACCTATGGTTTTCTTTCTGATAGACAGATGGTGTCCCAAGCTCATCGGCCTTCGCTATTCCCCATACAGCACGATGGTATTTGGAGCATCCTTCCCTGACACTGATCTCAGCGACACTGCCATGCACAAGTATATATCCGAGGAGCCAGCAGCAGCAACGACAAGCGGATTACGCGAGCTCACCTACTTGCCTAGGGAATTGGTTGATACCGGTATTTCGGACACAATCAAGAGAAACCAATCGACTTTACAGAGCCTACGCCTCAATACGACCGTCATCACCTCCCAAAAATATGAATTACTTGCGGCGCTGTCCGAAATATCGAGTACAAGGCATCAGGCATTGCGCGAAATTGAGTTCGCTGGAAAACGCACAGCGCATTTTGCCAGGTCAAGAAACAACTTTCCGTCAGCTGATCTATACGACATCATTAAAACTTGCATATCATTGGAGTCCGTGCGTCTACGAGATATTGTCATCGATAGCGACGATCTATTTTATGCACTCAGCGCTCTCCCGCGACTCCGTCGACTCTACCTGATACGGTGCCCAATGGCTGCTGGATGCAGACATGGAAGAACTGTGTTTAGCTGTGGATTTCAGTATCTGTGTACGTACACAGAAACGTTGGAGGAAGTGTATGTGGATGGAGACTCAGATAGAGAGAGCATGCAACATCTGTTCCAAGCCATCAAAATGAACAAGCATATGCGCTGTATCCGGTTCACAAGCGAGGAAGATATTAAGATGGAAAATACAAACGCAATTGCCAACGTACTGACAAATCTGACGGATCTAACAATCGAAAGCAGGATGGACGTGTTGTTCCCGCAGTTGACATTCTTGCATTTGCTCCCCAAGTTGCAGGTCCTCAATATTCGCGGTGCGAATGTTCACAACATGACAGATGAGGTCATTTATACATTGTTTCACAAAAGACTCAACGCTGGCGCCTCACATTTAGAAATCTCGGTGAACCATACAATCAGGAATATCAAGCGAAGATACTGCAGCAGGCAAGCCATGGAGAACAAAGAAGAGGGAACGGGTGCACCAGATGAAAGCGTGTATGCCACTGCTTATCGTGACAGGAACGACCAGTTTTTCAGTGATATCGAAAGACAACGGATACTCGAGGCAGTAGTTCTTTAAAGTCATCCTGCGTATTGTCAAACTACAACGATACTGCATGCATGTTGTTTATATGTATTGGAAATAAGGAACCTCATGTTATTTATATCGCAAAACATGAAAATAAACAGTATAAATTCCTCCAATTCTCGCATTCTGTTAAAGTTATGTATCATGAAATGCATCTTTGCTTGAGTGCCACTGCAAATATCCATGGCATCGATAGTATAGAATTTAGAATGAAACACAACAGCTGAGGGTTCAGTGTGTCAAAATGAAATGCTTCTTTATTTAACAGCCTCTTACTTTTTTATCGATGCATATATAAAACTAGTGTAATTTTTTCTTGTTATTGCGATGGTAGTCTATAGTAGAGTTTTATGGCGACGAGCTGACGTCCCCGGAGGGAGTATCTTCAGGGAATGGTGGGGGTTGTGATGTCTTTTTTGGTCGAACATATTCATCATATACAGTCTTTTCGACGAACGGACGTTTGCCCAGCAAGTTCTCCATGTCCTCACGTGTGATAACTTCCTTGTCTAATAACAGTTTTGCAACCTTTTCGACGTCTTCCTTGCGTTCTGTGAGCAGATCTACAGTGCGGGTATACGCTTCGTTCACCAGGTTTCGTGCCTCGTTATCAATCAGCGTGCCGGTTTGCTCCGAGAATGGCTTCTGGAACTGCTGCTCGCCTTGTGGATCGTTGAACGAGATTGGACCGACCTTCTTGTTCATACCGTAAGTCGTGACTTGGGCATAGGCGATCTTGGTCACCTTTTGCAAATCATCGTGGGCGCCCGTGGTAATAGTATCAAAGAAGATCTGTTCCGAAACACGGCCACCCAGAGTCATGCACATGCGGTCCAGCAACTGCTTTTCGCTGAACAAGTATTGATCCTTCGGCAAGTACTGGGCATAACCCAAAGCAGCCACACCGCGCGGAATAATTGACACCTTCAGTAACGGATCGGCATATTGCAAGTACCAACCGGCAACGGCGTGACCAGCTTCGTGATAGGCAACTGTCTTCTTTTCTTCGGGCGACAAAACGCGCGACTTCTTTTCGAGACCAGCAATGACACGTTCGATGGCTTGCTCGAAATCACTCTCGTCAACTTCGTCCTTCAAGTGTCGGGCAGCAATAAGAGCAGCTTCGTTACACACGTTGTGGATATCGGCACCAGAGAAACCAGGCGTCAATGCAGCCAATTTGCGCGACAGTTGCTCAAGATCAACAGTGGTCTTGATGGGCTTGAGATGGACCTTGAAGATTTGTGCACGGCCGCCAATATCGGGTCGATCAATAGCAATGTGTCGATCGAAACGGCCAGGACGCAGCAAAGCAGGATCCAAGACGTCAGGTCGATTGGTACCAGCCAGAACCACGACGTGTTCGCTCGAATCAAAACCGTCCATTTCGACAAGAAGCTGGTTCAACGTGCTCTCACGTTCGTCGTTACCGCCCATATGGCCGCCCTTGCCACGTGCTTTACCAATGGCATCAATTTCGTCGACAAAGATGATACAAGGGGCATTCTTCTTGGCTGTGGCAAACAAATCACGTACACGCGAGGGACCGACACCGACAAACATTTCGACGAATTCAGAACCGGATACGCTCAAGAAGGGCACACCAGCTTCACCGGCTGTGGCCTTGGCAAGCAGCGTTTTACCAGTACCAGGTGGACCCGACAAGATGGCGCCCTTGGGGATAGTAGCACCCAATCGTTCGTATGCAGCTGGGTTCTTCAAGAACTTGACAAATTCCATAATTTCCTCCTTGGCTTCGTCGGCGCCTGCAACATCCTTGAACTTGACCTTGACATCCTTTTCCTGGTTGAACATTTTGGCGCGACTCTTGCCTATGCCAAAGATACCCTGTCCACCACCACCTGGACCACGTTTGGTCATGTAGTACAGCACACCAATCAAAAGCAATGTGGGTGCAAAGTGAAGCATCGTGTTGAGGAGACTGATCTCATCGCGGTATGATACGGGGATACGCTCGCTCGATGGGATCTGCAGTTCATTTTGTGCTTCTTCCAACTTGCGCTCAAAGCTGTCGACTGAGCCAATGCTGAAATAGAACGTCTGTGCGGGCGAAACGCCAAGCGACGTAGCCTCTGGACGCAAATGTACGCGAACTCGGTTGCGGTTGAGGACAACAAGTCGATCGACCATACCCTTGTCAAGCAATGACGAGCGGAATGCTTGCCATGTGATTTCGCGAGAGTCTTCGCTGGGTGAAGTCATTTTCCACAAAACATAGGTACCCAATGCCGTGCCGACAACGGTGTTGACATTGATTTGAACCTCTGGAGGCTTGTTGCCACCACCGTTACTGTTGTTGCTACCGCCACCACCTTCGTTCCTTGGTGGTTTGGGAACTTGGTCGGCCGATCGTTTAGCGTGTTGATCGGCTGCTGCTTTTCGGCCATTGTTGCTGCTGCCTTTGCCAAAAAAGCCTTCGAAACCCTTGGGTACGTTGAATGGCTTATCGTCTTCGTTGTGTTCTTTTTTGTTATTATTGTGTTCGGGTTTTTCTTTCTCTGAAGAGTATTTGCGAGTACCCAAGCGACGATTCGTGAGTAGTGTCGATGATTGTGGCGATCGCACAGACCGTGCGTTTCTTAGACCGGCAAACTCTGCTGTAATCTGGCGCCGTGCACCGATCTGGCAAAATCGTGAAAGCATGTCCTTTTGAAAAAAGTAGTTGGGGGAGCTCGGGCACGGAATCTGTTATTTACCGCAGCCAGCGTCATCCACCGGCGGAGTGAAGTTTCATTACCTCTCGGGATAACTACTTCTCCGACGACCAGGTAAAACAATAGCGCCATGCCGTTTTGCTGCCTTTAATGTAAATAAAAAATGATACGACTTTTTACCGATAAAAATTCAATTTCTGATGGCTATGCTGCTGCTAAGGGAGTGTGCAACGACATTAAATTTGTATGATTAAAGCAAGCGGAAAGTTGTGGGGTGTGGGTCGTGCAGCTGGAAAGGTTAATTCTTATGTTGGATATAATCGTTTCATATTTGGTACATCCCAATACAATGTCAGCAAATCCAAACTGCTTGTTGTATTCCTCTTCAGGTACTTGTGGATGACGTGTCTAGATGTTTATATCTCGCCATTGCATGCTGGAGTTTAGCGCAAGCGTTTTGAGAGGAACAATATTGAACGTCAGCACCCTGCTAATTTTCCAAGTGCGTTGCTATGGCTATGAGTTTTTGTTGTTAGACATACGTGCTGTCAAGGGGAACCAATTGTAAGCACAGCTCACAAGGACCACTTTTACTATATTCAGCTCTGCTGGCTTGACCTCCTTGTTGCGTATTGTACTTTGAAGGAAATACTGTAGTATGCGAAGGTGGTTGTCGAGGAGATACAGCCTTCTTTGCTTCAACGTCTTACCTAATTATAAATTTAAATACATCCCTCCGAGTGAGACTTTTTGCTGCGGCTGTCATTGAAAAAGAGGCTACTTACTTTGAATCCATACGTGGGACTATCGACCATGTAGGACTTGCTACGTTAAGCTGAATAAGCTGGAACCAGCCACTGTCTGCAGTGTCGTTCATTTTCGCAGCGCTCGGACGAGTAAAGGCGTTTATTTTGAGGGAGCTAGCACTTCTTGGGCGCTTAGCGTGTATCGCATGTTGGTACGATGAGAAGTACCCAGCACAATCCTCCTGCAAATGCAGCAGAGTAAAACGGAGCGATTAGACAAGGCAAGCTTCTGTTGACATATCAGAAACCCTTCTTTTATACGTGCATCTACCTTAGACTGATAAAAAAACAAGAATCTAAAGGTATGCTTGCCGATCCGATCGTCGTGAATCCATAGTGGTACGTCCCGATTTGACAAGTACCTCCTTCTTTTTTCGGTAATGGCACAGACATAATGCTCGGATCGTACAGTTTGTTGTCCACAGCAAGTTTCTCAGATTCTCCGTCGCTTCCTCTCCTGCTAAATGAAATAAGCCATTCTCTTTTTATTTAAGCAATCTTCAGCTCTTACTATAGATTTAATTGTCTAACTCCTTTGCCGTAATCTTGGGTGGTTCAACATAACGGCATCGAAGATGTCATTGCGATGACCAATAGTGTATGTTCTTGACCATGACAATCGATCTTCAATTTTCAGATGTATCGCTCGAAGGTTCCTGATTGAGATCGGTGGTTTAGGCCTTCATTCTGTAGTGGGTACCCTTGACAAAGATAGAACCTCCTTTGCGTGGAATGATTGCAAGGATTGATCTAGAAATAACTTTATAGATTACAGTAAGTGAGCAAGATTCCGTAACGAACGTCAACTTTTTAAGATCCTCATGAGTTTTACCCTTCGCATTTCCATTGGTATCAACGTTATCCCACTGATTTATGGCAGTTCATACGGACCAACATTGTATATATTATCAGAATTGGCAGTAAATGTCCCGTGTATTATCATATTGTAAGCTTCTGCTTCAGCATCACCTTTCTCTTTTAAAATGATTGGTTCATTCGCGGTGTTTCCATCCCAATATTGTCTTGCTCATTTGGATAACAATTTTTGAAGGATTGGGTTCGATCTGAACAATGTTAGTCGGCTCTATTAGATTTTAGGTTGATCTCATAAACCATTTCAAAGTAGACTATATAGTCATGACCGTATCTTTTTGTCTTTTGCCCTTTAATTGCACAGATTATATTTAATCATCATGTTGTTGTTGTAAAGGCAATGCCTTCCAGATTCATAAAATTAAGCCCTTTGTGATGTTCTGCTCAAACTATCCTTAATTCATTACTGTCTAATGTTCCTGATTGTCCGTATTGTTTGCCTGTGCATTCGAAAGGCTCACTCAAACATGCTAATCATTGATCACCGGTAAACCTAAAAGAGTAAAGAGTCTCTAATGGATCGACGCGAGATAATCTTGTATATTGCTATTATTAGAAGAAAAGGCTAACATTTAAGGACCATGTAGAGAGGGGTGGAGCTCCAATCTTACTCGATAGATATGATAAACATAAATTTCCGCATGTGCACTGCTTACTCGTGTTGAGGAGACCGTTTGGCATTTGCTTACAACCCATTTTCGCTGGTTAACATTTAAAAAACTTTACATCCACATACTTTAATAACTTGGAGATTTATATCCCTCAAGGGCGCTTGTTCGTGGTGATCTCTCTTTCTTTCTTTTTTCGATAATATGTACAAGCACATCTGTATGCAAAAGTTTTTAACAACTGACCTTTTTCATAATGTAGAGACGGACAACTACCATGCCATCGTTGAACTGACTGACCAGTATTTGTTCCCTTCCGCGGCCGACAACCTGATATTGCCGCCATTGCCTGTGTGCTTATAACCGATTACATGCACATCTATTACACGGTAATATGAGCATGTGAGAGAGAAAGTAGAATGTAGAGTAACAGTTTAAAATTATGGTTCAAGAGCTGCTTAATACCTATATGCAGTACACTAAGCAAAAACGAATAATCAGTTGCAACGACGCGGTACAGTAGAAGGCACGATAGTGAATCAGATCAGATATTAGCGACTAGTATGTATTCCACCAATGAAACTAAGTGCCTTGTTCGTTAAACCAAGCCCTTCCCATAAAGGAAAAGATGGTATTCAATAGTGCACCCAGCACAATGTTAAAATAAACATTTGGTTTGCTTCCATGATAAATCAGTATCTTTTCCCATGTCTCTTGTATGTATTTCTCTTCTATACTGATTGTACTGTAAAATTTCACAAACTGACAAATCTACGATGATGCAAAGCTAGGAACGTCTTCGCTACCTTCTTCAGATCTTCGTATACAGCAGTTGAAGTAATCCCATCCTCCAACGCGAGTAAATAAATGGCTACTTCGCCATATACACTTCACACAAACAGGTTGGTAATTACAAAATGGAGAAAAGAAGCACACTTCCTAGGAAACCTGTTGACCAGACCACGTACACGAAAGCCACATATATGAAAGCAAAGACAGAAAAGAAAGATATATGTTTATATCAAACTTATACGATTTTGTTTTTGCTGCTCACAGGTGCATTACAGACGGGTATAAGATGTTGAATGTCTGGGAGCGTGTGCACGCTGCGCACTATTTGGAAGACATTTGAAGCATTACATACTCGCCGCACAAGCGAAAGTCTCTATCTCTTGCCACCCAGCCATACCAAAATGATCAAAATGGAAAGTCTTAAGTTGAAAAATCACTTTTGCAAGCAAAAAGATCCCCAAAAATGGCGCCTTACAATAGTTTTGAAGTATATTGAAGCACGCCAGCCACACGACAATCGCAGCACGCATATCAAAACATTGTAGGAATTGCTTGGACAAAATGTTGTAGTGTACGTGGCAACAAATATCAAAAAAGCAAAGGCCGAAGACATTCTGAAGATTTGGCGGGTACTTGAGATCTATGGCTTTAACCCATATCTTTTGTGTTATAATTTCTCTATACACGTACCGAGAGCGAATGGTGAAACGACAACCCTGGCACCACCACCAGCAACGCAAACAAACATCTTTTACAATGCTACATACTGTTACGAATTTGAAAGTTTGCGGTAATGCTGATCCGCGTGAAGCGGGTACTCTTTTCCGCCATCATGGCTACTCTACGTTTTCTTAAATATTGTGGCAAGCAACGTATATCCATTTGACATATAGTGCAGCAGCAAGAAGCTGACAATAATAGCCAGGATAGCCAGCGCAGTGGAAATCAGTAGATCTGAACCCTCGACCAACTCAACGACACACACACATATATATTAGCACTACGGACTCATTAAACAACAACATTCAAAGTACACCGGAGCTCCAGTGACAGGCATAAATTTGACTGAAGAGTGCGAAAGCTACGGGGCATTGTCGATAAAAGAAGCCCAGATCAGAAAGTCGCTGAATGATGCACAAATTCTGTAAGTAAATAAGAACAGGTTATGGGCAAGTTGGGTGCAAAGTATAATAACAGTAGATGTATGCTATTTAAACTTTTTACTGGGTAAGGTCGTTGGGCTACGTGTTCTTATATTCTACAGCACCGAACGATGCATCATTTCTCCCTTCCAAAACCAGCAGCAGAATGCGATTGTTCATGCACTTAAAAAAAGAAACGAGTATCCAACCCGCGCTAGCATGGAGCTCCCAGGTATCTACAAACGCATTGCAAATATAATTGTCGAGCAAAGAGCGGAATCAAATAATAGAAAGAATAAAGGCCATCGACGTTTCGAACATTCCACTCGGCGGCACAAGCATGGCCATCCTTACCTTTGTCACTGACCACGTGCATCAGTGGACCGCCAACAAGGGCACCAGAGAAGAGGACCTGATCAAATTAGGACTTCAACTGTTCGTCGGAAACACTGTGGGTATGCTCGAAAATACGTTGTCAACTTGCTTAGTAAATGATGTTCATTGTAAAGGACAGTACACTACAATGTTGAAAGATGGCTGTAGTATTGTTAATTTGTACTGTCAAACTATTGTGATGCTTCTGTTGACGTAGGAGCATCTGCATCATGAAGTCGCATCCATCACCAGGAACAGACTTTGCCTTGTTCAACGAGACGATTGACTCGCGGATATCGTACGAGTTCATGGTAATAGAATTGACGTCTGCAATAAAAACCAAGAGGCGAATCAGACCCCGTGCGCCTCGGTAGTCAAATGAAATTTATCGTTGATAAGTTGGTGTTGGCCGGCGTTGAGCAACCCAATTGCAGCATGTGTACTTGTTCGCGGTAAGTTCCTTTTATTCGGTTTATAGTATACTGCGTACAAGCACATCAGTATCTAATATGCGTAGACAATTGACTCTTTCTCTAGTGTAGAGACGAACATTCAATCTTCCAAGATGCTTCTGTCTATCATTTGCCATCTGGTTGACAGTCTGAATGCAGCTAAACAAGCGAGAAAAAACAAGCGAATGCAAGGAGGTGACCAAGTTAATCACTTACGGCCAACGTGTCGCCGGCCAAGTATACAAAGTTCAACGCAAGGCAGCATGAATCAAACACTTAAAATTGTTGTCGGGTTTTATCGTGGTCGAATTTTGTTTGTATGCTTTATTTTGTCGGGGTATGAAATGACAAAATGTAGAGTGGACACGGCCCTTTCAAAAAAAAACCCCCGAGTGGGAAGCGGCTTTATGGCTAGTCCCTCCAGAAACCAGAGTGAACGCGGCTTTTTGCTCCCTCCCAAACTGGATTCCGTTCTACAAATGGGTCCAAACTTCTGTGATTACCAAAAACACTTTAAACTGACAACTGTGATTACCAAAACCACTTTAAACTGACACCTGTGATTACCACAAACACCTCAAGGACATACCATATGGAGTGGACGCGGCTTTATGCTTAATCCCTCACAAAACCTGAGCGGAAGCGGCTTCATGCTCAATCCTTTCAGAAATTAGAATGGATGCGGCTTCATGTCAAATCCCTCCAAAACCGGATTCCATTCTATACGTCCAATCACTGGTGCGCCTCGTGGAGAGAAGGAATTCTGACTTCTCAGATCGTTGCCACACATATTCGACTAGAAATGGGTCCAACCCTTTGTGATTACCAAAAACACTTTAAACTGACAACTGTGATTACCAAAACTACTTTAAACTGACATCTGTGATTACCAAAACCACTTTAAACTGACACCTGTGATTACCAAAAGCACCTCAAGGACATGCCATATCGAGTGGACGCAGCTTTATGCTAAATCCCTCCCAAACTGGATTCCATTCTATATGTCCAATCACTGGTGTGCCTCGTGGAGAGAAGGAACCATGACTTCTCAGATCGTTGCCACACATATTCGACTACAAATGGGCCCAACCCTTTGTGATTACCAAAAACACTTTAAACTGACATCTGTGATTACCAAAACCACTTTAAACTGACAACTGTGATTACCAAAACCACTTTTAAACTGACAACTGTGATTACCAAAACTACTTTAAACTGACATCTGTGATTACCAAAACCACTTTAAACTGACACCTGTGATTACCAAAAACACCTCAAGGACATGCCATATCGAGTGGACGCAGCTTTATGCTAAATCCCTCCAAAACCGGATTCCATTCTATACGTCCAATCACTGGTGCGCCTCGTGGAGAGAAGGAATTCTGACTTCTCAGATCGTTGCCACACATATTCGACTACAAATGGGTCCAACCCTTTGTGATTACCAAAAACACTTTAAACTGACAACTGTGATTACTAAAACTACTTTAAACTGACATCTGTAATTACCAACACAACTATAAACTGACACCTGTGATTACCAAAAACACTTCAAGGACATACCATATCGAGTGGACGCGGCTTTATGCTAAATCCCTCCAAAGAAACGGATCCATTCTTTCGTTCAATCACTGGTGCGCCTCGTTCGTGAAGAAGTCATGGTTCCTTCTCGTTTCGTTGCCACACATATTCAACATCGAATGGGTCATCTTCCTCGCAGTGGGTGTCGCTATCTAAACTACGGATATCTGTGTGTTGGTCCGTAAATAAAAGACAGCGGCCTTTAATGATCCACGGGATGGCTAAAGCGAGGCCACAGCCATAAGTCCTCTGGAGAAAAGGTGGAGAGCAAGCAGCATTACGTCCCCGTCGTGCTCTCTGGAAACGTCGCTATGCGATGGCTGAACATGCTGCATTGTTACTTGCTTATCATTAAACAAACAATTTCAAGTGTAGAATTTGTTTATGGAATTTCGCTATCAATCGTCGACGATGTTTGTAAACGACATCGTACTGTGGACCTGCAGCAGAATACACCGCGGTGATTTCACAAAGTATATGGAAGCTTCCTAAAGCTGGTCTAGATGGCTCTTGGCAAACGACTACGCATGGTCCTCAAGTATGAAGGAAGCTAGCTTGTATGTAACATTGTAGCCCATGTTCTCGTTGCAACGCCTTGTCGTATTGGTAAGCAGCCATCACCACATGGAGTTCTGCGTACCATATGCTTAGGTGTCTGCAGAAAGCAATGTGCTGCTTGTTCGAAAAACGAAGCGGATCTCTCCCTTTATTCGGACAACCCAAGCGATTACAAGTTACTTGAAATCTTTCAAAAGCTCTATGAATACTGCTACTATCACTGTTATGCCTCAATCTTAAAAAAAGAACACGCTGCTTAACCTTTTTGAAATCACGCTTTTGGCATTTCAGGCCTTTGGATACATGCCGTCCAGTTACTCAAACAAGTCAAACCGTTACCAAGGGTGGCGATTTAGCTCCTATTTCTAGCCCGCACTTGTTCCTCCACATATTGAAAACAGATTATAGGATACATGGTCTTTAGCTGTAGTCCTTCCCATTCCAGTACAGATGTAATCCATTTTCTCATCATAGCCTTTTTTTATATTAGGGGCAGCTTATAATCAATAAGCATCATTTTTATTAGTGCTCCTATCATGATAAAGACATATCAGGAGAAGCTGGCGCAACAACATTGGCGTAGTCTTGATCTTGACCTCTGGAAATTTACTACTGTAACTTTGCATATATACTGTACTTTTCAAATAGAGTAACGTCGTTCAAGCGAATGTCAGTTACCTTGGATTTCCCATCCTTATGTCCGAGTGACTTGCGAGTCCTCAAGTCAATACCATGGATAAAATTAGTAAACACCTTACATACACGTCGTATGGTGCACTCACTCGTCGATCCAAAGATTGTCTTATAGCTGGCGTGCCTGATATCGAGCCTTTTAGTAATAAGTACACCATGAGTTTCAAGCAGATAGCCAATAGTTTGCATCGTCTTGTTGGTCCGACATTTGCAACTATGCCAACGGTAGTAGTTGCCGGCTTCCACCAGTCCCGTTTGTTTTAAAAACGAATTTTTCTTTGTATCATATCCTTCTTCAGTTTTGCGAAAATACTTTATTCAGAGGACTTGCCGTTCTCGGCTTTGGATCAATGCGATAAATGGGTAGCTTAGGCTTCCACACTTTTTCTGTTTTGCATACATTGAATATTCATTTATGCTCAACCCCTTTCAGCTTGAGACTTGCTCGCTCAAGGATCCTTTACTAATGCCCATCATCAATAGGAACTCTGTTTCTTTGACCTTTTCAATCTTACACACAAATTCTTGACTTGAATCTCAATGTCATCCAAGAATCAAGCCTTATACGACGCGTGTTGCCACTTGTTTGTCCACACACCAACAATTTTCAAGGTGGTGTTGCGGATCGCCGCAGATGTTCATTAAGCTGTGTTTGATCGTCGCAACTGCCCATATCACCGCTACTGGTACACATATAAGCAAGGTACCCAAGTCAAAAAAAACTTGTAGATAAACGCTCTTTTTCATGTCGTTTATCAACTGGAGCCGCCCCGTCCCAGGGTATCAGCCGAACGGGGCGAGTTAGTTTGAAGCCAGGGGGCACAGGGCGGATGCTATCGAACTGGTGGATCTCTTGGTAGGTTCGGTAGAGCACGGGTTGCAGATTCAGCGACTGGACTACTTGTGTAGGTGTTGATACTTTTCACGAAGAGGATGGATCAGACAGCGACAATGATAAACTTGTCCGCGTGCGTTTGCTCCATATGCCGCTCTATATCCCCGTAAATAGATTTAGTGATGGTTGCACAAAAATAATAAGTAAAAGCTGGACTTTTTGATTTGTAAGCAACAAGATATAAAATAGAGAAAAAGAGGCTTTAATATAGGTTGTAAAAGATAATAAGAAGAGAAAAAAGAAGATGCCAAAAGGATGGTCAGGGGTGGGGAAGGTGGAGAGTTGAATAATACGCCAATTATACAGGAAAGAAAAGAGAATATAGAATGAAGTTTTATATGCGTTGAAGGGTGGAGGGGGGGGGAGTGTGAACGTGCGCGTGAAGAAATTGCTGTGCTGTGCTGTGCTGGGTGCGAGGTGACTATGAAATAAGGTTGAAAGGCCTATCCAGGACCTTATTATATGCGATAATATAAAAAGAGATATAACATGTGTTGTGAGCGTGCGTGATTGTGCTTGTGCGTGTATAAGATAGATTGAGAGATAGAGAGGATTATACTAGAGAGAATTACAACGGTTTGTTTTTGTATGTTTGTGTGTGTGTGTGTGTGTGTGTGTGTGTGCGTGAGATGCATATAAGAAAAAAAGAAATGATGGAGGAAGAAAACGGAATGAAGGTTATGTACATCCCTCACATTGGAGGATCAAACATGAAACTGTCGCCACCTTTCTTGTTGCTGTTGCTGTTGTTGCTGTTCGTGCTGCCGGTGCTCGTGGTCGTGGCAGTGGGGGTTGCGGTTGTGGTGGTACCATTCGCACCATTAGGCTTGGTGAACAGCGGGTTCTTGCTGAAGGACAGGCGAATACCGCCCTTGACCGAGTTGCTGAGCGTGTGGCCCTGGAGCTCGTTCATGGCTTGCGTAGCATATACGACGTCTTCAAACTCGACGAAGCACATGGGTCCCTGCTGGTTTTTGGAGCGGAACAACAGCCGTTTAAAGTTGGTGCATTTCGAGAACAATTGTCGCAGCTCGTCCTCGCTCGTGTAGGGCGGCAAGTTGCCGACGTACAGCGTGTTGCAAGGTGGATTCTGGTCGGCTGGATTGTTGCTGCTGCTGCTTATGCTGCCACGGTAGTTGCTCGGCGACGACATGCTTGGAGCAGCACGCAGATCAGAAGAGATCCCGTTGCTGCTGTTGTTGTTATTACTGCCATTGGTGCCATTGTTGTTGTTGGTGTTGATCAGCAACGAGTTCATGCGCGAGCTCAAGATGTCCGTGTTGGTGCTACCGTTGGCTATAGCTGTCTCAAAAAACGACGCGCTTCCATTCGCGCGACTGTCGTTCATGACGGGAGATGATTTCGAGAGATAACCGAATGGATCGCTGTCCGGTACTGATGAGGAGATGGGACCGCCCAAGGATGCTGATACGGCTGTGTCCTGCATCAGTCCGTGCATGGCGGCGGCACTACTGCTGCCGACACGGTTGGTTGAGCGTGGATACAAGCTGAATGCACGCGGCGAAACAACAAGGTCATTGCTTCGAGCATCAAAGGATTGAGAGCGCAGGTTGAAAAATGCGTCGTTGAAGCCGCCACCACCATTGACACTAGTGGATGTTGCAGCAGTGGAGGTGGTGGGAGTGGTCGACGAGCCATTTGCCAGTGGATGGTCGTTGAAGGGATCGTTCTTGTAGTCGGCTGGTGACAGCAGGTCGCTTGGCAACGGTGAAAATGTGTCGTAGGCGGTCGGAGGTGGGTGTAAACTCATCTTTCTCGACAAGATGCTCAGCGGAGATGAACCAGTCTCCGCGGCTGCTGCTGCTGCTGCTTGTGCTGCCGCTGCCGCCGCTGCTTGATGCTGATGATGGTGTGGATGATGTTGCTGCTGCTGCTGCTGATGATGATGATGATGAAGATGATGTGATGGTTGTTGTTGCTGTAGTGGATGCTGTGATTGTTGGGATGATTGTTGCTGTTGCTGTTGCTGTTGCTGTTGCTGAGCTGCTGCTGCTGCTGCTGCTGCTGCTGCTGCCGCGGCCGCTGCAGACGAAGAACCACCCGGAATTGAAGGGTGTACATTCGGTACGATCGAGCCACGCTTGATATGCAAATTCTTCTTTGCCATTTCCGCTTTGAGCACAGAGCCTTTGTCAGTGTCGATCCTTTTGCCGCTTAATACTTCGACGGCTTCCATTGCTTCTAAACGTGTGCGGAATCTTGCAAACCCAATCTAATGTATCATTAAAAAAGTATAGCAAACAAAATTCTGAGTGTGAGCTTTTTGTACCTCAGGTTCTTGTTTTAGTCACTATTTATATAATTACATATAAAACGTTACCATTTGCTTCTTTGCTCCAGCAGAGCCACTGCCAGAGCCACTGCTGGCCGTAGTGGCAGCACTGGCACTAGCAGTATTAACAGCAGCAGCTCCACTGCCGTCTTCGTCTTGATCCTTGCAATGCCATTTCAGGGAAGCGGCTTCAAAGCCGGGCGAGAACGTAAACATGTTTTGAAATTCTCGTTCCAACATATCGTCTGGAAAACCGACGACAAAGATGGTCGTTACATCCTCTGGATTATTACTGCTGATGCCATTCGAAGTGTGTTGCTGAAGCTGTTGTGGCTGTGATGATGGCGGCGGTGAACAGTTGTTGGGAGGAAAGAATGCCGATGATGCTGGAGATGCCGAGAGAGGATGCACAATGCGAAAATCCGTTGGTGCGACCGAGAAGGCCGAGGTACCCATGAGGGATGTTTCAGTTGTCATGAAGAGGAAAAAGAAGAAGAAAAAAAAAAAAGAAAAAAAAGGAGCGTTAAACTTTTTTGAGTTTTTTTTTCCTCGACCCAAAAACCCTATTAGCTCTGCTGGATTAGCTCTTTAACTCCAAGTCGGTCTTTGAACCCACAAATGCCTATTACACTTTTTGGCGGGAATTGCCTGCTCTCTCCAAAAAGAGAGTTACACTCGAGGAAAAAAAGAACACTGTGGAAGCAGACCAGGTGGCTCTGTTGAGTAACATGCCCTTGCAACCATTGTTATGTACAGTTTTACTTTGTGACGCTACGAAGAGTGGAGGTGGTGGTTATGGTTATGGTTATGGTGTAGTAGTAGTAGTAGCAGTAGCAGTAGCAGTAGTAAGGGAAAATAAGGCCTCTTGACTTCAAGCCCGCGGCCAAACGTCATAATTTTTTTTTCTAGAGTTATTCTCTCTCTTCTAGCCGTGGGTGAAACAGACCGGACCAATCGTATTTGATGACACACCCACCCACACACACAGAGAGAGAGAGTGTGTGTGTGTGCTTAATCTTGCTGGCGCTTGTTTTTACCAGTCGCACCAACCCGTTCCTGCTTCTTCGAAGACGTTTTGCCCAGTCCTTTGTACTTGTGGGGATCCTAGTTTTTACAGCACCGTCAGACCTGTGTGGGTGACACATGACACATTCCAATTTGAGTCTCCCCACCTCCCCCTCCCTCCCCTCCCCCTCCCTATCTATGCACTCATTTTTACCTTGCGACTCATCAACGCCCTGGAGCGAGTGCCTTCTCCTCCCTCCCAAAAATGTCCGTGTGCTCCCCGTTCGAACTCATGCCCACACGAGCACACTGCTGCGATGGCCTGCTCACGCGAACACACACCGCACACATGTCGCCGCGCCATCTCGTAGACGTGCTCCTCGCCTTTGTCGTGGCACGCATCGCATGGATACAGTCGACTGCAGCATGGGAAGCGGAACCAGCGCTTGCTCTTGCGGTAATGCTCGCATGTACCTTTGTTGGGCAGCGGCTGGCCCACAACAAGCGCCACGTCCTGACTGTTCTTGTTCTTTTTGCGCTTCAGCACCGCCTTGGAGACAAGTCCCTCGTTCGCTTCAAACCGTTCGCCGTCGTCCTGGCCCACCCTGATGAAGCGGAAGTCGCCCAGTGCCATGGTGGCCTTGGTGGTGCAACCAAAGCAGCCCAAGGTGACGGGCCGGCCGTGCATAGTGAGCTCCACGTTGGTTTCATCCCCCATGCAGGTTATACAAATGCCAGTGTACCAAGAGGGCAGGATGTCAAATGCTAAGCAGCCACTCATTTGCAGTAAGCCGAGCTTATTTGAACTCTGATGCATAAGTTCTAGAAACGTCATACATGCGGTGGTGGTGTCAGCATGCTATGTCTAAAAGATTCCTTTTCTAGCCCGTTTTGGCAGAGTTCAAACCTACCGGAAAAGAACTTGACGCCCATCAGTTGCCTGCACTTTGAGCAGGTCGTCCAGGACTCGTTCTTGGCTTGTTCCTTGGAAGATGGTGTAGCAGTAGCAGCTTGGAGCGGGTCGTTGGGCTGCAGTTTTTCGATATTCTCCATTGTCTTGCAGCGCGCACATTTGACGACGAGATTTAAAGAGACGCAACGAACCAGGGTGGTGTTTTCGAAGCGATAGTTGTACAGATAAATCTCGGTTCCTTTTCGAGCCACTTGCTCTGGTTGCTGTGGTTGCTGTGGTGACGTTGAGCTACCGGATGCCTGCTCCTGCTCTATTTCTACATTGGTCATATTGCTGCTGCTGCTGCTGCCAGGGATCGGGCGATCTTCTGCTGCAGGGGCTCCTGAATGTGTCGGTTCCAAATCAGGCGGTCGTATGAAACTCGGATCGTCCACCACAATCACCCGTTCTCGTTGCTTATCAACAGCATCGAACAGCGACGACTTGCTTGCCTTGTCTCGAGCAGACGATGATCCCTGTTCGGGTTGCCTAGTGACAGCTTCCTCTTCTAACCGTTGTTGTCGTTGTCGCTCTTCTTCTTCTTGGTCGTCCTCATCCACATGCCATGGACGCTGATCCGGAGGATGTCGCAAGATTGTTTCAAGATTCCGGCTTAACCAATTTAGGTTTTGAAACAGTGTTCGTTTTGGCTTCTCCACGTGCTCTGCGAATGCATAAGATATGTCCCTGGAAACATTTCCCCACCCCATAAACAAGTGTCAATTTGCTTTTTTCCTTTTCCTGCTCCTTTCTTTTCTCTCTCTTACCTTGCTTCATCCGCACCAAGTGCTCTATCATCTACTTCGATTGTACAGGGTAACAGAGGGTATTGCAGAGGTACATGGTATTTGACTTTGAGCTCCTTATTGAGTAGTTCCTTGTATGAAAAGTCAGGATCGTCAAGGTTGAGCACCAGCTGGACCACCGTCTCCACGTGATCACTTCTGCACAATCATTTATACTTTAGAGCTCCCTTTTTCTCGATCTGCAACATACACCACACTAAAATAAAACCTACCTTAAAGCCTTGTACGAACCACGGAACCGTGCTTGAAGCTGTTTTAATTCTTTTTCCCGCTTCTGCGTGGCTTCTTCCAATTGCATCGACGTAAAGAATGGTACAGCTGACGCATCCAGCTTCTTGCGGGATGAGTGTGCTTGTGGTGGTGGTGATGACGAAGATGATGACGATGACGATGACAAAGTCGAGGATAACGAGGGCGATAGTGGAACCGCAGAAGAGGATGACGATGAATGAGCATTGATTTTCTTTTTTGCAGCAGCTGTAGCGGTAGCAGCAGCGACGAAATCGCTTGGAAGTTCAGGTGCAATCAAGGACTTTTCTTCTTCTTCTTCTTCTTCCTCTGGCTTCGGTTTTGGTGCTGATGAAACGAACCGCATCGTCGTTGCAGGTTCTTGTTGGAGCAATGTTTCCATGTTCTTGTCGAGCCAGCCCATCTGTCGAACTAGTGTAGCAGGTGTTTGCTTTGCATATGCTTCAAATCCCTTTTCGAGGTTGCTGTAAGAAACAGATGTTGTCAGCCTTATTAACTCTCCATAGCTATTAATCCCTTCCTCCCTCCTTCGTTCTCTTTCTCTCCTTGAATGTTTAATGAAGCTTACAATGCAAATCCTTTAGGAATATCAGCATTCATAACAATCACAGAACACGCTTGTTTGGGATATTTTGCTGGTACCCTGAGCTGTAGTTGGAGCAGGGCGAGTTCGAAAGGAAAGTCGGGATCGCTTGGTGGAAATGCAAGTCTAACAACCGTACATTCATCATTCTCGCTAACCAAGTACGAACAGTTAATCTCTCATTGTTTACAGCACTTGTACACACAGTCACCCAAGCATCTCTTCTGAATACAAGAAACACCGTAAACACTATCTTTTACCTCACTCTTTTGAACGTCGATCGGTAGCGTCGTTCGAGTTGAGCCAGTTCAGTGTTTTTATTTCGTGCAACCTGAATGTTTTAAAAAAGACAACGGTGTGTGTATATAAGTACGTAAAAGTTTCTGAAAAAAGTGATTTGAAGAATCTATTTCAAACATTACCGATGTCACCGGTCTTGACAGTGTTCTTTTCGAATCTGCCATTGGTTGTACCTATGAAGGAGCTATAAGTCAAGTCAGTGAAGCCCGCTTATATATATAGACGTAATACGCGGAGCAGAAATAGAATTTTGCCATTTTGCTGCGGCACTACCGCAGCAAGTCGTATTGTAGGGTTGGTGGAGTTTCCCCCCTGACGCTTCTCTTCTATGGGATATGAATATGGGAAAAACGTAAAGCACCAGGTTATATACTAACCATCACTATGTGCCGCTGCTGTTTATTTGACCAGTGCTGGGCGGGTTATACAATGATCAAGTCAAAGCTTCGTGTTTATACAAGAAACTGCAGCAGGCAGTTTGTAGTAAAACGTAGAAAGAAGAGGCCGGCAGCATCTTGTGATTGTTATCGTACTCGTGGGTTACCCTCAAAGGTTCTACAACTGTAGGGCTTTGTTTAGCGATTGTTTCTATTGGAGCTCATTGTTACTAATCTTTTAAGCTTGGTATGGAGCTGTTAAACAATTTTAGCAACTGGTGGAGGTGTAGCTTGCAGGATCAGACCCTTTATACATGACGGTCTAAATACAAAACATATATTCCAATATTAGTGCTGTTTTGGCTACTATCGTAAGGGTAAGGCAATGATAGAGACACGAGCATTGTTGCTGTAGTGAAAAAGAGAGTAATGGTAGCTACCATTATCTAGAGTGCGCTTCTGGTGCTATTGCTGTTGCTGATAATGCTTCCTTGTTCCCTATTTTTGGAAGGTAGCATGTTATTCTCAAGTATCTTGTCTAATATTCAACCCTAGCGTATATAGCCCATTATATACCATGGAAAATTCGAGTATACATCAGGAGAGAGAGAGACAATGCTTTGTAGCTATGATTCCAATATTAAGAAACCGCCACCTCTTTTGCATTACAGTGGTGCTTCCTTATATGGAACATTACAACAGTCACTTACAAAAGGCTGCATTTTTGCCGAACTTTTTTTTTCTTCGGTTTCAAGCAAAAGGCACTCTTGCTCGTTCAAAACAAACAATGCCCTCTGAGGTCAAAGGACAGGTAAAAGTCAAGGAAATGACGCATTGCGACATTTGATCCGGTCAAGTTAACAAAGTATGCCGGAATTAATTTTTGCTCAACTAGGCCGCCGAGAAGAGAGACGAAGTAGCTGTCAACTCTAATAATAAAGAGACACTCGACGACTTTTCAACAACGTAAAGAGGAAACAGACAAGCGTTTTATTTTTAGGTTTGAAAGTACTAACATGTTATTAGTAGTACAAAGCGTCGATTCGATGATATCGAGTACGGCAACGTTGAAGACGACGATGAAGAAGAAGAAGAAGAACTCGACGAGTTTGGTCGAGTAAAACGTCGACGACAAAAGTTTCGATCTGAACGAACAATCAATACAGATACTGGTACCACAGCTGTTGCTGCTGGTACTGCTACTGAGAAAGAAGAAGGAGAAGAAGAAGAAGAAGAAGAAGAACGCTACCGTCGAAGCAACCGACGATATTCAGACGACGACGATGATAATATTGATGACAACGACGATGACTACCACAATTATCACCGCTCACGCTATTCTCGCCGATATTCTTCACCACATTACCGCCGCCGCCGTCGCAGCAGTAGTAGTAGCAGCCGGCGCCATCATCGATCATCCCATCACTATAGATCCGACTCAGAGAGCGCGGATGAAGGATATAGCCGTCGAAGAAGACGATCTCATCACCGAGCGTACCCGGATAACAGAAATGTAAGTGGGAAGATGTAGATAGTAGAGGAAAGAGTAATGCAAAGAGTTTTCTTTCTTCCCTTTATCGCTTCAGTGGGATACTTATTATTTTGACTCATGTCCCTGTTTTTAGCCCTATGATGCCGCGGCAAGATACATTGATACCGAGTTTTTCCCCACAAAGATCTACATTGGCGATCTTCATGGTGTATCGCAAGACGAATTAGAACGTATATTCGGCCGTTATGGCCCTATCCGTCAAGTAAAGATGGTGGAAAACAAAGAGTGAGTTTTATTGAAATGTGTGGAGAACTACGTATGATAATATTTTTTGTGCGATTAATAACAACGATGTGCTGTAATTGCAGCTACGCTTTTGTGACCTATGACGATCGAGAAAGTGCAGTGGCAGCTATTCAAAGTATGCATGGCGCTTTGCTAGGCTCACGCCATATCAAAGGTAGGTCTTTTCACTACATTTTTTTTTGACAAAAACTGGGAACTCATTTGGGGTCTTTTTTTCCCCTAAATATAGTCAATCGAGCGAAAATTCCAGAACGTAACCAAGTTGGGTTTGGCAATGTGCCTTGGACAGATGAGGGTAAGTAATAAAGCTGGAGAGCTGCAAAACGTATAGAGTATGTAATTTATTGGTTTGTCACTGGATAGACGGGAACCTTGCCAAAGAGGAGATGCGGAGCTATCCTGTCAGCCGTGAGATATCACCATTATTTGGGTCAGGTATGATGTTTGTTTCTATTGAAATTGGCGAGAGCATCTTTTCAAGCGCACGTAAAAGGCTCACGTCATGTGCGTTTCTAGATAAGCATACCCCGCCACCAACTGGTCGAACGTTGACTAGCTATGACGATCTTTGAAAAAAGCTATGATTAGTTGGACGAAGGACAGGACTTGGAGGAGCATAATGTACACTTCTTTACACAAAAGCATTCATCATACTTATATACATTTTTTCTGCATTCATATTTACACATCTTCCTTTTCTGTTCCCTTCATACGAGAGTTAAGACCGGAATAAAATTGGAGGTTTATATTACATTTTAATCACAATTACTTGTACTGTTGTCTTTTATTCAATAATGCAACAGTGACATGGTTTTGTTTGTCAGGCAGGGTCAACCTTCGAGGTAATCGTCCAAACGTTGGCGATATTGTCGCGCTCTCTCCTTGCACCATCTCAAGATACTGCTGTTCATCATACCGTTTCAATGCAGCCCAGGATGGATTCAGGAATTTCAGATGTTTCTTGAGAACTGTAAGTTTATCTAACAAAAAATGGTGCAGTCCGTATAATCAGTACAAACGTGTATGTACAGATAGCAAGAGTCATTACAAATAGATATGTACCTTCCTGCACATCCTGTGCCACGATACCATGCAACGGCTTGTCAGGAGCAGGCAGAGTTCCTTTTGTTCCTTGCCGCAAAGGTGCCTTGCCCTTGACTAGGCGGCATATGTTTCGTGCGATACAGACGCCAGCCAATGTGGCTGCATAGCCAGTCTTTTCCTCCACGACGTTGGTCACGTCACCACCAGCAAAAAGGTGACGGTATTTCCAATGTTCGATTTGTAGAGTGGGCTTGACTTGGATGTGGCCCCACCCGTCAACGCAGGTATCCAGAAGCGGGTCGTTGGTTGCGTTCCGTAAAAGCCCACTGTGTGGACGTGTACCTGTGGCCATAAAAACCTTGTCATAAGCATTGTATTCTCGTCCGCTGGATCCGACATATCTGCTGCCTGCGCCTCCATCCGTAATGTCGATGATACGCTCGTTGCATACGACTTCGACGTCTAATTCTTCGGTCAAGTACGTCATTGCTTTCACTTGTTGACCAGCATCACTTCTGCTCAGCAGAGCAGAGAGTGATTCCACGAGCGTCACTTGCTTCTTTGGATATTGCCCTGGAAAGGTACTGGATGCGATTTCTGCGGCAAGCTCACAACCAACAAGTCCTCCACCTGTGCATGAATAAGTTGGGGTTAGGATTTTTTCAATTAACCTGATATTGTTTGTGTAATGATTATGCACGTATAGATTATAACCATTACCGACAATGAGAACCCGCTTAGCCTTGACAAGCTCCGAATTGACCTGATCCAAACCGAACAGCCGGTATAACGATGATACATCTGTGGATTTTAACTCGGAGGTGTACGAGCTTCCAGTGGCAATTACAAGATAGTCAAAGAATATCTAACAATATGGTATACAGTGATCAGCATCTTGGCCATTTCAATCTGCACATATAACAAACAACTTACAGTTTCATCGTTCACTGTGACGGATCGTGCATCATGCCCGATATCCTCTGCGTATCCTATAATCACCTTGCCATTTTGTACATATGCGTCATGGCGAACGCGCATTGAACTTGATCCTTCTGGATGAACAATCCGTTTTACAATGCCTGGAGTATACTCGAACGAGTCTGTTTTTAGAGTCAATATTAGTAACGTATCACCGACCGGTCCTTGTTCATGTTAGTTTTGCTAGTATGTGAGGCTTACTACAATGTCTTACAATCATCACAATGCAAGTTGCTGCACACACTAGCTGTGCCACAAATACTAAATAAACAAACAAATATACCTTTTGTATCAATAAGAGTAATGTGGAATAATGACATTCGATCCAAAATAGATGCAACTGTAAATCCCTATAGTAACAGCGTTGGATCAGAAAAGAAGAAGGGTTTCTATTGTACTACGGTAATTTGATCGAGCTTATTATTTACTGTGAAGCCACCACCGATAATCATTACACGGATTCGTCGGTCGTTTCTGTTGCGAGCGTCCGGCGACGGCGGTGATGCTGCTGTGCTTCTGCATAGTGTAGACTTTAACAATTGTTTCGCTCAAGATTAGGGGAAAAAAAAGAATTTTCATCATTACAACGTACTTTAATATACTCATATTCTTCACACGAGAAAACTCATCCAGTTTCAATGTCTATAAAAATGTATAGAAAACAAGCAGTTTATCATCTAGCCTCTTTTTTTATCATCTGATATACGAGAAATATATACCAGTGTGGCGAGAACTTGCTGTTCCGTGTCCTTGAGGATTTCGGCGGCGTCTTTATTACTTAAAATACACCAGGACAAAGCATTGATGTCTTCAAGTACTTGCTCGCTCGTAGTAACGTCTTTTAATTTTAGTTTGGCTCTGGGTGCCAAGAATGTGTCATAGACCCTTAACATCCAACAAGGTAGTATAAAAAACGATTTGCTATGGTGGTTAATAATCCTTCCGTTTGTACTACTACGACATGTATCATGGAAAATTCTACGGAATGGGATCGCTAATAACTGGCAGTTATGCGGAGGGATTGTCATTATTACCTGTGGAGCATAGCTTCTACCTTTTTAGACTCGTTTTCGTGTCGTAGCTGTGACATGGCCTCAACAAACAGCAGGTTATATTCTAGATGGTGTGTATGGTTGCTCCGTAAAAATGACTCGAATGAATTTAATAATTTGGGATCTGATACAACATTCTGTATAGGAGATATCATTGTATGATAACAAGGTAGAATACACGAAAAACGGTAAAAGGGGAAAGAAGAGAGAGAGAGAGAGAAGCGCAGAAAAGTAATAGGCAAAGGCGTTTGATCATGCTTAGCTATAAGCTGGTCGCCTTCTTTTTTGTTCTATGCAAGGTCCGTAGCCAATCACGAACAAAATTTTCCAAACAGCTATGCATGGAACTTCATAAAGCCGGCTATCTTCAACCTTTTACCGAGTATCGAGTCTGAAACTTGTCTATATCTCATCTCAAACTTTTTTGTTTCGTATGTGCTACGTATTGTTAGAAAATAAGAAATTTTACATAAAGTCATGGGAAATAATGGATATGATAATAACCAATCTTGATGATTTTTAATACTAATCGTACCCTGCAAATATATCCTTTTGGGAACGTAATTTTTTTTTCAAATTCTGAACCGGTAATCAAGGCGATTGCTTCCTTTATGCTTGGTGGTCTTGTAATAGTTAGTTTTCTCCGCGTCTGTCATGGCGTTCCATTTCTTTTCACGGTACTTGTTGGTAAGCGAGTACCGTAGGCGTTGCGAAATAAATAGACCAATTGCTACGACGTTGAGGATAATACAGACGACGTTGCCAACCGGATATCTTGGCGCATCCGCTGCCCCTGTAATAATCATGGCAGATTAGAAACCACTGTTGCCGAATGCATACCTCTTGCTTTACCGCTAACATGTTTGTTGTGTATAGGAGAGAGGATATATGTACGTACTATAAATTTGGCTGCCCGGCACGCCGTTCAAATTGGCAGCTCCAATGATTGCTCCAAGGGCAATGGCACGTTTTCCTTGAGGGGCTAAATTCGAAGACATATACGCTAATAGATTCACACAGATGAAGTCCAAACAGTTTTTTAGCGGATCCGAGCTTCGCTTGTTTTCGATATAGATGCTCTTCATTGACGAAGTGATAAGAATCAATAAACTGGATTTACCAATATGCATGCCATGCCAACTTGGTGACGAAGCTGTCACCGTAGCTGCAGCAAATAACGACCAGCGACTGGTATCAGCAGGTAGAGCGCGTAAAGTAACATATCCAATTGTTTCCCAAATGACGCCAATAAGCGCATGCAAGGCAACTTCGCCATACTTGTCGGAGCTGTATGCAATCAGGATGGAGAATACAAGGCCACCGAGATACGACGGCATAGTAAGCAAGTTGGCCGTAGTTACTGGGAAGCCAGCGTCACGTATAATTGATGGCAAGTAGGTATTGATTGGCGTGTTTGTCATCATACTGTTCAAAAGTAAAGTTATAGATCATTTTGTGGGTTACTTGAGCAAGTGAACATTGCATAGTCGTATAAAAAGTAAGGAGAGGAGGAGCTCGTGAAGCATACCCAACAAATGTCGTGATCAAGTGGGTCCAAAGCTTGGTATCCTTGAGAGCTTCCTTGATATCGTCCCAGGTAATAGGTAGATCTTGTTCAGTCTTGCTCAAATCATCGCGAATAACACGCGTCACGGCAATCTTGGCTTCTCGCTCTGTAAACCATCCTTTCTTTCCGCGGAGCCTTCCTTGAGTGCTCAGGGCGTTTTTGGGTATATAAAAGCTAAATAGTAGTTTTGTAGAGTTTGTATCAACATATGTAATCAACTCCAGTAGTAGTAGCATTGAAGGTTCTGTTATAAGTACATGCGACAGTTCTATATCTTACAAGGCAATAATTCCAACAATGTGTGTAAAGATTCCATCGATCAAGAAGAGCCACTTCCAGCCCTCAAGGCCCCCAACGCCACGCAAGCGAAAAATACCTATAAAATATTAGGTAAACACGTTAGTATTCATTAAACTTATCGCCAAATAGAATATTATAGACTCGTCAGTAGAGGACAATGTTTTTGGCCTAGAAGTGACGACTTTACCAAAAGATATAAGGCCAGAGAACGCCGATGCTACTGCTTGGATTCCCCAGAACATAGCTAGCCTCGTCGCTAATTCGTTTGTCTTGTACCAAGAACTCAAGAACATAAGGCACGAAGGTATAAACCCGGCTTCCGTTACGGCGATAAGCACACGAACAGTCATGTAGCTACCATAGTTCTGGTAATAAAGAAGGTACATATATAAACTTTGTTAAATATGAGCAGCTCATATGAAAGATTCGGCAGCAGTCTATACAGAAAATGTAAGCAATGAAAGAGTGATATTGATACGTTAAATTTACATGTATAAGTGCATGTGCCCATGTGACAATTGCCCAAGAGTTCATTAGAATAGGAAGCCAGCGGTACGCGCCAATCTTTTTGGCAATAAAGTTAGACGGCAAAGTAAATACTGTGAACAAAATAGAGTAAGCAAGAATGGCATTGTTGACACCATCGTTGGTGAAGCCAAGATCATCAGCTAAATGGTCCGAGATGGCATTTGCTTTTAAAAATAGATTGGGTAATTAGTGTTATTAGTTTAGTTGTAATTTCTTGATGATAGCTTTTTTCGTAGCAGAATGTGCTCAAAACGTTATTAGGCTTACAGTGGTTGGTTCGATCCATGTTCAAAACAAACGCCATGAGAAGTATAAACGGTAAAAGATAGAAATCAATCTTTCGGCGTACTTTTATTTCTTCTTCTTCGGTCCATTCCAAGGTCTCGTCATATCCCTCTAAACTCTTAAGGTCCGAGCCATCGTCGAATTCTGCAGCGCCATACGCCGTCGAAATTGAGCTCTTGGTATCAGTCTGTTTATCGTAAATTGCGACCTTGTTGATTTCGTTGTCTTGAAGGGGTCCTTCTTTTCTTTTCTTGATTTCGCTCATCTTAATGCAGCAGCGGTGGTATGTAGTGGAAATTTTTTTTGTCAGGAGGGCTTTGGTATATGTGATGGCAATATGTAGCAGTAGAGCACGGGACCTGCCGGTGTCGAGGTTATGGAGGGGTGAGGTAGTGAGTAGCTGTTGACAAGCTGACCTTGGTGCTGTAATGCTTATAGTCATTGTGTTCATCAAAAAAATTCAACATTTATATGGGCTTGGTTTATGGGTTTAGCGTTTATGCGAAGATGGTGCAATCTCTTGCATAAATCATAGAAGTATGACAAAAGCTTGAGCAATACCATCCCGCAATGGCGTCGTAGTTATACGATAGTAACAAATCAAAGAATCTTTTCCATGAGTGAGATAGCATAAGCAAAATGAAACTCGGTACTACACTGAATTCGTATTACTCGAAATCGGAGATGGTTTGCCTATTTGGGACCATATGAAGCCAACGGTCCAGTCGATTGCACAATCCTCTTCAATTATTGCTCCAGATCACAACACCTTACAGGTAAAGAAAAAGTACAAGAGTGCTATTCTTGTAGCAACAATTTTTGGTTCTACGGAAAAACAAATGGTTCTCGTGGATCCACGGATTCTATGGCTTTGATCTTGGCTACTTTTCGCAACGACGGTGTGTCGCACTACTGTTACGAAAATGTCGCTGTCCTTGCCACAATGACAAACTTTGGCTCTAGACTGCCTGTAAAAATTTACTTGAGCACTTTGGAATTTCTATATATCAATTGCCACAGTTTATAAGCGTAGATAGCAAAGAAGCTTTTGTATACAAAACAGCGATGGTGATCTAGTCCGACTGCATCACAAAAGGCTGCTCTTGGTTCCAAGGTCTAGCTAACTAGTGCTTAAAACGGTTAGTGACGTATATATCCTCGTTTTCCCCTACAAGCTTTGAGCGCTGATATGTAGGGAAGTACGTCTATTGTACTAATTATTTATTATGCTACTATATCATAACACTCGCTTGTGATTGGTATAATGTGCTACTGTATTAAGGTAGTTCCAGTATCAAACACTGTGCTTATGTACGCCGATTCTCTTCAACGACGTTTGATTAAAATATATCATGAGCTGTTATAAGTACGGCATCATTATAACCTAACATTCTCCTCTCGCATCAAGTTATACAGTACGCAACATCAGCGAATTTAATAAAGAAAATTCACAATGCATTGTAAACAGACTACGTAGTTTTTATTATAAAACGTCTGTTTAATATGTAGAGCGTTATAGCTCCTCGTTTTTGTTTTTTTGTTTTTGTACAAAAAATTGGACATGCTGCTTTCGATACTTTCTATTTCCAGGTTTGTAGTAGCAGCGTGGAAGCTCCTTGTACAACAACTTCAAGATTGCTTTATCACTGCCTTTCTCGTTGTAACCATAAGTCAAGTCATTCAGCATCTTCCGATATCGAGTTTCTAAAATGTCTTGCAAAGCAATAAGAAGGGTGCCGTAGTATTGCCATTCCTTGCCGTAACACCAAGCTTGTATGAGGGCTCGATGATTTCTACATGCGATTCTACGAGCGTACATTTCGATCGCGCGTTCTTCTTCTTCCCGGAGGGTCGTCTGCTTTCCGGCGGTTGGCTCAGCAATCATTCCGTGTTCAATCAAACCATTCAACAACTGAGTACGAACGAGATTCGCCTTGGTTATATTGCTGTACACTTTCTTTTTGTGGCCTTTCTGGTTGGGGTTCTTGCTGCCAAAAATATGCGAGAAACTCGTGCCATGCCATGGAAGACTTGGCACCCATTGATTCCATACAGTGGGGCATAAGTTGTCTTCAGCAGCCTTTTTCTTTGATTCAACGACCTGGATTAGTTTCCTGATTTTGTTGCTACGGTTTTCCTGGCGGGCCAAGGTTTCAGGCAAGGTTCGCATGCGACGACGGAAGGCGATCTCGATCGTGTTCTGCTTGCGTCGAAGTGCGTAATGCTTTCGTAGCTCGACACTTTCGCGGCTTGCCTTGAAGACATTGTAGTGATGATGCAGCGATCGATGGCCGTAACAGTAGTGGTCATACGTCTCACCATAATCAACTTGTTTCTGCGTTGTAGTCGATGCACTAGATTTATCATATTTAACGGCGTTCTTTTCTGATCGCTGTGATTCATTCTTGTGCTTTCGGATGCTCGTGAAAAATCGTTCGTTTGGAATAGGCGAATGGTCTTCACCAGCACGAGCGGCAATCTCAGCAAAAGATGACTGCGACAACTTTTGATATTCAACATGTTGCCAGTCAGAAGCAGTATCTTTGTCGTTGTCGAAACCATCATCCTCAGTAGTATCATTGTATTCAATGCCGGAAGAAATTGTGAGACCCTCGTTGATGTCGGCATCTCGTGGAAGGATAACCTGCCATTCTCGGATGTCTTGTGCTAGTTTTCCAGCAGTGCTTGCAGACGATTGTAAAGGTGGAAATTCGTCCAAGCTCGTGATGAGTGCAGGTATAGCTTCGTTTGTATTTTCGTCACTGTCGTGTTGTATGGTCTCACCAAAGGCAACCGTATGCGAAGGATGACAGTTGGTAACTTTATAGGATGCCATAGTGGGGGTCAGGTGTTCCGAGCCAGGCGTATGTTTTTGTTGTATAACGGAAGCGAAGAGGAATGTAGAAGTGCGGTTCAATTAAACTCTCTTTATATATACAATTACAGTCTATACGTATAATGCGGTAGCCGATGAAATAAGGTTGTTAATACTGCGGTACGTATGGCTCAGCCAACTTATTGTTTCCTAAAAGGGTATGTTGCGGCCGCAGCAACCACTTCACAAGCACGTGTGTCATCATTCCACACCATGTACAGTCATAAATGCTCATTTTTCACGCATATTACTGTTTGCAAATTTCCCAAGTGCGATGAAATGATACATCGATCTTATATTGTTGATATATTTGACGTAAAAAAAAACCGCTAGAGGACCAGTAACATGTCTTTTGATGCTTGCTTTATACTAGCGCAATCACCTTCATCTTTTGATACCAGGAAAGTATTATTATATCTGGGTAGCTGTATCTAGCTAGCATGAATGCTCCCTAAAATATTTAACAATGAATACCTCTCCTCCTTCTTCCTTACTCGATGACAGCGTCCTCCGTTGTGATTAGCCAAATAGTCTCTTATTGTTGTACATAGTAAAGCCATTGTCAGCGGACGCCTCCTTTCTCCATAATCATCGTCTTAATCCACTCTCCACAATACCACATACCCTATTTTCTGAGTGGTACTATAGTTTATCGTTATAGTCGCCATTAATGCGGTATCAAGCAAGCAATATGAATATTGAAGCCAACAGCATGTCCATCGGCTGAATGAAGCTCCGATTCGGGAAAACCCCACTTTGAAGTCCCTGGCAATTATTGACCTTTTTTCTGAACCTTTAAACTTGAATCGATCATGGCCATGAACTTGTTGCGCGTATCCGCCAGCCGATCGGTACGAATTGGTCGCTCCTCGGCCGTCCATTCCGTGGGTCAAATTAGTGCGCGTCGCATGGCGTTGCCTCGTGCCTACACAACTGGAGCAGCCCAACAGTCGTCAGCTTCGTCCAACAGCAGTAACACACCCTGGTTCATTGGCTCGCTCATGGTCTTTGGCCCCATTCTGTTTAAACTGACGTCGCCTCCTCCCACCAAAAAGACACAGGAGAAGGCCCATGTCGAGCCAATTGCTATGGAGACGGCCGAACCAGCTGCCCCTGCTACTGCCCCCGCTCCCAAGATTCAGAAACCTTATGTCCTCATCGGTGCAGGCACGGCTTCGTTTGCTGCTGCTCAGGCTATCAAGGAGAAGCAGCCTGACGCTAACGTATGTTCACTGCTTTGTTTGTTGTGGGATATGAATTTTATTTTAAACTGATTTTTTTTGACAGGTTATCATCATTGGTAACGAGGAATATGCCCCATACATGAGGTAGTACCGAAAACTGTTCTTCACTATAATTCAATTGTTTAGCTTTTACAACGTGTTAATAAGTTCGAATATAGACCTCCTTTGTCGAAGGAATTGTGGTTCTCGGAAGACCCTGAAGTCGCAAAGACCCTCTTGTTCAAGGACGTAAGTTTAAATTATACATATTACAAACAATATTATTTATCAGTAAATTAATCTTATTCTTCCTCGTTTGTCACAGTGGCAAGGAACTGAGCGCAAGTAAGTATGGTATAATGACGGATAGAAACGGTGGTGATGTATTAATTTGGAATCATAGCACTATCTATCAAGATGAATCACAATATGAAGTGATTGAGGATGCTTCCGGTTCGGACCTCCAGACCTCAAAAATCAAGCTCCTCCTTAACAAGCAGGTTGCCAAGCTTAATATCGAGGATCACACTGTCACTCTTGCTGATGGCAGCATTATCTACTACAACAAGGTGGGTTTTAGCTAAAGGGATGTGCCTCACTGTACTGTATACCAACCGTGATCTTCAAATACATAGGTTCTGTTGGCTACTGGCGGTGAGCCCAAGAATTTGCCCGACCAAGCCGGCAAATCGGATAAGGTCACTACTTTCCGTACTGTAGAAGATTTCAAGAAGCTCGACCAAATTGCTAAGGACGGTGCCCATATCGCTGTTGTCGGTGGTGGTTTCTTGGGATCCGAGCTTGCTGTCGCTTTGGCCAAGCGAGGTAAGTATAATAGCAATAGCATAATGTTGGAGAATATCTCACTAGAAAATTGATTGATTCTTGATAAAATTATTGTTTAGCTGAAAAGGAGAAGTTGACTGTTACTCAAGTGTTCCCTGAAGGTAAGATATCTTAATAGTAGCTTTTGAATGGGAACTGTTTATATAACTTACTAACATATATGGTGCTGTAGAGGGTAACATGGCCAACGTCTTCCCCTCGTATCTTACCAAGTGGACCACTAGCCGCGTTCGTAAATGTAAGTGTAATTGCATATAACACACACAGCCGATAAGACGACTATGTAGCTAACATATAAAACCAAAGTGGGCGTGAATGTCCAGACTGACAGTGCTATTAAGGCCATCAAGACTGACGAAAACAGCAAGGTTGTGTTGGATCTTGGAAACGATAAGCAGGTTACTGCCGACCATGTTGTCGTTGCTGTGGGTATTCAGCCACGCGTGGATTTGGCCAGAGAGGCTGGTTTGGAAGTTGATGAGAAGCGTGCTGGTGTCGTCGTCAATGCCGAGTTGGAGGCTCGCACTGACGTCTTTGCTGCTGGTGATATGGTTTCCTTCCACGATGTCCAGCTCGGTCGCCGCCGTATTGAACACCACGACCAGTAAGTTTTACCACAAGAAGGATTTTTTTCATTGTATGCCTAGAGACTAATTGTATTGTCTGTGTATAGTGCTGTCTTGAGCGGTCGTCATGCCGGTGAAAACATGGTTGGCGGTGCCAAGCCTTACAAGCATCAATCCATGTTCTGGTAAGCATTGATATCAAAGAATCATACGGCTTCACCAGTATACATACTAAAATGTTTGTTAACAGGTCTGATTTGGGTCCCGAGATTGGTTATGAAGCTGTCGGTCTTGTTGACGCCCAGTTGTCAACCGTGAGCGTCTGGGCCAAGGCCACTGCTCAGGATACTCCTGCTGCCGGTGCAGGTGCAGAGGCCGAAAGTCCTCGTGGTACACCAATTGCTACTCCTTCTGCCGAAGCTACGAAGACTGCCTCCGCAGGCAATCCATTCAAGGATGAAAAGGTACGTTGTTCTGGAAATGTGAATTGGGCTCGGTACTGATTCATATAATTACTATTAGTTCGGCAAGGGTCTTGTTTTCTACGTTCGTGAAAAGCAGATCGTCGGCCTGTTGCTCTTCAACGTTTTCGGAAAGGTCCAGGAAGCTCGTGATATCATTGATGCCGGTTACACTACTGAGCAGATCGACGGTTTGCTAAAGAAGTAAGAATGGCTATTTTTTTCTATTTAATCTTTGCAAGAATTTTACTAAACTGGGCATTGTTTTGTTTTAGGTTCAACTTGCATGACGACTCGCATTAATTTCTTAGAAAAAATCCACCTTCAAACCCAAAAAGTTATTGTATTCACTCTGTAAACTATCATTAAACTGATATTCTTCTTGATATCCAACAAAAGCAAATGAAAAAGGTTTTTTATCTGTTTACTTATTTGGCTACATAGTGATAGTCACTATGGAAAGCGTGGGGTATGTTACAAACGGTTGCCATACCAACTGCTGCCTCCATCTACTGCAATTGTCGCACCATTCGTGTGTTCTCCAGCACGAGAAGCAAGATAGATGCAGGTTCCTGCGATATCTTCAGCTGAGCCGATGCGCCCCATGGGATTAGTTGATCTTATATGGTCACCGTGTTTTTTCAAGGTCTCTGCCATCATTTTCGACTGGAAAGCACCGGGTGCAACATTGTTGAAGGTTACGCCTTTATGACCCAGTTTTCCTGCCATGTGTCGGGTAAGATCTGCATCGATAACGTGTATAACAGTGTGAGAAACAACCTAATATCGTTTATCTCATTCCTCTTTTAGTAAAAGAAATAATACTAACGATGCAGGCCCGATTTCGCTGCCGTATATGCGTATACTTCGTTCGATACGATGCCTTCACCGTTCACTGACCCAATGTTGATGACGCGGGAAGGGTTCGAGTTGCTTGACTTGGCTGTCAATAAGGGGAAGCAACTATGTATGAATTGAAAAGACAACAACGCGTTAGTTGTGCAAAAGAAAACATCGCAACCTGTCGAAAGGACGTACGCTTGGATGAGCGAGAAGACGCGTCGCAAATCGAGATTGATGATCTTTTCGAACGCTTCGTCCGGATAGGTTTCAAAGCTCTCATTCCATGTTGCTCCAGCATTATTTATGAGCACATCCAAATCTAATACAGTTCCGTTAAAATCGACCCAGGTCAAGATATCCTGTTGCTTGGCAGAATCCCAACAACTTACGATCTTCACGTTTTGAAAGTTCAGCCACCAGCCGCTTAATTTCATCGAGGCTTTGCAAATCAGCTGGGAGGGCAATGCATTGACCAGGTCCACGCGCGTTCAAAGCTGTTGCAACCTTTTCGCATACGTCAGCTTTTCTACTCGTAATGTAAACTTTGGCACCGTGGGCAACGAATCCGGTGGCAATCATTTCACCGATTCCACGGGAGCCACCAGTAACCAGAACGACCTTTTGTTGTAGAAAAGTGTTAGTCAGTGTCGCACTTGCTTTCTTTCTGTGTATCTATTCTTCGCAGTAGTGTTAATAACCTTATCGTTAACACTGAAGATGCTCTCCATTCTTTACGATTTCAAGTATGAGAGAGGATCAAGAGCCAAAATCATCGCAGCCCTTTTTTAAAAGGAAGAGTTACATGCACAGCATGAGAAACATAATCTGTCTTCATGAGTCATGAGAGTTGCTTTGGCCGTAAAATAATATTTCCATGTGACCTTACTACAGGTAAGGAATTTAGCGGCATAAAATTCTCATGCAAATGTATCGGTGAGTCATTCTAATTTGATGATACATATCCCTTTAGCAGTGGTTTGCTTGATTGTCTGAATAGCAGCGTACTGACAATAACGGTATAGTCACAGAATGCAGTAAATTCTATATACATTAAAATCGCAGTAACAAACGTTATTTTCTTCAAGCCTAAGATGCACATCCATCATGATACATTTACTTTGCCTTTATTGCTTCAGGCACACAAAGAAAAAGAATGAATAATGGCTGTAACATAAACACGAATATCTACAATTTGCTGTACACAAGCGAGCCTCCATCAAGGGCAATCGTGGCGCCATTCGTGTATTGACCTGCGCGGGATGACAGATAGATGCAGGTGCCAGCAACATCCTCAGGAGTACCAATACGTCCAATAGGAATTTTTGCACGGATGGAGTCTCCAAACTTCTCCAAAGTTTCGCGCATCATCTTTGACTGGAAAGCACCTGGTGCGATTGAGTTGAATACAACGCCGCGCTCGCCGAGCTTACCGGCCATATGGCGTGTGAGATCTGCGTATATATATACGACAGTGATTAGATATTTCGGTCTTCCTTCCTAAACATCATCCAAATGATCAACTTACGATGAAGACCTGCTTTGGCAGATGTGTATGCAAAAGTCATTTGTGGTGCGGCCTATTGTTGCAAATATTACGATTAAAAAGAGGCGAAATCGCTTTAGTTGATAATACTGATAGCACTTTTTTTGGCGTAGAAACTACTTACTCGGAAACCATCAATAGATCCAATGTTGATGACTGACGAAGGGTTGTCAAGGGTTGATTTGGCCGTCAATAGCGGCATGCAACTAAGTTATACTTATTAGCTACAACCCTTTGTGTATAGCACCTACAATGGATATTTTGTATAGCCGCGGCCCCTACTTACGCCTGTGTGAGTGAGAACACGCGCTTCAGGTTGAGGTTGATAACCTTTTCAAAGGCATGGTCCGGGAATGTGTCAAACTTTTCAGCCCAATTTGCTCCTAGCAAAGTAAATTAAAGCACTGTCAGATCAAGGGATACATAAATAACAGACAAAGAATCGGACAGACCCGCATTGTTGATTAAAACATCCAAATCTATTATCCAGAAAATATTCAATTTGAAAGTTAGTATGAAATGCAAAAGCTAGGACTGTCGCATAGTACGCGAACTAAATCACATCAATCAATCGAACATACGGGTTTCATGCTTCGAAATCTCTGCTACAAGGCGATGGACTTCTTCAAGTTTTTGCAAATCAGCAGCAACAGGAATGCACTGACCAGGGCCTTTGGCAGACAGTGCCGTTGCAACCTTTTCACACGCTTCGGCGGATCGGCTCGAGATATATACTTTTGCGCCTGCGCTGACATATCTGTGTTGTGATCGCCAAGTATCAATTAAAGTTGATCGATCATCTAATATAATGGATGAGGTATAATGCAACAATTCTTACCCCTATGTAGAAAGATATCAACGAAGTATGTTGTTGATGAGAATCATCCGTGTTGCTAAACTTCCTAACTTTTGCTGTCATTTTGAAACAAATCATCACGTACCGTAGCGATCATTTCACCAATACCACGGGAGCCACCAGTGACAAGCACCACCTAAAAGGCGGATGCATACAGATGAATTTCGTGAGCAGACCCACAAACGCTCATTGAAACACCAATAAAAGGGACGAACAAATATGGTACCTTATCCTTAACGTTGAACAAATTTTTGATATCCATTATCGCAATTTATTGAATGGCAGTTTGATGAAAAAAGAAAAAAGAAAAGAGAAATGCAGTAAACGTAATTTTTAAGGTTGCAGGTGGGAAAATAGGGCAGTGTTTTCATTAGTAATTGTGAATTATTTACTTGGCTCATGGTCCGCTGCTTAACCTTGCTCGTACTCCAGTTTGCGCTCATAGAAATCAATCAACTGCATTCGGAAAAAAGTATAAGCTTGCCCATTTTTCATATCCTTGCCCAGCTCTGCTTTAGCAATTTTCGCACATTCTCTTACCTTTTGAGCACATCGCCGTCGGATTAAATCAGTCGGATACATGGAGAGCGTGTCATCCTCCCTTTTTGTCATTTTAAAGCTCACATTAATATTTTGTCTTTGAACTTTCCTCGTAGCCTCATCATCAAAGCAGAAACGTATATTACCATCTTACAACACCGTACAAAACAGGACCCTCTTGTGTCACTGCTTCAATACAACGCACGCTGGTTTTCCAGTCCCAAGACAGCTCTATCCTAAAGTCCAAGTCGAATATAATTTCATCCACCCCGGAGTCGCCGGACCACATTGTACTTGATGGTGTTGGTACTGAAGCGGTGGTAGTAGCAGTTGAAGCTGATGAATTTGAAGGCGGTTGTTGCTCAGAAGTGCTCAGTGCTAAGCTCTCCTCGTCTTCTACGTCCGAGGTAAATGACACCGAATCATCCCGTGCCGTATCTTGCATTCCCTCGTTGAATCCCGTATGTACAAAGCTGTTGTAGGTCGATAAACCGTTGGTTGTCGATGAATGCTGTGGTGGAGTTGATGCTGATGCTAGTGTTAATGCTGGTGCTGGTACTGGTGATGATAGCTGTATGTGTACGCGTGATGGTGGCTCCGAATTTTGTTCGAGAGCCGAGACTAAGGGATCGCTAGTAATGCTTCGTGGTAGTTTTTCGGTATTAGAAGGAGGTTTTGCTAGCCTTCTTTTCTTTGGTTTGCTCAGCCAGTATTCATTGACAAGTTCGTCTGCGTCTCTAGAAGAGGGAATATAGACGTGTTCCCATAAGTGGTCATGCTCAATATTATATAGCTTGCCGTTGGTCTCAACGCAGAGTTCACGGAAAGAATGCCGTACACTTTGTAATCAGGTTCCCACGTGTTCCAATTGTCATCGAATCCTTTCCATTTGATGTAATATTCTGTAAGGCGTTTCTGTAAAAAAAGACACGTTCATTCAGACATCATAGGGAACTTGACAACACAACACAAAGTACGATTATGTTTAGTTACCCTTCCGTGAAGAACAGATCGGTGCTTAAGGATTTTTTCTACTTCGTATTCGTCCTCGTCAAGGTCCTCATCGTAGTCAAACTCGTCTCGTGAAGTCTGTTCATACACGCCCATACTGTATTATGCGCAGTGAGCTTGATAAGATGGGAGCAAGTAACAAAACGACATGCTATTTGCATGGCTGGGTTTTGATTTTGGTTACGGTCACGCGATACATGGCGACCACAATGCAAAAATATCGCTTACATACTCCGCGCAATTTCACCTCAGAAGCGCATGCCAACGAACGCTTTTGCTGTATAATTGGCATAGTAGACTTGTTGATACGACTGAGTGACTAGTATGTGCAGTAGATCTGCTGTAGAACCAATCGACTGGGTGGATAGTGATTTGGGTTATATAGTAAATGGAGTACGGCTGAAACTGTTGCATAATGAGCGGGTAGCGTTGTTACCGCCCAAGCCGCAGATCCAGCCTTTAACAAGTTTTACAGAGTGTTATCGTCCTGGAAAAGGCGCTCAAAGCTTGTATATGACAACAGCATGGAGCGCCTTAACATATAGTATCTCCAATGTATATAGACTTTAGTAGCGATTTAATACCACGTACAAGACTATTTTATATTGCGTACTAACGACAGTAGCCTTAGCACTTGCAATAGCCAAAATGATCAGGGAAGACCAATTGTGAAATGGATAAATCAGTGCCGAGCTGAATAAAGTCTTTCAATCTCTCATCTCTTGTACCCTCCTGTAAAATATGGGGAATGAAAGAAGTTGCCGCTTTATAACCACAGCATGGCGAGCTAACTGAAGCTTATGCGACTGTACTGAACAAAAATTAGCGCTAGTTACTGCTTCAAACAGACTCTACATTATTCAGGGACCAGGAAGGGAATTCCATCAAAATGGACGCGTATCCCAAAAGAGAATATCAGGAACGAGATCAGTCGGGGATGCCGTTAGTAGTACGCGCTTCCGATTCCCGACTGTGGCTTGGCACTGACGTCTGCCATAAATCTCGAACAACATGGGAGAAATGTTTCTTCGTTTCTTTTCCATCTGTTTCCCACTTTCCATTTTCCTTCACCTTCCAGTGAGGCAAGTATCATTTTCGATTAGTTTCGCTGTTAAAGCTAGATTGGGGGATACATATACATGATGAACCTTCTGTGTATGTCTTAAGTGGGGGCACATATGGAGAAGCCTTCTTTGTCTACGGGCGCTGAAGGTGAACCCTCTCCATCCTCATTGGATGTGGATATTACAGAATGTCTGATGTATGTAACCTACGCAAAAGAACATCTCTTTGTAACGTCAAAGCTAACATGGATTTTGTCTAATAGGCTGAAAATATATTTTGGTGCTTAGCAGGAAATTAGTGCTAGAAGTAGAAGTTATTTTCATGATAGCTATGATAATAAACATCAATATGAATAAACCAGACTTGGAAGAAATAAGAGCTATAGTCTGTTTGCAACAGCAACCTGCATAGTGTCAATGATTCACACGTGTCTGGTGCTGCTAGACAACAAATTTAAGTCACATAAAAAATCGGGGAATTGTTGGTTAACAACTATATAAATGAAAATGCTGTTTAATTGTTTTGTGAGTACTATATTACAGTTTGATTAAATCTACTCGTGTACGTTCCATGATTGTATCATTGTCAGTCGAGCTGACGTTGCTAGGCTGGCCATGAACAGTAAATCGAACATAGGTACCCGTTGTTTGTCGTCGAGATAACTGACCGGGATTAACGCAGAGTACTTGATCCACCGACTAAAGAAAAGGTAAAATTAGGATCTATCCATTACGAAAAAGCAGTTGCGATCGACAGTACCTTTATGGTTTGTTTTAGTTGAGACGGTAAGATAAAAATATCGGGCTTGACAGGTATTTGGATGTCTGCAATCCGCTCAGCGTCAATGCTATCAGTAGATGCAGCTGGGAACAGTGGATAAAAGCTACACGATAATGAAAGAGAATAGCAGCATGAGTTTCTCACATCCATCGAGAAACGGTTTTATATCTTTGTTACCTGTGCTGTTGCAAAACGTGTCCAAATAATCTTGCTAATCGATCTGAGTTGCTCCTATAAAATAAATAAAATTTAAAATCTGGGACACCTCATCTCTTTTAACTTAATATGAGTTACTTTGCTATTTCTTCTCTGCTCAGATGCTTGTAAATATCAATGTTGCCAATCGCAAACGCAATTCCATTGATGTCAACCAATGCTGGATTGCTTAATGTCTCGATGTTTGTTAATCCAAGCGACTGTGCCGGTAAACTTGGTTGAGGGAATACAGGGTACTGTTGGACGATATCGTCAGCATGAGGCAGAATCATCACTCGAGTACCGGGACATTCTTGCGCAAATTTGGATAGTCGACTAGCCACTCGTTCTTGGAAAATATCCTCAGGCAGAGCGTCTATTGAGCCATTGACAAAGCCTGGGTGGTTCTCTGAAACAAAAGGTCCCAGCTAGCCACAACAAAACCAGTTAATATATACTTCCTTGTAATCCAAAAATCTTATTTTGAAGATTCTGTCTCACCAATATCACGACATCTGGCCGTTGCTTTGTACATGACCTTAACAGCTCATCCAGTGGCTGATATGACAAATCGCTGTCCAATGTGTACGGTCCAGCAGACACAATGATCTCGATAGGTTTTCCTTGCGTGAGTTGACTGATTTCAGTTAAATCATCTGCATTTCGTTCTAAAACTGATGGCACTTGCGGCTGCCATAATATATAAGTTTAAAAACTGATATCCACGAAATCCCAAGATGTTACATTTACATACCACGAAGATTTCTTCTGCAACAAATACTCGCCCAGTAATATTCGTTCCTTTTACGCCCACAATCTAACAATGGAGTAGATGTTAGCTTAACGAGCTAAGATTGACTCTTATCATATGCAGTTTAATATCCTCTTGTATATTACCTGACCAGGGAATAATGCATAATTCTGTACTTTGCCAAGATCCAAACGTACACGTTTGCCCATACCCAAATCGCGGGACGTTTCGAGCACCACAGACTTGTCATTCAGTTTTCCTTCCGCAGCGTCACAGCAAATACGACCGACTGCCAGTATTTCGCCCTGATTGATTTGCTTGTCAGTACTAATTAATTGTAATCATCTTACAAGCTTTGTCCCGGTACCTGGTTTGCTCGAGTTGGATTTGTAAATTCCTGTTCGTTATCCTTGCTAATGTATTCTGAGAGATAGTCGATTTGTTCGTCTAGCACTGATTTTAGAAAGCTATGCATATTAGTATCTATCGTGTAGCTATTGCCATCCCTTTTCTGTAGTATGTAACCCACCATCCGCGCGATCTTTGATCTTTTCAAACATGTAACGATATTCTTTTACAGAAGGTCGAATCAAATCGATCTTGGTTCGTTTTTTCGTTGTGTCGACTGGTCCACGCAGTGACAAGTTACCATTAAGTGAATCTTCAACCGCATTGACAGCTTTGAGAGGAGCTGCAGCTTTGTTTCCAGACTCCTGCGATCTTTTGTTCCAACACAACCAACATAAATGGTTAGATAACTTTCGTCAGCTTGTCCACGTTTTTGCTTTCCATCACACAAGAAGATAGAAAAACTAACTGGCTTGAGGTTAATTGCTCGCTTATGTCCATAACGTCGCTCACACGTGATGCTTTGGTGGTCGCTGCTCGTTTATTGTTAGTACTTGTGAGGCGTGACATGCTATGATATGCAAATCAGTTAGTGGAACACAGTAGGGAAAGAAATTTACACTATCCAAGAAAGAACGTACAAATTCTCGAGTGCGTCGCCTTCGTCCGTATCCATTGTATATTCAGAAAGGTCGAAGCTCATGTTGGAACCAGCTTTAGAATCTTTGCGGTGTTGTAGCTGTTCTGCTGGTTGCTGACTCTTTTGTTGCAAGTTCTGTTCAAGTTCACGTTGGAGATTTACTTTAAGCTGACGAACGAGTTCTACTGTAGGGGTCAGAACACCAGTACCCAAATTAAGGGTGAAAGCTTCCCATTTGAACTTGATATCTTGTGGCGATAAGTCGTAGATCCGGCACAAAGACGACACTACATTTCAAATGGATTGTTTAGTCAAGCAAAGAGTACAATTGAGGGCACAATAATCGAGAAAACGAAACTTACGTTCAAGTACAACATCGCTATTTTTTTTGGCGTCAAGACCGAATGTTTCTTCTAATTCGCGTTCGCTCATAATGAATACTTTTGTTTATGTTGGCAGCAGTTGGTGCGAGCTTGAGAAAGCGGAAAAAATGCTGAGTCGCGTCTACAACGCGACAAATCGCGGTATCTTCGGTTCCTGAGCTGCCGAGTGAAGGTGTGGCGGAACCGAAAGTGACGGCTTTGTCTTAAACTGTCCTCACCTGCATTGATCCCGAGAAAAAAAAGTTTCAGGGTGACACTTCCTATACTGTACTATTACTATGGCATATAATTTGAATGCTACCAACTGGCGAGGTATTGCACGATCGTCCGGATCGGCATACGCTCCTTCAGAATATACAGCCTCGGAAATTGACCCCAAAGGTATAGCATTGGTGCATTCGCCTGAACAAGAAGACAAAACTCGGCTGTAGGCTGATCAGTTGTTGTAACGTTTAATTAGAGGAAGAGGATTGGGATGACTGGGAGCGTGAAAGCGCTTACGATGCCGATCCCAAGTGTCTATTTTGCTCGGACGTATTCGATTTACCGGAAGACGCTTTTCACCATTGCAAGGAGGCTCACGGGTTTGACTTTTTGGCAGTCAAGCGCTCCTTAGGTAATAAGTCTTTCATACAGAGACTCTCTTGAGCCATGCCAAGTGTTTTAACTTGTTATATATCTATGACTAATCTATGTATGATAGGTCTCGACTTTTACAAATGCATTCGCATGATCAACTATATCCGAAAACAAGTACGACAGATATATTGAAATATCGTGTGACGACATAATTTACTAACAAAGTGAAAAATAGGTGCTTTTGAAGCCAGATCTCGCCAACACAAAGGAATTCACTCTGACAGGAACAGAGGATTTCTGGGAAGACGATGAATTATTACAACCAGTTCTCGAAGACGATGCACTTCTTTTCGGTATGAAATTTGGATATCTGGCAATTACGGCTGGAGCCATATATGATTTTAATTTGACTAATCACTCTCTATATCTGCTTAGCCTTTGAGGAATTGGAAGTAGCTGATGATGATCAACTTCAAAAAGAGGAAGAGCGCCATCGATCTGCCAACAAAATCGATTTTTCATCAATCAAACCAAATACCGAATTGGAGAGCCAGTTACTTCAAATGCTCAAGAACAGCAGCGAAAATAGCAAGCAATTGCAACAGCAGTTTGAAGAATACAAGAACATGGTCAAATCCACATTTTTGAGCAACATTATCGATGATACACGCAGGTTAGTAGCGGGAACTTGAAGCAAGATTTTATCTCTTAAGCTGATTATTCGATATATCATGTATATAGTGAGAGATCAATGTCTGTCATGAGCGTGCGCACTGATGGAGTACCAAAAATTAAAGAGGATCCTGTCAATTATTATTTTGAAGGCTATGCTCAAAATGGTAAATCATAACATTGGATTGTACTCTAATTTATTTGGTCCTGAAGCTAAACTTGGATTATACATTAGATATCCACGAGCAAATGTTAAAAGATAAAGCACGCACAGAAGCCTACAGAGATTTTATGTACGAAAACAAGGATGTATTTAAGGATAAGGTACCGTATTGTTCAGTGGAAATACAATCAGTAGGGATTCAATCTAAATCTCAGTAGACTGTTTTGGACGTAGGATGCGGCACTGGCATTTTATCTATGTTTGCTGCAAAAGCAGGCGCTAAGAAAGGTAACGATTGTGTGGTTATTATGGATGCATCAGCATCAAACTCATTTAATCTTTCTCTAGTTTTCGCTGTGGACAACTCCAACATTGTTGAAAAGGCACGAGCCAATATAAAAGAGAACGGACTGGATCGAACAATCACGTATGTCATTATACACTTGGCTTGATTTCTCCTTTTACAGGCCGGTTATTGATTAGACGTTAAAAACTTCGTAGTGTTATTCGTGGTAAGGTTGAAGAGATCCCGTTGCCGGTATCGCAGGTCGATATTATCGTCTCAGAGTGGATGGGATACTTTTTGCTTTTCGAGGCCATGTTGGATTCCGTCCTTGTCGCACGTAACAGATGGCTTGCACCCAACGGCATTAGTAAGTTACATTCTTTTTTCTCTGTTGGTACTACTAGCGTCTATTGTATAAAATGTTTAATATCTTTTGTTTCTTTCTAGTGGCACCAAGTCAGACACGTATCTTGATGGCTGCGCTAGACGACGAAGATTTGAAAAACGACCGATTTAACTTTTGGGACGATGTATACGGATTCAAAATGTCGGCTATGAAGGAGCCTGTGTTGAATGAGGCTCTGGTAGAATTTATCAAACCTCATACGGTCATTTCCAGTACAGCTACACTCAAGGATCTGTACCTGCAGCAAATTGTCGTTAAGCAGCTGGATTTTTCGAGCAAATTTGAGATTGAAGTTTTGCGGGACGGCACTGTGTATGCTTTTGGCGGTTGGTTTGATACTTGGTTTACGCGAGATGGCCATCCCATCCCTCTAGCACAGCAAGCACAAAAGGTGCAAGGCGAAACATACTTGACGACAAGTCCGTTTGGCGAGGATACCCACTGGAAACAGACAATTTTTGTCCTTCAAAAACCTATTCCAGTCCAGCGTGGCACGAAAATTCATGGCGTTTTTACGTGCCACAAGGGCTTGGATAATCCTCGCGAGCTTGAATGTGGCATCCAGTATTCAGTGGACGACTCGACTGATGTTTGCGTCCAAAACTTTACACTTCGTTCATAAACAAAAATGGCATTTTCTTTTCTTTCTTTTCACCTCATACAAATTTCATTTCGCATGCAACAAGCTTTAATAAACGTGTCCACTAAGATTATCACTTTGTACGATAACATTCCTGTTTTAAATGTTCCATTTCTGCTTCCTTTAAAAAAAACGGCTGTAAATGGCTAATAAAGTACGTTCCACAACGTCGTGTCACCACTGCATCGTCAATCTCTGTTTGCTTGGCAGCTCCTCTGCTTTACACTCTCCCTCCGCTCTCATCTGGCAATGACTTCGTACGGCTCAGTTGCTGCAGAAGATTCATCTACGCCATTGCTTGAAGAGCAACGTCCCCGTTCAGAACAAAAGGCGGACGACCGAGCGGAATGGCGCGTACAGCTTGGCGAAATCCTCGAGAATGAAAAGGTGCACCTGACAATTGTCGGCATGACGCTGTTGGACGCAACTTTAGTTTTGTTTCAGATCATTTATACCTTTTTCCATGAATGTCAAATGGGAGGATCACCTAGCCCCTGGGTCCAGAGCTTAATCGAGGCTGCCGACGTTATTAGCCAACTTGTTACCTGCATTTTCTTGATGGAACTGACTCTTGCGCTGGTCGCGTTCGGCCCGCAATACTTTTTGCCCGGCTGGCCTCATTGGAAATTCCATGTATTGGATCTTGTTGGTAAGCAAGCAAACGTAGTTTTCTTTTCTGTAGTAGTAGAGAGATGGGTAGATCTAGGGCAATTAGAGCATACAGCATACTCACGCTTATTCTTGTGCTAGTTGTCATTGCAACCTTTGTGTTTGATATCGTGTTGCATGGCAAAGAACGCGAAGTGGCGGAACTTTTAATCATCTTCCGTTTGTGGCGTGTTGTGAGAATTGTCGAAGCTGCAGTACTCAGCATGTCGTATGCAAATCAAGAGACGGTGGAGAATATCAACGATGAGTTAGAAGAGCTCAAGTCTGCTTACGCCAAGATTGAAAAGCAACTGGAAGACGAAACGCAGAAACGTCTGGAGCTTCAAAACCAACTGGATCAGCTTCGATCTGAACAGTAACAAGAGCTCCATAGCTTAAATTAGAACGTATATTGATTATATACCATGCAGGTCAATAAAGAGATAATGATACCATGTCTAAGGAAAAGCTCTGCTATGTATGTGCTAAACCTTACCATGCACATGCTAGCAGCCAAGTCAAGTGATTTAAAAGGCTACTGGAAGGGGTTTCTAGAAGTGCAAACGCTTATTTTACGCCTTTTTCTTTCAACATGAGCACAAAAACTTCAGAAACACTAAAACCTATTTAACGAAAACCGCAAGAACGAAAAGTGATATGGAAAATCAACAGATTGTCGTCCCACTCCTATCCCTGTTGTTGTTCTTCCAGGTAATAAGCTGCTGCTTGTTTATACAGATGTATGATAGTATATTGGTATGATATGCCAACGACAATTGACTTCATTTACTTTTAAATAGCAACTTGATACTGTAAATGCTTGTCACAAGTGTGGGTTGATTCAGTCATGGTTGCCTTTTGCATATTACTTTTCAATAATTCGTTTGCATCTCTTTTTTTCTTTCTTTGAGAGTAAGGAAGACTGAACTAGCTTTTGCTCTCTATGTTGCTGTTGCCAGGATGACTTTAGTTATATAATCTAGACATCCTGAATGCTGTTGTTTATTCGTTACCGCATCTGCAGGGTATTACAATGCTATCCAATCCATTGAGCGGAGTTGGGATCCAGGAAGCTTACTAGGGTGATGTTTATATCTTGGTTGACAGCACACAGTAGCACTCCAGCGTCTTGTATCAGGCTTGCCTTTTCTCTGGCGTTTTGAGCTTGCTATCGTATTGTTGTTCGTTTGGTAAGCATCAAGCTTAAGACACTGGGTTCATTTACTGAACAACTGCTCATGAGTTTTGTTACATATAGAGTTTAAACAGACAAAGTACTGTAGTTAGAATTTGCCCAGAAAATATGAGGAACACTTTCCGGGAATCGCTATATTTCAAGATGTTCTTGATCCCGTATATATCCTAGCATGTGGAAGATGATAAGGTTCCCGCTTACCATAAATATTGACCTTTGTCAGTAAACTTGACTCCAATAAGTCCTCTGCGTAGTATAACTCTCAAAGCGGTTCGAGTATAGTTGCAGCAGCACGTTGGCCAATGAAATCCAAATACCGGGCATTAAAAATCCACTGCCCGACATGAACAGGAACGCGCGTATGCGCATACATACAGCATACAGACTGCTTTTTTTTGGTCATAAAGGGAGAGGGGAGGAGGCGACGATGGTCTTTCTATTCAACAACGGAAGAAAGAATATTCTCACTTCATTTTTTTTCTCTCTTCTGTCACAGAGACTATATCATATAGAGTGCGAGGTGATCCCTTTTGTGACGAAAAGAGGTACACAAGCATTTCTGATATATAAGGAAAGCATAGGGTAACCAAAAAAAATTAGTCTGTGCTTTCGCTCAGGTTTGAAAGGGCACCAGACTCGCTGCCGACCAGATCCACATCGTGCTGCCTTTCCATCAATCCTGGATCTAGTAAGTGTATATGTAAACATTTCAAATCGATGCTTGACTATACAGATATCACAACAATCCAACCTGGAAAACTGATTAATTAAACATGCTGCCAATATTGTTTATCAGCTCATTATAAATAAAAGTACAAGCCAGACTGCAAATATCACCGCAATGGTACTCAATTATTAAAAATATGTTGTATGGCATACGAAGATCATCTGTCCGAGATAATCCTGAACACCCCACGACTTCAATCTTTTTACTAGATCCTTCGATGATACGAAAAGCATTGATGCCTGCATTGGTGAGACTATAGATCCGTGAAACACGCAATAGCACCGAGCTTTCGACTTGTTCAAAATGCTCAAGGACAGCACCAGTAACACCTTTCACGGCTGTCAGTTCCAGATTCAGTATTTTGGTTTCCTCAAGTCGTTGTGCCCACACAATCCATCCTGCCTCTGTGAGAAAGTCGTCGACACTATTACTGTACGGTGATGTGCGGGTTCAAGCTTAATCTCCTGACTAGTGGGTGCTGTGATGGTTCGCACAACTACATTAGACCTTGGTTGTCGATGGGTATGTTCGTGAGACGCATTTTTTCAAGCTGTTGCAAACGTCGAAGCGGAGTAAGATCGCAAAGAGGATTCTCGCTGAACATGTGAAGGAAATTTCGCAAGGAAAGTATACGGAGCCGTTGCAGCGTACCGATGGTTGCGATAATGCTGTTCAGATACTGCGTTATTCCAGCGCGATTTCCAACTTCCAAGATCTCATTTTGTTGCTGCATGAGCAAAATCTGGGACCAATCTTCGCTTGACATACCAGTGATGTCCGTCAACCCCAAACTTGTCAGCTGTGTGAATTGGTTGCGTGCCAAGACATCCCAGCAATGAATATCAGAAAGACCACAGGCGACTATACGTAAATGTTCTAGTATCGGCTGCGATTTTACTACTATCGGCATGATCCTCTCGTGTCCCTTGCCGTTGAATAGCAGTTCATAAGCCATACTGCCTTCCTCGCCATCATTCGATGCTTTCCTTTCAGTTACTTAATATAAGCACTCGTGCTTCTTGATAGTGAAATCCATCTGTCTGCTATGACTGGTTCGCTGCATTCCCACATAATGTAGCGTAATAGAGGTCACAGCTCATAAGCTGTATAGATGTTGGTTGGAGATACGTTGTTGAATCGTGAGTAAGGCGATAATATCAAGTACTTGATGTGGGAGCAACGCTGCAATAAGGGACGGATCCGGTATTTAAAACTGAGAACACCGTCCAGTCTTAAGAAGATAATGTTGTGTATCGGTGGCCTTTTGTGTCTGCTTCTGCCATCAACTTGTTCAAGAGTAGCGTCTGATAAGTTAGTGCGGCCATCAAACATCACTGAAAGATGCGTTAATGACGGCAAGAAGTCCAGTAGCGTTGGCAGCGAGATATCGCAAGTGTGAAATGAAATCGTCAGAGCAGTTAGCGTATGCGAAAAATATCTGATGATACCTGGCAGTAACGTGCTACTGTCGAAAATAGGTTGTAATTGTTTGCTATGCACATGGTTGCTGATGTCTTATTTTTTTTTATTGAAAACAAAGAAAAAGCTTTAGTATATCTTTTGCGCATAAGCAGTAGTAAGTACTACCGAATACGCGATCCTCTTAACGCAAAAAAAAAGAGTATCGTTTTACTTCACCAAGGAAGCGAATGCTGTATCTTCGCCAAGCAAGTCGTTCCAGTACTTTATACGTGGCTTGAAATTTGATGTATACTGATTCGACTTGTTGTCCCAAACATTGAAGCATCGCGTCGCTCCTTTTGTTCCATGCATCAGGCGAGATTCCCACCAGTGTCCACAGGGCTGTCTGGTAAGTGGGGATCGCGTATAACCAGCGGCGACATACTTTCACACATTCGACACAGCCCGCTGTCCGATAAACGAGAAGATGTACTGAATGATTCGGGAGGCAAAATCGAGATCAAATCAGTCATATTACGTGTATGTGAAAGGGGACGCGCGAAAAGAAATTTGGCACGAGGCTTTTAATCGAACAAAGCCTGTATAAATTTGGAAAAGGAGGACCCTGAAGATTGATCTATTGTAACCACCAGTAACTTCATTAAATCTATGCTATCATAGCGATACGCAGATACACATTAGAACAGGCTCTTTCTAAAACCATCGACTTCTCGATACGAAGGAAAAGGCTTCAATCAATACTCGGGTTTATTGTTTGCGAGCCGCAAAAGTCATATATAAGTAACGAATCGCTTGGCCTGGAAAACACAGCATCCCTGTGTGTGTGTGTGGGTGCGTGCATGTTTTGGTAGAGCAAATATATCATATCTTCAACAGGTCCCCCTGATATCTTTGGTGAGCGATCATCACTTTCAAATAGGTAACGCATACCTTGAAAATATGTAACGAAGTAAAGTTAAATAAGAAAAGGAAGAGAGAAGTGAAGGTGTAAGGGGAGGGAAAGAGCTGTTACAAGAATCACGCTTTAAAAGCAGGCACATCGGAAAGATCAGTGCAAGCTTTTCGATCCAGGTGAAACCCAAAATGATAAGAAAATTGTGTTGTGATAAGCTACGTGCAGGAAGAGTGAGAGAGACGAACAGCTGAAAAAAAATCATTCCAATTTTTTACAGATCTGACAATTATACAGGTCTGCTGGCGTATGCTCTGGCGTTGCCTCTTATAAAATAACCGACCATATCCTCGATAACAATTTTTTTCTTGACAATTGCTTTGGCAATTTAGGCGAACACAGAAAGTGAAAAAGAGTGCCAAAGCATTGTGATCGTGTTACTTTCGGCTACGATACAGAGCCACTGTCACTGTTCCCCGCTTTGTTTAGCACGGAGCTGTGAATGGATGGAGGGGGGAGTAATTAGCTTTTTGTTCGCGAAAAAAGAAAAAGGAACTTGTCGTGCACATAAAAAAAAGGCGAGGCAAAAGCGGTAAAACGTTTATGCGGAAAGTGCGAAAAAGAAAAATATATTTTTTTTATTTTGTTTATCATTTTCTTATTTGTGTGTAATAAATAATAAGTAATAATAATAAAAAGTTCGTTTTAATTATCCCAACATATACCGTTGGCATCACATGCACCCGAAGGTTCACGATCGGCTGCCGGAGTATATGACCACATTCCCACTGGTATATATTGCAAATTTTCTTCAGGGCGCGGACCACTGAATCTGCCGATCATCAGAAGAATTATGACAATAGCCAGCACAAGCAATGACCCGATCATGGCACAGAGCAGTGCATCTGTACTACAGACCAAAGCTGTACCAAAACGAACTGAAGAGAAGAGAAAAAAGAAAGGCGAAATTGCTCGCTTTATATAGACATTTTTCTCGTTCGGGACTTCAAATCCCCGTGAATTCTCATTGGCCCAGATAACGGGTTGCGTATCAACTTGTGGGTTGCCTACTATGGCATAACAAAAGATACAGCACCAAAGGAAATGAAAGGAGGAGTGGTACCTGATGGTCAAGTAGACAAGCGTGCTTCGGCGGTAGTGGTACGTGTCTCTCACCATGGGCTGCTGTACCTCCGATGCTGTCGCCGCTTGGTTGTGAGGGGGTCCGTGCACGGCACCGTGTCAAGCGAAAACAAAGACACGAATGTGAATGAGCATGTAGATTCACGGAAGAAATGCTTTTCTGTGAGCAATCAAATGGCAATACAGGAGTGATTGACAAGGTAAACAACTTAACAGATTCTACGGCATCAGTTGTTCCTCATCCAGCATTAGTAAACATTAAGAACACGATCCTCCCAGCAGCCAGTTTCTATTCTTCACCCAACAAGGTAAACAGCATGAGTATAGAGCGTAGTCCACAGACTATTCCATTTGATCAGTATCTTTTGATTGCATGTGCTGTGTGCGGGAATAGATACAACACACACTTGACTCCAACGCTGCAGTATATAAAAAAAGATCGTTATCTTTTACTGTGAAGCGTGCTTGTCTACTGTTGCTTTATAATTTTCGCCATCCCTCTGAACTACGCCGTGTAACCTCCCCCCATCCATTCCGAATTCATACTCTATCCAAGTATGTATGTGCTGCCGCAGATAAGCTGTCCGCTCATGGTAAGTATACGCTGCCGCTAGTGAAACTGACTCACCCTTCATTGATTTTCATTGCTGCTGATAAAGTTAATCGGTTCGTTTGTTTTTGTGCGGGTTCTACGTTTTTTTTAGCAGCTTTCAAGATCCATTGGGACGATCAGAAGAATAACACCATAAACGATGACTTCCTACTGTACATCTTTTGATCCTTTTGCGCGTAACTCGTTGCTCCATTGATCACCTTGTTCACCCGCCATTCCTTTGTGCACTTTGAGTACCAAGTAAATTGGCCAAATCGTTGCGTAACAATGCGCTTTCACTCTACGGAGTTTTCGTTTCAAGGGAAAGCTGTTGGAACGTTCGAGGTTTGACACACGCATCACTTGTCACTATCCAAAGAAGAAAGATCTGTGTTGCGCTCTTCCTGAGCTCCTCGTTCCTAGACTACCTTTGCTTCCTGCTGACTCACGTCAGTACAGTAGGACGACTCTGAACTTCTCTGCTATGCTTGGAATATACAAAGACGTCAGCATTACCCACAATCAATTTGGCCTCATTGGGTCTATGGTTTTTCTTGGTCAAGTGGCGTTCCAGGTTTGAGATGTCGTTGAGACTGATGGGTATTCCAGCACCGGAAAGGGCAATTAGAGAGCTCAGAACATGACTGATCAATATGTACGGAACAGCTTCCAGTGATTTTCTTTCTGCAACGGTTTCCTCTTTCCAAAATGGTGGGCGTAGCAATGCTTTGTTGGGGAGTAAGCCTGGGCGGAACAGCGTTTACGAACAGCTTTGCGCAGCTGGCTACATGTCGGTTTCTTTTGGGCGGGTTCGAAGCGTTTACGTATCCTTCGCTTTATCTGTTTATCAAAACACATTATCGTCGGTTGGAACAAGGAACTTACCTCGCACTGATCTCCGAAGGTTTGTGCATAAGTGGCATATGCGGGACGTAGTTTACTTATGGCGTAGGCCACACAAGGCGTACGTAACACTGCACCCATCACAATCCACCTGGCAACAATGTTTGAAAGTACGGACATTAACGCCTTTTATATTTGTATCACAGAAGCTGGATTCATGCATGGTCGCGGTAACTGGGCATGGTCAGATATGCGTTAATTTGGGTGGTGAACCAATGCTTAACATTATTACTAATGTGAAGAGAAATAACTGACCCGCACAAACCTCGTGTGATACTGCAGGTGTATGCTTGTGTTTGGCGCCGCTGCTGTTTGCTTCAGCGTTATTGTTTTCGTGTTGTTACCTGACACGCCGTATAGCAAGCGCTTTCTTCTTACGCCTGATGAAAAGGGGATTGTTGCGGAACGAATCGCTGACAATAAGGTATCACGCATCACTAACATACGATGGCCCCAGATAATCGAGTCCTTGAAGGAGCCGCGTTATTACAACAGTTTGCTTTTGCTTTCCTTTCTTTCAAACCTGTCAAACGGTGCTATGAGTGTTTTTCGCTCGCAGCTTTTCAACGATCTTGGCTTCTTGGTAAGATAATACGGTGAAGTCCTCATATAATAAGCAGAAAGCGTTATTTGCCAAAAGGAGCAATTTGCACATTACTTTTTAGAGATTGGACTCTATTCTCTTAAATATCCCTTCAAGCGTCTACGAGCTTATCATCCTCATCATCTTTATCTTCACTAAAACCAGAATCCGCTGGTGTAGTAACCACGTCGCTTACAGCAGTGCATTATTTACCATCATACCAGTTGTTGCCGTTATCGTACTGAGGACAGTTCCTGCAGATAAGGTTCCTATCGTTTGCCTTTTTGCGATTTATCTTACTGCACCGGGTTATGCCACTCTCGGTGCTCAAGTACTTTTATCTTCCAACGTGGCCGGGAGAACTAAGATGATCTTTTACAGCACCAGTATTACGTTCAGTAATACTTTGAGTCATTTCACTAGACCATTGATGATGGCCGGCCGAGAAGCTCCGTCTTACCCAAGCGCCTTAACTGTATTTATCGTGGCGGACGGCGTACAGTTGTACCCCGGTTTTTGCAACCCCTGGTTTTGCAATTCCTCGTATATCTGCAACTTTTGTTGAAAAATCCAAAAAAAACTTAGTAGTTTCGCAGATTTGCAACTTGCAAATGAGTTTATACGATTTGCATGTTATCGGGGTAAAAACAGCTTCAATTTTTGCAATATCAACTGAAAGAAGCATCTGTTGCGGATTATGAGGAATAAAATGATGCGGTTACTGCAAGATAAATGTGTAAATATGAAGATGTATTTATTGTCGAAATACATAAAAATTATTATTTGGTAGTTGAGCCAGTAGAATCGGGACACATATATAGCACTGATTGGATTGAATCCACAAAAGAAATGATGAAGATGTAAGAAAAAGGGATCACACTACATATAGATATAGAAATAAAATGTTTGCTCAAAGGAGCTTTTAACTACATATCGAAGAAGTCATCAAGGGATGACTGTCGGGAGAATGATTGCTGCCTGAGACTCTCTGGAATCCTACGCAAAGACTTCTTTAAGTCGTAGTTATCGATATTATCCAAAAAGCTCAAAACTCCTGCAATTGCAACCTGTTTTTCCTTCGACGTTGGCCCTGGAATAGGCGAATCAGCGCTCTGGTCCACCGCCCGCTCAAGTGCTCGTCGTACGTTCGATCCTCTTGCTTGGATGTGAACTTGTGGAACGATTTTGTCGTGCTTAAAAGAGCTAATAATTATCAAACCACTAGACAGCTTCAATGAAAGAACGGTCTTATAGATGCAAGTAGTAACATTTAGAGCTGTATGAATATTCCCAAAGAACGTATCGTACATCATCTCTGACAGATAAACAATGGGCTAGTGTTAATAGGATGACTTATCCAGTGTATACTTAAAGCAGAATTGTTTACCCCGTTACTTGCAAATCCTCACTTTTTGCAAAAAAAAATCGGAAAACCCTCGGTTGCAAAAAGCGGGGTACAACTGTAGCTATCTTGCTTTTCATATACATCGGATGGTCATTCCAGAGCGAGAACCGAAAGCGTGACCGAAAACAACTGGAGCTCGACGACCAAGGCGTACATATAAAACACCATGCTGCTGCTGCTGCTGATGATGATGATTATGATGATGATGAAAATCTAACAACGTTCAACTATCGCATCTCAGATATGATATAGACCATGATAAGAGTACTATTACCTATCATTACTTGTACTACATATTTACCTACTCAGCAACCGTACGTATCTTTGTACCAAAAAAAATCGTGTACAAAGAATCTGCAATTTTTATTCAGGGCTTTGTGTTTGCGTTTGGGCTAACTTTTGGGAGAAATTTAGACAGGCGAAATAACTAGTTTGCGCAGTAGGGTCAATTACGTCAGGATCAGCAGCTTTGGTATATTTGCGTGGTTTGGAGAAAAGAGTGTTTTTCTTTGCTCCAGTAGACACCATTGTGAGCTTGCGAATGGCACCACAAGCGACAAGCATATCTAGGAGGTCCTTGACCTCAGCGTAGGTGAGGAGACTGTCAAATAATCGCCGCACTTCTCGTTCCAAAATACCAGGGCGCTCCATGACGCGTTGGAAGACCACCTGAAGACTCTCGTTCAGTGGGTCTTTCGTTACCGAGCCATTGATATCGACCCAGAGTCGAGTGTCTATTACATCCGTTCGCTTTTCATTCATAGAGTTCGCACGATCAGCAGCTTCAGCAGACGAAGGCGTGAGCGCCTTGAGACCTCGTGTGTGGATGACCCAGTTGTCAAGGTAATTGGTTGTTACGTATCGGAAAGATGCGAAACCAACCCTGTGCACAAATGGCGGTCGAGACTCACAAAGTAACTTGATACATTTACGAATTTCGGTGTCTTCCATTTCCGGATAGGTTTCAAGTAACTTGTCCTGGAGATGTATCTTTGATATCAGTATACCGACTTTGCTTAATAAAAAGTGAGAAAGGATGGTACCTTGATTTCGAACAACGTTGCACCGGTGTCTTGAGTTTCTTGCAATAAACCCATGATGACTTTGAGAATCGGTCGAATGCTGGGTGCCTGGCTGCTACAAAAGCCAGACCATGTTACCTCCATATTTTCATGCGTAAGCGGTGTCACACATGACGATTGTGGAGTTGCTTGCGTAAGGATATTCGTGGACGAGCTGTTGTCATCTTCGGTTGAGGTGTCACATGCAATATCAACGTCGAAATCAAGCACGCTTGGGTCTAAAAAATAGGTTAGGCGAGTTAGCCACAAAATAAAAAAAAACAAGCATCCTTGAAAGTAGTGTCGTACCAAGTCTGCGCGACTTATGCATCGGTTCCAAATATTTTTCTCGTTCTTGTGTTTCGTCTTTTAATGACAAGACCAGCTACCATAAGAGAACAATACCATAGTTAGATCCGGTGATTGTTAGAGATAACCAAGCGAACATTCATTTTAAGGACATACCTTGTGCTGAGACAATAAATCAAGTACACATCCCATCATACCACTGCTAATAAGGATCGGTATAAAAGACGATTTACCATGTGAGAGCAGATATTTTTTATATTCCTTCGCTTGTAAGAAGAAGTTTGTAGGCAGCGTACATGCCATATCATTCATGTATCTGTTAAGCTTGCATCAGTATACCCCTTCCTATTTTTTTTTCGGCGGCGCAATTTCAGACTTTTTACCTCTTTGAAAGATTCCAAAACATTCCCGGCAGTCTTCTGTTATTGATACGCTCGCCTTTACTCTTCACTATCTGGCCTAATGAGTGCATTTCATTGACTGCCTGTTGAACAATTTCGTTAGGTTGGTGACTAACGACGGCGTGCGCAAAAAAAGGGTCATAGAATTCATATGGCGTCAGCAAAATCATCTACAAGTTGAGTTGATATCATTTCGAAGTTAGTCATACATCTTGCTAGTGTGATAGAGCGATATTTCTTATACATACTCTATTGAATGCTTTAAGGAGTTCCACTGCTCTTCGTTGTGGTTTAAGCTCGGTGATGTGTTCGGGAGCCAAGTCGTCTACCTGGAACTCCGAAGATGCGTCCAGGGTTAGGTATCCCTTGATCAAAACACGGTTCTTTGCCCGCATACTCGAACCACCGTGGTACTGGTCTTCGATCTTAAATGCAATATTCGCTGAATTTATGGTACGCTCGACATCATACATTTCATGCAGCGACTCGATAGTCGACGGCAACAGGATGACGCGCGCTTTTGCACTAAATAAACGATGCGTATATTAGATACTACATACCCTGACATACAAAGATAGACTAACTGTAAAGACATACCTATTCACATCCTGCAGTCGTTGGATGAAGTAGCTTAATTGCCCGAGAATATCATAGTTCACTGAATCGTTTGGCTCTTCTGGATAGACTCCTTCGTCTAAACCTTCAAGATAGAGTTTGGGCCAAAGTGTTTCAAGAGTAAGAATATACTCTAGGATAGCTGGTAGAACCCTTATTTTGTTGAAACGATGGCGCATTTGTTGTGGTGTGCGAGGAGGTATAACCGAGGATGCTACAGTCCAGTAAAACCGATGTCGATGGTATTTGGCATGGTGTTTCATAATCACATAGCAATAAACCAGAAGTTCGTCCTCTTCAGCTGTCCAACTTCTGCGAATAACACGACGCAAACGAGCCAATTCCACTTGGTTGTTGCCTTATATATCGTATAATATCAACGTGGTTAGCTTAATGCTGCTAATAAAAGGAACGATTGGAACATATATAACGATAAATCCTTACTTTCAACAAATGGAATTTCGGTTTCATCATCCAGATATAACTCTTTGGCAGTATCTGTTTGCTCAAGATCACCCGCTTGTTCCTTCATAGCCTTCAACAAGCGTAGTCTCGTGCTTCCTCTGGTTGTTCTTTCGAACACCCGGTTTGTATTTATCAAGTTTGTTTCATCTCTGCGTTTTCGTTGTCGTCTGCGTTTCGGCTTTAATGAGTGTTCGAGTCGAGCAGTCAACTTCCGGAAACCCGATTTTTGTTGGCGCTCGAAAGCATTTTCCATCTTCTTGAAATAACCTTGAACCAACGACACATGAACATTGAGCTCCGTAGAAATAATTTTGCAAATGACTGTATTATCTGCAGGCGTTGTCTTTTCTTTCACATCGATGTATGTATTGAGTTTATCGCGCAGCTCACGAGTGACGATATTCGGACTCCAATTCTTCAGGGTGAGCAATATCTTCTTGAGTTCCCGGATTTCCTCGGTCTCCTCCACTGCAGCGTCTGGCACTTCCGCAGATTGATCAGTATTGGTGCATATATACTGCAGGTCACTCCAATAGATCATGATGTCGCTGGGTGTTTCGATGGTGTACTCATTGAGTACTCGATGGTCGCTCGTACGATAATCTCGAAGGGCCACCTTTGTGATCAGCTCGTACGAGTCTGGCAAATCTTTCGAGTCCTCTCCGAAGCGCGCGTACTCTGCTAGCTGCATATCCTTAGGCTTGACCACACCCAGACCTTTTAGAATGTCCATGTGCGATCGAACGCGATGCCGGAACTTGGCTGCTGAGGCGAATACCTTCGATTTGACTGGGTTCGGGAGTTCCCATATGTATTTGTCCATGTTTGCGCGATCTTCTGTAAACTCAATTAGAGCTTTGTATGGAACATAGACACCGATGATTTGGCAGTACTGCTGCATGGTCATCCAGCTGATGATGGTCGACGCCTTGATTGTCTTATTCTCTCGGTCGACACCGTCAATATCTTGACTAAGGAGTCCAAACACATGCTGGTGAAGAAGTTTGGCACGTATCATACGGGAAGGGACGAAGCCAAATTGAATGGCAATCATGAGCCAGTTTCCAGTCGAGCCTTGTCCGGCGTCCATAGTTTCTTCGATCTGGGTCACCTTGCCTATGTTTGCCTTGATGAGCTTGATTTCTTCGTCAAGACGCATAGCGTTCAATCCTTGCTTATCCTCGAGCTCGTCGTACTCTTCTTCCATGCGTTCCAATCGTTCCTCAAGACGCTCGACCTTATTGTCCAGTCTCTCATATCTTGAGATTTTGCGCGCACGTGATGAGCGTAGGGCCTTTTTCTCTCTCATAAATTCCGTGTACTCCTGCACTTCAGGACCGTTCTTGTCCAAATCACGTCGTAGCACTAGCAGCTTTGTACTCTGTGTGCCATTCAAATGTGTAAGCTCCAATTCATGCAGCTGGGCAAGACCAAGCTCGGCGAGTTCTGCCGCGGTTTTCCACAAGGTCTTCATACACAACCCAGGTCGCCTCGCTTCCGCAGGATACAGCTGCTTGTTTTTCTCAAGGAAAACTTTCTTCAGTTCGTGGCTGCGATCCCAGATGGGCTGTTCTTCCAGTAGAGCCAGCAAGGTCTTTTGGCGCTGTTCTTGATAGACATTGGTTCCGCGTCGTACATGTCGCGCAGAGGTGATTCCTGACTTGGTGCGTACAACGTTGGTACCGTCACTGTTGCTTTTGCGTTTGCGTTTACCCATAATTTGGGAATGATCGCTGACCGTCGCTGATACTGTTGTCTTGGACGGGTTAATGGCATCTCGCTGATCTTGCATGTCCACATCTTCTTGGTTATCAGGTCCCTCAATGGGCTGGGCGTTTACTCGAACTTCAACCAGCTGCTGATACAATCTTCCTGGGCTACGCGGTGGCGGTGGCGGTGGCGGTGGCAATGTTTCATATGTTCTAATTCGGGTACCTTGGTCAGTTCTGGGTGAAGATGGACTACCCCTTGATGTCGCGAAATAGTCGAATAGATTTCCTCGGCGTGGTGAGGCAGCGACGATTGGTGGCGAATGCACTTGCTCATGTGTTGAAGGTTCTTTTACGGCAGACGTGGATGCTTCTGTCAGCTGCTGAACTGTCGTTGATGTATCGCGGCTCTCCAAATGTGCAGTCGGTGGTAGTGGCTGCTCGATGGTTTGTTCTGCATTTTTTAGCATTGGTCCATCTGGCGTCTCTTTGCTAGCGGTGATAGTTTTCTGCTTCTTTGAAAGACGACCACGTTTTTTAGGAGGCACAGGAGTTGCGGTGTACACTTCTCGGATTTCAGGCGCCTGGATTGGTATTGTAGCGTCTGACGTCTCTAGCTGTTTCTTAGAGGAACGACCGCGTCTCACAGGTGTCTTGGTTGCTTCGACTGCTGTTGTATCTAAAGCAGGTAATTCTGCTTGTTCTGTCGCTTCATCGTTGCAAGTCGCAGTTTGTCGAGATGCCTGACCACGTTTCTTGGGAGCTTTACTGGTAGAGCTTTCGGTATCCAACGTTCCACGACGCGCTCGCTTTCTGGTCGCCGGTGTATTGGTTTCCGTATTGTTATTATCTTGCGTATTATCGTCCTGGGAAGCAGCATTTCTGGTAACTTTTTTTCGGGGTTGAAAGATCGGTGCTAGCTTGCTTGGCTGACTGCTTGATTCTGAAGCAAGTGAAGCAGCATCGTTTCTATTAGATGATGATGCAATTACAGGTGGTTGAGACTCGGTAACAGTCGTTTCTAATGGTTCTGGTGATGCCTTTTCGGTTGTTGACTTCGGCTGAGTCGCCTTCGCTTTGCTTCTAGAGCACGCTCCTTTCTTCAATACAAATTCGCTCGTTTGCTTGAAGATGTCGACCTCCTTAAGTTTGCTGGCTGCAATTTCGTACAAGGGAGGGCCAGAAACTTCAACATCAATATTATTCTTCAGCTTCTGATAAGCTTGATAACTATAGTATCGGTACCGCCTAACACGACCTTCGAACTCAAAATCGCGGCAGGCTGTATACTTCAATTCTTCAGGTTTCTGTTTCAAACCAGTCATTATCTCCAGCAATTTGTGCATTGCCTTTTGCTCGCCATAACTTAACGTATACATGATTTCCTAACAATGAACCAAATATAAATATGGTGTAATAGTAAGCTCTGTACTGGTACAAGAGCTGTGCATTACCTTTTGAGTAGCCCCGTTCGTACCAGCAGCTTGAAGAACGTCTACTAACTGACTCTCCACCGTCGTATCGTAATATTGTCCGCCACCAGGTCGGTTTTCGGCGTGACGCGGCTTCAACAAGAGCCCTGTACCTCCTTTAAGTCTTTTAACATCATCCATTGGAAGCTTGTACTGGTTAACGGTAATTTTCGGAGAGCTATCCATTTCTTTAATAGCTAGAGCAATTAAAAAGTACATGAGTGACCATGATATTACTATAGTCTAATCCATAGCAGTATAAAGCATACCTTGGTTTGGATCGACCAGCTGAACGCACCGAGATGTCCGTGATTTGGTCGTAGCACCTATTACTTTACGGAAAACGTTCTTGGTGCAAAGTTCGTCGATGGAGCGATGATACCATTTTTTGACAAACTTATCTTTCGCATTAAATCCCTGAGATAGATACCACAAGTTAAAATATACACTATACACCACATTACTACACGCTCAATCTTACCAAAGCGCTCAAAATATCATCGGTGTACATGACATTGTCTTTGGCATCTGTGAGTAAATCAATCATCCGAGCTCGCAGACGCTTCACCGTGAAAGCGACGCCAGACGCGTTAACGTTATACGCTTTTAATCCTTGTATAATGCCATCATCATCTGTCTGCTTGCTGTATCGGACGTGAATGCAAATATTTGTTCTTATTCCGTTGTGATTGATAGGCTTGCGGATACTATACATACCGGGTGTAAGTAGCTAGATACTGGGATTATAATACATGTTTATCATATCTTCACACCACTTACATCGCTCCCTTTTGCTCCAGAACTTTTACATAATGTCCAGCTGAACGAGGATCCAAATCGAGTACTTTGGTTAAAGCAGCTTGCGTGATACCTTGGAGTCCCGCTTGCAAAATGACCGTGAAGACAATTTGGAGATTTGAAGACATCGATCGTGCAGTGGGCTTTCACCGACGAAGCAGAAATAAGAAAAAAATGGGGTAAAGAGATACTATTAACATGACAATTTATGACTGTGACTTTTTCATTTTTTTTTTCGTTTTTTATGAAACGTACAGGTGTGCCGATGTATAACTGCTCGGTTTGCAGATTTTTGTCAGCTAACACTCGAAGTCGCGTGCCATACATTTGTTCGACTTTGTCAAAACCGAGTTCTTTGATGTCATCGATGCGCTTATAGTTCGTTTTCATAGCGTTTGCCAATGGCTACCAGAAACAGCGTTATTAGATCATCAAAATGCGTGCTTGTAAAAAAAAACACGTTTCACGGAGGTACTTACATCCACTTCAGCCTTGGTAGACTTTTTAGGTTCTGGAGCTGCTTTTTCTTTCGCGTCTTCCTCTTCATCTTTTTCATCGGAATCTTCTGCATATTCTTCTTCGTCATCGGGGCTCTCCTCTTCATCACTGGGTGGTTCATATCCGTCGCTGCTATAATCATCATCGTCACGATCAGCTGCTCGTTTTTTGGCTTTCTTTGCGGGTTTTTTAGCAGCTTTTCTTTTCGCTGGAGCCTTCGATCTTTTTGGATGTGCACGACTTTTGCCTTTTGCTTTTGATTGATAAGGAGCTTTGCTCTTTGTCGTTGTTGATGACGATGCAGTATCTTCAGCTACTGCAGCGGAGAGTTGCGGCGCTTCTTCTGTCGATTGTGCTGCTTGCTGCGGAGCTGCCGGCTCGCTTTGAACAATCGTGTTCAGATCTTCGTAGAATTCCAAATGCTGATCTTGAAGTAAAATAGGCCATAAGCAGCATTTGTAGGCTAAATCGATGCATGGTGGGTTGCTGGCATATTCTTCACTGATGCTGCTCGCACTTTTGGTAATTGTTGTTTGAACAATTTCCCAAAGTTTTTTTGATGTAATTCCTGTAGGAGAAAGATTTAGATTTTTATCAGCACTCTAGATCGATCAGAAAGCGTTCTTTCTTTTTTTATTTTATTTCACTCTGTACCTCTGGGCCCCTGAACAGCAGCTTCGGTTCGTACGGTGTCGACAATAGTATCAAACATAGAGCGCTTTTATGTCGTCAGAATGCCAAAGTGGTGACAATTATTCAAAAATACATGGAGGAGGCCACAAAAAAAAGAAGGAAAAGAGGTACGCGTGAAACTTGGTTAAGGAATTAACACACTTTCAAAATGTTCAGCACCATGACAGCCAATCAAAATCGTGCATTTTTGAAGTTCGAAAAACCAGGCAACATGATGAATGAAGGCGCAGACGTACGGAAACGACACATCATGCACGCTTATTTGTTGTTCATATCTGTACTGCTACACATTCGTTTAGTTACAAGACTTATCATTTGTAGAAGAGAAGAAATAGTTGCGTCCTTAAATCATATCACACTTGCTATACCCAGCATATATAGCACAACGTACACCAGTACTAGCAACAATATCATGATCAAAAAATCAGACAACATAAACAAGCTAATTGTTTATATAACTGCTCTTTATTTGTTTTATTCACATGTATTAAGTCTAGCTAACAGCTGCATACTACTACCTTAACCTATTAATCGAAGAATCACTATACCACTTGTAAACCCCACTGCCGCTCTTGCACAACCAAAAACACCAACATTCAAACATTCCAAAATATTGGGTGGGATGACTCCTGCCGCCAATCCCTAGACAGTTGTGTATCTTTATTAACGCATAGCCGAGTACTAGCGTAAGCAGCTGACACTCAGACATGCTAAACAGGCCAGGATTGAATATCTTAGGCTTCAAGAACATTGCGTTCAGAAACATAGATACCATCCAAAAACTTTCTGATATCCTTGTTCTTGACGCGGCAAGTTTGCTGGATATCAGCGGCTAAAAAAAGATTAACAGGAAAGCATTATGTTAGCCTGCTATCCCAACTATCCCATTGAGTCAACCATTTTTTTGTTCCTCCCAACTACTTACCTGACTGTGAAACGGCTTCAAGATCGTTACCGGTAATGACCAATTCGTCCTTTTGAGCCTTAGAAGCCTCGCAGAGAACACCCTCGCGCATCTTAACGTGGAAAACAACTTTCTGTCCCAAGAAGTTGCGGATCTCAACAGCGTCGCCTTGACTGTTGATAATGACGTTAATGGGAAAATGTGCGTATACGTAGCGCATCTTGTATTGGAAGCCCTTGGTGACACCGGTAATCATATTATTGATAATCGAGCGAACAGTGCGAATGGCGGCAACGTGTTTACGACCACCGTGGTAAACCACGAAGCGAAGCTTGTTCTTGGCAGGGAATTTCATCTCAATGTTGAGGTGGCTGAGGTTCTTTGTAAGCTTGCCACGGGGGCCTTCAACTTGAACGATTCTTGATTTGACATTAACCTTAACACCCTCGGGAATGATCAATTCGTCGTTTTTAACAATGTCTTTCATTATCTATGTAATACCAAAGAAATAAGTAAACGCGTCATAAGAAAATGAATGTATAGTAGTGCACTTACGATAGATGGATATGTAAGTGGATGGATGGATGGATGGATGCGTTGAAGAAAGGGTTGATGGATGGTGTAGTGCTACCTGAAACCAATGTTGAAAGCTCGTGCTCTTTTCTAGCGGCGCTTCAACTAGGGCACAGCGGAAGTTCCTGGGTTTACATTTTGGCCAATCAGAAGGCTGTATAAGAATCCTTAAAGCAGCCAATGACAGCTCTGAACAAGCTCTTACGTGTAACACTTCAAAATACTGGTGCATGAGACTGCTGTAATTTTAACTTGATCGCGTCGTATCATTATCATATGCCATCGTAGTGTCTCTAGTTGAAAGAACCGGAATGCATAATATCAACGACAATAATTGCAGGGGTTACCAAAGGGTCATAGGTGCAAGGACATTACTTTTATGCAATGCCATTTGTTTATACAAGGTGTAATATCCAATAAACCAAAAGAGACAGAATAAGTCAACGAGACCCGAAAGAAATTGAAACTGGTTTATTATAATAACAAAAGTTCTCACTATTTATAAGAAATGGCTTATCCTTGGCAACTACCACAGCGTGTGCATTGAACGGATGAAATGATGTTATAAATTAATCATATAGGATTAAGTAATGTATGATGCGTGAGTAAAAGGTACATCTGGGTAAATGCCTCAGATAGTAGCTAATGTGAATTACGTGATCCATATAACGACAACTTCTTCCTGAATGGGATTACTGCTGTAAGAAGTCTTGTAGTGAAGAAGCTACTCGTCCCAACACACTTTGCTGTGGCATCTAAAGACAAGGCATAGTAAAAATAAGCGTATCGTAATTTATACCAAAAGGGACTATATATTAAGCTAAGTGGGACGTAATGCACAGTAAACGGTGCTCTTAACGTACAGAAAAAGCAACCGCAAAAGAGCAGGACTTTTCTCTCGGGGTTTATTATGACATCATTAATTCGGCAACGGCAAGAAGTGTGCAAAGAGCCGGTCAGAGACACAAGCCCACGTGATGTGAATTTTGCTGTGAAAACAGGCAACAGTAGGGGTAAATTCGCTGCGTCTCTCTTTTCTTTTTTTATTATCACATAACGAAGGCTCCGATCACGTACGCAAATAATCAAGGAAGCAAAGGTAGTCTAGGAATGAGGAATTCAGGAAGAGCGCAACACAGATCTTTCTTTTTTGGATAGTGACGAAGTTACGCGTGTGCCAAACCTTGAACGTTCCAACAGCTTTCCCCTGAAACGAAAACTATGCGCATTGTGACGCAGCGATTTGGCCATTTGACTTCGCACTCGAAATGCACAAAGGGATGGCGAGTGAACGAGGTGATCAATAGAGCAACAATATGCGCAAAAGTGTCAAACGTTGGAGGAAGTCATCGTTTGTAGTGTTATTCTTCTGATCGTCCCAAAGGAACTTAAACGCTGCTTTAAAAGAACGTAGAACCGCACAAAAACAAACGAACCGATTTACTTTATCGGCAGCAATGGAAAACAATGAAGGATGAGTCGAATTCACTAGCGACAGCGGATACTTATCTATGAGCGGGCCAACTTATCTGCAGCAGCACATACTTGGGATGGAGGATGGAGGGAGGAGGTTACACGGCGTGGTTCAGAGAACTGTTGGCGGATAGCGAAGCTGGTAAAGCAACAGTTGACGAGCACGGTTAAGCATAAAAGATAACGGGTCTTTATTATATACTGCAGCGATGGGGGCATCTTTTTCCGCACACACACAACATTACGTACCACACACACAGTCAAAAGATAATATTAAAGTACTGTGGATTTGTCTGTGAAGTACGCTATATACACACGCTGTTTGCCTTGTTGGCTGAAGGACTGTAAACTGGCTGCTGGGTGGATGGTGTTTTGAATGTTCACTGATGGTGAATTGTCTACCTTGTCAGTCACGCCTAATTCCGGCATTTACTGCTCACACAAAAGCATTTCTTCCGTGAATGTACTTGCTCATTCGCATTCGTGTCTTTGTTTTCGCTTGACACGGTGCCGTGCACGGACCTCTCACAACCAAGCGGCGACAGCATCGGAGGTACAGCTGCCCATGGTGAGAGACACGTACCACTACCGCCGCAGCACATTTGTTTGGATGACCACCAAGCACACCCCCTTTCCTTTCCTTTCCTTTCCTTTTTTGGTGCTGAATCTTTTGTTATATCATAGTAGGCAACCCACAAGTTGAACAAGCGAGAAGAAATGTCTATATAAAGCGAGCAGTTTCGCTTTCTTTTTCTTCTTCTTAACTTTAGTTCGTTTTGGTACGGCTTTGGCTATAGTGCAGATTCACCGCTCTGTGCAATGACCAGTCCAAATGACTGTGCTGGCGATTGTTAAGACTCTTCAATGATTCGCTAGATTCAGTGGTCTGCCCTGAGGAGACTCTTGCAATGTACCAGTGGGAATGTGGACATGTACTCGGGCAAGTGATCGTGCACCTTCGGGTGCATGTGATGCCAACGGTATGTGGTGGGTTTTAAACGAACAGATTATTATTTACAGTATTAAGCACAAATAAGAAAATGATAAACAAAATAAACAAATCTTTTTCTTTTCGCACTCTTCTCATAAACATTTTACCGCTTTTTATTTTATTTTTTTTTGCTCCTTATTTTTTTTGCACCTTTCCTTTTTTTACATTTCTGTGGTCGCGTAGTTCTGCTCGTGAAATAATCGAAAGGAAAGAATTTGTTGGGAGGGTATGGACTCCAGCAACAACGGCGCTTAAGGCAAGCTGTTCTAAGCTGAGAGAACCAGTTTAATGGTTTGTTTCGCTCGCCACGCCCCTTTCAACCCCTTGATTAACCGAAAACAGCCATGCTGGTCTATAATTTGACAATTTGTTTAAAGCTGCCCACATCCATCATTGCGGGCTTGGACGATCGGCAATCGCTGATTGCCGTGGGCATATACTCGTGTGAGAAGACGCTGGTTACGGCGTTCAGCACACATTTACTCCAACCCAATCCAATACACGCTCAGTCATGCTGGTGATAAGATATCATATTAAACAACTTGCATAACACTATCCGCTATCATACCCCAGATACTTTTCCTTTTTTCTGATTTGAATTCGTGAATATAACTTGTGGTGACAAAACTTCCGTTCTGAGTGCATCATCGGCTCCCTTTTCTTGGTGAATAATCGTATAAGAGATTTAAGAGATCACAAATGACATACGTCTATGCATCATATCGCGTCAGTCCATATCGGGTTATAATAGCCTTACATATGCTGGATCATCCGAGTATAATGTTTACGTGCTTTACACAACTCGGTTGGATTGTCTCTATGCGACAGCGCTTAGCTTATTGCCATGGTAAATGCTGTGTATGCTTTTGCTTGATTTTTAGCCGAGTATTTTATTCCGATGATGATTTAGGTAGTGTAATGATGTGTTTTACCACAGTGTATTTATATATGTGTTTGCGCTCTGTTGAACGTGCAGATCGCCTTATTTAAGCTGTCACAGAGTAAGCTTTCACATACCTCGTTGTCGTCATCATGAAAGTCTGATCTTCCATTGTAATAATTTCTATTATTCGAACTGTTTATTTGAACCTATTATCACCTTTTCCAAATGTCGAAAAAAAAACTACTAATCCTGTGCATTTCATATATGTGGTATATAAAAATGTGGATGCAACTGCTATTATGGGTCTATTGTATGCTAAAGTTTGGTTTGTGCTTAAATTTTATGACCTTTGACAGGTGACAGACAACTGGATCAACTCAGATGTATGGATCGAGAGAAATAAGTGAATAATTAGATGTGCGAAGTAAATTGTGTATACAAAGGCTGATTCTGAGTTGTTCTCAATTGTGGCTGATCCATATATGATATGAGAGATTCTTATTGATATGGTATTGATTATGCAATGTCTATATTGCTTCATCCGCAAGCGGTGTTCCTTCTACTGCGGCGGAGTGGGTTAGCTTGTTCTGATCAGTGTGCTTCACCACACACGCTTTCCTTCTCTGCAAAACTTCTAGTGTATCTCCTTTGCTCTCTGAAGAATGATATTTCCGCATAAAATCATATTGTGTATTCTTAGCACACAGGTTTTATTGTAAATTAGTAAGTAATCATGTATTAAGCAAAGAAAGAAAATAATACACCTTCGTCCATTAAACGAGAGAATCCCCCTTCGTTTTACTGGTTTCCCTTCAGGCACACACAACGTTAAATATTTGATCCAAAATCAAGCTACCCTCGTGGGTGGACAGGAGCTTGGTGTAACCTGCCAATTAAGTGCATAGCAAGGTGGTTATTGTCACGAACATAAAGAACAATCCCGTGCCAATCGCATGTTTTTTCTTGTGTTGGCTTTTTGAGCTGCTGGGTGCACATCACGTAATCTATGGGCTTTGAATGCGCATGTATCACAATGATGGTGAGGTGAATACCATCAGGCTTACGAAAAAAGCAGTCAGGTAAATGCTGTGGCGCCAAAGTAAAAAAAGCAAAAAGATTCTTTTGAATGGAACCCTGTCGGAGCCGTATGACGTAGGGGTGGCGGTGGTGCCTATCGACCCCCACTTCATCCAGAAATCGAGCGGGATTTTCGAAGAAATTAGATCAGTCGAATAAAGGGCGGATTCGCACGCTTAGATTAAAACGGTTTAACTGTTCGTTGGAAAGCCTGTGTGGCTCATGGTTTGCGCACATGATCTGCGCTGTAATGTTTTACGCCGCCTGAGGTAACCAGCCAGCGGGGGTTAGTGTAAGTGCGTGCGTGTGCTTTCTATTACCTCATACACACAGAAATCTGGGAACGTCTGTCTTCCCACTATCCAAGCTTTTCTGCTATTACCGCTTTAAAGCGACAATCTCTCTGAAGGAAAGAATGACAGTGTGTGTGGGAGTGTGTGTGTATTCCCAAATATATATATCTGAGACGCATCAAGTGAAAATAGAGTGTTACGTTGGACCTGCTTCGCCCACAGTCTGATCACCAAAGATTATTTAAAAATAAAGTTGCTGATATAAAGTCGATTATTGTTAATATTTTCTTGGATAATAGCTTGTAACCCCAACTGCTGATACACGCATGTATAAACGCGCATAAAAAACGGCGAGTCCTATTTCTTGCTCAGCTCTTTCCCTCTTCTCCACTTTTCCATATACTCTTTCTTTTTACACATGCGCTTTGGGTCTACTTGAATCAATAATCATCGACTTCCTGCTTGTATTGCCCTTCATTCCCATCCTCAAACCCTTTTGCCGAATAATGCACACTTCTGCTACCCTGGAAACCCAACCAGAGCCATGGATTATGGATTCATCAATCGACCGTTCCCACTCACCAAATAAAATGAACCAGCTGGGAGAAGAGCAACAACTCCCTGACTACTCTGCATTAAGTGCTTCAACAGTATCCACCCGAGAATCCCTATCACCCGGGAGCAGTATATCCACTGAGATGTTGTCTGCGATACAGCACACAGCACATCATCGTCATCATCATCATCAGCAACAACAACAACAACAGGAGGAACCGCAGCCATGCGATAATTTAGCTAGTAACAATGATATCACCATCGATACCAGCAACAACAACGCTCGTCCTACCATCACGAATAGTCCTGCAGCAGAGAAAAATACAACGCACACCATCATCATGCCTGCCTCTCCCACTCGTCGACGTAGCAGCGGGGGTCATCAAACCGAAGGAGGCAGCATCTTTTCTCGTTTGTTCCGTCGATCTTCACAGGCACATACCAACAACTCCACTGCTACTAGTAATACTTCTACTGCTGCTTTTAGCAGGCCACCTGGTCCTCATGTAGGACGGTTGGCAGAAAAGTATGGCGAGTATGTGAAACCTGAACGATCACATAAAGGATTGGGTGCAACGTCGCGAAAGAATATCGCTAGCGGTGCAACAGCTGTCATTCGACTCATACGATCATTGGACGGACAAAGTATACTAGCCATAAAAGAATTTAAAAAGCCAGATCGTAACGAACCCGAACGCGAGTATCTTAAGCGTATGCACAACGAATACTGCATTAGTAAATCAGTGTCGAACCACCCAAATGTTGTGGAGACGCTGGATCTCGTTCTTGACGAACAAGATCGATGGTGCACCGTTATGGAATATGTAAGATCCTGCAAACAAAGCCGTGATAAGGGCCGATGTTGTTGTTTCTTTGCCTTATCAAACGCACGCTATCCTTCACTTCTCCTGATGATAAAAATTCCGTATCTTTCTTATCTCGACACTGATTTACTGGATAAATAAATAAAATATTTAGTGTGCAGGCGGCGATCTATTCACATTGATGCAAGAGCGGCCGACGATGCCATTTATGGAGCAAGCCTGCCTTTTCAAACAATTGCTTCTTGGACTGCAACATTTGCATCAGACAGGCATCGCGCATCGTGATGTCAAACCCGAGAACCTGATCTTGACGACAGGAGGGACACTCAAGATAGCCGATTTTGGTGTGGCCAACGTCGTCAAGGCACCGTTTCAACGCGAAGCACAGCGTTGCAAGCATTGGTGCGGTTCTTCCCAATTTTGGTCGCCAGAAATCTGGACACTCAAGGACGACAATGATGGTTACGACGGTCAGGCGCTCGACGTCTGGAGTACAGCAGTTACCTATTTCTGCATGCGGTTTGGATATCTTCCCTTTACGGCGGCATTCTACAATGGCGTTGGCCATTTCCCACCGCCACCTGGTGCCAAGCCTGGCTCACCTGCTGCTGTAGCGGCAGCTGCTGAAGACGGTGGTGACCCAGAGTATGGGTTATACTGTAATCAGCGCGAGGAAAAAGGTCCGCTTCAGTGCGATCTTTGGAACGGTGGCAGCGAAACGCATCTGCAGGCAAACAATAAGCAGCATGTCAACATGTCTGAGCAGGAGCGCGTGTGCTTGGCTGGTATGCTTGATGTGAACCCGGTTACCCGCTGGACGGTTGATCAGGCGCTGGCATGCGAGTGGATGTCGAATGAAATCGAAATGTGCGAAGACGGCGCACTTCCCAACGGCTGGCGACACTACCATACCCTCCCTTGACACTCGTCTACTCAACTGCTACAATGATGATAGTAACAATAATAATAATGACTCTGTACAGTTAACATCGATACATATTATCCATATATATTATTACTGCATCTTCTCATAATAATTCTCATAAACTGTTTCCCGTTTCGCAGCTTGTGGTGCCACAAATTTTCATCTAACGGTTCACAAATGTGAAAAAAAAGCGCCGTGCTTGTGGTGTAAAAATAGTCTGACGAGTGTGGGGTGAATCTGGAGGTTTTATACTTTATAGATTATATACTCTCTACCGACTCGCCATATCACGGTACTCTTCTCTTTCGTTAACCCCAGTTTCTACATGAAATCAAAAATATTATGGTTTCTGTCTCTTGGTGCGACGTGAGATGGCGAGGCTCGTCCTGCCCCATATTTTGCTTCGCACGCGTACTAACCATAACTGTGTAGTCCATGTGCCTCCCACACGTCCATCGTTAAATTTTCTCAAAAAACTCTATCTGCTGTTTGCTACGTTAAGAGATATGTAATTGATGTATTACTACCTTTTTAGCCGGTCATTGCTATATGAGCTTTGTATGCAAGCCTCACTGTCGCTTTATTTTTGGTAGGTTACCCGGGTTCTGCTTTATGGATCTTTTCCATATAAATCGAAGCACGGGCTGCAGCACGATATGTCGCAAATGCAGTATGTACAAAGATCAAATGATGAAGTATTTGTCTGCAACTGCAAAGGAAAAACGGGAACAATTATGCCGTTTCTACTACGTATTAATTTTCGATTGCACCCAACACCTCCCTTGCATATAATGTCGATTCTTTAGCTATCATTGTCAGCGATAAGGCCACGCTATCTACGTGCTTGCATACCTGCAATGCATACTGTTGATCCGACACAATTCAGACTTTTGGACTCCGCTTACACTTGCTCTGAAGATGTCCTCAAAATCGATTCTAAGGTAATTTCAATAGGCTATTATTACATGTCGTGTGATATATGTATTGTGTCTAAATACTATTTACAAAGTTGGGAGGAGGGGATTGGACGTATAAATAACTCGGCTCGCCTATATGGATGATGATGGAGAAGTCGTTGAAGATGTTGCTTCAAACGGATTCTCATTAATTTGAGGAGAATGAGATGGCTCCGCTACCGCTGCCACTGCCGCTGTTGTTGCTGTTGTTGTTGCTTTTGTCGATGATGGTGACGTTGATACTTCTGCTGTGCTATGACTTGGTATCGCAACTCCTTTTCCTTTTGGATTTGGCAAGGACTGCTCAACAACAACATCACTATGCGGATGTTGATGTTGAAGATGATGGTCCTCAATGTGCGTATTACTGCTGTATTGACGTGATCTTTTACGTGCAAAAGAAGGTTGGTCGATGTCTTCTTCTTTCTCACCAGGAACTGTTTTTTGCTGTTTTTCAAGAACTGCCAATATATGTTGGATAGCTTCTTGATTTTGTCTTGTAACCAGCATCAGAGTTTGTAACTGGCTGATAATTGCATCATCATTATTGTCAAAAAAGCCAGGCGTCGCTCCTGTAGGAGGAGACATCGGATTACTGGATGGTTGTGGAGGAGTGGGGAATACTGGAGTTGGCATCTCGTTACGTGTTTCTAATTCCATCTCAAGTATGAGTTGCTTGTCACGTTTGCATGGCTGTGCAATGATAAATATGATCCTTACCCGGTGTGTCTTCCGGATCTGAAGTTGTCAACTGGCTATAATATTGCCGACGCTTCATCGCCTCCCATACAATAGTAAAATTGCGGCCAATAATGATAGAAGGCAAAGCAATCAACTGTAGAATCGATGAGATCAGTTACAAAAAAAAAACTCTTAACTCAATCCAACTTTTGTTGTATGCATACCAGAACACCGAACAACATGGCCGGGAAAGTAATCAACTTGCCAATAAAGGTCGCAGGTACCATATCGCCTGCATTTACGAATTAGCATAGTCATCATCTCTGCTGCTGGATGGCAAATACAAACAATGAAAGGAGAACATCGCTACTGACCATAACCAGTGGTTGTAATGGTAACCAAAACAAACCAGAATGCGGCAGGAATACTGTCAAAAGAGCTTGGATCGCCGTACGGATCAACAAACGTCTGTAGATTATCGTCCCACACACCGCGTTCGGCAAAATAGAGCAAAGTAGCTATCAAAACTACCGACGTCACGACGAAAAACAACAGCGCATAAAGCGCATCACTTGAGCGTCGCAGCGCAACAACCATAACCTCAATTGTCATGATGATAGCGTTGGAGTATTTGTACGACTTGAATAGACGTAGCAAGCGAAACAATCGCAGGATCGTAAACCGAAATTCGTATGTCTGCGAAGTTGTATTTAGCCTGGATTCACAAGGAAACAACACTCAGCCCTGTATCCACCATACCGTATCACGTCTGGCAATAAGCTCGATATAAAATGGCATGATTGCGATAAAGTCAATAATGGAAAGTGGAGCTACGAATGAAGCTTGTCAGCGAGAGAAAGGAAGAAATAAACCAAGATTTTCAGATGCAGAAACACGGCTTACATAGGAAAAAGTGACCCAGCATACGAAATGAATCTGAATGAGCAAACACACGGACGAGGTACTCAAGCGTGAAAAGCGCGACCATGGTTGTCTCCAATTTGAACCTGTCTCGTCAGTCATACCATAAGTACTTTGTGCCAGTATCGAAACGTATTCCTCCATTTTGCCCTCCTTCACTTCCCCACACGCCGGATGATGAGTTACCAGACACTGTTGCTCTCGTTTGACCGAAATGCCGGGATAGTTTCAATGGTTGTCATGACAGCACTCAATACAATCAGCATAGAAACCACCACGTTAGTATAGAAAGCAGCGCTGCTACTGGATGGCTGCTCCATTAAAAAGTACAGCCGACACTTTAGGTCGCTTTTAAATTCTGTGGCGTCCGGTCCCATATTGGCTTCGTGCGCAGCGTCAGCAACAGCATCCGCTTCCTCATGTTCATCGCTACTGCTATTCGTCTCGGGTGTCACCGTGCCGCTTGGTTCATCGCGTGCAAGTTGCGAAATGGAGATAAAACCTCCGGGCAACTGGCCTATCGTCCGTTTCTTTTTGCGCGATTTCCGCGTGTTTTGTTTTTCACTACTCGAGTCTTCATCATCATCCGATGGAATGCTGTGGTGATGACGGTGTACAGTTGCCGAGGATCCCGCCGCCGCCGACATCGTTGCTCCAGGAGCTACAAGCTCTATAGTGCTGCCATTATCTTCATGCTGATCCAAGAGACCGACTGGCTCTTCTTCATCGTGCAGCTTAGAAAAATTCCCCTTCTTGCGAAATATGCGCATTCACAACACAGCCTCGGTTTAACAGTGGGAGGAGGGGTAAGGGAGAGAGAAGAGAGAGAAAGAGCTGAAATATAAAAAGGTGGAGGAAAGTAATAAGAATTACTTGCAGCAAGGATCGCCCCTTGCTTGGCGCGCTGTAACCCAAAGGAAAGCCTGTGTGACAGCCTTCAAATTCCTAAAATGGACATTTTTGACTATACCCAGAATTTTTACCCGCCTCTTCTGTGAGAAAACACGCCGTTTTTGCTATTGGAGGGATAGGCCATTTTTAAATGGCACTTCTAGAGTGCGATTGTAACATGACGTCTCTAGCGAGAAGACCATTTTCAATTATGATGAGGGATTTTTATCCCTTTATTGTGTAGGACAAGCGAATTCTACGACGTGGTCGACTCTTTCACCTACCAAAACGACGTAAGGCTTGGTAGTAGTCGACTGCGCACACATCCCTTTTTGTGTCAGCTTATAGCTCAAGAAGAGAGCCAAAACTTCTTATACAAGAAGAATGATGATATGCATAGTAAGTTACACGTGCGCACAGACTCACCCGCGATGATGCAGTACTATCGTTTTTGATGCGTGTGCTTTCACTAAATGAAACGATCAGCTGCATATTATGCTGCACAATACTAGCTGCTTCATATAGCCTGGGATTCCATTGCAAATGTAACTCTATGATAGGGGTTAGCTTATCCAACATCCAACAAGAAACTGAGTGTGGTCAACCATCTTATTGACTTTTTAAAAAGAGTCTGAATACAGTAGTCTTCATTTTTGTGAGGCTCCTTTCACAGTTGTACTATCATTAATAGCAGAAGTTCGAAGCATTCATTTTGCAACGTGTCGAGAGAGATATAGAAAGGCAGAAAATCGTACATAGTGTTAAATAGGGGGCATATCAAACCTCTTCACTACGGATCACGCAGAATATTTTATTTAGCAGAGATAATACATATACGTCTTACTTCTATTACAGTATTTTCCCTTACTACTCAAAAATGTAATTTTAGTATGTTTTCGGTCTTTGTTAGGGATGTAGTAACATACAAATACATAGTAATAGCCAATGGAGTACGTAGTTTCATGTAATCACACCAGGCTGCTGGGCTGGCTTGTGTGTCGTAGCACAATGATGAGACACCTCTTATGTGCTCACAGACAGCGAAACGAGCTCACAATCAATAATGGTCGCTGCTGTATCGACTCCTGTAGTAGAAGTAAGTGATAGCTCTTCAAATCCTAGGCTTCAAGGACGAGTGAACATATTTAATAGTTGTTATTGACCTAGTAGTAGTACGTATTGGCCAAACACTGAATTTTCCTCTTCAAAGTACCGCGGAGGTCGAGACAAGTTGCTGATTTACTGAATTAATTCTTTTGACATAAAAATACTTTTAAGTGTGATCATCTCGTCAATATCATAGTAGTGTCATAAGTAGGCATAGTGAAACATACGATAGGTTTAAACATTCGACTCTAAATACGTTTTTGGTAGACTGTTCCTAAAGCAAATCTGGACCGCTGTAAATGAGATGCAGCGAGGTGGCATGTTTGAGCAACAGGTTTTCACTATCCAAACGAGAAATTGAACTCTAAATTCTACTAGTGTGCTAGTTACTGCTTTTTGTATAGCGTAGCAACATATGCTTGTGATGAGAAACGCTAGTCAAATGCATACCGTCGAAACTTGTCATAAAAGTCTTCTTCAAACCTGTCAGCAACCCAAACGAAAACACAAATGCAGTTTCTGTTTGCTGAATTAATTATAATTATTGTTTGTATAATAAGACCACTGTGGTTTACTTCCAATAAAAGCAGTCGATGAGTGGCGAGGCAATGGCCACTTTATAATTTCACTTTCCAGTAGTAATAGTTATAGTAGTAGTAGTGGTAGTACGGTAGTGTTATGCAACCTTGGTGTTCTTTGAATCGATCATTCCAAATTCTGAACGTGCAATAGACAGTGTTTTTGTAGTAATTATTAGCATCATGTAGCAACATTCTGTCGGTTGGAGCCGCTACTACCTTTTCGCAATCTGAATATGACCTTCTTCCTGTGTCTAGCTTTTAACCTTGGATTTAAGAGAGCGAATGGCCATTATTAATTTCTATATAATTGATTTGAAGATACCACAAGCTACAGTAGTTGCTTTCAAGCCAACATTATGCTTAATATCCGTAAAATTGGTTTAATCATACAAAACAGGGGAAGGATGGAACACGTTCTCTGTTGATCAGCTAATCGCTTAGTATCAGTATCAGCAACATTAATAAAATTATTGACAAAAGTCTTTGTTGTTCGCGACAATCAGAAACATGCGGTAATTTAAACACACATTTTCAGTAATTGACACGATATCCTTAAAAGTACTAGCTTGGTTAATCTGTTTCGCTGATCTCGTAAACAAGTACGTGGTGAGTATCTTTCTCTGACAGGCGACTTTTTTAGTGTTATATAAAATCAATTAATTTGTCATATTTATTTCGTTTTGCCAATGCTTTTAACTTGATCTTCATTTTGTGACGGTAACGGTGAAATACACCACGGGCTTAAGGGATCAGCGACGACTTTAATATAGCGGAGGTCTGGTCTTGTTGTTATTGGATGGGAAAAAATACGATAGTGGCCGATGTTCCGTCGTTGCTAGTGAACATTCGTCGCTATTGGGACCAGAAACATTGAAAGCCCGCAGGTATTTTGCAGAAAAAAGATAGGACAATATAATCTATATATCCATTAAATGCCTACTTACGGGAAAATGTGTGTGTGTGTAGCCATGGCCAATAGTCTGTGTAGCATACGAAAAGGAGGTGGTGAACAAAACGTCAGAAAATGATCAAGGTGGCAAGTGGGTCGGGCCAGGTCCTCCATTCGCGAAATTTTGATTGACAGGTCTGAAACATTGTAATTCCGTGTAACGCGCCTTTATTAATGTCTAGGATCGCGTCTTCTTCGACGATGTTGCGTCCGTAACATATAAAAGGAGGGGCCGACAAGCTGTTGTTTTGATTCTCATCAGCAAAACCCATTCCCGATCCTCCGGTCTTCTCATTCTCCATACCTCAAACAACCCCTTCCAAGTTCCTTACACATCTTGTAAAATAGACACATCTCTTTCTCTCTCACTATGGTTTCCTTCAACCTGATCTCTTCCGCAGTCCTGGCGATTGCTAGCGTTGCGCCCTGGTCGGCCTCCGCTCTTCCTGTCGAAAACTCTGATGCCGCTGGCTTTCCCGGTCATCAAAACCAATTGAACTCTACCAGTTTCCTTCAAAACGGTCATCCTATCATTACAAACCCAAGCATCGCTGGGCACCGCGGTAAGCTTCAACGCCGTGATGCTTCCGATAATGATAACGAGCAACAGCAAGATGACGACTCTGAGTACCACGGCAAGGGTTACCACTACGGCCGCGACAGCACCGAGGGTCAAGACTGTGGTCGCAACAGCACCGAGGGTCAAGACTGTGGTCGCAACAGCACTGAGTTCCGTGGCCATCGGGGTCATGGCCATGGCCGTGGTCACAACCGCACCGAAGAATTCCCCGGCAAGGGCCATCATTGGGGTCGTCCTGATAACAGCAATGACACCGAGAGACCAGAAAAGCCTTCCAGCACTCCTTCGTTCCCATTGACCCCTTTGCCTAAGCCTTCTGGTGTCCCATCCGGTGCTTCGCCATCGGGTAATCCCGAGCCATCTACACCACCTTCATATGATGAGGAGGATGGCGCTGATGACGAGTCTGGTTCTGATGAGGAAGATACACCTACTACCACCGCTACCACTACTACCGTACCTGCCTCTTCCTCAAGTGTCAAGGCCGAGGCCACCTCGTTAACCGCCTCAGTCTCTGCCCAATCGGAAACACCTTCTGCTTCTTCCACGGCCTCTGCTGCTTTGTCTTCAGATGATTCCCAAGCCTTGGAATTGCACAACTCGTATCGCGCTAAGCACTCTGCACCTGCTCTTACTTGGAGTGATACTCTTGCCTCGTATGCTCAAGACTGGGCTGACGGATGTGTGTTTGAACACAGCCAAGTAAGTTACAATACTATCCTACTTTAATTCTTAACGCGAGGGGAAAAAGCCTTGACTAATTATGAAATTGTGCAAACAATTAGGGTAAATATGGTGAAAACTTGGCTATGGGCTACGGCGACTGGGAAAAGGCTATCAACGCTTGGTACGACGAGGTTTCCGACTATGATTTTTCGAACCCTGGCTACTCCTCTGGCATTGGTCACTTTACGCAAATGGTTTGGGTCGACACAACTGAGTTGGGTTGCGCCGTTTCCCAATGTAACGGCTCGCCTATGTATGTCTGCGAGTACAACCCTCCAGGAAATATTGTCAGCGGCGATTTGTTTGAGAAAAATGTCTTAGAAAACTAGAATTTAGCTAGCCTGAAAAGAACACTTCTACATAGCGGGTTGACATGCACTTGCGTTTCCCTTCCCGCTTTCCTTTTGTTTATCTGTACTTTTTTATTTGAACAAGAAATATACAAATATTCATATATCTATGATTACGTTAAAACATCACACACTTCTTAGATTATCGGCATTGAAAGCTCAAAGCAAAAGTTACACTGCCTGTTTTGATGTAACAGGTGCAGTCCTACTCTTTAATACAATACAGTATAACTGATGTAGCAAATATGAATTTCTAACGTAGCATTGTGGCTAGCGTACGACAGACATACATACACATAATACATATGCAACTTATTTGTCCATCTTGGCAAACTTTCCAATATGATATCAACTGCTTGATACTTGTTCATACCTATATAATACATGGGTTGTAGAAGGTAAACCTAAATCTTTTGCATCTTATTTTTTCATGTTCATGTGTACCAGCTACTCAACTTTGATTTGCTAATGCTTAAGAGTTTCATCTGCTGTTCACAGGAAAAGATGTTAGGCAACGTAAAGAAAGGGTGACCAGTGCAGTAATCGTATTAGAAAGACCTGAGCTGGACCCAAGAAAATCGATAAATACTGCTACACGTTTCTCACTGAAATCGCACTCGACAGTGTAACGCAGACATCAGTTATATGCATGGAAGATCTATTATTTTGTTACAAGAATCAAATTGGAACGTGAAAAGTAAGACAAAATGGTCGATTACTCTTGCCAACATGGGTTAGGCGCGTCAAATCTTAAAAAGAGGTATACGAAACGATCTGTTCATACACATACACACATGCACCTTGCTGTCTGCCTCTTAACTGCTAGTGACTTCCTCCTTACTGCCACTGTTCCAAGAGCTCTTGGTGTCTATGCCGTGCCAATCGAGGATCTGGATCCTCTTTAGAGAATAAGCCTGGTCATTACGATAGCATTCTTGCAAAGCTTGATGATGCATTACCAATTATTTTTGTGGGTACTATTCTGGACAATACGAATTATCTAAATATAGACTGCGATGGTCCCTCAAGTTCGTGTAAGCGTTCACTTGGGACAAGACCGACCGCTACATTAACCAAAACACGGAGCTCTGGTATCCTCAAGGCATTACTACATCTTCGGAAGCACATGACAATGATCTTTTTAGATCAAATGATGTGAATCTTGTGTCCTGGTACGATACTCATGTAGACAGTAACAGACCCAGGCAATAAAGGTGTTTGTACTGCTTTTATTGACAAGGTAACCAAGAGGTATCGTATAGCCCTTTTGGTTGTGATTGAAGATGGCGAACCACCATCTTTTTATACAGTCAAGTTCATGCTTGAATGTATGTGGTATGGTTATCATCTATGTGTTGTTGATACATGGAATGGTGTCAGAATATTCGACTTGCGCCTCATTTACGAAGTTTCCAGTGGCAACGGTATCGGACACGTTGGATCAGGCCGTTAAATGAAGAATATAATTACGATTACTAATTAAAAGCGTTTAATGAACCAAAATATTTTGCGCTAAGCTACCAATACACCAGTACTGTCTGGCAAAAGCCACACTTAGGGCGAACTGCTTGGTCTTGTAGTAATTATCACCACATTCTCAAAATTGGGTCTTCCCAATCTTTGTTCATAAATGTGATTTCTCAATCAAGGTATGTAAAGGGATACTAGCTATGATGGCAGTAGCAGTAGCTGCAGTAATTACTGATACTTCAAACCGCTTCCTTTGTCCAATATTCTTTATGCAATATCATACCTATGTTTAGATTCGGAAAAACAGTGAAACTAAAATATAACGACGTTTTGTGTTCGATATTATTTAGACACTATCTTGCAGACGGGTTCAGTTTTTCCTTTATCTCTCACTTGATCGCACTCCAGCCCAGATTCGTTCTTAGTGGGCAAATATGATTCGGAAGGAGAATCAAGTCGAGTAGCCCGTTTTGAGATCGACTATACGAAAGCACTCGTCTGGAACAACGTCCCCTGCGCTCGAAATGTTCAACACGTTCCTGACCTCCACCCATGGCGTCATTCCCATTCTTACTATCAATGGTACCACAAAATATTCACCTGAACCCGTTGAGAGCAAGACGAGTCGATTGAATATGTGAATATCTTGTCGCGAGATCCTGAAGATTTGGCGTATCGTAAACAAGGAAATCAACTTTGGACTCATGGTGAGCACCCAGGCGAACGGCCCGCTTACATTTTTGAAAGCTAGATACTATTAAATTGCCAACTTTGCTACATTGCAATATTACATGTGATTGGTATTTATGCATATAAGCAGTGATAAATAGCCTCGATGTAACTCCGTTAAATTTTAGGGGTGCCTTTATATCGTGTAATTTCAGTCTTTTTGCTGAAAACTCATTTATTTTATCCATTTCCCGGCTAACAAAAGCATCATGATGTTGTTGCTGTTGTCTGTATGTCAATCTACAGTATCCAGTGTAAGAGTAAGCAATGCGGAAGTGCCTAAAGAAGGAAAACACATTCTCGGATTGATTTCTTTTCAGAAAAAGGTAGTGGAAGATATTGATTCAGAGCAGTGGTATTAGTAGTTCGTTTAAGATGAACCATATATGAAAGCAAAAGCTTACTGATGATGGTATCGAGATTTTTTGTCCCTTCCCCCCTGTGATTGTCGTCGCTTTAAAGGCTGCGATCAAGTCCCATGTTACCGGTATCTCTTTCTCTTTTTCTGTATCCATCAACTTTACATAATACGCATCTATTCACATGGACTGTTTGAAAACACGCGATTTCAGTGATGATAAAGACGTGTAACATTATGTTCCTAATCTACCACTGACATGTGTGGCATTATGTTGTCTTCGTCGTGGTCGTTGTTTTCATCGGCGAAAGCAAGCAAAGTTGCAAAGGCAGAGCATAAACAGTTTGGGTTAGCCTTATATAACACCGTGCCAGTCCGCTAGTTAAGGATTTAACCTGGATCATGGCGCGTAGTTGTTCTACGCCACTCAAAGTGCATGCGTGTGCCCCTGCTTCGTATGAAGAGCCTATCGACATATCTCTTGATATTGTACACTTTTACACTTCTCCTTCATATCATATAAGAAGCAGAGGAGTCTATTACATACTGTTTGCGTTTTTGAGTATCAGTCAATAGAACGCACCCACTTCTTGAATCCCTACATATGTAAAAGTGCAACATTGGTGACATCGCATGGATTTTAGACGTAGCTGCATATTGGTTACGTGAGGTCATCTGAGTAAAAGAGAGAGCTACTAGTAATTTGCTTTTATTACCAACAGCATCTCATCATCACTTACTGTATCAGCTGCATTATAAATAGTGCCACGTCAGGTCATATGTTGCGGGTTTTCCTTTCTTTGATATGATAGCACTTTGAGCAATTGTTATTTCCATCAATATCGGTATGAGATCTATGCCATTGATATCTTGAGAAAACTAGTGCAGACGCTTACTTGTATACTTTCTGATTATGTCACATATCATGCATTACCAAATCACTACAGTATGCAGAATAGAACATTATCTGTGCACTACTCAACGTAGGGTAGTATGTAGTGATGTACGTCGTAAACAAGTAGTAAAAAAACCTGTTTAAAAGTACTCTTATGCAGAAGCAAACTCAACATAAAGTGTTGTGTGCTGGGAAAAGCGAAAAGGATCGACGTGTTACACAGCCAATGCGGGGAGGCAAAAAGGGACTTTCTTTAAAAGGTTGAAGTGATGAAGGTGCGCTATACTTTCTCTCCTTCTTTCTCCCTTCTTACTTCACACACCCACACGCACGCGCACCCAACGAGTAGCTCCATGGTAGAATTCACTCCTGTCGAAAAGATTCCGGGCGTTGTGCAGGAACTCCGAAAGACCTTCGATGAAGGTTGGTCATTATTGTCGTGGGCGTCTGTCGTATACTATATATGCACCAACTCGCCAAAGAAAAACTGTGATTGTATTCAAATTGATATACATACTTTTGAATAGGCATTACCAAGGACTTGGCTTTTCGCAAGCAACAGCTGGAAAAAATGCTACTCTTTTTGGACGAAAATTCAAAGCAGATAGAACAAGCTCTGTTCAAGGACTTGCACAAACCCTCAATTGAAAGCGTCACTGCAGAAATTGCTCCAATTGTGGATGAATGCAAGTACATGATCAAGGTATGGCTCAAGTGCATTGCCAGACGAACATGTACCTTTATAAAAAGAATGCTGCTGCTGCTCATTCCCCAACCCCAACCTTTTTTTTCCCTGTGCCGGGCTTAACTTTCTTTTCTATTCCAGAATCTCGAACGTTTGGCGAAACCTTCACACCCAAAGAAGCGCTTTGCATTGAATGCGTCCGACAAGACGTATATTCGCAAAGAGCCCAAGGGTGTGGCGTTGATCATTGGTACGCATAGTAATTAAAAAAGATATAGAGAAAAGGGATATGTGCGTAGTGTGAGAAGGCATACAATGCAATTTCGGTAAAACTCACGGAAATAAAATGGTAAATGATAGGCGCGTGGAATTATCCTGTTTGTATACTCTCCAAAGCATCTATCGCTGCTACTTTTTTCTATAATGCTATGTGTTGTCTTGACGCGCATTTTATCATAGGTTCATTTGTTGCTTTTACCCGTGGTTGGTGCAATCGCCGCAGGTAACTGCGCTGTTATTAAGCCCTCAGAAGTGGCCGAACACACGAACGAGCTGATGGAAAAGGCGTTGCCCAAGTATCTCGACCCATGTGCATATGCTGTAGTGAGTGCCGGTGTTGTAGAAACAACAGCATTGTTAGGTAACCTTCAATTTTCCTTTTCTGTAACTAACCTTTTACACTATATAAAGAAACGCATCAACTGATCACTTACCGCGAATGTGTGAACTTTTCAAAACAATAGAGCAGAGATTCGATCATATCTTTTACACTGGCAATGGCGCTGTTGGAAGAATTGTCATGACGGCTGCTGCGAAGCATCTTACCCCCGTCACTTTGGAACTAGGTGGTAAATCGCCAGCCATAGTCACCGATACTGCCGATATTGAGCTGACCGCCCACCGTTTACTATGGGGAAAGCTGTACAACACTGGTCAGGTAAAACTACACATCTTCCCACTACGTCTAGAACGCGAAAATTATATGACAAAAACGAGTTATAAACTTTACTAAACACGAAATGCGAACTAGACTTGCGTTGCACCTGACTATGTGCTCGTCGCACAAGAGAAACAAGAAGCACTGATTGCAGCTTTCCGCAAAACTGTCCAAGAGTTTTTTGGTAAAAACGCACAGGAATCCGATTCCTATGGTCGTATCATCAATCAGCGTCAATTTGACCGTCTTCAGAGAATTCTGGATGGTATTGCTAGTGACAAGATTGTGGTCGGTGGTCAAACAGACAGAGAGAATTTGTTTGTGGCCCCTACAATTGTTAGTCCTGTGCAAGCGGATGACCCCCATCTCATGCAGGATGAAATCTTTGGTAGAAAAGAACTCAGCTTCCCATCCGTAATATACTCAAGAAACGCGTGTAATAACTAAACTATGGACTTTTCATGATAGGTCCTATACTCCCAATCATTGCTGTAAAAGATCTCAAAGAAGCGGTGGATATAGTCAACAGCAAGTCAGTAATACACAGCGTCGATTGCTAATTGGGCTAAAACTTACCTTATATAAATTGTATATATAGGGACAAACCTTTGGCTATGTACATCTTTGCTGGCAAGAGCAGCGATTACAACTACAGTAAGTGATACGCATAGAATCAGATGAGGATAAGGTTTTACTAAATAGTACATTTCTCTTGGGGTTTTAGTCATGGACAAGACCAACTCTGGTGGTACACTCGTCAACGACACATTGATGCACTTGGTTCGTATTACTATACTACCAAAAGAAACCCCAGCTAAGAAGAATTGCTACGCGTGTACTGACCATTATGCTTTAGCAAGAAATGTCTTTGCCATTCGGTGGTATTGGCCCATCGGGCATGGGTATGTTGTTTAGATCATAAATGAGTACATGCATGTCTGCGGTATTTTATTCTTATTTTCGCTCTTTACCTCACTTAGGAAGTTATCATGGTGATCGCTCGTTTGACACATTCACTCATGAACGCTCTACGATGATCAAATCCACTTCACTTGAAGCTGTCAACCAGGCAAGATACCCGCCTTATAGCGATTCAAAAAAGCAGCTCATGTCCGTCCTCGTGTTCGGTCTACCATCTGCTGCAGGTGCAAAGATCAAGGCTATCACCACTGTCTTTGGTGCTGCTTGGGATATCTTTTTCTCTAGTAGCAAACAAAACAATCAAGATAGCAAACTGTAAGAGAGTGAAGAAGAAATGTGACATGATTATGATGGTGATAAATCCTTTAGTAAATAACCGAACCTCTTGTCGGCATGATTGTCCAACCCAACTCCTCCAGATTTCTTTTTAAATTTATCTTCATCTTATATCATACTATTATCATCAGTGGTAGCAGTGGCAGTGCTCTCAGTAGTATTCTGATTAGTATGTATATTGTTTTTTCTAATCAATACCTCTATATGGCTTTTTAATATAACTGATATATACATATACAATGTTGTGTGCTCTATTTTCCTATACAAAATTGACTAAATAGTGCATCCAGCACATCTTCCACATCGACGCGTCCAGTAATTCTACCCAGTGCATTCGCTGCTTGACGCAGTTCCTCTGCGCCCAGAACCACCTCTTCTGCAGGCAGTTCTAAATACTGTTCCAATGCAGCCACACAGTCTTGCAAGTGCTGCCGATGACGCGCCTGTGTGATCAACGCTGGATTCGCTAATGCATCATCGAACGTTGATTTCAAGACGCCAATCATATCATTTAAAAAGCAATCCACGCCTTGCCCTGTCTTGCAGCTCAACGTCCAAATTTTTTGAACGCCTGCTTGATGCAATTGTTCTTTTACTTGCTTCTCCACTGTGGTAGAGGCCACGTCTTGCTTGGTTAATATCACAAAGGTGCTTGGGTCCAGTACCTGCTGGACAATTGGTTCAATTTCATTTTTTGTGAGTGGTAGTAAGCAAATCTTGATGTCTGCCAAATCCATACTGTTAACAGATAATGTCGATCTGTTAGGTCTTTTCCGAGTATGGTAGATTTTCAAATCGAAAAGTTTACCGTGACATTGCCCGTTTTACACCTTCCATTTCGATCGCATCGTCTGATTTTCGTAGGCCTGCAGTGTCGCTGATAATGACTGGGTATCCACCAAGATTTAAGGTAACTTCGACAATGTCGCGCGTGGTACCAGGCTGATCGGATACGATTGCTGCTTCTCTTTTGGCTATTCGATTATATGTTAGCGCACTCCCCTGACCCGAAATGAGTCGGTTAAAGTAAGATTTTATCATTTTACCTAAGAAATTGAGCAATGTACTTTTGCCAGCATTTGGTGGACCAACAATCGCTACACGTACACCACTGCGTACTATCTCTCCAACGCGACTGTCGTTGAGATGACTCTGTATTGCGTTCTTCAAGTCCATCACATCCTCGGAAACTGTAATATCACATCGCATCTTTAGCAAATAAAATCGGTTTTGCTGCGAAAAAGGAAAGGATTGTTGGGCTTCTCCTCACCCTGGTCTAATACACCATCTTCAATATGCTCATCCTCGCCAAAGTCAATCACAGCTTCTGTTACTGCCATGCACTTGATGATTTTGCTTCGCCATTCTTCGTAAGGCTTCCTTAATCCACCTTCTGCCTGTCTCAGTGCCAGCTGTCGTTGAGCTTCTGTTTCCGCATTCAGCAGATCCGCCAGACCTTCTATTTCAGTCAAATCCAGCTTGTCGTTGTCAAATGCTCGTTTTGAAAACTCGCCTTGTTCGGCGAGTCGAAACTTGTCCAAAGAGCCAAGCGCGTCAAGCATACTGCGTACCACTGCGTTTCCACCATGAACATGGAACTCGACGGAATCTTCACCAGTAAAGCTATGTGGACCTGTCAACGACAACAACAGCAGCATCGTACATCAATATTAGCTTGTATCTATAATTTGAACTTTGCTCATCATTATCTGATAGTTGTCCCCAACATCCCCTTTATGTATACACTTCGTTACCAGGAAACCACAAAACAAGACCACGATCCAATAGAGTGCCCTTGACAGGATGCCGTATTCGTCGAAAATATGCTTGACGTGGTGTGAGCGTGCCTCGAACCGTCGCTGTTAAAGCCTGTTTGGCTTGCGGTCCGGACACACGAATGACCGCAACACCTGCTTTCCCTGGCGCACTCGAAAGGGCATAAATCGTACTATTAGATCGCATAAACGATCGTAACATGGTGTTTTCGATTGATTGCTATGGTTGATATGAAGCTGGAGAGAAAAGAGAAAAATTAATAAAAGAGAAGGGCGGCGACGTTATTATTTTCGGGATCTTTTTCCCTTTCACTTTTTTTTTATATCAAAATTAGATCTGTCAATTAATGTTGTGCAGACGGTTCATGAGCACGTTGTCGAATCGACAACGATTTAATCAGATCCAACCTCCACAAAAACTGTATGAAAAGCTGGAACGACTAGGGTTTGGATCCCTGCGACAGACGAAACGGTACGCGTGGAAAAGAAATAACAAAACTGCACCTGCTGCTGCTGCTGCTGCTCAGTCAGCACCCAAAGAGCTGGAATACAAGGTAAATCATTTAGTTTAAAAAGAAGAAATAGTACAAAGTACTCAAAACTATATATCATCTGTAAGTTTCCATTACTTTCCTTTTTCGCAGGCGCTAAAACACCGGCATCATTCCCGCCTGAGGATCTGGGAGAAGTAGCCGTGGTAGGCCGATCCAATGTTGGCAAATCCACTTTACTCAACAGTCTGGCAGCAACAACTGTTGTTCGTGTCTCGGATAAGCCTGGTTTGACGCAACAATTGAACTTCTTCTCGGTGGGCAAGCTGTTTTATATGGTGGACATGCCAGGCTATGGTTTTGCATTGGTGGATGAACAAGAACGTCAGCAATGGCGACAGCTAGTAAGTGCATAACTCGTTATTTTTTAAGCATTTAATGTTACTATCTGCTAAATGTTTGATGCGCAATACTCTGTAAAAGATGGAATCCTACATAGCAAGTCGAAAGACATTAAAGAGGGTTTACTTAGTGATCGATGCGCGTCATGGTAAACAATGCACTGCTCTTCATCGTATTTTTAAACATCGCACCACTAAGGTCCTCATGTTGTTGTTTTCTAGGTCTCAAAGTTGCAGATCTTGACTTTTTACAAATGCTTGACAGGTAAATAATCAATGCGTATATGTTTAAAATGCGCGTATGATCTTGCTTCTGAGTTAATTTTCTATTTAATAGCAAAAAGGTCAAATTTCAGATTGTCATGACCAAAAGTGATATACCCGTATTACCCACACTTGCTCGACGCATCATCACTGTTCAAGAAGGTATCCGAGGCTTCCGTAATGCTGTACAAGATGTACTAGTTGTGAGCTCAAAGAGTGGAGCCGGTATCAATCAAATGAGAAAAGAAATGTTGTTTTTAATGGGTCATTTACGAAATCGAAAAGAGTCTAATCAAACAAAGTAATAAAGTAAAAAACTATTGTTTCAAGCATATTATAGATGAAGAGCCTGTGTGCAATAAAGTGAGAAAGTGGTGATGAACTATAGCTAAAAACAATGGTTGAATGAGGAAGAGGAAGTCTATCATAAAGTGCTTATTGCTAGTAGTAATAGATGGAATATTTTATACGTTCATAGGATGACCATAGAATATATGTAAGGAGAAGAAGAAGGCATGCATGTTTAGATATATTGAGGTTGTAAAAGATACAATTAATCTGAACCAGCAGAGAGAATGCTTTTTAACGTTCAGTCGGGTTTTTGGGCTGTGTCCTTTTATAAGAAGGCAGACGCTGCAGATAGGGAAGATGCGTCACCAAGGGAGCACCGGTGGTATCACTGCTGCTTGATCGATGGACTTGATGGGCATGAGGATAGTGTTGGTGATAGTCGTAATAATGATGCTGAGCAGTTGGAGGCTGCTGCGGTGACGAAGCAAGCTGCATCATTGCAACAGCAGCATCCACTTCACCGATATCGTTGTTGTTGGCGTTCATGATGTTTCGGATGGGCGGCAGGCGGATACCGCCGGATGATTGTGGCGTTGTGATCATATCATCATCCTGCTCTGACATGCGTCGATGGTCGTCAAGTGGCGGCGTTGTATTACGATGGATTGAAAAAGACGAGGGCCGTCGAGCTGGTGTCGTTGTTTGAAGTGGAGGCAATTGCGCCGTCGTATCTATGTTGAGTCGTCGAGGTGCTTTATAGGGTGGTTGTTGTGGAAGTGCTGTTAGATGCTGGTAGTGCAGTGAATTACTGCTTGTAGCAGTTGTAGCAGACAACGGTGGCATTGTTGCTAATTGGGATGCAGCACCAGGAGGAGGAGGAAGAGGTGGAGGAGGAGGTTGTCGTGATGATGATTCAGCAAGGAATTGCTGTTGCTGATAAGGATGGTAATGTGATAGCAGTCGAGATGATGGCCAGTACCAACTAACAGATGTGGTTGGCGGTGAATGGTGCGGTGATTGTTGGAGCTTTCCAACGCTGCTGTTTTCGCTACTCACAGTATCATTGTCGTCATAGACAGTAGACATTTTACGTTTCCGTGATCCAACCCTAGTAAAGATATTTAATTCATTCAATCATCAACGCAGTTGCTAAGCTTATCTTACATTTGCACACGGTGCTCTTTCCGAATTCGAAGTCGTACGCCTTGGTCAGAGAATGTGCGTGAAAGGAAAGTCGATTCGAGCATGCCCGGGAATGTTTTTGAAGAATATACCGTAAATACATCAGAATAAATTGATTTCAGACTGACAGCTCCCTGACTGATTATAATTGTTGGTGTTATAATTGATTTGAAAGTTGACAAGTCGCGGCGTTATTAAACGTGAATAATCCAAAAGGGGGTCTCTCACACTCTGATAAACGTATAGTGACAGCTCTTATGTTGTTATGATACACAGAAATACTGTAGGTACGTACGTAGTGATTTCAAACAAGGTAAACTGCAAGCGAAATTGTCCCTCCATCCGTATCGACAAGTCGCCAAAAACAAAAAAGCCTCCATCTACATGAAAAAACAAGCCGTTTATTATATCTTTCTTTTCGCTTTAAAAGTGGTTGTTTTGTGTATGTAAGATAAACCAATGCACAAGTCTGTTATGCTAGTGGAAACACACATACCATTGTTGTCGTAGTCTTTGAGTTTGTGCATGGAAGAAACCATCTGTCCTGCAAGACCACCAATGCATGAATTATCTGCTAAATTGGGTCGGACCAGGGTTGCTCCCATGAAGAAATATGGATTTTGCAGGAAATCCCTATAGTGCGAAAGATTTTTTTAATGAGTATAAACGCAAAATGTATAGATGCCAGTTTTTCTCGTGTATGTGTAGATATTATCCATGGACACTTGCTGAGTTTCTCGAAGTGTTGCACCTTCCAACTTGATTTGTAGTACAGGTGGTGGATCTACAGGTCGACGATCTCGTTCGTTTGTCGTACTTGTACGAGTTTGGATAGGCTGTTGTCGCATTGTCAATGAAAACCGACTAGTATAATAAGGAAAGTTTATTAACTTATTCATGGTGGAAATTTGTCGATGAAAAAGCGCTGATGCTGAGTAGGGGTGTGGTACCTTGGTAGCGTTGGCAAATGAGAGCATGCGGCGATGTATTCATAGCTGTGTAAGGTAGAGCTTCTTGTTGCTGCTGTTGACATTTAAGTAGTTTGAAAGTAATGTAGTACTAGTAATGACAGTAGTGCTACTGTTAATCTAAAAAAGAGAAGAAGAAAGAGTGACAAGCAGAAAAAAGAGAGAGTGATCGGTTATGGCGCCGGATACAGCAACGGCTTTAATTATGTTGTCGCTCTTTTTTCTAATCTCTTCTATACTGTGCTCAGCAACGAAGCAAGAAAACCATCATTTGTAAAGCGTGTTTGCAATGAAAATAACAGCAATAGCATTGAAAGGCACATTATTCACTTGTACAACATGTCCTACTTACGTACTTGCAAGTACAGCATATGCGCAAAAAGGTATGAAAATCTGTCGCCAATTGCTAAAAGAGGGAAAAAAGTATTTTGCGGGCAGAGTCTCGGTAGATGCTTTCAATATAAACCGAAACCGGTGATTAAGACCGACGTACAGTGATTGCCTTTTTTTTGCGTTGTCCTTCATTAACTCGCCAATCCTCATGAAATTATGTCGTTTGTGTAGAATATCGTCGATGGATTTGTAGAACCATCCCAATCCGTTGTTTTTGTCTCTCTCCCTTTCAACGGCAAGTCATTCTCCTAACAGAAAAGTACTCGACAATTCAGAAAGCAGTGTCTGCATACAGGCTCATATACGTTATACTTGATGACTAGATGAATAAAGGAAATATTTGGAGAGGAATAAAACAATCTAACGTGTATAATGTATCATTAAGTGCTTGAAATATCAATATACTTATGCCTACAAGAAAAGCACGCGTGAGGTTAGTATTATATGTAGCTGACCCAGCCATTATGATACCTGATCCATAGCACAGTACTAGCCAGATGGTTGTTGCTGATGATGAGGTGGGAAAAGAGGGAAGAAGGGGGCGATGAAACCGGGAAAAGATATGCGTGTTGGCGTACCTGGATTATCACCTGCTATCCACTCGATCAGAATATTTTGGGTTGCCCTGGTTTACAAATAACCTTCTGGGACGAAAAAAAATCAAAGCTTTTCTATTTTCTACATATTGGTGCTGGTGGTGTCGCAGCAGATTGGTGCCTGATAATGACGACGTTGATAATGACACGGGATAGTTATTCATCCGAAGTTTTCTGCATGAAAAAGTCACTTGTTTTATCACATCCACGGCTTTGGCTCGGTCCAATCAAAGTAATTTGCCATGCAGTGCGTGAATGCACATAGCAAGGCAGCAACAGCAACAATACGTAATGCCAATTGCATCAAGATTGGGGAGGAGAGAGAGAAAAAGATTGAGGGAGATGAACGCAGTAGCGTGCGCCGCATGCATTCTACTTCAATCATTAAAGTACACTATTGACAACAACGAGACATTTCTTATGCATATTGTGGCATGGAAATAATTGTATCGTTAAGTATTAAAAAGAACGGATCGTTGCTGTAGAAAGTATATATTACGTACCAGCTTTTTGCTCTGTGGTATTTTCAAACTTGGTGACAGCAACTATCAGTAGAATGCTGCTGTGATGATGACAGTGACGACTCATCATAACACTCTAGGCAACTATTAACAACTCTTATATATCCAGCACCCACTATTTTTTTGTTAGTTACATTGTAAGAAATATTAATAAACCATTTTTTTTCCTATTCCATTACGCGACAAATGAGAAACGACATGTTGCTGTCATAACTGATAAGAAAAAGGTCGTTTCTACCTATCAGTTAGAAGGTTAGGAAACGCGCGCACTCACATGTGACTCACAGACTTGTTCGTTGCACGTCTATAAAGATATACTCAAGCAAATAGCATCTAATAAAATATCATATTATTTAATGGCCGCGAAAGTGGGTCTATTATCATACAGGGAACAATATCTAAATTCCATGTGCATGGTTCTATTTCCGCTATTGCCGATCGCTATGGGCTTTAACCACAAAAGACCTAAAGATAATTGGCGCCATTATGTAGAGCATGCATACTTATCGGAAGGTTTTATAAATTGATTCATAATCAAGGAAGATACGCTACTAGTTGGATGCCGTAATCACGTCAATTGGCTATGTGTAAGGTTCATTTATGCCCACTTGATGAAGGAACATTCTTTTTTACGCTCTGCATGTTGTTGTTGATGTTCTCTGATGTCAGCAACAGTGCGTCTCTTCTACTGAGTGCGTCTCTTCTACTGAGTGCGTCTCTTTGTTGGTTTATTTTTTGAGAGAATAACTACATGTGCATGGAGGGTCACTTTTTGACTATAGAGAACTAAGAAAATGTTCTTTGTCTTAGAAAAGCGCGTAACTTTCCCATTAATCCCGATTCCCGCGCATAGAAACCTGCACCCCCGCCCCTTCTGTTCCGCCCGCTCGCTTTTTCTTTTTTGGCTGCTTTTGTTCATCTTTTGACTGTTTTCATCTCGTCAACAATTACGAGCCCGTCGCCACGCTTTCTATAGCAAACGAATCACAAATGACAGTGGAAAACAACTTTTCGTTCTCGTATGCAGATGAATACACGCAACTGCTGACCGAGTTGCACTCGGATTACTGCCGAGACCAGCCGGTAGATGTGTTGCAGTACTGTGCGAACTTCTTCAATCGAAAACTCGAAGAACAGCGAACAATGCTTCGCGAACAACAACGAAGCCCCATGTTTCAAGGTATATAAGCCTAATCCCATCTCACTGGTGCTTTTTTGTTGTTGGGAAAGGGAAGAGAAAAGGGAAACTTGGAAACACGAACACGCAAAAACAAGAGGAAGAACATTCAAATTGATTCGCCCTTTGTGTGTGTTCATAGCAAACGAATTCCATCCACTCGCTGGAAACGGCACATCCGATACCCGCAGTATGCAAGAACACCTTATGGATAGCGACGACCATAGAGAGGAGGAAGATGAGGAAATTGATGATTACGACGACGAGGATTTTGATGACGAAGTACGGGACAAGTTTACGACAGCACCGCTATCATCGTTGCCACCCACATCGTACAACCGGGACCGACGCACGTCCGTGAGCGCCGAGTCGATGGCACCGACACATGGACACGACTTTGTCAAACAGGTCATACCGAAAAGCCAAGATCAATGCCAACGTATCCGGGCGAGCGTGGGCAACAATTTCCTGTTCAAGAACCTGGACGAAGAACAATACCAAGACGTTGTGAATGCCATGGCGGAAAAGCATGTCGGCACTGGACAGACCATTATTGAACAAGGAGGTGTGGGTGATTACTTTTATGTGGTTGAGTCCGGCACGTTTGACTGTTACATTAGTAAAGGAGACGACGCACCACCCAACAAGGTGACCAGCTATGAGGCCGGCGGTAGCTTTGGTGAGTTGGCCCTGATGTATAACGCACCTCGTGCCGCGACTATTTTGGCCACGTCCGATGCGGTCTTGTGGGCACTAGACCGTGTGACCTTTCGCACTATTTTGATGGAAAACACCTCGAGAAAACGGCGCATGTATGAGGCGTTCCTCGAGGAGGTGCCCCTTCTGAAGTCGCTCGAGCCCTATGAACGACACAAGATTGCCGATGCTTTGGATACCGTCTACTTTGACCAGGGCGAGAAGGTCATGACCGAAGGAGATGTGGGTGATCGCTTCTATATCATTGAGTCTGGCGATGCTGGCTTTTATAAACTCGGTGTCGACGGTACACAGCAGGAAGTCAATGTGCTAGGCAGAGGCAGCTATTTTGGAGGTAAAGTGTTGAGTCAATGCTACTGCTGCAGCTGGCAGTGGCTGTAGCAGTAGCAGTAGCAGTAGTAATTGTTGTTACGGTCCACTCTTACGGGCCCGTTAACGCCGCCCTATCTCGAAAGCAAACAAGCAAAAATAAGCTTAGTTTAGCTTTGATTGGCACGTGGCTCTATTTGAAAACAACAAAACAAAACAAAAGCACAAGAACCCATCTCGGGCTAACGTGCTGTTATGTGTGCACACACACCTTTTTCTATTTTGTATGACAGAGCTCGCGCTATTAAATGACACACCGCGTGCAGCGACGGTTGTTGCACAGAGCCGCTTGAAGTGCGCCACTCTGGGTAAAAAGGCCTTCACTCGTCTCCTGGGTCCAGTGCTGGAGATTCTAAAGCGTAACTCTGAAAACTACCATGCGATTATCAGCCAACAACATCAAGAACAACGATAGATCTATATCCCCCACCCTTGTCCCAATCAACTTTCCTATCTTCCCAATGTTTACTACTCTTCTTCTTTATCACAACAGCAACCACAAAATACTTACACACGCTAAATCTCTCATAAAAATACATTCATCATTCCATCTCCCCACCCAACCACCACAAACCGCACTCCACGAAAAAGGCTAACACTAAAACAAAAACACCCGTCTACGACCAATTCTTTCTTCTTCTTCTCCTTTCTTACTGTAACTTTTCTTATCATCATCGCAGATTCCTCATGGCTTGGCGTCCTAGAAACGATGATGATATGAGGTGCCTTGTTTGTTTTTTCTGATTAAAAAAACAATTCTTTCTTTAGACGTTTTATATTACACCGACTGTTATGCAATGCAGTTATTAAGATGCTTTTTTGATATCTGCGTTGTTGCTGTTGCTGTTGCTGTTGTTGTTACTATTGGAGTAACTAGTGTGTAAAAGTTGCTCTCCTAAACCATGCGCGTTCTCTCCTAGCGACATACACCTACTGTATCCAACAACTCCATTCTACAGTACTTGCAATTCAGCAACAGGCTGCATCTATGGACAAAACATTGCTACTGCATAGTATATAGTATAGATAGTAATGGAACCATGGTAGTGATGGCGCTGTAACAGTATGTCACACTTAGAAAAAAGAGGGAAGAGATATGACGTGCCAGTGTGTAGGGAATAGCTCTGGGTCGCGATTGACCCAGCTCGTTCGCCCCGTGTATATGCAGGGTTCAAGCAAGAATCGTTGGTAAAAATATAAAAGCCATTTCTCCAGAACCAACGTCTTTGAGAATCGCTTTCCTCGCTTATGATAGAGATGGATAGAATATAACCAGGCCCATAGATCTACTGTTATCTTCCGTGGTTTCGCCAAATTTCTTCTATGTTGAAGAGAATCATCAGTCAAGTGCAAAAAAGAAAGGTTTGCATTTCAAGTATAGAGGTTAAGGGGTGGAATGGCTGCTACAGCAGAAAAGCGATATGTACAACCCAACTCCGGCCGCATAATGGTCCATCGTCGTTGACTATCCCTCTACTCTGCACCTTCCCCCTCTCCCCTTCCTACCCTTCTTTTCTCTCCGTCCCCTTCTTTCTTATGGTGGGTTAGGCAAAGAAACTCAAAGTCTCAGGGGCTGTTTGGATCTCTCTGTCTCTGTCTCTCTTTCCTTCTTCCCTTTTTTACCTTCTTTTCACTTTCTTACTCTTTCTTCTTCATTTTCTTTTGCTAACAAAATATGACCGTCTCTTCGCCTACAGAAGTTGCACCTCCACCTCCACCAGCTCCCATCACCTCGACAGGCACTGGTATTGCCAACCTGCCTAACCAGCGTCACAAAATTGTTGCGAAAAATGGCGCTAACTTTACCTTGATGGTCTGCGGTAAGTTTACATTATTGAATGCACTAGCGGATAATGGCAGTGCGAAAAGGCTTATATTCTGTATGCATCTATGTTTCTAGGCGAGTCCGGCGTAGGAAAGACGACGTTTGTCAATACTTTGTTCACATCGACAATCAAGGAGCCGAAGAACCTTAGCAAGCGTCGCTTGCGTCCTCCAAATAAGACTGTGCAGATCCAGATCACCAAGGCTGGTAAGATAGCCTTCCCTCGCAGCGGGGAATAAGTTAGCGGGGACGAAGAAGGGCAATGGGCAAACGTAGGATGGCAACATAGGAGACTTACCGGTGTTTCGCTACTATTATCCTAGAATTGGAGGAAAAAATGTTTAAGGTCAAACTGACCATTATCGATACACCTGGCTTTGGTGACTATGTGAACAACCGACACAGCTGGATTCCCATTGTCGACTTTATCGACGACCAGCACGAAAAATACATGAGACAGGAACAGCAGCCCTGCCGTGAGGGTGTTGTGGACATGCGCGTCCATGCGTGCCTGTACTTTATCAAGCCCACAGGCCATACCTTGTCCCCATTGGATATCGAGGTCATGAAGCGTCTGGGTTCCCGCGTCAACCTCATTCCAGTCATTGCAAAGGCTGATACACTGACTCCTGCTGACTTGGCTAAATTTAAACAGAACGTAAGTACTATTATTGCTACTACTGCTATCTTCTTTTTTCTGCCCCGCCTGCATCTCTACTCCTTTTGCCTGTGTGTGTGTACTGTTGAGGCTACTCCTTTTCACCCAACAAAATAGTAGAGGGTCCCCTATTCAAACTAACCCTTCTTCCTTGTATGTCCATGTCCACACCCCCCCCTTCCAAACCTCCTCCTCCTTCCTCCCCTTCTTTTTGGTGTCCACGCAAACCTTCCACCAACCCCCAACCCCTTAGATTCGAGATGTCATCTCAGCTCAAGAGATTCAAGTCTATTCGTGCCCCATTGAAAGTGAGGATGAGACAACAACCAAGCGCAATGCCAACATTATAGCAGCGTTGCCGTTTGCGGTGATTGGGTCGACTGAAGATGTCATGACGTTGGACGGGAGACGCGTCAAGGGCCGTCAGTATAGCTGGGGCTGTGCCGAGGTGGAGAACGATGACCACTGCGACTTTCGAAAGCTGCGCAGTCTGTTGATCCGAACACACATGTTGGATTTAATCACAACCACGGAAGAGCTCCACTATGAAAACTATCGTCAGGCACAGATGGAGACTAGAAAGTTTGGCGATCCTCGGTAAGCTGATCTTCTTTTTTCTCTAAGAGTGCAGGACAGGCAGGATAGGCAGGATGCAATGATATAGATACTGACATGGTGAGTGTACAACACCAACAGATCGCAGCCTACTGAAAATGCCAAGTTCAAGGAAGAGGAAGAGATGTTACGCAAACGTTTCACCGAGCAAGTCAAATCAGAGGAGGGCAGGTTCCGCAAATGGGAGCAGCAGCTGTTGAGCGAAAGAGATCGTCTTCACAAGGAGCTGGAGCAGCAGAGTGAGCGTGTCAAAGAGCTGCAGAATGAACTGGATGCCTACTACTACAGTCACCATAACTCGCCAAGATCTGTTCGAAAATAAGCAAACATCACAAACACCACGACCGTCACCACACAAACACAAACACACACGCACACTGACTCTCCCCTCACCCACATCCTCGCAAACGCGTAAAGACTACATACACAACAAACATCAGGATTCGATGATCCTTTCTTCTCTTTCCCTTTTTTTAATCCTTTATTTTTGGACGCTACATCTTTCTTGGTATTTTTTCTTCTTCTTCTTTCTTCCTCTCCTCGATAATTTATATAAAGAACAATTATTACTATTATTGTTAGTATCTCTATTATTACTACTACTACTAATATTACATACTTGCCTACTACGATAATCTATGCCATCCATGTGCGTCCATGATCGCGTGATAGAAGCACCACTTTGCACGTCATACACATTCACAAGAGCATAGTGATAATTCATACTCAGCATCACGTTACGCACAGAGTTCTTTGTATTGCAGCCATCATCAGCACGATAGCAACCGCACAATAGCAGCCGCACGACTGCACGTCGAAGAGAACGCGTGTGCTGTGTAGTGTCAGAAACTGTATGAATGAGAGAGATAGAGCAGAAAAACTGGTTATGAGCCATGATGGCATGAGGTGCAGCAAACCCTGCTTTAGAAACAAAACCAATGCGGTGGTGCAGCGCTAAGAAAGAAATTCCCGCATCTGCACTGCACTTGAGAGATAAATTTCCACACTTCTTGTTTTGTTTTATTTCCCTTCGATTTCGCCATTCTACTCCTCAATTATGATGTCCCAGAGCTATAGTCACCCTTCACGATACGAACTAAAAAACCAGCGGACGTCTCATTTCTCATCGCATGCTTCAATATACGACCGAGGAAGACAGTATAATTGGACTTCCTTAATTTCGCCCTCTTCACCGTACGATGACTCTGAACCCATGCCAAGTATACCCGTTGCTTCCGCTGCATATTTACAACCACAACAGCAACAACAGCAATTACACCGCCACCAGGATCATCAAACTCAAGAACAACAACAACAACAACAGCATCAACAAATAGCGCCTTTATCGCCCCAAAAATCAAAGCAACTCAAGAAGCCACGGCAAACACAACAACAGCAACAATACAACCAGCAACCACGCTCAAATCACCAGCCGATTATGCTGACAGTTGAAGAAAAGTTACAACGAATACCCGATCCTCCATTGTGCTTTTGTGGTCAAGAAGCATTCCAATCGGAATCCGACCTTGGCATCAGTTATGATTGTTATGCTTTACAAAGCAAAGACCGCAAACGTATCTGCGGATTCCATATCCACAAGCGCGCGTGGGACAGCTTCCGAAACAAGCTGCAAAAGGGCCAAGACTTGGACCAGCACGACTCGGAGCTCAGCATATGTCCCTTTTTCAATTATACGTTCTGCGTGTGCTTCCAATATATCAACGACTACCCACGACGCTTCCCGCCGACTCCCAAATGCTTTTGTAGCATGCATGTAATCATTGCCGAGGTCGAGGAGGAGCAGGAATGCGGTGGCATACGGAAACGGTTTGCGTTCAACTGTCCTCATCATGCCATTGACGGCGCCAAACCCAAGTGCACTTGGTCTTGCTGGGCTGAGGAAGTGCCGTTCAGACGTCCCAAATTTGCATTGCACTCGGAAGAAGCGGATGAATATTACTTGCCAATAATTGCTCGTTGGAAGGGCATCACTCTTGCTGCCGCCGAGCGTCATCTGTCCGAACTCTGTGACAGTCGATATGATCAAGAGCAGAGCTCGACGCAAGAACCACGAAGGCAAGATCAAGCTGTGGTGGAGGAGTTGGAAGAGCAGGTAGACCACCAAGAAGAACGACAGCAGCTGCAGCAACAGGAGCAGCAGCAGGTTCTGCGGAAAGACGAAGAGGAATGACTTGTGTGGATTTGAGTACTGATTACTGTCATTCGCTTTTGATAAACTCTCGTTTTACTGCTATCATTACTAGTACCCTATCAGCTACCCTGTCCCTGTCTCCGCATCTCTCGAACTCGATTACCCACAATCTCTTTCTTACTGTGTTTGCGCATCTACCCCAACTGGACAAACAAAATAACCTAAATGACAATTTGTGCGTTTTATATCCCTCCCCCTTCTCTCTCACATATCGCTGCGTCATAATGATCTGTCTCTCTCTCTCTTTTTTTTTTAACGCACACTTGTGAAAAAGGTGTAGTGTATATGTTTCCTGCATGTGTTGCACTTGCAAGTTACCTAGCTAGCTAGAAGAAGATTCGGTCATTCTTCCGAAAAAAATCCTCTTATCAAAAGATTCGGATCTTGAGGCTCATCTCGACGACCCCTTCATCCGATTTTACAGCTACTCTTGGTTATCCCAAGCAATTTTAGGAGGAAATTGTCATTGTTACTTGCTGTATATATACCGCTTGATTGGATTGATAGTAGTAAAAGAAAATCGCCAGTCTTCAGCTGATGCAGATCATCTCAGAGATGCTGTTCTTTTTATTGTCACTACAATATGTCGTTAGATGATCATTTGAGGTTACTCAGGACATATCAACGACCGAACACACGCATATAAAACGAACAAATATCCATCCGACGAACTCTAATTGTTTCTATACTTGGCCATTCCCCGCTACAGTCTTTTTTTGCCAAAAATATACGCATAAGACACCCATCTATAAATGACAACGAATGACAACAGCGAACAAGTGACACTGCAACGCCGTCTCGACGAGCTACAAGCTTTAGCAACACAGTTGAAAAATGACCGTACACGAATGCAAAACGAACATGACCAACACACACAAGCAATTCAACAACTTTTGACTGATCGCGACGTGTCAACTCGAGAATACCTAGAAGCGCAAACAGGTGTAGATACCATCCAAGCGCAAGTAGAAGAGCTTCAAGAACAAAAGCAACAGCTCAACACCCAGCTGGAGTCAAATGTCAATGAACGAAAACGGAATCAGAGTGATCTCATTCAGCTTGAACTGAATCTTGACGAGGTGGGCGAAAGACACAACTCGTTAATGAAGAGATCTGAATGGCTTCGAGCACGTCAGAGCGACATGAAGTGCAAAGTGTGTGGGAAACGTACTGTGGAGTTTGCTCTTTTACCGTGTTTTCATTATTGTAAGTTCATCTTTCCATCGAACTAGTTTAATTATCTCTCCTTTAGTCCTCGGCGGAAGTACTTTTTGACATCCTCACCAAACATTTTGCCTCAACTGTTTTATCATTTAGGTTACTGTCAATCATGTGCCGTAGAACTGACAGTATGCATCATTTGTAAAGTATCCAAGCAAGGCGTTCAAAAGATCTACTATGGCTAATACATACAATAGTAACAGCATCCACTCCCGCTTTTTTTCTTGTAGATATTACATCCACTCCCCGTTTCTTTATATTTATAAAACGTCTGTATATATCATATGTATATGACCGTTTGCATGTGTCTGTAATTTGTGAATATGTTGCTATGTACAAAATATTAGGTTTAACATCAATATGTGACAGTGTAGTTTAATTGTCGATGTCGCGAGGAGTAGCAGGCAACACTTAATACTGCCGCGGACTACTGCTGCTAGAAGAAGAAGAGAGAGGCGGTAAAAGATGTTCACCACGAGGATTTACCATCTGCGCCACTGTTGCAATAGTATGGCTGTCAAGCTCCGAAGGTGGCATGTTGCCTCCTCCTTGACGGTTCCCGTTCATCATCATCATACCATTCTCGTCTAGTCCATCATCCGCTATGGCAGCCGCCGTAAACGACTCCATCTGCCGCGCATACCGTTCCTTGTCTTCTTTAGCTTTTTGGATCCACGGCGCCCGCTCGTCCTCTCGAAGCTTCCGCCATCGCTCCGCTATCACCTTACTTATCCCACCCACGGTTGCCTTTGGCATATCTGCCACGATTTCCGAGCGAACAGAGATCGAGTAAAATAGAAAACCGGACATAGGGTGCTTGGGTGCTGTTGGGTTTTTCAATCTTTTCTTTTTACGGCCACGTGGATCGCGCTCTTTTACTGCAGGCTTGTCACTGTTGGAAGCGACAGCACCGTTGTTGTTGCTGCTGGTAGTGCTACCCCCACCGTTGATGGCTGACAAAGAATCATCACCGGCAACGGCTTTTCGTTTCTTGGATGGTCGTGAGCGATAGCCAGCCTTTTCCAACTCGGCTTTGGATCGACGGGAATATATAAAGTTTGGATGATTGTCCATGTGCCGTTGTTTTAATCGAGCTGCTTCTTGATTGTAATACGCCTTATGTTCCTGGTTTTGACAATTTAGTTTTTACTTTGTAACACTTGAGGGAAGGAGCTCTATATTCAATACAACTACTAACCTCTGACAAGCTGTTCCACCGTTCGCTGATTCTCTTGCTGATTTCTGCCACAGTAAGGTTTGGGTTGCCGTCCAAAATTTTGTGTCGAACATCACGGTTGAACAAAAGATATGCGTTTGGCGGTCGTTTCACCCGTTTTGGTTTTTCACCCGGCCGTTTGTAACCAGCTAGACGCTTTTTGAGAGTATCGTCATTGCGTTGCTGCATAGAGGACGCTAATCCTGCCAAGGCCTCCGCTTCCGCTGCTCCGGCTCCGCTTGCTATTTCACTCATAACACCACGTGAGGTCAATAGAGGAGGAGATGGTGAAGACGGTGATCTACGGATTCGATCTTCTTCGCGGTCATCAACGTTTTCATCATCGTCATTGTGGTCATCTTCTTCTTCATCATCGCTTCTTGAACTGGCGTTAGAGTGCCAATCTGCTGCTGGAGACGTATTGTTTGCTGCGACAAATAAAGCATCATGCGACCGTTCACTGCTGACACTCAAGTGTCTCGGAGTCGTGAACACGTTGCATTCGCTACTGCTGTGACTGGTACCATTACTACCGGTGGCGGTGAAGCGGGTATGTGAGGACGACGACGACGACTGATGCTGATTATAATGGTGATGTTGATTATCTGCAGTATAGTGGTGTTGATAATGGTAGTTGTAGTCGTAGCTGTGATGATGGTTGTGTGCAGTGGGAGAAGGGGTAGTAATAGAAGAAGTGTTGTGTTGTTGCTGAGATGATGAAGATGAAGAAACAAGTAAGCTGCTACCAATCATATTGCTAATGCTGTTGGTGCTTATGGATGACGACGATGATTGTTCCTCGGAATGACGATACAAGTCCTTTATAGCTTGTTCCTTGAGGATTTCGGCCCGCTGCTTGTAATGTGACCTATGTCCCTGTTGTTTGATGCAAAAAAGAGAATAAGAAAAACAATCGAGTTCTTTCGTTTTTTGTAAAAGAATTGGGCATTATTACGCCCAATTCTTTTGTGGTACTTACATCGCTCAAGCCTTTCCACTCTTTGCCTAGTAATTTGTTTAAATCAGAGTTGCGTATCCGTGGTTGCTGCGCACGGATTTGACCGCGCCGTTCAGAGCTGAATACAACAAATGCATTTTGAGACCGCTTTTTGATGGGTCGATCGTCCTGTTGTTGTTCTGCTGTGGGGCAATCAACTCGAAACGTAACGGAATGATACGGATGCTCCTGTGCCTGCTGTTGTTGAAAGGAATCCTCCTCGCGTCTCCACCAGCTATCGTTGTTGTTACTGATGCTATCGTTGCCGTTGGTGTCGCTCTGAATACCCTGGTTGCCATGGTTGTCGTTGCTATGGTCATCGTTACTAGGGAACTCTGTGTGTACAAAATGATTGTCACGTCGATCTAATATTGGACATCAAACCCGCACATTACAATCACGGGATTTATGTTGTTTTGTCAGCACATCACCTCGTATATGCACGCTCAGAAAATTACCATATGCAACCCACACCATCGTATTACCTAAATAGGATTTGTCATTCTCAGACAAAAAGTGGTGATGATGTGGAGACGATGAGCCCTGTTGATGTCTTTCTGTTTTCAAGGTTATAGAGTGGATTAAATTAGAACGGAGAGAGAAGGAGAGAAGGAGAGAGGGAAACGGAAGGTAACAAGTAACAATAACAACTCTACGCCAATCATTAACAGAAAAAAAAGAAGTAGTAACAAACAAACCATGGAGCACTCCGTTATCTTCGGAATGGCGCCAACGTTCCCGATCCGCGTCCTCCTAATATATTATTTGACAAGTGTAAGACGATCAAACTGCATATACACCGCGCAACATTATTCTTTTATGTACCTGATGAAGAGATGCTGCTACTGGCGCTGGCCACTGCGTAAGTCGGGGAAACGCGAATGATGATGGCTCAAAACCTTCGTCAATCGTTTGCTTTGTCGTCACTAAAGTAGTAGTTCTTCCATTGTTATTGCTAAAAGGTAGCCGTGTGCTCATGGGCGGTGATGTCGGTAGCATAGTGACGGCTGCCTGGAAAGGTAAATGGTTCATCGCATGAGGCTGAGGTAAAACCCTGTTTGGCGCAGGTGATGATGCCACGCCTTTCTTGCCTGGAATCCAGTTAGCCCCTGGCGGGGTAAACTCGTCGTTCGACCGCCGCGGCGACGTATCACCGTTGCTGTTGCTTTGCACTGCTGCTCCTCCTCCTCCTCCTCCTACTGGTGGACGCGATATCATTTCCACGTAATTCACACGATTCTGGTTCAAATATGAAGCAATGGCACTGAATGGTGCTCGACCTTGATGTTCGTTTTGCATTGTGGAACGGGGTGGTTGTTCAAATTGACAACGTGCGACTGGTTGTGTAAAGTAATACTACGATTAACGGCTGCTGCTGCTACTACTGCGTTAAGTTTTTTGAATGTTGGCGAGAGAAAATTGCTATGAATCGAATGGGCAATGAAGCATGTCAAGTGGGAGCGTGTGTAAGCGTGTGAAAGAGAGAGTGTGTGTGAGTCAGTGAGTTACAAAAAGAGGCTTTTTTTATGCAGTCAGAGACTACGAGAAGTTAGCAGCGAAGAAAATCAAAGCAAGAAGCAGTAAAGTAATTACTTGCGGAGTGAAAGGTTAAAAGAGAAATGGAAAGGGGAACGAGACAGAGGGAGTATGGGGGGTGGTATAGAAGAAGAATCAAATCAGACTCGTTTGGTCCCTGGCTATGGCGTTAAAGGGTTTTTCCGAAAACCTTCTTTTTTTGATTTACTGTTTTATTTATACTAGGTGCAACAATAGTACTTTGATGAGCGTCGTGCTGTTTCACTTAATCTCTCCCGGAAGGAAAAGAGAAGTGTGGTCAATCATGGATGTTCCCAAAGTCAACACATAAGCAGGAGGCGGCTTGAGCGTCAGAAGAAGTTGATGGGAATTTGTGGAAAATCAGACCTTTGTGCACTATTTCCCAGCATGCACACTTTCCAGCTCTGTGTGAGTATCATTGATGCAACAGCTCACTTGGCCTTTGCGTGTAAAGACAACAATCACCTCTCGAAAAGCGATTTGCTGCTACTATGCACTATTTCCAGCAATTTTACAACTGTCGATTCAATCCCTTGTAGCATTGCAGTGTGTACAGATGAAATCAACTTGTTTTCGAGGAACCTTTAATATCAAGTAATTGTCCAACTTACTACATAGAATAAGCTTCCGTTTTATAATAGCACAGGTTTTCTTTATATATTTTGTGTGCCCACCTCGCCTCCTCTTCTCTTGTACGTCGCACAAGACTCTTTCATTTGTGGAAAATGCTTATATCGGCACATCAAAAATCGATATGCGCAGCTTTTTAGCTTCGTGATTTCCCCACACGTATAGACCCTAAAACATTGAAGTATTGTCTTGCTGTATCAGTGTACAATGAACCATCGACTATCGCTCTAGCTGAATGGAGGAGGTGCTTGTTTTGGATTTGACAAGCAGTTATAGTTTTCTTTTTTCAGTTAAAGTAAAATGTACATACAGGGCGAGAACTCCACACCGCCATCTTCATTTGCATATTTCCACATGTTGTTGTGAAGAAGGAGAAGAGAGAGAGGACGGGGTAGGTTAAGATATTGATGATCTACACTAGCTAACCTCAATATGTAGAAATGTACTGTATGAAACTTTCAGCTGCTGTTCTCACATGCTGTAGTATGTAATTACTGTATAGTGGCGAATTGTTAAAGAAGGTAAATAGATTCTTAATTATTTTTGAAGATGTGTTAACCAACAAATAGTAAAGGTAATTCATATGAGCTTTTAAAGTAAAACTTTCAATTAGATTGTGTCTAAAGCACTACTACCTATCGGCAGCCACCCCTCCTCTTCCGTTCCCTTAAAGAAAAGCTACAATAAGTGTTGCTTTTTAAAAAGGGCATCTGCATAGAATATAGCTTATTTCATTGTTTAAATTGCCTGACTGATCTCCTAAGATAGAAAAGAAGGAGCGGGATGGGAGAGTTTGCTCTTTGTTATCCTTTTACGTATGAACAGTAAGGTTATAAGCGCTAGACTACTTTAATCTTTTAAGTCTGGTACCTATTAGTTTTTTACTATAAGTTTGCGGATTTAATTTTTATTTTTGCGGGTCCAACAAAGATTTAACTCATCACGTCTAACAACGATGTGCGATCAGAGTACATGCATTGCTTCAATGTCGCTGACAAGATTCCTAGTTTGGAACCAGTGGAAGTTGAGAATCAACAAGTGGACTTGTCACACTCACCACTGGGAGATGCCAGGTACAAGAGTTAAGTTGTTAGACATGGTGTGTAAAATCTTTGTTGGAAATCCAATCCGCAAGTTATGCTCGACCCACAAAAATCAAAATTAAATCCGCAAACTTATAGTTAAAAACCAATATAGCAACATGCCAAATAAAAAAAAAAGTCTAAACCATGTTTGCGCCATGCTACTGCAACTGCATTTTCTTCCATTCACCCCTTCGCTTCTAACTAAGAACCCCTGCAGCATCAGCAGCACCGAATGACGATGTTACGCAAAAAAAAGCTAGGAAAAGGGGTGAACGCAATTGAGGAGAAGAGTATGAGTAACTTTTTTTATAATAAATAAAGCTTGCCGATATTTGGCTCAAAAGATGTTTAGCTACATTACATGTAGTTACATGTAAATATGTAGAAGGTTTACCTCTCTCCTTTCTTCTACGACCACGGGACCATGCTTAATTTTATAGCATACTCTCGGGAACTGCCAAGAGCAGCATGTGCTCCTCTTTCCCCTCCCGCTGTCGTTGCTCTCTCGTCTTATCTCTTTTAAATACAGCAAACGTAATATCATGGCCAAAATATTACGTGACGCGTATCATGATTCAAGTAGCCTGAATGATACAGTACTTCTGGAAGGTTTTAAAATACACACATCACATGTTTACATAATATAGACATCCCGTTCTTTGCATGTTTTAAAATGGCGGAGCCCCTATTGCAAGTGAGTCTATAGCATCAATTCGTGAGTTCGCTGTTATCAGCGGTACATAATGCTTGACTGGCAAGTTTGATATATAGGGTCGCCCGGCCGGATTTAAGATACCTAGGAGAAAAACACAACTTTATATAGGAAGGTCTGGCAGGGGCAAACAAAGCAAGTGGGAGTGTTGAATGAAAACGACGATTGATTATAATATGCTGTACATTTGAGAGCCATGACAAAGTGATGCCTCCGTTGTAACGCTACATCATCCAAATTCTCGGATTACCGTTTGAGTCTTTGAGACCTTACAGGGTCTTGGAAGGCCGTTTCAGGATTCCGAAAGGCTGCAAACGGCTACGAACGGCAATTTGTATCTTGCGGATGAATTGGCTGGACTCGTCGCCATTCTCTTATTCTCATTCTCTGCATTGTTGTATGCACAACAGAACCCTTGACGAGCACATGGATATGATACAGAGAAACTCGTGGTGCGAAAACGTACGTACCTTGATCATCAAACAATTTCGTTATTGGCAGACTTTAGCGAAGGAAAAAACAGGAGCATTTTTTGTGCACTCGCTATCATTGTATAGTATGTAAGATAGCAAAGGTTTATAGATCTCTTTTATTCTGCTCATACGATGTGTATGCATACTGTACATACGCATGATATGAAATATATAACGGGTATTTTAGAGCACTGGGATATCTGGCATATAACTATCAGGATCGTGTAATCGCACCAGACAAGAAGATAATGTCATGTTTACATACATACTATCAACGTGATCCACATAATACAAAAAAGGCATTTGCAGCACATCGGTAGACATGTATGTTTTTAACTGTTACATGTACGCAAAGTAGGTTACAATGTAAAGTAAACAAGCAGCTGCCGATGTCCGTAAATACTTCTCGCAACGGACGATTATATAATGCATACACTGAAATCTCTAACTTAAGGTTTTGCTGACATCTAGAAAGATATCATATGTATGTGGATCTACGATATTGGTCAAGCCATGATACATAAAAGAGCACATTACCAAAAAAAAGGCGCACCAAATATCTATCCACGTGATGAAGCAAAAGCAGCAACAAAAAGCTGCGTACACACCAGTCTTTTTGCATTGGTTAATTATCATTACGTGGGATGTTATCGCCCCCTCAAATCAAAAGCATAGTATACATACCTTATATAGTCGATCCCCTGCCATTGTATTTAGGTGCCACCGCTCAGGCCTTCTTTTTGAGTTATGATAAGACTGACAAACTATAAGTATCTCACTGAAGTACCGCTGTTACGAACACAATTCGACAATCAGCATTAATACGATACCATAAAACCTTCATCAAACAGGAAGAACGGTATCGAAGAATAATCAAACCATATCCTATGTCGTAGTTTCTGACGAAATTCTTGACTTGAAGGCGGGATTCGCAGATAGCAACATATTATATCGCCATGTATATATACTTAGATATATGTAGTATCATCTTTATCATTTCTTTCTGTACTAAAGCGAGACATATGTACCAGACATTTTCCCTCACATGTACGGCACTACTGTACATGTATCACACTGAGATTCATCATTAGTCACAAATGATAAACGATGAAGTCGTTTTTACATACCGTCTCTATCTCGTTATGTAGTACATGTTAATAAAATGCATATTACCTTGTTTTTATCTATGTATATCGGCAGCAGCACGACGTTATGATCATTATTGCCCCTTTCCAAGATTAAACGACCGTGTATGCGCTCAAAGGCTGCGGATCTGTTTCCAGTGGTGTCTGAAGATCATTAAATTTATGAGTTCTATAACCCATTATCATACATGCTAGTTTATGCTAAAATTTCATTGAGCTTTGATCCTGAGCCTGTTTCTTGGCACTTAAATACTATGTACACATCGTAAATTTATTAATGACATACTCCATGACTATGTGTCTGACCTTCATTCTTTTTGGAACGGGCCCACTACTTGTAGAGAATGCTCAGCAGCGAATGATACACTGCGTACAGAAGACTGTGAAATACACTATTAAACGAGTCGTTTATGTTTGTATTGTGGGCTCACATGCATGATTTAATCCCTGAGAGTACTATCTCTATATATATTGATCGACGTTTTCTTTAGTGCATTTGTTCGATACACTCCGAAAAACAGCTAAAGAGATGACTAAGAATAGAGCCTTTAATGCAACAAGACGCCATGCAGAAAGAGACCAAAAACACGAGAACATGTAAAAAAAAAACTTGATTCCAAGTGTACCAGGTTAATGATAAGACCTCGCTCCATCACATAACAATGGAAATGCAAGGGGCGACTGAGTTACACTGCTCATGGAAACGAACTTCGTGTCACCGTAGCATTATGCCTTTTGTAGCATGCAGCATTGTGCACACGGACCTGGCAACAGTGATAATGATGATGCTTAACAGACGGAGAAAAAGGTTGTTAAACTCCTTTTTAGACTGCCAAGAAGCAGTGTATATTGACTAGCGGGGAATGTCGCGACCCATGAAGCCAAGCTAGACGGTGCCAATGAGAAGGAGATTTCGAAACTTATCGAAAACCCATGACGCGTATTTGCTGTCTATAAAAATTTACGCTATACCTGAAAGCGACTTTTTTCCTCGATTTAGCACCAAATCGTCGCCATTTTCCCCTTCGCTGTTCTTAGTGCACATTATCCCATTGATGGATGATAGCTTCGTCATTCAGTCTTTCGGACTATAAGTTCTTCTCTCCACACAGCGTTTCCGACTTCTTTTTTTCCACTTGTCCCACAAAGATCAATCTTCCTACTCTTCCTATTTTTCTACCCTCTCTCTCTCTTTTTCTATTTTTCTCATCCATTCTCTCATTTAGGCAGAACAACTGCGTTTGGAAGGAAACGAAAGCAGAGAAGATGCTTTATTCATATTTCGTGTATTATGTAACGTTATTGGCTGTTGTTGTTTGGACATGCGCCGCTGCAGATCCTCAAAAAAACCAACTGATCGTGTTCGGTGATTCATACACTGGTAAAATCAGATATCCTGTTCGATGTTTTTTTCATAGGCAAGTGTCTCACACATTATCCCATTCACTTGTTGCAACGCGATGTGACATCAGCCGATGAAACCGACCTGTGTAATGGCCCGAAATGGGTTCGGCAACTGGGAAGCACATGGAGTAACGTTTCGATAACGAACTTCGCTGTGGGTGGTGCATGTTGTATGAAGAGTGAAAATACTCCCAGCCCACCAATTACCCAACAAGCAGACAGCTATCTTGCCGAAAATCCAGACAACGACCCGGCTACCAGCGTATACAGCATCTTTGTCGGCATCAATGATATGATTGCAAACGAGGGTAAATACTTGTTGCTAGTATTGGTAAATTTGGAATGTGATATTAACTTGTTGTGTGGGTCACCAGCACCCAACGACGTTATTTCGTGTATTCAAAGTCAGATAACTAGATTGAATCAACAAGTGCAGGGCAAGCAGTTCTTGATATTCAACATGGTTCCTTTTGATCACAGCCCTCGGATAATACAAGACAACCAAGCCAATTCTGCGGCACAGTGGATTGATGAATTCAACCAGAACCTCCATACATCCATGTCCTCTTTGCAGCAGCAATACTCGAATTTAACAATTGTCGTGATTGATACGCATGCCACGCTCCTCAACGTACTCAATCATCCAGCCGACTTTGGAATCACCAAAGGCGTCACTGATTATTACACGCATGTGAGCCCAGACCCTGGATCTAGCGGTGGCCAGATGCTCCAGAATGGCAACAAGTACTTTTGGTTTGATAATGCGCATATCACCAGCATTGTCCACGAGCAAATTAGCAAAGCTGTCGTTGCCCAGCAACCGTTCCCATATCTTCCACTCATGGGTTCTCCTAGCTCGCCCAGCAACCCAATGGATCCTCACTATACATCTCCTCCTTCTACAGCATCCTCCACTGCACACCGTAATTACGCGCTGGCCACGTTCTTGATCGCTCTTGCTTTACTGTCATAGAAATTCCCATCACTGTCATCATCCACTTTTTGTTTTATATCTTTCTCACATGTTAATGCTTTGTAACTTTTCTCTGTCTTTCTAATGTACAAAATTCTATTCCTTATTTTACAACCTATTTCCAAGATAGTCATGATGATTTTTTCTGCTGTTGGTCACTGTTGCTGCTGTTGGTATTGTCGCCAAAAGAGGTCGAAGGGAATGGTGCTTCTTTGCGTGACTCGTCCAAAAGCTTATCGATGCCTTTTTCTTTCAAGGTAACCTAAAAAAAAAGAAGATACGAGTTAAATAATCGTTTATGGCAGCAGGGGCCCTGTCAAAAAATAAACTTTTACACTTTACCATAACGCATGCGCGATAATCCTTGAACAGATCTTCACATTCGGGTGTAGTGTCACCCTTGAGAAACTTTTCAGAATACCATTTGTTGAAACAATTGTCGTATTTTTGCTTTAATTCTGTGCAATCGGCACCAACACTGGAAGACATTTTGTTGTAGAAAAAGAAAGGTAAACGAATAAAAACAGCCCAGCCGGGGTTCATCTCCCAAGCAGGAAAGTTTGTGTCCACGCTTTTCGGATTAATGAAGTACCGAAGTCAAATAGATAGAGGGACCACAGGTCTAATTCTTTAGTTCAAACATTTATGAAAGACTCAGTGACCTTGTGTAATTGGTCATTTCCTTGCGGTACAATTGGAAGGAAAATTAAGTCAGGACTGAGAAGAAACTGCGGATGTTTCAAATCGTCGTTGAAAGTGTGCGAGGCTAGTTAAGAGAATAAAAGAATTCTTAATCAGGGAAAGAAGGGGACGGATAATTAGAATGAGAAGAAGGCCATTTTGGAATATGCTGTAAGGACGAGTATATACGTGTGTGTGTCTAGAGGAGGGCACCTTCTGTAGCAGGTTCTGGATCCGATGTATCATAGTCAACACCTGGATGGCTGAGACGGTCACACGGAGCAGAGTCGGCCGAGCTCTCCTCCATCTGCCACACAAAGATTTGACATCAGAGCGGGATAGATGGTTCAGAATGTAATCCAGTGGTTGCATATCATCGGGTAGCAATTCTGGGAGTGGTCTGAAAGCGTCAAGGAGCTGGTCTAATCCTTATATAATATCAGACAAATCCACCAGCTTTAAGAACCGGTAATAAAGTATTTTTAGCAAATGTCCAGATCATTCGTAAAGAGTACTCAAGGTACATCATCGTTTATTATCCACTTGCTTAACATCATATTTCAACAAGTGTACCAGTAACAAACTACTGCTTCAAGATTAATAGATAGCAATAATTTTATATGGACGTACTATGTAGAGAGCAATATCCGACCAAGCGACAGTTATATTCATGCTTTTTTTGAATAATAAACCAGGCACCATTAACTGCTATACGTAGGTCATGTAGCGGTAATATGTGAGTCAAGGGAGTGGTTTCTTTCAGCTCTTTATATATACACATCGTTGTATGATAGATATAGCAATCTAGAAGAAATTAGTACATTACCTAGGATAAATGGATAGTGGAACCTCCATTTATGATATACAACAGATTTTTTCAAACGAATTTTTATTGTGGATACGATTTGCGAACGTGATTCGTGTGGCAGGGGTGTGTGGATGGTGACAGCATAAAATCATGACTCTTCCATGTAGGGTTCCAAACCTAAGTCCTATTCCAGCAAACAGTAGAATCTCTCCCCCCTCATCATCAAACGTTTTCTTCAAAATAATATATCTATCATATGTAGTGAATCCGGACGCTAGCAAGGCAAGCTTGCAAGCCTTTACCCGGACATGTCGCAGCCATATTCTGTCGGCAACATTGTCCTTACAATCCATATGATAGAAGTGATCTCTGTTTAGATCGCCAACTTTACAGAGGCTTTTGACCCTGTATGTGTAATCTCTGATGGTTATGCAAATGAAATAATTTGACATCCTATGTCACCAGCCCTATTTTTTTTCTCTCAGAGCAGTAGAAAGAAGGTTGGTAGGTAAGACAGCTCTTACCGACAAACGTATTGTTGGTGACACCAGGTAAAACAGCTTTGCATAAACGTTGCGTTACATCGTCTCCTCGGAATTCTGTGCACGAATTCCGGAATGTGATGCAGGCCTTTCCTTAATTGTTGTACTTTTGTGTCAAAGTGCAGGTTAAAAAGCAAACAAAGCTCAGAAGTGGTATGCTGGTTCGGTCGACGCTACCCCATCTGACCCGCGACACATTGCTAGCCTGGTAAGACGTGCCCAAAGCCTTAAACGATATGGTATATGAAAAGCAGTGTATGAACTAACAGCAGCCTCCAACGCTTGTATAATTCGAATCGATTGTTCAAAGACAGGTGGGTTGGCAAAGTTGGATACATAAGGCGGCTTAAACGTTGTGTCGATTTCATACAAGGTGCAATTCTTAAAGCATAACTGGTAGACCACTACACACATCCTTCGTTGTTGACTGCCTAACAATTTACTCGTGCCGGCTAACGAAGTTGCCAGATGGGCCATAGTATCCTACTAGTGGCGAAACCTTCTGTTAGCGACTTTAACATGCTGGATTGAAGCTGGGCTTGGAAAAAGCCGACGGAAGATACGGATTAGGCTAGACAAGGCTTGACTGCAGAGATCGGAGGGAATCTGATACCTTCCTTGTTGCACGGCGATAACTACACCACAACAACGGAAAATGCTGAATCTACCGATCAACATAATTGCAGCTTCCGTCAAAAGAGCAACATCAATGATACATTACCATTTTCTTGATATTTTTGTTGAATCAGGAAACGGGTTGCTAAGAAGTTTGCATTCATGCACATGCACGATATAAGTGCCTACTTAAACTCAAGACGCCTTCTTGCTTTTGCCAAGAATAACTGAGGGTGGATCGATGTGAAAAGTGAAACTCTTTTTCTCTCTAACTTTTTGTTGTGTGTTTACATAAATAAAAGGCTTGTAACACTTAAGTACAAGACCACTAAAAATAGTGCCTCAATCGCTTCAGAAAAATCGTGGTACATGTTAGATTTCATATATAAACTCCCAGGGTTATTGCTACAAGTAGTCTGGGCGACAACATCCACGCTGTAATAGCGATCATTATCTCCCGCACAAGATCGTAGGGGGTGCAATTAATGCTCTTTGCGTTTTGTTGGTTTTAATTTTGAAATTGCGAAAGAAGCGACTACAAGTGGTTAGCATAAGCATAGTAATTCAGTTGATAAATTGAACTCACTCAACGAAGACGATGTTCACTTTAATGTATGGCAATCACGTTATTCTACCTATCGTCATCAACATTACTAGCAACATACTAATTAATAATGTCAAGCTGTCGTATAGTGCCTTGATGACACAGTCATCGGATTTTCTATACTTAATACGCATTTTACAGGCAGTCGCTCCGTTATCAATAAGCATTTGCTAAATTGTAATCACATTTCTTCCAAGTCACTGTGGCATCTTGTATCATGCTTGTGGTACATGTATTTAGTGGGAGTAATACACAGTTTCTTTGGACGAATCTGGCAGGGGTGCTTATCAATACAGTATGTGATGATCGTTACGGAGACTATAGTAATAATCAATATAACGGTAATAATAATCTAAAATTGTAACAACAGTATAGCAGCAGATCGTTTTGGAAACTTGAACATGTTTCTTGCAAGTATGACGGCGTCGGCATTGTCTGTTTTAATTGTATGGATGTTTGCATATTCTTTTTCAGCCCTCATAGGGTTCTCGGTCATGTATGAATTTTGTGTCGAGCCTTCCAAATAGTTTGTATCTGGCTCCACCTATCATAGTGGGTATTGTGGGCATTTATCTCTACCCCGGTCTCGTGAATTCCAGATGCTTTTGCAACTTTTGTGGTCGCACTACCAATTACTGCCAGTAGTGTGGCAACTGTCCGTGGGTTTGCAAGCGGCTCGTTTTCCTTATATAAGACATCAGCGGGAAGTGTCACTACTCTTCGTGTACAGAGAATGACTGGCTAAAGTTTAATTAACGAATAAAGAAGGGAGCTGAGAATTATTTTCTTATGATGCCCAACGATTTTTCGAAACTTTTATTCTTTTCCTACCACCAAGGAATAACCATGTCTTCAAATGCCGAATTGTTGCAACGCATTGAACAGTTATCGGGTGCCATCAGACAGCATCAAATTAATCAGACTTCCAGTAACAGCACCAGCCATCGTGGCGGCAGCATGTATCGAGGCAGAGGGGCTCATCGCGGTGCACCCATTCTGCGCGGCAGCTCATGGACCCGTGGTGGTGGTCGTGGGGGAACCGTCCATCGCTCGCTAAACAACACTACCTCTCGTCCAATACCACCGCGTACACACCACAAGACGCTCGTTCTTAATCAGCCTCGATTAACCTCATCCACTTTACCATCAACGACAGCAACAACAACAACTACTACTACCACCAAAAATGCCAGTTACCCCAGTACCAGCAGTTTGTTCACTCATACCCAACCAACGACCGCAGCACGCTCTCCTGTCAACCCCCGGCAACCCTCTATACCGCCATTGATAGAACCTAAACGTGTTTCCATCGATGGTGCCTCTTTTCTCGTAAAAGGCAGAAAGTTGATTCGGGAAGACAGATTAGGGGCACGACCGGCGAAATTGCCTGCCACAGGGTCTCATGTGCTAGTTTCAAAGCGACTCATTCACGGGTAATGTACTTCCAACATAGAAAGTTCCAAAGAAAATGACTACTAATCTAGTTTCAAAACTATAGACGACGTGATAACAACAGAAACATGGTTCTTGGTCAAATACCCCCGCCAGTACGTCGTAAAATTGTCAAGAAAGTTAAAGTACAACGAAGCAAGCGTGGTAATATGATTTTGATGCGCGAACCTGAAGGATATGTTCGTCAAGGACGCTCTGGTAAATCGCTTGTATTGAAAACAAAACGAACCACAAAGCGTTACTGTGGTATTTTCACACGATATGGTATATCCTTATTTTTCTATTAGTCAAGTCAAAGGGTCAATTTTGAAAGCAAACTTCTTTAATTGGTTATCTATTTCTTCTATTTTTTCAAACATAGGCAAATGCCCCAAGGGCCCCCGGTGCACATTTTTGCACGATCCTAACCATCGCGCCATCTGTCCTCGATTTTTGCAAGATCGGTGCCGTAAATCAGCGTCTGAGTGTCGATTATCGCACACGCCCAACCCGAATATCATGCCCCATTGTGTGCACTTCCAACGTGGCAGATGTACTAACTCTGAATGTATTTTCATGCATGTACGCGTGCGCCCAGATGCGCCCGTGTGTCGCGCCTTTGCCATGGAAGGATATTGCTCCAAGGGCTTGGAATGTCGCGAGAAGCATGTTCACGTATGCCCGGAGTTTGCAGAAACTGGCAAGTGTTCGAATGCCAACTGTCGTCTGCCACATGTTGCTCGACGATCCGCCACTGAAACGGAGAACAGTAAATCTGCTGCTGGCGTTGTGCGTCCTGGAAGTTGGGTGAGTGCAGCCTATTTCCATGCACAGAAGGATGCCAAGCGCAAGGCAGCTGAGGAAAAACAGCAAAAGATGGCCAGTATGCAATTACATTCAGCAATGCATCATAAACAAAAACTACAGCAGCAGCAGCAGCAGAAACAACAACAACACATTCAACAGGAAGGGTCTGCAAAAGAAGCTGTTACCAAACTATCTCGAGAAAAGGAAGAAGAAGAAGAAGGGTTTGTACGGCTCTTTGACGATAGCGACGACGATGAAGAAGGTTGGGCCCAGTACTCTTCTCGGCCAGAAGATTCACAAGGAAACAATGAGCTGCGCTTTAATGAAAATGATGTAGAAGAAGAGAGCGACAGCGAAGAAGAAATTGAAGAAGAAGAAGAAGCAGAGGGTGGTAGCGGTAGTGGAAGCGAAGACGATTATGAAGAATACGAAATAGTAGATGGAGATGGAGATACTATTATTGTTCAAACATAAAAAAGAAAATCGAAGAAAAAAGCAAAAATAAAATCATTTGTTACAAAAGAGAGAATATGGTACAGTTAAGGCTCGATATCATCGTCATCAATATTTTCTTCCTCTAGTTGTGGGTTATCATCTAATAGGTCGTTATACGTCAGTTCCTCGATCGTATCTCCGGCAACAGCACCTTCACCGAGGACCGGCTCAGCAGGTTCGTAAACGGGTATCCGCGATTTGGAATACACTTTCATAGTATCGATCGTGTTTCCGTGGAGGTCATATGTGTCCCACACCAATTCCCAAGGTCGGCCTTGCATTGTAGGAGGTCTGAACTCGAGAATAACGTAATGGAACTCCACAGACCGTGCTTCATACATTTGCCAATCCTTCACACGCTCAAAGTCCAAATCCCCACCTGCACCACCGATAATCGTATAATGGATTCCGTTCCGTTGGCCGCGTTCATAATTATGCTGATGGCCCGAAATGACGAGATCCACGCCATACTTTTCGAATAGGGGAACAAACCGGTCCTTGACAAATGCGCCCCACTTGCTCTGGCCTTTTTTAAACCATCCGTCTGGTTCCCAGTATTCAATAAATGGCGGTACATGCACCACAACGACCCGCATCTCAGCATTTTGGAATGCAGTGCTTGCGAGCTCATGCTTGAGCCAGGTATCTTGCTGCTCCCAATCCAAATTGCTGTCCAATACCACGAATCGAATGGCGCCTCCTGCCATAGAGAATGCGAACCATGGATCGCTGGACGGACTCACGCGTGTGTAATGATACTCATACGTAGGGTCATGGTCATGATTTCCGTGAGCATAAATTATGGGCATACGCTGGCCGAGTCTAAAGAACGTCAAAGGGCCCACGAAATCGGTTTGCCATTGCCTTAAAGAAGGGTAGTTCTGGACGGCGTCACCAGCATGTAATAGATAGTCCACGTTCTTGATACGTCGCAAGAGCGAAACAAATGTCCTCAATCCAAACTGGTTGTCGGCCATGGCAGCCATGCGTATCGGCTCTCGTGTCGTTGCGTGCCATCGAAATATATGCTTAGCCATCAGGCGCCTTGGCCGCTGCGTTTCAATCTTGTAAACGTACTGGCCACTAATGTCGAGCGGGCCAATGGTTGCCTTGTAGAGTGCGTGCCGATCGTCCAGAACAACAGCATCGACCACTTGCTCTGTCACTTGAGCTTCCAATTGATTCTTGCTCCACGCTATTGTCATGTCTCTCGGGCAGTTCATTTCCCAAACTACCTGAATGTGCTGTGTATCTTGGACGTACAACATTGGTTGCTTTCGTAGAACGCCGCACGGTATCCAGCCTCGGTCAAAAAGTGCATTGTCAAACTTAATGCGAAAGAATGCAAAGTATATGGCGATTGTGTTTTGGAAGCAGTACAGTAAAAGTAATAAGCCCAGTAGTGCAAAGAGGATGTGTTGTCGATATCGTCGCCAGCGCCATCGTCGTAATTTCGATGTCGGCTTTGTTAGTGTTGGAGTAATTACTTGTGGTCGGCTGTCCATGAGGGCATCGAGAAAGGCTTCTCGATGACGGGTATTGCTTTTGTTGTCATCGCTGACGGCGTCAGGGTGTGGAGAAGTTGGTTGTTTGTGTTGAAATGATACGGACGAGTAGGGTTCATAACTATTTGGATGCAACATCATCGATGCATTATACTTTGTTTTACTCCAGTATTCTCTACGGTTTAAGTACAAGCAACCAAGAAAGATCGACGGTAAGTGAAGTTTTTCAGGGCTATATTAAGAACTGAGGTTACACGGAGCAAACTTTATAGTTTTTAGATGCATTTATATCTTGCAGTGCATCATATTCTATCACTGCGATGTCGATTTGTATAAGTATGCGACCTGTCAGGAAACAATATGCATAATCGTGCTGGAAAGCCAAGGTTTATAAGCTCTTAACATAATGGATGTATGCTTTATTAATAATGCTTTAGATGCTTTGTATACATTATAAATTTGGAATACAACAGAATAACAATAAGGTGGAAGTTGTGCAGTACTAGATATTATAGCGTGGTTGAAATACTCGTGTCGATGTTCGCATTACTGCGTGGCACTTAAAGATTGCTCGCGAACAAGAGTACTGTATTGACCGTCAAGTCGAAGCAACTCCCAATGAGTGCCTTGCTCAACAATGCGCCCCCTTTCAATTACGCAGATAACATCAGCATTCTATAAGTTAAGATAGACAATCAAATACTCGTTAGCCTATGCAAACATACCACTCTTTTTTTGAGAAATAGAATGATTACCTGGATCGTGGAAAGACGGTGAGCGATTGTAATGGTTGTTCGTCCACCTTCTTGGATTACGTTGTCGATAGCAGCTTGGACTAGCTTTTCTGACTCAGAGTCAAGCGCAGAAGTCGCCTCATCCTAAATTTTGCATGTCAGAACATTGGATACTTGGGAGACATAACAAAGCAAAGGCAAAAAGGGGAGGTTATTTGAAAATAGCATACCAGAAGCAAAACACGTGGGTTTCGCAGCAGGGCACGTGCAATAGCAATACGTTGCTTTTGACCGCCAGAAAGTTGTGAGCCCTTGTCGCCAACGGGGGTATTATATTTTTGGGGAAGACCTTCGACAAAGCGATGGATATTGGCAGCAGTGGCGGCTTTGATGATGTCGTTTTCCGTGACCTTGATATTCTCCGGAGCACCATACCGAATATTATCTTCGACAGACATGTTGAATAGAACGGGTTCTTGGCCCACAAGCGACATGTGACTTCTTAGGTTGTCAAGCGAGTAGTTCTGCACATTCTGCTCGTCCAGTCGTACGGTTCCGCCGAGTGTGTCGTACCATCGTTCCAAGAGAGCAATAGTCGTAGACTTGCCACATCCGGATGCACCTACCAAGGCAATGGTCTTGCCAGCCATACCGGTGAAATCAAAATCACCGGTGAAAATTGGAACATCGGGTCGTGCTGGGTATCGGAAAGAGACCTTCTCACATTCTACTTGGCCTTGTACTGATACGGGCTCGATGCCTTCAAGTTCCGGGTCAATCAATGGTTGGCGCTCCAGGGTTTCAAATGCAGAGAGAGCAGCGTATTTGGCCTTGGCGATACCCGAGACAAGAGCAGAACTTCGGCCGAGACCAAAAGCTGTGATCATCATGGCCATCAAGGTAACCATCATGTCCTCAATATTTATCATGTTGATACCAATCAATCGCACACCTGCATAGAAGCAAACTGCATACATGTACATCATCATGCCTTGACTAATTGCATAGCCGATGGATCCAAAATATGCCTTGCGTTGTGCCAGTTTGTGGGGACGTAAGCCTGCTTTGTCGTACTTTTCCTCAAAGTAACTCTGCTTTGTCAATGATGCGACTGTACGGATTGTGTTGATAGCTTCGCTGGCGACCTCACCGGATTGTATATTCGCTTTTTTTGTGTCATCTTCAAAGTTCATTTCGACTTTGGCTTCGTACGCAGAGCCAAAAATAAGGAAAGGTACGCAAGCAAGAACAATCAGACTTAGTGTCCAGCTGTAGACAAATGCGATAACGAAACCTTATGTATGAAATTTCTGGTTAGAGTGGGCCTTGCTGAAAATACAACACTAAAACATACTAACTTGATATGATGCTTACCAGTAACGCCTGTGGAAATGATACTTGAGATCTCACCAACAATCTTGGAGATAATCTCGTTGACATTTTTCGCGTCAAGAGCGAGCATCGACGTGAGTGCACCAGTGTTGTTTGTTTCTTCGTCGTAAAATGCGACTTCTTGTTTCATGAATGCCTTAAATAAGCGCGACCGAAGTCTCCTTGTGTACCGCTCGCCAGCAACTTCAAAAGCTCCAACTTGCAGGGTCATACCAATCATCACCACAAGGGCAACAATCACAAACAGAAAAGCGTACAGGTTGGATCCCGCCAGGGGACCTGGGCGGATGCTCTCGACGGTAGGATCGATCATGATCGTAATACACAGGGCAATCAATAAACCACTGATGGGGAAGCCCGTTCCAACCAACGCGCCACCAATGACACCGAGAACGACGAGAGGCCATTCAGGTCGCATATCCTTGAACACCTTGTAGAATGGTGTCTTGCTCGTCTTCCATTTCTGCTCTTGTTCGATCTCTCTTCGGCGTTCGACACCCACATTTTCTATGGAGGATGCAATGCTGTGTCGCTTGGCCATGCTGATAACAATTTCCTCTTTTTCGTCAACCACGCTGCCGTCGTCAACAGGTGTCGCATCATCGTCGTTGTGGCTGTCATCCGACTTTCCGTCTTGTTCCTCTTCCATGGCAATCAACTGCTTGCGTACCAATTCGGCATACGCACCGTCTTGTGCAATCAAGTCGTAGTGGTTGCCTTTCTCCACTACTTCGCCTTGCTTCATGACGATGATCAAGTCTGCGTTTCGAATGGTAGATAACCGATGGGCAATCATAAGTGTCGTGCGGTTTTGGGAAGCAACGTCGAGAGCGCTCTGTACTATTCGCTCAGATTTTGTATCTAAGGCAGACGTAGCCTAGTAATCATGTAACATAAAGAACAGAGTTATTTAGTGCTATGATAACATATAAAAGGTGGTAGGAATCCTACTGAATTATTTCTTGTTTACCTCATCAAGTAGCAAGATGGAGGGATTCTTGAGAATCGCTCGAGCAATGGCAACGCGTTGTTTCTGTCCACCGGAAAGCATGCTACCCTGCTGCCCGACCATTGTATCATAGCCTTTTGGTAATTGGGTGATAAACGAGTGGCAATTTGCCTTTTTACATGCTTCGATAATCTCTGTGTCCGTTACTTCGCGCATTGCACCCATCAGCAGATTTTTTCGCAGGCTCATGTTGAATAGCACGGGCTCTTGTGACACCACACCAATTTGGCTGCGCAGCCACTGTACGTTGTAGTCCTTTATGTTTCGGCCATCGACTAGGACCTCACCGTCCATGGCATCATAAAAGCGCTGTAGTAGTTGTACTGTGGTCGATTTGCCAGAGCCTGAAGAACCCACGAGTGCGATACTTTGACCGGGTCTCACCTCTGCAGAAAATCCCTTGAGCACCTGAATATCTGGTCTTGTTGGATAGCTGAAATCGACGTTACGGAACTCAATATGGCCAGATAGTTTGCCGTCTTTGATACCTCCTAACGCATCTGGATCAATGTCGGGGACCCTGTCGATTATAGCGAAAATACGGTAGCCAGCACCGCAGGCACTAGCTACAGCAGCCAGATTCATGGGCAGAGACAGCAGTGACATTGTACCCATGAGCATGGCAAAGAATGCAATCAAGACAATGTCGCCAGTGAGCGTGCCCTCGTCAACGAGCTTGCCGCCGTACCAGAACGATAATGCATATGTGCAGAACAGAACGAACATGAAGACACCTATCTGGATGCCCATAACGACACCGCGTCTAGAGCCTGTGGCTTCGGCCTTGTCGAGCTCTTTATCATACCTCTCGGAGAAACGGCCTTGTAAGGAAAATGCATACACAGTACGGATACCAGCAAAGGCTTGTTCGGCGATCGATCCAGCTTGTGCATAGGAGTCCTGAGCGGTCTGCGTGAATTTTGAGTAGTAATAGCCCATGGCACCACCGACAATGCCCAGGATAGGGACGGTGGCGAGAATGATAACGGCAAGTTGCCAGCCTTTGACGAAAGCAATAACAAAGCCGGCAATGACTTGGGCGGTCATCTGGATGACCATGCCCAGCTTTTCAGAAATACCCTCTTGGACCATCTGTGTGTCAGTAGCCAAGCGCGTCGTCAAAGAGCCTTCCTCGGCTTTATCAAACCCTAATTCACACATCAAGTATATCATATTCATTAGCGCCAAAATCCTTTTATCATTTTACAAGGGAAACAAAGCACTTAATCAAACTCACAAGCCATGTCTTGACGTAGAATGGAGTGGACGTAGAGTTGGCGAATCCGTTTGGCCTGATTTTCGCCTGACAAGACCCAAAGCATGTGTGTGAAATACCCTCCCACAAGCATAGCGGTGCCAATGTATACGAAGATGAGAATCATATCAATCGTAGAATCAAGTAGCTGGGCAGGGTCTGTTATGGATGAGCCAAGGCCGGCAAGAAAGTCACCAAAGATGATAATCTGCCAAGTTGTAAAAAGTATAGAGTTAGTGTTTGACAACCCAGCAGGTACCAACGGCAGTGTGGTTCGCATTAGCTGTGTTACCGAAACGGGCTGCAGCACACCAATGGCGGCAGAGCCAATGGATGCAAAGAAGACTGCAAGGAGGTCAAATGCAGAGGCGTATCGAAACAGCTGGTGAGGCTTCAGTGAAGGCTTCTTTTCTTTCTTTTCCTTCTTCTTCATTTCCTTGTCTTTGCCATTGCCGTCGTTGTGTGTTGAGTCTATTCTCTCGAGCTCCTGCTGTTTCATCTTCAGCTGCTGCACTTCCAGTTCAAGGAGCTTGTCCTCGACCAGATCGGATTGAGATGAAGGTGTACGGTCTTTGATATCAGTCATCGTAGAGTGATGATGACAAAGATGACGCTATTAGGATGGAGTATGTAATTAAGAGGATCAAAGAAGGAGAAAGTAAGGGTACACGGAAGAGAGAGTGTCAGACAGCGAAAGTGTGTCTTGCTTTTAAAGAATTTCTTCGCCGCAGCACAGAAAGCTTAGAAGGGTAAGGGGACGGTCAAATGGTTGACACACGCACGCGCTTCCCTTTCAAGATTGGATCATTTCAGACTGTGTGGGTATGCGGTGTACAGGACAAAGGAGACGTCCTTAACGCGTCTTCCCACCCATACTGCATATGCAGTAACTGTTGTTGTTCGCATATAATGACCGTCGCAGCATTCCTTTGTTTACATTCTCTTCTTGACCTGTACGATGTCTGTTTTTTTCACGAACTTTTTTAATCCACTCACGCCTTTTGTTATTGTTTTGTAATTCAAGTGGAAAACTAATTTTGTTTGGATTGTTCATTGGCCGGACGTGTCGCCGGCCCCGAAGAGCGTCTGCTAGCGTCCCGTTCCGTGTGATTCATCGCTTTTGCGTCACCTGAGGCGACGCTTCCGGCCACCCCAGGTTTGAATGGAAGCGTAGTTCTATTTTGCTGAAAGTGTGATCCAGATCAGACGTGGTGCTTCCTTTGTCATTTCCTGATAAGCGCTTTGAGTCATAGTTAAGACGCCTAGTTCATGTGGCGGGAGATCATCCCCTGTTGCTCTTCACGTAATCTATCGCATAGCTTTCGTCTGGAAGTGTGGCATATTTTTCGTTTTTTATAAAACGGAATCTGAATCTTGCGGCGACCTATCCGCCACACAGCCTCTCTTTTCCCAATTAAGGCAGCAGGCGTGGCTTGTACTACCTGTCTTAATGTAGCACTTGTTCGGCTAGAAGTGCCGATGACGCTTGCAATCCAGCAATGTTTCGTTATCAACCTTTTGATGCTTTCTTTTGTTCAAGCGTTACTTGGCATTACAAGAAAGATTTACTTGGTTGGTATTCACAAGTGAATTTAAACCTCAAGCCGGTTTATACACTGCAATAAAAAGGGATGTTTCCTGCATTGTTCTCCTTTTGATCAGCCCTCTTTTTGTGTTATGTACTGTTGCTGCTGTCTTTTATGTTTTCGATTCTACTAGCTTCTATAAACACTTGAGCTTTATCACTATAAATAAAGAGCATCATCTAATAACATAATCGCTAAGATTGGTAACAAGTTCAGAGGAGCGACACCCTGGGTTCAGTAACACTTGCTAGGAGAAAATCAAGGAGCCGATCGACGTACATATCCTTTAAGTCTATCCAAAACGGTAGCATAGCTAAAATTCAATCAAATATATATATATATATATATATATTATATCTCCTGACAAGTAGATGATTATCATCAAATATATATTTATTGCGTCTGTTGTCATCTAATCAAATACATCAACGCTACGATGAAACAGCAGCGATAGAGTACTGGTATGTACTTTTTAGAGATAGTAAGGAGAAATCAAAGGTTAAAATCGGGGGTTGGTTTAAAATTTTCATGCAAGCATAATGGCGTTCAAAGTAAAGGAAGGCTTCCTGTAGTGATCATCATTCCCGATATTAGAAAAATCTGACCAGGATAAAGCAATAATGTGCTACACTGCGGACCGCGCTGCAATATTACTGAATAACGACTCTTGCTGTTTATACGCAAAAGACATCAATAACAAGAGGTATCTCAAAGCAGGGTATAAACTGCCATCTCGATCACTTGTCCATCTTGACCGTGAGTGTTTAGTTGATAGGGATGTCAAATCCCGCAAGACTCCTCAGTTTTGTACAGTATGTACACGTTTAATCCCTTGCTCACATCACTTGTGAGAATCTTTTAACACAAAAAAGATTATTGGGGTCACATTAATTAAGCTATATTAATTCAAGAGCCTCTAGATGGCTATGGCAAATTTTGTGCATGACACATTTGCTCAGCAAAGGATCTAACATCAATTGCTTTATGGCATCATCTTCTACATGATCTTTTACTAATATACTTTTGAGTTTCTGTCCACTAAAATTTTAATCGCTCCAGATAGAGGAGAGCGGTCATCATCACACTTAATTGTATTCTTTTACAATATGCACCAACCGGAGTCAATATGCATATTATGTTCCTAAATTTGGTCCAAGTTGAGTCGACCGGCAGATAGATTTTATAGCCGTTTCAAAGCCGTAATTTGATATGGTTTCGTGATTTTCGTTAAAGGTGAGCTGTTTGGCAATAGCTTCAGGTGAAAGCTGAGTGTGCATTTCCTTAAGGATCGAAAGAGCGATACGCGAAGCGGCCTTGATAGTTGACAACAGTGGCTAGGCGCGTGGAATAATCACCTTGCTGGTAACTAGGCTCATTGACGAAGGGAAACTGGCTCACTTCGAGGTGACGGTAAAATTGGTTAGCCATACGAAGCGTACGCTCTGGGATGCTCTTTATGTCGACAAATTCACCTCAAGAAAGCTGGGCCCAGACTTGCATAAAATCAAGGTAGCTATGTAGATCCGCGATACGATGAGTTACAGAAGCGGCAACCACAAGGGTGCCATAAGAGAACTATGATTTTGCTCTTGGCAATAAAGCTTGAAAATAACGTACTGTAGTTCCATTCACTGTAATGTGACAATGAGTATAGTCTTATATGTTAACGTGTTCCTTCTTTTACTTTAATTGTTCTAACCACAAATACTGTACAGTACCCGCTCGTTAAACCGATCACCTCTGTTTTTCGAGAAAGTGATCGGTTTAACGAATGATCGGTTTATAGATTGAGGGTCCACTATATGACATACATACTGCCTACCAAGCTGGTATTTTGGGGAAGTGATTGGTTTAACGAAATATCGGTTCAAAGGAGATCGGTTTAACGAGCGGGTACTGTATGCTCGATCGCGATGGTGACGAACTAATACCTCGTGGCAACAATTCTTCCATGGTACGGATAGGCTTTAATTTCAGAGGGAATTTATTGACGTTTTCTGCTATCTATATCAATGTACGAGCCATCACCATCGTCATCGCTGTGGTGTACGGTGCCCATCTACGGAAGTTAGACTTGAAGTGCTTCAGCTAGAGAATCTTTGAATATGCTAATAAATGCATAAATGCGGCTCGGAAAAAAGTGGAAGTACCAGTAAAGGGGCAATTGGACCAATACAAAAACAATTATCTGTCAGTAATAGTGGAATCCAGGAAGGAGGAACTTTTAGTCCATGCTTAATAGTCGGGTCTTATCATATATACAGATGTTGTGGTATTGTTACCCTGAGAACCACCTATAACAAATATACCAAACATACAAAAGAAGCACACACCAAGCGGCATATCAGAATACAATACATAACTACCGCAGCAACCGCAGCAACTCTACAGCTCTCCCGCACCCCCCAAATTATCAGAAGGAACAAACGGATTTTTTACCCTGTAAAGATTCGATGAACAGCTTGTTGAATAAGAGCATTACCGCAGCATCCGCAGTAACAACAACTACCGCAGCATCCGCAGTAACAGCAAGCTACCGCAGCATTGGCGTTGCGCAGCAACCGCAGCAACCGCAGCATGAATTATCTTAGACATTATTTAATAACCAGAAAGATATAAATACCCCATCGAATAAAGACATTGAATTTTTACCTCCCACTTTTGACTTAACTTTTCAAGTGTTGTTTTCAATCACTCAAGACTAAACACGGCTTGTTTTATTTTACATTTTGTTTATTGCTCATAACTGAAGCCAAATAAACTCTTCTAGTAAGACCAGACGTAATATTCCTGCTCTTATTTCTCATTTACTTGGACAGACGTAACATTCTTGATCCTTATTTCTCATTCAACTTGGACAGATGTAACATTCCTGATCCTTATTTCTACTCACTGAGCTTAATCAAGACATCAGCTCATTACTATTTACAACCTTGAACATAACCCATACACATTTTTACTTACTTTACACTCATATCACTTCACAACTCGTCTGTAATAAACGATATTATTACTGGTGCTCACTACATAACATACACATAAACCGTTACGTAACTACCTGGCATGCCCCAAACTCAGCGTAACAGTATCATAGCAGCGGTCATGTAGGTCTCCGCTGCTCTCTTTAAAGTGTATGTAAAAGAGCATTTTACTTGTTTATATATGTTTTTTCATGCATCTTCATGTGACATTACTGAATAACGAACTTGCGTTCTTATGTAAGCATAGCATTTGTTTCTTATGTATTATACGACTTGATAAAAAGCAGCTGTATACGCTTTGTGCCAACGTTACTATATATCTCATTGAAAAGTGACAAAAAGAAGAGACCTTGTTAATGCATTATGTATGTCTCAGTTTCCATTGCTTATTTTTTGCTCGTTATGTAGTAAACCGAATCCCAATTATACGATATATGCACCGGTCTGAAGCATACTTTGTGTACAACCTAAAACGTGAAGCGATGACAGTTGTAAAGTATGATACATCTCCTTTTAATATAACTGTAAGTCTATGGCAACTTACTGAGCACTTCCGGGTTTCCCAGAGCCAATCAGCTTATTGTTAAGTTACATGATTTTTAGGGCGTTCTGTACGAAGTTAGCGACGACGTCAGTCGGAGCGTGAAACGCCCTATTACATACATGCTGTCCGTTTCCTGTCACGCTTGTGTATCTTGTAACGCTTGTTGCCATGGTGTTGTAGGCCAGATCGTGTGTCGGAGAACAGAATAGAACTCAACAAGAACAAATGCAGAGAAAACGAAGAACGAAGTAGAGGGGTGTAGGGTGATGTAGCTCTTTTAGAATCTGGGGTATTGATGATAAGTGGGTTATTAAAGTCCAAAACGACCCTCTAATCCCCTCTAGAAAAGCTCAAAAAAAACAAAAAACAAAACAAAACTCAAGAAAAGGGGAAGAACTCTCTTGTTTATTGTATTGTGGGAGAAAGTGGTACATATGGCTGGGCTGGACAATGCATCGCCTACGTCACTAGGCTATTTCTGCCTCACAACAATGGTAACCGGTAAAACGTCAACCCGGTTTCCGCCCCTCACTTTCTCGATAACGTACTTTCGGTTTCCTTTGCTACTGTTCCACTGCCAAATGAGACCAAATTTTCGTTTTCCGTTCTATCACAATATCAAGCGCTGGCACATATATGTCGTTATTAGATCATCGTTCACCCTAATGGTTCCGTTTCTCTCGCTGAACTTCTTCCAATCAAAATTACAGTTAACTGATACGTTACCACATCTACACTAGTTAGTCCCATCAACAAATTTTCACTTCATGCGTGCTTATCGTTGTTTCAACCAAATCAATTTACAGCTCCAATAGTACACCATTCATGTAAATATTCTCTCACTAAAAACCCATGTCGTTTCTATCTCTTCAATCTTCCCAATCATCATGAAAACGATGCAAAACCGTTCAACAGAATATCTATTAAAGTTCGACTTCCTACTGGTTTTACATTCCATCTGCCTTCTTCCTCTTTCTCATTCTGCAATATTCCCGAAAATACGCTTTAGCAGACATAAGAACCCTAATTACCCAGTGGTAAAGGATTATTGCCCTTAACGACTTGTGCAAAACCCATCTTTAACTTTCTTTACATAGGACGACTTTCCACCTTCCAAACAAAGAGTCAACTTCAAAGACCCACTTGTAAATCGCTATTTCTTTGCATAACTCTCACAGTCTAAGTGTTTTCTTACCGTGCCTTACGCCTACGCAACGATCCTTACTGCATCAAAAAGCTTTCGCCCTACTTTGTCCTGGAGTGACTTACAACTATTGGTCCACCAAGATGAGCACAGTGGCTTTTGGACCTCTTTTTTCAAAGGTATAACACATAGGACAATTGATGTTGCCAATATAGCACCACTTTTTCATCCGCACTAGACGCAAACACCTCCACCAACACCACTCCGTTTCAACCTCAACATATTCCACCATCACCACAGCCATCACCACGGACTGGCAACAAGGCTGTCCTAACAAGATCCCCGTCACCTCCTCCGACACACAGTGCCGGCGTTCAAGTGAACTTGCATCGCATCACACAGTCGCAAAAACATTGTGCCCGCCGTTTACTGGAACATCCTCAGCGAATAATTTCAACTTTAATACCATCCAACGATCCCCTTCTTCTCCATACGTTTTCCTTCACCATAAGTACACCGCAGTCGATCCTTTTAAAGATCACATATCTCAATTCATAGACAGCTTTCATATCGAACATTAATCCCTTCACACTCGATTCAATCTCTTCTTTTTTCGTTAATAAATTCTTTGCGCGTACAGAACGCCCCATTCCTGATCCAACGCGTGTTCGGAAGCTGATTTTTTTATATGTAATTGAGGGTGTCGCAAATAAAAACAAATTTCGGATTGTATCTACCAGCATAAAATGACAAATATAATAATCAAGGAATTCACAAGCGAGCTGAATTTTTGAGCGATTTTGGGGTGAGTGCCTTAACCTATATACCTCACGAATAACAGCAATTAGTAGATATAAAGAAAATGTATAGCTACTAGTAGAGTTGCAGGATGAAAGTTTTGCATGTAATGTACGCGGAATGGGTGATGTAATTGGACTACTTAGAAGAATGAACTGGTAGACCGAAATGGCCGTTCCTCTGAGCGTTCTTCTGTATATACATTAACCAAAAAATCTGACTTGCACGTATCAGTGGCTCATACAGATGCAGATATGCACTAGAAGTTCATATGGTTGAAGTACTCGTCGTATTTTTTTATTAGCTATGATAAAACAGCGATTGTTGGTAGCACACCATCAAATGTACCACATTTCACAATATGTAAGATTTAAGTATTTTTTCCGCTTGATTTTTCTTTGACGCATTTACCTCGGCTTACACTGGAGCGTGAGAACAAGTTGTCAATTTGCATTGAGTGCCCTACTGGAGGAAGTAAGATATCTTATACTACCCAAATCGTACTATACACAGTTTTCGCTTTCTATTATAAAATAAATAGCGCATCACGAAGATGTAAAAACTGGGTGCTTGTAAATATGACGAGATTAACTCTTGAGAGAAATTTATGTACAGTACAATGTATAAGCATCAGAAGAGTATCAGTACATTTATTGCAAGACGCTATCTCTGTGAGCCTGCTTTATGGTTTACTTGGCGACTTATCCGGGAATTCTCAAAAAATCATGGACATACGAGGGTAACAGCAAAAGAAAAGATCCGGTTTTTGTACGTAACACATTTATTCGTTCAGAGTTAGGTCTGCTCCACCGTACTTTACTATATAAGACTATTTGGAGACATGAAGAAGGGCAAGAAGCATTAAACGCAATGCCCAAAATCTTAAGCAACTCTCTTCAAGAAGCCAAAAACATGACATCTTATATGATATATCACTATAAAAAATAGGCAGACTAGTGTATACAGTTAGATGAAAAGTATCATATATTTTTTATATACAGTACTGCTCGGTGAATACCAACTGTAACACCAACGCAGACACAAAGTTAGCGGGGAGGCTTCTGCTAGGCAACTCTGTATGAATGCTTTGCGGAAAATTATATCGTAACACACACAAGCGGATGTAGTAAATACGGGGCCCCATATGGTACAGCTATATATATTGTGCTCTCCAGATCGCAACTATGATCGGTATATTAGTTTATAATATGTCATTAGCATTAGCATTATGAATTTTTGATATTTTGGTGTTATATAAGAACTTCGTATATAAGAGAAAGACAAATAATTACCCAGTAAGTCTTTTATGATGGATTGAGCCTTCAAAGAAGCCGTTGTACCAGCTTATTAAACGTAGTTACATAATAACGGATTATTTATTAAAATAATTCGCAGAATAATTTACTCCGGGGAACACGCACCATCATTCTGCGATCCCCAGGTACACAACAGCACACACAACAACCATTACCTACGATATAGGTACCGGAGAAATATGCCCCTTTAAGAATCTCTCCGTGACAAAAAAGTCATTTTTTTTTCTCATGACAAAAGAGACGAGGCAACATGATAGAGCGAAAGAAAACTAGGCGATGACAACAGCAACTAGCGGCATAATCCGAGACCACTATTACACTTTAGAAAAAAAAAAGTATCGAGAACAAGCGACCACACAACCCGCGGCAACTCCCGACCTTCTCATATGCATATATAAATGGGTGTGTCTTTTTCGACCAACTTACTTTTTTTTCTTCGTCATCGCCTTTTAATAACACACGACAAAAAAAATCATGCATCTCGGCAAGTCGTCTTTGTTATTGCTATCCACCGTCTTTGCCAAGTCGGCCTTGGGCGCGTTCTGGAATATGACTGGGTACACCTACTGCCATGATCCAGTGGTCTATGAGGAAGAAGGAAGATGGTACGGTTTCTGTACAGGCGATGGTAAGTATAGTTTGTTTGCTTAGCATTATTTATATAAATATCAAACATAAAGTGGACAGGGAACTGTTAGAACATTGGTTGATGGCGACTAACCAGCAAAAACACTTAGGTATCCAAATTTTGAAGAGTGAAGATGGTGGTAAAGAATGGGAACTTGCTGGTCAAGTCTTTGACGAACCACTCAAGATTTGGGCCGAAAATGTCCCCCCTCATCGAGGTAAACGAATGTATTCTTTTATATGGATATTTGCAATATCAACTTTTCAAAAATACGATCATTAAAACTGGATACGATTGCAAATGACTTTAGGTTTGAACGTATGGGCACCCGATATCGAGTACTATAACGGTCGTGTTTGGTTGTATTACTCGATTAGTACATTCAATTCAGGTACCTCTTCTCCTGATTGATCTCTATGTATGCCACGTACCCTTCTAACACGGCGCGCCTAAAATTTAGGTACCAGCGCTATGTTTTTGGCAAGCGCAGACAGCGTTGGAACAGGCTCTTGGCGTGACGATGGCGTAATCCTCACGTCCTCTGATGATGAATACAATGCCATCGATCCCAACTTGGTGATTGACAAGAGCGGTGACCCTTGGTTGTCTTGGGGCTCGCACTGGGGTGGTCTCATGATTGCTCGTGTCGACCCTGAAACCATGCACATCACTGGCGAACACACTGTTATTACTCGCCGTTCTGGCATTGAAAACCCCATTGAGGCACCTTCTCTTATTTATAACAAGGAGCACGACTACTATTACTTGTTTGCATCAATTGATTATTGCTGTGTGGTATGTTTTAATTGTTCATCGAGGAAGCACGGGACCAAGAAAGTTCTTTCTAACTGAAATTTATATTATGTAGGGTCTTGACAGCACTTACAAGATGATTGTCAGCCGATCCAAGGATATCACCGGCCCATACTTGGATAAGGAAGGCAACCCTGTCATTGATTCAAAGAATGGCGGCAGTATCTTTGATACTGGCAATGAGAGATACGTCGCGGTGGGCCATCAGGATGTGGATGACAAGGTTATTGCCCGTCATGGCTATGATGCAGAAGAGAACGGCGCATCCAAGCTTCTTATTAATGACTTGTTATTCGACGAGGATGGCTGGCCCACTTATTAAGTAAAATAGTAGTAAAAACAGCAGTAGCAGCAGTAATATGTAGCAGAAGTAGTAGAAAGTTGAAAGACAAAGTGTAGTATTATTTACAATGATGTAGTTCTTATATATATATACATACAACAGCCCCTATTATAAACCATCTTCCTTTTCAAGTTCTTCCAGTCGTTTTGCTTCTTCTTCCTCTTTGCGAACTTGCTCCACCATTTTGCGCATTGTTGATGTGAGTTTGAGAATATTCTTTTCATAGCGAGCCGATACCGTAACGATGGGAATGTCATTGACTTGGGCTTGTAGTCGTTCAAGGTTATCCTTGGCTCGACGAACTTGATCCGCCTTGTTTGCGACAATCAATGACTGTCGCTTCGTCAGTCCGGGTCGATAAGCTTCCAGTTCGTTCTGTAACGTTTGCAGGTTTTCCCAAGGGCTTTCACTACTGAGATCAACGACATAGACGAGAATTTTGGCACGCTCCACATGTCGCAAAAATGCATGCCCTAACCCAATGTTCCGATGTGCGCCTTCGATCAAACCCGGGATATCCGCCACGGTTAGCTGATACATGTCCGCAAAGTCTACGGTACCGACAAACGGATGGAGGGTTGTAAATGCATAGTCGGCCTGCTTGGGGTGGGCATTGGAAATAGCACCCAGCAATGTCGACTTGCCAGCATTGGGCATACCGACCAACCCAATATCAGCAATGGTCTTGAGCTCCAGTTCGAATTCGCGGGTTTCGCCTTTGCGTCCACGTGTAGCAAATTTGGGCGAGCGGTTTTCATTTGTGAGAAAGTGCGGATTGCCGTATCCTCCTGCACCGCCACGACATACAACGATTTCTTGATCAGGTTCGGTCAGGTCTGCATGAATCAACGAGCTATCTTCATGACGTGCGCGCCATCTCAAGTACTTGTCTTCCTGTACCATGGTGCGTTGTGCTTGTTTGAAAAAGTCGACTTTGCCAGCTGGAAGATCGCGCTGTTCTTCACGTGGGAAAAACACCCATCGATCTTCCAACGCCTCTTCGTGCTCTTGTTCTTCCTCCTCGTCTTGTTGCCGTGACTGCACAACGCGCTCTCGAACAACCGTGCCCACGGGCACCTTGACAATCAAATCGGCACCCGTGGTACCATGGCGACCACCACCCATCCCGTTTTGTCCACGTTTGGCTGTGCATACGCGTCCAAGATGACGCAGGGTTGTTTCGTCGGCACACGCGCGAATGATCACGCTGCCGCCTCGACCGCCGTTGCCCCCGTTTGGTGGACCCTTGGCCAAAAACTTTTCGCGGTGAAACGATACGCAGCCGTCCCCACCATTACCACCTTTGGAAACAACGCGGACAAGATCAATAAACTGTCGGCCCTTTTTACGTCATAATGATTGTCAATCTCGCAATGTCTCGTATGATGTTTTTGTTATTGTTTATTATGATTTCAGACTCACTTTGCCACGTAGTTTGTAGTGAAATGCAGCATCGGCACCAGCACACCTTACTAGACAAGTATGAAATTGACGACAAGACAGAAATCGTCGTGGTAATCCGGCACTGAACATGGTTAGGGTACTTTGTAAAGATAAAAAAAAGTACGATATGCTTTGTGAAGATAGAAAGAGTCACAAGCGTGAGTTGGAAATTAAATTGGTGCACGCATTAATCAAAGAAATATTTTTGTTCACATGCGCGTCTTGCCATGCAACTTTGTATCCAATGCCCTATTCTCTAATTTATTGTCAAACATCGAGCACCGAGCAGCTCATAATAAGGCAAATGAAGGAAATAAACATGGTACATCCAAAGAGGTGAAAAATGTTCCACAATGCGAGAGCTACTTAATAGTAGTACTATGTATATAATGGTTCGGTTTGCCGGTAAAATGATGCACCTAATTGTATATGTCGAACAACTCTGTATAGCTCTGTATACGTGTAAATTGAAATGTACGGTGAATCGAGAGAAATTCGTATGCATAAATGTTAAGCGCTTTACCGTTGCCCCAACCTTAATTCGTCGTCTGTAAGACCATGTGTTAATTGTCAATGCCGTGAAGCAGTTTGCCAACAACATATTAGATCTATGATGCTTAAATAACAGCAACAGTACCATACAGCTTTAGCAATAACAACATCACTACAAACAGCAGATACATCATAGGTGATATCTATAACATGTGCCGCAACTTTGAAACCAACAACTTCCTACGTTGGTACGCAAAACTTTATTTTGTACTGAAATAATCTTTAAGACATGTATTTCTTTTCAAAGTAGTTCATAGCAGCAGCTTTAGCCATCTTCTCCATCAAGCCACTCTTCTTCTTCTGCTTTTCTTCCTTCTTCTCTTCATCCTCATCCTCATCATCTGAGTCGCTGCCACGTTCTTGAATAAGCTTTGTGATCTATAGGTAGCCAACAAGCATTTATGGTTTAGTCGTGGATTTGCGGACGTACTAAGCTGTTGTGTAACAGACATACCTCAGCTGCAGCAAAGGTGGCGATCAGTTTCTTTGCCATAGCGTGCTCCATGGGCTGGCCGTCTTCCTCTTGCTTGTTCTCCCATGCCTTAACGGCAGCAAAGGCAGCGGCACCGGCCATCAAGTTGTAGCTATTATACAGCTTCACAGTTAGTAAATTAGACTCACTATCTCTATGTACATTCAAAGGAGCTGGAAGATTGCATACCTCATATGGGATTTCTTCTTCTTTTTCTTCTCAACCTTTTCAGCAGCTCGTTCCAGGTCACGCTCATTCAAGGCCTCATCCTTGCGCGATTTCTTCCATCCAGACCACGATCCAAACCAAGCGCTCACGCGAGCCGAAGTGCTATATCGTTTTTGAAAATTTTGAATTAATATATTCCCTACAATACTTAAAGCAAGAGTTACGCTGGCTATTATACAATATGATGCATACCTGTCTTCTTCATCAGATGAATCGTCCTCATCTGCAGGGCGTGGTGGATCACTAAGCTCAAGAGTCCATAACTGGTTGGTTGCTTCAGAAAGGTCTTCCTTGCGCTTGTAAACCATAACGCGACCGCTTTCCTCCTCCTTGGAGCCCTTGATATCGAAGACAGTCTTGGGGTCAGCGAGCGAGTAGATGAATCCGTGCTCGATATCGTAAGCGAAGCGTTGATCCTCGGCCTAATGTTTTCAAAAAACCGCTCATTAGCCCACAAAATAGTATACTACCCCCAATTGCCCATCTGATGGATTCACCGTATGGAATAAAAAAGTTACACTTACATCATCTGCCTCCTTCATACCGTCCAAGAACAAGTGCTCTTCGCCAGTGAAGATGGCTGGGATGCAAGGGAGGGTGACACAAATTATTAGCTATTGCATTTCTAGAATAACTATTTTCAGATATGCTAATACTATTTACCCATGAAGGTGCCCGATCGGTCAATGTCCAGAACATGACCCGTAAGCTTGTTTGTCAAGAATCCTAAAGTGTTTCAAGAAAAAAAAAGAGTGGGGGCGTAAACAGTGTGAGCTGTTTATGTTCCATGTAGACCAATAGGGTCTGCGGAAAGCATGACCGACGATCTTTTTTTTCCCTCCCTGAAAAAGATATTTTCTTACCGTTTTGGTGGATGAAAAGCTGGCTATCGCGCTCAGGCGACTCGGGCTTCTTTGTGGCCATGACAATGTGGGATCCAACCTAGTATTGAATGGGAGTTCGGGCTTAAGCTTGCCTGAAATCAACCGACCGAAGAGTACAAACGCGTGCTTGGTTGCCCTTAGCAACGCCGAGACCTCTGTACAAGCGGTGCAAGGGTAAAATAGAGCAAAGTGAACTCTTCCGATACATTACCTTGGCGTTCTCGGGATCCTGAACATCCACAACCAAACCATTCAGTCTGGAGACGATGTAAAAGTAGCCGATGGGGAAGTTGTTGCTGATAGTCATGGTTGAAAGAGGAGTGTAGAGAGAAGAAAGAAAAAGAAAGAACGGGGCTGAAGCGAATATTTATGGACCATGTTAAAAAAGCTCGACATGTCACATTTTGCAAATCCGCGCCAAATTGTGCAACAAGGCCTTACATGATCTCGGGGCGCTCGGATGCACAGGATCAGATGCGTTAATATAAGGAGTGTGTAAATGCATGCGTATCATCACATTAGTAGACAAACAATACATAAGGACCTGTGAGCTACTGCGAAAATAAAACCATGTCAACATGAAACAAGGCTTATTCTTGTCGACTTTGTCCTGGGTATGGAGAACACAAGTGCCATCCTGGACGAGAAAGAGAGGTTTCGCAACTGATGGAAAATCTCTGTAGCATTTTTACTAAAACGGTATAGTAATAAGAAAACAGGAGGAAGCAACGAATTTGGATAAAGAAGAACGTTCATGCGTGAGCGTATTTGCATATTTATGGGCAATATGTAGCACTGTGTAACAATCAGGCATGTAGGCGATGATGTCTAGCTTTACTGTGTATGCGGTGAGCACTTGATAAAAAGCCTTTTGCTGTCCTCTGACACTGTCGACACTTTGCTCAGCTTTCTGACTCTCGACGATGCCTGGCTGAAGCGGTCTAACAAAAAAACGTTGCTTCTAAGCGTCTTGCGGAGAAGGAAGCATCACCGTGGCATATAGAACTACATAATGCGCAGAAACAACACATAAGGAGAGGACGCTGTGTATTAGTGTATGCTTTGCAAAAATACGCACAATATCGACATTGTCTTGCTGGTTGAGATGGAGGCAGTCGATTTATGAGTCTTGATGCCCTCGAGAAACAAGAGGCAAAGAGCATGTTCTTTATAAATTATTACTTTAGAGAATTTGTGTGTGCGCACTGTGCATGAAAAAGATATATCGTACAAAAGGTAGGAGAGTGAGGTGGATACTCCATAATAAATCAAAACAAGTGTTTTCTATATATAGACGGGCGAAAAAAAAGCATACAAAACTAGAAGAAAGGAAAGGAAGCGAGCGTATGTGTGTGAAAGTGGTAGTTAGTAGTGTCGTGAGATGGTCGGTTGTGTATGTGTGTAAAGGTAGGGTATGGGTAATAAGTTGTAGAATATATAGTTGGCGATTTTACTCATCATCCTCCTCCTCCAAGCCTGCTTCCTCGTCCTCGTAATCGCCACCATCAATCTCGCGTTCCAACAAGGGCTTGACCAAGCGGTTAAAGTAAGGGTGGTCGCCCTGAGGGTTGGATCGCTTGACTTGGTCAAAGTAGTGGACATAGACGTTGCCATCGGCACGGCCCAAGGGGCTGTTGATGACATAGTCGGAGAAGTTGAACGAGTCGATGAGGGGGATGGCCTGATCACGGACAGCCTTGCACAAGACGTTGGTCTGGGCGCGGACATATTCGATCTGCGTGGGAGTGAAATACTCGTATTGGAGGAAAGCGCCAGCATTCTCTTCAACAGTGTAAAGACCGTACAGCATGCATACGTCCATCAAGACGGACTTGAGGTCACCCTGCACCTTGGAAACGCCATCTGCGAATCGTTGGAACAAGTAGCCATACGAATGCAAGCGGGCTGCATACAAGCGGGATTGCGCTATATTAAGAAATTTATTCGGTCAGTCTTTTTTTTCCTCATGTAACACGAGGGCGGCGGTGGAGGATGATCCCCAGAGGCACTTACAGCATTGTTCATATGCATCATCGGCATCGAGACCGTTCTTCAAGCATTCTTCAAACTCCAAAGCGGCGTTCTTGACCACGTTGGCGCACACGACCTGCCAACCTTCAATGATGATTTCTGGAGTGACGATATCTTCGACTTTAGAGACGCCACAGCGCTTGCCAATAAGTCTGTTCAAATTGTTCAAGTAGCCAACACCAGGAGACAGCTTCTTGCCGTCAACGGCTTCACGATAGCTGCTGATCAAGTAACGGCCAGATTGAAGAGCCAAAATGGTATTGTCACCTTCCCAGGTGCACTGCACTGCGAAGTCGTTGTACATGCTGGCCAAGCCGGTGTAAGCAGAGTAGCCGTGGCCACCGCACGACTGACGGCACTGTTCAATGGTATTCAAGCAGTTCCATGTGCAGAAAGCCTTCAGACCGGCACTGGTGGCGTGGGTCTCCTTGAGCATCTCCAAGACTTCTTCCATGTCGGCATCGCCGGGGCTGGCGCTGTCCAAGCGAGTCATCATGTTATTGTACATGGCAGTCATCTCGGCACCAGTAAAGTGCATGGCGAAAGCCTGGGCCAAAAGAGGCATCAGACGGCGTTGGTGGATGGGGTAGTCGAGCAACTTGGTTTCGACGCCGTTGGCCTTCGATTTGGCGAATTGACGACGGACGGCAGCATAACGGGTGGCGATGGTCAAAGCCTTCTTGGAGACGTTGCCGCTGTCAACAACCATGGCAACGCGACCCTGCAAAAGGGCACCGTAGGTCTGGACATGAAAAGAAAAAGCTTGTGAATAACACACTTTTACAACACACGAGGCATAAGAAATTCTTGTTCTTACCAATTGCTGAAGCTTAGGCTCAGTGACAGTACCGCTGCGCGTCACCTTGGCGTGCTTTTGCAACATGTAGCCACGGGGAATGCGGACGTTGGTGAACTGTATCCAGCCGTTATCGATACCATCTCTGCCCATCTTCTTGCCGATATCGCCAATGTTGACGCCAGGCAAGAGGTTATAAGTCTTGGGATCACGGAGAGGCACAACGAAGCACTTGGTGCCATAGTTTTTGCCCTTGACAACGAGCTGTGCGAAAACAGCAGCGTGGGTAGCACTGTGGGCAGCACCACCGATCCACCACTAAAATGATACACGTATAGATAAACCCCCCACCAGTAAGTCCTTTTCCCACAATACTGAAGACATCCTCACACCGAAAAGAAAATATGGAAGCGTAAACGAACCTTGGTAGCCGTCAGGGTCGGGGTATGGATGATGAATTGATCAGAAGCTTCATCAAAGGTGGCGGTGGTCTCAAGACCAGGCACGTTTGATCCGTGACCGATTTCAGTCATAGCAAAGCAACCAATCATGCCGGTCAAGGACAAGGCACCCTTTTCAAACCAGTATGAGAGCTGGCCAGGGCTGGCATTGCTCTGAAGTGCACCGACGAACAAACCGTCTATACAAAAAAGCACTATTAGCTCATAATCTCCCCCTTTGCGCTTTGCTCTGCTTTGCTTTATATATCACACTGATATAACTTACAATGAACACCAAAGCGGGTCCAGAAACCAGCATCAATCAAACTGATCACTTCCATTCTCTTCTTGAATGTATCAACCGACTCGTTTTGCAAGTGATGGATCATGCTGCGGAACTATATCATTAAGTGAAAAAGAGAGTCTTTGTTAATCGAACATGCAGCAAAGAGAGGGGAAGAAAAGGAAAGGGGGATCTCCCTTGTCTCGTAGTATTTCATTCTGAACGAACCTTTTCCATGGTACGTTCACGAAGCTCGCCCTTGGTAAGATCATGGACATCGTGCATAGCGAAAAGAGGGTCGCGCTCAATTTCCAGCATCATACGTTCTCGCAACTAATATTGTTGAATATCTGGTAAGTTATAAGCGTTCGCTAATACGAAACGATCCGTTGTTTTCGGTTTACCTCGGTTGCGTGCTTGCTGCCGTCCAGCAAGTATGTAAGATCGCGAACGTTGAAGGAAGCTTTGGCACGTTCCTCGTTCATGCTGGCCACTGGACTATAGTCAAAGAACGTAATGAGCCATTCAATGTCAGCCTACAGTTTCTTTCATGCTTGTGATTTGTGGAATGTCACCACAGATCTGCCGCATACCGCCCCCCACCCGCACACACACACACACACTAAAGAAGAACAATAGGAAAGAGAAAACTTACTCTACGGCATTAGCACGTTCTATTTCGGGAGTCAAGTGCTGCTTGACAGCATTAAGTCTTTGTTGTGCAGACATGGTTTTCTAATATGTTGTTTATGTTGGAATGAAGAGTAGAAAGGAGCGAGACGAGCAAAGCAAGAAAAAAGGGCGAAGGCTATTTTATATTAACTGTCCAGACTGGTTGGAATCGCCATATTTGGCGAAGTTAGCTGACATCATTTTCATTTCACGTGTGGAAAAGGCTGCAATAGCTGGCATGTGAATATGCTGAAAGGACTGTATGCACTATATTTTCACTTGACACTATGAGTACGTACTAAACGCTCATACTTGCTATAGTACACGATCTGATTAGGTGCCTCTGTTCTACGTCAGAGATCTTTCCAACAATATCCTCTCTGTCATCTATATAACCGCCTCCACATTTTCAGCGTATCGCATCCGAAGAAATCATTTACGTTTCCTGTGGGGCATGACAGAATACAATTGACCTCCGATGTTCTACTACTTCCCTCTTTGGTCTCTCACAACCCCCACCCCGCCACCACCACCAAGACCGACTCTCTGTCCGCGCTTAGTATATAACCTTATGCACGAGCCGTCTGGCAAACGACGGAAAACTAGTCATCCACAACCGCCTGAACAAACAACTTCTCGATCCTCAATCCTTTTCTCTCCTCATGGCCCTCTTATATTTTCAGGGTAAGCACCTCATAGATGCACAAGTGCATGTCGCAAAACTCATCCGTCACAAATCGTTTCATATACAGTTACTTAAAATTGTTGCTACATGCTTGTGGCCTACTCATTTTACTACTTGCAATCGGGTTCATCGTGAGTGCGTCACACCGAGAAATTGACGGACGCGTCACGCAGCACATTCGAGGTTCGTACAAAACGGGATAAAGAAAGTGACAGCTGAAGAAAGATAATGTGTGGTTACTACTAATTTTACACGTGATATTTACATCGAGCTAACACAATCATAAACGACGAATGACGAACGGAACTATAATCAGACCTAGAGGAGGAGAAAATGCAATGCGCACAGAAATATCGAGAGAACCAATGCGATCTATACGCTCACCAACCCTTTTTTGGCACATTTTGCAACCAATGGGAACAATATCCTTTTTTTTTCCCTTAAAAAAGCTGATGATATATTCCCCCCTCCACCCATCGCGATGATATTAAGCCTTAACCAGAATGTCTTAAGAAAATACGTGTATGAAGCGTGATCTTCGAGGAATCGGCAGGTAAACCCTCTGTGATTCGATGGACTTAATAGAAAATAACACACCTTGCTGCTATGCATACTTTAGAGCCAAAATTACAATGACAGTCTATGGAGAGCTTATCAATGCCCTCGTGGAACCGCTTACTGTCAAAGCAATGGTAATCTAAGCGATATACACAAATAATGTCAGAGTGATAAGATACGCATATAGAGTTATACTTACTGGTAAACTATTTCTTAGTTAACGATCTGTCTTTTGTTATTTGGTATCTTTGTCGGCTCTACGCTCGCTTTCTAACTCCAAGAACATCCACGATCGATAGATACTGCGTAAAAACAACCACCTGTACCATAAACCAAGTCCTTCAACTTAAAGCAATAGTACATGGCGCCATTGGCAATATTTTTTTTAATTGACTATTCAGATTAAAACTTAAATTCTCTCTTTTTGCCTTCCTTCTTGCTATCCTGCGATCGCATCTTTTTCGCTTGTCGGCCAGCAGCATGCTCGGCATACATATCAGACAGATCTTCATCCGCACCCGGTAATTTAGACTTCATTTGCTGTTCGTACTTGGCACGCAGCGTGGATTCATCCAGTCCACTTTCCAGCTCACTTGGATCGATGGCAACATCTACATTCTCACCCATCTTGCGCTTGGATGACCGGACGGTACCAGCAACCGATGGTGCTTCACCCTTCTTTTCGACCGTCGACATATCATAGCCGTGCTGTGAACCCATGTAACCCGAGATATTCTTTTGCACTTCAGGAAGAACCTGGTACAATTGTCGCGACTGTTGTTCGTCCTCTTCTTCATCTTGTGACCGTCGTACGTCCTTGCGCAACTCGATAAAGTCGGGTGTTTCCAATCCAGAAGCAACAGAGGTCATGCCAGAAGGCGTAACAAGACCTTCTTTAAGTGCTTCGTCGCCTTGTGCTTGTTCTTCCTCTTCGTTCTCCTCCTCTTCTTCTTCCTCCTCCTCTTCCTCCTCTTCCTCTTCTTCGTATTCTATATGGATTTGCGATAAAGTTAGTCACCAAACAAAAAGTTCACATGGTTGCTAGAGTCGTTAGTTATCTACCTTCTTCGGACTCCAATTCACCCCACAAGTTCTTTTCAACCGGTTCCACAATCTTTTTTATGGGTCATAGGGGAAGATAAAATCACATTAGTAAAAGGATGATCCTTGATTGACCTCGATATACTCCAATTAATATCTTACCTCTGGAGGGGCAACCTCTTGTTGGGTCACACCGAACACATCACCATATAACGGTCGATTGAACTTTTTTCATATTAAAATAGGCAAGACGTGTAAGTATTGTTTACCATCTTCCCAGTTTTTGCCTCGTTTTTGCATGATTGACCCCTCTTACCTCATCCACAGGTGGTCTACCCCAACCGCCAGGATGGTAGCCCCATTGAGCTCCATCGGGTATAGGCGAATTCAAGCCAGCAATCTTCAAGGTTGGGTAGCTGGGCGGAGGGCCGTACCGCTGCATATTGATCAGCCATGGTGGAGGCGCCAGTGGTGGCATATTAAGCGCAGTTTTTAAATCTTCAGACAAATGTCCTGGCTTCTTTTCCTTGAGCTTGGTCTCAAACTCTTTACCTTCGTAATACCTTACAAATGTCAAGCAACAATTAGCATTTTATTGTTTTACATCAAGATAACAACAACCTCTTCGCATTGCGAAGGGTACCGACTTACAATTCACCGTGCATTGTCACCTTTGGCTTGCTTTGGAATCTAAAGAACGCATCGTGCAATTTTTGGTAATCGATGTCTAGTTTGCCCATTTTAGGTGCCACACGCTCGCGTGTCTTTGACTTGAGCTTGGCTGCATCTTCTTTTTCTTTTACTGCATCACGCATCTCCATGATACCCGTGTCCTTGATAAAATCTAGTGATCATCTGTTAACTACCATGTCCTATTTCTCTCTCTCTATCCCAAGCCCAGCCCACCATAAAGTTTCTCCCCCTTCTACTTACCAGGCAGTTCCCACGGTGGTTTCTCAATACCACGCTTTCCCTGTAGATATTTTCGCTTTTGACTCCAATGTGCTGGTACAGGAACGGTGTTACGGTACGATTTGAGATTTACCAAAAGCTTTGGATCTGCGGCTGTGACATCCCACCACTATAAAAAAAAAGTAGTTCAGCAAGGTCAAATGCAAACCAAATACCCTAATCACTATCATCGTGGATATATGTTTTACCTCGACAGCTTCTGGCTTCTTCACCAACTGCTTTAATTCTGCCACGTCCAGACGCTGCAGTTTCTTGAGTTTCTTTTTTGACAATGGCTGATCTGAATGGATCTCCTTGTCATCGTCGTCAGAGTCGTGATCGGCGTCTTCATGTTTTACTTTGTCCTCAGTAGCAGTGGTCTCGTCTACTTCTGCTCCTTCGTCTTTTTTGATTTCAATCTAAATGATAGTCAACAAGGGTATCAATAATGATTATGTGTATGCGAAAAAGAAATAAATTGGCAGAACGTAATCGTTTGACGCGAAAATCTTCTTTTCTCTTTCTTTCTCCTTAGATTATGAATACCTTTTCTTCGGCTTCATCATTGCCAATCTGATAATGCTTAAAGACGTCAGAAATTTGTTGAAGTAAATCTTGGTCTGCATTTGCCAATGATTCAACGTTTTTCAAGCTTTCGGCGTCGACGGATTGAGCAACGTATTCAATTTCGACATCTTTAAGTGAATCGTCTCGTTCCGAGCTTCTACTCTCAAATTCCTAGATTAAGAAAGATAACACAACAATTTTTTTTTAAATACAGGAAATGTGATTAAATATTGCACGAAATTATTGTAATGTGTTTATTATATTTTACCTTTCGCCATTCAGCTTGTTCTTGTTCACGTTGCTTTTTTGACTTTTTCCGCCTTCGCTGACGAGTCAAATTCTTATTTACAGCACCATTGGTTTTCTCTATCGCACCATTGTTGGGGTTGTTGGCGTTGTTTTTGGCTACCTCAGCCATGGCGATCAAGTCGAGAGTGGTTTGAAATAAAAGAGTGGTTGTGCGGGTTTCCCACTGGCGTTCTTCTTTTGGGATTTAATTTCAGTCACAGCTGCGATTGCGATTGTCATACTGCGGCACCTGGCGATAAATGGCAGGCATCACTTTTGACAGTTTACAACCAAGTTTTCGATCGATGAGAAAGCACTTGTGATATTTTTCAAGAGATTGCTGAATTGTGGTGGGGTATTAGAAATTAGCGGATAGTACATCGGTATGTAAGAGGTATGGAATGCAAACATTTTCTGGAGCACTTAATAAAGAGATGTTTGTTTATTACGATACTTTAACATTAAGAAGGGTATAAAAAAGGTAGCATGCCTTATCAACAAGAAGCATTTATGATATGTTAATGATAATGACATGTTTCAAGATAGAAGAAGGGTGCTCTCCTACTTTATTCATGATACATATCCTGGCGCAAGCTGCAAAAGTATTAGTAGAAGTAATCATACATGATCAGGATTGCCACAGTCTATATTAACCATTTAATGGTGTATTATGCCATGAAAAATAAACCTTTGAATTAGCTTCTTTAGACTAGTACAGCTCAGAGTTACAATTAAAATAATATCATTGCATGTACTGTATGTAGTGATTTTGGGACGACAAGAGAATCCAACATGAGGACTGCTATACCACAGGATTCATCGTCGCGTCAGGAACAACTAAAACAGCAATACTGTATGGACATTTGCATCTATTACAAGTCAAATCGTAGACCCTCTTTTTGCTTTTTTTTCTTTTTTGTTTCACGGACACACCCGACAGTTCCTCCTACAGCAATAACTGAACAGCGAGTGGCCATTGAAGATCAGTTTCAATACATTATCAATGCCAAGTTGGATAATATATTGGCGAACAACAGTAAGGTAAATGAGCAGCTGAACGAAACAATAGTGCTAATAGATTTCTCCATAGAAAGATAAAATGAGAGATGAAACCATAATGAACTACGGCGCCGTAGATATCACCTGGCATAGAATAATACCGAAATTTTGTATTTTTATAGACATCGATAAATAGGTACAGCTACTGTACATAAGCATTACTCTTTCAGAATGTTGTTATTTACTCATTCTAATACGTTGCTGGCGTATACTAGCCTTTGTGTATATCATGCTGCGCAAGGTGGTGGAAGGTTTCACGTCCTCACAAGATTGCAAAGGAAAGCAAACGAACCATCGTTCAAATCACGAAAAGCGATCATTACTCAAACACTTGATGCACGTTGACTCGCTTTTCGTCCTAAAGAGCCGTCAGTTTCATTATCTCATCTTTATCGTTGCTCACATATTCGTGTTGCACTCGAGTTAACAACCAGCAAGATGACAATAGCAAAAGCCATGGCTATCTCCATTAGCTCATTCTTCTATGTCATATTTAGGGCATTTATTAAATTGTGCATTATTTCTATTATAAGCATCGGCTCACTTATTTTGTGTGTTGTATGCGTACGCTTCAAATTTTATGATACACTTTATTGATTTCTTCAATAACACTGCATCATGTCACGAACATATCACAGTAAGAACAAAGCATCGAACATTACTGTCTCACTTACTGTACACCTTACACCTGCTCATCAGAATTCGAAACAAGCATCTGCTGCATTTGAGCGTGTACTGAACTACTTCTAAACCTTCAAGTTGTCGCATATCTAGTTTTGCACGTCCTATTCATTTTTGAAATATAATTGGATAAGTAAAAGAAACTGTCTGTGGCCGAGAAAAGCGTTTTAAATATGTAGCCCTTCTATTTATATTCTATGTACCTTTTGCCCTTGGCTCAACCGCGCATCAAAACAAAGCGCCAATACAGTGTCAAACTAAAAAAAAGGCGAAATGCAGTGTTAGCATTGTATTAAAAACATATGTCTATGCTCGTTGTCACCGTTTTCATGAAGCAAAGTGCGGCAAGACTTTAGAGTTTCTTTGCAATCCATTTTAATTACATTACAAACGCGAAAGCTCACGCGCATTATAATGAACAAAAAGCCTGGTTAGAAGGCATTCCATACTGGGTTGTCTTTTGCATCAATCTCTGGCCTGAGTCATAGTTTTCCAAACGAAACATTGTCATTGCTTTCAGAAGAATCTCGGGATGAATTTGATATGGTCGTTTTTGTTGATCCTGATGATTGACTCAAAATAGAGATTGTGCGCGCTCCTGCACTGCATATTTTTAGGAAGTAGATGCGTTGTTTAATTCTTTGAACGACAAGAAGTAAACCCAAGAAAAAGGAAGTCAATGCTTTTCCTCATTTTCTTGTTGTGGTATGGCTTGCCGTCTTTTCGCAAGTCATTCTTGCCAGTTCCTGAGACACCATTCAACAAAAAAATGGTATTGTCACAGATTCCGCAGTATGTCATTAATGTGTCAAACGGGTTGTTTCAGAAGAAAGAGAAACGCGTCTCCTTTTCTCCCTTTCTCATCTCCCTTCTCCTCAACCATGCTTACATACTACCATGTCAGATCCACCAACTCAAACAGAAATCCTACAAGACCTTGCATCGGCTGTACGTGATGTGTGATCCCAGCTTGCCACTCAGCAACAGCAACAGCAGCAATCATCATCACTACCGCCGCGACAGCCACGTACACAGCCAACAGAAATAATCAGACGACCGAATCAATCAAACAATAAAGGCCGTACTATTTTCAAAGGTATAACCAAGCGTCACATTGTCGCTAATTACAAAGGCAGCATGAATGAAGAGACAAAAGAAGCAGTTTACAATACACTCAAATCCCACGCCAACTCTCTCATTAGCAAACGTGCAAAAAAGTATGGATCGGGTGGCGAGGAACTTTATCTTACTACGTGGAGCAAACTGGATGTCGACGACAAGGAAGAAGCCATCGCTACATTGAACTCACTAGCACAAGAAAAAAAGGATGTGATGTTTGAAACGTGTGAGGTCAATCGGTGTGCTGATCACCTGCTGTCTGAATGCTGGAACAACAGATATAGGCAGCGTAAAGGCAAACAACAACGCAAGTAAGCATAATGACTGGTATAATTGTAAGCACGGTCTACTGCTCTTTTACAAACTCACATTGATTTATGACAAGGCTACAGCAGCAAGTAGTAGCAGCAACAACGAGTATGATATTTTGCCTTGTCTTTTTCTACATTTTTCTATATCTTATTTGCACTGACGAGTATTATAATCAATATCTAGAACGACAGCCACACCACCCATGTCCCCCAATGAATACACAACTGCAATCGAAACTAGCGACCATGCTACATCGACAGGGTAAAAGATACTTTTTAAATGTATGAAGTCAATAGATTTTAGACTAGTAGGTAGCTGCGTCTTGGATCAGTATTTACACTTTATGGATGATTCAGACCGCCCAGACCTGAGCTAAGCAACGACTCACGGTAAGATAGTGTTTACTTCTGTTCCTTAAATTTTTCATGTCTTATTGTCTCACTTTAAACACTGCGAGTATATAGATCATCAGGCACGAGGTCAATTAACACAGTTCCTGTCACGTAAGTCATGTCCTTTTTGGTGCTTAATTCGACACTCTTTATGTGTCCTCACACGACCTCAAACCCAATCTAGATCATCCTCTCCACAAGAAACCACTGCTCAGACTATTCAAAGTGCTAGCGAGTATGTTTACTATTCTTTAAGAAAGAAGAGATCGGTTTTGCACAATTTGCTTTTAACGATACCATATACTATATAGTATCTCAGATGCGCAAGAAACTGTTGCTCCCTTGAACAAAACCGTTTGCCAGTAAGTATATAATTTTAGTTAGGAAAAAATAACAACAAGACAACTCCCCTAACCAGCATTTCTCACTGAATTTCCATATAACCCAGTGATGCTCTCAGCTCGAACCAACGATGCCGTCGAACAAGACAAGCAACGTAAATTACATTTTCGTAAAATGCATATTCAAGAGATAAGACGGAGTAATGTATGTACATTTCATTTACACTGTTTATCATAGATCTGTACAAGACGAACAGCATCGAGAAGGAGGAGCAACAGAAGGATTACGAGCATCAAGCAATCGAAGAGCAGGACGTGGACGTGGTGGTAAAAAACGTCGTAAGAACGTCATAGTAACAGAAAGAAATTCCTCCACAATGTACACAAGAGAGCAGTGACGATGACACGCCTATAAAAAAGAAGAGCCGCATGTAGTAAAGGTGTAGTAGTGATAAGGTTTAGTGTGGTAAGTTCGCAAAAGAATAAAACGTAGTTCATGTGAGGAGGCGCTTAATTTGGGTTACTTCTGGTAAATTACTAGTAATGAAGGCTGGTGAATATCGGTAGATCCTTGTGAAAGTTATTTTTGGTGGATCTGGGTAAAATTGCTATTTTCACCTTAACAAAAATCAACCACGTTTAACGAAAATCAACTAAATATCACTAGAATATTTACCGTGGTGTAAAGACGTGTCATATTTGTCCTGATGATGGTTAATGATGTGTCGAGCTTATATATGATCAAATTATCAGATGGTAGCGATGATAGCTTAATCAAGAAGCAAAGCAACAAGAAGAATCCAGACAGCAATGATAATAACACTGCAGCCAGGTACAAGTTCTTTGGGAAGAATAAGAAGTAGGAAAAGGCGAGCAAGATGGCTCCTTTCGTAGGTGGCTTGTTGAATTGAAGGCGTCTATTTGCGCCCCTCAAACTTCAGTAATTCCATCAAGCAGGTATCTATACATAAATCAAAGTATGCAAAGCGAGATCTACTCATTATTATTGACCTTAGCACTGCCGATTCTTTGTTGTTTCCCTCAAATGTTTTCGTACCACACTGACATAAGAACCACTCACTAACATCAAACTACATTTATAATACAGACGTCATCATCAATCTACTCAAAGGATACAAATTCGAGCAGACCAAAGAGTTTACAGCGCGGTCAACATGCTTAAGAACTATTATGATAGCACGGTCATTGCGCAAGCTTTATCGCCTTCTTGTCGCCTCTTGGAAGTGACGTTTGGTCCAAAAACAGGCGCATTTTTCAAAATGACAAAAAGATCCTGTTGTGATAAGCTACTAATTGCAGGAAAAGAGAGAGAGGGAGACGAGCAGCTGAAAACAGACTTTCCAATTTTAAGATCTAGCAGTTATACTAGCTTGTTGGCGTATGCTCTGGTGTTGCCTCTTATAAAATAACCCCTTTTCACAAAAAGGTCGCATCATATCTGCGGTAACAAGCAATGTAGGCGAACACAGAAAGTGAAAAGGAGTGTCAAAGTGTGATAAAGCGCGTTGTGATCGTGTTACTGTCGTCTGTCATTGTTCCCCGCTTTGTTTAGCACGGAGCTGTGGGTGGGAAAAAAAAATAAAGCACATGAAAAAAAAGGCAAAGCAAAAAAAAATAATAAAGCGGTAAAAACGTTTATGAGAAGAGTGCGAAAAGAAAAAGATTGTTTTATTTTGTTTATCATTTTTTTATTTGTGTGTAATAAATAATAGTAATAATAATCTGTTCGTTCCTCACCCTCCACTGACCCGCACTGGTACATTGCAGTCATCTCTTCATGGCGGACCACTGAGCCCATCCAATCATCAGAAGAATCTGTACAATCGCCAGCACTGGCACGGAACTGATCATAGCACGGACAGTGACTCCCGCGCATACAGCCCAACGCCTTTCCAAAACGAACTAAAGTGAAGAAAAAGAAAAAGAAAGGAAAAGCGAAACTGCTCGCTTTATATAGACGTTTTTTGACTGTCACGCTCGGGACTTCAAAAAGTTCCACCAAGTTCCATGGATTTTCATTGGCTTTTGCTTAATAGTATGGCTTTCAGCATATGATATGGCTCAAAGGGACTATCACAAAAGGAAAGGAAAGGGGGTGTACTTGGTGGTCATCTAAACAAGTGTGCTGCGGCGGTAGTGGTACGTGTCTCTCACCATGGGCTGCTGTACCTCCGACGACGTCGCCGCTTGTTTGTGAGTGGGGCCGTGCACGGCACCGTGTCAAGCAAAAACAAAAACACGAATGCGAATGAGCATGTAGATTCACGGAAGAAATGCTTTTATGTGAGCAGTAAATGACGGAAATAGGAGTGACTGACAAAGTAGACAATTTACCATCAGTGAATGCTGAGAACACACTCCACCCAGCAGCCAGTTTACAGTCCTTCAGCCAACAAGGCAAACAGCGTGTGTATATAGCGTAGTTCACAGTACTTTAATATTATCTTTTGACTGTGTGTGTGGCACGTAATGTTATGTGTGTGCGGAAAAAGATGCAACCATCGCTGCACTTTATAATAAAGACCCGTTATCTTCTATGTTCAACCGTGCTCGTCAACTGTTGCTTTACCATCTTCGCTATCCGCCAACAGTTCTCTGAATCACGCCGTATAACCTCCTCCCTCCATCCTCCATCCCAAGTATGTGCTGCTGCAGATAAGTTGGCCCGCTCATAGATAAGTATCCGCTGCCGCTAGTGAATTCGACTCATCCTTCATTGTTTTCCATTGCTGCCGATAAAGTAAATCGGTTCGTTTGTTTTTGTGCGGTTCTACGTTCTTTTAAAGCAGCGTTCAAGATCCATTGGGACGATCAGAAGAATAACACTACAAACGATGACTTCCTCCAACGTTTGACACTTTTGCGCATATTGTTGCTCCATTGATCACCTTGTTCACTCGCCATCCCTTTGTGCATTTCGAGTGCGAAGTCAAATGGCCAAATCGCTGCGTCACAATGCGCATAGTTTTCGTTTCAGGGGAAAGCTGTTGGAACGTTCAAGGTTTGGCACACGCGTAACTTCGTCACTATCCAAAAAAGAAAGATCTGTGTTGTGCTCTTCCTGATTTTCTTCATTCCTAGACTACCTTTGCTTCCTGCTGATTTACTTCCGTTATGCTTATCGTTAGTGTGGGTTTGTGCGTACGCGTTCATAGCCTTCGTTATGTTTGAAAAAAGAGAGACGTAGCGAATTTTCCCCTATTGTTGCCTATTTCCACAGCAAAATACACATTGTGTCTCTGATCGTCTCTTTGCAGACTACTTGTCGTAGCCGAATTAATGATGTTATACAGTAATAAAGCCCGAGAGAAAATCCTGCTCTTTTGCAGTTGCTTTTAATATACGTTACGAGCACCGTTTACTGTACATTACGTCCCACTTAGCTTAACATATAGTCCCTTTTAGTATAGATTACGATCCGCTTAATTTTTACCAAGTCTTGTCTTTAGATGCCACAGAAAAGTGTGCTGGGGACGAGCAGCTTCTTTGCTACAAGACTTCTCCCAGCAGTAATCCCATTCACGACTGATGCATTGACTGGTGGCAAGGTGGCATATCAATTAAAGTTGGCAGGGATAGTAATATGTGTTTGCTCTTGGACTACATGCGTCTTTATGTAGGGCTTGCCGTAAAATGGACGCTCCAAAGCTACGTTTTTGGTTTGAGTCACTGATTCGGTCAGTGTACGGAAATGTTCTCCAAGGTCATGTCACCCTTTACCAATAGGTCAAGAAGGACTTAGTCTCTGGATCGCTTTCAAAGGCATTGCATACTGTGGACGACGACTGATAATGAGCGCCGAAATGACTATCTGTCCCTCCAAGAGGGATCGTCGCTTAACAGAATTACTCATAATTCCTAGATTTCAATGGAAGTTTTCCCAACAGTGGAATATGATGTTTGGGGAATCGTTTGGTCATATAAATGTGTGGACAGTAGCATATCATCAAATAGAAAATCAAGGAACAAGATGGGCAGTGCACGGGTGCCGTCCCACATATCAATTACGGGTCCATTGCTGCCAGGCCAAATACTATGCCAGCTCAACACCATGCCATAGCAAGATCAGCAACAGCAGTAAGTGATAACAATGGCCATACCAAACAGCAAGGGTTCTATGCAGAAAAGTGGTAGCAAAGAGCACACCAGTACATATATGTGTAAACTCTTTATCATAACAAAGAAATGACTGGAAGAGGCTCATTGTTTTGTAGTTAATTTCTATGCAGCTGCCACTCCAAAGACATCCACTTAATAGCAACAACAATTGAACCGTCACGAGCAATGGCACAAGAACAAATGCTACTACTACTACTGCTACTACATACTATCGGACGCTCTATATTAATAGATGCAACAATAAAGCAAAATTCTATGGCCAAGTGATGATGGAACTTCTTGAAGAACTCGAAAAAGAATTTAAACATCAGAATGATCGACAAAAAGGTGGATAATCTCGATGCTAAGATCGATGAGAAGTGACTAAAAAACTTGATATCATACCAAGTTTCCAAGAGCAGCTCGAAAAACGGGAAGAGATTTACGAAGATCTTGAAGCTCTTTCCATCCTTCAGCTTAGATGTTAAGGGAAAAAAACGAGGCGTTATATCAGCGCTGTAGTAAAGATCATGATAAACTTTGCTTTTTGCGAAACTCGCAATTCTTTCTATAACAAATGTGAGCGTGGTGCTATACAACATTAAGTTGCTCACTTTAGTCTTGTGCTTGTTATAGCAGGCAATTCGCGCACAATGGTATTAATACAGTATCACCATAGCAATAAGTACATTTAATATCTATAAAAAAACATAATAAATCTCATTGACAACAAATACTAAATTGAGCACCAACAACGTCAACGCTTGATCACGTCTCACCCGTTTGTCTAATTTATCCTTCTTTTCCCTTGTTTCCTTTCCCATCTGTACTCCAATCATTTCTACTACTGTACTTCTTGTCCCATTTTTGCAAATACTTTTACCACTGCTGTTGCCTAGCCATCTTAAGAGCCCAAACATGAAAAAAGTGTATCTTGCAAACAATTATGTTGTGGATGACCCAGTGCTGCATGGTACCTATATAGAGCTCTCAATAAAAACGGAGGAAGGTCAAGTCCTTGTGTGCGTTGTCGAGGGCCCAGAGTTGATGTCCACGATACACGAGTTGCGAGTATCTCGCATGTCTAAATTAGACATAAAAGGTTAGTATTTCAATATGGAGATGCGTTTGCTATCTTTGTGAACCCCTACTAGTTGTATCTTTTGTAAAGTTTCACGCGTGTGTGTTGTGTGTTCTTCAGCTAAAAGTAAATTGCATCTGGATACTAGGCACGCTCCTGCACGATATAAAGGGTCTCGACCGCCCTACACTCATGGTCACTAAGCTCGAAAGAAGTCCAGTGTCGCCCTCTTTAGCTGCCAGCAGATTGGAAAACTCTGACGATACCTTTGTAAATAAATTAGACTATGACAATGAAAGTTACGTTGACAACAATGACGGAGAGAACAGGAAACGCTCATACAACAGACGCTCACTTTCACCACCACCCGGAGAGTCAGCGAATTACCCTGAAAGAGCTGATATGGAAGACGACACGGATGAAGAAGAAGAAGAAGAAGAAAGAAAAGAAATGAATGGAGAAGAGTACGAAAAGGAACGACAGTCTAAGCGTTTCAGAACGGATGCCATGGAGATGACGGAAGATGACGGCCTAGAGATGGTTCCATCCGCGAGGTCGAATAATTGTCCTGGTAACTTATTTTATAATCTCTACGGTCGACTGCACGTGTTGAACAGCCATGCTCCCGATCACTTGCAGCCGCAGTTGGCGCTTCTTTACGATCTGCTTACTTGCATGGCGAACATGGAGGAAGGAATCTCATCGCACACGCGGTTATTTATCGAAAAAATGAGCGAGTTTCACTCTCGGTTGAAGGATTGCTACCGGGAATGCCCTGATGCCCCTTACCCTTTGGATACAAACGAAGTCGAGCTTCCGCATTGGATCTATGAGTTTTTACCTAAAAAGAAACGGTTGCAGCAAAGGTAGCCTCCTTCCAAGCCGTCATTTCCGTAATATACAACAAGTTTGATGTCAAAATACTTTTATGACCCAATTTGTCATCTCTTTAATGTGTATCTGAAAAGCTGTTCTTATACATATTTTTTAACACTCTCGCCTACAGCTACATACAATAGTCCATATTGCTCTGATATTTACGCAATGTCACTTCAGCTCGACTATGTAGTGACAGGCCGTTGTTCATTAATAAATATCCTTCTTCTTTAATAAGAAGTTGGTAGTTAACTCAGTCCAACCGAATTTGGGAAATTGAGTATCACACGCAAAAGAAAAAAGTTCATGCAGAAACCAAATTCGGCTGGTGGCTTGTGGATATACTTCTTTATCTTAAACTACGATCGATCCCAATGACAACGGCTGCACCGAATACTGCTGGTGCCTGGGGCACCCTTGAAACACCTTTAAGCACTGAAATGTAAGCCAAAATATATATTCTGAGAGGTTAAATTCAATGCTTGTGTGATGCTGATTTGTCGAAACTAGCCTAGATACCCTTGCAACAATGGGATTTGACACCATGACACCTGTACAAGCAGGTGCTATACCGTTATTTATGAAAAACAAAGACGTCGTTGTTGAGGTAGTATATCAACATAGGAAGGAGATAGAGAGAGAGAAGAGCGAAAAAGAGTTGTGGTTTAAGACTGACTATTGTTCAAGGCTGTTACTGGCTCAGGCAAGACACTCGCCTTTGTCATTCCTATTATAGAAAAACTGTTACGACGAGAAGACCCACTAAAGAAAAATCAGATTGGTGCAGTTGTAATTACGCCAACTCGGTAAAGCGAATGGAGTGACTATAAGTGTTTCTATAGATGGTTTTGCCAGTTTCCTAACCCGGGAAACGTATTTGATAGTGAACTAGCGCAACAGATTCATTCAGTGTTTGACTTGTTTACTCGCGACCATCCACGAAAAGATCAGCTCACTGTTGGCCTTTTTATTGGCGGCACGACATCACTCTCACAAGACGTCGAACGATTCCACAAATCCGAACCACGGATACTAGTCGGCACACCGGGTCGACTCGAAGAACTCTTGAAAAGCGGCAAACTCGTCAATACGAAAGAACTCGAAGTCCTCGTCATGGATGAAGCCGATCGATTATTGGATATGGGTTTCTCACAACAGCTAAGCAGCATTATCGCACAATTACCCAAACAGCGACGCACAGGTTTGTTTTCAGCAACAATGACCGATGCCATCTCAGAACTCGTTCGAGCAGGTCTCCGTAATCCAGTCCGTATCGTCGTCAAAGTGCAAGATCTCGTACACAACCAGCAACGTACACCAAGCACGCTCCATATCAATTACATCGTATGCGACTCCGATCAAAAACTCCTTCAGCTTGTGCGATTACTAGAAAACGAGACAGGACAAGATCAGGGTGCACGGAAATTCATTGTCTATGTCGCCACATGCGCCTGCGTCGATTATTTCTACAAGCTGCTTTCCAAGTTATTAAAGGAGCGCATGCAGGTTTTTTCGCTACACGGACAGATGGATACAAAGCGACGGACGGCGACATACACGAGTTTCACACAACTGCCCCCGGCTGCACCTGCTGTGCTTTTGTGCACAGACGTGGCATCCCGCGGTCTTGATATTCCTGACGTGGACTATGTCGTTCAAGTAGATCCACCGCAGGATCCCAAGGCATTTGCACATCGTGCAGGTCGTGCAGCACGTGCTGGACGACAGGGCCGTGCCACTGTCTTTTTGTGTCGTGGACGAGAAGAAGTTTACGTTGATTTTCTGAAACTTCGTAAAGTGCCCATGGTCCGTGCGCAATACCGCCTTGCAGACAACACGACAGTTGATAATAAGCACACCGAGGTGGATCCAGAGAGTGGCGAAGAGAAAATCGTTTCGGAACGTGTAGATCAAGACGACAGCAATGTGGACACGTTCATTCAATCGCTTCGAAAAATTGTCAAGGTAGATCGCGATATGCATGATCGAGGCATGAAGGCGTTCGTGTCATGGGTCCGCTCCTACTCCAAGCACGAAGCCAGCTATATTTTCCGTATAAAAGATCAGGATCTCGGTCGCGTGGCGACAGGATATGGTCTATTAAAATTACCAAGAATGCCCGAACTTCGAGATGCAAAGGATGTTACATTCAAAGCGGAAGAGATGGATTGGGACAAGTACAAGTACCTTGACAAGAATCGAGAAGCAAAGCGGCAGCGAGAAGCTGCAAAACCACAGAAGCAGCAACCCGCTAAACCGAAAAAGTACGTTCAAAATATCTATTTCGAAGAAACGGCACTGTTGTTCTTATGATCAAGTCTATTATAAATACGATAGATCAAATGAAGCTTGGTCAGCAAAACGCGATGCAAAAGCACGAAAAGTGGATCGACGGACCAAGAAGGATCGCAAAAAGGAATTCTTGAAAAAACGAACGCATGAAGAAAAGGAACAAGCAGAGGATGATAACGACGACGGAGAAGATGACTGGAATGAGTTAGCAAGGGAAGAGCGGATGGCTAAAAGGGTCAAACGCGGTCGGATGGATCAAAACAAATTTGATGAAATGTTTGCCGGTGATATGGACCAAGACGAATAGCAATAATAAACGGGATTTTTTGTTGTTCACCATACGGGACATGTCATTACTTTATCAATAACTTGATCAAATACTTGGCGTTGTTGGGCCATATCTTCTACTGGTTTTAATGCTATGCCTAACAGAACTGGTCGTTTTTCGTGTGGATTCATGGCTGCCACTGTTTGCGAAATTGACGACGCGTACAACATGTATAAATCGCTTTGACTGCCCGAGGATTCGCCAAACAGGAACTGCGACGTCGTTGGTACAGCAGCAGGGTTGCTGGCTAGATGGGGTGCAATGTCAACTGTTGTTTTGATCTATGAATTAAAACAAACAAGGGAAAGCGTGCCAACATTAATATAGAGAGTATATACCTTGTTAGAGGTAAAAGCTTATCTGTCGTTTATTACCAGACTACCGATTCTGCCATACTGCGTTACAACAACAAAAATCTTGTCGGCAAAGCCGGTGACGAGGATCTCGGTGTGGTGACCATGCACGACACATGCAGTTTGTTTATTATTCAAAGGGAATCGAACGTCATCCATGATTACTTTTTCTAAAAAGGTACAGAAAAGAAGGCAAGTGTATAAGTGTAGGAAAACGGGATAATAAAGAAAGAAAATGGAACGTGTATATATGCGGTTTTCAGAGAGGGAGGAAATTTTAATGATCATAGGCCAAAATGGTGCCGAGCCATTTTTCGACGTCAGCGACATCCATCTTCTTACGGGCGGCATAGTCATTGATTTGGTCCTTGTCAATCTTGCCAACGGCAAAATACTTGCTCTGCTCGTGAGCAAAGTAAAGACCACTGACACTGGAAGCGGGTTCCATGGCGAGTGAGTCGGTCAAGATCATGCCAGTCTTCTTAGCGATATCACCAAGCTCCCACATGGTCGTCTTTTCAGTGTGATCCGGCTGCGAAGGGTAACCAGGAGCAGGACGAATACCTTGGTAACGGACAGCAAACATATCAGCCGAAGAAATACTTTCTTCCGATGCATAGCCCCAGTCATTCTTGCGCACTTCTTCGTGAAGCCACTCTGCGAAAGCTTCAGCAAAGCGATCGGCCAATGCCTTGGCCATAATGCTCGAGTAGTCGTCGTGGTCCTCTTCAAACTGTGCAACGAGCTCGTCACAGCCGAAACCCGTGGTCACGGCAAACATACCCAAGTAGTCGGGCTTGCCTGATTCTTTGGGAGAAATGAAATCAGACATGCAGTAGTAGGGCTCGTCATTCTCCTTTTCGGATTGCTGACGCAAGCCATAGAACACAGCCTTGACCTTTTCGCGCGACTCGTCTTCGTAGATTTCGATGTCGTCGCCGTTGCTGTGGGCAGGATAGAAACCGACAAGACCTTCAGCGCGCAAGAGTTTCTTGGAAATAATTTCCTTGAGCATGCTTTGTGCATCTTCAAAGACACGCTTGGCTTCAGCGCCGACGGTTTCGTCATCAAAGATCTTGGGGTAGCCACGGTTCGGGTAACGGCCACGAAGCTGGAAGACTTGGAAGAAGGGATTCCAGTCGATATGGCTGACGAGCTTCTCCAGAGGGACATCCTTATACACCTTTTCGCCCAAATACTTGGGAGCGTGCACTGGCGGGTTCAGGCCCCAGTCGATACGGAACTTCTTTTCCCGGGCAGCATTGATGGACAAAATGCGTTTCTCTTCCAAACCTTCATAGTATTCCTCTCGCAGCTCGGCATATTCTTCCTTGATATCCTCAAAAAAGTCTTCGCGTCGAGCATCACTGATCAAAGCAGCCGCAACAGGGACACTGCGAGAAGCATCCAAGACGTGCACAACAGGATGCTCATATTGAGGAGCAATCTTGACAGCAGTATGCATCTTGCTCGTTGTAGCACCACCAATAATGATTGGAATGCTGAGGCCAGCCTTTTTGAACTCCTTGGCAACGATCACCATCTCTTCTAGCGAGGGCGTAATCAAACCAGACAGACCGACGAGATCGGCTTTTTCTTCGATAGCGCGTTTGATAATGACGTCGAATGGAACCATGACACCCAAGTCGACAACTCGGTAGTTGTTACAGCCCAGCACGACACCAGTAATGTTCTTGCCGATATCGTGCACATCACCCTTGACGGTGGCTATGACGATGGTACCGTTGCCCTTGGCTTCAACGCCACCGTTTTTTGCCATATCTTCTTCCTTTTCAACCAGAATGTAGTCGATCAAATGAGCGACGGCCTTTTTCATGACACTATATACCAATTATTTCTTTTTATGAGCACACTAACATGGAGTACCGCTCCCGAACCTAAACCGCAGTAAGCCTCCGCAAACTTACCGAGCAGAACGAATGACCTGGGGCAAAAACATCTTGCCCTTACCGAACAAATCACCAACGACGTTCATACCGTCCATCAAGGGTCCTTCAATAACGTTCAAGGCTCTGGGGTACTTTTCCTTGTCCTGACGCGCAAGCTCGGTATCTTCGAGGATAAACTTCATGATACCCTTCACAAGGGCGTGCGTGATACGTTGTGTGACAGGCCAAGAGCGCCATTCTTCTTGATCCTCATCCTTCTTGGCGTCCTTAGAATGACGTTTGGCATAATCCAACAGTTTCTCGGTAACTTCAGGATCCCTGTTCCAGACCGCATTTTCACACAACTCCAACAAGTCCTTTGGAATATCATCGTACACGGTCAAGAAACCGGCATTCACGATACCCATATCCATGCCAACCTTGACAGCGTGGTACAAAAAGACAGAGTGCATGGCTTCACGGACCTTGTCCATACCACGGAACGCGAACGATAAGTTGGATACACCACCGCTGATCTTGGCACCAGGCAGGGTTCGCTTGATCTCACGACAAGCATTAATGAATTCGACACCATAGTTGTTGTGTTCCTCCATACCAGTGGCGATGGTCAAGATGTTGGGATCAAAGATGATATCGTAGGGGTTAAAACTGGAAAGGAGGTAGAACCATGAATTTAGTTTTCATCTCTATTGAAACTTTGGTTTTCCACCAATTACACTTACCCAACCTGGTCCACAAGAATGCGATACGAGCGAGTACAGATCTCAACCTTGCGGTCCGCTTCGGCAGCCTGACCTTCTTCATCGAACTATATACAAGATATCATCCTGTATCTTAACATCCCGTAACATCTCGTCGTGTCTCCGACGCATTACCCATTACAGTGACAAATTTTAACAAGAACTTACGGCCATGACAACAACAGCGGCACCAAAGCGCTTAATGAGCTTTGCCTTGCGGATGAAATCCTCTTCACCTTCTTTGAGCGAAATGGAGTTGACGATACATTTGCCCTGTGCGCACTTGAGACCGGCTTCAATGACGCTGAATTTGGACGAGTCGATCATGAGTGGCACGCGCGAACAATCAGGATCGGAAGCGAGCAAGTTCAAAAAGCGCGTCATTGCAGCATGACCATCCAACAAACCCTCGTCAAAGTTACAGTCAACCACCTGGGCACCGTTTTCGACCTGAGCACGCGCAATTGCCAACGCTTCTTCGTATTCACCCTTCAAAATGTGTCTGCAGAACTTCTTGGAACCAGCCACGTTACAACGTTCGCCGACGTTGACAAAACCAGTGTTCTCATCAACACGCAACACTTCAAGACCTGAAAGAATCATGACGTCGCGGTTGTATGCAGGCTTGGGGCGAGGGCTGTACTTGCGACAAACATCTGCAACAGCCTAAATATTACAAGCAAGTGTGAGTAAACCTGTGATCAGTTGTGTTCAATAAGAGAAGTATTTACCTTGATATGTTCGGGAGTGGTACCACAGCAACCACCGACAATGGTGACGAGACCTTCCTTGGCAAAGGGCTCGACATTCTTTGCCATCTGTGCAGGAGTTTCATCGTACTCGCCCATTGCATTGGGTAAACCCTAAACGAACGAACGGCAAAGGGCAAAACACACGTCAAGATCAAAATACACAAATATGTCAAACAAGTAGCACTTACCGCATTGGGATAACAGATGATGTGTGCATCTGTGAAGCGACTGATGTTTTGGATGAAAGGCTTCATCTGAGGAGCACCCAAAGCACAGTTGAGACCAATGGCCATGGGATTAGTGTGGCTCAGTGACGTGACAAAAGCTTCACCGGTCTGACCAGACAAAGTACGACCACTCTGATCCACAATGGTACCGGAGATAAACACAGGCACCTTGGGTCGTCTATGTAGTATATCACGTCATTTCCCGAAATTAAAACCGGTAATCCTTTCCATTTTTTGGGTTGTTGTTTAAACACTTACTGATCCTCTTCCATCACCAAGTCAATGGCATAGACGACAGCTTTGGCGTTCAATGTATCGAAAATCGTTTCAACCAACAAGATATCGGAGCCACCATCCAACAAACCACGAATCTGCTCGGAATAAGCAACGACAAGCTCGTCAAAGGTAACGTTTCTAAAAGCCGGGTTCTCAACCGAAGGTGAAATTGAACATGTTCGGTTCGTAGGACCGATGGCACCGCAAACAAAGCGCGGGATGCCCGTAGCTTCAGTGACCTTTGGAATTTTTTAAATTTTTACTTTAATTATAAAATAACTTTTTTGGTGGTGGTATGCCCATATGATAAGCCCAAAAACTTACATCTTTACAGGCACGCTTGGCCAACTCGGCACCTTCCTTGTTCAAACGATATGCATATTTCTCCAAAGCATAATCAGCCTGAGCAATTGAAGTTGAACTGAACGTGTTGGTTTCCACCATATCTGAACCGGCTTCCAAATACCAACGGTGAATGTCATAGATAGCATCGGGTTTGGTCAATGTCAACAAGTCATTGTTGCCTCGTAGATCACGAGTGTGATTCTTAAATTCCTCAGCTTTACAAAAAGAGAGAACAAAAAAACAGAATGAGAAGACAAATTTTTCAGACTTGAAAGGGCTACCACGTTTAGCTTTGAATGTGGACGACTTACCGCGAAAGTCTTCTTCTTCTAATTTGAGACGCTGGACCATGGTGCCCATGGCACCGTCCAAGAACATAATACGCTCGGTAAGCGTGTTTTCCAGATACTTGAAGATATCTAATTGTTAGTCGTATTGTTTAGTTAGATTGGAGCGCGCCGTTTCTAATCAATTTTTATGGAGTGAGTGGCCCTACCTATCTTGTCCGTCATGGTTGGTGTGGTGGGGAAAGAAGAACAACAAGAAATGTCTTGTATTGCGCAAATGTGATACGATCCAATCGGCGTCGAAGGAGATTGACTAAAAGATTGACATCTACATTTTTTAAGATTATAACTCCACTCTCCACATTCGGTTACTCCGCGCACAGTGCAGCATTGATGTGGAAGGAAAATAGGCGCTTTACATTATCATGAATGGCTGATGGTGATAATGTGGTGGTTCGGTACATTTACTCGGTACTCTGATCAAATGCCGTGCAAGGCATCCTCACAAATGTAAACTGCGGAGTGCTAGTTGACACAGGGTCTCACGCTCATGTTTATGAGAACCCCCTTTCTTTTTTACAGTTCGAAACAGCTTAGCAGGATCCTTTTTTTTTCCTTGTTTCTCGTATTTTTTTGACGCCCATTTTCTTTCTTTCTTTCTTCTTCTATAGCGTTTTCTTGTAATACTATTTACTAGCTCTTATTATTGTATTTAATTTCATTAATGGAAGAGCCAGCTCCATTGTTACCCTCCGTTATTGACCTCAAAAAAAAGAAAAAAGTTGAAACCAAGTTTGTTATCGGCTTAGACGAACACACCACGCCGCGACCGCCGCCACCTGAAGGAATCACCAACTCAGCAGCAACAGCAACAGCACCACTACTACGACGGCAGCCACCACCTCATCGTCACCATCAACATCATGTTAAGAGGCGGACAGCAGGACGAATGCATAAAATGACCAAAGCTCACTTGAGTGACAGTGAAGCAGACAGCAGTAAACCGTCTATAGCAACCGTTGCTATGCGACGGTCTCAGTCGCAACGGTCACTACAGCAACAAGTACAAAAACGAAGGTGGTCACCGCAACAACAACAACAACAACAAAAGACATCGCCATTAGAAACAGATGAGCAGCGACGAAGAAGAAGCAGTGCAAGCAGCAGCAGGAGCAACCCAGCACTATTTGTATCACAACAACAAATGGCTGCGCCAATCGAGCAGACGTTCAACGCTATAGCCAATAATCTCGTGTCTCCTAACGGGGCTGCGTACCCGGCGTGTGTGCATGCAGCAGCAGCGTCTCCCGTTGTCTCCTTGCCTGCGTCTCCACAGCGGTCATCCTCCTCCTCCATAGCGAAACATGTGCTGCGGTCGCAATTTATCAGCAATGATAGTAGTAGAGGTGATGGTGCTCAGCATCAGCAGCAGCAGCATCAACATCAACATCAGCATCAGCATCAACAACAGAAAGAGGAGGAAGGGGAGGGGGAGGAGAAACGGCCGCCAGCATACATTGCTCGGGAGCTGGACCGGATAGACCGAGAGTACCAATGTCTGAAACAACATCGGGACCCAATGATGGAAAGTCTTGTACGGTGTATGCGAGTCATCCGCCGATCAGCACCACTCACGCTGCCTATCCACCAGCACTTCAATCGAACCATGTCAACCTCCGCTATCCCCTCATCATCATCATCCAAAGCACTGCATTCGGGTCATCGGCAGGCTGCCGCAGCACTTCGTCGTCGACAACACCATAATCAACAAATCATCGCCAATAGTGCTAACGGACAACAGCGACTTTATTCCTCAGCAACAACCCTTGTCGCCGCCTCAGGTGAAAGTAACACGTCGCACGGAGGAATTCTCAGTGCATTGTGGGACCGTATGCTGCAAAGTGTCAACTAATAATAGCAGTAGAAGAAGTGTGTTCAGGAGTGTTGTATATATATTATTTCTTTTTCATTCTCGTAACAGTAGTACGCAAAGCTGTACATAGCAGACCATGAATATACATTGGCTATCCATATATATCATACCTCTTCTGGTTTACATCGCTATGTATCTCGCCTTATCAAAGGAAGGAGGGGGATATGCGTCGGGTCGGGCCTGTTGGTTTGACTTGTTATTCTGCTATGCTTTTGACATTTTGCACGCGACATCAGGAATGGTGTAACAGAAACAGGTGCAGTATGTACACTCACGTACAAAGTGAAAGCCCTGCATCAGGTCTCCACTTATTATGTAGAGCATATATTCCCCAATCCATCTGTCCCTCACCAAGTAATAGCAGACTGTTTTCCCCCATCCCCACATTCCTCTTTCTGATCGACTTTTTTTTAAATCCCGTGACAAGGAAAGTGTGGGGTCGGCTTTTTATTTTCTCTCGCACGTGTAAATTTTTTTAGTTTCATGCTGGTCCCCACACACACACACACACACACGCACGCACGCACACCTTAAAGAAGTCGGTGTGTCTTTGAGAATTTCTTGATTTCTTTTTCTTTTACTTTCCTTTTTCTTGACTGCTGAAATAATAAAAAACTTAATTTAGCAATGGCTGTAGCTCGATTCACTGTGGAAGTTCCTGAAACGCTCGAATACACCTCGTTAGACACCATCGAGGATAGCGTAAGCGTTGTCCGTAATAACTACATTACAGGTTTTTTTCTGTCGTTCCCAAACATGATCTCCGTGACGCATAAACATACCCAACGACAACGCCTAATCTTTTTTAATCTAGGGAGACCGCGCAACATGTACTGGCGCAAGTTCCAACTTCATCGTCTGCACCAGTTGGTCAAGGATCATGAAGAAAAGTTCTATGAAGCCCTGGCGAAAGATATGGGCAAATCTCGGCATGAAGCTTTGATGGGCGATATCAGTCCATTGCTCGAAGAATGTCTTTATTTTCTCGACGTAAGTCTCTCCCACATTAGTTACCAATGTTTCCTTTGCAAATATGTTTACTTATGAGTGATATTCAGAATATCGAGAAATTGGCAAAGGACGAGAAAGTGCAGCCGCGTCAGATCACGAACCGATTCGATCAATGCATCATTCGCAAAGATCCCTTGGGTGTAGTGCTTATTCTCGGTAAGTTATGGCTGCACCACTACCCTTTTTTTTCACGCTTTGAGAATTGGCTTCAAGAAATGTCATGTCTGACTTTAGCTATTTCGACTTAGGTTGCTGGAATTATCCTGTTCAGGTAAAAAAACACAAGTCATGTGCCAAGATTTTCTTAATTTATGCTCTAACGCGCTTCATGTATTGCTATTAGCTTCCGCTCGTTCCTCTTGGTAAGTAAAAATACCTTACATACGCTTTGATGAGTTAATACTAATATATAGCATTCAAACACTATACCAGCCGGTGCAATTGCAGCTGGCAATGCTGCCATCATCAAGGTAAACGTTCTTTACTTAATCTTACTAGACGCTATGACACCTTCTTGTTAGGTGAGCTTCCTAAATCGTTGGTGATTGTTTTCATCACAGCTGTCCGAGACTGCAGTTCACACCTCTGCGCTCATAACGAAACTATTTCCAAAGTACATGGATATTTCCTGCTATCGCATCGTGAATGGTGGTGTGCCCGAGACGACGGCCTTGCTCGAGTACAAGTTTGACCATATCTTCTACACCGGCAGCTCTACCGTCGCAAAAATCATAATGACTGCTGCTGCAAAGCATCTCACTCCAGTCACGCTCGAATTGGGCGGCAAATCGTAATGTCATTACTTTTAGGATTAAGCCTAGAAATACAATACTTGTTTACTGACGTTTACTTTTGCAACAGACCCGCTGTCATCACGGCAGACGCCAATATAAAGACTGTTGCCAACCGTGTTGCATTCGGCAAATTCTTTAACACTGGTCAGGTAAGAAGAAAAGAAATGCAAGGCTATCGTTACACAGCATGAACAGCAACATGTCCACTGACATTATGCTTACCTTTCTAAATATATAAAAAAAAACCAGAGCTGTGTCGGCGTGGACTACGTGCTGATCCCCAAAAACAAGTTGGAGCCATTTGTTGACGCTCTCCGCAAGACAATCACCGACTGGTTCGGCGCCAATCCAAAAGAGTCCAAAGATTACGGTCGGATCGTTTCGGTCCGACACTTTGATCGCATCATGGACCTCCTGGACCGTCGGCAAAGCGGCAGCATTGTTATTGGTGGCGACACGGACAGAGAGGCACGCTACATTGCGCCCACTGTGGTAACAAATGTAAGCTTTAACGATCCTGGATTGATGACCGAGGAAATCTTCGGTCCTATTTTGCCCATCGTTACATACAACGAGCTTGAGGATGCCGTTGCCATGATCAAGCGCCAGTAAGTCCTAGAAAAGCCCCGATTATCCACATTTTCAATAGTACTTAGCAACAATGATGGAATCATGCTATATACAGGGAGCCTCCATTGACCGTGTACGTGTTTGCCAACAAAAAGGAAGACCAGCGAAAGGGTAATTAAAAGCAAAAAGAGTAATTACAAAGTTACATATGGCTCATCACAAGGGTGGTTGCACTGTTGCTTTTAGTCATTGATTATTTGCCCTCGGGTGGTGTGTGCGTCAACGATACATTGATGCAATTTGCCGGTAAGTTTTAGACTTTTGCGCTGCTATCTTCGCCATGTCGCAGATCTGACACTTGATAAACAAAAAAATTAATAGAATTCTCGCTGCCATTCGGTGGTGTGGGTAACTCGGGCCTCGGAAAATACCACGGAAAGCGTTCCTACGAACTCTTTACGCACGAACGTTCGATGCTCATCAAGAAGCAACGGTTCGAATTCTTGATGCGTGCTCGCTATCCACCTTACTCTGCGCACACGCTCAAGCTGCTTCGGGCATCACTATTATCATCCTCGCTTACTACCAACCGCATCATCTACAAGCGAGGCATCAAGAACACATTCATATTCTTCTTGGTGATCCTGTTTTTCTATATCAGAAAGCGGTTGTTGTAATGAACGGAACTCATGTCGTACAGGTTTTCCCACGCGTGCAGCCTGTCAACAGGTGCGCCCATTTTTTAATTTTTTTTAAAACACAGCAACGTATAAATAAAGGAGAAACTCTACTCCCGCTGGTTCCCGTCTTTCTACTCTGTTCTTTGTTTACTTTTTCCCTTCTTCTTTTACTGCCGTTGCCATGACAAACGCCTGTTCACGTTTCATCAAATCCAAGAACGTCTCTGTGGTAGGCATTCCAATCAATGCTGGCCAACCACGAGAAGGCGTCGAAAAGGGTCCTGCCAAGCTCATCGAATTCGGTCTCTTGAACCAACTCGAAGAAATGGGATGGACTACTGAACACAAGGATAACGAAAAACTCGTTGCCAGCCTCAAGCCTTCAGACGATCCTGATGTGCTCAATCTTAAACAGCCCAAATGGGTCTCTGCAGTCACCCAATCTATCAGTGAACAGGTCCGTCAGAGTGCAATGGACGGCAAGTTTGTTCTGACGCTGGGTGGCGACCATTCTCTTGGCTTGGCTTCAGTCTCTGGCATATTTGCAGCTTATCCCGACGCATGTCTTATCTGGGTTGATGCTCATTCTGTAAGTCCCCTTTTTCTTTACTGCTTGCGGTTGCGTCGACACTGTAATTTCCACTGTTTGCAGGTACTAAAATTTGCACTTATGATCCTGGGGCTCGATATAGGATATCAACACTCCTGCATCTTCTCCTTCGGGTAACATTCATGGATGTCCGATTGCATTCCTTACCGGTATTGCCGAAGATCATCCAGATTTCCGGTGGGTCAAGCCCTGCTTGGATGCCCAGCGACTGGTGTATATCGGTTTACGTGATGTAGACGTCGGTGAAAAGAAAATCATCAAGGATCACAATATCAAAGCGTTCTCGATGCATCATGTGGATAAGTGGGGTATTGGCAAGGTGCTCGACATGGCATTAAACCATGTTAACCCAGACCGTAACCGGCCTATCCATCTCTCTTTTGATGTGGATGCACTAGATCCATCTGTTGCACCTAGCACAGTAAGTCTCTCATTTACCCTGGTCGATCAATTTGATTTCCTGATCTGCTCCAACCCTTGTTACTTACTCATCTACCCTTGACGATTATTAACACTTAGGGCACACCTGTACGCGGTGGATTGACGTTCCGTGAAGGCCATTACATCTGTGAAGCCCTCGCAGAATCCGGATTGCTGGTTTCGGCCGACATTGTCGAGGTGAACCCTGACTTGGAAGATGAAAATGCTGCATTTCAGACCATTCAAGTGGGCTGCTCTCTTGCTCGCTGTTGCTTAGGCGAAGCATTGTTATAGTAGCGACAACAGAAGCCTATTCTTTCATGCATCCCTCCCCTCCACCGTCTCTTTCTCTCCAGTTCAAGCATACATTACCTACATTCTACTATCATCCTTTGTTTTCTAATCTATCGTCTGTAGGTAGTTATAACTACATATTGTGTGTATAGATAGCCACCGCCCCGTGTTTTCTTTTTCTCTTACAATACCACCGTATAAATATGCGTTTTCAGTTACTGCTTAGTGCGCATTGACGTTGCACAGCATTTTGCTTGGGGCTGTCTGTCCGAATTGAGCTCGCTTTGTATTATGTGCACAATTGCACATGTTTAAAACTATCGTGTCTGGTTGCGTGACTAAAATTGCTCTCGGTATATTGCTAGCCTGCTGCTCTTCATTGTACTATTATAAGCCAACGTGCCATTCCCAAACTGCAAACTTGCACATCATACACCTTTGTGATACATAAAGTACACAGATCGATATCATTTTATGACATTAAGATATATATATATTACAAATATGATAGTGATGATGCTTCTAAAAGCCACCACAACCCGAGAATCGGGGTACTATAGCTTTGCAGCAGGCAAAGCGACCTGCTCAGTCCAACTATACGAGTCCTTGGACAACGCATCCATCTGGAGAAGCTTTCCTGCAGCCTCCCAATTGTTCTTGCGCCGCTCTTCAATGCCCGCAGCCTCCAGATCATGTCCGCAGAGTTCAAACACTTGGGCCGGAGGCACGGTTTTTCCAGATGTCTTTTTGAACACCAGCTTGCTTACAGCATAGCATGCAATATCGCCGTTTGGCAGGACGAATCGGTGCTGCAGCCACATCCACTTTTCGTTCCACGTCCAAATGCGTGTCTGGATAGTGTAGTTGCTCAAAGGTGGGATCTCCTTTTTGAACACGCACATCACGCCTGCGTTGTGACAAAACAAGTGATGATGCGGCTCCATCATGACACGTGGAAGGACGGTGTAGAGGATATGGATCCGTCCAAAGTCGAGATTCTTGTTGTACATGCTGACAGATGCAAAATGTTTTGTGTTTTAATTTCCTCACGCTTCCCTTGAAAGCGTATCATTATTCTGCTATAATACCTATTGTTCTAAACCACAAAGGTTATAAGTATTCGATGGACTTTAGCTGAGTGATCAACGTGAATAAGGGTAGTCATGTACCATGTGTTGGTTGTAATCGATATCGTCGTACAGGCATCGATGTTCTTCGGAAACGACAGTGAAAAGGGCTATGTATAAAACAGTGTGTAGTCTCAGTTGTAAATGCGATATAATTCCTGAGATTCACGTTTGACGTTTACGTTCAGGCTTTAGCTTGTTGGCTTTGGCACGCTTAATGACAGTACGCAATAGCCACCATGAGCGAAAGGTGTATGCTAAAGGCAGTGATTTAATATGAGTCAATAGCAGTAAAAGCGCTGGCACGCCAATGGCGGCTGAGGCTGTGGTCGCAGTAGACGGCATTCGGGTGGGTGAAATGAGTGAGAGGAAGGAAGGGGAAGGAAAGAGTTGGAGGGAAAGAATATCAGGATAAAATTCTCGTGTGCCAGCGAAAACAAATGCACATGAAAAGCTATGAGACGGGTCAAGTCACCACCACCTAGAAAAGCAGTTTGTTGCCGCGCTCCGAGCTCATACGGAATGATGACATGCTGGTGGGTGCAGCGGAATTTGATCTTAAGAACCGTCGCATCGCTGCAGACAGCCGACTCGTCCTTTTCCAACAGGAACTTCTCTTACTCGTTTTCTCCTCTTCTTTTTTTTCCCGTCTTCTTTTTTCCAACTTCCTCTCTACACGTTTTCTCATGGCCAAGGTTTTTAATGAGAACGAAGCATTCGAACTGCACAAGGCTGCAGTGATGCGCGATTTCGTCGCAAAGCCGAGACTTGGTGAGATGGCATGCCTTGCACGTTGGGCACATTCTGAAACAAATATGATATGAGATGGACACTTGACTCAAAAATTTAAAAAAAAAACTTGTGTAGATTACCGTACTGTCACTGGTGTCAACGGTCCTCTTGTTATTCTCGACAATGTCAAGGTACATGTGTCTTCTTTTTTACTCTCGTTGTTGATTATGCTCTAGGTGGCAATGGCGTCCCTCTTTTTTTTTGGCGTTTCAGCTTTTCGGAGAGAGGGGAAAGGAAGGAGTGAGAGAGGGCGTTTTGACACGCTTCCGGGGAAACGAGATAGCTATTCCGGAAACACGCATCCCCTTTCCACCCCCCCCCGTTTACTAAGTCCTATTCCATTTGCCCTTTGCACAGTTTCCCAAGTATTCTGAAATCGTAGACCTGACGCTTCCTGACGGCAGTGTCCGTGCAGGTCAGGTTTTGGAAGTCCAAGGAAAGAAGGCCGTTGTCCAGGTAAAGCGAAAAGGCTGGTTGCGTGGAGTTACCAGGAAAATGCATGTCCTTTTAACAATGACGATGATGATGCTCTAGGTTTTCGAAGGCACTTCGGGTATCGATGCAAAGGCAACACACATCTCGTTCACCGGCAACACGCAACAGATCCCTGTCTCTGAAGACATGTTGGGTCGTGTCTTTAACGGTTCCGGCAAGCCCATCGATAAGGGTCCCAAAATTTTTGCAGAAGACTACCTTGACGTGAACGGTAAACTGGACGTCCTAGAGAGAAAAGACAGAGAATGTGGATAGAAGGATTCAGTAAGAAGATACTTATGCGTTAATCTTACAGGTTCCCCCATCAACCCCTTCTCGCGTGTTTATCCCGAAGAAATGATCCAGACTGGCATTTCCGCTATTGATACCATGAACTCCATTGCCCGTGGACAAAAGATTCCTATTTTCTCTGCTGCTGGTCTTCCACACAACGAAATTGCTGCCCAGATCTGTCGACAGGCCGGTTTGGTCAAGCCTACCAAGGATGTCCACGACGGTCACGCAGACAATTTCTCCATTGTCTTTGGTGCCATGGGTGTCAACATGGAAACTGCACGATTCTTCAAGCAAGACTTTGAGGAGAATGGCTCCATGGAGCGCGTCACTCTTTTCTTGAACTTGGCTAACGACCCTACGTAAGGCATATCTCTGTGTTTGTATGAAAAAAAAAACCATGCCTTTTATCTTAACACAATTCTTTGTGTCAACTAGTATCGAACGTATCATTACGCCTCGTCTTGCCTTGACCACTGCCGAATACTACGCTTATCAGCTCGAGAAGCACGTATTGGTCATCTTGACTGATATGAGTTCATACGCCGATGCTTTGCGTGAAGTGTCTGCTGCCCGTGAAGAAGTGCCAGGTCGTCGTGGTTACCCCGGTTACATGTATACTGATTTGTCCACCATCTATGAGCGTGCCGGTCGTGTCGATGGCCGTAACGGTTCCATTACCCAGATTCCCATCTTGACCATGCCTAACGATGGTAAAACATCATAGCCCAACTCTACTCAAGATTCTATTTTCTGACCTGGTATTCGTCTTCTCTAGATATCACCCATCCTATTCCCGATTTGACGGGTTACATCACTGAGGGTCAGATCTTTGTCGATCGTCAGCTTCACAATCGTCAGATCTACCCACCTATCAACGTCCTGCCATCTCTTTCCCGTCTTATGAAGTCGGCCATTGGTGAGGGCATGACAAGAAAGGATCACGGTGATGTGTCCAATCAGCTGGTAAAGTGTTATTGAAAGCAGCGTACTTGGGGTCATGCGCATATTTATGGTTTTCTCACATGACATGTATATCGTATAGTACGCCAAATATGCCATCGGTCGTGATGCCGCTGCCATGAAGGCTGTCGTTGGTGAAGAAGCCCTCAGCCAGGAAGATAAGCTGTCGCTTGAATTTTTGGAGAAGTTTGAAAAGACGTTCATTGCCCAAGGTAAAGATTACTTGCAATATTAGATCTGCTGGGAAAGTAAAAGACTTGTTGAACTGACTAAACATATCGTTGTTACTGCATTCAGGTGCCTATGAAGCAAGAACTATTTACGATTCGTTGGACCTTGCCTGGTCGCTCTTGCGTATCTTCCCCAAGGAGTTGCTCAACCGTATCCCACAAAAGGTGCTTGCCGAATACTACCAGCGCGATCGCAAGGGCAAGCGATCCAAGGGTGTGTTCGACACGACTGAGGATAACGAGTAAAAAAAACACTACAACCAACAAATTGTAACAATTTCTGTATAAAAAGGAAGGATTCTTTTTTTTTGTTTTTAATGTTTGAATGGCCAAATGATATATGCTACAAATAAGAGGAAAATGATTACTACACTACTACAATTACAAAGTCCATTCGCATGACTCTGGCTTCTCGAAAGCCATAGCTGGCTCTCGTTTCCGTTTGCGTTCAATCTCGGTTTTGAAAAACTAGAGAAAATGACAGAAATTGTCTTAGTATACACATGTGTTTGATTAAAGATGACTGTCGAAAAAATGCAGACATTACCGTTGAATACGTATGATCCATAAAATCTTCTAGGTTATACTTTGGTTTTAAGAACTTTTCAGAGAAAATCTTGGCGAGTGTAGAGACATTGGCGTAGTAGTGTTCGGACAGAGTCTGTATTTCCCAGAGGGATGATTCTAAGGCCTTGGTCTCGTATGGATTCTTTTGGTTGAAATCATATGGGTCTTCTGCTTCACCGCCAGCATCGTTCTTGTGGATCAGCTTCATACAGATAGGATGGCGACGCAGGAGATTGTAAATGAAGGGGATGATGATGACACTTGCTGCTGGTGGAGCGGTGAGCGAGAGACGAGCAAGACGCTTGATGAATGCTGCAATCATGTTTGCAGGTAGTAATCTGATCACATAACGGCTGTCAGATCCAAAACAGTTCCAAGACACTCTCCTATATTCAGTCGACTTACGTAGATGACAAAAAGATATCAAGTAACCGGAAGAATCTTGACCGGTACTTTACGTGCATGACATCGCGGTCCAAGAGTGTATATAATTTGGGATAGAAATCAGGATAGTCCCTACGTATAACGATCGTTGTCAGTCTTCCAAAGTTCATTCATGTAATTCCATGTAATTACAATAGCGGCTTACAGGTTGTATTCGGTGATGAGAACGAAAAGACCATTGAGAGCCAACAAGCTAACAGATCCGCCTGGATATCAGTGTATACATTAGTTCATATGTCATATGAAACAAATCAAACGTTATTATCCGCTTAAGCACTTACCAACATTGTACGAGTCCGTCAAGAAGTCCATTAGGAACCGTGGCTCTCTCAAATGTGGCAGAATCCGTTTGTGCAAGAACAAAAGTGTCTTTTTGTATATTTCCTCAGTCAACGGCAGCTTCAGCAGCGCAATCCAGCAGGACTGAAATGCACGTCTGTGATGATCGAGCTGAAGCACCGGTGACTTTTTCTTGTCCTTCTTCTTGGATGTCTTTTCCGTAGACTCCTCCTCTTCTTCATCCGACACCAGACCAGAGTCACCCAGCAATAAAGCATCTTCATCGTCGTCATCACCGCCACTTCTCTTCTTCTTTGCAGCAATAGCAGCCTTCAGATCAGCGGTCTCGATATAGAACTCGTCAACCTCGGATTGTTCCGTTGGCATGGAATGAATGTCTTGGACAATACTAAACACATTCTGTGCCAAACGTCTCAAATCGGCTGGCGACTTGGTCTTCTCGAGTGCCTTGGTCATGGTATCGGCAGCATGTCGATAAAAGTGATACCGCAGATCATCATAGGCGTTGGCATACTTTTCCACGAATTCCTTGTGTAACGGCGTGCTCAAGTTTTTGTTCCACACCATAGCATAGACAATGGGGTGAAGTTGATCGTTTGCGACCTTGTTGTTGTATTCACTCTGTGTCTTTACCAACGTCATGAGGATCTTGAGTGCAGGCACTTGAAGGCCCGGTTCGTCGTCGGATAAAAGCTGCCGTAACCGCTTGAGGTAGTTGGTGAACTGGGTTGACAACCACAAGGTGACCTTGCCGGTGGCTGACGAAGGATCGCTTGGCGGATCGAGATCGCCGTTCGTTAAAAACCGAGAAAAAACACGATGAAGCGCGTGGATAGCAGCATGAACGACTTGTGCATTGTTGCTGTTGTTGTTTACAATGTCAAGGAGCTGAACAACGTTGTTGAGATTTGACTTGTCAGACAAACTGGCTTCGAGTGATCTGATCTTTTGTCGAGTTTCTTTGAAATTGGCAACGCCCTAAAAATATGTTGATAACCATTGCAAAAAGAAATTAGAATTTCCGTTTGAGATGTTATATCACAAGGAAAGTCATTCTCTCTTATATTACCGATCCGGTGGTCGTTTTTCTCTTTTTAGCTGGTTGAGGCATTTGGTTATGCTTTTTGTTGTCAGGTTTGAAGAGAACGAATAATCGAAAAAAAAATATACATAAAAACAGGCTCAAACCCCGCAAACACAATCAAAATTTTATGCCACGCTTAAAGAGCATTACATTGTAAGGTACGTCAAATACTACTGAAATAGCCACTACTATTACACTAACAGTTGATTCAATTTTGATGGCATAAAAGTTAAATCATCCAGGAATATTTATGCCTTTCTAATCGTATCATCACATCTAATAACATCCTCGACCGTTTGCTTTCGACTTCGACTTAGTATCGTTAGGTCCATTGTATGTTCGAGCCATCTGTTACCTTTATATGTGAAATACGTAGACGTCGTATTTGAACCGCTGTTTTATATTACATCTTTGTAGGAAGAAGACCTGTAATCGAATCTGTGTCCTTCTTTATTACGGAAACATTACTTGATCACCATGACAGAAGGACAGCAAAGATTAGCAATTGAGATAGGTTTTTACACATGTGGATGAATGTTTTATGAAGAGATGTATCACGGTCTAAGAAGAAATGGCAAATTAAAGTACAAAAAAGAAAGAGGTAGAAGGAAAGCAAGGGATGGAGGAAAGAGAGAAATGGAGGGATTATTAAGCTGCAAGCCATTTGTTCATGCAAGAAAAGATTGTGAAATCTAGTGGTTATATCTTTATCAGTGTCCTATTCCATCGAAAGCATCCATTTAAACAATAGCTTACCAAAGTTATCATCAACATTGCAATGGCATTTCTTTTGTACGTTGCGATCGAGGGGGCAGTGCATGAACGGATCGTGGCGATAACCGATATCGTCAAAGAAATGGACTTCAGCCTTGTTCAGGAACATGGCTACAGCGATCGAGTGAACCGGTGCATCTCCCCATCTAGATAAGAGCCGCTTTAGTAAGCGATGCACCACCAACATCTCAGCCTATGTTGTAGAAACAAACCTTTCATAAAAGAAGCCTCCAGCCTTGTCGAGGTAGTCAAAGTAAGCAGAATACTCAGGGCCTCGCAGAAAGTTGAGATCGCCAATTTCAAAGTTGCTCCAGAAATGGCACAGATTGTACGTCTCTCCACCGTTTTCAGAAACGAACCGAAGCAAATTGTTTTTGGGTATGAGATCGGCATGCTCCTTCATGAAAGCTTTGGTCGTATCCCACAAGGTCGGAATTGTGCTTGCATATTCGAGAAGAGAAATGGTCCAGCCTGTTTGTAATTGCAGCCCCACTTGAGTCGATGCTTTCATATATCCCATTTACTGCCTCTTGTGCCATCTGCTTACCATATTTTTTGTTGTTCTCTTGCATATATATAAAGGGGTCATAGTCAATGTCGCAGTAAAACTCGACACTGGGCTCAACACGCCTAAGTGGTAGCAAATTGAGTGAGCTGTGGTTTTTATAAATCATCCATGCATCCGATCGAGAAAGTTACCAGTAGTAATCGTATTGCTGCATCAATGGATGACGGTAAAAGAAACCGCTTTCGAATCTATTAAAGAGGTACCTAATTTAGGTTCCACTTTCTCTCGTGCGAAATATACACACTTGCCTGCACATGTGTCGGTAGGACAAGTTGTCACCGTAAATGATACCCTCTTCACCCATACGACGTCGTGCCTCATCTGCCTTTTTCACATCAATCCAATCCGGATAACTCCAGTGCTCTCTCGGAATGACGCCTTTTATTGGTAGTAGTATCAGTATCTTTGTCGTCCTACTCTATGAATAACAGCAAAAGGCATCCATACCGTATTGCGTCTTTGCAGACGTAAGACCTGCTGTCAATTCACGGAACTCCAACGTAAACTCCTCGTCGTTCAAGAAAACATAGGGGTAGTTGAACTTTTTGTTGAATCGTTCCTCAAGTTGCTGCATTGTCTTGCGCAGGGCGTCAAGTTCCGAATTTCGAGTCAAAATAACAAAGGCAGCGTTGGCACGAGTGCCGTTCTCCCATGGCCGGAGATTCTCGTCTTGATGTTCGAGATCGAAAATGACTCGTTGTGCATTATCCGAATTGCGGAAACTGATTGTGGCATCCTCGGCTGTTCCATTTTCCGCATTCAGGTATCGTAAGGGTGAAAAGTATAGGCACAGTAATAAGAAAAGGAACGCGAGGGTCAGAAATACAGGCTTACGCTGTGTTGACGAGATGACCAACATTGCCTGGATAGCCTTTGAAAATGAAAGTCGACTGTAAAAAAAAAAGGAAAGCAGGAGAAAGGAAAATTGTCTAAAAAAAGACAACGGTCGATCAATGTGGTGATAGTATTGATTCCCGAAAATAATATTCTGCGTCGATCGTTGCACAAGTGACCTTTAACGTTTGTGCCAATAAACAAAAACCCTCAATGATGATTCTTTCTTTTTTTAAAAGACAAAAAAACACATGTTTCTTCTTTTTTTTATTACTCTACAGTAGAGATTTTTAATTTGTTTTTGAGCCTTGGGCAGTAGGGTCTTGACTAGGATAGCTTGAGGAAGTCGAGCCACTGATGGATGGCGGTGCGGGTGGTTGCATGGTAGCGAGATTTGCGGAAGCTATGTTCAGATACAAATTTCTATGAGCATGGCACGTTTCGTCTCTTCTTTAAGTTGGTTAGTTTGCAATGTGAACCACTCACATGGCTTGTTTGTATCAGACTTGGGCCCCTTGGGTCGCGCTTTGCCCCAAGCGACTCGCAGAGGACGGTTCTTTATGTTGAGCCCGGTGTCACCTACCCTTTGTGCCGCAAGCTCGGCAGCAGATCGTGTAGCAAAGTTAATAAAGGCACATTTTGACCGATGGACTACAACCACCGACTTAATCTGACCGAATACACAAAAGTATTGTCTAGAAAGAACAACAAAAAATCAATATGCATACAGATAAACAAACGTTTTCAATGTTTCCCCTTTGTTTCCTCTTCGGTCCTACCTAAAATCGTTCTCTGTAATTTCTTCGTCAACTCCAGTCACAAACAACGATGCCTATTATCAACAAGAACAACAATTATTGTTATAATTAAGTATAACAACCTCGTATCAAAAAGTTTCCCCTTATGTTTACATACAATCGATTTATCTTCAGGAGGGTTCAGAGAAGAGCCAGTGGATCGCACTCGACTCAGCATCTTGTTTGCGACAGGATCGTTGTTGCCATAGTAACGGTCTTTGATGTTTTGTTGTGCAAGCTCAGAATCACCACCAGGCAACTCGTGTCTATAGGAACCGGTAAAATAAGTTCAGTTCATTTCGTCCTATACCATTTTATATTCACGCATTCTCTTAAAATCCTTCTCCATCTCCTCTCGATTCTATTTACCTGTAAGGACATTCCACGCCACGCGTACATTCGCCCTTGACAAAGAATGAACAAATGTGTGGTCGATTGCGTTTGTAATATGGCTCGTTTCGAGCTAATCGTCGTAGCATGTCCCGGTTTTCAGGTGATGCCTTTGCAGGGTCATAGTTACTTGTACTGATATCCTAGTAGCAAATTGCAAGTTAGTAACCACGTGTTGTCATAGCAATCCCCTTGCCAGCCTCTCTCTATGTCTATCTATGTCTCATATACCTTGCCAGCAATGTTTTGTGCAAAATACTGCCTATTCACATCACTGTTTGGTGCTTCCGATTCTACGTTCAATGCCTGATCTCTGACTTGCACGGGGAGACCTATTTACATTGGACATGATTTCACGTGTGTCAAAAGAGAAAAACCTCCCAAGAAAGGATCTTTGCTTCCCGAAAACCAACAAAGAAAAAGTATAAAAAGCACGTACCATACTGCAAGTCCAACACGCACGTTTGGCATACGTTTTTGAGTTTCGCACAGGTTAGACAGATTTCAGTCTTTTTGTATCGCATGTTGGTGCCCGGTAACCATCGGAACACTGTAAATGGTCTCGAGCAAATCTATGAAACAGCCGCGAAGCGTTTAGACGAAACGTGGAACATGACTGCATCAATCTATCTATCAAAAGTAACTTTACCTTGCATTCTTTTCCGTACGAATCTCTGGTCTATAACAAGCGAGCAGATTAACAATGACGTACGCAATTCATCGCACAAAAAAAGTTATAAAAGGGCAGATCGCTTACCATCCGAACATAGGGATTGTCTCCCAAGCAGGTTTCGCAAACAACTGGAAATTCCTGAATTTCAAAATAAGAACATTATTTATAATCTTACAATGCACAACTTACAGAATCTTCCCACTGCTGCTTGTTCGGATCCGCTTTCTGGTTACTCATTGCTCAATGGATCGATTCGATAAAGTAACGGAGCAGCAAAAGGTCAGCGCAACTCAAATTGTCAGCAGAAAGTAGGCGATTTCTGTCAACCAATCAACGCCAATCAAAGTCACGGACACGCGAACTGTTTTTTTTCGCGTTTCGAAAAAGTACCTGTTTTCTTGTTCGCTCCTTTTTCTGGACTATTAAACACTCTTTTGACAAAATACAATGTCAAATAATCAACCTTCGACCCCCATGGAGTACGCTCCTGACACACCACTCAACATGAGAACACCGCGTGCTGCTCAGGAAATGTCGTCGTCTCTGGCCCCATCGTCGCCGGCACCTTTGTATTCGTCCGCCGGTGGTGCTCCAGCATCGCCTTCTCGCAACCCTCGCACCCGTCGATCTGAATTCTCTTCTACACTTTTGGGCGATGATATTGGATCCCCACTTGCTTATCCTGGCACACCCTTGCGTAGCGGCATTACCAACTATGACTCACCACGTACACCCAGGGCCAGTTCGTTTGTCAGAACACCCTTTTACAACAGTCAGGCTGCCGGAAGCCCATTGACGCCAGGTTACATTTCGCGCAACACCGTGTCGTCTTTGGGTGTCGGTAACAACACAGCACCTGCCGACACTCAGGATACGGACCCTTCATTGGCTGTCCGTCTCATTTGGGGTACCACCGTCAATATTCATGAGGTCATGACTTCGTTCCGTGGATTCTTGAACCACTTTAAGGTCGCTGATCGAAAGATCAAATACAACCAAGCTATCACCGCCGACGACAACGAACCCTTTTATCCTCGATTGCTTCGCAAGGTACGCAAGCAAAAAAAAAAAAAGCTAAAGAAATGGTTTGAATTGAGGTTCAAGATGTGTTTGTATGGTGGTTGATTAATATTATTTTTGTGGTTTAGATTCACGACAATCGCAGTGACTCTATCAATTTGGATTGCCGTAACTTGTTGGCGTACCGTGGCACGCACAAATTGTACGACCAGCTTGTCAAGTATCCTCAGGAGGTCATTCCTCTGATGGATCACACCATCAAGGCATACTACCTCGAGCTTTATCCTGATACGGATGAGACGGTGGAACAGATCAAGGTAAAGGGGGAAATACTCTAGTTGATAAGTTTGGGTGGGGCTGACAAATGGATATATCATAATTAGATCCGTCCCTTCAACTTGGAATCGTCGGTCAACATGCGCGAGCTTGATCCTCAAAGTAAGAAACCCTCTTTTGTGAGGAAGGAATGGAATATTGATTTGGGTTACTATTTTGATAGATGTCGATCAGCTGGTTACAATCAAGGGTTTGATGATCCGCTCTTCACCAATCATCCCTGACATGAAAGAGGGTAAATTTGATAAGCATTACGGGATGACATTAGGCATCATGGTTTTATTAACAGGGATCGGGGTGTTTGTGTGTAGCTTTCTTCCGTTGTTTGTCGTGCGAGCAAACCATGACTGTCCAAGTGGATCGTGGAAGAATCATGGAGCCCACTCGATGCCCTCGTGAGAGCTGTGCCTCTGAAAACACAATGTCGCTTGTACACAATCGCTGTGTCTTTGCAGACAAGCAAGTTTGCCGTTTGCAGGAAACACCAGGTAACGTTGCATAGGTTAAAAGAGGGGGAAACATGCAACTGTTGCTTACAGGTAAAGCGCTCTTTTTTAGACGTTGTACCTGATGGTCAAACACCTCAGACTGTGTCTCTGTGTATGTATGACGAACTTGTGGATGTGTCCAAGCCTGGTGATCGGTAAGCAATGCACAAAATGGACAGGAATGCGCCATGACGACATTATATTGATAAACCCTTCTTTTTTAGTCTGGAAATCACGGGTGTGTTCCGAAGTGTTCCCGTCCGAGTAAACCCTCGTCAGCGAACAATCCGAGCTCTCTTCAGAACCTATCTGGATGTTGTACATGTCAAGCGCACGGATGGCAAGCGCTTACAATTAGACAGAGCACTTCGCACGGAGCTGGGTCCTGAAGTGTAAGTGCTGTCAAGTTGAGCAGAGTCGAATTGTACATAAGCTAACATAAATGCTTGAAACCCCAGGTATGACGAGACTGATGAAATCGAAACTGTAAACGTGAATGACGAGCAAGATATACTGGAAATTGCGAGCAGCCCTACTTTATACGACAGATTATCACGATCGCTTGGTATGTTTGTTTCCGCAAAACGGTCTTCAGTAACTCATGGAGACTGACCTATATTACCATAGCACCCAGTATCTATGAGCTCGAGGATGTGAAGAAGGGTGTGCTTTTGCAACTTTTTGGTGGTACACAAAAGGTTTTCCAACGTTCTGGATCGCCCCGGTTTAGGTAACACTATAAAAACGGATCACATGCGCAGCAAAATTTATGGGAGACTAACGGGATCGGGAATCCTAAATGATCATCCAGAGGCGAAATCAACGTTCTTCTGGTCGGTGATCCAGGCACAAGTAAATCACAGCTGCTTCAATACGTTCACAAAATTTCACCACGTGGCGTGTATACTTCTGGCAAAGGTTCTTCGGCCGTCGGTCTCACAGCATACATCACCCGCGATCCTGACACGCGGCAATTGGTGCTAGAAAGGTATGCACACGGAAGGGCCCAAGTCTTTGGGACAGTGACCCGGGTAAACAGATAAGCGCCCAGCATGTGGCTAACATAATTTCTGTAGCGGTGCGCTGGTGTTGAGTGACGGAGGTGTGTGCTGCATTGATGAGTTTGATAAAATGTCGGATGCAACGCGATCCGTGTTACACGAAGTGATGGTAAGCTGAGAAGAACAGATTGCGGGGCGGGGATGAGACTGGCAAAGGGTTATCCAGAAAAGATAAAACTGACAGAAAAGGACAAAAGGAACAACAAACGATTTCGGTGGCCAAAGCTGGTATCATCACGACCCTTAACGCACGAACCTCCATTTGCGCCTGTGCAAATCCCACTGGATCACGATGGAACCCATCACTTTCTGTGCCGCAAAACGTGAATCTCCCACCTCCGCTTTTGTCGAGGTAAGCAAGTGTAAAACATAACACCGCTGGCGTTGTGCTTTCCTGTCAGCAGTCTCTCTTCTGTTAAGCTGACGAACGGCACTCTTTGTGTCCTTGTCGTTGCGTAGATTTGATTTGCTCTATCTCATACTGGACCGTGTGGATGAGGATGCCGACAGAGAGCTGGCTCGCCATTTGGTCTCGCTCTACATGGAAGATCAGCTGGAAACTGCAGGCGTTGATATATTGGTAAGATAAGATGAAACGTTTTTGCAGGATACATGGTGATTAGGAGGGTAATGCAGCAGTAACTAAACCCTAAGCAATAATCGCGCTGCTGCTACCTGTGTCTTTTGCAGTCGGTGGAGCGGTTAACAAAGTACATCAGCTACGCCAAAGAAAAGATTCATCCAATCCTGAGCGAAGATGCTGGACGACGCCTTGTTGACCTGTACGTCGAGCTGCGTAAACAAGGTCAAGACCGTAACGAAAGGCGTGTGACGGCAACTACTCGGCAGCTTGAATCCATGATTCGCATGTCGGAAGCACATGCACGCATGCGGTAAGATTGCATTTCTCCCTCCCTGTGGCTGTGCCCAAACACTTTTTTTTTTCTTTCCGGGAGGGTGAGGGTGAGGCAAACGAGATGACCTAATAAATAAATGCTATTTTATAATTGTTTTCTTCGCCTTAGGCTTTCCGATACGGTCGAAGTTTCCGATGTGGAAGAGGCGTCGCGCTTGCTTCGTTCAGCCATCAAAGACTATGCAACCGATCCAAAGACAGGTCGAATTGACATGGACCTTATTCTGATGGGCACCGGCTCTCACGAACGTCACTTGCAAGATGATCTTGAGCGCGAATTGCACAATCTTATCAACAGTCAAGAGCAAGCACAAACCGAATGGTCTAAGCTCCTTGCAGCCTTCAATGCTCAAAGCTCAGTGGTGAGTTCCATCTACATAATCTCTGTGCATCAATAATATGCATACCAACAACAAATAACAATAACTGACTGTCTTTCTATCTTACTAGACGATTGAGAACCGTCAGTTCGACGAAGCGGTACGATCACTAGAACAGCAAGGCTATGTGCGGATAACAGGCGAAGGCCGTAGACGGATGGTTAGACGCACTGGAACGCAGAACGAGGAGTTGTAATACGCTGTATTAGTTATTTGTTAATCCATCTTTCTATCTCTTGTTTTATTTTAATGACGAAATGCCCGCTTTCTGAAATAAGACTCTGCCATGTGATGTGTAAAATTACCCGAACGCCCTTCTCTTGTGCATGGAGAGGTGGGGGAAAGCGAATTAGGAAACTTGGTGATAAGGATAACAGCAAGCGGGAATTTAGGGTTTTTTGCCGTTTTGTAGTCATCCCAACCGACCAATAATCCACTTGTTGGTCTTCATACTGGCGCCCCACCCCGCACGTATCTTATGGTAAAAACCAATCGCCACGATCGCTAATAAGCAACAAGATCAAACCCCCAATGCCCGACATCTCTACCACAGGGACGTATCACACGCAGACTCGGAGCGGTAAACAATTGATCAGGAAGAGAGAGTGAGTAAGAAAGCAGAACACGATGCACTCCATGAAGCCTGACAGCAAATCATATCTCTTGCCACGGCTTGTGTTACAAGAGATAAAGAGTTTCTTACGCACTTGCCATATTTGGATACAGGATAGATAAGAAAAACAGGTAACCACAGCAACAGAGTAGGGTTTGGGGGAGAGAAGTGCTCTCTCTTATAACCTTTGGATGGGGGGAGGGGGGAGGGTAATCAATAGAGTGAGCTTGGCCTTGGTTACTATGGTCATTGTGTGCGATCGCCCTTGCCCATCTACCACCCAGACATTCATCCACATTCCCCAGATAAGATAAAATAACAAGCATAGACAAGACAACCTTCTTTTGTTTTCGAATAAACAAACAACAGCCCTTTCCTCAAGGCAAGCCCGTTTTGTTGTCCGATGACGCACAACACGTAGCAGCAACAGCAGCAGCAGTAGAGGGTGTTCCAGTAGTCAAGCAGAAGTGCGAGCGAGGGATCGGAGACGATCGGGTTCGGTCATCTCCTCTCTTTCTACAACTAACAAAACAAAGCGGTAGGACCCAAAACCGAAACGAAAAAGCGTGTCATGAAAACATATGCATCGCCCAAACATGCGATGTCACAGAAGGAGCTCACTACCATACATCTGTGTCTCTCTTACCCCCACACTTCTTCCACAGCAGCACATTTGCCCGCCGTGTATGTGATATATACAGAGGGCAGCCGTAGTAAGCGATAGTCCCTCATCATTTGTTCATCCTAATCCTTATCACCGAATTTCCCTTTCCGGCAGCGAGTGTCTGGTTGTGCTCGGGTGTCCCAGCCTTGTGTGTCACATGGAATTGGCTTCAAAAGAAATTGGTCGGCAGTTCAATCTAGACGATCTCCCAAAGCAATACTTTTTTATGTAGTCTTTTATAATAAAAGCCCTACCCGAACCTGCAAAGGCAAGGCCTTTTCCCTCCTCTTCCTCCTACCCCCCTCCAAACGCGCTTCTTCCTACTTTCTTCTCTTTAGTACACGTTTGCATCTCATATTCCATATACCTCTTTTGTCTCGCTTAATCACATTTTTATCATACACTCAAAAGATGCCCAAAAAGGACCTTTCCACTGTTGCTGACCAGGTGTTGAGCGACTCGCTCTTTGACACAGCCAATGAGCCCGAAGAGCCGTCATCAAAAGGGGATCCGCTCTCGAGTCAGGTCTGGCGAATGTACACGAAGGCCAAAGACACCCTACCGAACGGCTCTCGGCTCGAGAACTTAACTTGGCGCATGATGGCCATGACTCTCAACAAAACGAAAAAGGAAGAGGACGAGAGCAAGGAGCCAGAGCAAAAGGAGTCCACAGACCCAATACCCATACGGCCGAGCGTCTCTACCACACCGCCACCCCCCGATGATACCGTAGGCATGCTCTCATCTTCTGCTCCTCCGTACATGATGGATTTCCTGCGGGAAGAGCCGAACAACAACGTACTGGTTACAGGCAGTGCCAAGGCTGACAGTCTTTGCACGGTAAGGACAATATGAACGAGCTATACTGCTGATTATGCCGGGGTTGCACAAGACAAGGAAAGACTAAGTGTGTTTATTCCATATAGCCTGCAAAACGACGGGCTACAGGTCATCATCATCTGTCACCACAGCTACCATCCACCAGCAGCATCACTATTCCATCCTACAACTATGCACACGAAGACGAACCGCTTGGTCGTATGGCTCTAGATCACCGTCCACAACCTCCATTAGCAACCTCGCCCATCTACGAGAACAACCACTTTCCCGCTTCGCCGACAGAATACTCATCGTTCACACTGCAGCACCATCCTGGCATGTACTCACCACCAGGTTCGGCCCCTACCACACCTATGTCGGCTGACACTCAGGATCAGCTGCAGCAAAATCCAGGCAGTCTCAGTTTCGAAGAGCTACTTACTCTATTCTACAACAGCAGCATACACAGCCCACCATCACAGCAGCAGCAGCACCCTGTATCATATCAACATCCATTGTCGCAATCACCTCCAACTTCTTCCTCTAGTGTAATCTCATCAGCATCATCTACGATGCCACCACCATCGCCTGCTCCAGCACAGCAACGGTATATGGAAGCAACACCACCCAAAGAAGCGCCGTTACCTCCATCCACCTCAACACCTCTTCGCAAATCCGAAAGCAAAACAAAATGTACAAACTGTGGCACTACAACAACTCCATTATGGCGCCGCAACCCTGAGGGCCAGCCATTATGTAACGCGTGTGGCCTGTTCTTGAAGCTACATGGTGTTGTACGACCCCTTTCACTGAAAACAGATATCATCAAGAAGCGCAACCGTACTAGTACCAGTGCGGTCAATGGCGGGAGCGCTCATCATAAAAAGACATCTGTATCAACAGGAACAGTACCAGCAACAACAACTCCAACACCGACAATGGCAGAACATCGACGTAGCACCGGTACGCTTCACATTGCTCCCATTAAACGCCAACGGCGCGATCCATCACCTTCCTTACCATCACCTCTCCTTCCTCTTCAACAACAACAACAACAACAACATCAAGTACAACAACAGCCTGGTGCTACTCTCAATGCAAATAACGTGATTTCTGTATTAGAAGCTATTGGACTTCAATTAAACAGCTTGCCAGCCGAGGTTTTGCCTTTAATTGCATCTGCTGCAAATTATCATGCCGCTAACAAGCAGCGCCAGCAACAGCCCCAGCAGCAACTCCAGCATCAGCAACATCATCCTTCGTCACAACAACAACAACAACAACAACAACAAAACTATGAATTCCTGCAGCAGCAACAGCATCATCTTCATCATCACCATGGCATATTATATGACAACAGACCCTCACCCCCTTAAGATTTGATAAATAATCATAATAAATAGTGGGACTACCACGCGAGCATGTGTATATAATGATATGGTTTTTTTTGTATGTTTAAAGAAATATACAAGAAGTTTATTTTTTATGGTGGGAGAGTGAGTTGGGCTTCGATTCGCTGGACACGTGCCTGAGTTTGTTGCATAAGTTTGTTGGCCAGTGCCAGTCGTTTCCGGCTCTCTGTAAGCTTGCTCAGCGCTGGTTGCAACCGTGGTGGTTCAGCAATGTCTGTAAACAATTCTAGCTCTAAGTATATATATATCAAAAAGAAGGTGGAGTTACGCTCATGAGTCGTTTGGATTATTCAACCGAAAGCACACTTCCGTCGAGAAAACGCCCTTCCAACACGGCAAGTTTTGGTATACCAGCAACTAATCGTTCAATTTCCTTGCCCAATTCATCTTGGCTTTGTTGTGTAGCAGTGATCGCTTTGTCCATGTCGAGGACGACAGGAGCAAGCAAAGATGTAATGCCTTGTTCAGTACCACTAATGGTGCTCATTGGCTGTTTGTGTCTGTTTGAATTGTTTGGAAAAAGGGTAAAGCGTGGTGAGGTCACTCAAGAGCCAAATTAATGCTCTATTCAACGTTTAAACAGTGCTCTAATCAAAACGGATACACGGCACATTTCTCGCTAGCATAGAGTACATTACCCATAGATGGTCTATTATGGGTTGGGTACTTTATTTCAATCAAAAAGCAAAACAGTTATGTTATGCTGTCTTTTGCTGCAGTATAAAAAGCCTAGTATCTTAACGTAGCTAGTAGATGCTGAAATGTTTGCTGCTGCGCTGTCTGATAATCATCGACTAGAAGATCAAATAAACACCTTTCAGACAAACTAACTACAACTTGAGTAATGTAAACATCTATTACTACATGTTTGAAACCAGTGCTGCTTCCATTTTATGAACAAAGGATGTTTGCTTTGATTTTAGAAGAGTATAGTATATAGCTCACTTTGATGATAACTGGCTGCTGCTGGTGTTGTTTTACAATCGATAATGTGATGGTGTTATCGCGTCGCCTTGATGCACATATTCATTGTGCACGTTTTCAATGAGGTTGCCGCGGAGACTCCCTGTACTCTGAGGTTGTTACGGGTTAGATTTTTTTTTCTTTTTCAATTCTATGTGACGCTGAATTGATTCGCGAAAAAAAATAGCGTTGATGAGCCTAGTGTACCGCTGGTTTCCAGGCGCGTCAGCGTTTGCAACAAACTTTTTGAGTGCACTCAACCATTATTAAAACCCATATTTACTTTGGCAACCAAACGCCGTTTATTTGGAGACCGTCGAGGGACAACTAAATCGAATAGCTCGTCATCAATAGTAAGAGTTTCTAAGCACAAGCCCATATTGCTACATGTATGTTAAGAAGCTTCATGCACTGTGATACTGCGAGTGCTCTCTAATCAACCTCTCTTTGATGGAAACCGAGTATCATATCATTTGAAGGCACGGTTGCCAGGGAAACGCGCACAGGTCCGCTTAGCACTACTCGAAGTAGGCTGAGTGGCTTGTGAGAGATCGAGCTGTCTTTTTATTCAAATTTCCCCCCAACGTCCACTCCTACTATAGTTCGGTAATTGCGCCATGTCTAAACCAAGTTTCCAGCTTCCTAAGATCTACGCAGGCCAAGATGGCTGGGGTCCCACAAGCGACGTGGTTCCTCTTCAGCTTCGTGACATTCCTTATGCCCCTTACAGCAAGGGTGATAAGCTCGGCCGTGTTGCTGATTGGACGAACCCAGATGCACAAAAACAAGATAACCGCGAACAAACCGGTCGCACTGGACGCACTGGATTCAACCGCTTCAACAGAGGCAAGTCGTTTAAATGATACGATATTACTTTATTAATTTGAAGAATTTGAGATTATTATATTAACACGCACTTGAAATTTTTGAAAATGCATTTAGATCAACACCAGGCTTACGGTGCCTCATTTGCCTCGACCTTTGCTTACACTCATACCGAAGACGAATCGTCGTTCTCTGTTGTCGACAACCGATCGGCTGCAGCAAAGAAGATGGCTCTCAAAGCTGCTGGTGGTGGTCAGCGTGGACGTGCCCAGGGCAAGCAAGCTTCTACTGGCGCTCCTGGCTACCGTACTGTGAACCAGCGTGGCGGCGCTGGTGGCAGACAACAGCAGGGCAGAAGAAAGTATGGCTACAAGGACTATGACAAGGTAAAAGAAGAGAAAATATCAAGAAAAAGGACTGAGATACTTGATACATGCATATTGATGAGGACAAAAAACGAATCGCATGTGTATAGCCTCAGCGTGTGCGCAACGCCTCTATCAACATTGGCGCTGACTGGAAGATTTTGGATGAAATCGAATTCAGCCGATTGAGCAAGTTGACATTCGGTATTCCTGAAGCTGAAGACGTTGGCTCGTTCGGTTCAATCAGCTTTTACAACAAGGCATTTGACCGTGTCAACACCAAAAACGATAAACCTTTGCAACACATTGAGCGCGTCAAGTACGACACGACGACTTCTGAAGATCCCATCATCCAGCAATTCTTGCAGGATGACAAGGCCACTGTTTTCGCCACTGACGCTGTCTTGTCCTTGCTGATGTGCTCCACACGTACTGTCTACCCCTGGGACATTGTTGTCAAGAAGGTTGGCGGCAAGGTGATCTTGGATAAGCGACCCAACGGCGTCTTCGACTATGTCACTGTCAACGAAAACGCTGCCGACCCACCCGCTGAGAGCGATAAGGACACTGTCAACTCGTGGTCGGCGTTGAGCAACGAAGCCACGTACATCAACCAAAACTTTGCACGCCAGGTCCTGGACGCAAAGACCCAGCACAAATTCGCAAAACCCAACCCATTCGCATCCGAAGATACCAAGGACAAACTTGCCTCGTGTGGTTACCGTTACAGAAAGTTCGACTTGACCAGCAGTGCTGCTGAGGAAGATGCCGAACGAACTTATCTGATCGTTCGTACTGAAGTCGATGCTGCCATCAAGCTGGGTGGCCAGACCTCATTGATGACCGTCCGTGCTTTGAACGAATTTGATCCCAACGCACAAGGTTCTGGTAACTCGCTGCCATGGAAGAAGAGCTTGGACTCGCAGCGCGGTGCTGTTGTTGCTGCTGAAATGAAGAACAATGCCGCCAAGTTGGCTCGATGGGCCGTCCAGGCTATGCTTGCTGGTGCTGACCAGCTCAAGCTTGGTTATGTTGCTCGTCAGGATCCAAAGAACAACAACCGCCATGTTATCTTGGGCACTCAGGCATACAAGCCCAAGGACTTTGCTTCTCAGATGAACTTGTCTCTTAACAACGGTTGGGGTATTGTCAAGGCTGTGGCTGACATGTGTCTTCAGCTTGCTGAGGGTCAGTACATCCTGTTGAAGGATCCCAACCGACCGATTCTCCGCATCTACGCTGTTTCACAAGAGGATTTGGAGGAGAACGACGAATCTGAGGAGGAGGATGTACAGGAGGATGGCGAGAAGGAAAATTAATTCAACAACAAGAAATCAAAAAATTCTTTTTTTTAATATAAAAGTGTGTATGATACAAAAAGAATGGATGTGAGAGCATGCAGAGATAACTAGTTTATATAAAGGTCTTATACTTTGCCAGTCTGGCCTTCGGCAATAGTAATAGTAGTAGCAGTAGTGCGTGCTCGACGTACTTGAGACATAACTTCCATGTTGGATGGCTCAGTGGCTGCCAACAATCTTTGGAAGGCTTGGTTATTCTTGACCTGCTTGATGGCGTGCTCAAGTGCGCATTCCCACCGCATTCTTGCGTACGATACTGTGTGTTTGAACTCGTCGTCACTGTTTTTGCTCCAGAGAAAAGACAGCCGTGGTGGTAGGAGACGGATCAGGATTCCAGCAGGAATCGAAAGGGAACCGATAGCCACAGTGCAAATCCATTGGGTTATACTAAGTGGAACGGTCTTGAATGCTAGCCCGCCGTATTGGACAATCAATACTTGGCCAACGATGACGAAAGCTTGGATTGCAAGAAACAAGTAGTCGCGCATGATACCACGCATGATATTGAGCTTGTCATCAATCCTTCGGCAGTTGAGCTCGTTGAAGACTTGCATAAACACAAAAACATTGAACACCATCGTTCGCAACACACGCTTGTCGGCTGTGCTCGTCGACAGACCAAACAAAACTGGACCGTGGAACATGAGCAACAAGTTGACTGCGATCTGGAAAATAGCTTGGCCGAAAATCATTCTGCTCATACGCCAGTTGATCAAGCTGCTATCCTTGCACAACGGCTTGCGGTTGACGAGATCTTCTGTCAATGGTTCTGTAGCCAAGGCTAAGGCTGCAAAAGTGTCCATGATCATGTTGACCCACAGCAACTGAACTGCGCTCAGAATACTTTCGGATGTTTCAGAGACGACAGCACTGACAAAGGATACTACGACAGCCGCGATGTTGACTGTGAGCTGGAACGTCAAGAATTTGCGGACACCATCGTTGACAGCGCGACCCCATTTCAGTGCTTGCAGGATGGAGTTGAAGTTGTCGTCCATCAAAATAATATCGGAAGCTTCCTTGGCAACTTCAGTGCCCGTAATACCCATGGCAAATCCAACATTGGCCAATTTCAGTGCAGGTCCGTCATTGGTACCGTCACCGGTCATGGCTACCACTTCATTGAGTTGTTTGAGACGAGCCACGACAATGGTTTTGTCGATAGGTGAGGAGCGTGCAAGAACTTGAAGCCGTGGGATGATACGGAATTGCTCTTCTTCGCTAAGTGCCCGAAATTCTGGGCCTGTCATGGCAACCCCACCGGCTGTCATGATACCACTTTCCTTGGCGATGGCTTTGGCTGTTTCAATATTGTCACCGGTGATCTTAATAGTTCCTTTATTCTTCAGTGCCTAAACCTTAAATCCATGCAAAAGGAGATACCAACAGCAATAAAAACAGGTGACGGATCCTACCATGCGAATAAACACACCTGCGCGTCTGAAAGCCTGGACGGACTCGACGACGCCGGGCCGCAACCGATCCTGGATTCCAACGACGCCGAGGAGAATCAGATTTTCCAAGGGTGCATCATCCGGGTTGAAAGCTTGTGTGAAGCAGGTCTTTTTATAAATCAAGTGTGTATTATACTCATTATACGAGTTGTGAGAGGAAAGAAAGACTTACATCGGTATGTGGACTGGTCAATGTCCCGATACGCTAGCGCTAATGTACGTAGAGATCGTTCCGCATATTGGTTTATCAATACCTCATGATGACTCCGTGCATAGTTACTGAACGGCCGTACTCGTCCCCGATTATCCATAAAGTGTGTGCAATGTCTAAGGATTGTTTCAGCTGCACCCTTGGTATATTGTCGATATTCACCATGCCGGCCGGGTGATCGTGCGTTATTTTCCCGAATTTGAATGATCGTGGTCATGCTTTTAGCTTCTGAGCTAAAAGGGTGTACGGATACCACATTGCTGGACGATCGGATATGCTGATACGAAAAGCCAAGCTTTTGGGTAAATTCAATCATGGCGCATTCTGTTGTGGATCCAACAAACTTGAGGTTGCCATCGGGGCCTTTCCCCTCAAAGGCAGTCGAGTTGACGGCCATGGCTTCAACAGCAAGATCGAGTGCAAGTGGATGGACCTTGTATCGCCATTGGCCAATATCAGCCAACTGCGTGAATTGGATTTCGGCGATACCAGCGCTGACAATCGTCATCCTGTTCTCTGTCAGTGTACCTGTTTTGTCGGAGCAGACGGCTGTGGCATTGCCCATGGTCTCACTAAGTTAAAAAAGCATACCATTTTAATCTACTGGAGCCAGGGGTTTCAGCAATGTCTATACACAACGTAAAAAGTTTTTTAATCTTTGTACCACGCGGATAAATGGCGAACGAGGTTATTATCCTTGAGCATTTCTGTAGTAGCAAACGCCAATGCTAAAGTCACCGCCATCGGTAAGCCTTCAGGTACAGCAACAACAATGACAGTAATGGCCTGGATGATGATCCCGATCAGATCGGAAAAGAGTTCACGGGTCGAAATCCAATGATGATGTATTACGCTGACGACAAATAGCTTCAACAGCAGAACGCTATTAGACAACAATACATAAGTTCCCAAATTAGGCTAAATGGTTCATAAAAGGTTGTTGTATTAGACAATATTTACCCAAACATGAGACCTGCTGCAGCAAACCCAAACTTTGCGATCTGGTCCGCTAGTATGTTCAGTTTTAATTGCAATGGCGTATTTTCATCCTGCGCATCGCGCATCAGCTGTAGGGTTAAGAATAATACACGTGTGTTTTAGTTTCTTTGCTGCTTTTGTTGTTTTCTGCATCACGCATCATCAACTTACGGTCATGGCCCTGCCATAAAAGGAATTTACGCCGACAGCAATCACTACTACCTGCACTATAGTTGTTACCATCCTGCAATCCTATACCACTACTGGTACATACTAATGTATGGCCACTAGCTTACTTTTGCTACACCTTGGATGACTTTAGATCCGCTAAAGATGATGCAGTCGCCATGTTGATCGGTGTATTTCTTTACTGGTTTGGACTCGCCTGTAGCTGTGGATTCGTCGCATCTCAGATTATGGCTACACAAAAGCATACGTCAAACCATTGTGCAACGAGAACCCCGTTTTTTTGTTTATACGCCATGCACTTACCCTTCAATGTAAACACAGTCTACCGTGACCATGTCGCCTGGCTCTAAAAACATCACATCGCCCACGACCACTTGACGAATGTGTACTTGTTGCGCTATGCCTCCACGTAAAACCTGATATGTAAATAGTAATGGTTTAGGGGGAATGTTTCTTCTCGCTGTAGAGGATGGCGACTGACAAAACCGAAGAGGGTGTAATATACCTTGACGGGGCGATCTTCTTTTTTGGCATTCAGCTTGCGAAACTGTTTTTCCTTTTCATAGTCGTTGATAGCGTCTAATTTACCGAACCCAAAAATGAAGGCTTAGAGAGATTTTTCGATCGCCATCGTGCGAAAAAGCACATGCCACTTACTGGTTATCACAACAACTGCGACTGCTACAATAATCGCCACACCGTCGACCCTTTATAGACAACAGTACAAAATAGTTTAGTCGAAACGTACAGGTTTTTGTCTGGCGACAGCGTTTCTTGTTGTACTTACCATCCAACTTTGGGCTCGTCTGCTGGGTGATTAATAGAGTTGTCTTCCCAGGTTCCCACAGCCAGCGAAACCAAGGATGCTATCGATAGCATGACTATGTTGTGTGTACGTACAGGTAGGTATTGAGCATCTTTTATGAAAAGTAGGACCAAAATAAAGTCTCTGGCTTACTGAGAGTCTGATCATTATAGGCTGCCCAAATTAACGAAAAGATCGTCTTTTTAGGCGCTTCTGGGATCTCGTTCCTGCCAAAGATGTGTTTACGCTCCTGAAAAGATCCATGCGTATCATGTTGTTGGACAACACCATAACATGGATTGAATGATTCATCGGTCATCAGCCCCATGGTTGGGTCGACCTGTAGACTTTGGCATATGCCACGGGTTCCTCCCAGATCGGCTAATAGGGATGCGTCTTTGAAATCTATGAGATCGCATAGCTGCTGTGGCGAAACCGGGAACTTTTTCTCTTTGCGATCATGTTGCGGGAGCAAGGGAGTCGTGACCATGGCTCGTAACGATAATGCCGATGGGAGGGGTTGAAGGAAAAGAAAAGAGACTGAAGAGAAGAAGTAGAGAAAGAGGATGGAAACACGACGGTGTGCGCTGTGTATATTATATATATATTGAAAAAAAACTTGTATAACAAACAGTTCAGGCAGGGCATTAACAGTCCGGCAGATTAGAGCTTCTTTTTGTGGTAAAACAAACATGCAACATGCCAATTTCACTCTTTTTCTTATTAATTTCACTAGCTCTTTTTCTTCTTCAGCCGAAAATTCTAAAGGATTGCGAAAAAAACACATATCACGGGAGCGCTTTATTTATTGCTCACCGGCCACTTCTTCCGGCACAATACCCTCTTTTATCAACAAATCTTCCAAGTCGCCAGACTGGTGCATGTTGAGCAGGATATCACAGCCACCAACAAACTCGCCCTTGATGTACACCTGAGGAATCGTGGGCCATTCTGAGTATTCCTTGACACCCTGTCGCAAGTCGGGATCTTCCAATACGTTGAATGTTTGCACCTTCGAAAAGTCAACTCCCTGGACTTGCATAATCTGTACAGCAGCACGACTGAAACCGCACTATAACACACAATGTAACTGATTGATTAGCAGCAAGCGACAACTTGATGCTTCCTATCCAGCAATATCTCTCATCCAATCCCAAATTACCATTGGCTGGTCAGGCGTGCCCTTCATAAACAGTACAACGTCCTTTGACTTGACATCCTAATATAACACATTATCGATTCCGTATTAATATACCATGTGAGCTTTCTCCCACTCTCTCTTCCCTATTCTTGTATTCAACGTTTCAACCCTCGAGTTCTTACTTTATCGAGCTGCTGGCGCAAAGCATCCGACAGCCAACGTGCCCACATGGGACCATGGGCTCGAGCATTCACCGCCGGGCGCAAAAGATTAGACTATATGGAGGTTTTCGTTTATTACCATTAGGATCCATCGTACACAAAAAAAGTTCAAGATTCGTGGAGGATCGTAAATACTTTCTTTATTCAAAAATAACTTACGGTACGCGATGCTGCACGGAAAAAGTTCATTTTGTAAATGTCAAACTGATTTGATTGTTAAGCGAAAAGATCGGGCCCTGCTTGTCGCACGACCGAGTTGCTTTTTCTTCATTCTGAGTCCGAAATGGAAGCTATTTCTGTACATTCTTTTGTTGTCATAGTCGATATGCTGCGACGATGCCAGTCTCTGCTGTGAGAGTGCCCGTGGTAGCATCAAGAAGCAGGTTACTCGGCATGTATCGGTAGATTTACTGCGCTAATGAAGTACCTTCATTAAGGTACAGGGCTTAGTTCCTGACAAATGAAATGGTAACGTCTGAAACTACTGCTACACCGCTGTAATATGATTATAGACCATCATGTACACTAGCCTCCAGGGAGTTGTATAGAGTCAAGTAGTACCCGGTAAACAGAGCAGTACGTAAGATTTATATATAATACTTATGGACTGTTTCATCTCATTCTTTTTGAGTATACTGTTACGACGTCCTCTTTCAATACCGCGTGTGCGTATCCATTAGCACATCATTATAGGTCTATTTTCGAAGTACATACAAAGGTATACGCTACTGTACGGCAAACGTTGAGACTCGTAGCTATCTTAGTCTAGAGAAATAATAGTGAGCATGACACATATGGTGTTCCGTTCTTGTCTGACGCTGTAAGTAATTTTTAAAGACGCGTCCGCCGCGAATTCTCGTTCCTTTCACCTACACTGCGCGTTTCCACATGGCGCCCCGACGACGCATTGTCGCTGACTCTGATGAGGAATCCTCTGGCCCAAGCAAACGCATTCGCCTCGAGGAGCATTCAGAAGTCTTTCAAAGTAGTGACGAAGAAGCCCAAGGTGTTGATCAAGACGATACTCCATTGCCTGCCGATGCCGATGGGTAACAGTTGTTTCTGTCAAAAAAAAGTAACACACTGAATTTTGCTCTGATTGAATCCATTTGGCTTTTTTTCATGCTTTTTCGTGTAGTTATGTCGAAGGCTCAATTGTAAAGATCACCTTGCGCAATTTTGTTACCTATGACTACTGTGAATTCTCACCAGGACCTCAACTTAACATGATTATCGGTCCTAACGGTACTGGTAAATCGACCATTGTCTGCGCTGTGGCTCTTGGCTTGGGTGGAGCGCCCTCCCTTTTGGGTCGTGCCAAAAATATTTCAGAATTTGTAAAGACGGGTGAAGACGAGGCCGTAATTCAAATTGAGCTCAAACGAACTGGTGCCAACCGCAATGTCGTGATTCAACGTAATATTACAAAGTCTAGCAACGCGAGCTCGTGGCGTTTGAATGGTAAGGCGCTATATTCTATTACTGCGAGAAAGTTTTTTCTTTTCTCTAACAAGAGTGAAATAAAAACGATAGGAAAACACGCACCGCAAAAGCATGTCTTGGAGGTTGTTAACCAACTGAATATCCAAGTGGACAATCTCTGGTGAGCATAGAGTGCTTTGTATTTTTCTTCTTGATTCACTAGATACACAAACATCCAGCTAACTTATTAATACAAAGCCAATTTCTCCCTCAAGATAAGGTTGCCGAATTTGCACAGCTTACTCCTCCAGCATTGTTGGAAAAGACACAAGAAGCTGCCGGTGCAACAACCTTGTTAAAGTGGCACCGAGACTTGATCGAATGGAAAAAAGACGAAACTGCCATGACTCGCACGTTCGACTCTGACCAGGATCACTTGAACACTCTCAAATCCCGTAAATCTGAATTGGAAAAGGACGTGGCGAAATTGCTGCAACAAGAAGAAGTTCGTCGTCGAATCGAACTTCTCAAGGCTAAATTACCGCTGGTGCAATATACCAATGCAAAGAATGACTACGATCGAGCAAAAGAAGTAAAACAAGAGAAATTGGCTGTCCTCAACCGACTAAAAGAAGAAAACCAACCGATTGAAGATGCCAAACAGTATGTGATCTGGATATGCGAAGCAGGAAAAGAGGAAAGGTGGTTTTATCAGAGATAATAATGATAGTTTGATTAATTGACAGCACCTTTTGCTTGGTTATAATACAGGGAATACATTAATGCTGCAAGTGTTGCTCAGCGAAAACAGCAAGGACTCGAAGCTATGCAACAGGAGCAAAAGGAGAAGCTTCACAGAATTGCAACTGAAATAAAAAACTCGGTAAGAAAAGAACACAAAACAAATATACGGTTTTAGCTTGCTATGACTCTCACGTCTAACTGATTATGTTAGACCCAAGAATCAAAGATCCACGAATCCAAAATCACTTCTATCAAAAGGAAAGAACAGGAACGCGCGAACGATATTAAGAAACGTGAAAGCAAAATAGCATACTTGAAGGAGCGTATAGGAGAGGAACCATCTACTGAAGGCTTGCGAGAATTGTCTTCTGCTATGGTAAATATAAAATGACTCACTACTTTTAAGTATCTTGCGCGAATACTGACAATGCGCATACATAGGACGAGATCACTGGAAAGATTACCGATATGGAAATGGATGTTCCAGGACTCCTTGAGCAATATCGAAACCTTCAACGGATAAGAGCGGCCAATGATCGAGAATTGAGAGACAAAATACAAGAGTACGTACATCAATTTAGGCAATTGGCAACACATATTTCTGAACGATTGTGAAACAACTAGGGTGAATACCTTACAGGACTCCGCAAAGCAACGTATGAATGCTCTTTCCCAGTATCAACAGGATACAGTTTCTGCATATGAATGGCTCAAGCAAAACAGACAGCGATTCAAAGGAAAAGTTTATGGCCCAATTGTATTGCAGATTCATCTCAAAGATGAGCGTTATGCGGATCTAGTTGAGACTATTCTTGGCGGTAGACACAGCTCTTTGCTTAAGGTAAGCTCATTCTATATAGACTACTAATAGATACTTTGATTTTGGCTTACTGAAATATTTTTTAAATATTATGCAGACGTTTATTTGTGAAACCAAAGAAGATTATAAACTTTTCACGGAGGAAATGGTGGATAAAAAGGGCTATCGATTGACTGTAGCATGGCCTGGTGATAACAGCAATGAAAGTGTGAGCCCACCTATGTCTAGGGAAGAAGTAAGTAGCCGCTACGTGTAAAAAATCGTAAAAAATCATATATATAACCGTGGGTGCGCAAATAGTTACATCGCATGTGCGGAATGGACTACTTTGTTTCGGAGCTATTGGAAGGTCCCGAGATTTTGATAAATTACCTATGCCATGCTTCCAAAATTAACCAAGTGGTAAGTTATACAGCGATATGGGCATACAATTAAAGAATCGTCAGTATCACTCACTTCTGGATTTCGAAACAACTAGCCCGTGTCATTAAGAGCTGTCGACGAAAAACGAGTTGCAGACAGCGGTCGTTTCCGACGTTTTGCTATGCACAACAGCACTTACGAAGTGAAGCAATATAGATATGGCCGAGGTGGTAACCAAGTGCAAGTTAAAAAGATCTGGCAGTCGAATTACCTGAAAAAATCCTGTAAGTTACTGAGGCAAAACGAAGGGAAATCATTCGTTTACCTAACAAGTATATTTCTTGTAGTGGACTCCGAAGCGCTACAAAGAGCAAAGGAAGAAGTCGCGAGACTGCAAGATGCTAACAAGGAGGTCTTGATGGAGATAGAAAGTGTAAATAATAACCGCAGCAGAGTCAAACAAAAGATATCCGAGCTCACCCATGAAATGGTAAGTTGATGTAATGAGTAGATCGCGGCTATGAACTTTAGATCTCATTATGCTATATAGAACGACAAAAAAGCACAAAAACAAGACATTCAGCTCAAAAAAACTAATTGGGAAAAGGCGCAACGCCAAGTCGGTGGGTACAAATATCCTGGAAGGGCATGAAAAATAAGATGTGATAAAGCTTGATATCTCATTTGAAAGTAAAATAGATCATGAAGAAATCCAACTGCAAACCCTCAGAGAGCTTCCTGCGGATGATACTAGTGCCATTAATCACTTGAAGGAGCAGATTATGGTGCAAGCTTCCCGCCGTGCCAATCTTGCTGAGCGCTACACCGTAAGTAATCCTATACAATACTAAGTGGTTTACGAATCAAATCGGTTTACTAAATAAATTTTTATGTGTGCTCCAGAACCTCTTGAAAGATTTAACAAAGAGCATCCTGCAACGCAATGTAGCTCAGCTGGAATACATGCAAGCTGAGGCCAAGCGCATCTTCGTTGAGGAATTTGCTAGTAGACAGAGCACAGCGGTTAGACATGCCGATCAAGGCTATCGTCAAGGTAAACTCTTTTTTTTTTGTCAACCAGGTGTATGGCGTTTGACGCGGCGATTCACACATGGCCTATATATAGCCTTGTCCGATAGCAATCACAAAAAATCTGTTGCACAAAACTACCAAAATGAAGCTCAACGCGCTGGACGAAATTTGAGGGATGATGGTCTCAAGGAAGAATTCCAGGCTATTTTAGCACAGTGGCGTACCGAAGCCGGACTTGATCAGACAGCTGCAGAGGTTGAGGATGCCATCCAGGCCGGGTTGGCCAAGATTGAAACACTCGAGGCATCCAATCCTCGCGCAATGGAGCTGCATAAGCAGCGATGTGCCGAGATCCAGCAACTTTCTGCTAAAATTGATGGCGTTAAGCAGCAGCTGGATGCACTGCGTGAAAAGATCAGTAATGTTCGGGTATGTTTTAAATAGGACTTTAGAGAAGTGTAAATATTTGCGCACATTAACTCACTACCACACTATTCCAACTAGTCACAATGGGAGCCTCAATTGAACTCCTTAGTAGGCTGTATCAGTGAAAGCTTCGGAGAAGCTCTTAAAAGTAAGGAACTCCCACTGCGACTTGCATGTGAGGTTACACTATGCGCTATTTCTGACAGCATACATGGCGTTTAGGGATCGGGTGTGCTGGCGAAGTTGGCGTTGCGAAAGACGAGGACTATGATAAATGGGGTATTGAAATCCGTGTGAAGTTCCGTGACAATGAAAAACTGCAGCTCTTGACGGGTCAACGGCAGTCCGGTGGTGAACGTGCTGTGTCGACGATTCTCTACTTGATGTCCCTGCAAAATCTGGCAAAGTCACCCTTCCGTGTCGTGGATGAAATTAACCAGGGTATGGATCCGAGAAATGAACGCATGATCCATGAACAGATTGTCAAAGGCGCCAGCAAGCCCGGGACAGCGCAGTAAGTGACCCCTTTGTAGTTTCAGGTTTGTCCGCACCAGTTCATCCAGCTGACGCTTTCCATTCAGATACTTCCTGATTACGCCCAAGCTTCTGCCCGACCTCTTCTACAACGAACGTATGCGCGTGCTGTGTATCTACAATGGTGAATGGCAGCCCAAGCGACTGAAGCCCGTCTCTGAATACATTAAGCGTGCGCGATCATCTTCTGGGGCAATTCCTGCCCGATAAGTTCCATCAAAAAGACATTTACCCACTAGCTTTTTCGTTTCTTTTCCTCCTTGCCCTGTTCATGCAATAAAGACGTTCGCTCTCCACCTTTTTTTCGGAAAGAAGGCTATAAATGGCATGGGCCGTTCGGACTGCGTGTGACCGCAGCAATGATTCGTCAACTTAAATGAAGCTTTTCCACGCGCTGTGCATATCCGCATTCTCTTCTGTCTTTTCCTCTTTCTTTTTCATTTCGTCTCATTCGTAACACGATGCCCACAATATCGGCTTTGAAAGAGAGATACGCTTTTGCTACGACCCTTGAGGAACGCCAAGACGCCATCCGACAACACGCTGTCACTGGCACCGACGAATGGTACTACTATCGGGGTCTGACATTACTGGCGCAGCTGCAAGAAACTGTGTCAAGCGTGGCGCCACGCCAGCCAACCGAAGCCGAATCTGAGCTTGTTGCCGAAATACGGAGCTTGCTCCACCAATACAGCCGGTTGAACAACAGGGTGTCGACCAGTAACAACTACCGCAAGCTCAACGCACGGTTCCATTTGTTGCTTTATCCGCTGGACTCGTCCACGACAACGACTTACATCCGAGATCAGCTTCATCTGGTAAGTGATGATACTGAGGACCCGCACCAGCAGCCACCACAAGAAGAAGAGGCTGGGTCGCCCAAGCCAACGCGTCGCGTTAAGCCAGGAGACTTTGACCCTTCTATCCTGGAACCTGCTACCGTTCTCGATCGAGCACTCGCGCGTAGCGACCGCATTGAGGCATTACTCGCTTTTCCTTGCCTCCGAGACGAGTACGAGATGGAAAAAGAGCAACAAGTTCTGCATGAGCTGCTTTCGTCTCCGCACTCGGATACGCGTGATCAATGCGACATTGTGCAGCGTTTGGCTCGGTTCCTTGACAAGTATAGCGACTATTCCGTCACACAGTTTCAAGTAGACAACCTGACTATCGAGCAAATGGAGCGATTGATGCAAACACAGCAGCGCCATGAGCTTATCGAAATGTACATTGGCAAACTGGGCAAGGACGTTGACCGTGTGTGGTCTTTTGTGAAGGCATTGCCCGACAGCTACAACGGGCTCAAATACTTGATTCTCTTCCACAAGATAAAGGATGCCACCATCCACGGTCAGTTCGAAGATCATGCATTGTTCGAGTCTTATTGGAGAGTGCGCAGTGGGCGCCGTGACAACTGGCGCTTCAAGGTATTGTGATGAGAAAGAAGAAACCTTTACTGCTCTTTAACTCGTAAAACACACGCAATGCTATGCATTAACTTTGAGGGCTGACTGTGTCACTGTGATGTCCAGGAATTTCCATCGCCAAGTCCCCAAGCGCATGAAGAGCTGGTCACTGCTTATTTGGCAGGCGCATTGGCCAAGAACCCCGAACTCAGACTGCAGCACTTTGATAGCTATGAAACAGAGCTTAAACACAAGCATGCCAGCATTTTATTGACGCGCGTCCCTTCTGCTCAGTCACAAGAACATTGGCGCGACGTTCTTGGAGCTGCAGTCTACCGCAATCTCGTTGACAAGTCCGAACTCGGATTTGGTTACTCAACTCTCCATGCCAAGGAAACCTCAACCACACTGCAAGTCGTGGTCAAAAATATCCCTCATGTCAGCATCCGTGTCTTTGCCATTGACCTGCAACAATACTGGCGCCTCCATCCGAGCGCAACTTCGATCAAGGTAGACAGCGTTGACGGACTTTGTCCGACCTGGGAAAAAGAGATGGATTTCAGCAAGCATCCTGCTATTCAGACTGTGGAAAATACCATTGACTTGGAAAAACTGGCTCCTGAAGTGTTTGCCAGCCGTGGCGCGTGGGTGGTGGACTTTGTTGGTGGGCGTGAGAGTTGCCGCGCTATTATCCAAAAGGTAATGTTTCTTATTTTCTGTGTAATCAAAACAAATTTATGCTCATCATCAAGTGCACATTTCCTACAGGGTCGTCTACGACACATCTGCAAGGATACTTCTGCTGGTCATTTGTTCCGTATCCTTGATGAAAAGAACGCCCCTGTAGATGCCAAGATATTGTATCGCAATGAGTATTACGAGGTCAATGAAGACCACAACATCCTGATTCCATACAGATCCAAGATTGACGATGCTGGTGCAGAGGCCCAAATGCTTATTTTGCACGACGAGTTTTGTGAGCCTTTGCGATTCACATGCAAGCAAGAGGATTATACGCTCGACATAAACTGTTACGTGAACCCAGAAAGCCTTGTACCCAACCGACAAACCAAGGTCGTTGTTAACCCACGCTTGACCATTTACGATGAGCCTGTACCGCTGCATATGCTAGAGTCCGTCAGCTTTACCGTTGACGCGACAAACAGTCGTGGTGTAAAGAGCACGTTTACTCAGCACGTGGCAGCAACAAGCCCGTCTATGGAGTTTGAATTCACTGTGCCAAACTCATTGAGCTCGTTAGCTTTTCGTCTTCGCGGTCAAGTCCAGTCTGCCGATGGCACATCAACCCACGACGTCGACGCAACACATGCCACAGAGTTTACTTCTATGGGAGCAATGGCTAGTGCATATCTACGAGCGGATGCTGATGGCTATTTCATACAAGTGCTCGGCAAGAATGGTATGTTCACACATACACAAGATATATATGCAATTGCCATGATAAAATATAACTTTTCATAATCATGCTTTACTTTTTAGGTGAGCCTCAAAGGAATACCGATGTCCATCTTGAAATGACCCATACATTGCTGTCGTTCACTCCAGTTGAGCAGAAGTTGCGAACAAACGACAAGGGCACTGTCCGTCTGGGCAAGCTTGATAACGTCTCACAAGTGATAATTACGGCGCCAGTGCGTAAAGTATGGCAGCTTCTCGTCCCCACCCCTCAGACACCTTCTCGTATGAATCAACAAGCAGACCAGCCTTTCAAGATTCCTGGTGAATTCGTGTATTGTGCCCTATTTCAGCTGCTGGATAGTGAAAGCGTCAACATTATCCACGACTGTACTAGCAAGGTGGCAGTGCATGATACCTACATCGATGTTCAAGGTCTGCCAGAAGGTGCATATCAATTTCATTTGGCATCAAAGGGACGTAGTATCATGCAGTTGGAGTGCATCATCATTGCCTCGGACGGACAACAGGCAACAAAGAGTGGTCACTGGTCTGATTGGGTGCTCGGCAAGGAAGCGTATGCGCAAACAAGCTCTCGCAAGCCACTCTACATCGATGATGTTCAAGTGAGCGAGAATCAAGTCATTGTGAACCTTAACAGTACCGGATCGTCAAAGGCAGCGACACGTGCCATCGTTACAGCAAGTGCGTTTGTGTCTGAGCAAGGCACAGCCGTTGCTAGGTTGCTCCGCAGTTTACCAGCACGCCAGTTTTTGAAAGCGCCTCTGGATACCGAGGCCACGTTCTTGACTGGTCGCAAGCTTAGTGAAGAATTTCAGTACGTCCTTAACCGTGCACGCACTGAGAAATGGTTGGGTAGCACTTTGACAAAGCCATCGGTCTTGATGTATCCTGACGAACGTCGAACGACGACCACACAAGACCGAAATTTGGAGAAGGACCGCACATTTACTTCCAAACGAGAGCGGCATCTTGAAAACGCTAGTTACAAGACAGTTGCAAGAAATTTAGCAAGTTACGCAAATACTAACTTTGCCGAAGCAACCAACGATCTCACTTTTCTCAACCACCGCTGCCCGTCACTTATTGTCACACCAGACGAGCAAGGCCAAATTGCCATTGACCGAGAAAAATTGGGTGATGGCAACATTTTACATATTGCCGTACAGCACGGCGAGCAAGTTTTGATCTATCAGCGTATTCTTGACGGTGCTCCACTGGACCTTAAACTCAATGACCTTTCACAGCAAGGCAACTCAGACATCCTATACGTCCGAACCAAGGCTGTCGCCGAGCTCTTGCCGCAGCAGCAACTCACGCTCGACCTGAACCATGAATGGGAAGTCGTCGATTCTTTTGAGAAAGTGTTTACCCTCTTTGAAAACATGTCGAACGTTTCCCTTGGGCATGTAGACTTTTTGAAGCGCTGGTCCAAGTTCACTGATGAAGAGAAGCTTAAAAAGCACGACGATATGGCATGCCATGAGCTCAATCTTTGGATCAAGTTCAAGGACGTGAACTTCTTTGCCAAGCACATTAGACCATACCTCGAGTCAAAGTTGTTCAAGACTTTCATGGACTACTATCTTCTTGATGATCGTACCAGTTTGCAATCGTATGCAGACTCGATCAATCTATATGAGGAACTGTCCGTTTATGAAAAGGCACTGCTGGCGAAAAAGATACCCGAACTTCTCCCTGTAACTCTGCAAGCATTTTTGGACACATATACTCCGAAGTCAGATGCCAACTTTGACGCTGTCTTGGCAGGAAGCACTCTTCAACAACCGGGAATGCCCCTAGGTGCCCCTCCACCACCGCCACCTGGAAGCAATTATGGTCTGGACTCATCGATGTATGAGCAAGGCGAGCAGCTGAACACCCTTCGAGCTACGCCGCGTCACGCAATGATGGCTGCAAGACCTGCTGCGTTCCCACAATCTGGATTTGGTAGATCTTTAGATGCTTCGGTTACTCCTCAGGCTTTTGGAGGTAAAGTGAACCCACATTATATCAGAACTGTATGGAAAAGCTATAGTTATATTGAAGCTTACATCAACCAAAACGCGTTTCCGGTAGCACAACAGCAGCAACAACAACCTGTGCTCATGGCTTCTGCTTCTGTTCAAGTTTCTGCGGAAGACGAGGAAGACTCTGATGAGGATATGGGTTTTGGTCTGTTTAATGGTGTATCTGGCAGTGAAGGACAAAATTCTGACGATAATCTTGATGAATTTGAACCAGAAGACGAAGCTGGCGACGACGAAGAAGACGCCCTCCGAGAAGCATTACGACAGCGCCAGGGCAAAAAGTTACCATTCAGATTTACAAAGCCAACCAAAGAATGGGCCGAAAAGGGCTATTATCAGTCTGCACGATATGGACAGCCGGTGGAAGTGAACCGGTTTTGGATCGACTACTTGGAGTCTGATGCGCAAGGACAATTCCTTTCCGGGGTATGTTTCAATAGCTACAAGAAGCAATATATACGTTTGTACAATTGCTGCAAACAACGAATGGCTAACTTCATAAGCGGTCAACATCAGAACTTTATTTATGCCATAAACAGCTTCACGGAAATTATGTTCGCACTAGCGCTGTCTGATTTGCCGTTCAAGTCCCAGTGGAAGCAAGAATCCGACATCCCCAACAACAAGCTTGTGATTACGGTGGAGACCCCTTGCCTTGTTTTTTATCGTCAGCTTAAGGCAAGTCATCGCCAGTTACATAATTAGAAATAACACATGCTTTTAAGCGAATGCTGATTTCCAATATTCTTAATGCAACAGGAGGCGCAAAACACCCCACCTGCTAACCCGAGCGTTCTCCTCGGACAAAACTTTTTCTTGAACAAGGACAATGTTAATGCTAACCAGGATGAGCTTGACATGGTTGATCCAGCCGATTTGGAGCCGGCTACAGAGTATGGCTGGCACGTTGCTATCAGTAACGTATCGTCCAAGCGATCCGATATCGAAGTGACACTCCAGGTTCCTGTCGGATCGATTCCTACCGGTGATACGCCCTACTGCCAATCACGCACGCTCCAGCTCCAGCCTTACTCTACCTGGCAGTCTGTTGTTGGAAGCTTCTACTTCCCATCGTGTGGTGAATTCGGTCAATTCCCCGTCACCGTTTCTTGCTCCTCGTTGCTGGCTGGTGCGACTTCTCCGTTGAAGCTTCATGTGAAAACACCGGATACGGTGTCAGCATCCTCTTCTTGGACAGCTTTAGCAAGCAGTGGTGCAGATGACCAGGTCATGACACATTTGCTCCAGGCTAACCTCGAAAAGGTTGATTTGGGCTTGCTGCGCTGGCGCCTGGGTAATCCAGAGTTTGCTCGCAAGGTTATTGATACGCTACGCTACCGCCGGTTCTATTCGATCGCAGTATGGCAGTATGCTCTGCATCACAGATTTCCCGAAGCCATCAGGGAGCTACTTGAAAATGAAAAGAGTCTACTCGGTCTATGTGGCACGGCCTTTGAATCGCCACTCGTTTCATCTCCGACACACTTCATCGAACATCCAACCTTGGTCGAATATGCCCCTGCTATCCCAGCGCGTCAGCACCAGCTGGGAGCTTTGCCAGAGATCCGTAACAGCGAAATGTACAGATCGTACACAGCGTTCCTCGACATACTCGCTGAAAAGCGCCAGGCTAACAACGAAGATCTATTGATCCTAACAGTCTACTTAATCCTCCAAGAGCGGCTTGGCGAGGCACGAAAAATGTATCAACGCATCCACCCAGCAGCAGCAACGATTCAACATGACTATCTTGGTGCGTACCTGGAAACCCGTGTACGTGCTGATCTAGTTGATGCGACGACCTTGGATCTTAGTGGTGTGCGCGAGATCGCTGAAAAGTATATCCACTGCAGCCAGCTTAAATGGCGCAAGATGTTTGCAAGCCTTCGCGACTTTGTCGACGAAGTGGAACGACAGCAGCACAGCAATAACAAGGATGACCAGGACTCAGTCATGCCAGAGCGACAACAAGCACAAGCGATTCTCACTGAGCCAGTTTTGGACTTTGATCTCGAGCAAAATGAGCTTGTACTCCACTACTCCAAGGTGAAACAAGTTGAAATCCGGTACTACAAGACGGACGTGGAGGCCATGTTCTCTCATAACCCATTCAATCGATCATCGGATGCTGGTTGGGTCAAGCCGCACGTGATACAGAAGATCGATCTGAACGCGAGTGATAGTGATGAAGTTGAAGAACAGTTGGAGCCTTATGAAGTGATTGGTGTCGGTAAAGCCAATATCAAGACGCGTCGTATCTCTTTGCCAGGTGATATCACCCATGCAATTGTTCAAATTAATGGGGGCGGATTAAAACGTCGTAAGCCGTACTTTTCTCACTCGCTGTTGGTCCACCTTGTCGAGTCCTACGGTATGGTGCGTGTTGCGGACAAGGCCTCGAGACGACCTATCGCCGGTACCTACGTCAAAGTTTATGCACGTCTCAAGGAAAGCCAAGCTGTGGAGTTTTGGAAAGATGGCTACACTGGTTTGAATGGTGTGTTTGATTATGTCAATGTCACCGAGGCCAGCTTGGAGAAACTGCAAAAGGTGGATAAGTTTAGCTTGCTTGTTTCTTCAGTTAAAAACGGAGCAGTTGTGGAGGAGGTATATCCACCTTCCAGCTGCTGAACATCGTGCTTTACCCCTTTCGTTCCCTCTCTCTTGTTATTTTCCAGCCCAACCAGTTGAATACAAAGCGGACTAATAAAGACAGTTGGGATTTGTGATATTGCGTTTTACATACTACTCTATGCTGCACCTTTATGGTCCAGGATCACCCTGGTCAATCGACAACTAGCTCAAGATCTGGATTCTCGTTGCACAGCAAGTCCGCTGTTTTGGGTCTAAATTCTTGCTATCCACATCATTCATCCTACGTGCAGGCATACAGTATATGCGTGTCGTACGGATAGGTATGTGCTCAGGAAATGAAAGATGATAATGGCTCTCTATCACGAGAGCAGCGAGTAAATGTTTCAACTCGTCTTCTTTTTCCCAAAAAAAAAATTAATGATTCTCACAAAGGGATGATGAGAAGCATTATCCGAGATTAAGCAATCGATGGTAAGACGTAAGCAGGTTGCACAAGGCAAGCAAGATGTCGGATATAGAGATGCCTTTTTGATTTAACCGGACGACTAAGCTAACAGTACGTCCATTTAAAGCGCATTTGTCCATGTTTAATGTTGGTCCTCACGTAGTACAGCAAAGAAAACTGTGATCCGCATCTGATAAAAAATGGATCTGATTAAGTATAATAATAGCTTATAGCACACCATTGCACAATATATGGATCTTTTTCCTTCTTTGTACGTCCCTCCCTCTGGCGCGCTGCCCCCGATCTTTGATCTCACCCATACGATGTACTGCGCTCATGGTAAAAAAAATCAAGTTTTCGGAACTGGATATAAATGGCGTTTACAACGGAAGCATTTTCTTCATTCTGTCCTATTCTTTCCCGCTTTCATATTGGCTGGAAAAATTTGCAGAATGTCTAGCGTTAAGGAACAATACGACGAGAAAGCACAGCAAGACGTTATTCGTGATGACGCCGTAGACAAGATCGAGTTTGAGGACCAGCACTATGAAGAGACCGGCCTTCACGAAAGCGATGCAGCTTTAGCAAATGCTCCATGGAAATATAAAATGATCGCACTGGCTACAGCGCTCATGTTGCCTGGTATGAGATTTACTGCTATATATATATATATATCGATTATACTTGAAAACTTGCACAACAGGACAATGTAGTCTTACGAACACACATTCTTATTATTTTTGACAAACTAGTTGGTTCACACTTTTCTGGAGCTGCTCTTGGTGCAATGAAGGCCTCGTTAAAAGAGGTAAACACTCGATCATATTTTAAGGCATCTACATATATATAACTAAGCAACCACCATATCAACAAATATCCTTAGAACCTGATGATTAGCAACACTCGTTATGGTGTGCTATCTTCCTCTGTATCCATTATAAACACGGTCTTCCCGGTCCTTGGCGGTTTCTTTATTGATGTAGGCAGTCTTTTAGCTCATAATGTTCACCTTGTAGCACCAGAGCTTTTCTCACCCCGTTTGCCTTGCTACTTTAGACATTTGGTACTGTTTGGGGTACCCTTGTCATCAATTTTATGATTTTGCTCGGTAGTTTGCTGACTGCCATAGCCGCTCATGTTGGTCAGTTTCCATTAATGGTCGTGGGTCAAGTGGTCTTTGGCATTGGCAGTGGCCTTATTGTGACCATGCAAGAATCACTGCTATCAAAGTGGTTCCGTACGAAGTATCTCGCCCTTGCTATTGGCATGCAGCTTTCCATCAGTCGTCTTTCTACTTTTTTAGGTACGCTTGTCTCGAACCCTATTTCCGAACGAATGGATGATTGGGTCTGGGCATTCTGGTTGGCGTTGATCCTCTGTGGCTTTTCCATCATTATGAACTTGATTTATGCCTATGTCTTGCACCATCTACAAGGTGCTGTCGTGACAAAGACTGAAATCCTCCGTATCAAGGCCAAGAAGACCGTACATGTTCGCTCGCTTTTGAAATTTCCTCCTTATTTTTGGCATATTATTCTTATCGAATTCATTTTTGCTGGTAAGTGGGATAGGGTTTAGTATCAGCTGTTCCAAACGTCGCAGCCTTTAATTGTAACTCTACATTCTCTTAATTTAACAGCGGTTTGGACCGTGCACCAATCCGTTGCTACAGAGCTCGTTCAAATCCATTTTGGTACCACACAAAAGCTTGCTGCATACAAGGCCAGTGTATCCCAAGTTGTGCCTATTGTCGTAACGCCAATACTGGGTGTTTTCATTGATCTCGTAGGTCAACGTGTTAAAATATGCAAGTATTCAAGACTACTACTGTACATTTTTAACGGTCATTGTCTCGTCTATCATATTCTTGGTTTTTACTAACCGAGAACACACATTACAGTGCTATTATCTGCTGCCTTCTTTGTTATTAGTTGTGGGTTACTAGGCTGGACCTACGTCGAACCTATTGCTGGTATGATCTTGTACAGCTTCTCGCTTGCTTTTGGTCCTATCACTATGATCACGTCTATCGGTATGATCCTGCCATCAGACTATATTGGCACTGGTTTGGGCCTTTTCAAAAGCTCCAACAACATCGGTAGTTCGATTTTGGACATCATTGTCGGTATAGTCCAGGATAACACAGAAGGAGAAAAGTACACAGGTAAGTTCGTTGCGGTCACCAAATGAAATACATTAAAAGAACGAGTGTAACAACAGTCTCACGTACACAAAAAACAACTTCTAGGTGTCATGACCGTGTTCGTCATTTTGGGCTGTGTCGGCTTCATGATTATTTGCGGTCTGTACTTCACTCAGCGAATTTACTTGAAGAATCTCCTTGAACTTGGTCGCTCGAAGCGCGAAGAACGTAAGACTGATCCCACAAAAAGAACCTGGGCTATATATATAATATTGGTCTGTATGTATCATTATGACCGATACTTATCATTGCACTCTCTATTACCATGTCTTATGTAGGCATGACAGAAATCAACGACAAAGAACTTTTTCTTACCAAACAAGGCTTGGATTCGCTTAATAATAAAACGACCACCAACTTCAATTATTTTGCTATCGGGATCTATGTTTTCTTTGGCATCTGTGCTTGGGTCCTCTTTTTCGTTTTTGCAGTCACTGGAAAGGCAAGTGCAAGAGAGATGAGTTATTTAGGATTGTTACATGGTCAAGACTAACTTCTTTTGTAATATATAGGTTTCCTTCTAATAGATATCCTTACTGTGTATTGATATCTTGTTTCGCACGCCAGTGATCAACTTATCCCCACCTATTATTAAATACGCTGCACACTGTTATCTATATTTCACCCCACTCTATTTTTGCTTATCCCCACTACTATTGCTTTAATAAAATTGTCATAATTAATACTACAATCCAAGACACACCTGGCTATTCTGCTGTGTTCCATTAATTAAAGCACCACCCATCACCTTTTAATCGTTAATATGTACTCGTTCTAGTATTTTTCCGCCGTGGAAAGGTCATAATCAGTGCTTACTGTACTTACCCCGATTTAATTGATTCTTTGTGTTCAAAGGTTTGTTTTCTCTTTCATTTTTACTCTTCACACCTGGTGTTAGATGTTGACTTTAGATATGAACACTAAACGTACGATTTCAGCCTGCTTACATTTTGCTTATCTTGACTTTTCTGGGACGACTTAAGCATAAAGGTAAATACTGCATATGTATGATGTAGGCAAAAAGTTAATAATAGGGTGTTTGATAATGCTGTGTAATAGCAAGAGTTTATTCATTGGTGGGTAATCTTACAATATACGCAATATTCGGATAGCAACCAAGTAAAAGTTTATGCTTGCTGCATTACGATTATTACCGAGGGTAGGGTTCTGTGGAGGAGTGAGCCTCGGCAGCACTGAGTGGCGGAGTCTAGTCGAATTTTTTTTTCCTTTAATAAATCCAGTTAAGCAAACTTGGTTCAGATCAATTGATCGATCGATTGTTCAGAATTCTCATCGCAACTACTTCAAAATGCCCCACAAACGAGTAAAAGCAAGCTTAAGAAAGAAGCAAGAGTATGTATTTTTTGTTTGTAGCTCTATCATTTCGGAAGATTAACGAACGCAGAGTTGATCTCCCAGTGACAACTTCGAAATCGGACGACACCCCCAAGTCATTTGCTCGGCTATTTAGGTATAAGGATATCACCGAAAAGAAGCAAAAGGAAAAGCAAGATGCAAAGAAAAGAGAGAAAGAAAAGGTAAACTATATTGAGAGGCTATCAAAGAGACGCATTTTTGTCTGTAAAAGCAGAGAGGAAAGCTGCAGGGAGTGTGAGCGAGTGAATGAGTGAGTGAGTGAGTGAGTGAATAAAGTGTACAGTGGTGATGAAAGCGTCAGTGTAGTAAAAAAGCAGTAATAGGAAGAAGAGCTCAAGATTCGTAAAGGCGAACGATTACGGGAGTTTAACGAACGAGTCAACAAAAAATATCAACAAGATTTTATACAAGCAGTTAAAGCAACAAAGCCGCTCAGTCAGCGCAAACGACGTAATCGAGAGTCTAGGAAACAAAAGCAGCAAGAAAAAAAGCAACGTCAGATGGACCAGTACGGTGGCCGAGATTTTGATGATCTGAAGGACAGCGTCAAGTTTGGCGAAGTAGCTGATGCACCACCTACTTTCACAAAGATTCCCAAAGCACGCGGTCGAGGCAGAGAGGTAATTGACTCGGGATCGAGTAGAAAGAGAGAGAGATGAACCGAGAGAGATGATGACGATGGGCATATACCGTATTCAACAAACAAAATGCCAGCCGTTCTGATGCTATACTATTACTCTTTTGTCGGATGAAATCAGACGTTGGAGGCCAAGACACGTGAAGCTGTATCATCAGACGAAGACGAAGGCATGAAGCAGCTCAAAGCATCGCACAAGCGTAAGCTGCAGAACATGAGTGCATCAGCGCGCAAGACGTTGGATGGGGAGCGCGAGCGTGCGATCGAAATGTATCGAGCAAAGAAAGCCAAGAAGATGGTTGCATCAGGATTAACACCGCTCACGTCTTGATGATGTAGAATGAAGCAAATAATAATGTATAAATAAACAAAAGAGGGACGAAGAAAGGAAAGAAAAGGCAGAGGACAAGAAGATATATCCGAACGTGGAATGCCCATTTGTTTTATGGTTGGTTGGTTATTGCAAACGACTTAAAATCTTCCGACTGGTCATTCCAGTACGAACGACCTGTGTTGCTGTTGTTGTTTTTGTTGTTGTTGTTGTTGTTGTTGTTGTTGGTGCTGCTGCGGTTGTTGTTGTTGTTGAGGATAACCGCAGACTTGCCCAAAGATCAGTAATATATCGCCGATCTCGGTTCGGTTGCCAACGCCTCGATTGAATATAAAATAACCCAATTTTGACGCTTCCTCCCCCATCCTCATCATCTGCACTTCATATCTTCATCTCTTTCATTTCATCCTTTTCATACATAACAACAACATATTCATAAGCATGCGCTTTTCGCTTTCTCTCATCTCCACCGCTATGTTGGCCACCATGGCCATGGCTGCTCCCGCCACTCCTCAGGAGAACAACAACAGTGAACTCGACGTCGCTCCCGCTCAGAATGTTGCCCTCCAAATGGGTGAGAAATTCGAGCCTTTCAACTGGATGGCCGCTGAAGGTGAAGGCATGTCGGCCGACCGCACTTTCACCTTGAACCTTGCCGAGCCTGCTCAGCTTCAAATCACCGACTACAAGCTTGGTATGTACTCTTCTTTTTCATTTTCTTAAAGACCTTTTTATTTGCTAACTGGCTTTTTGTTCATCCACTAGGCGGTGACTCCTTCGAGATCATGGATAACGGTGAAGTCCTTGGCATGACCAGCGAAGCCGCTAACGACGAGGAAGCATTCGCCGCCACCCCCGAAGAGGCTCTCCAGGATGAGCGCTTCAGCCATGCCGTCTTTGACTTGGCTCAGGGTGAGCACGAAATCACTATCAACGTTGCCAACTCTCCCTTCGCTGATGGCACTGGTGCTGTCCGCGTTGTCCAGAAAGTCCAGGCTCTCTACGAGAAGAAGGGCGGCAAAGGCAAAGGCAAGAAGGGTGGATGGGGAGACGATGATGACGAATGGGATGATGACAAGGACGACGACAAGTGGGATGACGACGAAGACTGGGAAGACGACGATGACGAATGGGATGACAAGGACGACGACAAGAAGGGCGGCTGGGGCGATGACAAGAAGGGCGGCTGGGGCGATGACAAGAAGGGCGGCTGGGGCGATGACAAGAAGGGCGGCTGGGGCGACGACAAGAAGGGTGGATGGGGCGACGACAAGAAGGGCGATTGGGAAGATGACAAGTGGGATGGCAAGAAGGACTGGGACAAGAAGAAGACCGTCTATGTCTACTACACCGTACCTGGTGCCGAAAGTTCTCCCTCGACCGTGACACTTACTACGACCTCCGTTCGCCCCACGACCAAAACCGTTACCGTCACTTCTAGCAGCTTCCAGTCGCCTGTTCCTCTCGAGACCCGCTACATCACCACCCCCACTGCCTTCGTCACTGAAGAGGCCACCGAGACAAGCTTTGTCACTGAAACCGCCACCGAAACCGAGCTCAACTTCCTTGAGCTTCCTTTCTTGACTCTTTAAATGGTTCTTCTTTTTCCATCACCAAAGCTCCACTCTTCTCTTACCCGTTTTAATCACATGAATTGTCTAGTATAATCTTCTGCTTTTATTGGTTCAAGTTTTTGTCGTTTCTTTCCCTTTTCTTCTATACTACCATTAGAACCTTACATAATAAAATGAATCCGTTTGCTTTATATAAAACCTGCTTTTATTTCATATTATAAAGTTAATAGCAATCTCATAAACTTTAATATATTGTTTTTAAATTCTATTAGAGCGACAATGCTTCTGCAGATACACATCATCTTATGCCTTATGGATGCAACGTTGAGCTCAATATACGAAAACCTTTAATTTCCACTACAGTACGTTTAGCATCACATTATTAGAACTACTTCTTGAGTATCACTATGATCAAGTATATAGAAGGACTTCAAATTCCGACGGAGGAAGAGGGTTATCGTGCCCAAATGCTTGGTGATATGAAACTTCCTCTTTCTACAGACCGATAGTAAGTATACAAGGGCGAATCTGCATCCATCCATCCATCCTTCTAATAGCACGATCATAGATGCCTCCAAAATTCGATCCTTCCGAGGTCAAGATCATCTACCTCCGTGCCACTGGTAAGAGCTCTCAAGAAAAAGTCTTGGATATACGTTGAAATATTAAAATGAATTTCTCAATTACTCTTTAGGTGGTGAATTGGCTGCTTCTTCGGCATTGGGTAAGCCAGAAACAATTTTGTGTTCCCGATTCAACAGTTGACGAAAAAGCGCACACACCTCTACATACGACGAATTTGGACTTACACGCAAAAATATCTCCCAACAAATTTAATTAGCCCCCAAGATTGGTCCTCTTGGTTTGTCGCCCAAGAAGGTTGGCGAAGACATCATGAAGAACACTAAGGACTGGAAGGGTCTCCGTGTCACCATCCAGTTGACCATCCAGAACCGTCAGGCTCAGGTTGCCGTTGTCCCTTCGGCCTCGTCATTGGTTATCAAGGCTCTTAAGGAGCCCCCACGTGATCGCAAGAAGGACAAGAACAGTACGTGTTATATCCTTTCTTGCTGTGCAGAAGATTATCTGGAATACTTTTTTTGCGAGTATGAGTTAAATTTAACATGCGTTCTGTCTTCAATATCTAGTTAAGCACACTGGTAACATTGCTCTTGAAGATATCATTGAGATTGCCCGCACTATGCGCTTCAAGTCGTTCGCTCGTGAGTTGAGCGGCACCGTTAAGGAAATCCTCGGTACTGCCAACTCTGTCGGCTGCACTGTCGACGGTCAGAGCCCCAAGGATCTTTGCGACGCCATCGATGCCGGTGAGGTCGAAATTCCCGTAAGTATTTAAAAGGGAAGAAACACGGATAAACATGTGGTTGGGTATACATAAGTGGTGTGTCAAACTGACTCCATGTTCTTTTCTATTCTGTTGCATAACATTAGGAGAAATAAGCGTCTTTCTTTTTCAACGGGGATAACAATAAAAAAGTTGACATATTCGACAAATTCAAAAGACATAGAATGGATTCATGTTATGTTTAATTCGTTGGCTATTTACGTGACTTTGACGACGAGTTTACCCATTGTCTGGTTGCTTTCCATGGTGCGGTGGGCCTCGGCAATATCTTTCCAATCGAATTCTTTGTCAATGAACAATTTGTAGGATTCACTGGGCTTTGCAAAGTGCTCTTCGACTACGTGCTTGTAGATAGCATCGCGGAGGCGGGTCTGGTATTCGAGTGAGCGGCTGCGCAATGCTGATCCTTCAACCTAGTAAGAGTGGCGATAAAGAATCAAATAAGGATATGGTAGTATGAATATGAATAATGTTTCTTACGGTCACTTACTCTAAGACGCTTTTTGAGCAAAGGAGCGATATTGACGCCATCCAGCACGGCACCTAAAACCCAAATTAACAATGCGTTAAGTGCTATTCCTATGAGGCACGTAGCTTTTATATGATGTTTCATTAACACAGCAAATCAAGCATAGGATCACACGTACCCGAAAGGAAAGCCAAAAGGACCATACGACCATCAATAGCAAGCGTAGCAATGTTTTTGTCAAAATAGTCCTTGCCAACAAAGTCGACAGTAGCATTGACTCCTTTGTTTGCTGTTTCTTGCGCAATCTTGTTTACAAGAACCAAAATCTTTTAATAACGATAGTAGTGTACAAGCAGCAAGACATTAGTACATACCACGGCTGCCCAGTCCTCGGTCTTGTAATTGATACCACGCGTCGCCCCAAGACTTTCACAGAATTTTGTCTTTTCATCCGATCCAGCCGTGACAAAGATACGGTTTGCACCGGCCTGTTTGGCCAACTGAATGGCAGCAATACCAACGCCTGAAGCACCAGCATGGATCAAAATGTCCTCTCCGGCTTTCAATCCAAGCACGAAAAAGAGCGCTTGGTAGGCCGTGAACCAAGTTTCAGGAATTGCCGCAGCTTGTTGAAAGCTCAATGCATCCGGCTTCGGCATAGCAAGCTCTTGTTCCATCACCGCGTACTATTTGTCATTGATCAATAAGGCTATTTGTTTTTCCTTTGCAATTTGATGGAATGTTTGATGCGCGCGTGTGTGTGTACCTCAGCATAGCCACCACCACCCATGAGACCGAAAACAGCGTCTCCTGGCTGGAATTTGGTAACTACGTTACAGATACAAAACACGTCAGTTTTTTTTTGCGTATCCCTTACAAAAAAACTTAAAACTCGTCCGCGTTGTTATTAGTTACCGCTTTGGCCAACCGATTCGACAATGCCAGAAACTTCGACACCGAGAATCTCGCTTGCACCCGGAGGTGGTGGGTAAGCGCCTTGACGTTGGTTGATGTCCATGCGATTCAAGCAAAAGCATTTGACCTATTTAAGCGTAACATTTACACCTAAACTTTTGCGATTTGTAATACAGAATAAACGCTTTTCCTTCTACGCGTAAACGCAATAAGGCTTACCTTGACAAGAATTTGCGTGTCTTTGGGTGTAGGGGTAGGACATTCGCCAATGTATAACTGAGAGGCGTCACCTATATCACTCTGTAAGAGCTGCTTTCTTTCACAGTTTATGTCGAGTATTTATCTCAGCGGTTATTACCTGGTTGTCTTACGAGTACTGCACGCATTTGATTTGTAATAATGCAAAAGAGAAAGCAATTAAGATATCGCGGGATGGAAACCTCGCATCCGCTTTTTCCCATGCTCTCTTTTTTTTTGCTGAGTTGCGTTTGGAGTTTCAAATAATCTGCAAAAAGCATTTGGTCAGTGCTAATGCGCGGTGTATCATATCTGGAATACACTTGACACGGGTAAAAGATGTTCATTGCCTTGAACGACACCCTCGTCCTTCGCTCCCCTCCCTTGGATATGGTAGTGCTTACACTACAAGAAGAACTTAAAATTTATATATATATATATATATATATAAGAATATTGTATGTACATCTATTGCCAAATTGAATATTACGATGCGGGTGTTTCCGATTTTTCATGTACAGCGCTTGGCGTTTTGTCTATATCACGTATATCAACAGGGCTTCGATCCATTGATTCGGTATCTCCAAGATGGATAGTGCCACCGTTTCGCTCCTTGAGCACAGTCAGCTCCTTCTCGGCCTTGAATACGAACATTGATTTCGTGGAAAAGACAATGTCTAATTCCTCCAATGTCTTTGAAGACGTTTCTGGGTATAGGGCCCATACGATGGGGATGGTAAGAAAGTTGAAAGCAGCAAACACCAAAAAGCTCGCCCAACCGATTTGAGCAATCATTGGGGGCGTTATTTCCATGATAAGAGCATTTCCGATAGACCAACCTACGACACTCCATGCACCACCCCTAGCTCTCACTCGAGTGGGATAAATTTCAACCTAAGCAATAAATAAAAGCGCCATCAGTACCATCCCTGCATGATTACTACGTCTATTAGGAAATTGGTGAAAAAAGACTAGCATACTGTATAATGTAGACATGGCTACTTACTGGATATATCCAAGGCACAGCCAACCAAGTCATACCAAAGAAACCGGTGTACCCAAAAGTAAATACTGTAGCTGCAATGCCGTAGGCAAGGGAGTTCATCGACATAATGCTCGGTTTCGTCAGAACGGCAACAAGTACTAGGCATATTCCCTGCATCACGGCGCCATAAAAGAGGGTAAATCGGCGTCCCCATCTATCTATAGTGAAAACAGGGACGATGGTACACAACATGTAGAAGATGTTGTTGAAACCAGACAAAAGCTGAGAGGTTCGCTCAGAAAAGCCTGCGCCCAGGAACACCGTTGGTGCATATACAGTTATCTGCATAAATCACACGTGTTCATCAGTAAATAGAAGTTCTACCAGTTTTGCTGCTGCAGCACGTGTATATACTTGAGCAGCTTCCTTTTATCTCTGTTAAAAATCATTGTTGATACACTTACCACTCCAATGCCCGTCAATTCTTGAAGAATTTGTAGCCATATTGAAAGATGCACACGTCGTGGGATGTTTAGTTTATCGTAGTGGAAGAGCATGCTGTAATACGTTGGTTCGCCTTCCGCAGCCTCCATGTGAATAGCCTCGATGATTTGATTATACTCTTTCTGCACCTCGGGATTATCGGGGTCACCATTACCGCGCAAAGAGCTTAAAATATCAATGGCTTCTTCGAGACGGCCAACTTTGGCTAACCATCGCGGTGATTCTGGAAAAAAGTTGATACCAACTGCCAAAACTGCCAATGGAATAAGCTGGAAGGCAATAGGGAAGCGCCACCGTAAGCCGCCTTCTGTGTAGCTCATGCCATAGTCAAGCCAATACTGTTGAGAACAAACGATAAACCGATAATTTTGTTTATATCTGTAATTTTTTCTTTCTAGATGCACCTATTCTTCACTTCTTTCTTGGAAACAACTTACTGCAACCACTACACCAAAAATGTTTAGCGTAAACTCCATTGCAATAAACATGCCTCGAGAAGTATGATGTGATGTCTCTGCACTCCAAACAGGCACAATGGCATTACTGTTGTTATTAGCGAAAACGAGCAAGAGGGATGGGGTCAGTGTTAATACACGTAAAAGGTCAGCATAAAAAATGATTAGACATGCAACAATAGAAAGAATTACGCATAAAAGCTAGACTCACAGATGACCTGTGCCAATTCCGGTAATTACGCGGGAAGCCATCATCCAACCCACGTTTTGAGCCGCCGTTTGGAGCACTGCACCGACGATTGCAATTAACGAGCCTACGACGACCGTTTTGATACGACCTATTTTGTCTCCGATCCAGCCACCCATCAATGCACCGATCAATGTGCCAGCATAATAGACAGCAACGACACCGCCAAGTAGCGCATTTCGACCATGAAGCCCCATCACATTGATATAATCAGGCGATATATTGACGCCGCTCATCACTCCTTGGTCATACTATGTAATATTTACGTCAGTATTGCTGCTAATCGAAACGGTAAGAGAAATGGCGTGCAATAGCTTGTCTAATGTGGACTGGACGAGAAACAAGAGCACTGCTTACTCCAAAGAAAAAGATACTCAATCCTGCTGCCAAGTTGATGAGCAGGACCAAGTCGCTTCCATAAAAATGTCGGTGAAAGTTGAATGAGTGACCCATGAGATACGATAGAATTGTATTTGTGGGGAGAGATGAAAAGAAAGAAATGTACAATAGAAGAAACAAAGAGAACTAGAACAAAAGAAGTAGAGTGAATTGTTTTAGCGAACAAACTACAGAAATTACAGGCTGTTTTTGTACGGGTGGCACTCCTGTTTGTTTGCTCTATTCCACACTTGATTTCGGATCGGGATCGATACTGGGAAGTATAATCCGTTGTATCTCTCTGTATCTCTCCCTCTTTGGCGTGGCGTCGTGCTAACATTCGAAAAAAGCAAAAAAAACTTGTTTTGGGTAGAATACTGCTTAGCAGGAAGAGTACAATATGCATGATTATGTGCACTCGCATTCGTCACGAAGCGATAACCATTTGCATGCATGCATCGGAAAAAATATCGCAACCCTGCTAAGTTTCACGGCTTAAGATATCATCACTGATGTAAAACGAAAGAGCGGGAGCAATGCCGAGTGTACAGCGGAAGTTCTTGGGCTTACATTTTGGCCAATCAGAAGGCTGTATAAGAATGCTTAAAGCAGCCAATGACAGCTCTAAATAAGCTTTTACGTGTAACACTTCAAATACTGGTGCATGACATTGCTGTAATTTTTACTTGATCGAGTACTGATCGCGTCGTATCACCATCACATGCCATAGTAGTAGTTGAAAGAACCAAAATGCATAATATCAACGACAATTCAGTAGTTGCAAGGATTACAAAGGGTCATGGGTGCAAGGACATTACTTTCATGCAATGCCATTTGTTTATACAAGGTCCTTTAACATGCGTAATCACTGATAGAATGTTTGTATGGTAAGCTAAGTAGTAGTATGCTCTGTCAAAAGAAGCCTGTTAAAGATAAAAGGATCCCTTTGTGTGCGATAAAAAGAAGCCCATTCTCTATTTACCAGTGGTCATTGATGAAACAAGCTGCTTGTAAGGTGCGGACAGGAACAAGACAAGACACGAACAAAGAGACCGGAGGAGAATGTGCTAGTTGCTTTCAGCAAGAACAAGACAAGACAAGAATGAGACCCGAATGTAGGAGACCAGATGATGAGAGAAGAGACGAGGAACAAGATACAGGAAGAAACAAGATATCTGACTGATGTTTTAATATTCAAAGACTATGGTGGTTATATATCTTTTACTATGGATTTAATAATGCGAATAAACGGAAAGATTGGTATTAGGGTTGATAATTCGGACGATGATGATGGATGATATTGTTACTTGAGGATTTAGTAAGTGATCATCGAGGTTGAGGGTGATCACTTAGTAGAGGTCGAGGAATGTTCATAACACTGCTGACGACACTAGTGAAACCATGTGATTGATATGATTAAAAAGGGTATAAAAGTAGCATACTGCACGACTCATCGAGACGTTGGCTTTTCTTCCTAACTTTCAACGCGCTTGCCCCGCATCATTTTTTTGCTTTTGGCCTTTTGTACGTATGCATTCATTAACATTCTGTCATTGCAGTTGCTGTTTGATCGTCACGATTGGGGATTCTATATTTGCAACCTGGTCTAACTTTCTTTTCGATTTTTTCTTTGTAATTTTGTCTCTCTCTGTCTCTCGCTCTCTCGCTCTGTTTGCTCTGTCTCTGTCTCTGTCTCTGTCTCTCTCTCTCTCTCTCTCTCTGTCTCTCTCTGTCTCTTTCTGTCTCTTTCTGTCTCTTTCTGTCTCTTTCTCTCGGGCACTGACCTGCACAGGGTAGCGTCATGTGAGTTGTGCTTTTATGCTGTGAAGCTGTGTGAGAAGTTGTCATTCGTGTGAGAATTGTCAGTTCTGATAAGTTTCTTCGTTATTATAATCGGTTGCATAGCCCACTTCTGAAGAGCAGGGCTCTGGTTGAGTCCTGCGTTGCCCGGCGGCGCCTTCACTTTAATTTGTGCACCTGGCACGACGACGATTTTTTTTATCAACGATTAACATCCCCCTGACCTTTATGTATTACCTATATAGTGAGGATGGCGTACCCTGTAAGCAGTGTGCGTAGAAAGCTCGTAAGTACTCTTGGGTATTTTATGAGTTGTCACTTTTCTGTTCAAAATTACTGTTATTAAGCCCAGACATGTCTTACAGGCCATGCCGAGTGTAGCTAATAAATAAACGTTGCTTCTAGCTACATAAAAAGGCTCTTATTTCATTTGAATGATAATTGCATCAAAGGCACGTCGCAATCAGCATCTACTCTACATTTCGCGTCTTCAACTTTGGGCACAGTCTGAGCTTTCTTTGTCGACGACGTTCTCCCAATCAGCTTGCTTTTGCAATCGTAACAGATGGCTTCCAAACTATGCCAAAAACAATGATCTACGTGGGGACGTAGACACGCGAAGTGGCAGAGTACTTTTGACCCTGGAACTCAAAGGCACCACAGATGGTCTGCAGAGCAGCGTGCTTCAAATCGGCCGAAGCCAATATTAGAGAATGTGAGCTTTTCACCACGTACTTTGTCCCATCTTGGCATCGTCTGAACCAAAAGTAATTCTGGCTGTAGTCAAATAGTGCTGTAAAAAGGCCAGGCTGACTCGCATAAGATTAAGTATAGAATTTGTAGTCTGCTTTACGCGTCTCATTCGAAGAAATATACCTTCGTGCAAGGTTAAGTTCATACAGATGTTTCTTTTTGTTTGCTGTATGGTGTGCGAAAGAAGGTCAAAACCTGTCCCTACTCTATTGCGCTCTCTGTCGCATTCTAAAGCGATACTGGATAGCTACAAAGTCCCTGCATTTATATCTGTATATTAACATTCATGTGTTCTGCCTATTCAAATCATTACTTTCCACGGGCAAACTTGGATACATCGAATTTATTCAGTGTTGGTGCTGGGATCGACGTCCTTCAAAAATAGTATCAGGAAATGATTGTTGGTTGTATAGACATTGTTTGCAAGAGACGTAGTCGAGCATCGCGCGGCAAACATATACATTTTTACCTTCTACATTTGTCAATCTTGCGCATTTTCACACCAATGTGCTTCCACAAGGAGAATCACACAACACTGTGATCGTCTGTATGACATCTCCATCGAACAAAGAACGCTTCAGTGACTCATCACTGCGTACACACGTATCAAGAATTCCCGCAATCAAGCGACCTGACGTACGTACAGCAAAACCACCAATGAGCAGCATGCGCTCAGTACAAGAAGCCAGAGGTCGAAAAGGACGCTCACGCTCGTTATCAACAACCAAAGTAGTAAACCAACAACGCATCCGTCGTGAGAACTCGCCAGTCAATGACACTGCATCCGTTCCTCATAACAACGACGCGCTGACGGCTGATACCTACAATGCACAGGCTGGTAGCAACTAGCAACCAAGAATTCATAAGCTCATTCACATCGATCCCGTCACTGTCGCCACCAGCAAATGCGGTAGCCGAAAGTTCTCGGCCGTGTTGCCGAACTCGAGAAACGAGCAACGGGTCATGAACAAGAGCTATTCCAACCAAAAGAGGAACTGAAATACATGCGTGACCTAATCAACGAGAAGCAACAACTTCGCTCTGACACGAGGAAATTGTCACGATCACCAGCGACTCAGTGCATGCAATACCCGCGGACGAATGGGAAAAAGGTCGTGCTGGACGGGGGGTAACAAAGGCACGGCAGCAACATCACCGTGAGGAACGTTTGCAACGGCAACTTGCTGCTCTCGACAAACAGCAGCAACGAAAGCATAATATAACTCGCCAGCAACCATCAACGCAGCAGCTGACAGCACCGACGCCGTATGCAACCATCGCGCTGCCAAGAAAAAGAATGTAGGCGCAGAAGAAGTGGGTCCACCGTATCTTTGAACAGGCGACTGACAACACGGCATTCACAGTTATGTATAGGTCCTTACCACGCCGTACTCTCCATACCGCATAGCGAAATCCGTCGCGCTTTGCGCCTACTAGGGGTTGCGCAAGAGAGAGTTATAGACATCCGCTTCCCTGCCCATGGCGCCGTAGGCCTGCCGATTTATTCCTCGTATGAGCGAGCTACTCACACAGGCGAAACTTATCCCCAAGGACGATTTCGATCCGATCGCGGCATCAACGATTGGTGATCCAACACTACTCCCGTGATATGACCGAAACGGAACGTGAATAGGAAGCTAAAACACTGCATCAAGAACGGATGTTTCCAATGTACCTACGGATGCCGAAGAAACCTCTGGCCATCGCAATCATGCGGCACTTCACTACAGTACCAGAAGACCGTGAACACCGTATTGGATTGGAATATTTGGCAAATTCTAAGGAACACACCCGAAGCCTACCCGCCACCGTCGTCAGCATCTAGTGTCAGAGGCTGAAGCCCGTCAATTGCTAGGTGGTAGCGACAACGATGACGAAGAGCCGGAACTCATGCAAGAATAATGATAAACCGCATCAAAGTTAGCCAATTTAACGCCATTGGTGTCAGCCATCGGGCACCAGATGAAATCATTAGTTTTTGTAATCAAGAAAACATCGACATAATACTCCCCACTGAAACATATCATACCCGCGGGCGGCTCCTTACTGACTGGCATCAGTACCACACCTACTCCACCCCAAACGAAACAACTAATAGAGGACGATTCCTTGGTGGTATTTCATTACTTGTAAGACCAGCTCTCAACGTCCATATTCATCACTACCCGTTGAAGAATCCGCACATCTTATCATTCCGGGTCGGTAAATACTCCTTCCATGGACAATATCTACCACCCTCTCTGAAAATCAACACCTGCGCACAGCTGCTGGATCAGCTATACATCGACGATCATACCATCATCTTCGGTGACCTCAACGCACGTTCACCAACCATAACAGGCGACCATTCAAACAACAAAAGAGGACGAGACGTACTAGAACCCTGTCTATTTGCAAACGGGCTACATGTATGGAACGGATCTAGCAAGAGGGCAGCCAACATCGCATCGCCAATGGCAGTAGTATCATTGATCTATTTAGATCACGCATTTTGGTTTCCTAGAAGAACCAGAAATTTGGATATTTGACAGCATCGCAATCAGCAGCTCCAAGCACTATGTACGCATACTGTCCTTTACACCGACTACCCCCTAGCTTCCACTACGGTACCGAACTCTCCACACTACCATTGAAAACTGCAACGCCTCACGGATTCAGATGTTCGTCAACTCTACGTTAGTCACTTCAATAGCAATATTGCCAGTACAGTGAAATCTCTCAAGTACATAATTGTCAACAGCGTCAAAGCCATCCCAGACAAACCAACAATAGAACAGCTAGGGAAAGATATTGTTGCATCTACCCACGACGCATTGAACAAGGGCGTTACCCGCAGAAAACCGCGATCAACACGACGGAAATGGTTTTGGAACAGCGAGCTCCAAGATAAAGCCGATTGTCGAGATATTGCGTATAAGCAATGGCGACGAGCACCCAAAAACATTGCAATACGAGCTCGACTCTGGTATAAATATAGATCCTGTTGTGAAGTTTTTACTCGCGAAGTGCACCTAGCAAAAAGGCGCAGCTGGATCAAATTGGCTACTGCACTGGTAAACGAGGCTAATACCATGATCAAACGGATGCGACGCAACCGGCAACTGAGCCATACCTTCTCTCATCTAGAAGGCCTTCAATAAGCAGTAGAAACCATGGTAGCTCATCTGAGCAAGACATTTAGTGGTGAATGGACCCAAGGCTGCAGCAATACACACTTTGGCATGAAACTATGTTGTTGATGAAGACCCATTCCCATCCCAGCAATCGAAACCGTCCTATGCAAACTAGCACCGCGTAAGGCACGTGGCGACGATCACATCATCGTCGCTTTGCTTAAACCGATTGCTACTACATTGGCACAGGTGTGAGCAAATTGCTCAAAATTTGCTCGGACTGGTCATGGATCCCGACCTCGTGGGTACCACACAAGTCGTGCCCATGCACAAAAAAGGTGATGCCTCAGAAGCTAGAAATTACCGGCCAATCAAGATAATTTGGCGGATGCAGATTGTGTGAGGGGAGAGAGAGCAGTGTAGAACAGCAAGATGTGCTACGCTATTGTTGTTGTGTTGTTGTTGCTGCCTCAGGCCGTGATGGCAAGCTGAGGGCTTCTTCTGGTGGCGGTTCTAATGCAAAGTCGCCATCAGGGTGACAAAGACAGTCAACTTCACGTAGAAAATAGATTAGCGCGGGCCAAGCTGATCGCCATTTGCCTATATGAAGGCCAGCTTCGGAACGTGGTAGTGAATTCATGATGTGGTCGACGATATGCTGATCCAGAGGAAGTGCAGGGATCGGACCAAAAGCATCTTTGAGCGCAGTGAGTTGCTCTTGGATAAACGGACAGGAAGCAAAATGGTCGCGCTTAACCTGTGTCTCTCCACACCTACAGGAAGGCTCCGGAAAGGGAGGCAGCCAGAACATGCGCCACTTTACCAGTCGATGTCGATCTTGGCTATGTGCTGGCAAATAGAGAATCGGATCTACCATCCGAGATGACTGGAGCACCCGGACCGTTTTCTTGGTTTCCCGGCGGACAACCAATTCCTCGTCTCTTTTTTCTCGGATTGCGCGGCCTACTGGATTTTCCTCGTTTCTTTCGTTTTTCAACCTTTTGTACAGTTGGTACAGCGGGTTCCACGATGTCAGCGATAACCATTGCTTGTCAGGGTGTGTGTGTCGCAAATGTGTCAGCTCAACACACCGTAACATTGCTGTGGTTGGCAGTTCTTGGAGACGGGCTGCAAACTTGAGCTGCAACATACGAATACGAATACGCATCGACGGCAGGTCAGCCAACACCATAGGCACGATTGTTGGCATTTGTCGCGTTGCTTTGCGGTTAAGCGCCATCTTGATACAGCTTTTTTGTGCTGTCTCGATTTTCTCGATTTCCGCAGCGTTGACACCGGCTATGGCCAGGCCATATTCGAGCACTGGTCTTGCAAAAGTGCGGTACGAGCGTAGAGCTGCCCAGATACCAAGCGCATATTGGTGAACACCGAGACTTTGCAGGGTAGCCATAGCACCTGTGGCTAGTTGCGTCCTTTGTGACACCAGGAATGTTCTATCCAGGCCCTCCTGGTTGAAAGGTACGCCTAGATATTTAAAGTTGGCGACAAATGGAATGGGGGTGTTGTAGAGCTTGTATGCTAGGGCTGGCGGTTCTCGGTGTTCTAGCACAGCAAGCTCGTCAGCAATGTCGTCATATGTTGTTCGTGGTGGTGGTGGGCCGATTACCGCGCATTTGGCAGGATGCCATCGATACCCCAGATCTTGTGAATGTTGCTCAGCAACTCGAAGAAAGCGAACCATATCGTCAGGTGCGGCAATAATAGCAACATCGTCAGCATACAATAGCGAGGACACAACGATGAGCTCAGTATCTGGTCGATTTGCTCCTGGACGGCCATGGTTCGGTGGTGTGTATCGTACTTCTTGAGCAGATGCCTCTGTCAAATTTGCCATCGGTGGTGCACGCAAAATCCACGGGTGAGTGATGACAGGGTGGGCGATACGGAGCTGCTTTGGCAAGCTGTCAATGAACACGGCATACAGAAGAGGACTAAGAATAGATCCTTGTAGTACACCGCGGCGAGGATTGATGTGTCGTGATTGATGATTCTGGAGGATGACGGCCAGCCGTACCTCATTGAATAGATGTCGGACGAGATGGAACAGAGCGCTCGGCAGGTTTCCCTGCAACGTTGACCATATGACGTCTCTATCTACAGAATCATATGCGGATTTGATGTCGAGGAAGGCGATGGCGGGATGAAAGTCGTATTGCTTCTTGAAATGGCGCACCAGCATATTCAAGGAAAACGCCTGATCCAACGCACCACGATTTTGTCGGAAACCACCTTGCGCAATGTCCAGCATTGGCATATGTTCAAGCAAACGAGGCAATAAACAGCGTTCGAGTAGCTTACGAAAGGTGCTGGTCAAGCTAATCGGTCGATAGTTACTGGCCTCAGTTGGATCGCCTTTCTTGAAAATCGGAACGACTTGGGCAGTACGCCACGACACAGGCACCCACGACCAACGCCAACATACTGTGAACAGCTTGGCCAGTATTATAGCCAGAGGAGCAGCAATTGGTTTCAACATTGCACCAGTGATATGGTCATCACCTGGTGCTTTGCGAGGAGCGAGTTTGCGGATGGCGGTTTCGATATCGACAGGATGAAATGGTTCATCAGGGTCCGATTCACGACCAAAGCGGATCGACCATTGTGAGGGCGGTTGTCTCTCACCACCAAACACGCCCGACAGATGCGACACCATGACCTCAACCGCCTGCTGAGGCCCATCTGGATGCGAGAACGTGTGGCTGGTCTGCCGATTGCGACGCATATGCTTGATAGCACTATTCATCTCGGCAACTGGTGCTTCGCTGATCCGGGTACAGAATTGCTTCCAGTGACGGCGACGAGTGCTTCGCAACACGGAGTTGAAGGCTTTGCGGGCTGCTTGGAACTCGGTCCACCTTTGAGCTTTCACGACGATGTTGTTCAGTGCTTGGCGCCAACGACGGTACATATCCTCTCGATGGTCTGCGCGTTCTTGTAACTCTTCGGTCCAAAACCATCGCCAGTGCTTTGGCCGCATCTTGCCTCGTGTGACACTAGCATCAAGTGCTTCATATATCGACGCGAGTAGATCAGTGCCAGCCTGTTCTATCTCGGCGACAGGGATGACGGTGTCTTCACTTGCAAGTCGATTTGAGAGGCGGTCTCGTAGTGGATCGGATAACCGGCGAAATTCTTCGACATACAATCGAACAACATCCGGATCCTCAAATCGTTAGAGTTTCCAGTGTTGACGTGCTGCATTAGGTTCAGGTAAGCGAGGTATGGCGGTGTGCGGGGCGAATTCAAACACACAAAAGTGGTGCGGTGTGTTTAATGAAACATTATCGTATATCTCCATATGCGGATCGTTGACGGCCTGTGCGTGAGATATGAAGAGGTCGATGATGCTGGTGCCTTGGTGGTTTCGGAAAGTCGGTTGCCCATATGCCAAAGACTGGTTCCACACGTGGAGACCGTTGTCCAAAAGCCAGGACGAGAAACCATTGTTGGTGCGCGCGTTGTTTTGAGTGTCGCCTATGGTGCTCATGCGTGCATTAAAGTCACCAAGGATGATTGTGTTGTTGTCGATGCTGAGACGGTTCAGCCATTCAGTGAGTGCGGTGTACGGAAGTGTTGGTGGTAAGTACAAGGCATAGATGGTGTACATGCCGAGTCGGAGTGAGAGAGTGTTGTCGTTGTGGTGGGGGAGTTGATGGAAATGCATGTTGAGGTCCAGCCTTACTAACAGTGATACGCCACTAAATCCCTTGTTGCTTCGTTCATGTGTTGTTGCATAGGTGTGGTACTGAAGCCAGTCAGTAGTGAACC